GTATCGTCTTGCTCATCTCTATAACCGACGCGCGTAGCAGGGCAAAACCCAAGACTTCACGAGTACTTTATAAGTACGCGGGCAAGACTTTGGCTGATCTACGGGCCCTGCTCCTACCGCTCAAACTTACCGGCCACGGACCCGCTACGCTCCTATTTCTAACAACCTTGATTGGTGAGGTATCCGCAGTCCACTATGACTCACCCCAACACACCTGACCAATCAGGCGCCAGTCTGTTCTCAAGGAAGGCGTCGATCACTTTCTAGAATTGCCATATGGCGCAAGACCCACTGTCGATGTAATATCCTGGACCAGAAGCCATAGAACTTCATCCTTGACCGGACTTACAAACTAGCTCTAGAAACTTATCTTTATCTTCTCATTTGATATTAATAGCGAGCTAGTATACATACGCTACCCATGATATATTCTCTGCAAGCGCATAGATAAGACACCTAATAGCTAGGAATAAAGTTACATCTCAAGAACATTCTCAATTGCTAATGTATCATGGCCTGCCTAACCTAAATCTCTATCGCATAATTACCCTTCGCACATGTTTAGAGCAGGAATGTGACTTGCATCGTGGTACGCGGGTTTAAGGAACCGAGTTTTGACGGTCGAAAATTGCCTCTCACTCGACCCAACGGAGAGATTCCATCGACACCTTACATTATTTATTCAAACGAAGCCGAGTAACTCGATCAGCTCGGTATTGAAAGACTTCACGACATACGAAAGATTAGATTAACCCCTTAATCTCGATCGACCCTGACTTTGGACCGCGAGAGCAGACACTTATAGATCTTAACGTTGCTGGGCTGATCGCAGGCGTGGAGCTTCGCAGCCAACATGAGGGGCGTCTCTCCCAGATGATCAGGACAATCGACATCAATCAGCTCCCCTTTCGCAGGGCTTGCAACAGCGCGAAGGTCGCCATAGATCACAGCCAGGTGCAGGATGGTTTAGCCGCGGTGATCCTTCTAGTTAATCTTGGCCCGACGATCACGCAAGAGGATTTTCAAAATCTCATACTGTTGATATTCTAAAGCCACCAGGAGTGGCTACTGGACTTTTTGATCTTGACTTTAGAACTCAATATCTTTCTGACGGAGCAGCTGTCGTACGATTGAAACACTGCCTTGCGTGATAGCCATCGACAGCGCAGTCTGACCGTAAGTATTGCATTGAGAAGCACGAAGATTATCATACTCCAACAGAAGATCCACTGCCGCGTGATCCCCCGCTTACACAGCAAGCATCAAGGGCGTGTGTCTTCCATGTATCGTGCAGAGGTACTTTTGGAGCGCATCGGGCTGAGAATTGTTGCTCCAGTGGAGGGTTAGGGTAGGATACAGCGAGTGACATGGTAGTAGTGAAGATAGATATATTGGACGAGATATAAGGGGTGATGTGTAATTATATTGAGAAACGTGAAACGAAGGCCTTAGGAGTTTCATTTTATATGCTAGCAAAATGATCAACCTCTAGTCGAGTAATTAGAGTCCATAGATTCGTCTTTTTTTCATAGCATTTCTGAGTTCAAATGCCGCACAGACAAATGCAGATCGTAAATGTTGCTTCACAGTATTTGTTTCCAGAGTTTGACATACGCATTTCTTCGCTGATGCTCCTTAAAAAAATTTATCATGATGAGAAGACTTGGTAGCTAAAACCGTGAAATAAGTCGATGTTAAAAAGTAAAGTCTTATCCTAGAATCTGGTCATTTGTTCCTAGGACAATTTATGGCTTCATCTAGGATCAAGGGCTCTAGCCCCAGAGGCCAGGTACTATCTTCTGCGGGCGATTCTTTCATTTGACTTTCGCTGAGGTACTATACTAGTAGAATCCCATTTTCGCGTGCTGAGTCACGAAGCTATAATTAACTAGGATTGAAGAAGACACAGAAAATATTATCTCGTTTACATAGCCATTTCACAAACAGCCGGCTTGACGGAATGTTTATATAACGGGTTATTAATTAATAACAGGTAAATATGCCTCATATATCTCAATACATGACTGTTCGAATTTCTATCTCAATCCTGTAGAACCTCACACATTACTCATTATAGCCCATCTCCTTAGGTCTACTTACTGAGGTACGCGCGGACCGACTTCCCTCCAAAACCGACATCGTTCACCCCGTCCCCCTTCCTAGAAATTTGCATTCGCTAGGCGGAGGTGATTAACAACCCCCGGATCTTCACGAAGCCAATAAGCGAGATGTCCAGTGACATTTCTGTACAATAAGCTCCCTCCGGTTGTATTCAAGTCCATCATCATTAGGGAAGAAGAGTTCCACATCGGCCAAAGGATACGTCCATCGGTATTTTCAGGCACGATAGCGTCACTTGCATTGCCCTTAGCGTCCTAAATAGAGATCACTGGAGAGTCTTTGATAATGAAGCTTCCCAACATTTTCTGGAAAGCATGCCTTATGCCTTTTGTTGGTGTTACTGTATCTATAGAGAAGTAAGCTGTTAAGTCTGCACCGTGATATGCCGGAGTGACCGAGTACTGGTACTTCCAACTCTCTTTTGCGTTATTCCCGGAAAAAGTATCCACCAACCAGTAAGAAGGATAGACAAAGGATATTTCAGCAAAAATATTGAATACCGTCTGCTGGTAGCCGGTCGCAAACTCAGACTGATTCACCGCGGTAAGCCTACGGTCGCCAACAGTGTCGTAGAGAGGACCAAACAGATCGGAAGAGGACGATGCGAACCTATAAATCTTCAATAAACGAGTTACGTCTAAGGTAATAGAACGCGGAAACGTATCTTTCACATAGGCCTTAAAATCCGCAGTGGTCTCCATATACGGAAGACTCAGGGGAATACCGTTATTGGTATTATTCTGCGAGAAGTCAGCAACTTATAAATTGCTTAAGGCTCTCCCTACACGATATAAGTAGTGGCTTACACTGGACAGAACGCGTTTGCCGCTGACTTGCTTTTCGAGAAGCTGCTTTGATGGAAGGTCTCGAATGAAATGTCCATCAATAACAGGCAAGAAAGTAAAGGTTCCCCAGGCCCCCGAGGCCGAGATAGCCCCGCTGGCATTTTATAAGGTGTTAGTGTCGGCGTTCCTCAAGCACGCAAATATTTGCGCGTCAGCTCTTTTATCGCCAGTAAGGCAGCCTACTCGTCTTGCAAATGCTCAATAATATTTTGTCGGCACTTCGTCGTTATACCGATACTAAGTCACAATATAGGGGCTTGATGCGATGATCTTATTAAGTTAGAATTAGTTGGGATTATGAATAGATACTCGAAGGAATCCAATATTTGGCTAAACGCGGGAGGGTGCTCGCCACTTTGACAATAAATACCATTTATTTCACTCAGTCGGGCATGGTCAAGATAGGTACGCATACCAGATTGACCCCAGGGTTCAGTCTTTAAACTAATCGTTTATTTTACCAGTTGGTGTCGAAGACAGCTGCGAGATAGATACTCCAGAAATGAATGCTGCGACAATGAAGCAGTCCGCTTTAGCGGATATTGTAATCAAGCTGATGGGAAAATGCCATCCGACGCATGAGTGGCCTGTCGAGATTGAAAATCTACCTAAATAGCATTCAAATATGCTCTTTGGAAAAGATCTTGCAGGTAAGTTCCCCCCCCCCCCTTTCTTCAGCGTATCAAGGCTGATGTCCCAGATAACCCTCTTTCAGCAAAAGCTACACCCAGAAGAGTTGAAGTTGCTTGTCAATTTGACGAATAAAATCGTGCATCATCGAATCGAACCCCATTCTCATCGCGAATGAGAATATCATTTCCAATTCAACCCAGTCAACATGTCGATAAAAGGCAGATTGTTGCATGCAAAAGATGAGGAGCATATATAGTTGCTAAGTAAGGACGGCAATGCCTATCGTAGTTAGTCCATCTGCCTTTCGATTTCTCTAGCGACAAGCTGCGTGCATTGCAATCATAATACAATTACTGAAAAGTTTCCAGTTCTGTTTCGGTTTCTAAGTAGCACGAGAGGATCAAACTTCCGACAATTGACGTAAAAGTCCAACTCTCAGTCCCTAGTCTACATAAAAGTCTGAAACTGTAATTGGTACGCCACGACACTTGAGAAGTCACTGTTAGTGGAAACGAAGTCTGGGGTATTAATTTTTCTAGTCGTAAGACAAGCTCAATCATAGAGCACATCTAATCAACGCGTCATCGTGTTCATACAAGTCTGAACGCTACACATTACTTTTTATTTGCAAGAACATTTAACGAGCATTTGGCCCTATTGTGAAGTTTCGAAGATAGACTAGTCATTCTGACGAATCCTGTCTGTTTTAGTTTGCAAATAGCTTTCAATATCAATCCAATCTTGACCTTTTGATATAAGCACTTCAGCTCTTCTATCTTCATCTTAGGTTTCGCAGAGTATATGGACTCTTTTATGGCTGTTTTATTCTACTAAATCTATTATATCTTTTTAAATGAATTCTTATCACTAAATTACCATTGCTAAAAGGCAGTTATAATGCAGCAGAATATCGGACACAAAATTTGACACTTTAAAGAATCGCAAAAAGACGGTAATTCACCGAATATTCACGAATATTCCAACACGAAGATCCAGCGATGCTCTGCTTAGTCGATGACCTCCATATAACACCACCTTATACGGTCTGACTATGCCGCAATTGCCAAAGATAGGTATCATTGATGGCTTGCATTACGGTAGGAAGCACGACAGGAGCAAGGTGACGGCTGAATTTTAACGGAAGAAGTGAGCGGGAAGTATGTAAAAGCCTTCCCAAGATTGCCATTTTGAAGATCAGGAACGATCGGGTTCATAGCTGCCGAATCACCAAATTCAGGACTTCCGGTGCATACTGATTGACCGTCGGGAAGAATATTACGCGCCAGACCATTGCGTTCAACAATCCTCCCGGGCTGAGGGAATCGGATATCCAAATTTTCAGGAGTCATACAGCCATTTATGTTTGCGATAAACATTAAACATAGGTGGAAAATCCTGCGCTTAGTTCTGTATGCTCTGGTTATATGAAGTCAATGAAGGGTTGTCGACGGTGATTGGTGCACAGTTCATGTACATCTCACGATCTCCAATACGATTGAACCATGTCCAGGCCAAGGTATATTTTCCGGAGACAATGTTTTCAGGAATCGCGAAATCGAGTCGAATGTCATTGTCGGAACTGGCGTCTCCGCTTAGAAGTCCTTCTACATTTGCAGGACAGCCGCCTTCATAAGACTTGATGACCTTCCATATGCTTTCTTTGGATGGCGCGAGGTCTTCAGTGAGGCTCAACTGGCATGATCCGCCCCCATGAGTTGCACTTCCCATGAACCTCATTATGTTTGAAACACCGACCTCGTAAACAGTCTCTTTCGCAGGGGCCACAAATGCATCATCTCGTAATTTGCAGGGAAAATCACTGCCGTTTGAAGCAAGAGGCGAGTTGTTGAGGATTTTACTGCTGTAACTGTACGGCTCAGGCGACATCATGATCAGATGTCCGCTGACTACCCGTGAGACGAGCGTCTCTAGCAGAAGACAGTATTCTATGCGCATTGTAAGGGTAGATAGTCGAGACGTCGTTTGTTATGGTCGAAGGATCTTCGAATGCCACGTGATGGATAATATCTCATGAAAATGTATAAGAGCTTAGCGGTAGCGATTAATTGAAAACAGTAGATATGCCGCAAGACATCACACCATTTATGTATGAGAAATCGTGAATGAAAGTTGATGCGATTCAAAATTTGTTGCTCAAGGCTCTTGTTTTCATTCACTACGACTTGAAACCGCTGACGACTGTTTATTTGAGATCAGCATTGATTGAGAGACCAAAATATTGACTGTTGAATCGAGTAATCTTGTTGGTCGATCGTTGATGAGCAAGCCTATCACGATAAAGGAGGTTTTGAGTTGATACAGGGCGTCACAATTCAAAGACATATTCTCAGCCATTGAACATGAATTTTTTTTGAATATGACTTCTGATTCAGCTGTAAGTATCCAGCTCACCATTTGCATGAAACAAAAAAAAATCAAGCATAAATCATGACTCCTACTTTAGAGAGCTGGTCACTTTGAAAAGACTGGATGGATTGCCTTTCTTTTGCCGATCCAAAAAAGCGTACAGGAGCGTGCACTATATTTCTCAAAGTCTCAACCATACGCTGTTGAGGGTTACTCAAATGCCTTGGGCAAAGCTAGCTTACAAAAGTCCATTGTTAGGAAATACACAAGTATTATAGAAGCGTTCTGTGCCGCAAGCTCTCAACGCTGCTTTGCCGTTTCTGGGGATCCCCTCCGGGAACGACAGGGAAGCGAAGAGACATTTTCTCAGTGAAGTCAGAATTAAGGTGAAAGGACTGGAAAGGGCCGAAACATGTATGTTCCAGGAGGTCACATGAAATCCAATAATGCTGTATGAGACTTGATTTGGTTTGGTTGTAAATAGCTATTATCTACGGGTACGACTTAATGTGAAAGATACAGGTAGCGTTTGCAGATGTAGATGACAACCAGCAATCTAACTTTGTGGAATTTCTAGGTGCTTGATGCCCATAAAAAGTAGCTAAAATCGAAGCTTTGAGGTCTGTAAGAGAGTTTCCTGTACTTTACACAGAGTAATGTAACGCAGTCGTAATGTAACATACAGAAGTGACTATGAAAGCGGTCTGTATGGCGGCTTCGAGGGCGGTCTTCCAGGCGGCAAGATCAAAGCGGTCCCCGAAGCGGCCATCGAGGCGGTCTTGTAGGCGGTCCCCGGTTCTTACAAACAGGGGAGCGGTCCCAAGAGCGGTCCCAAGAGCGGTTTCAAGAGCGGTTTCAAGAGCGGCATAAAAAGCGGCATAAAAAGCGGCAAAGTCGTCTCAGTGGCCGCCCATTCAAAAAATCGGCGCTGGCGGGAAGGACCAATGTTGAGAGGCCTCGGGAGTTTTGTAACATATGAATGATGGGGAGCGGTACAGTATACTTGACTGAACTGCATTCCTCGCCAAATTACTGTACCGATTTCAAGAATGTCTATGTACTATCAAACTCGCTATGAATGTCATCGGATCATTGTCTCACATTCCAAAGGTTCATTGAACTTTTGTTGTAGATCAGAGGTATGGATTCCTTATCTTCTACTCAGAGGAACATGAGGCTTTAAATACAACAAGAAGACTAAGTTGATTGGAAATCACCTTGGTTCTTTGCATAGGCTTTGCGGATTTAGTTCCGATGGTTTGGCTTGGCTTCTTATCTGCACCTGCGGCCTGCCTCATATTACAACACCTTTTCGTGATATCTTATCAAAGGCTTCGATGTGGTCTTCTGCCCGTTGCAAGATAAATCCTTCTGATAGTCACTTTGGTCAGTCCAAGAAGATTCGAAGTTGTCACCCTGGTAGGTGAGGAAATAGTAACTGATGTTTTTGGTTCATTCAGCCTTTCTCGGCCTGGTAGCCATTTCCGTTATCAGCCACTTCATTTTTAGACTAGCGGCTGCCGCTACATTTTGCTTAAAGAGTACTTCCTGGGCCTTGTGTCTAATACAGCTGCAACTACGTATAGTGTCCTCAGGCCGGAACGGAGCTTTTACCACCGTGTTCATCATTAGCCGATGCAGCTAGTTAAAAGGTACTGCATCAATGACTACCCGTCTGCTGTCAACCAGATTCCTCTTGTACTGTCTCTCAATCTGCGCCCTTGCTGACTTTGAGGCTAGCCAATCTTCTGGACATCCAGGTTGATTGTAAATGTACTCCCCTCCGCACTTGTATTTCAGATGTCAAGACCACGAAATATCGATACACTGACTCATCCAAGCATTAGCGCACATCGATTGTCAATTGTATTGGCTGCTGTTTATCCATGTTATTCCACAGATTGGTATTGATATTCTGTGGCATGCAGTACCCTAGATAAGCTTTGTAGTTTTGGTGACGATATGTTTGTTTTCAGCCCTTGGCTGACGTCGTCGCTTTCATCAAAATCTTTCCCCAGCACATCGGAAAGACCAGATGAGTAGACTAGCATTCATCTGTAATTCTCATCCAGCCTTTCCCCAATACTCGAGGCAGCCACACATTGTTCCCGAAGGCATAGGGCTAGAGCAATCCCAAGGCATCTCTATCTTCCAGTGAATGGCTTTCGCTCGGCACTGCACGTAATCCACATCAGTTTGTCATAGTCGAGGCAGCGACTACCGCTGTCGTCTTTCAGGACCAAAAACCAGATTCCTCGAGCCAAAGCGTGTTTCATATATGAATGTGTGAAAGGTCGGTATAATCAACGACTGGGCAATCAAAAACATCATCTCTGCCAGATCTGCTTCATTCGATAGCGGCTCCATCGAAGAAAATAAAACATATCTGCAGTTGAGACTTGCCAAGGAACTTCTTTCAAGAAATCATTATCAATGCTGACAAAATGAGAGGGATATTCGCATATGTAGAACTGAAAATGCATGAGCTGCAGTGAGAGGAGCGCACGGAGCGACTGACAGCAATATGCCCAACAGCACTTTTATCCAAAGATGAAAACCTTTCTCAGATAGAGGGGGAATTCTTCGTGCGCGAACAAAAGTTCCCTGTGTCCTGGATTTATTAGCTCAGCTCAATTGTCTTTCAATGGATACTTACGATATTGAAATGTTCTTCGGGACTAAATGTCATTCGAATACATTTTTCCTTCAATCGACACAGGGAAAGCTCGCTTTATTGGTTCCTTCCAAATGTTTTTCATAACGGCCACGAACTTGAGACGAACTCCGGAGGCAGATCAACGTCACCTAGTGTCCCGTGGGGAATTGCCTCTTCCGGTATACTTTCCCTTGGGTATTGCACCTGTCTCGTCAGTCAATTGTTGGCAAATTCTGCTTCAAAGTCAGTAGAGCCGTATCGAAGGGCCTCAAGGCACACCCTCGCCATTTCATAGGCGTGTTTCCCTCCAAGATGCTTTCCTTTCCAATTGGTCGTGTCAAAAGGCACTGGCAATGTCGATGTATAGATCGCGGTTTGGATAACTGTCACGTGCTGAATCTGGCCCCCAAATTTGGCTGGAGCTACACGATTCGCGCGAAGTCACGCGAAGAATGTTCACGAGCGTCGGTAAGGAGGCTTCATAAAGGCAACCCTGTTCGAGCGCGTAAGTCGATTATTTTGTTTTATTTTTGACCCTTCACAGTCATAGGTCTCGGGATAGAAAGACTATACTGACTTTATTCCAATCAGATTCAAAATCTTAACTGTGCAGTCCATCTGATAACGCACTTCGCAATTGACAACGAGAGTCAACTCTGGCACCGGGCACCGGCGATGCAGGCGGATCGGTGATACTGGTGCCTCGGTTGCCGGAGGAGGCTGTAGAGCTTGAAGAGAGTAGAATGGCGGGAGAATCCACTCCCTTTATAGCACACTCCAAGCAGAAAGGGCTCTCCCCCCTTGGACACGCGAGTGGCTTGGCCATGGAATTTCCGGCTGGTGTCTGATGTGACCCGACTCGTCTGGCTGACGAGTGAGCATAACATGAGCTGAATGAGATAGGTATCCATCACCACGAGGCGACCAGTGATGCAATCGACCGGTGGATCATTTGCTCTCTAGAGCATCATCGCAAAGGGATGAGAGGATGCCCGTGGTCACAATGAGCAAGTGCGCGGACACGCTGACCAGTATCCGGAAGGCCACTCAAGCCCGCCCACAATTGCGGCATTTTCGCTATTGGATGATATCACCGAACTGTGTTTTCATCCGTCCACCGACGGAGTGAAAGAAGGACCGGAGACCGAAATTGTCGACAAATACCATGCGATTGGCGGATCATATCGGGGCTGTGCAATGTAACCTCAGAAGCGGCGGAGTACCTGTCAACACGACATTGAGGGGAGGCCAGCACTCTGCATTCGTCAGGAAGGCACGCTGGTAACAGAGGCAGGCGAGATGCACTCACAGGAGTAAATTCTAGACAGTTACGTAGCAAGCTACGCTTCAATGGCTTGAGTGAGGCGTGGCAAACTTGCTTGCACATCATACCATGCTGCTGCTGCGGAGGGGAGTATATCTCAAGAGGTCTTGCTCCCGCGTGGCTGCTGGCGTAGCATGGGGCGTCGGATCGTAACCTCAAGGGGGCAGTGCATGGGACTGAAAGCCGATTCGTAACAGGGGATGGGGCCGAGATGATCAAAAAGGGGGTGGCGATAGGTGCAAGATAGAGGAGGTGAAAGGAAATGTCTGAGAGAAAAACGGGTCTCAAGGGCAGGGCGAGCTTTTTATGCCGGCGCAACGGAAGGCGGAGCTTACAGAACGAGGTATTTGGGCGCTAAACCCAAAAAGGCAAAACTAACTGCATACAGTAATTCACAGGTCCCGGTTTTACATCGTATACATGGAATTATTTCCATGCGAAGCGCTGCTTCCAGCTGAGAGAATTACCTTTACAGCTGTGGCTTGTTATGCCTCTGGTTGGCTTTGGTAAAAAAGCCAATAATGCCAAAGAGAATCTCGGAGCTGTCGGAGCTGTTGGTGAAGGGAAATCGGAACTTCAGCTTTTTTTGAACAAAGTTGTGCATAAATCCCCGAGTGATCCACCCGATCAAAGTTGAAACGAAGGATAATCTCGGAAATGAAAGAAGACATCGGTGATGCCTGTTATGTGTTCCTCGAGCCAGGCCAAATGTCATGTCGATGATAACTGAGAAAGTTCATTGCAGTGAAGTGTTCATTATTCGTGTCCAGTTCTTTTTACTCCTGTGGCTTTACATCATACTCTACGTCAGTTCGGATGATATACTTCGCTCCCTTCCTTACACCAGTCCCCTCATGTAGCAACGCCCCATTGGCTTCTCCATGGGGGAAGATTGCAACAGATCCCATCACCGGCCGCACAGGGTAGGCATTCAGCGTGCCTTCGCGCGCAGCAGGCATAAAGAAAGTCGTCTCTCCGCCCTCGAATTCATCGTTCAGATACAACAAGAATGTATACATGGAGCTCTGCCTGTTATCCTCGGGTGAGGAATCGTATACGTAAGTGTCATCGGGTAGGATGCCGGATGGCGGCCAAGCACCATCAATATGGCATCGGTACTCGGCCCCAGGGACGTATCTATACACGCGGAAGCGTCGGTTGACACCACGAACAAGACGACCGTTAATGGACTGCGGGACATATGGAGAAATTCGAGACCAGAGTATATCGTGGAACGTGGTGTCGATGACCCAGTAGAAGTTGTGTGCCAAAACACTCATATCGCCGTCTTCGCGGAGGGGTACGTCAGGGACGAAGTTGACGGATTCACCAGCGGCGATGATGGCCTTGCACTCTGCGGGAGACAGTACATTCATGGCCATGCCGAGACCTGGAACGGCGGGGTGGGGGTGGTATGTTATAGATGGAGCGACTGTGTCGAGAGGGACGGCATTCGGAGTGGTAGTATACAAAAGAGCGGGGTGGTGGTTGGGAGGCTTTCGCATGGGACCGGGAGTTGTTTCAATGACACGGAGCGCGGAAGGGGATTTTGGTGCGTGTTGCAGGATCGATTTGTCGAGAACAGAGGCATATATTTGGAGGGGTTCCGAAGAAGGACGCAGATCCCAGATAGATTGGAAGGCAATGGGGCCAGGTGAGTCAACAGCCTTTGAGCTGTCAATCGGTGTGCTAACCCGAAGGATGGCATCGAGGACACCAAGAAGATCCAAGTCCTCTGAGCTGCGCACCGGAATCTGATTTGCGCCGGGCTTTGTTGAAAGGCCGCTCACAACATCCAAATCACGAACCCAACGGCACAAGGCTCCGATCTTGGGCTGCTCACCCCGGATCCTCATTTCGGCGAGCAAGATCTTAGCATCGAGGAATTTCTTGTCGGTCAAAGCGCCCGTGATTCGTGCTGTCAAGTTTGCGCCTTCAGCAGAATTGACACCCGTCGTGCATGCCTGGCGAAAATCGTAGACTGCGCTTCGCAGGTCCTTGCATGCTTTCGACTTTGTAAGGTTGGGAAATTGTGTGAGGGTGGCGAGAGTTTCAATTGTGATTTCGAGGTCCTCCTCCAGGACAACCGTGTTAAGATGTTTTGGTTCAAGAGTGGTGCCATCGGGAGGCGGGGTGAGGGTAGAATCGGCCTTCGGAAGCTTTTGCGGAAGGTCAACCTGCGCATTGCGCTTGCGCTTAGCGGCTTTGGACTTCGCCATGATTAATTGTGATGAATGTTTGATCGGACAAGTGGGGAAGAGGTTTTCTGTGGCACTTGACCGGAATAACAAATCTCCGACTATCGCAAATCCTTATCGCCACTGTTGCACATGTGGAGTCTTCACAATCGGCTTGAAAACTGTATGTTTTACCGAAGGTTTTATATATCAACCGGTTGATGTCGGTATATAACAAATCCTGAATCTTGGCTAACATCCTGGTGTACTCATCAGGCAGCAATGGAAAGTGTTGGCAGCTGATCTGGCGTCCAGGGGAAGAAAGGGCTAAAGGGTAGTAGCGTGGAAACAGAAGAGAGGGACAAGATCTGTATTCCGAGAGGGATGGAAGAGAGAAGTGAGAGAGGGAGAGAGAGGGAGAAATATAGCTAAAGACATGCACGCGCTAACAAACGGAGGGGGTCAGCAGATCCATACTCCAACAGAAAGCTATGATTATAAAGAATGTAGAATTCAAGTCTCGGCCTGTGCGATTCTTTTCTAACATCTGAAGTTGCGGTGCCCATGCTGAAACCCGTTATCTGCAGATTATGGTCGCAGTATACAGCTGTATGCTTCCCTTGATCAGTATCCATCATGGAAAACAAACTCCCTTGACTGCTGTCTAAGTAGGAAATATTCGAGTGATTGCGATTGTCTCTCTCTAAAGTTTCATATCTGACTGGCATAAGCAGATACTCTGTGGAGTCACTATTGCTTCAAGGTCTGGCAGAAAGAAAGGTAAAGCGAACAAATGACTTGCAGTAGGTTAAAACTGGCCGTCATTGAATTGAAGCGCCGTGCTAAGGCCAGTAATCACTTGGTCTAAACTTCGAGCACTAAATGTCTTCAGTAATGTGGAGACATCTTCATATCTTGATATTTTCTCAATTCCGGGGTAATTCTCCACAGATATGAATTAGTCTTGGTATTTCAAATCAAATTACCAACCAAATTGAAATTATGAAATCACAATCGCCACCATGGCAAAAGGCACGAGACCAGGGCATGAGCTTTAGTGGGGAATGCATGGTGATCTAAGCCCAACATGGATAGTCTGGCTATTCATTCCTGAACGGGTTCGGCACTACACGGTACCTGACTATCGTCGGCACTATTACACCTCTATACCACTAATCCCTATCAACTAGTGCTACTGTTAAATGACACCATTAGTCCTCAATCAAGCATTACAGGTGTCATGGATATACCCCGCATCCGCATTCTATGTCCATCGTTCTCGAGTTTATCTCAGCCCCGTGACAGTGTATCAAGACAGCAACCCACATTGATCGCCTAGATAGGAAGGTAACGGAGACCTCTACACCGAGACGGCGATGCAGGCCAATTACGGATGCACAGAGATGTGGTCTTCGGGGGCATCAGCCACAATCATCGTTGATCTAGCTATCATTCTAAATAAAGTTCTATCAAGCTCTTACCGACTTATTAACTTCCACGTTCTTATTGCCAAAGTTTGACCTGTAAAGCGGATCTGGCGTTTTCCGTCCAAATACTAAGGGATATTCCGACGTCCCGTAATTATGCTTGTCATCAGCTACGATTTTAAGATTAGTGTCTCGTATTTCAACTTATATGAACATTGCAATTAGGTTAGTGAGACGTATATTTCGACCACTCGGTTAGACATAGATCTAGACTCGGCAGTTCGCTACAGCTCAGTACATCACTGAAACGCACTAAGAACTGAAGATTTGCAGGAAGAACACCTTCGAGAATAAAGATCTCCACCAAGATAGAACATCTGATAACGTTTAAATATGATTCAAATCTTAAGGCAATGCTAATGTTTTCGTGATGATAGCGGAGTTTAGTCCGCCGTCAAGGCGATAACGGTTCATTATCGGTCGCATGGACTTTCTACTTTGGGCTAAGCGTTACTACATACTGATGATCCGTCCACGGCTTCCATATTTTCGCTTATGGCTTGGATGGCTGCAGGGTCCCTGGATGCGGCGCAAAAGTTCATAATGTTAGATTAAACTCAGAAATCACTACAAAGTATACTTTCGAATATTTAGCGAGTGTACTTGTATGTACAGAGGGTTCCTATATCAAATCCAGGCTCAAGGATAACGCATCAACAAGAACAAATTAGGACTACAATATCTATTACAATAATGAATCTTAGAATCTATCTGTATTGATCTAATATTTCAACATTGACACAATTCATGTACATTGTCACTTATCATTTGTGGGGAAAGCGATAACCCACTAAAGGAAGTCCATCCGAAGCGGCGACTCCCCGCAAAAAATCAAAAAAAAAAAACGCCCACATCGTTAAAACATTTCTATGACCAACAGCTTCCAAGTCATGACCAATTCTAACAATTCCCACCCATAATTCCCGTCCCATATCCAATCATCATTGGTCAATTCCTTCGGCTCCAGCTTTATCTGTGTCCCCGTATTTTTCCTGGGGGAGATACTGATACCAGCGCCCGGTCCTGGACGATCGCGTGAGTTCCAACATCCAGCAAGATATAGAATTCAGCCCAGTCGCCCCTGTAACTCGTTTTTTCTTTTGATCTCAGCTTCAGGCGGAAAATGGGAGCTACGTCTACTTGCTTCTCCGTTGAATTAATCTTTATTGCTTCCGGCTGAATATACGATGGATTTGGAGTCGAACTCGAATTCTCTTCCCTTTAAACCGCCTTTGGAGGATGATCAGGATGTGCAGGACGCGACCGATTTGGCGGCCATGGGTCATGCCCAGGCTTTGACGAGAAAATTTGATATGTGGAGCATGTTGGCTCTCGCTTTTTGTGTTCTTGGTATGTAAATGTTCACTGTTGCCACACTGCATGGATGCAATTGCAAACCTGCAGGTGGACTGCGTGGCTTAGGCCGAATTGAAGCTGACTTGATTCAAATGTAGGAACCTACTCTACTTTTGCACAGGATCTCAGCAGCGGTCTTACCAATGGCGGTCCTATTACCATTCTCTGGGGTCTGGTCCTGGTCACAGGCTGCAATCTCTGTGTAGCCCTCTCGCTGGGCGAGTTGACAAGTAGCATGCCCACAGCTCTGGGCCAAGCATACTGGGTCTACCGACTTTGGAACACGCCGCTCGGCCGATTCGTATCATACATGTGTGCCTGGATCAACACATTCGGCTGGTGGACCTTGACGGCATCGCAGACCGCTTTCATGACTGAGTTCCTGCTCGGTATGAAGACCATGTTTGCACCCAACTGGAACGGCGTGAACGAGGGCTGGTTAAACTTCGTTGTGTACATCGGTGTGGTCTTCCTGTTGACCCTTATCAACGTTGTCAGCTGTCGCAAGGAGAAGATCCTGCCATGGTTCAACAATTTCGTCGGTATTTGGTTCGGCGGTTTGTTCATTGTCTTGTCCTTGGCTTTGATTATCTCGGTCGGTGTGAAGAGCGACCTCTCCTTCCAGCCTGCTTCTTTTGTGTTTGGAAAATGGATCAACCAGACTGGGTGGAGTGATGGTGTGGTCTGGTTCACTGGTCTGGTCCAGGCAGCATATGGATTGACTGCCTTCGACTCGGTCATCCACATGGTGGAGGAAATCCCCGACCCGCGACGAAACGCCCCCCGTGTCATCTGGATGGCCGTCCTTTTTGGCGCAATCACTGGATTCATCTTTATGGTGGTCTGCCTGGGCTGTATCCAGAACCTAGATGCAGTCACTAACGCAAGCCTCCCTTTCATGGAGCTTATGCTCGAGACAATCGGCTTAGAGGGCGGCGCTGTCTTGCTCGCCCTTTTCATCTTCAACGGACTCGGCCAGGGTGTCAGTGTTCTAACCACAGCCTCGCGTTTGTCCTGGGGATTTGCCCGTGACGGCGGTCTTCCCTGGAGCCGATACTTCAGCCACATCGATCCCGTGTGGCAGGTTCCCGCACGAGCACTCTGGGGCCAAGGCGTCGTCATCGGTATTGTTGGAGTGTTGTATCTTTTCGCCAATACCGTGCTCGAGGCTATCCTGAGTGTCAGCACTATCGCCTTGACTGTGTCATACGCGATGCCCATTCTCGCCTTGTTGGTCGTTGGTCGGGACAAACTACCTGATGGCGGTTCATTCAAACTCGGTCGCTGGGGACCTTGGTTGAACTGGGTTAGCATTGTTTACTGCGTCATCACCACCATCTTCTTCCTTTTCCCGGGTAGTCCGAACCCGGCACCCAGTGATATGAACTACGCCATTGCTGTCTTTGGTGTCATGCTTGTTATCGCCGTGGCTTTCTGGTTTATCCGGGGAAGCCGAACATACCTGCAGACTGAAGATGCCATTGCTCAGATGGTCTACGCTCAGCATTTGGAGAATGAGGAGGCCGCGTCTGTTGCATCTGATCAACTTTAAATGTTGACCTTTAGAGCAAATTTGTATATAAGTACCAAAATAGTTGAACATTCAACATGCATATAAATTGATATCCTTGACAATCTTAGCTGGTATTGTTGACAACTGTTCACGCAACAAAGTTGGTGTGTCACGTGTGTTACATTAGAATCTTGCTGGTTGGAACTGTGATAGGTCAACCCCTGAAGAAGAAGTTAATCGGAGATCACCAACCAGAACCAACCATATCTTTCCAATCTACACTTGATTTCGGTGGCTGAAAAAGTTCTGTTTTTCAATTGAGTGCCAAGATCTTCGTCTTACTTGGCAAAGTTCCCCTTAACCTCATAATTTTTACACATTTACACATGCCCATTCCAGATTTAAACTCAGACCGTCGCTAAATCTCACTGCAGCTGCCATACACGTTCAATTCATCGATCTTGTCCGTGTTTTATTGGAATCTTCAGACGTCACCGCATTCATCACTGTATCAAGTGTGGGTCTCCCCTGTCGATCATCTCCCCAGCATCGCGTCGCGCGCCCAAGGTCGCAAATGTCTCAGCCCAGGAAGCGAGGGGTTCCCCATTCCGATCACATCAATGGCTATCTCATGTCCTCTTTGCCCAACCCCGTTGTGACGAAACGGTAACCTGCAGAACGCATTATCCGATTGGAGTAGGGGTTCAGGGACCGATATCCAACTGAGACTATGGATCCTTCCGACGGTCATCCGTTCAGGGTCCACTGAGATTGTGGGACTATGCAGGGCCAAGAGCTCATGTGCGCGTTGATGCCCTGGACTGGCAGACGACTGGTTCTTTCTGCACATTCTTAGGCAGTCGTTCCCCCGCCGATGCAACCATAATAAATACTCCGTTGGATCTACCCCTCTCGCGTCGGCCATTCCGGGGCCTTGCCTACATAAATATTTGACTCGGCTCTCCTGAGCAAGGCCCGTCACTCCTGTCAAGTATGCTGTCGTTTTCGAATCACGGCGTGTTGTCGCTGGCGGTCTTGTCTCTTCTTACATCTTGTACCACGGCGGCAGTGTTTGAACGACTCGCCGCTGTTCCGGAGGGTATGTTTTTCGCTCGATAAGCATGATAAAGCTAACTGTTGTAGGATGGCATTATTCTCGGACCCCCCGTGCTAGCCAGCCCATCAAATTGCAGGTGGCATTGGCACAAGGTGATGTTCCTGGATTCGAGCAGGCCTTGATGGACATGTCTACTCCCGATCACCCGAAATACGGCAAACATTTTCGCACGCACGATGAAATGAAACGTATGCTGCAGCCCAGTGCTGCATCAGTGGATGCCGTTCGAGAATGGCTGGTGGATGCTGGCATCACAAACATCGAGCAAGATGCCGATTGGATGAAGTTCTTCACAACTGTGGAGACGGCCAATAAGCTGCTGGACGCCAACTTCCAGTACTATATCAGCAATGGGAAACACGTGGAAAGTCTTCGTACTCTGGAGTATTCCGTTCCGGATGCTCTGGTTGATCATATCAACATGGTTACTCCTACCGTTCGCTTTGGCCAGATGCATGCCAACCGTGCGACAATCCACGGGAAGAAGAAAGCTGCCAATGAGGCTTTCCGCAAGGCCTCTCACTATGTTAGCACTGATTGCAATAGTGCTATCACACCGCAGTGTTTAAAGGACCTGTACTCTGTCGGCGATTATAAGGCCCAGTCTGACAACGGCAACTCTATCGCCTTTGCTAGCTACTTGGAACAGTATGCTCGGTACTCGGATCTTGCCCTGTTCGAGCAGAATATCGCCCCCTATGCCATTGGCCAGAACTTCAGTGTGATCCAGTACAACGGTGGTGGAAATGATCAGACCTCCCCCAAAGACGGCAGCGAGGCCAACCTAGACCTCCAGTACATCGTTGGGGTAAGCTCACCAGTCCCCGTCACAGAGTTCAGCACAGGTGGCCGTGCCCCTCTAGTCCCAGACCTGGACCAGCCCAATGCAAGCGACGACGAGAATGAGCCATACCTCGATTTCCTGCAAAGCATCGTCAAGATGGATGACGCTGATCTGCCACGCGTACTTTCCAACTCCTACGGTGAAGACGAACAGAGCGTGACTGCAAAATACGCCCAGAGCGTCTGCAACCTCTACGCCCAACTCGGCAGCCGCGGCGTCTCAGTTATCTTCTCCTCTGGTGACTCTGGCGTTGGCGCAGCCTGCGAAACCAACGATGGAAAGAACACCACCCACTTTCCCCCCAGTTCCCAGCCTCTTGTCCCTGGGTTACATCTGTTGGAGGAACAACACAAACTTCCCCGGAGAAGGCTGTGCTTTTTTCCTCGGGTGGGTTCTCTGATCTGTGGGACCGTCCTTCTTGGCAAGATGCTGCTGTCAGCGCCTATCTTACTACTCTGGGATCTCAGTGGTCCGGTCTATTCAACCCTAACGGTCGTGCCTTCCCCGATGTTGCGGCGCAAGGTCAGAACTACGCTATCTACGAGCATGGATCACTCAACTCTGTGGATGGTACCTCCTGCGCTGCACCCGCGTTCGCGGGTATCATCGCTCTCGTCAACGATGCCCTCATCGAAGCTGGCAAGCCTACTTTGGGATTCCTCAACCCATGGTTGTACTCCAGTGGCCGCTCAGCACTAAATGACATCACCACGGGTGGAAGCACTGGCTGCGATGGAAAATCTCGTTTCGGTGGTGCCCCGAACGGCGGCCCTGTCGTTCCTTATGCTAGCTGGAACGCTACCACAGGATGGGATCCTGTCACTGGACTTGGGACACCGAACTTTGCTAAGATGTTGGTAGCTGCTGGAGTGAATTGATTCCCACGTCAGGATGAATTAGAATGAATTTACCAATATGTTAGTTGACTGGCCGGTCAGCTGGTCTTTGCATCCGGCTAGATGCATGAGCATAGATTCTGTAGCTAGTTCACTTGAGTATAAATATCATCAAATTCTTTGACATTTGACGCCTTAATATATTTCGACTTCTAGTATCGTATAACCTGTCCGATATTGAGATGTCTCTGCACCTCGTTCTCAGTCAAGTTGGTATCCACTCAGCTTTTCTGTAGTGTCGAGCCTGAGTGAGCAACGTATGGACTCAGCGCTCTAAGAAATTATTGGCAGGTGCCCCCAGAAATGACCGAGTGCCACTGAAACCCTCCACGACGAATCTGCTATGCAAATTGGTAGGTAAGTTGGTGGGTAGATGAAAATGTTAGAAGAAACAGGTATGGTGATCTCAAGTGCCGGACTTAAAATATGCGGAATTTAGTTCGCTTATACTTTAATTCTGCATAAAAGGACCTGTATAAGTTCCACTCAGAATTACTATGAACAAACATTGAGTCAAAAAGAGACCTGGCTAAGAGAGACGGACGAAACCCACGGACGAAACCCACGGACGAAACCAACGGAATCAAGGATGAGATCCACAATGCACAAAATTTGCACCGATTGTGGGGTCAAATGAGAAAGTGCCGGCATTAAATTCTAACACTAGTCTGAATCGGGAAGACGGGCTTGAAGAATTCTTTATCTTTTGTTGACAGAGGTATCTGACATCTAAATACTTATGATCGCAAAGATGATTCAACCTATTTGCTTGGAAGGAATATATAGAGATTATCACCGATCAAAGCATTACAGGTAAAGTAGCATAAAGTTATGCTATAGCGGCCCATGGAACATTCGTGATTAATGAAGCTTAAATTATTAATCAAGGTTTTCCTATGATAGACGATCCACACTGACGACACTCTTCCAATACTTTCCGTTGAATAGATTACAAATTCGATTTGTGGAGTCCAAGAATCCTACCAAAGATATATAAGATGTCCTCCATCTTCCCGGGACGGTCCGGTACCCCATTCAATCAATTTAAGAATACTAAACCATAATGAAGGAAGCTATTGTCGAATACCCCGTCAAGGTCGCTATCAAGGACATTGATATCCCTACCCCGCAGCCGGGTCAGGTCCTTATCCGGGTAGTTGTGTCCGGCTCCAACCCCAAGGACTGGAAGGTACCTAAGTGGTACCCAGAGGGATATGGCAACACTGGTGATGATATCGCCGGCTATGTCGAGAGCGTCGGAGAAGGCGTTTTGAACTTCCGCAAGGGCGATAAAGTGGCCGCTTTTCACGAGATGATGAAACCAGGTGGTAGTTATGCTGAATACGCCATTGCCTGGGAGCACACAACCTTCCATCTCCCGGAGAAGACCAGCTTAGAGGGTACGTTTGAAATTCCATTCTTGCTAACACGATTGCTGATCTTTATGCATAGAGGCTGCCACAATTCCTTTGGCCGCGATGACAGCCGCCCTGGGATTATATCAGCGACTTGAGCTTCCTTTGCCCTGGAACCCGACTAAGGAATCCCTGCCGCTGGTGATTTATGGTGGTGCCACGGCAGTGGGAGCGTTTGCTTTGAAATTTGCCAAGCTGTCCAATATTCACCCGCTGATCGTTGTCGCGGGCAAGGGAATTCCATTTGTCGAAAGCTTGATTGACAAGGAGAAGGGTGACACAGTCATCGATTATCGTGAGGGAGACGACGCTGTTCGCGCTCAGATTAAGGCTGCTGCCAAAGGACAGCCGATTCGTCATGCTTATGATGCAGTTTCAGAGCATGGAAGCTATCAGAACCTGATGGCTTCCTTGACTGCCCCTGGTAAATTCACGGTTGTCTTGCCTGCTGCTCTCAGTGAGAAGATGCCTGAGGGTATTGAAGCGTGCCAGACTATGGTTGGCTCAGTCCATGCCCCGCCGGCCGAGGGTAAGACCGTTGAGGATAAGGAATTCGGTGCTGCCTTTTATCAGTTCATGGGACGAGGACTGGCACAGGGATGGTTCTCGGGACACCCGTACGAGGTGCGAAAGGGCGGATTGAATGGATTGGAGGGTGCTTTGAAGGACTTGGAAGCTGGTAAAGCTTCCGCGACCAAATATGTTTTCAGAATTGCCGACACCGAGTCGGTTTAGGGACTAGTCAGGAACTGTCTTTATGTCTTCAGTTCACCCAAGCTGTTTGTTATAATTGGGTGTGGAAATTATCAAATCTTTATGAAATATACGGCCTCTGTCGCACTTTGGCCCAAGCGGCCCTGTAGTAATATCGGTACTGTTGATGTATGTTGTACTCCTAGATCTCGGGATAGCAGAGATGATTTAGACCTCTAAGCTCCCGGAGTCACTCCATTCCCGCGCGCTCACATTTATGGAGCCACTGGCCCTGATGTGATCTCACCACCATTGCTACCCACTGTCGCTATGTAACTACGGTCATACCTACTACGCGTGAGAGAGCTCAAGTCCTTATGAGCTTACGTGTCTTCCTTTCCTCGCAGGTACGACGCGGGTATCGTGGGGGCCATACAAACCGCGCCCAAAAGGTATTGGACGACATCAAAGAGTGGAACCGAGGGCCAAGTTTCTTGTTTATAATTTAGTCAAATCCCTTCCAGCCACTCTATGCTCCTTCGCTTCTTCATTCTTCAACCATCCGCAATGTTGGAATCCCTCCCATCTAAATATTTCACCATGGAATCCACACTACCTCTCAATGCGGATTACATCATCATCGGCGGTGGCACTGCTAATTGGTAGTTGCAACTCAACTATCAGAAGATCCAGACACACAAGTTGTAAGTATATGCTGTTGCGGAGCGGGCGGCTGATTTGGTTCGTGCGACCTAGGTGTCCTAGGCTTCGGATAAGTTATTTATGCCCATATACCCTGCACAGATAGACAAAAACTGGTTCTGTGTAAGAAAGTTCCTTACTGATCACTTCTTCAAGATTCAAGCCTCTTCTGGGCAGCGTCAGGGAAGCCACGATGGCACGCTGGATGGCACTCAAGGGGGCTATTTTACCTATAATCCAACAACGCAATAAACCCTCCAACATTGATGATCTGTCCAATATTATCGGCATGCTACCTGGGGTTGTGGGCATAATAGACCTGCTGTTTGGTGGGACCCATTACCATCTGCCTCAGTTTTAAAGATTCCCCTTGGAACGTCTCCCTCTCTCTTCTTTCTTCTTCCATGCCTTTAAGAAAACAGTTTCTGCCACATCCTCTGAAGACGGGCCTCGCGTATGACACGAACTCACTGTGGCCAGAGCTTTATATAAAGTATATGGGCGCAATGCTTCTTTCCTGGTGCGGTATATAAATGGTCAGAGCTAGACATGATATTCCCTAGGATTGAATTTGGCTATCATTAGGCTGCTGGCAGGTATATGAAGTCGTGATCTCCTAAGTTGCAACTCATATATCGATGATGAGCAGTGTATCCTGATCAGGGTGCGGCGTGGGCGCCGCGACCATGCTGGGCAATTACTAATGCGTTTTGATATGTTGACCCAATTAGGTCTAGTAATTGAGACTGTTCGTGTGTGATTCTAGCTTTCTTCCCTCTTGTCTTTTCATACCACACAACTTTGTCTTTCGTGCATTCTTCCGCATATGCGCAGCATATCACTTTCCACAGAAACATATCTTCACCCGCTCACTTCTTCCTTTTTTATTTCCCCGTCAATGGCTTTTTTGGTATACAGGTACGTATTACGTTTTTCACTTACATTTCATCCCTGATTTATCGCATCCATTGTTAACAACTTCCAAGCCAGATAGTCTGCAATCTTTCCTCAGTCAGAAACAAGCATATAAGCGTCAAAATGTCGCTCTTTGATCTACCCAACGAGTTATTGTACCAAATCATCTCGAATGTCGAAAGCGAAATTGATCTATCCTCCCTGCTCCAGGGCTACTCGGACCTCGAAGCCATGATCTTGCCTCGTCTTCACCAGCTCATTGCCGAGAAGTACGAACACCTTCATCTAGAGCACTGTGCTGCGCATCGAATGGCAGAATGCATGCGGTACAGTTTGAAGATCAATGAAGGATTTGGTAGCACCCATCCTTATAGTGTTGGCAATGCGTTGTGCTGCGCAGCTATGATAGGTCGCAATGATATGGTTCAAATGTTAATTGACAATGGTGCAGACATCAATGATACATCTTCAAGCGTCCTTTCGGCATTAAACTATGCCATAGAAAGAAATCAAATTGAAACCGTACGGCTATTGGCCGCTCATGGTGCTGATCTGAATCTAAGGATGAAGAGTTGGTCTAATGAGACCCAGTTTCCACTGTGGCAAGCGGTTATGGGGTGTCGTCACAAGATGGCAGGTCTTCTCCTTGAATTGGGAGCAGAAACCGATGCATGGTTTCATTACTCCCGTATTAGCAGGACCGCTGTCATTGTTACTTGTCATTCTGGAACAGCCCTATGGAAATTGAAATCAAAATCTTTAGGGCCAAGGCTAACCGAGATCGTTCTTAAAGCCCTGATTGGTAGAATGAGACATTATCCAAGTAGCATACCTGAAGTGCAGGCTCTAATCTGGATTTCTAGTCACATGTGCATGCTTCAACAATGCCAATCTAAGAATCACCATCGCAGCACTGGCCTGTTGATACAAACATATCCCTGCTGGGACGGAAGAAGCCCAGTAACACCTCATACATCACCATGTCTTCCACAGCGCCTTGAATCCAACGTAGACAAGTGTGACGAAATGAATGAACTTGTTCGTGCTTTCTGCTCACACCTTCCACCCTTGCCAAATCAGGAAGCGATCATCGTCCATGATCTCCGAGGCTGACACTCCTCATTTCCCCCGCAACGAAACTTCCAAGTGTTCAACCATAGATCTCTTGCCATGAACTCGCTTTCAGTGTACAAGATACGCCACTCACCATGTGCTCTGGCCCTTTGGAGAGGAGGCTGTTTCCTTGGATGTGCCGAACAAATACAAACAGATTCATTGAAGGATTCGGAAAGTCTTCTTCTGCCACACATGGTATCTTGTTATCCTGAAATCTTCTGTGTCGTACATTGACTGATGCTCATAAGCAGACTGGCAGACACCGCCCCAGTAGTGGTATTCAAAGCTGGGTGTAATCCTGGAGGTCGCTGAAGTGAATATCTCGATGTTGTCACAGACCGACGACCTTGCACGTCTTCAAGTCACCACGCAGACCGTTTGAATCTCTGGGATCGCACCAGGAGAGAGACCCACTTGAGGCCACAGCTTGGGAAATTCCTGGAAAATGTTGTTGGATACTTCATTGGATACTGGTGGGTGGAGGTAAATCACTTTCATGGCCAAAGCCATGATGGTGATGAAGTACTCTCGTCAACCACTTCTTCCCCCGGAAGTTACTCGCCATTGAGAAGGTATAGGATGCAATGGAACTCAACCAGAACGGCTGGATAGTCCAGGATGGCATAATGGATGAGATCTCTCGACTGTCCCATCGCAATCGAGCTTGTTAAGAGCACGATACAAAGGTCAACTTCTGGAGTCTATGAGCCCACCACGTGCGGAATCAAAACATTCTCGGCATCTTTCTGATGAGGTCCTGCAGCTCTGTGTCCTTGGTGCATGCAAGTTAGTTGATTTGTCTGTTCCAGAAAACCAACGTCTCCATCATCGTCACAGGTGCGATAATTATTCCGAAACAACGTTCGTCAATACTTCCGGTCGCGGAAAGCACAATGGTTGAAATAATTGGCCTGGTTGCATTGATGGTCTTCTCGGCAGTCTCGTACCACCCACTCTCTTTCGACTCAACGCTGGTCGTTAGGCCCACGTCTATCGCCTTGTGATGCACTGTGCAGGCCATGGCCTGACAAATCACTATCATGATCTGGGCACCAGAGCTCCAGCTGCGGCACATAATCAGTCTCGCATAGCGTTAATACACTCCCGTGTTGATAACTTCGCCAATCAGGCTTCAATCTCTGCATCGCCGTTGTCTGTCAGGCTTTTCTTTACAAGAGGGTGCCAAGTAAATACTTCCGCTTTGGTGGCTCTGCGGTCGCAAATCCCTGCTCTACGTGTCAGCCCTCTATTGTTCTCCCGAACACTCTCCAAACACTCAGACATTCTGTACGCTTTTTTGAGACTTCTTGAAATTGTATGTGGCCTAGTACACATTACGACACCAGTCTGTCATGACGAGCCACTCAATATTATTTTTGGGGTTTCCACTCTTCCCCGAGGTCATTGCGCGCGCAGTTGAAATTTAAATATATATCTGACACGACGTTGGTCTTACAGCACACTCCTGTCCAATGAATCGAATCATTTGCTGAGACCTTCTCTGACGTTTGATTTTTAATTTTGTCTCCGAATTGCTAATCCCTTCAAATTTTATTTGTCAGTTTATTATCACTGGTTAACGCGCAAAGCTTTTCAATATTCTAAGGTTTCTAGTCTTGTCTACTTTGGGTAACATTACAAGGATGATCATTTTCATCCCAAATTATGTACATAATTTGCTCAGAAAATTTTAGAGCTATTAGTACAAATACATACTGATTCAATTTTCCGGTGACATTTAGTTTGACTTCACATCATGCGTCTATCACAGCCTTGGGCGTCGACACGCCTTCCCCATATGCCGCCATAATTAAGCGAATGTCCCTGCAGCCATACATACGTGAAGAATACCCGAAAGAAACAAAAAATGGCTCGCTTACTCTGGTGCCTGATTACAAAGTCCGGCAGAAATCCGAAGGATCAACGGGAATATTACCTAAATAGGAGCAGCGGATGGCTTTTTTCATGGCCATCTATTGGGCAACAGCTCTAATTACTCTCAACCTCGCACTTTGTCGTGATCTGACCCTTGGCGAGGACTTTTGTCAAATCAAAGTTGGTGTGTTGTCAAACAAGGGATGTGATGTATCTGGCCTGATATTCCGAAATCCCCGCGGCCCCACCAAACCTAAAACATGGCCAATGAAAGACCCGTATATTGACACGCAACAAGTCGGGATATCTATCCAGGCCATGCCACTCTATTGTCATGCTTTGTACGGATGGAATTCTCCTTACAGGTGAAATCGGAACTTTTCCCAACAGACGTCTGTGACTGACATGGCTTCCCTTGCTTTGCCGTCTCGCCAAGGCCACGCTATTCTGACAGCTCAAATTAGATATCGCTCACCGCTCATCTAGAAACGAAGAAATCACTTGTTTGCTTCTGCATGGATACTCCAATTTATGTTATCACTGGCATCATCGAAATAATCTCTGTCAGCCATGGGATAGGGTGTGATTGTGCCGGATTTGCTCGGATATGGCGCCACGGAAGCTTGTCGAGACATGTTATCGAAGAGGGCTATCGTTAAACATGGCTAGATTACTAATTCTTGAGGATGTTCAACGTTGTGTCGCTGTGGGTCATGATTAGTAGGTTTAGTATATCTAGGACCTGCCTTGAACACCGCGATGTAGGGGCTGTGCGAGCTGTGGATCACTTTTCCGACTAGTCTCGTATATTCATAAGCGCTTGCTGGCCATTGTAATCCTCTAAATCGGGTATGTAAAACCCAGTACGAGTTTGAATATTGGTATTTTTGTATCTTATTCTCTAAGGCTCATCTAATACCGTATAGAAGCAATAAACCCAATTGAAAAGCTAATCGGATACCCGGGTTATGGATATTGTCCATACCATACAAATGGAGTAAACAATTGTGGCAAGAATGTAGTCGTCATTGATTAACTCAATGAAAAGCCTCTTAACACTCGGCAGCTTGAGTCAACTTCTACACTTGTCTACGCGGCCGATCCGGATAGTTGGAAAGTCAATTTTCGCCTATAGACGCCGCCGCAGCGTATGTCCGAGCTGGGAAAACCGTCACCTTCCCTTGGTATACACCGGAGATGTATGAATTTTAAAGAAAAAAATTTATTCGTTCATGGAAAGCGGGGGCCGATGAACTAGTAGGAAAAAGCTGCCAAGAGGTGTCAAAAGTGGCGATGAGTGGAGATTTCAAGCTGACAAGTAAGGTAGCGGAGTACGGAGTAGATAACGGTTTGCAAATTGACATGATGAGTTGGATTAAGGATGTTACATTTGTAGTGGATCAATTGCTTGTTATACGGCACTGATGTAGATCATCTTAGATCTGCTTCTAGCTGGGATTTAACTCGGTATATTCACTTGCATAATTACACAATTGCCATTTTGCTGTGTTCATAAACTTCAATCATGGAAAATTCACCTTATGAAGCAATTGTTCCACAGTTGATACACTTGGTCGTTCAAAGTCGCCCCCTCGCTTATTTACTCCATGATTTTGTAGATAAGGAACCGGCCCCTCTTTCCAGGGTTCCAAGGTTTCCCTTGTTCCCCGGAATACTTCTACTCCGTATTTCTATTTTCTTCCCCTGGGTCTTCCCCTGGGTCTTCCCCTGGGCCAGACTGTTGGTGGGCCAGACTGTTGGGGCGGACCCTGAATTCTGACGTCGAAGTATACTTTGTCTTTGTCCATCCATGGGTTGAATCGAGTTCAATGATTTGGCTTTTCTTTGTTATGGATGTATCTTTCGGATCTTATTCATATTTCTTACTAAGTATTCTTACCAATAATTAATTGACATTTAATTACAGTTATTGATGTTGCGTTGTTGAAGTTCTTCTGTATGATGTACCATGATACCCCGCACTCAAGTGCTGCACCTGCACAACTGTTTAAGTGTTTGTAAACCATTGCAACAAATTGATTAATTTCAAATTAAAACGCTTGCGCCCGCAAATTAAATATCCTAATATCCCAGATCTACCTACGTAGTATATATATCAAACCTTGACCTGATCCGCATCTCTAAGATAATTCCAAAGGTCCTCACAAGCATCCTGCAAAGACTTCTCCGTCCTCCACCCAAGCTCCCGTTCCGCCCGGTCGGGCGTAGCGACACAAGACCCCACATCCCCAGGCCTCCTCCCAACAATTCTCACAGGAATCTCCAACTGACTAACACTCTCCAAAGCCTCCACAACCTCAAGAACGGAATGTCCCGTTCCCGTCCCAAGATTGAAAGTCCTAAAAGACCCACTAATCCGTCCCTCCTGCGCAGCCGACAACGTCGCCACATGCCCGCGCGCAAGATCCGTGATATGAATGAAATCTCTCACCGCACTTCCATCCACCGTATCCCAGTCCGTGCCGTAGATACACAATTCACTGCTTTGGCCCGTCAATGCCCGCACAGCCGCCGGGAAAAGGTTCGAGGCGCAATCGCGTGGATCTTCGCCCAGGAGCCCTGAGGCGTCGCAGCCGATTGGGTTGAAGTATCGGAGGCAGAGGACTGTCCAGCTTGGATCGGACGTGCAGACGTCGGAGAGGATTGCTTCTCCGAACCACTTGCTTCGGCCGTAGGGGTTTGTTATTCCTGTGCAGCCTGGCTCGACGGATACAGGGCCCGAGGCCGTGGTGTAGGATTCGCGTTCGTGGACGCAGTTCTCTTCTCGGAGGCGCGGAGTGTCGTCTGCTAGGGTTCCGTAGACGGCTGCCGAGGAGGAGAAGATGAATGATTTGATCCCGTGGTCGTCTAGTAGACTTAGGAGGTCGATTAACCCGCGCACATTGTTCTGATAGTAGCGCAGTGGGTGCTTGATGCTGTCCGCGACGGCCTTGAAGGCGGCAAAGTGGATGACGCCTGTTATCTTGGAGCGGGTAGCGGTGCTGCCTGGGATGCGGGTGACGTGTGTACCGAGGAGGACGCCCATAGCCGACATATCCTGGTAATCAGCGCAGCAGAGCTTTGCTTTGGGGATCGGCAGGCCGAGAGGCTCGTAGTGGAGCTTTGCGGCTGCGAGGATTCGCGCAAAGACATCGCGGTAGCTGTTGCTTAGGTTGTCTACGATGATGATGTTGTAGCCTGCTTTGAGGAGCTCTAGGGAAGTATGACTTCCAATGAAGCCTAGACCTCCTGTCACAAGAACATAATCATCGGCGTCAACATCGAGTGGATCGTCAGGCTCTGTGGCAGGCGTTGAAGGGTCAGAGAATTGAGGAGAGTTGGACCCAGTTGAAAAACCTGGCGGAGGGGACGACATGGTTCGATGAGAGGAAGAAGGTAGGGCTAGACGAAGCTCGACAGGCTCCTTCTCGGAGCAGCCATGATCCATTTGCCGAGAAATTAGGAATTAGAAATTAGTTAGACGCAATTGCAGGATTTAACATAGTGGATATAGATAGATAGATTTACAAATATCAAGAAAATCTTGAGAAAATCTGGACAAAATCTAGACAAAATCTAGACGAAACCTGCTCGGGCATCATTGCCACATTCAAATGTTATCTTAGCGGGTCATAGATGTGAAGCAAACCGGAGTTTTACTTTAGTCCTTACAGGCGAGACGAGTATGTCTCACTTGGTAACGGATGGGTACGGAGTCTCCGCCACGTGTATCATAGTATTTCATACTCGATCAAGTCAAAAATAGCATAAGCTGATGCCGGTTATGGTGGGTCATAAAGTTTTTTTTCCCTGGAATACTTCCATGGTAATACAAGACAAGGTCCATCGGCTAAAGATCTTCGATCTTGCCGGATGTCCCGTAATAAGGTTGTCTATTACCATCTGGACTATGTAGAATTTCGCTTTGACAACAGTTGTAAGTTCTTAGTTCTAAGTTCTAACTTTCGCCTATTTTTTCTTTGCCCCTTGCAGGCCGTTCGAGTGCCACATGTGATAAGATATAGGTTATCAGTGGATGAGGCGCACCGCCTTATGGCAGGGTAAACTTGGGTTTTCCAATCTCGGGTCCGACCTTATTGTCCCGAAGTCAACCGTCCAATAACAAGCTAGAGAGCTAAGGTCGGAATGTGGCTGACTCCAGGGTTTTACCCGATACGAACGCCACATCTGACATGTTCATAACTACTTCGTACGAAGTAAGAGAACGATTGCATTGGACGCGAAAAAAATTACAGAAAACTATAGAAAAATAGAGAAAACTGGAGACCATTCACTCGTGGGTGTATCATTATCCCTGACCCACAGTTCCATCGTTTCAAGACTGCAGAGCCTTCATCAGAGCCCCCCAACTGTGGGGTCCAAATCGCTCATAGAAATCACCTGCAACCTCTGTCACAAAAATATAGGCAGCTTTGCCGCGCAGTTCATGAACCAGCGTCTCCAGCTCATCCAATGGGACCTCATTGATCATCACACCGGACCTGTTCCGATCATATTTGAACCGCCCCAGCCATTTTTGGACCTCATCGGATCGGTAGCGTGGGTACGGTTCCTCACTGATAAAAAACATATCCGCGGACTCGCTAATCTCTACGTCCGGTGGGGTCCCGGGATTGTGGACCACCTAGACCCTCAAGTGAGTTCATTAGTCTGTTTCCATGGACTTGTGCCGGATCCACCGGGAGAACGGGGACGGGACTTACAAATCGATCGGCGAGAATTCCCGGATTGTTCTTGATGAACTTGGTCAGTTCGCGTAGATAATCGGCTCGATCGGACGTGAAGTGGTTTGGGGTCTCGTCGACGAAGATCCCTTGGACCCCCAGCCCGGTGGATGAGTACTGGGCCGACCAACCCGCGTACTGGTCAATCTCGGCATAGGTTGTCGAGCGGGGCTTCTTGCAGTAGTCGATTCGAATGTAGCCTACGGTGTACACGTTGGGGTAACCATTCAAACGGGGGATTTCTCGGGAATAATTGGCATCTGGGAGAGGCGATTCGCCTGGGCCACTGTTTGGGTTGATGATGACGAGGAACTCCAAGTCAGGATTGGATTCGATGCTGTTAGCTTTTGGTTAGATTTCGCGATCCGTCTTCCATGTTCTGGCCATGGTGATGTTCGGATAGATGTCCGTTTTCGTGTTGGTGTTGGTGTATTGAATTCCAGACTTACGCTGCATAGAGTGGAGACCATGTTTCCGAATCCAATGGATAGATGTACAAAGGCACCACGACGGTGGATTTGGGCAGCTCCGTATTCGTCATATTTGCCATACTTGCCATATTTTCCATGTTTGACATGTTTGCCATGGTCATATTGGGTGGGGAAAGGGGTTTTCTTAGACCCTAGACTCAACCACCAATACAAATGGTCAAGGAATGCAGGGACACAGGGGAGTTTCTTACGTGGCTCCAGACGTCGGATTTATAAGTTCCCGCGTTAGCTGACTAGTGCTGACCTTCCAAGGCGAAAAGTGGAAAAAAAAAAGAGTAAAAAGGGAAAATTGGGGAAAAATGGGGGGAAATGGATCAAAGTGAGCCAACTCGCAGGAACACTAAGTCAGACTAAGGAACGCTAACGTCTTAGCGCCAAGGGACTAAAGGTTCACGCCACTCCGCTGTGGATATGAGGCAGGGATTATTTGTGGCCGAACGAGGCTGAAAAAAACAAATCATAAATTCCCAAAAAAAATACAATACAGCGTAGAAATTGATTACATTCAGGAACACATCAGATTACTAAGATTACTTCCCCTGTCAATCACGCCTCCCATAATCTTGGCATCAGCCACAAGCCACCAGCGCATCGCTTTGACCAACTTCGTATTTTTCTGTTTAATATTTTTATTCCCGCATATGAATCACCGGATTGTTTCGCTCTCGCTTTAGCCACATGGGTACCCACTTTGATCTCAGGTAGGGACGGCATCGCAGAACTCCTCTAACCCTGATCCAAAACTTTCATAATAATTCTCTGTTAGCGTGGTCAAGAAAAGATAGGCGGCTCGGTGACTAAGATCGTCGACAAAATTTTTCAGACTGTGATTCGTCATGGTGGGGATTGAATGAATCATGTAGGAGTAGTTCCCGCGTTGAGAAGTTTCCAGGGTCGCCAACTCCTTTTTCTGACTTTGATAATAACTGTAAGATTGTTCAAAGACCACAGTGATATCCGTAGTATTATCTTTATCGGCATATCGAGAATCGGGAATTGTTCCTGGGTTGTGGATAATCTAGATCAAGATCAGCGAAGAACTGGAAAGATCCAAAATCGAAAAATCCCAAGAAAGAAATCAAGACCGAATCGCGACTCCACTTTTCGGCCGTCCGTACCAACGATCCGGATCGATGAATCCAGATCGACTCTCCACTGCCATTGCCCACTTTCTCACCTTCCACTTTCCACCTTTTCCTCCGTTTCCACTTTCATGCAGTCTCCATGCAGGTCCTTTCCAGGGTAAAAAAAGCAAAACAAAAAATAAAGCAAAACTCACCAAATGAGGTGATTGGATCCCTGTGGAGTTTTTAACCGCTTCGTTGATTTGACTCAAGTATTCGGCTTTGGTGGAATTCCAATCATAGGGAATTTCATCGAAGAAGATCCCATCCATTCCAAGTTCATTCGATGTCGCCGTCCAATTAGCATAGCTGGCCACATCGTCCAAGACAGCAGTGATATTCCGATTGGCATAATGGGTGGGAATATATCCCACTTTTTGCACATTGGAATATGTGTCCAGTCGACGCACAGCGGTCGCATATTGAGTATTGGGAGTGGAGGAACCAGGCCCACTGGAGGGATTGACGATGATCACAAAGTCAAGCTCAGGATGTGTGGAAATCCTATATGTTTCAAGTCAACCGTAGCTCCAGTCTTCAGGGGTTGAGCATTTACTTACGCATCATACAAGGGATCCCAAGTAGTGTTCGTTTCAGGATAGATGTACACGGGAAAAAGCACTTTGGATGCCTTGCCCTTGTGTGCATTGTTCCTGGGAAGGATCACCGCCAGCGGAACAACAATTACAATAATAACCACTATAATGGCGGTAATCAAACCAGCGAGGCACCACGGGCGCCGGAGGGAGAATTTCCCACGCGGGGAGGCCTGTGTTCGCTTCAAGGACTCCATGACAAGAGCAAGATGAGACGAAGAATCATCCAACAGAGGGAAAGAAAGGAATTATGGATTATGATATGCAGATCAGAGTTCCGGTTTTTCCTTCGGGGACACGGTCTCTATCCAATTTTCACGAGGCAAAAAAGAAAAACTGGGAGATTCTAAGCGTCGAAATCCATGGCAATGTCTTGGGGCCCAAGATGGTTCTAGCTCTAGTAAAGAATACAAATACGAACACATCAAATACAAATACCAGATAAATCGGTGTATCTTTCGGAAACACATGGCTTGTTAGCCTGGATCCACTTAGTACGGTCAGACCATGGAGTCTAAGACCGGAGTTGACTGAGACTTGCATGCAGACCTCGTTTAGCTGTAAAAATGGAAAAAAAAAAGAAAATTTAACGAACAAAAAATCAAAATCTATTTCTGTCTTTGTACTGGTCTATACCATTAGCCCCTAAGGGACCTTCGTAGCGAGACACCACTACATCCCTTACCAGTGGGCGCCCCCAAGCTTGTCGGGTCCGGACTCTCAATTCTGGATACCTAAGTTTTTTTTTGATTTTTGAATTTGAATCGATCGGTCTTCGCCGCACATACTAGACGTGTCAAGGTCGAGGTGGCGTTGGGCTCTGCTTTCCTTTTGTTTTATATACTTATTCCAACTCCCCGCTGTTCACTGATTAGACGGGGACCTTCTAACATTCGAATACGGGGTTTGGACCCTTCTTTATTCACGCCATCATGAGCCCTGATTATCTGGGTTTGAAGGCGACAGGATGGAGTCATATGACCAACACCTGGTGGGAGAAGGTGAGTTCATTCAATGTCAATGGCATGGCAATGCTATGGCAATGGCGATTGCAATTGATGAAAGTGTCGAAGATTGCTGACTTGACTTAGGTGTTGGCCATTGCTCTCCTGGCCACAATCGTTATTGGTTCTTGTTATATCATTTTTCAAATTAGCCGGGCGATTTACCGGCATTGGCGCGTAAGTTTGACGATCGGCATGAAGAATTTGCAGCTGACATTTTCAAGGCTCGACATGAACTCTCTGAAGTCCCATCTGCTGTTACAAAGTATATTGAAAAACTTAAGACAGAAACACCAAAGATCTATACACCAGCAGAAAAGAAGACCCCTAAATCTTTCGGTGTTTACCTTGGAAGTTTCTCCACCCCGCCAACTGCCGATCAATCACGGCTTTTATCGCAATGGGATGTCACCGTCCTTGACCCGCTGCAGACCGGTGTTCTTGATGCACTTGCTGAAGGTTGCTCTGCTGATCACATTCTTGCTCGTCTGGATGTTCGCAAGCTCGTCGCTACAGAGAGTGGCTCCCGCGATGAAGTGATCCGTGCTATTCACGTTCTCAACGAAACCCTGAATAACCTTAAGCGTCCTCAGGATGTCCAGGCTCAATTCAGTGGTGTACTACTCGCAGACTGTCACGCTCATCTCCAACCCGTTGTCTTGAACGAGGTGGTGAAATTCATCAATGGTCTCGGTTTGGACGTGTGGATGGAATTCGGCCCCACCGAGTTCCTCGGCGAACGCCAATGCCGCGAAATCGACTGGACTCCGATCCGAGGTGTTGTTTACCGCAATGGAACCATCCGAACAGATGGCGATCGCTGCAATTATTTCCATATGGAAAAGATGCGCACTGTTATGCGTATTGTTGCCGCCCAGAAACCCATCGGTGATTCTACGCTCGCCATGTGGGATACCGTGGACGATGGTGTTCAGCTTAGACATGATGTTCTCCACCGCAGTTTCAAGTGGTGTAATTACAACAGTGCTATGAGCTGGATTGCTCCCAAGGCTGCTTTGACCGATGCGACCATTGCCGCTACTACGACCGTTACCCATGAGCCAATCGGTGCTTTGATGTGGATGAAGAACGAGCAAACTCTTGAAGCGCACGATATTTGGCGACAGAATGAGGATATTGCTACTTCGCCCGCTGGAAATGACGATATCTACGACACCCTGGAATCTTTTGTCCCTGAATTGAAGACAAAACTCGCTTTGTTCGCTCCTCGTCCTAAGTCCGTTGCCAGCGATCAGCTGGTTACGATTGATGAGCTGCAATTGGCTGCCCCGAATGAACCTCACATGACCAACCCCTTCTCCATCTCTCCTGATGGCGAGGATTACACTGGTTTGGGATGTTTCCAGATGGGTCTGGATCTCACCGCAAAGGATATCAAAGATCTTCTCCAGGCCCAGCGCCAGGTCCGTGATCTCAAGCTACTGGCTCCTATCAAGCCGGCGGCTCTTCGCGACATTGCTGCCGAGCTTCGTGTACTCCAAGACTTTGGTGGAGATGGATCGCAAGCCGCTGGCGAGTTGAAAGATCTTCTCGTCACCTCTGATGGTACTGAGAACGACCGCATTCGCCTTTACGTTGGTTTGCACTCTGGTTTCCGCACTCGCATGGAGACTCAGGTTTGGGGCATGTATGATAAAACCCCTGGCTTCGGTCCACTCGACATCTACCTCTCTGGTAAGTGTGAAGAGGGCCGTACTGGTGCTATCCTGCACACCTACATGTCTAGCCGAGGATTCTCTCGTTTCCAATGCTTCATGGCTGAGATTGCTCTGGCCACTGCCAATGGTGCTCTCTCCAACAAGTGGCCCAATCTTTCTCCTCGCATCGCTAGTGATATCCAGCAGCTCTCTCCTACTGAGGCTTTGCTTTGGTTGAGACGTCTGTCAACTACACTGAGCAAGGACTGTGCGCACTTGACCGCCAATGTCCGCGCCTGCACTGAACACCAGCTTATCAAGGTTCCATCGCTTGCTCAGCTTCGTGCTCTGGGTTCTAGTGAATACCTGAGTGGAAGAGCATCCGCCGAGGACTTGGTTGCCGCTCGTCTCGCTTACTACCAGGACCAGGGCTGTTGGACTCCGGATGCCAATGCTGCCAAGGATCTTTTCTTGGAGATCAACACTCGCCTGCCGGAAGTCTTGATGGGACGCGACTCCCGCACGCTTGAGCTCCTCGCTGATGTCATGCAGCGAATTATCCAGAAGGGTCAAATCGACGCTGGTGTGGATATCCTCGCAACTGCCGTTTTCTGTGCTTTCCGTCGCATCTCCCTCGACGAGATCTACCTCGAGGTCCTCGACCGTAATCCTCTGCCAAACATTCACACTGTCCAAGCTTCCTGTTTTGCTGAGATGTACGCCCTTGGTGCTCGTTGCGAGATGTTCCTCGACATGACCCCAATGAAGCTGGGCAAGATCATCTCCGCTCGTTACCGCGAATACTGCAAGTCTCACCAGCCTACTCGACGTGGTGAGATCTTTACTGAGATCCCGACCGCCTACGCTTCTATGGATATGGACTTGAACCCTGAAGGTGACAAGATCTCTGCTCCCTGGTACTATCGTATTACCTTCCTCGGTATCTTCGCTCTTCCCGCGCTTATTGATATTACCATGTTGACGACAGTCGGTCGTGGTCTGTACCTGACTACCTTTATGAGTGACATCGACAAGACATTGGCTACCACCGCTCTCATGGTTGCACTTCTGATCTGTGGTGGATTCGGCAGCTGGATTACTTCCGGTGGAACATACTACCTGTATGCAATGGCTTTCCCAGCCATGGGCATGTTCATCATGACTCGCTTGATCGCTGGTCTTGCCGTCGTCTTCGTCGGTGGCATCATTGCCATGATCGTCCTTGGCTGCATTCACGGATTTGCAGCAGGTGTTCTTTTCTTCCTCTACTTCCTCTTCCTGTCAACCTACCTCATGCTCCTGTCGGTTCTGTCAATCTACCAGCTCCCTGGTTTCCATTTCCAGTCCGGCCGTACAGTCATTATCTGCTGTGTGCCGATCCTGTTCATTTCTCCCCTCATTACCTTATGGGTGGGTCATGACTCGGTCATCTACCTGTGTGTTGTTGGTTGTTTCGTCACAGCCCTCCTCCTAGGCGCACGCCGTATCATCTCCCAGTGGAACAGTTGGTACCTGAGCATTCCCACAACCACCGACGGAGAGGTTTTCGACTGGTACGTCAAGAGTCTGCACTCTCCCAGCCCGGCTTTGCTTAAGGAAATCTCCTCCACACCCGTTGCTCGCCAGGCCCTGGTAGAGATGGTGGACAAGGAGCGCAAGCGTTCATTCTGGACAAAGGCAACAACCGATCCCTTCGTTCGCAAGATGGCAGAGGGCTACGACTCCGCGCTGTTCCTGCTTGTCTGGTACTGTCGCTACTCGCGTACTCAAATCCCCCTTGCTTTCAGTCCCACGTGGAACTTGCAGATGAAGGCTGCTGTGGATACTATGGCGGATATGCAAAAGGGTATTCGAATGCACAATGCTTTCCTTCACTGGCGCAACACTGGTGCGGATGTCTGGTGCGGTATTCTCTACTTCGTCATCGCCTTGATTGACAAGTGGACTGCTCTGCTTACTGGCGAAGCTCTTGTGGGTCTTTCTACCGCATCGAGCTCCGAATACCGCCTATCCGTTGGATTTGGCTTGGGATACTATCTGACCGGTGCTGTTATGCTTGACGCAGTCTCTCAGCCACTGTGGACTGCCGTGACTCAGCGAACTCAGGACCCGATCTCCTCCTTGGACAGCTTGCGCGAGGTTCTTGCCACCAACCAAAAGGACAGAGAGAGACTCTACTGGACCAACCTTACCAAGTTCTTCTTCCTCCACATCTGGGGTGCATCGATCACTCTGGCCCTAATGTGGGCCTTTGAGGACAAGCGGGAGTCCACTATCATGTACCTTGCTTACCTTGGTGCTTACAGTGGTCTTCTGTTCTACCAGTTCAATCGTATCTTCACTGGTTCCGAGGCCGCTCGCTGTCTTGCTCTTGGATCAATTGTTGGTTTCCTCACTGGTCTCATCCTGCATGTAACTCTGCCTCCATTCACGTGGAGTAGTGTCATCGGTCTTGGTTCTGGTACATGGACGGCTGCTATCTACTCGATGTTCATGGCAAACATTGGTCTGCCTAGCTTCAAAGAGTCCGAGGTTCCTGAGCCCGTTAAGGTTGCACAACCGGCAACCTACACTTGTAGTTCTCTAGAACCTTACCTGGATATCTCTCAGACCACGATGGCACAGACTTTTGAGAATATCAGCTCTCTGGATGACGAGTTCCGCTACCGTTTGGATGCCTCAACTCACCCTGGATCTGAGGTCAAGAAGAATATTCTGTCCGGTGCCGGGTGGCGCAGCTCCCTCATGGTCCAAGCTGCTTTCCCCGACGCCGAGCGCCTTGTCAGTCAAGTTGTGCGTCTTTGGGAAACCGGCCAAACAATTGTTGAGTTTGTCTCTTCTGAGCATCTTCTTCAAAAGGAACAGAGAATCCGTGCTATCACTCGGCTGGTTGGTGACCAGCTTCGCATTTTTGTCGTTGTTGGCCCCGGTCTTGGAACGCAGGACTGGACTAGCAACATCCGCCGTAACTGCCAGGCTATCTCTGAGGCTGTTGTCCAATCCACTCTTGAAGCTAGGTTAGGTCTTTCTCACGACCACTCGATGATGTCTGAACTGTTGGTCATCGAGCACCGCGATCCCTATGAGCTGTCCATTCCTGAAGGTGTTAAGTACCAGCTTGAGCGAAACCCGACTGAGTGTGCGCGTGTCGCGACCCATGGACGTGTCACTTTCCTCCGCCATCTTCTTTTCGGTATTGATGCTGACCTCGAGTGGGACAGCCTCCCTGAAGCTGCCCGGTCGCTTCTGGTTCGCCGTTGCTCTGGACGTCCTGGTCATACTGTCGTGGATGAACTCAACTGGCTTCAGGCTAGAGCTAATGCCGAGGACCTCCAGGGTGTTTGCACATATATCGCTCGCTACAACCTCGGTGTTAGCATGTCGCTTTCTGTTAACTTCTTCGCCCAGCGCTGGATGGAGCACGATACTTACCCGGATTACCCCATGCTCATGGATAAGACCTACGAGAAGCCTATGGAGAGTCTCCTGCCTCCTCCTATTGGAGCCAATCTATCCTTCACTGAGCTCATGAAGCTTGCCTACACCCGCATGGGGCACAAGATAAACACAGTGATCAAGTTTACATTAATTTGCTTAGTTGCCGATCCTGAGTACCAGCGAGAGCTCAACTACGTGCTTCGCGGACAGCCAATCATCTTTGCTTACCCGATTAGCTTCCTCCTGAACACTATTTGGTCCTTCTGCAAGCTGCTTCAGAGAATCATTATTCCTCTTGTCCTAGTCCACGGCCGCAAGAATTTCTCTGAACTATACAAAGCCACCGGCGGTTGGAAGACCACTATCGAGAAAGACCGCATCGTTATTGAGAGTCTCTCTGGACCCATGACCTGTTTCTATCGGCCTTTGCCCGATCGTACCGCACGTCTTTACCAGTACTCTGGTAACCACGCCCAGGAACCTGAGGACCATTCACAACTCGTTGCTATCAATACCTACTCTGACAAGGTTATCCTGCGCCGTCGCGAGGAGTACAAGAACAAGGAGGTCATCAATGACTTTACATATGAGTACCCCGAAGCTGGTGGCAAGAAGCTTCCCATCCAGCGTCAATGCGCCTCCGGCGAGAACAGCGGTCAAGTCATCCAGTACGATGAACGCGGTTATATCGTCTCTGGTTCTGCTATGCAAGGTGTCAACCCCGTTCAATTCCAATACGAGTACCGAAAGGACGCCAAGTTCGATGATGAGCTCCTCAGTGGTGAATACACATTCCCTCACATACGGATTAAGGTCTCCTGGTGCATGCCTCCTCCCAACAGGCCCGAGCGCCTGAACAAGTGGATCCCCTACCCTCGTGTCAGTGAAGCCACTTTCATCCAAGGATCTGACGTCCACTACGCCAGATGGACCTATGACCACAAGTTCCACCCGACCATCGTTACCACTCTCAATGGAGAAGAAGTTCCGACTCCGATCATGATCCGGGAGGATTGGTTCCACGTCTTGGATAAGCCCACCAAGAGCAGTTTCCTCCACGACAACCCACTGTTCTTCTTCAAGTCATTCGAGTCAAACTTCATCACTCGTCTGTTGCGCTTGAACGTCCAATCTCGTCCTATCCCCACATCCCGCTCTCGCACGCACTTGTGGAAGTCCTGGAAGAATAGTAAGAAATTTGACGCCGTGACTACCGTTTGGCTTGATGAAGTCCTTCTCCGATCTGATCGTGTCCTTGGTCCCTACTGGCGCAACCGTGACTTTGGTCGCCTCGAGGCTGCTGGAGACTACATTGACGCACAGGCCGATACCATCCTCGCTCGTGTGGATATTGATCCCGACATCAGCTCATGGACTCCTATGGCATTCAAAATCAGCGATCTTTCCAGCTTCGGACAAGGTGGTGATTCCAGAATTAATACTCGTACGCTCTCAACTCAACTCCAGGATACGGACACTCAACTCCACGTTCTCGCCATGGATACCGCTACTTGGCCCAATGAACCGGGTGGTGTTTCTGCTTGTCGTCGCGACATGATCAACGATCTCAATGGTATCAGGTGGCACATTCTGTCCGAGAATGCCAATGATTACGGTGTGCCGAAGTTCCAGATCGAGAGGAATGTTCAGTCTTTGACTATTCTTCCTCAATGGGGTCTGGATTTCCTTAACCCCACTCATGGTGTTTTCCAGAACTGCCTTGATTCCGCTGTCGTTGAACGGGCGCAGGATACTCGGGTTAATGATATTGAGAAGCACTTTGTTCCTATTCTGACCAAGTTGGTTCGTTGTGCTCGCACGATTCACTTGACTCGTCGGCATATCGAGGAGGCTACCAATGCCCTTGTGGATTTGAATAGCTACTTTGAGAACGGTCGTAGCTGGAATGATGTTTGGATGAGCACTACTGTGAAAAGGGTTTGGCGCCAGCTTTGGCTGTCTGATGATGTTGAGGATGCAGTTCCCGCTTCCCAATGGTGGGATGCCGAGAAGCCGTCCCTGCAGCAGCTTGATAACGCTCTTGACATGTGGCATCGCTGTAAGTTGACTCCCCTCTATCGATTGAATCTCACTGACATGTTTAGACTTGTTCATCTTCTCCATTCCGGTTCCGGAGAGAATCCCCGACGTTTTCCAGGTCTCTCACCACTTCACAGGTGCTACCTATGGTGTGCTGTGCAAGGCTAAGCGCAAGTGTGCCCTCCATGTCTGGGATCACTGCGTCAGTTTCCGTGAGATGACCGTCTTCTGCTCCGCTGCCGTGTCTTTCGATTCCACTTTCGTCAACAGCACTCTCATTTCTCTCGGTCACTTGTCATGTGTTCTTGTCGAACACCACGCCGATGTGGTCCTCCCTTGTGCCGAGTACTTCAATCCTGGATGGGAAGTTGAGCTTGGAACTGCCGAGGGTGCCCTCCAGCACCGTCGCACTTTCGCCCGCAAGATCGACCCTGTTGTCAATGGTATCACGAACATGGAGAAGTACAAGCCTATCGAGAAGATCAAGACCAAGACACCTACTTGTGTCATGTTGTCCCACGTTCGCTACGTCAAAGATATCAAGACTGCCATCATGGCTACGGATCTGATAGTCAACAAGTGGGGAATCAGGGACTACCAGCTCCACATCTACGGAGATATGGAACGTGCCCCTGCCATCGCCTCTCAATGTCAAGAAGTCATCGCCTCCAAGGGTCTCAGCGAGCACGTCATTCTCAAGGGTCTTGGTAACCCATCGGTCGTCCTCCAGGATGCTGTAAGTATTTACCCCCCAGCACATTTAATTCTCACTAACAATAATAGTGGCTGTTCATGAACTCCTCCATCTCAGAAGGTCTCCCGCTCGCCATGGGTGAAGCTGCTCTAACAGGTGTCCCAGTCGTCTGCACAGACGTCGGTGCCTCCTTCTGTGTCGTAACAGACAGAGCAACAGGCAAACGATTCAGTGAAGTCGTCGCACCAAATGACTACGACTCTCTCGCTCGTGCCCAAATCCGCGTCATGGCTCTACTCGAACAATGGGCTCCCTTCGCCGAAGACAAAGAAGGAGATCTAGTACCCAAGCTGGAATTCCACCCCACCCCCGAAGAGATTCAGGCCATCACCGACCGCATGTACGCGAAGCAGGAGCAGCGTCGTGCACTGGGAATGAAAGGTCGTGATAACGTTCTCAACTCTTTCTCCAGTCACCGGTACCTCCGTGAGCACGAACAGATGCTTTGGCTGGGTAAATACCAGAGCCATAGCTACATTGCTCGGACGGCGCTTAACTCGGGCGCTTCAAGTGGTCTGTTTGTTAAGGAGAAGAAGATCTCTTTCCGGGCTTCTTACCTTTCTTCCACGCCTACTCTTCCAAGGACTCCGGATTCGTCGTATCACCCCATCCCTGCTAGGGCATGGAGGGCGTTGCGCGATTATCGACAGGGTGGAACGTCTGGAACTCAGACGCCGGTTTCACTGGCGTAGTCTTCGGACTTTCTCTTTTCCTTTTCCTTTTTTATTTCTGTCTGTTTTATAGCGTGTTTTTGATACCGATTGCGAGATCATCTCGTCATACCTCCATGGTTGTTATACTAGAATAATGTTTAGCTTATATTTACATCTACATCTAAAATAAATTTATGTCTATTCAAATTTGTCCCAGTAAAGTAGTGCTCCGATGGCTACTTGAATACCCTTGAAACGAGGTCATCTCACGGTTCACATAGGGTGGCAAGGATCCGTAGACCTTTCCAAACCGAACCATTTCAATCATTCATCAATAGGTTGTGAGCTCTCTACGACACGTTACAGCCGACCTCAAACCTCGAGCTCCTGATGAAGGTCTGATCATCTTTACCAACGCAGTACCAATCAACTTTTGAATCATGCTCGGCCCACAGAAGCGCCATTTTCGGATTTCCCAAATTCAGGCAATATTTCGCCGCATCATAATAACTAGAGATATTTCAGTGCACTAGGCATCAATTAATGATGCTACTAGGAAACCCCCAAATATCGATTTACTAGTCCCTCGGATGACGAGTGACCCAAAAAACGAATGACTCCTCAGTTATTGCGGAACGAGCTTTGGCTCAGGAGCCAAAAGGTCTAGCATGTTTTCACAATGCGTTAATTCGGCTGAAATTCAAAAATTGCTACCGAAGATCAAATCTGACTTTTCCCTATAAAATTATGACTTTTTTGCTCAAGTCATTGAGGCTGTTATATATTTTAGACTTAGTGAAAATACTATATTATTCTCTTTCAAACAAATCAAAGTACATACGACCATAGGGTGTGGAGAACAGGGCTTCCCGTCCGCTCAGCCGTACTTAAGCCACACGCCGGTTAGTTAGTAGTATGGTGGGTGACCACATGCGAATCCTGACTGTTGTATGTTTTTGTTTTTGTTTTGTTCTTTTGCGCTCGTCTTTCTTTTTCATCGACTCCGGTAGAAATGGTGTTTTTACTTTAGTCTTGAGGCCTGAATAATCGGGCAACCGTGTCTTCTATCGTATCTGATGTTATCGGGCCTTTATGGCTGCCATTTTCTCAGCGACCTGCATCGCCCTTTTGCAAGAATTCTCTGTGCCGAATCGTGCGTCCATGGCAACATCTAATGGATAACCCGGTTATTTTCTTGAAGACAGACCTGGCCTCAAGGTTTAGAGGTTCTGCGATATGTTGTTGGTTAGTTGGTTAATTCTTCGCCTCATAATAAATAAACCGGTAAGCGGCTAACACAAATGATCATTTATTCAGCTAGCAGCAGAGAGTATCGAGAGAAATCAAGTATTATTAGAGTCTTAGGTAGCTGTCATATTGCATTGGAACCGTGTATTTGGTGGTAATATGGGGCAAATGACGTAATCGCCACCTAGGCGTCAGCAGACCCCTACTGTATAAAACAATGACAGGCAGAAAGAAAGGACCAATCAGAAAATTCGCTGCGAGGAGATATATTATGCCTGTAATCCTTGACAATTCAATGTAAAATCTAAACCAATCATGATAGCAAAAAAGCTAGGAGGCTAAGTCTAGTTTATTTGTATGTCATTCAACAAGTGACGACCGCAAACATACATTCACAATGTCAAAAAACGCCAGCAATTTCAACTTTTCAGGAAACAATCACCCAGCCAGCGAGTGCACTAGAAAAGATCTAGAAGGACAGGATCATGAAGCAGAACAGCAAACACATACCCGGGTAAAACAAGACACAGGTCATCAGTATCAGCCAGGCCAGAACGGGGATGAACATACGCCATTACATCTTCATGGGACGCAGAATTATCAAAATAGTATCATTGCTCACGAAAAAACATCCATGACTCGAAATGCAACATACAGCCACTTTTATGATCATCTAGCGTCAGAGGATCAAGTTAATGATACCACCCTTCCAGCTGCAAAGCGAAATTTGAACGAGAACTCCTTTGTGCTGGGTGAACTACTTGCTATGGATGGGAGGCGCCAGCACTCAGAAGCCATATCAGACGATCAGGTCCATCATGATGCTGTCTCAACTACGATGCAGAGATTACATGACAATACCTGTGCTCTTGTTGCTGCTTGTAGTGCCCGCCCAGCGTCTCAGGCTAATGAGACGTGCGACCACATTAAGACACCACGAAAAGTTAACGATAATAACAATGTGTCTCCAACAATGCTAGCCACGTTGCAAGACCAGGCCTATATGCCGATTGGACATCCAATAGAGGTCATAAGGAAGCAATTTCAAGCAGAGAGCCACAAACTAGCTTACGAGGTACCAGAGACGCGCGGTGCTATCCAGACAGGGTACCCTAGTAGCAGCAATGCTGAAGTTACGAGAGACATTGGCTGGCACAAAGCAAACTTAGAGATACCCGATCCATTAATTGGTGGTTACACGAATGAAGAGCTTTTTGCGTTCATCAGACGTTTCAACAAGGTAATGCTTTGTTTGTCCCGATCAAAGCACTCATCGGACTGATATCTGGTTGATTAGGACATCTTCGATGTCAAAGCAGTGCCTATTGTAACTGCAAGTGGACTTGACCTCAATGATGCATGGTCTCAAGATCACGCTGGTGATAAAGTGGCTTTGCACTTACAGCGACTCTATTTGTCCGGGGTTCTCGGTATCGCAAGCCTTTGGAAGCATATCTCGCGACTTCGTTCCTGGAATGAAACTCTCCATACATCCATATTCTGCGGAGTACGTTGAACACAGATCCACCGCTGAGTGATACATGCGAAGCCACTTTTACTGACCTGAGATAAGATTTACTTCTCTGCATGGTTTTTCAATCTGTTAATGCCGCTTGCTCTTGGAACTTTGATACTGGTCGTATCTTCGGTGAAAGCCCGCAAAATAATCTGTCCTCCAGCACCGCGTGCTTTAGTGAACACTAGGACAGGTGAGATTCAGGAGCCGCAAGCAGGTCTTCTAGGTACTAATGACACCCTTACTGGTGCTCCTGAAAAGCAACTTCATGAAGCTGTTGAAGAGGAAGCAGCCAGTTTCGCTAAGAACATTCGACACAACCTTCAAAGAGCTGTCGGTATGCACTGCAATCCACAAAGCGACGGAGATGGAGATCCACTGGAAGGGAAGATACCTAAGCCTATCAGAAAAACAGTTAAAGCCATTCAATCTGCAGGTTCTGCACCAGGCCACGTCACTGAGTGTACAGGTCAAACTCAACAGCCAATGGAAGAAATTATATGGGCTGGAGTAAACCCAGAAACCATTACCAAAGCTCTAGACAATGCACCACATGCGATCGGAGAGCTAGCTGATAATTGGGAGAGATTTGCAAAGTGAGTCGCCTTGACTGTGCCTCGTACGTTCTACTGACGCAACTTCAGCGCATTGACACCAACACCGCCATTTTCTCGTTTTGCTTTCCTCAGGATTCTAGTTGTTCTTGTCCCTTTATTTCTGGTATCTCTTTTTGTCAACTATTATATAGTTTACAAGGGAACTGGGCTCGCCATTGGATTCGCCATTTTTGGCGATCCATTGCTTACACGCACAATGGCATGGCTCAAAAGAAATATCCCTAATTACATGGAGCTTGCACAGCCCAAGAAGTCAGTCATCTAGTTTCTTCTCCTCTCCAATGCTAATTACAAGTAGCAATCTACTTTACGGAGTTCCCACAAACACCCAGATCGCAATAACGCTCCTCCGCATCGGCGAGGCGCAGAAAACACCTCTTCCTCCTGTACCTATCTCGAAGCCCAGTGATCCAGATCGTCAAAATCCCATTGATGTTGAGAATATACCTCTCCCTGCCACCCACTCTGAGGTCCTAGATGCGGCCGTGCCTTCAGTTGTCGAGAAACCCCACAGCGAGGACAAAGAAGAAAAGCCAAAACATGAACACCTTTCTAAGCTGGCCCGGTTTTTCAAAGGCGGTGCTAAATCTGTTGTTGAGGCGAAACTCACCGTTGATCACGTTCGGGCCACAGCCGGTTCGCAGAAGGCGAAAGATCGCGTTGGTGTGTTACCTAAGGCGAAAAGCATTATCTATGCTGGGCCAAGCGAATATCAGTGTCGATTCGAGGGGCAAAGTGGTTGGGCAGTCATCACACAGTCTCCCAGATTAAGTGTGCTTTTTACACGGGATGACCCAAGACTGAAAAGCTCTAGAGAGCTGAAGCGAGTGTTTGAAATTGCCGTGAATGATATATACCGGCTTAAGAGGGCAACAGCTTTTGAGAATTCGGGACTCGAGGCAGTTGTGGCGTTATCGTCAGACGAGAAGTTACTAGCAAGCTTGGAGATTGAGGATGAGGATGAGAAAATTTGGAAATTAACCGTAGTACCGGAGCGAGATGAGTTGTTCAACCGCTTGGTCGCGGCCGGTAATCAAAGATGGGAGATCATGTGATTTAACTGCTGGTGCATCACTCACTACTTAAGCAAGGTTTCCTGTAATTGATACTCAGTCCCAACATGTGGAAAACTATCAGCAATTACTCTTTATTCTAGGATTTTGAAATATTGAGTGGTATTTGGTACCTGACCATTAGAACAGGGCCAGTCTCAAAATACCCCCGAAGATTCTAGAATACACAAAACCTGACATTTATTGACCCTACCTCACTCAACTGTGAGTTCCTTGTTATCATGTTCAGTGATTACTAAATATAACAAGATTTCGGCATCGATTAATCGCCGAAATATCTCCGCCCTTGGATGACGTCATTTGGCTGCCAGCTTCTGAATACGAAGAATTCAGTGTATGACGTCTAATATCCTGGAAACGGACCAACTCATTAGCAGACCCTGATTATCAAGGCTCTCGCAGAACTAGGTAACCCCACACGAATAGCCTATGACTTGATGACTTGGAAGTCACGTCATGTGGACAAATCAATTCCAGGAACAGCGAACTGCGACATTATAACTTGGGGATCCTCGTGATTATAAAGTCTCATGCTCCTGCTGATCTATCGTCAATTAATTAACATCAAACCACTTTGTTCTCACTTTTATCCCACACTTCAATATTTCCAACATGCTCGGACGCGCTTCGGGGCCAGCAGTACGGTCTGCCAGACAGCAATTGCAATCTAAAGCTCGCTTCATCAAACCTCGCTTCCAATCCACCACATCCAATGCCTCTTCCGCTGGTACTAGTCCCGCATTAGTTGGCGGTCTTGCTGGTGGCGCTGCCGCCTTCATTACGGGTTACACCTGGTACCGGTTCTCTGGAGTCAAGACCGTGGTCGACACCAGCAAGCAGACACAAGCATACATCGACCAGGCTAAAAAGACCATTGCCGAGAAGACACCTGAGCCAAATGAGGCGTACCGCTGGTTGAGAGATACCGTGAAAAGCTATGCTGCCTTCATCCCTGGCGCACGCGACTATATCGACACTGCATTTGACGACCTCGATAAGATCAGAAATGATCACGGCTCCGAATTCGATGAAATTGTCAAAAACGCATATACTGAGCTGAAAGATCTCCTCAAGAAAGAAGGATTGAATATCGACTCGGCATCCAAGACTTTAAGTGTGCTTCAAAAATATTTGAAACAGCTGTTCGATCTTGCTGGCGACGCCGCGGAGAATGTTCTCGACGGTCACCCTGCACTTAAGGAGAAGATCGGTGGTTCCTTTGATCAATTAAAGGAAATGGGGGATGCCTATGGGCCTCAAGCGAAAGAGGAGATCAACCGGACCTGGGAACAAATCTCCAGCATTGTGAAACGCGGCGCAGATACTAAGTCAATTGATGAGATCAAAAACCTGATCCAAGAAAAGAAGTCAAAGCTTGAAAAGCTAGGGGCTGAGACATGGCAAAAAGGTCTCGAGGAGTCCAAGCAATATCTCGATAAGAGCCCCAAGCTCAAGCAATTGGTGGAAGACAATGCCGATACCTTGAAGAAGGGCAATACTAAAGATCTGTGGGATCTTGTGAAGAAGAGCGCTTCTTCGGGGAATATGGAGGAAGTGGAGAAGTACATCAAAGAGAAGGCCGGTCAAGCGAAGGAAAGCGGCCTAGGTGACTTGGACAAATGGCTAAAGACGGTGCCTGGTGGTTCCGGCGCCATGTCTCAGTTGCAGTCACTACAGGCTATCGCGCAAAACAAGGGCAGCGAGGCTGAAGACGTCTTGAAAGAGACTGTGGAGGAACTTCAGAATGTGCTGAAGAAGCGAAAGGAACAGATAGAGAAGATTGCCAAGGAGGCAAAGGAAGAGAGCAAATAAGTAGTTTTTGTATATACCATTATACCGATAGCCATATGTATAATCAACGGAGTTAACGGGTATTCTATATGGGAAATGGCGAACTATGTAAGGCAGTAGATTGACTGTCCTATAATGAAATTATCCTAACATATTCTGAGACGACATTTTACCAAAGGTGAACACTAATTTACACCGATTCATTCAAGGTATATAGATAGATGTGAGGCCCCTTTCACTTTCATTTGATCAGAATAGAAATTAACTGAACCAATCCGGAGACAAAGCCGGAAGATGACGTAATCCGAGGGTCAATTCCCGGAGAAGCGGAGAAACGGAGAAGGTGGGATTCCAGCGCTATTTCACGAACACCCCGTCCAAGCTGAATGAATATGAACTCAACTTGCAATGACGTCTAGGCTGTCTGACTTTCTCAGGGTAAGCATTACTCTAAGTCTACTCGAAGTTATGCTCATGGCTCACTTTGAACTTTGAGAGTCCCAGTGGACCTTTCCGATAGGCCGCCATCGACAGGAAGGCATCAGATTACAATCTCGCGCCTCTCACGAAACAGTTGAAAGAGAGCCATTTATAGTAGATGGAGAAACTCTTGAGCAAGAGGAATTTACAACATGGATAATTCGGAAGTCACTGCGCCTATGTACCGATATACATGAATTCATCATTTCAGAGCAGGGAGTGGGAATATTCAAGTGCAGCCTCGCATATCTACTCGCATCCCTAGCAGTTTTCATACCAATGGTTGGGAATCTCTTGGGCCATCAGAACGGGAAACATTTGGTTGCGACGATCACAGTCTACTTCCATCCAGCAAGGTCGCAAGGCAGCATGTATAAAGCACTAATATGTGCCTTCCTCGCCTTTCTCTATGCGGCAAGCCTCTCGCTATCGAGCATGTGGGTTACAATATTTTTTCAGAGAAAGCACGACATGATTGAATTCGGCCATGCTGTGGTGCTGATAATATTCGTTGCCGGTGGATTTGGGTTCATTGGATGGACCAAACAGAGACTGAACGATCCGTTAGTCAATGTTGCCTGCTCTTTGGCTTCGCTGGCTTCGATAATTGTTATTACCAGGGAAGGCGCTATTCAAAGAGGCACCCTTTCTTTCGACAAGATATCCCAGGTCCTGAGAATGCTCATTTTAGGCGTCGGAATTTCGGCAGCTGTGTCGCTGTCGATACTGCCTCTTTCTGTGCGGAAGAAGTTCCAAGGGAATCTTGCAACTCTAACAGACACAGTGACGTTGCTGCTTATAAGTATCACCGATAGCTTTGTTTGCGGGTCGAACGACGAGCTTCTAACAGTAGAGTTCATCAATCTCTCTGCACGTCATGATAAAGCCTTCTCTCAAATGAAGAGCATAATGGAAGATGCAAAGCTTGAGCACTATGTTGCGGGAACAGCATCGGAATATTGTCTTGAAAGGCGCCTTGTGTGTTTATTGGATGACATCAACCATAGCCTGGGCAGCCTCCGCAGCGCCGGAGCTTTACACTCTACATTACTCACACGGGCCAGATGTTCTGGGCCAACACAGATTCGATGCCCAGAAACCAATCTGTCTGGTTCTACCACCATAGAACGTCCAAGGCTAGTCAATCAGCCACAACCTGTTACAAGAACAGACGTGGACCGCTACGAGGCGCAAAAATTACAATTTGCACCTGATTTCCAACAGGACGCACCTTCAAGCCAGTCTGGAGATCTTTTTAAATTAACGTCTACGCTCAAAATTCCTATGGTGAGAGCAATGCAAATCTCATCAATTTCTGACCCCAGTGTGATCTGATATTTAACAGCTCCTTCTGGCTTCTACTATGCGAGAAATTTTCAAAGAAGTGTGTTTTGGACCTGCTCCCGACTTCAGGATTTTACATAATGGTGGCGCTCGCTTCCGTATCGATGAGGCAGTTAGGACATACCGAGAAGATCGATTGTCCACTCTGTCTTTGCTTTCTCGCGAAAAGGAGATAATCTGTCTTACCCAGGAGAACAAAGCTGGTCTTGAAGAAATTCTGGCAATCTGCGATTACTTTTCCGTGTCTCTCCTCAAGTTGAGTGAGCAGTTGGAACAGTTTTTATCAATTTTGCAGGAGCTGCAAGTCGAGGTTGATGAAAGACCACACGAACAGTCTTGGGCCTGGATATATACTTCATGGTGGCGGTATGATCATCAATGTAAGGGACATATTTTGCATGACTCTCTCCTGGGAATTATTCGGGAATTATTTTGCTGATTGGCCCATATCTAGCCCCTTCATCTCATTATCGCACCGCAGACAATAGTACAGTCACGACACACATTTCAAATCCCACGGACCTGCTTGAATATCAGCTCCTTAGACAAACGCCATACAGAATTTCTGGTTTTTTTCGCACAGATGAAATCAAGTTCGCTCTCAAAGTAGGGATCGGAGCAGCACTCTACGCCTTGCCCTCATTTATATCCTGGACGCGACCACTCTATCTGTTTTGGAGGGGAGAATGGGGCCTTCTGTCATACATGTTGGTATGCTCAATGACTATTGGTGCATCAAACACCACGGGGTATGCTCGGGTTCTCGGTACATGTCTTGGGGCCCTCTGTTCGATAGCGGCATGGTACATCACCGGAGGACATGCTTTCAGGCTCGCAGTGGTCGGTTTTTTTATGGCCCTCGGGCCATTTTACATGATCATTGTAAAGGGCAAAGGCCCTATGGGCCGTTTCATACTACTAACATACAACCTTTCCGTGCTCTATACTTTCTCTTACTCGCAAAACAATAGTAGCGAGCAGGATGACGGGGCCGAACACCTCGATATCACCGAGATCGCCATTCACCGAGTCATATCTGTCATCTCGGGCTGCATTTGGGGTATCATCATCACACGCTGCATCTGGCCCATTCGTGCGCGGACAAAGCTCGATAATACTTTACATCTACTGTGGTCCCGTTTAGTCTTGATTTGGAAATCTGATCCATTGAACGCGATGACCTTGGCAGACGCAGGCATCCCTGTTCACTACATGAACTCTCGCGATAGAAGCGAGATTGAGCACCTCCTTTCACGGCTCGAGCATGTTCAGGCATCGGCGCGCTCCGAATATGATTCAAAGAGCCCTTTTCCAGATGCCGCATACAGTAACATCATTTCCCGGACAAGGACCATTATAGACTTTCTTCATTCTATGAATCTCATTCTCCTTGACATTCCTGCGCCATCGGAAGAGCAGATTTCATTTCTACGATCTACTACCACTATTAGACAGCAACTGTCCGAGCGCATCGGTCACCTGCTAGCTGGTAAGTCTTGGCCAAAAAGGATTCAGTTGGAAATTGGCAAATGAAAGACATGGTTATATCATTGCTGACATTGATTATAGTTATGGCTTCGTCAATAGCGCTTGAGAGTACCTTCAGCGAAGTTCCATCAAATATAGAAGAATTACGGGACCAGCTTCTGGCACAAATTTTTTGCTATCGCCAAGAACGAATGTCATCTCGTTCGACTAATGATAATGACTACGTTTTACTTCATTCCTTCGGTAAGAACCCCAAATTCCTAACCTCTGCTATTCCTTAGGGTGCGTTATTAATTTCTGACCAATGATAGTTATTGTTACCAAGCTATTGTCAGATGAGATATTTGAGATCATGATGGAACTGGGCCGCATTTTCCCAGTCCCAATTGATGAGGTCTCTCTTTATGTAGATACAGTATAAGAAATAAGATGGCCCTCTTGACAGGTGTTTTGGTAAAGCTTCAGACGTTGGCGGTAAAAGTCCCCGAGCCCAGGGTTGATCAATGCCTAAGGCTCGGGAACCTATCCGAAGATTAGCTCGCTAAGCTTCTTACCGCCCAAGTTTCCACCAAGTCATAACATAGTAGTAGCATGAGTAGCCTTATGCAGTCAATTTGGAGCCTCTCAATCTCTATCTTTACAATAATTATCCTAGTTCTCTATACTATGATGAACTGATAAGCTGTCTCCTAATTCCAACATCAGATACTGCTACTCTCATTTAGCCAGCAAGATTTTCAATACGGCCATTCTATAGTAGGGAAAATCCATCATAATTAACGAAAAAAAAATAGCTATTTGCTTCAGAGATATAAGAAGTAGAGCGTCTAGGACATACACCTCTTCAGCTACTTCTAAGACTAATAAATGTCAATCAATTTTTATCCTCTATAAGAAATTACGTAATTCATAGGCGAGCGGCGCACACAAGAGAGTGGCGTAGTCTGCCAAACGATAATAACTGACCAGAAGACAAAGACAAATGAGAAAAGCGTCAAGCCCGCATAAAGTGTCAAAAATATGCAAAAACGCACCCCTGACGCCACCAACAAAGGGAATATAATACATAGAGCAGCCATGGCAGGACAGAGTATTATAACAGACCGGACCAAAATAACACCTCTTTGCGGCCCAATGAGCCCAGTGACCTAGTTCTCGGCCTTCTTAGTAGCTTTCGTCCTCAACTTCATCATCAAGAACACCAGACCGTATATACCAATCACAAAGGCCACAACAATTCCGGCATTTCTCCAGCCAAAATACTCCTCTGCAAGATTCAGGGTCTTGAGGTAGTCTCCACCAGTGGCGTACTGGCAAACGCGGCAATCGGCATTGGCGCTGGGATTGAGGAGGTGTGTTCCTACCCCCATGCCTTGCTGGTAGGTAGCAAGGTATTCACGACAAGTTCGATTGACTGGTGGATCGAACAAGGCAATTTCATCAGAAGTGCATGTGATGGGCTTGGACCATGTCGTGAAAACAAGTAGCGAGCTCATGAGGTAGTTGAAAGGGTCGATATAGTACATCCTATAACAAAAAGCTCAAGTCAACGAATGAAGACGCAGTGGGCTTGAAGCCGCAAAGACAAGAGATGCGTACCAATATTTCCAAAATGGTTCAATTTGGTTGTAAGGAACCATGACACCACAGAATGAGACAAGGGTCGTGATGAGGAGAGGGTTGACAAGGGACGCGAAGACTGCATTGGGAGCGTAGGCGGCAATCATTTGGCCAATACCAGTGTACAGGCATTCGTACATTACCTGTGAAGTCTCGTCAGTTGTTTTGTTCAAATACCGAGCGTAGTAACATGCCAAAGACTTACCACAACAAAGAAGACACTGCCAGCGTTGCCAGGCGCAGTAGGTAGTCCACAAGTAAAATACCAACAAACATAATAGAGTAAGGCACAGAAAATCAGGTATGGAATCTCAGAGATGATAAGACCCGCGACGAAGGGAGCCCAATGGTACATCTTGCTTTTCTTCTCTCGCGTCTCATAAATATCGCGGCGGTCAATGAAAAGAGGCTGAAGTTGGGCGATCACTCCAGGCGCCACGAATATAAAATTGAAAACGGTGAAAAGGTTTTTCTGTAGATCTATGAGCCGATCCTTAATCATCCAGAATGAGAAGCCGTTGAGTAGCGCTAAGCTGATATGCATGGCAAACTTGTTATCGATGTATTCGGTGTTCCGATATAGTGAAATATTCATACGGTGGGTCACGAGCTTGACCTGAGTCCACATTGAAGCTGCAAATTCGTGCCCGTCGTCAATGGTACCAGAGGCTCTAGCAGCTCCTTCAGTAACCATTATGTCTAGCTCGGTTGTGAGCTGGTCGTGCTCTGGTGATTGTAACCAGACTTTGTTCCAATCGATATTTTTCGAGGCAGCCCCCGATACCACGTCGATCATATGCTCAGCAGGGTTAGCTTCTGGCGGGCAAGGTGCGCCATGTTTGGCAAAATAAGCCTTGACAGTACTGGCGTTGTCTCCAATGTCGCCGAAGTACACTGTTTTCCCGCCTTTGGCAAGCAAAAGGAGTGTATTGAATTGTGCGAAGAGCTGAGCAGAGGGTTGGTGGATCGTGACCAAAACGGCTTGTCCAGCTTCGGCAAGTTTTTTTAAAAAGCGAACAATATTGAACGCAGCCTGGCCATCAAGGCCGGACGTAGGTTCATCCAGAAAGATAAGAATGCTGGGTTTTGCAACTAGCTCGACGGCAATAGTCAAACGTTTGCGTTGCTCAACGGATAAGCCAGCCCCAGGACGACCAACGAGCGTGAACTCGAGATCCCGCAATTCCAGGAGGTCAATTATGGTGTCGACATAGCGTAACTTCTCGTGGGTAGGTGTATCACGGGGCTGCCGTAGAAGGGCCGAAAAATCGAGGGCCTCACGAACGGTTGATAGAGGCTCGTGCACGTCCAATTGTTCCACATATCCAGCGGAGCGTTGAAATGAGATAGGAATTGGCCGACCATCAACCAACACCGATCCATGGATAGTCCCGTCGGTTTTGCGCTGGGCAAGCACGTCAAGCAGAGTAGTCTTGCCCGCACCAGAAGACCCCATAAGTGCTCCGAGCATACCTGGTTTCACGTATCCTTGGACATTGTCAAGGAGGACTCGGTCTCCCGAAGGCGTTTTGACGGTATAAGTAAGGTTTTTCCAGGTAAAGATGCTTCGATTTTCGTTGATGTCCTTTCCGATGGTCTCTTGAGATTCATTTTCTCTGGATTCTGGCAGAGACTTTGTAGACGCCTGCGACTCTTCATCGCTAAGAAATAGATGCTTTGACTTGTACTGCTGCTCTCGAGGAATAAGAAGACTGCGAGCTCCCTCCCCGGGTAGTTTCCATCGGGTGGTAAAGAAGATGGTCAGCGCGACGAATAAGACCCACCACGCGCAGATGATACCAAAGTTGCGCCAGACATGACTATGGCTGAACGACATTGATGCAAGATAGTCGCGACCAGTAACACTAGTAGCACCGGGTAAAGCGCCACCGACTCCAGCACATGATTGACCACCTGCTTCTGCAGTGTAACCAGGGCCATTTGGTATGAGATTTGGTCCAACGCAGGGGATGGTTGACGAATGGAACTCGTTGGCAAGAAGTGATTCAAATGCATATGCCATTGGGTTGATCCAAAACAGCCAAACAAACCATGGATGCATCTCGGGCTTGATGATCATGTAGCCCGTGTAGACAAAACATGCAACAATCATCAAACCAGAGACCTTAGTAGCGGCGTCAAAGGTGGGGAAAGCGGCACCGATTAGTCGAAATAGAGCTGTCATAGACATCGCTGTCATGAAATTGGTGATCCAGTAAGTGAAGAAGGCTTCGGCGGTGCGGTTCAATCCGACCATGAAATAGAGAACAAGGCCAAAATGTGACACCTGAAATAGCAAGACGGGAAGGTCTGCGACGATCTGGGAAATGCAGATCGCAGCCGGGTGATAAAAGGCAAATGAACGGTGTTTGGCTAGAATAGGTCTTCCAGTAAACGAGTCTGTGACTTCGGAGAGAGCAATGAGGGCGTTATATAGGATGGAGAAAAACAGAGCACCACCCTTAAGGAACAGACCAACTGAGTTATCTGGAGCGTTGTAGAACAGTGATCCGCCTAGCAGGGCTTGAATGACTGTGGCGGCTTGTTTTATGATCAGCGTTGATTTATCACCCCATATGATTTGATATTGCCGGGTGACAGAGGCTTTGATTTGAGAAAAGAAGTCGGTAGTGACAGGTGAAGACTTTGACATTCCTCGATGCTTTTCCCGAGCGACCATCTCCTTGAAAACAGCCGTGTTTTCCGCTGCCTCTGTGCTTTCTGGATAGGAGCACTCGGCTAGCATATGGGACTTAAGCTTATTTGATTCATAGGCAGCACGAATCGCATCAGAAGTCCGAGGATATCTGTGCTCATAGCCTGATGCAATAACACGCTCTGTTGGAACGGTCACGCCAGTGAGGAAATCTGCTCGATTGGAACCAGAGTCGCGCCTGAACCCAAGGTCTTCCATGAAGGGCACTGCCTCTTTCTGTGGGCCATAAAAGATCTGCTTTCCCTCGTCAAGGACAAGGACCTTGTCGAAATGGTCATAGATGCCATTGCCTGCCTGGTAGAGGGTGACAATAGAGGTGAGTCCAAGAATATCGGTCATAGTTCTGATTGCCTTGGTCCACTCCAGAGCTGTACTTGCATCAAGACCACGCGTGGAGTTGTCCCAGCAGAAGACGCTTGCTCGGGTTGTTAAGCACTCAATGATAGAGACCCGTTTTCTCTCTCCTCCAGACACTCCTCGCGTGAATGCATCTCCGACTTTAGTCGATTCGGTATGCGAGATTCCCACCGACCGGAGAAGAAACTCCTTGTTGAGCTGAGAGTATTCCTCCGCTGACTTTATTCCTGGCGGTAGGTTGTAAGGGACTTTCATACGGGCGGCGAAGTCAATGGTCTCGCCGACGGTCAATGTTGGGAAGAAGATTTCCTCTTCCGTGTTCATGATGATCTGGCCGCGATACTGCTTGGCTTCTTCGGCAGGCATGGTTCCAAAGGTAACCTCCCCGCTCACTTCGGCATAGCCACGACGGTTGTTTGAAAGGAGGTTGAGCAGTGTTGTACATCCCGAACCGGGGCGGCCAAGGACGAGCAGCATCTCGCCGGGCTTGACACAGCCAAAAGAGTTGTCGAGAATTGTCTTCGTGGGAGCTTTTGTGCCGCGATTCCCGAATAAGTTGAATTGGGAGAGGGCGTTCTCGTTGAATGTAGCGTCGCTGCTGACACCTTTGACGGTGAGGTTTTGCCAACTGACTCCAAGTTTCCGAGATTTCTCGCCATTCCTCTCATCTCGCTCTTTCAAACAACGCAGTTCGTCGGCCATGTGCCATTTCTGATTGTCGGAGGGCACCTCTTCTGTCAGCTTGTGCGCGGCATCGAGGTTTTGTGTCAGATCTGGTGATTTCTCCAGATTTTCCTCCTGGTTGCTCTCGGTGCTTGTCGTGGAGACAGCCATTCGTTTCTATCTCTTGGTGCGGCAGAAGTGCTATAGGCGAAAGAATATATACATGAACTGGGCCCATCAGGTCAGTATCTGCAGATATTGAAGAGCTCGAGGGAGATTGCAAAAAACGAAAAGGAACCTTGAAAATATAAATACAATGCTTAGGGGAAAGTTGCTTGAATAAATATGTTCTGCAATCTCTACTGAGCTCTCCCAGGAACGAAAAATTTAAGCATAAGTTGATCCAATGTAATCATTCCGTCCAGGAAATTGGCTGATCGACACCTGGTACCAAATTGGTGGTCCAGGCTAAGCAGATCCAATGTAATCATTCTGTCCAGGAGTTCGGCCGATCATCATTCGGTGCAGGAGTTCGGCCGATCAACACTTGGTACCAAATTGGTGGTCCAGATTTAGTCAATAAAGCTGCGGAATGATAAATAAACATCCTCATGAGGACCTTATACGATTCATTTCTCGGGGCAGCGGTTGCTAAACCGACTGTCAAGCTAACCCGGTCGAAGAGGTACAACTCTGTCTAGACAAGGAAAATTTCGAACTACGTGATAATACTGATTTATCCTTAAAACGATTTGCCCGTGCTTTGTTTTCTCAATTAGATTATGAGTCCTAGGGCGGATCGGGGCATTAGGGGGGCGAATTTCCGATTATTCAACAACACCGCATTCAGCCCCGAAAAATTTGACGTAGCTCGGGATGATGAATAAACCGCCCGGGTGGGCTTCTTGGGCCCCCCTTATCTTGCCGCTCTCTCTATTTTCAAATTATACAATCTCAATGATTCCATGAGCTGTAGACTATCGAAAATCCACCAAATGATGGAAGAAAGCCGGGAAATGATCGGAGCGAACAAGAAAAGACATCCTCGAAACCCCAAAACCCAAGCAACACTTGAGGTGGGTCGATCTCAAATGAAATATTCTCCTAAATGGCTAATTTGCTTTAGAGGCGCCGTGAACAGCTACGCAAGGCACAGCAAGCATATCGCGCGCGGAAGGATGTCACCATTGACAAACTGCTAAAGCGCGTCCACAAGCTTGAAGGAAGCATTGAGCAGTTTAGCAAGTCGTTCCTCTCTTTCACTAGTCTTCTTCTAGAGAACCGCACTCTGCTTGACCAGCATTCGCATGTCACTTTAGCCCTTCAGAACATAACGCAGCAATATCTTGCACTTGCTGAGACCGGCTGTACGAGCTCTGATGAAAGCGTTGTCGACAAGGCTGCGACTCCACTTTCATCTATTGCACTCGACAAGAAAGAAAGATGCAATTATAAACGCGCAAAGATACCGTCGAACAAGACGCCTGCTACTGGATTCTCCTCGACTCCGGTAGACTCGGCTGAGATGCCACCTATGAATACGCCACCACCGAGTTTCAGTATAGCTCCATCCGTTATTGATTTTCCGATCACGCCTTCAGAGTCACTGGCCGACACCCAAACATTCTTCCCCAGTAGTATTATCAAGACAGAGCAGTGGAATTTCTCATAGTACTTAGTCAAATAATGTTGTGAGAATGGGTATCAGCTCCTTGTCAACACTCCGAGCGACTTCGTGAAAATTCAAGAGGTTTTAGGGCAAGTCTTGCCAAGAACCAAGCGCCACGACTTCTTTTCATGCTTCCAGGCTGGAATTCATGACAAAAATGGGCACATTATTGATTCCATGGCTACTATACTTGTCCCGCTGCATTATAAGAGTTTTTACCACCCTTTCAAAGAGGCTTCATTCCATACTGAGGATCTGGGATCGGCCATCGCTCCTGAGACTAGCGAATGGCTAGACGCAAGAGGTGTGCACAGATTACTCACTGAAGGTGGATTTTGCAGTCATGCGCCATTATCACGCTTGAGCCCTAGATTTTCGCCGCATATTCTGGCTTTTACACAGTGTGAGTATCTAGTGAGACTCATATTTGCTTAAAAGCTAATGCATATAGATCTCGCTACCGAGTGTATTTGCTTCGGACATGGTCCAGCATTTCGACGTCAAGTTGTTCAGACCGCATTACGCCTCACAGGAAGATCATAAAGTCATTATACTACCTATACGGATTTCAGAGTTAGAAGTATCCTCCTTCAATGTGAGTGGTATGATGTGTTTGTTTCGTTGATCATGAACTTCATCAAAACCAATTTCAAAATCCTGTTCCTCGTGTGGCTTGATAGACTATTTAATTTCTTAAGGATAAGATATTCTGTGTGATATTTGTTATTAAAAGATGCAAATTATCGGTAAACACAGCTTTTAGCGTCAAACTTCACCTGGACCCTTGAAAAAATGGGGCGAAGAAAACACTTCCTGATTAGGTAACGGATTTCACAAGCGTATGGGCCACACAAGCGGGTGGGCCATCTCCAAACACCATAGTAAATGCGATAAATTACAACTCATTTTCTCAACAGTCACTCACATGGGGCTTCTCCTTGAAGTCTAGTTCTTTCTTCATATAATATAGTCTCTTTAAAAAGTTTTGAGAATTTCATGGCTTGGTGACTTGAATATATATAACTCATCGACTTGGACATGTAATTTTCGGTAGCGTGATTTTAGAAGAGTTCGATATATTCGAGATCAAAATACGCTTCAAACAACACTTATCAATATCTATCGGCAAGTGATGGAATGGAGTGAGAAAGTGGTTGTTGGGATATCTGAGTACTGAATATTACGTTTACTATGGTGTTTTGAGGTGGCCCACCCGCTTGTGAAATACGTTATAGCAAGTGTCCCGCCGACTTTAAGTGTCAAGCTGACATACCTGACGATGGGCATAAATCACGTGATTTGAATCACCGGTACATCTAGACCTCGCCAAGCGTGGGTTTGGGTTGGGTTTTCATTTTCTTTACCCGCCCACGGGTAGCCCACCGCGGGTTTTGGCCTTCATGAACCCGCCCGTGGGTTCTTGGCGGGTACCCGTGGGTTACCCAAAATACCCAAATATATGGCTAAATCGCGAATAAAACTGATTAGTCACTGTGTGTAATTTTTGTATTTTATAATTGTCACGCTTTTGGCTGTGTGTTACGCTCAAATACTGCCCCCTCATCATGTGTCAGAAAATATATATATATTCTGCTTATCTCGAGGTTTCTCTTGACAGTCTTTCTGTATCTCAAGAGATCTCAAGCCGTATCGATGAGCTTATGAAAGTTTAATGGAATCCAAGCTTACTGCGTTGTATTCATTCGATTATATTCAACTTGACGCACTTAAAATTAGCCATTGGAATGTTCTCAGCGTCCTCAAGTCGCGCGGGTTTTGGGTTGGGTTGGGTTTTGGGTACCCGCGGGCTTACGCGACTCAAGAATAGATAGATCCAAACGCACGACGCGACTCTAACAAAAATCCACATTCAAGCACACAAGATGGATATTTTTATCTTCAACTCCGATGGCACAAACCATCAACATGGCGGCTTCTTCCTCGTCATCGCAATCAAGGTATCAGGCTTTCAGCCCTCTGCTCTCTATTGAGCCATCGTCTGACGTTTTGTTGGACTCGGATATTCAGTCTTCTGTATGAGAACAAATGCCTCCTTCGTGTGCTTGATTGACTATTGCGAGACTCCCCACTGGTATGCTAAGATAGCCTACAGCCTTTCACCGAATCCCGCGAGAGCTACGACATAAATACTCGAAGACCTCCGGCGACGCTAAGACGCGTGGGACCTCAACGCAGAAAGAACTGGATTTTGTACGAGTTATACCTGGAGAGAGAATTTTTAGGATGGTGGGAGAAAACCGAATATGGCCACAAGCTAAACGGGGACGGTCAGTCCCAAATCAAGTGGTCTACCGAGTCGCGTCATGCCGACGCTTGGAAACACTTTGACCAGGTAGCCGATATCGATTCTGGGCGCCCACGAGTCCTTTGTAAAGCCTGTCTTACTTTGCTTGATCATCCACAGTACAAAGGCAATGGGACAAGTGCTATGAGTAGACACCAAAAGTCAAATTCCTGCCGTAAGGGAAAGAAAAGAGGATCTCATCAAACACTAATCCCCGATTCGTTGCAAAACCATTCCATGAGGGAGTCGGCCAATGTGCACAAGGTAACAACATTCCAACTTGAGGAGCAGTTGTTAAAGACTATTACCTGTCTTCGGTTGCCATTCCAAACAGTGGAGAACCCTGTGTTCCAGAGGCTGCTTAACCTCGTAAATTCGGGAACTGGAGTACTGGAACTTCCGTCAGCAAAAACCCTGCGAAGGCGACTCCGGAATGCAGTTACAGTTCAACAGGAGTCGCAATTGCAAGATCTGCCTGAAGACGCTAAGGTGTCACTCGCGTTGGATTGTTGGACCAGTCCATTCCAGCAAGCATTTATGGCAATCACAATCTATTTCATTGACAAAGATTGGAATTACCGAGAAATGCTCCTTGGCTTTGAACCATTGCACGGTCCCCACACAGGGAACAACCTCAGTGATGTTCTCCATCAGTTACTGAAGGAACGTGGACTCTTGGATCGCATCTTTAGCGTCACGACAGATAATGCGTCCAACAATGAGACGTTGATCCGCGCTTTGCAAGAAAAACTGATCTCTACTGGCGCGATTGGCTCCAGGGAATCCATTATCCGGGTTCCTTGTATGACCCATGTGATCCAGCTTTGCCTAAAGCAGCTTTTGGGGCATATTAGAGCAGCGCCCAAGAACAAAGAAGTAAAGACCTTTTGGTCTGATACTCAAGTCATCGGTTTAAGAGACTCAGCAAGCCACGGAGATGTGGCTCATACCCTGGCAAAGGTGAGTCTGGAGCTTCCACGAATGACTGTAAATATGGGCGGAGTACTGATCAAGGCAGATTCGGTCATTTGCGGTATTTGTCAATGCAAGCCCACAACGGCGAGATACATTTTTATGTCTTCAATCAGGCGGAACCCGGCTGTTTCCGTTGCACGATGTTCAAACACGCTGGAACTCCACTTTTTTGATGCTTCGCCGTGCGCGTCGACTAAGAAATATCATCGACAAATACTGCGACGATCATGAATACTCTCAGTTCAAGATTACTGACATTGAATGGCGGCAAATTGACTATCTAGTCCACTTGACCAAACCGTTCTTTCAATTCACCATGGCTCTAATGAAGACCAAAGACGTGACAATTCATAGCGTGTTCCTTGTGTATAGGAAACTTCTGGAGCATATCGAACGGTCAAATCGAAAGTTGAAGAAAAAGACAACGCCTTGGAAGAAGGACATGTATAGCGCGCTGCTCGTTGCGAGGCAGAAACTGAGAGAGTACTATGAGAAGACCTACCGTGACCACGGCTTTCTCTATGGCACGGGAGCTCTACTTGCTCCTCAATATAAACTATCTGCCTTTGATGACAGGGAGTATTCTATTTGCCACGAGGATACTTCGAAAAGGTACTGTGAATACTTGAGAGCGTGTTTCACGCAGTATCAACAACAAAATCCTGAGCTATTGTTTCGTACAGTGCATCGTTCGTCGGCACTGCATAGTTCAGAACTTGATCGGCTACTTGAACCAGTTAATGACTATATGCTCCTCGAAGGGGTAGAGCATGACGAGGTGGATCGGTACCTCCGAGAAGGTATGGGCAACTGGCATACTACACTTAGACCACTAACTGATTTCTATAGCAAATGTTCCCGTGCCACCACGGCTCTATTGGAGAGAACATGAGCGTGAGTTCCCTGTGCTTTCTCGGCTGGCACGCGACTTGCTTTCGGTTCCGGCCACCGGCGCGGGGGTGGAAAGGCTTTTCAACAGTGCGCGAGACATCTGTCATTATCGTCGAGGGTCTCTTCATGAAGTGGCTATTCAAGACTTGATGATGTATATGTGCTCAGAGAAATTTACACTGGAGGGAGAGCAGTTAGCTCGCCTGGAAAAGTCGACGGAGATTGAGGGTCAAGAGACAATTGAAGAGGATGAAGCATTGAAAGGAAATGAAGAGGATGCTGAGCCGATCAGTGACAAGGAAGAGGTCGAAGAAAGTGAAGACATCGAAGGCAATTTGGAAATCGAGGCCTCATACCCAGTTGAAAGTATACTGGTAGAGGCTGACCGGCCTTCAACGTACAACCAGACGAACCATGAGGATGGAGACGTAAATGAGGTGGAAGAGGGGGAAGTAATTGAAGTCGATGAAGCTGATTTGCTTCCACCTCCAATAATACAATTGGGCGATAGAAGTCAGAAGAGATCCTCTGGTAGGGTAACGATGCCCTCAAGTCGACTGCATGGGTACGAGCTATATTAGTCTTCATGCACCAATCTCATTCCCTTTGTCTATAATATTTGTTCCCCAATCTCCCCGCTATAGATTAAGATACCCAGACAGTGGCTAAGCCATCACGTAATCTAAAATTACTGCATAATTTAGTGCAAAATGATATGTCAACTATTTTTGCTTTTTCGGGTTATACAGGGTACCCATTTGGGTCTTGGGTCGGGTTTCCCAGATGACAACCCGCCCACGGGTATGCTGACTAAGACCCAACCCAGCCCGTGGTGTTGAAATATCCCGGTTGCTGGGATAATAATGAGGCTGGGATCACGTGCATACTCATATAATTTACTTCTCAGTCACTTGTATCTTAGAAAAAAACACATCCGACACAACACACAATCAACTCCCCTCAATGATATGACCATTGAAGCATCACTTAATAAACCAACACGTGGGTTGGGTTTTCGTGGGTGGGTTTGGGCGGTGGGCGGGTTTTGGCGAGGTCTAGGTACATCATCTCACACATCAGGTGGTCTGCTGACTACGAATACAGGCTGACCAATCAGGGAGCTGGACCCCGCCGTTGACATATGCAAAGGGTCAACGATCCTTAAACACTTCTTCCCTGAGAATCGAATTTCTCCTCATAGTGACGGCCATTCAATTGGAGTTGAAAGTGAATAAATTGTCCCTACAAGATGATAGGGCTCAGCTGGAAGCTTGTGAAGTCCTATCTGCCTCGGGTACGATTTCTCACAGTGCACTATGCCTACTTCATCGGGGTGTCCTTCGTCACCTCCGCCATCTTCTGGGGTACCTCAACTCCGGCCAACAGCGTACGATACATTGACTCATTGTTTTTGACGATCAGCGCCATGACCCTAGCTGGTCTGAACACGGTCAACCTGTCTACACTAAATACCTTCCAGCAGATCTTATTGTTTTTTCTGATAATGTTTGGGTCCACGGTAAGAGGTTATTTCTACATTTCCAGGTCCCTGATCTCAAAGTGGCAATTGACGCCCTCACTTCTGGATTGGAAGGCTAATCAATTAGATCTGGGTCTCGATAGCAGTAATCGCAGTCCGCAAAAGAGCGTTTGAGAAAAGATTTGAGGAGATTGTGCAAGAAGAACGGCTCCGAAGAAAGACATCCCTTAGCTTGAAAAGTGTCGGCCGTCAAATTACCTGGCCACGCCCTCTATCGCAAAAGCGTACGGTATCCATGGAGCCCGATTCGCAGGCGGATAGGCGACGTTCTTCCGCCTCATTTACACTTCCAGCTTCAGAAAATATCTCTTTCCGCCCCACGAGGTCACAGACCAAAAACCAGGGGAAAATTTCAAGAACTAATTCGGCTCACAGAACACAATCTGGCCTACAAGTAGATGATAATCACTCCATGGCCAGAGACGACCCTGAATTTTCAGCGCGTTGCGAAACAGTACCAGATGCAGGTTCTTCTGGCGAGCCAAACGACACCGAAGCTACCGACACTCACATTACATTCCCTCCTAACCTGCGAAATGGCCCTGGAGAAACCACCTCAAGCGGAGTACGCCAACGCATGCGTCGTCCATACGTGAACGTCCAGAGCATAGCAGCTACCCAGCACCAATTAGAGGAAGGCCTATATGGTGAGCATTCTGATTTGGATGACACCAGCCATTTGCACTTTCTACACAAATTCAGCCGCAATTCCTCGTTTCATAATCTGAGTGAAAGAGAACGCCAAAGGCTCGGCGGTGCAGAGTATCGAGCCGTGTCCCTGCTGTCCATTATCGTGCCAGTCTACTTTCTGCTATGGCAGTTGCTTGGTGGAATCGGAGTCGGTGCGTATATTTCGAGAAACCACGCTGCACTGGCTAGGTCGAATGGACTAAATCCGTGGTATGTTTTTATTTTTAATAATTATTCGCAAGCTCCTTTTTAATGTTTGCTTCATTTCAGGTGGGTGGGGTTCTTCTTCGCCATATCTGCCTTCAACAATTCTGGATTGAGTGTGCTTGATGCCAACATGGTAAGTGCCACGAGTTTCTACTTTCGAACCACTTGTTTTGTGGTTAACATTCGTTCCAGGTTCCTTTTCAAAGATCGACGTACATCTTGATCACCATGGGTCTTCTCATCCTAGCTGGCAACACCTGGTAGGCTCCTTCAATATCATTCTGAGACATTTTATCTCTGTACTCATTATTTTTGTGAAGCTATCCAATATTCTTGCGCTGGATATTGTGCGCTATACGTGTGCTTCTGCCTCGCAGCGAGTATTTTCACCATTTTAGACAGACCTTGACGTTTCTCCTGGAACATCCACGTCGATGTTATACGACTTTATTTCCTGCCGCACATACCTGGTGGCTTCTAATGTCTGTGATTGTATTGAATGGGATTAGTTGGGTGGCGTACGAGGTCCTCAATGTCAGCCCGCCAGTTTCTCCTCGGCATCACTTAAAAATATTAATACCTGATTTTAGTACGACAATCCGGCAGTTGATATCATCCCAGTAGCTCCACGTGTGCTGGACGGACTATTCCAAGCGCTTTGCGTTCGAAGTGGAGGCTTCTATATCACCAACATCGCTGCCCTCGAAATAGGCAATCAGGTAATCTATGTGATTATGATGTATATTTCCGTCTATCCTTTCGCCATCACGATGCGCCACTCAAATGTCTACGAAGAAAGAAGCCTAGGTATCTACGCAGACGACCCTTCTTTGGTCGGAGATAGCGATACGGATTCATCGGCAACTTCAAGCTATCTATCGCCCTCACTGGGACGGATGTATTTCCTCCGGCACCAACTCCGCTCACTGATAGCATATGACATATGGTGGATCGCCCTAGCCGTCGTAATCATCTCTATTGTGGAAGCCGGCCAATTCACTCGGGATCCATTGACATACTCTGCTTTCAACATCATCTTCGAAACCGTCAGTGCCTACGGCTGCGTTGGAATCAGTACCGGTCTTCCAAACCAACTCTATAGCTTCTCTGGGGGCTGGCATACATTGAGCAAGCTCGTGCTTTGTGCTGTGATGATTCGAGGTCGTCATCGAGCTTTGCCGGTGGCAATTGATAAAGCCATTATGCTGCCTAGTGAAAAGCTCGCCAAAGCAGAAGAAGAAGATGCTTTGATAAGAATTGAGCGAACAATGAGCCGGACGACTCGATAAAGACTCTGAACAGCCCAAGATATACTACTTCCTATAAATACAAACGTTGGGATCGGCTTGATTCGCAGGTGTTCGTACACACATTCAACGCGGTGAATCAGACACTCACAGCGGGACTTGTGTTGTGAACAAAGTTCTATCTAAGCCACTAGTTTGTATTTCTGAGTTTTCAATTAGTTATGTCAAGGAACATCGACCAAGAGTTCTCGACTAACAAGTTTGATTTGCTCAAGGGTATAAGAGAAGAGGTAGACGATATGAATCTTCCGGTGAGCTTACCTCACTAATTTCTTTACCCGAAGCGATTTTGTACCAGTTTGAGGAGCTTGAACGGACTCTAGAGGTCGATCTTCGACATACTTGGTGAAGAAGAGAACGCTTCAGGCCACTTAGGAAAGTGCACACCAATTTTTGCCTTGGAATTTTCAGCACCTTCTCACTTTCACCTTTTAGCCATGTCATCTCACAGACCGCGCAACTAGAAAAAGAATAGAAAAAGAAAAAAAAAACAGGACAAAAACCAAAAACATACAACAGTCAGGATTCGCATGTGGTCACCCACCATACTACTAACTAACCGGCGTGTGGCTTAAGTACGGCTGAGCGGACGGGAAGCCCTGTTCTCCACACCCTATGGTCGTATGTGCTTTTGTACTATTGGATTTGGACTATATCGTACAGATGTACAGAACTATATACTTTCGGATCGCCAGAAGAAGCAGAGATAGCAGCTTGCAAACTCGATCCTTGAAAAGAATCGAACCGCCCGGCGCAGGGGTTCAGAAGTCGCAAAATGCCAAGCCGGGGAGCCTAGCCAGCCGCATCGGTGTGCCCAAGGTAAGACCGGTCGGCCAGTACCCTTGAACATCACCGGCGATCCAAAGAAGCATTTCCTCTGACTTTGTTCTGTCGGTATTAGCGCTCTGCCTCCACTGGCAATTTCCGTGGCACCAAGCCCAAGCCAGCTCCGGCAACCGCCCCCTCCACACCAAAGAAACACCCCATAAACAACCGTCAACCTAATGCAGAGCGGCTACTGAACGCTCTCCAATCTGGGTCTGGCCAGGCGACAGTCCGCGCTCCCAGGGGTGGCCTGTCAATAAATGGCGCATCCGGCCCCTTCGTCGTGATGGGTAGCAACTTTGCGCCAGGCACCACAGCAGCCGATAGTCAATCGGCTTTGAAGGCCACATCGGATCCAATGCTCACTTGCCGCGTCATCTCGCACAAGCCGACTGTCACCGCAAAGTTCGCGTTTGAGAACAAATGGAATGCTGGGAATGTTGTTGCCAGTCTCCACCACCAGCGGGTAAGGATCAGACGATGAGAACAAAGACAAGCTAGACGCAAATGCTAAATTGAGAATGCAGGCTGACGGACGCTTGCTCTCCATGACTTTTAAGCCCACTGCTTCTGCTGCTCTCACCACCAACCACAATGACCACAGCGACTTGCGAGTACAGGCTGATCGCGAACGCCAGAATCAACTGGCAGGACCCACTGTGCAGGATTGTCGCTTTGGATTTATTGGAAAGGCCAAGCCGTCAGACAAGAAGCAGTCCTCCGGGCTGTACAGTGACCAAATAATGGTGGATGCGGCCACCACGGAGGAATAACAACCAGAATCGGCAGCGGCGCTGATTCTCACAGTGCCTGTGAAGAATGATGAGCTCCGGTGTTTCGTAATATTTGAAATTGCCGTTAGATAGTATGCAATTACAGACGAAATCAGCCAACATTCAACATGTTTGTGCTAAGCCTGGCCCACCAAATTCATCCCTCTGTTCTGATGCTCAATTTCTTGCATCAGTTGCACAATCTTCCGGGCATCATCTCGCGTCCTTTCCATCAGCTCATCTTGCTCATTTGTCCATCGCAGCCGCTTTTTTCAAAATCCCCATCGCTCCATTGAGAACGAAGAGTCTCCCTCCCGTAGATTGCAATCACGAATTTTTGATTTTTCGAGTAGAGACAGATCTCTCTTTCCCACAACCCAAAACTAATATGCCCAGCAATTTCAAAAAACGGTACCATAGCGTCTACATCATTCTAGATGTTATGAGTTACTCATTTCAAATGGAATCGTAGCTTTCCTTTTCACTCACATTCAACATTAGTACGAAATCGGTAGCGCGGCGTGGTTTTGCATGTATCCATGGATCCTGCTCTAGTGCGAACACGATCGCCCGAAATGCCACGCTTAATCCTGTTTGATTAGTGGAATTGGGAGGATAGGCAGCAAGGTGGTGCGCATAGAGAGCGTTGCCGTTGCGGAAGGCATACCCCCCGTGAAGGGATACAGGCCGTATCTCATTTCCCAAAAGCCTTTAATGAAAGGATTAGCATGAAGCAAACTAAGTCTATGAAAATTGATTGCCTTGTGGAACCCTATGAAGATCATGAGGAGGTGGATATCTCGCGTGGTTCAAGCCATCATGCCACGCTGGCAAACGAACGACTTTTTCTGCCGGGGAAGGGGAGAGGCCACCCACGCATATAATTCTTCGACCGAATCTGTTCAAACGCGTTCAACGACCTCCAGGTTTCTAATTTGTCCTCAAGCCGACCAGTACGGATCTGCTCCTCAGTTCTTTCCAACTCGGGAAGCGCGCAAATAGCCTCTACTACCTTGAGAACAGCAGGTTGATAGCGCGGCATCTCGATAGCCTTATCCTATAATAAGTAGGAAACGCGTTCGCCTTTGTCCACGAGATTACTCTGGCGCTCAACTACCACACGTTTCTCGTTAACGAGCGACATTAACTTGCGAGCAGTGTCATCTGCAGACACGGGATCAGTAGCGCCATAGCGATCAGCGAACTCTCGCAAGATTTGTATTTCGTCCAGAGCTGGGAGGTCTTCCTCATCTGGATCAGGATGGGAGAAGTATTCCCACTCGGTGTAGTTGTCTCCCATTTGTGGGACCGTTCCACACTGTTCGGAAATAGGGGGTATGGATGAAGATATCATTCTACGGCTTTTTAATGATTCGCGCCAGTGACTTCAGTCCCGCTGACAGTGAGAAGGCTATCATTTGCTTCAATAATGTTTTCCTTAATATTAATATCAAATCTAATATTAAGTATAAGATGGAATTTGTTATTAATAATAGAAAACATTTTAGAATTTACAATTTAGCTAGCATTATTTTAAAAAAAAAGGGTAAGGTAGATAGTAAGGTCGCGGAGTCTACAGGAATGCACAGTGAATATATATCTTCACAATGCTTATGAATATGACTAGTAAAACAAACACATAACAGCAACAATTACACTTATAATTTATACAAATGTATCCATATTTTCTTTAGGCAATTATGCAGGACATTCAGGACATAGGATGTAAATGGGATTCCTATGGGATCTCGGCAAATGGGAGTTGGACAAAGATATTTTTTTTCGGGTCCCTAAATTTCCAGGTCTACCTCAAGGGGTTTTTGTATATTGTGTGTTGGCATCTCTTGAAAGTCGGGAAACAATTACAACAGATTGATTAAAAGGACCTAGGCTACTTTTTTATACTTTCCCAAAAAGATTGACAGGGGAGGCTAGAAAGCGAGGCTGCACTGGGCCTGATCATCCGCCTAGGTGACGCAGAGTTCATTCCATCTACACAAGGAGGCAAACAAGGTCTTAGAGCAATCGATGACCAAAAGTCATTCCTCGGAGGAAAGACTAGCGTCGGATCTACTCTAGGTACGAAGATCGCCAATGAGTGAAGGAAGCATAAAGACGAAGGAAGTTGTCATGAGATAAAATAGCGGCATATTTCCTGGGCGCAAATCTTCAACTACTGCCAATCAAAACATAGGAAAGTATATGACTCCTGTTTGGGAAGTAGACGGTGTCAAAAGAAAAGAATGTAAGGTGAACGGGTAACTCTCACTTCGGAAGGGCCTAACGATAGGCAGCATGGAATCGTAGAGGTTTCGGAATTTCCTATTGCGATATCGATATATAGGCCACAACTATACGTACTGGATTTATTTATCGGGTGGGGATTGCCTATTCGGGATGCCGCCGCTTTTATGAGTGCGCTCAAATTTAGGCTCACTGAGTAATTTTCAGTCTGGGCTCAGGCTCACTGAGCTGCTCAACAAACTCCCATGATAGAACATTGACGCCCAGTGAGTACCCGTTGATTACTAGGAGGCATTTATTAAATACCCAGTCTACTGCCAGTCTATCCCCGAAGAAGTATAGGTTCCCCATATTGATTACTGGCCCATCAACAATTTAATGGCTCACAAATACCGCACCGTCTATGCTTCATGAGGTGCTTAATCTCCTATCTCCTCTGCTTATTCCATAGCACCATGACCTAAATTTAAAACATGCCAAAATGGATTGTACTAGTCAGCGGAAGAGAAAAGATTCAGTCATCTGAAGATAATGGGATATAAATACAACCCCAAGTCCCGCAGACCAGCTCCAGTTACCCAGCTTTCATATTACTTGCCCTTTTCTCTTTTTTGCCGAATAATTCTGGATTCGCTGCGATAATCATGCCTAAGAAAACTTTTTTTGCTATGATCAATCAATCAAAGAGCCAAAGAGCAAGGCCAGCGACGACGAGCAGACGACGGCTATGTCTTTGGCGCTCATGCGAAAGAAGATTCCATCCGAAAAAAAAAAAGGTTGTCGACAACTAAGGGAATGTACTCGACAGGCTTTGCCCTTATCCTTAAAAGAAGCTATTAGATAAATAAAGATAGTATTCATCTACATATAAATAAGGATATTTCAAAAAAATACAAGAGAGGAGATAGATAGTAGGGTAGGTCGTATATATTTTAACCAAAATAGGGCTAAATAACAGAAAAAATTTCAGATAAGTCATTAGGTTTTGCAAGGAAAATCAGGTAGAAACTAGTAAATTCAGGCACCCACGGGCTTTTTTAGGCCCGTGGACATGCCCGTCACGGACAATGGACATAGGCTCCTCTTTATGGTGGACAATGGATAGGGGTCTTTGTCCATGGACGGCCCGTGCCGAAGTCTAGGAGTGACTGTATAAGGGCCCTAGATTCTAAATGTTATGGTTAATTTGTTCCGGAAGAGGGTTGCGGGGTCGCAGCCAAGTGGCCAAGTCGCTTATGAGCTTTGGATATAAATCGTGGGTCGTGGAGCCGGCCTACGCAGGATTTGGATTGGATGAAGTGAACGCCACAGTCCCCACACCCCATGGACCTTTGAGCGTTGCATGGACGGTGCAGAACAGTGTTGTTACAGTTAATATCGATGCTCCGGCGGGAACAACTGGAAAGCTAATTTTGAGCAAGGACTGGGCGTGCCGGAATGAACTCCTTAGCCAGAATTGTGCTAAGGTCAAGGACTTTGTCCATGCGGTTGAGGGAGGAAGCGTACAGCACTTTACTCACCAAATTAACCCTTGGCCAACTACCGACGGCAGTAGATCTATTTGATGTTGTTTATGTACTAGGCTATGTTCTAGTTCTATACTTCGGCTACTAGGCAACATTTAGAGAACCGAACGATTTATCTCTATCTAGTAGCTAGGATAAACCTCTTCTTATTTAGTAGTATTATTCTTACTTTTATCTCTATTACATAACGCTTACTGGTTATAGTTAGTAAGTATCGCTTATTATAGGCTTATGTGTACTAAGGTAATGCATAACTAGTGACGAGGGGAGTGCTCGTTGGCATCACGCTCTCCGACGCGAAGGTCAATTCAGCTGAGGAAACAACTCGAACAAAGCACGTAGTGGATTTCAAAGATTCAGGTTCTCGAATAAAGGGAACAATACTATAGTAAAATGAATGAAGCTAGTGCCTAACAAAGAGAAATTAAACCCGCCATGTCCTTCATGATAACTATCCAAGTTAGTCATCCACGCTCAGGTCTTCAGGCCTATTACCACCACTCCTCCCCACTACACTAGGTAACTTATAAAAATTTTCCAAGGTTCACCTGAACTTAACATCTGTACTATCCATGTAGCCCAATGCAGGACATATGTCGCATCTATATCCAACCTTGGATATGTCTGAACGCCGGCAGTATTGCACTGGCAGGTGAGCGTCTTAAAAAACTTGAATCTTGTAATGAACCTCGGAAACCTTCAATGCTGTAACCTTGGAAGCAGCTGAGAATGGTGATCTACGTGGAATATCCGACATTAGAAGTGCGTTACTTGTCCTCAGCGCTGGCTTGGAAAACAGGAATGACATTTAGATAAGTTCGCGTTCCATATACGTGAATCCGAGGAAGCGGAAATAAATGAAAGCAGGCGAATTTGTGTGGGTGCGCGGCGATGACAAGGAAGTCGTCAAGGTAAACACTCGGATCCATCAAATCCATCTCTATCAAATCAATGCAACTGGCCACACATATCAGCTACTCGTGTAAGTGGGTCCTTTTTAACTCTGGGGCCCAGCTGAGGCCAACAAACGTCTGCAGAAGCATGCCTGAAACTCAAATTCCAGTCTTCACGTGCAGCAGTCTTATTTTGACCGATTTGGTTAGATGCCATTCTGCTCAGACGGGATCCATCACTCAGGGGTTGCGTGCATCCAACAGTGAAGGCTACTCTTGGTAAAGTAATATTCGAAATCAGATTACCTCTACACTCTTAGACTTTCATTCCCGAACCCCAGCTTGAAACACGCCAGTCTAATATTAGCCATTTCCCATAATCCCTGTCAAATTGTATTGTATTTCTCGAAAACCATGGGTGAGTCATTGTTATATTACCGTAATTTGCCTTGGAGTTTGATAATATCTTTCAGCAAAGAGACCAAACAAAGGGGGACTCCTAAGGATCTAGGATAATTTACGTACTATGACCACAATATCCCGCATGATAGTTTTAGAAGAGCCCTTATCACCAAAGGTTGATCTGAAAAGACAGCCAGAGAGCATGCTAGGGAGCGAAAATCCGATTTGCGAGAGCTGTATCTCCAAATTTCATCATCTAATTTACGTTGATGAATCAGGATGTGACAAGAGGGCTGGATCCAGGCGCACAATCTGGTCAACACTTGGCGTAGCTCCCACGCAGGTATCACATTTCCATCGCGACCAGCGATATTTGATATCAACTGCGTAAACTCAGGATGGGATCATATTCTCGCGTGTTTTCCGCGGTGCAACCGATGGTGCTGTTTTCGAAGACTTTTCATCTCAGCTTCTTCAGCACTGTGAATGATGGCCTCAACCTAATTCTTTGTGTTCATGGATAATACATCTTTCCATCATTCAAAACGGATTACGCAGATGTGCGCGGATGCGGGAGTGAAATTGGTATATCTGCCACCTTACTCACCAGATCTGAATTCGATCGAGGAGCTTCTTGCGGAGCCAAAAGCTTTTATTCGGCGATATCGGCCGACATGCAAGCAGGACTTGGACCAAGGATTTCAAAAATCTCTCTAGTGGTTTTTTGACGTGGTAGAAGCAAGTGGGCAGAGTGCTGAAAGTCACTTTCGGCACATATGCTTGAAGGTTGAGGAGCTGGGTTCTTCGTGAACGATCTTTTGTATCCGGGGATGGATACGTAAACGGATGCGGATAATCACTGGAAGTCGCTATAGCGTAACCTAGCACCGGGGATTGTTATTTAGGCAAGGCACTGACTGGATTCAGGAGGTTATAGTAATCAGTCTGCTCAGGCCCGGCTCACTAAGCATGAACAAGGCTTACGTAAGACTCACTGATCCGATCACTGAGCGGGAGGCCGTGCCCAGATCTGCTCAGTGAGTAAAAGCGGCGAGAGGGTGAGCACTAATCCAGAAAAGGAAGCCAAAATTTGCTCGAGCTGGCAATATACTCGGTCGCGTTCGGCCTAAACAAGTACAATACGAGGATGCTCTACTGATGTATGTTTCGCTTCAGCAAGACTTGATATAGTTGGACAAGTTGCAATTGTAGCTATCCCGTGATCCATTGTTCCCAAGGTGTACACTTTGCTCGGTCACTTCCAAACCCCCGCAATGAGCGTAGGCTCTGCGAGCTGATGAAGAAAAATGTCATTGTCCTCCCAGATTATCAGAATGAAGGAACTATACGAATGAACGAACATAAGATAATTTTTTGTGTGCATGGAATACAATTAACGTCACCACCGTATTTTCACCGCAGTCGGTCGATCAAATTAGTGAGAACCAGCAAGGCTTGCTTGCTGGTCCTGCCTGGGCGACCGCTGAAATGGCTGTTCGGCAGCAGACCGTGCGTCTCTGTAAGATCGGACAGCTGTCGGCCATCACTGCCGTGAGGAATTTGCCGGAGCCGAATCGTAGTGTCGGGGTACATCCCCATGTCTCTCGATGCTTCATGTAGATTGCATTCTTGGGATAATCTTAGCAATTCTCCCCTATTATCCTAGTACTCCATGTCAATGCGCGGCGTTCACAATCGCCGCGGGCCACGGAGCTCACACAAGTGGGGAACGACCGCACGGTTCACGTCTGCCCAAGTGTATTCGCTATTTAGCAGATCTCATGCTCTCACTTGAAAATTTGGTAAAGATAATTTACTACAGAGACAATTTAGCACACTTCCCACTGAAATATCATTTACCTGGAACAAAAAATATGGCGTCTGGAATCAAGACCGACGACCCGAAGATGACGATCTCATCCGAAAACGAGGAACCCCCGACTCTGTATCAAAACATCAACGAAAGAGATCTTCAGCGTAAGACTGAAAAATACCTCCTCAACTACGGCACAAAGTTCAACAAAGATGTCATTTGTGGCAGCAAAGGTCTATACGTCTACACAGCCTCAGGACACAAAGTCCTTGACTGGACCTCAGGCCAGATGTCATGTCTACTCGGCCATGGCCATCTGGAGATCGTGAAAGTAATCGCAGACCATGCAGCATCACTCGATCATCTCTTCTCTGGAATGGTATCTCCTCCAGTTATCAGTCTAGCTGAACGCCTGTCGAACATCCTCCCGCCAGGACTGGACAAAACATTCTTCCTCTCGACAGGTGGCGAAAGTAACGAAGCAGCGATCAAAATGGCCAAGACGTACACTGGCAAGTTCGAGATCGTCGGTCTCGGCGGAAGCTGGCACGGTGTTACCGCACAGGCTCTCGGTACGCAATATCACTTCGGTCGGAAGGGCCAAGGTCCCTTGATGCCGGGGATGTTGATGCTTCCTGCTCCGAATGCGTATCGCTCTGTATTCCGTCACTTGGATGGCTCATATGACTGGGAAGCTGAGTTGGAGTATGGGTGGAATATGGTCGATATGCAGTCTTGTGGATCGCTTGCTGCGTGTATCGTCGAGTGTATCCAGTCTTCGGCTGGCATGCATGTTCTTCCGCCTGGGTATTTGGCTAGGTTGAAGATGGAGTGCGAGAACCGTGGGATGCTTCTTATTGTCGATGAAGCTCAGACTGGTGTTGGTCGTTGTGGTGACATTATGGCTATCACGCATGAAAATGTGGTTCCCGATATTCTTACCTTGAGCAAGACGCTGGGCAATGGATTGCCTCTCAGTGCTGTTGTTACTAGCGCTGAGATTGAGCACGTTTGTGTCGGGCGCGATTACTGCTTTTATACGACCCATGTGAATGACCCGTTACCTGCGGCGGTGGGTGATAAGGTGCTTGAAATCGTTGAGCGGGATCAACTTGTTGACCACGCACGAGAGCTTGGTAAAATTCTACATGAGGGACTGTACAGGTTGAAAGAGAAGTACGGATGCATTGGTGATGTCCGTGGACGCGGACTGATGGCTGGTGTGGAGATTGTTGAGAGTCGCGAAACAAAAGCCCCTGCCACCGCACTTGGGAAGGCTATTGGTGACCGGGCTTATGAACTCGGTGTCTGGGCTAATCTGAGCAGCCACCCTAGCTTTGGTGGTACTTTCCGAATTGCACCTCCGATTACTATCAGCAAGGAGGAGCTTCTTAGAGGATTGGAAGTCATGGAGGAGGCATTTGCTACTACACCAGGAACAATGCCTCTTTAAAAGAGAGGCCAGATGACAATCCAAATTTATATTGCATATGCCATGAATCGATCTGGCTATCGAAGTCCTTCCCAATCAAATATCCTGTAATGTGTCCCAAATACTCGGGAACAGCGCGTCAATAGATCCCATATCCGGGGTAAACTGCCGCGGGGCCTGGATAGTCGAACCATCCAAAGGGAGATTGAGGGGCTGGGAGTTCCGAAGCTTCTCGAGCACTTCTGAGTGCTGAGCAAGACAGATATCTGCAAGATCCCACCCAAACTTCTCTTTATGCGACCTGAGAGAAGACAAAAAGTCATCTGCCATCTGGAGTGAGAGACTTTGCGAAAGTTCAGCTGATTGCTCTGCCTCAAGAGCACAGCGAATCAAGAAAGTCACAGTGGAAACAAAAGTGAACGCAGCTAGTGGAAGCCAAAAATGGCCTAGTTGAGGCGGTTCAAGTTCTTGAACAAGAATCAAAATTTCTTCTGCTGCTCTTCTGGCATCTAGAGTCTGGTTAGCGAGGTGTTGAGGATCATAATCCGGACTTCGCCTTTCTCTGTCTAGAGAAATCCTTCGCACGAGAAGTTTGACAGCAAGATACCCAAGACGAAGGTTCGAGGCACCTTGGACTTCCAGATTAATTCCTCGGGTGACAATCTTGCGAACGTCTCCTGTGAGGGTTTCGATCCATTTGTTGAGTTCAAGATCGAGATTTCGTTCTCGTCCGTCTAGATTGATGCCGTAAACATGCTCAAGGCAGTAATCCAAAACCTCTGTTAGATGAAAAAATGCTATAAAGACCCCATTTGCGTTTTTTTGCGCCCTTTGACAGGGTAAATGCTCCTCGGTTGGAGTGAGAACGTCGTATTGAGTCCGTCGAATATGAGGCGGTGTGCCATATGCCAGACTCGACCTGATAAGTGTTTGTCTTAGATCACGTGCTGTATGTGCTAGAACTTAAGATCTTACCAGCGATCTTGTATCAGTATCGACCACCAAATCTTCATTCTCAGAAGCTTCTCTGCTTGCGGTATGTCCCATGGGTGTGGATTTCGATTTAGACCCAGCGAGTGACAAAGAGCGACTGCCGACCCAAGTTGAATCCCATTGCCAATCATAGAGGTCGTAGGTCGACCACCGATATTGAGAAGTATAGCAATGATAGTTGATGTTCCAGGGGACAGGTGAAGCTCAGAGTAGAGAGCTTCACACGCCAAATTCCATATAAAGCGAAGATCAGGACTTCGTTTTTGTGATAGTTTAGGGTCATATCTCCAAAATACTAGCATATGCGCATAAAGACATGATAGCAGTGCGGGTGAAATCTGGTCTTTAGAGTTGATGTATTGTTCACGAAAGGCTTTCTCGTTAAGAAGTGGGAAGCATGGGTTCACTTTATCCAGATACCTACCAATGCCATGTCAGCCTCTGAACAAGGCTCACTATTTTCATGCCACTCACATGTCAACTAGATGAAGTGACCAAGGCTCGATAAGCTTCTCGATGACCTGCAGCTTTTGCAGGGCAGGATTGAAATTGACCATCATTCCCAGTGGCCGCTTTTGCACTTTCGTAAAAATGATCGGACATGAAGAGCTCCCAGGCTCCACAGGGCGAATTTCGCGCACTCCACCGTTGCCGGCAATGCTAGATAAATAATCGGCTATTATGCCATCATCACCCATGGCAGCTGGCCCTAATATATGTGGGTTTTTATCATCTGCCTCCAATGATAAAGGTGTGGCTTGAGTAGGTTGATCTTGAATCCATTCATCATTATAGGACACTGCATTCCCTATTAAATAGGGGGTATCCGAAAGGGGAGCCGGCTGGAAAGGAAGGACATCAGGTGACGGTTGTGTTTCCAGAGTTGCCTTCGGTCCGATTCCTGCAGCCCCTTTCTGCGATCGATGCGATGTTTTTCGTCGTTTGTGGGCTGGAAATGAGCACTCTGTACCATGGGCGCGGCACATCAAGCATACCGATGTCTGGGCTTCAATCGTACAACGGGACTTCCGCCTCCGACAGGACACGCATGCCGGTCTAGCTTGCGAACGGTCACTCGGCTTTCCACCTTCCATTGTGGCCATAGTGGTTGTTCCGATTCAGTAGAGAAGTGCCGAGGGGCCTTCAGATTTGCAGAATTTCCTATACGCCGCGGCTTATACCCTGGCATTCGATGTCTGGGTTTTCCGAATTTTTCGCGGCAAAGCTCGAACAAATTCAGCAAATACCTTTTATCTGCGGGGTTCTGCGGGGCTCTGCGGGGGCTGACACTGGTTCAACAGAGAATGGAACCCAAAGAATCCAGTGTTTTGTAGGGCAGGAAAATCAATTGTAGAAAAAAGTCACCCAACCAGGATTATCTCTACATAAGTCTTTACTCGTCCCCGGTTTTAGCGGAGTGAGCGTGGTTGAACGGGGTATATTCTCCCATGATCCTGGCCCGCCACCAAGCATATTATCCTTTGTTGTTCGTACAGAGAAAAATGTGGACTGATACTAATTCAGAGCATATTTCGACGATATCGGGGTCACAGGACGCTCAGAGTTCTGCCCTGGTCAAAGAGATTTTGAGATTTTGGGGACCCTTGTTTTTTGGAGTATCACATGCTCTTTTCCGATACCACAGCACATCTGTAGGCCATTTCATACTACCGTGTTTGGTGTGAAACGATCGGTGAATAGCCTCGGTATCGAGATGGAGAGAAGAGATGGAATTCAAACGCGTGCCACCATCACCTTTTCCACAGCCATGATCGTTATCATTGATCTGAAATTCAAGGTACTTCCTGTTTAAAGCAAGTCTACAGATTCAGAATACCAGGATAGCTGTCAGCGAGTAGAAGCAGTGGCGTGAAGTAGCAAAGTGGCTGACATTTTCCTACAAGATTGTAAGAGCCCAAAAAACCCTCTTGAACATGAACGAGAAGTATCCAAGTGTTCGATCGAGCGATCGCTCCGGTCGGTGGGTTCCCAGCCGTTGTGCTGCCACCCCCGGTGAGAAGAATACCATTCACCACACGGGATGCCACACAGCCGGTGGCCCATTATAATCACGTGAAGATCAGCCCCATCAATCAATACAACTAGAATTTGAGGATCTGTGAGGTTAAGCTGAAAATGAGTTCTTTTGATATAAAACGTCCTCTCTTATTTTTAATGACTGATTGGTCCTAGCTCTCTCCGATTAGCCGCCGCTTGAGGCTATCGAGATGTTGCTGAAACATCTCTGGATCATCTGTTTTTTCCAGTAATGCCTCCTTGAGCTCCTTAATTGCCCCTGTAAGATCCGCATTATTCTGAGAGCTGTCAGATTCGAGAACATTCTCTGCTTTTTTGATGCTCTGCTTCGCATCTCGCACATTGCTCCAGAATGTGGAAGTTTTGTTTGGATAATCCGTCTCTTCGAGTGGAACCTCCCATAGTTGTGGGGTCCTTTCAACGATATCCAGCCATTTGGCCATATGTGACCATCGCTGCTCCTCCAAGCCGGGAAAATGAACAAGGAGATCACCCTTTTTGCCTTCATATGCGTGGCTCCACTCATACGTGTTGATCCATGGCCGTGGAAGATAGATTACACCGTCAGCGTAGCCTTGGCCATCCGGACCACCCGTTGTTTTATTAAGCACACGCCTCATGCCCTCTTGGTCTGCCGACCGACCAAGGTCCTCTTGAGGAAGATATAATGGATATCCCATGGTCTCGGAAAGAAAGGTGACGGTCCATGGATGGACTTGTAGGAACATGATCCCAGTGTTTAAGCCATTCTGATCCTTAGATACCACCAAATGAATATCTCGCAAGTCAGATGGAGGTAGGAAGATCTCCATGGGGACCTGCCCATTCAAAATGATCGAATCTGCATCCACCCACCTGTTGAGGTTAGTGGCTAAAGTTCAAAAGCTGTCATAGATTCTAGGAGGAGACTCACATCAACCATTCCGCTCTTTGCCCTGGAGGCTTTGCAAGTTCTCGAATGACCAAAGAGATAAGGTAGCTTGGTTTATTCCAAAATCCGACTGAGATATCCTGTCGTAAAACATCCATGGGATACCCCCATCTTTTTGCGTGACGTTCGTGGCTCTGAAGTGCTCTTTCATACATCTGATTCGATTCTCCGTAAAGCATCGAAACTTTCAGGATCCTTGATGTGAAATGCAGGACAGGGAGAGAAGAAGAAGATAGAGAAGAAGTATAAGTGCTTGAAAAGGTCGAATAATATCCTCGAGCTCCCTGCCAGGAACAACATAAGATGGCTAGGAGAATCAGCAATATTCGGAGAAGCCGTTGGTTGAAGGCCCTTGAGATGGAAGTCATAGTGGGCGTTGCCACCCTAATGGCAGTTTTTTGACGATAAATTGAAATCCAAGTCGCAGATGTGATGTAAATTCTCTTTATAACTATCAACAGCCCGAGTTACAGTGTCACTTGCCATTTTAGCCGTTTCTTGAATTTTAAAGGTGACGAGTTTTCCGCAACCGGTAGGAATCATAGCCCAAAACCGTAGAGACTCGGAATTGTTGCAAAACATAAATTCTTGGATTTTCTTGGAGATTCAAATAGTATACACGACGAAAGATCGCTATAGATCAATTTTTGCTCTTAAGCTGTCTCGGTTTAAGAATCCAATGAGGTTTCTCTGGGTGTTGAGTATAGAAAAATTAGGGTTTGCAGGAGTGGAAGGGAGTCCGCCGAGAACGGAAACTAGGGGTATTCTACAAAAATGGGCAGCCCCTAGAATCAGCAACAGCGGCGATCCACCTAGTGAGTGTCTCCACTGCCGTCAACCGGTCCGCTTGCGTAAATATTACGAGAAAGTAGCAATTCGCCTACCCGTTCAAAACAGTTCCTTTAGATATGGGTTGGTATCTTCTGACTCTTAAGCACGCAGCGTCCACGGATCTCCATCAACCAAAAACAATTCAACACCTTGCTTCAACACTGACCATGGTACCGCGACCATTCATTTCACTTCTAGCGGTGGCCGTGTCACTATATTGTCTAGCTTACCTCCTTTCGGCCAAAGGAAATCTCTCCGTTAGAAATATCTCGCAGTGCGTTATTTTCTTCGTTATGTTGCGCAAACTTCATTGTTGAAAGACTGACCGATTTGCAGGCAATACTCAGCGCTGCAGATCGATAATGGGCATTCATTTATCCAAAATCTTTACAAACCCTACATACACGCAATAAACGCTCTAGAATTCGATGACGAGAATGGAAAAGTCTACTCATTATCACGAATGCCGAGGTTTACGAAGTCGCTGAGACAGAAAATTCTAATTCTGGATGTTGACACCCGCCCACTCAATGGACCAGGTGAACTTTTAAATGCGACCCGGCTGAATATGACAAGCGCTCCTCCCAACACATTTGGTAGGCTCAGTCACTACATGTATGGTCAGTACCCTTTTTTTTAATTTCATTACCAAACCTATGCTAACCATTGTATGTAGCTACAATCCATGGCTATGATTACAAGCTCATTCAGCCTTCTTGTCCTACGGGTCTTTATGGTACGTGGAGTAAGGTAACGGCGATGAAGGAAGCCTTAAAACACTACGAATTTGTCGTTTTTCTGGATGGAGACGCCATAATTCGCCATCCGCATCTTCCCATGGAATGGCTTTTTAACTACTGGGACATAACGCCCGATACGCTTCTCGCCTTGGCCCTCGACCCAGACGAACCGCAAAATCGGGACGCGAAAGGGAAAACCCTCCTCAACACTGGCTTTATGATTGGACAGAAGGACTCCAGGACACAGAAGCTATTCGAAGCGTGGGAATCATGTCCCACTGACGTGCGATATCCCGAGTGCTCCAAATGGAGTCAACAATGGTCGCATGAACAAGCTGCCTTTGGAAATTATCTTCGGTATGACTCTTCCCTAGAAGGAGAGATCAAGACTCTTTCATGCGCAGAGGCGAATGGATACCCTGAGATGGCTGAATTAAATTGCACTGGGGAGTTTGTGCGGCACTATTGGATTTACAAGGATTTGCTGCCGCCCGCTGTTGAGAGCTCGATCACACAGTACTTCCTCCCCAGGCTGCAAGGACTTCTTCAGCAAAACTTTGCTAGCGTGGTGTTAAATATAAGCGAGTCCGTGGAGTCTATTTCTCAAGAATGAGGATGGTCAATTAACGATCGTGTTGGAGATTACACTATACTGTATATAGAGCATTCACAGGTCCGCCCTTTACAGACCACAAAGTGAAGAAAAATTTGAAGAAAAATTTGAAGATTATAAGTTTGCAACCCTATCCTCCCCCAATATTTGGCTCAAGAACTATTTCTTTCTTTCTTTCTTTCTCAAATTCACAACCATGTCTCCTTCCATTTTGATCGTTAGCACTACTGGCAATACCGGTCGAGCCGTCACTCAAGCCTTGCCGAAGTTGCTCCATCAAGCCGCACTTTGTCCGGCCACCCGCATTATTGTTCTCACTCGCTCCTCCGCCAATCAAGTGGCAAAGGAACTTGCCAAACTTCCTGGGTGTGAAGTGATAGAAGAAAACTGGGTGGAAATCACCACCGAGTGGCTCCGCACAAACCAAGTCACTAGAGCTTTCATTGCATCCCACTATGGACCAAACCAGTTTGCTGAAGAGTCGTGTTAGCAGGTTTATAAGTGTCACAAGACTTGTAGAAACAAGTAAAATGAGAGAGCCGGATTGGTTAGACATAAATCTTGTAACATTAAAACATCCACTACAACATTCAGCAGCGATTTTTTAAATAGTAAAAATAGTAAGACTGTCTATTGAAACTCCTGCGCCAATTGAAGCCACTCCTTGTCTTGTCTTAAGCGATTTAGAGCACGATTTTCCAGACCAATTAGCAGGTCTATTCCGCCGTCTTTCCCTTGAGGTAGCACGTTGACCCAACCGTCTTTGACTGGTAAGTAACAATAGCGCACAGCTTTCACTTTCGATATCCCAAAACCCCAGTCAACGCTCAGAATTTCATCCATATTTGCGACGCTAGTGACCTCCAGGTCTGGGCCTTGAAAGTTGTCCATATTTGGCTCTATTTTGCTAACCGTTTCACTGGACTCAATTGCTCCGATGAGCTCCCCAATTCGTTCTGATGTCCACCACTCGATTGCATTGGTGATTTGCCTTCCAAGCTTGTAGAGCATTCCAGGCTCACCTGATTCCACATCAGCGGTTGCTGAAGAAGTTTTTGCGTGTACGATTGCATTTCCTACGTAGTCTAGCGGCAGAGGGGGTTCAATTCTCCTTCTCACGTTGACAGTGCTGATAAAGGAGTTTTTCATGATGCCCCGAGAAGACAGTTGCCGGGCTCGGGATATATGACGCCACAGCACAGCACACAAGATTGTGTTGTCGGTTAAGACAGGAAAACCTTTAGAAAGGGGAGTTGCTTCGTCTTTCATAGCTTGCATCGACTTTTCGGAGATGTACCAATGCGAAAATTGAAGCTTTTGCAGTAGGGAGAGCTTTGGATGATCCCCAGCGACTGCAGCCTCAGCTAGCTCTCGTTCTACCGCACATCGGTACGTTTTGCTCAAGCGATAGGTTGGAAAATCGGCGATATCTTTACGTCCGCTCCCTGCGGGGACAATTGATCGGTCAAGGGCTTCCTCGAGCAATGCATTATTCGACGAAATAATTCGACCGTCCGACAAGGCTCCAACATGCTTTGCTAGTGTCCTAACCACGACGAACGTTCCAGCAGCATCCATCACAGAGTGATGACTGTTGAAAGTCAGCAGTAGTCCATCGACAATGAATGTCGCGAGTATGGTGAGTACGGGACTTCGTTGCAACTGGTGAAGCCGTGGCTCCGGCATCAGCGACAGAGGTGGGAAGGCGGAAGGTGGAAATTTTCGGCGCTCAAGGTCATAATAATCAATTTCCAGAAGCTCCTGGGAGTGGAGCCAAACTCCAGCGTCGTCCGAGGTTTGTAATTGGATTGTGTCCTGCTCCTCGCAATCCGGTATGACGTCTGCCGCCACAAACGGCAATTCCTCGATCATGTTGGCAAGGCCAGCCTTTAGGTCCTGCAATAACGGCTGCCGAAGAGAAGGGGAGGATACATGGAAAATAAATACTGAGGGGACTATGAACCGGTTCTCGACTTGGTCCAGAGGGCTCAATTTCATGCATCCGGGCACTAATGGGGTGCTTGGTGTGACAAGAGTACTTTGCCAGCCCACAGAAGGAAGAGTTCTTGACTGTAGGTCCACGGAATTGATGCAAGCCTTCTTGTCACCGTTAAGAGGTAAGCCGAGCCCATCAACAGCCTGGGGCTGAGAAGGAGGAGCAAGCATTGTCATCTTGCGCAGATCATGCGTATGCCTCTTTGCAGTGGGTGGGCATGGAGAGAAGGACAAGTGCGCCCTCTTATCTATCGCTTCCAAGAGAACGCAGGGGAGTTATTGAATGACTGAGCGCTCAGAGTATCCGATATACTGAGCGACGAAATGAGTCACGGCCCTCACCCAAGGAGGAGATCTGCAAAGAGTTGCCATCTGGGTTTCCACCCAATATGCAACTTTCTTGCCGGCGAGATTTAAGTAAGACTTTTCATACTATGTTTGGCACATTCCCGTTTGCGACGCCCTGATGAATTGATAGATCATATTCCGGGAAATGTGATGTCCGATGTACTCCAAATCAAGCTCTTCGGATGGCGGTGAAGTCCACGCCAATATGTTTTTTTCTTTGCCATTTCTTCCGTTCCTTAACCACAATGTCAATCAGGATCTCCTGTACAAGCATGCCAAGGCTTCACCGTTCATGCAAATCCCTTGCATCTCGCTCTAGGACGTCAAGCCGGATAAGACAGGTCCGAAAGAGCGGTCAAGATTGGCCTTCATTTTAGATAATTCTAAATGGAAATGGATTTGTATAATTCTGTTACACCCTCTAGCCACATCCGAGGAGACAATGCCGCCCAGGTCGTAATTTATCTCACTGTATTGATATTACCAACCCAGATTACAATACTACTGATCTCACGTTCCTATTGGTTGATATGCAGTTTTCGAAGAAGAGAATTGAACATAATACTGGTATTAGATAATCGTATGTTTAGAAAAATTTTGTAAATCACCAGCATCGCGCTAATGCACCATTAGCGTGTCTCCTGGAATGTGGCCAGACAGTGTACGTCATACTCTGATTATAGTAGGGCTAATCTGAGTTCGGTAGTTCCCGGTGAGACATATGATTAGTTGGGCCGTCTTAAGACTACTGTAGTTGTCGATCTGAAGTTAGCGCTATTCAGCTGCAGGTCGACATCGTTCTCCAGGTTATCATCCGCTAGATTGGGATCTAAAGCGCCCCCTGACTTCGCTCTGTCATTCCAGCCAGTCACGCCAAGACAAACACCAATTAACATGACGTGGGAAGATCACGAACGGCTTAAGAAACCCCCTGGATTAGAACCGAAGAAGCAAGCTCCGTGCGAAGCTTCACTCCGCTCCATAAGCTATCAAGTTGTGCCCAAAGGCACTTGCTCGCTAAGCCTCACACAAAGTTGTGAAGCTTTTCCTATATTTTTTTTCTCTAAATTAAAAACCCTCTACTGCTATAGCCGACGAAAGCGCATCAACAAATAAATTTGTATATGTTCCCTTCCGGCGATACTTCATGCGTCGCGTTGTTTTAAATTACTTATTCCATGTTCTAATTCCATGTTCTACCAGGTAGGTTAACGGATTTCGAAATCACTAGGCTTTCCGCTCCCTGCTGCCCACCATGTCGGCCCGACCCTCCTCGCAAAGAAGCGGCGCAGACTGTGATAGCCGAACGGACATTGCTGTTGTGGGAATGTCATGCCGTCTCTCCGGAACTGCCACTAACCCGGAGCGCTTATGGCAAATGCTGTCAAGGGGTCAGTCAGGATGGTCAAGCAATGCCAGCAACCGCTTTCGAATGGACGCGTTCTGGCACCCGCAGGCTGATTCTAACGGTTCGGTAAGGAATACACCCATAGCGATGTTACTGACCTTATCTCTCTAACATGTATAATTTGTAGTTCAACACACGTGGATTCCATCTGATCAAGCAAGACCCCGCGTTGTTCGACAATGCCTTCTTTGGAATCAACCATCTTGAGGCGAAAGCCATTGATCCTCAGCAAAGAATGCTGCTTGAAGTTGCGTATGAAGCATTCGAGAGCGCGGGATACCCTATAGAGTGCCTTCACGGATCAGATACTGGAGTATACTGCGCCGTCTCAAACCACGATTACGAAAAGATTTTGGGTAGGGATCCAGAGATATCCCCAGGGTGAGTTTCGACACGCAGTGAGGATCTCTTTAGGGATACTGACATTCGAAAAGCTACCGATTTACTGGCACTGGAATTGCACTCGTTGCCAATCGTATTTCTTACATATTTGATTTGCATGGGCCAAGCATCACCCTTGATACGGCATGTTCGAGTGGACTTGTTGGAACCCATGAAGCTTGCAAAGCCATCAGGGCTGGAGAGATAACTCAGGCATTAGTGGGCGGCACGAACTTGATTCTTGATCCAGACCAGGTCACTGTCATGTCTTCGATGCAGTAAGCTCTCCTCTGTTTCAAAAATACATAAGGAAGCTGACAGATGCGTCTTGTAATAGATTTCTCTCTCCCCACGGTCGCTGCTACTCGTTCGATTCCCGCGCCAATGGTTTCGGAAGAGGGGAGGGTGTCGCTGCTGTCATGCTAAAAAGACTGGACATGGCTCTGAGCGACGGTGATCCGATTCGAGCAGTAATTCGTGGTAGCAACGTTTACTCGGATGGTCGCACTCCGGGAGTGACGATGCCGTCTTGTGATGCTCAGACTAGGATGATTCAGAGAGCCTACAAACAGGCAGGCATAAGCCCAAATGATACCACTTATGTGGAAGCGCATGGTTGGTTCCCACATAAGATAGTTCGAGGCCGACGTTGCTCACACGTCACGCAGGAACCGGGACCATAGTTGGAGACAAAATCGAGGCCACTGCTCTGAATGAGACCTTCTGCAAGGGAAGGCAGAATGGAAATATCCTGCTCATCGGGAGCTCAAAATCTAACGTGGGACACACTGAGAGTGTGGCTGGATTGGTGGGCTTGATCAAGGCCGTATTGATACTCGAGAAGAAAATGATACCTCCTAATGCCACGTTCATGAAACCGAATAGCGACATTCCACTCGAAGCATGGGGCATGGAAGTAGGTTACTATACTTTAACGAAAGCTCCTTTAGCACCCTCTCAAGCCGAAACTAACGCGTTCTGTGTAGGTGCCCAAAAAGATGCTGAAGTGGCCTGAAAATACCGTCCGCCGCGCTTCAGTGAACAGCTTTGGATATGGAGGTACAAACGCTCATGTTATCCTGGAGGCAGCCGATGATTACCTCGAAAATCTCGACAATACGATGCGAAGACGTCCCCTGTGTGAAGACATCGGAGGTTCACCGGTTATAGTTCCACAAGTTACTGAGACCAGTCCAGACCGAACCGAGGCAGAACGAACAACGCAGATCAATGGTCATTTGGTTCAACAGACGTCCCTGAAACTTTCATCAACAACTAGCATCTCGAAGCCGCGTCTTTTCCCGTTCTCGCACAATAATAAAGGGGGAGTTGCAGCACTAGCAGCTGATTTCAAACGTCATATTTCTAACAGCCTGCTTGATACTGATGAATCTATGGATAGTCTCGCCTTCACACTTTCGGATCGGCGATCGTCCCTGGATTTCCGTTTCTGTGTAACTGCATGCTCTCGTGATGAGCTTTTGGAAAGTCTGGAGAAGATAGCCACAGGCTCAGATCAGGCACAAAAGTACGATGAACTACTGGAATTATGCTTTGTTTTCACAGGTATGGCAACGATAACTATATGAGAACGGGTTATGTGCATGACAATCTAACTCAAACTTAGGTCAGGGTGCTCAGTGGGCAGGAATGGGCCAAGAACTGCTAGTCATGTACCCTGTCTTTGCCGAATCAGTGAGGCAATCAGAGAACTACCTTATCCGCCTTGGTGCCGACTGGCGTTTGATGTCCGAGTTGGGTAAACCAAACGAATCTTCTCGAATCAACGAAGCTACCCTGTCTCAACCTTGCTGCACAGCCATCCAGATTGCACTCGTTGACTTGCTCAAGTCTTGGGGTATTCGGCCCACCATAGTGTGCGGACACTCAAGCGGGGAAATCGCAGCAGCATACGCAGCAGGTATCCTTACGGCAGAGAGTTGTATGAAAGTGGCATATTTTCGTGGCCATTCCATGAAACTACTGAAACATCAGAATCCAGACCTCTCTGGTGGAATGCTTGCTGTTGGACTTTCAGAAAGTGGAGCCAAAAAATATATTGATAAAGACACTGCTTCCGGGAAGGTGGTGGTGGCTTGCGTCAACAGTCCGTCAAGCGTCACACTATCTGGAGACAATGAAGCGTTGAGTGACATTCAGAGGAGACTTGCCGAACGAGATGTTTTCCACCGCAAGCTGGCTGTGGACGTGGCCTATCACTCCCGTCATATGGAATTGATCCTAGAAGAGTACCTGCGCGCCATACAAGACATCAAGGCTTCACAATGTGACCAGCATATTCGAATGGTCTCTTCCGTCACTGGGCAGGTTGTTCGAGGCGAGGAGCTCAATGCGGCGTACTGGGGCACAAATCTGACATCCCCTGTCCTTTTCGAAGATGCTCTTACAGAAGTCTTCCGCACTGTGCGAGCCAATCAAAAGCAAAGCAACTCATTTGCCGTTATCGAGATTGGTCCTCATTCTGCACTTGGAGGTCCTATTAAACAGATTGTTAAGAACTTGAAACTCTCGGGATCAATCACCTATCATTCGGTGCTTTCGCGGGGTCAAGATACAAGCAAGACCACTGTGGGTCTAGCTGGAGATCTCTTCAGTAAGGGAGCCACCATCAATTTCAGGGAAGTAAACGATCCTCACGATGGTGCGAAAAAGCGAGTCTTAACAGATTTGCCAACATACAATTGGCATCACAAGACGACTCACTGGGTTGAGTCCCGCCGGAGTAATAATTATCGGCATAGGATCTTCCCTAAGCATGATCTTTTGGGAGTGCCTAGCATCGACAGTATACCCACTGAACCCACATGGCGCCACTATCTCCGTGTTGAGGAATTGCCTTGGCTCAAGGGACATTGCATTGGAGGAGAAACCATTTTTCCAGCTGCTGGTTATATTACCATGGTTTTGGAAGCTCTAAAGCAACAAGTCCTCAGTGACGGAAAGGGCTGGAAGAACATGCACATAAAATTCCGTCAAGTCGATTTTGGCCGACCCCTCTGCATTCACGATAGCTCTGTCGGTGTGGAGACCCTAGTAACTATCCGACCTTACACATACACAGCACGAGAATCTTCAGCTTCATGGAAGGAGTTCCGAGTTTTCTCGGTGCTGGCCAACGGAGAATCAACCGAGCATAGCCGGGGTCTAGTGACTGCTAGCAATCCTTCACTTAACGAGCACCAACAAAATATCACAGATCCTGACTCTCTCGAGTTCATTGAAGAAGCTACCAAGAACAGTCGAGTCGTGCTCAGCCCGAAACAGCTATACAAAGAACTCAAAGGGCTGGGCATTGAGTACAGCGGCCCGTTTGAAGGCCTGGAACATATTCGAGCATCTGAATCTGCATCGACGTGTCGAATCCGGGTTCCGGACGTTCAGGCCATTATGCCATCGAATCATCAGCAACCTCATTGCGTTCACCCAGCAACATTAGATCTTTGCTTCCAAGCTGTCTTCTCGGCCATGAGAGTTGGAGGCAACCTGCTGGGTACTTTTGTCCTCAGTGGAATTGATGACCTTCAAATCTCAAGCGAGATCCCATCTCAGCCTGGCAAGGGTTTGTCAGTTGCAACATCTCTTCGGGGCCATGGTCATTCCAAATGCATGGCAGATTTAATGGTCTCAAGCTCCGAAGGTGGGGCGACTGAGGTTTTCATGAAAATGAAGGGGCTCATCGTCACTAGGACAAGCGGAATAACTCAGCGGAATGCCACAGAGCGTTTGATCAATGGAGAATCACTGTGCCATCGATTGGAGTGGTCCCTTGACCCGACTTGCGCAAAGCCTCAGAACATCATCGAGCGTTGTATTCCCGACTCATCAGATGGAGTGAAAACAGGAGTAACAAGCATGTTAGAGCAGTATTGCAGAGCTGTCATTGAAAACACACTTTCAAAGCTCTCTACTGGCGACGAGCAAAAGATCACTGGCCACCTTTCTCACTTGCTCCGATGGATGAAATCAATAGGAGCAGAAAGTCGCCAGCCAATTCAGATCAATAATGCACTCAATGCCAAGATCAAGTCCCTCGGAATCTATGGCGAGATTCTGGTTGACATAGCACCTCAGCTACCAGGTGTTCTCCGGGGAGAGATTGATCCTCTGGAACTCCTCCTGGAGAAAGACCGTCTATCCCGGCTTTACGAGCCTGAAGGCTATTACAGATGTTATGAGCAGCTTGCCAAATACATCAAACTTCTGCAATTTAAGAATCCAAATCTTCGGATCCTTGAAATTGGGGCAGGAACGGCAGGCACGACGATGCCGATTTTAGAAGCTCTTTACAGCAACAGTGGCGTCTCCGGAAAGACAAGACGGGAGACATATACCTTCACTGACATTTCGACGGGGTTTTTTGAGAAGGCAAGGGAGAAATTAGAGAAGTTCCGTGAGTCTCTAGAGTTTCAGAAGCTTGACATCGAAATCTCACCGAAAGAGCAAGGCTTTGAACTCGGTTCTTATGACCTCATCATTGCCAGCAATGTATTGCATGCGACTCGTGATATCAACAACACGTTGAGAAACGTGAGGGACCTGCTGAAATCAAATGGTCAGATTGCTCTGATGGAGGCCACTGCTCTGAAGATTCACTCCGGAATCATATTTGGCATGCTACCCGGATGGTGGCTTGGAACCACTGACGGCCGGGTGAACTCTCCACTTCTCGATATATCTGGCTGGCAAGATAGGCTTCGCCGCTGTGGATTCTCTGGAATTAACTTCGAGATGCATGACTATGACTCTGTTGAGGACCATCAGTTAAGTGTCATGATTTCTTCAGCAACTACCCACTCAGGGCTGCCTTTGAGTAAACAGGACCTTATCGGAAGCATGGCAACCGCTTCAGAACTCTCCACTGCAGATTGCACTGGTCTTGAACTTGAGTCAGGACTCTCCGCACGCCCAAAGCCCCTGACGGACCCAGTAGGGGGCCCTCCGCAGACCATAGTTATGGTCATTGGCAGTCAAGAGAATAATCTTATTGCAGACCATGTGGCTGACCTATTGCCCTCTATCAAGCCCAGCATCCATGGGAAGAGAACCACTTTGGTTGAAGCGGAGTTGTCGGAGGATCAGCTAGCGGTGGTACTATTAGAGGCAGTAAACCCATTCCTCGCAACATGCTCGAAGAGTGAGTGGAAAAAGGTACGGCATATACTTTCTAGCGCTGCTGGCGTTTTATGGGTCACCTCTGGAGGTGCAGTTGAATGCACCAATCCTTTACAGTCGCTCATTGTCGGCCTGACGCGCTGTCTGCGATCAGAAGACCTGTCTGCCAAGGTCGTCACGCTAGATCTGGAACCGAATCACGGATCAGGGCTCGATGTTGCTGAGCAAATTATCGGCGTGCTTGACCATGCATTCGGTCTATCTGCTCCTCAATCTTCTGCCTTGTTGGAACTTGAATACGCGGTCCGCAATGGTGAGGTTATTATTCCTCGGTTAATCAACGACAGTCAAGCCGATGAATACGTCAAAGACAGTACATCGACCTACCATCCCCAGAACAAGCAGGGAATTAAGTCACGTCGTGCGTTGAGCCTCAAGATCCATGAACCCGGGCTTCTTGACTCACTCTACTGGGCCGATTCTGAGCGGCACTCGCAGAGACTTGGAGCAGAAGAAGTCCGGGTGGAGCTCCAATATGTCTCTCTCAACTTCAAAGACATCATGGTCGCAATGGGCCAACTGGGAGGATACACAGCCATGCTGCTGGAAGGTAGCGGGAAAGTTGTTGAGGTTGGTGAAGCACTCCGCGATCAGTATGCTGTCGGCAATTCGGTCTACGTAACCCATTCGGACGGCCTCGCAACGACAAGCGTCATTGACCAGTGGAATGTTCATCATATACCCAAGAAGCTACCGATAGAAGTTGCCACCGCCATCCCCACTGCGTATGCGACAGCTTTGTATTCGCTGAGGAATGTTGCCAATCTGCAAGAGGGAGAGACCATTCTAATTCATTCTGGAGCTGGAGCAGTTGGCCAAGCTGCTATTTCCATAGCTCAATATCTCAAAGCCGGCGCGATCTTCATCACGGTAGGCAACGCGGAGAAGAGAACACTCGTGAGAGAAAAATTTTGGATCCCAGACGAGAACATATTCTCGAGCCGCGACCTCGGCTTCGTCGATCAGATTCTTCGTAAGACGAAGTATCATGGTATCGACGTCGTTCTCAACTCGCTCAGCGGTGAAGCTTTACAAAAGAGCTGCTCTCTCCTCGCGCCGTTTGGACGGTTTGTTGAGATTGGCAAGAAAGATATAATCTCCAATGCGAGGCTTGAAATCGGATGTTTGGAAAGGAATACCACTTTTACTACCGTTGATTTGACGCTGCTTGCGAAGTGGAAGCCGGCTGTCCACCAAGAACTCTTCCGAAGTGTCTTCGACCTCGCCAATAAGGAGAAGATCAAAGTCCTGAGTCCTATAACAATAAATGGTCTCTCAGAGCTAGAGGATTCATTCAGGATGATGCAGGCTGGGAAACACATGGGGAAACTGCTGCTCAAGCTGGACCCTGAGATGACCTTTCCTGTAAGTGCATACTTTCTACTCATGTTGATATTTATCTTGCTGACTACGGCTTGCAGGTTCAACCCCAACAGCCACCGGCTCCTAAGTTGAAAGGAGATTGCTCCTACCTGGTGGTTGGCGGTACTGGCGGCCTTGGCAGACTTATTATCAAGCACCTTGCGAGTCTTGGGGCAAAACAAATCATAACCCTGTCTCGATCTGGTCCTCATGGTCCGGTTATGAGAGAATTGGTAGAAGATATGCATGCTGCCGGGGTCAACGTTGTCGTTTGCAAGGGCAGTGTTACGGACACTGTCGCATACGAGTCGATTAAGGATCAGGCCAGAGAATTTCCGATCAGAGGCATCATACAAGGAGCAATGGTGCTCCAGGTAAGTCCCACATATGTTTGTGCAATAAAGTATTTGTTAACGGAAACAGGACTCACGGGTGGACAATATGAGCTACGAGCAGTGGCGGGCTGCAATGGAACCGAAAGTTATAGGAACAATGAATTTGCACCAAGTGTTCGGAGACACTTTAGATTTTTTCATCCTCCTTTCGAGTGTTGCCGGAACTATTGGCTCTTATGCCCAGGGTAATTACTGTGCTGGAAACACTTTCCAAGATTCTCTCGCTCGCCATAGAGCGTCTCATGGTCTGCCAGCGCGGTCTATCGATGTTGGCTTAGTGGAAGGAGCTGGCCACACAGCTGAGAACCCAGATGCCATTGACTTTGTCATTCGCCAAGGACTGCAGTCCTACAAGGCCGAGGAATTTCTGGCCACAATCAACGAGGCGATACAGAATCCCTTAGCATCCAGTCCTTCGGCGGCGCAGCTGGTCTGCGGCACAAGCCGAACTGATCCAAGTTCTTCTGCCAATGAAGCATCTCTGCAACGCCCAGATCCCAAATTCTCGCACATATGGACGAAATCAAACCACCAAGCATCTACAGAGATTGGATCAAAACAAGCCGATATCTCAGCAATACTTGGATCAGCAACTACGGTGGGTGAAGTCGAGGAAGCAACGCAAGCCGCAATAACGATGAAGCTTTCTTCTCTGCTTGCACTGCCAGCGGATGAGGTATGCACAGATCGATCAATAGCGAGCTATGGAATGGACTCTCTCATTGCGGTAGAACTTCGCAATTGGATATTGACACGATTGGAGGCCCATGTCCAAACACTCGAGCTAATGAGTCCAATTACCATCACCGAGCTGTCAAACAGGATCGCTAGAAGATCTCGGCTGGTGGCGACCGGTCTTTTCGGTGAGGACAAGATAGATCATAGTTAGGCATTGGAACTGTAACGTGCTGAGTCCGAAAGAATTTTTAACATTCCATCAATCATGAAAGATTCTACACATAAATAAGAAAATATACACTGGCGGCAATTTATTTATGCAAGCAGAAACAGTAAGTTCCCTCCTTCGCGTGCTTCTTAGCATCCATAGCACCAGCCAATAAATTATTGTTGACGTAGCGGAAGTAATCAATAATCGGATGATCATCATAAACCATCGCAGTGGACAAAATTCCACGCCACTCGATCTGGCGAAGCTGTTATTCAACAGTAAGTATATTCCCTTCCGTCTATTCCATTAGACCAGACTTACGCGTGCGTGACCCCAATTTTCATTCCACACTCGCTCATCTTTGTCATTGAGGACCATGATCGGGTCAACGTTTTCGGTAGATCGGAAATCCTTTCCGGCCCATTTCATCTCGGTAAGCATCTCCTCGGTCGGGTGGTTGGTGTTGACATTGGCGCCCTTCCAACTTCCAATGAACTTCTCGGCTGGGACGGGCTTAAGCTTGTCGAAGACAGCGAGGTACTCTTGTTCGGTGATATTCTTGCGAGCGACCAGCTGCACATATTCTTCTTCGGGGGTACTAAAGGTAAAGCAATGTTAGCTGGCTGTGTCAGAAATGGCGCATAACGACGGACGTACCGAGTCATTTCGTGTGTTGTTCAAACTTTGAAAGAAAGGAGGATGGAGAGGCTGTGATAATTCAGCAACCAAACACCCCACATCGCGAGGAATTTATAGCCTCGATCTTGAAAATGGGAAGACCTATTCTGTAGTACAGGCTGCGTCATTATGTTGATCCGTTGAAATGATTTGTTCGAGGCATACAGATTGATCATCCTTGAATCAAAATCCATTGTGCGATTCATTTTCGAACAGAACAGTGGAGCACAGTAGATCAGGACGATCAGAGCTCGGGCAATGATATGACTGAACAGCCTCCGATTCCAAGCCCATCCCGACGATCGTGTTCGCATCGAGCGTGCATCGACATCATGCTGGTTTCATCTCCGCGTAGCATGCCTCACGAGTTGTTTGTCCCCGATAATGTATGAAGAAAGTTTGGTTCGCATCCACTGGCCCATGGACTGAGATGCATCTGGAATGCCCAATTCGGCAAAGTGTAATCGGTGGCTGGGATGATCACTCATTCTAAAAAGATCGATGAAAGTTTGAGATTGAAGATCATGGTTGCCAGCTTGTGAACTGTGATAAGGTTGGTGGGGTTCCACTGCGTCACAGCACTTGGTCTGAGATTTGATGGCTCAGCCCCATGGCCACACCGCCTGTATGGCGAGCTTCCACGTCAACATATATCCCACCTATTAATGACTAGAACGTATTACTGAAATCATGTGACTCTATTAGTCTTATCTTGCATCTCATTTAAAAAGCTTGAAATTCTGGGAAGACATTCGGTAACTCTTGCTCGTACAAAGCCCATGAAAACAAACCACGCGTCACTCGATGCTCCAGCAGTGGTCATTCAACTTACAAGAGGCAGACATGCAAAGACTGCCACCTGAATTCTTCTCATGACACTTTTTAAAAGTTCTTTTCAATTCGTGGCGATAAGCCCAACGAGTAAACTTGCATCACGCATGTCCCTGGCCATGCAGCCGAGATAATTCTGGAAATATATAATTGTAGAACTTAACCGAGGCATATGTAATTTGACACATGATGCTCAAAATTTGAGTATCGCAAGTCATTCTAAACAGGTTTTTTCAGTCACCTGATTTTGGATACATGACTAGATATTTCTCAATGTGCATAAAATATATTGTGTAATCAATTTGCCCCAGCCAGTCTCACATCGATTGATGCCTTATTTTCAAGTCCCCCACTCCATCCAGCTTTAAATTCCGTCCAGCTCTGAGTGCCGGACTCGGGTAAATTGCTCCCGCCAAACTTGACCACGGTTTAAAATTTATCCCTCCATATTCTCATGGATCGACAGCAGCTAAATGATCTGGCTGCCGAGTCGGGTTCCGCTCGGAAGCGGGAATCCGGGGAAACAAAAAATCGGCAGTCAAATCCAAGCTCGACCCGTGAATTACTCCACCACGGACGGACAGCCTGCCGCGTCGGACGACCTAGACTATGACCTAAAAGTAGTTCGGCGCAACGGTCGACTTGCATTAGACCGTCATAGCCCCACTTACGCCGGGAGGGATCTCGGCAGGTCCCAAGCTTTCCAGGTAAGCCGATCATTGCTGTGGAGATTCGAGATTGACGTTTGCAAAAAATTGGTCGAATCCACTTAATCAATTTAAATTGACGGGTATATCATTTAACAGTATTGATCCGGGTTCGAATTGACGCTTAGTACTACGGTTGATGTATGATCTCATCTGGGCAATCTAACTCAATTGGGAAGACACTCGGAACTTCAACGAATATCTTTTCAGCAATTGAGTAATACGATAATTGAATCATGACATTCATGCGGAGCGAAGACAGAACGGTTCACCGAAGAGCAATTGCATTCCGTTTACAATTCGTGTCTACAAAATTGAATAGTGTCACGAGGACAAGGCGATGAATCGGTAAACAGCCGGTCCAGCCCGAAGAGAAAGGAAAGTTTCGATCCGAATCACCCCACGGCCTAAAGTGGCAATGCCCTTGGAAAATCTGTGTAAGCGGGAATTGTGGGCTTCCGGAGTGGCTAGAACGGGGCGTTGGGGCTACAACGGTCGTACTAACGCCTAATTTTACTCTCCGGGTCCACTCGGACTATTCAATGTATATCGGAATCTTCAATCACCTGGGTAGGTCAGGTCCGTTGGGTATCGAATATGGTATTGGTTGAAACGTCGGAGTTGAGTTGCATGAGTTACATGAGTTGCATGTGTTCGTGAAGGAAGTCCGATGGTGTTCCTACAACTTTTAGACCCCATTCCGTCATTGCTCGGTTAGAGCCTTGCTTGAGCTAATGTTCCCAATCTATTTCAATATAATTGTTCTTGTTTTCGATATTGCTCGAGCATCAGTGATGGTAGTGGCTTCAAACTTGTTATCAACTGGATTCAATCTTTGTCTGTGCTTCACCCTGGTTGGATATGCAGATAACCTCAGTTCTAGATCTCCATTTAGGAAGTGTAACATGGCAATGGCTGGTCAACTGAATCTGGTATTGCTTTGCCTGACAGGTTCACTAGCAGCAGATCGTCGACGCTAGGACGAATTTGGGAAAATCTACGCATTTGACAGGGTTTAAAGAGCAGGATATAAATTTTCCCGCCAGGGGATTTTCTTTTTGGATCAATCAAAAGGACTCGATTGGAAAGCGATGATGACAAAAGTACTAGATTGTATAGAGTATCGGATCCGACTTTCGGCCGGGATGACCTTGGCACCCCAACCCACTGGTTCTTGACGTTAGGATCCACCCTCTTCCTGACAATGTTGATTGCCTCGGAATTTCTTCAATGGTTTCACAAAACGGTTTCCTTTCTCGGAGCCGACCGTAGAACTGCTAAGGTGATCTCGGCAAGAAGAGACCGAGTAAGAATCTGTAGGGTCTAAATCTCTGACATCACATTCCGGCTGCCATCTCGGTCGAGCTACCGTTGAGGTAATCGTAATCCTCGGGTGCCGGCCCTTAATATATTCATTTCATATATAAGACGTGTTGCGGCCGATAGAAATTTGTTTCTGTTCCATGGTAACACAATCCATTATTTTAAGATTTTCAGATTTCTCGATCTATCATCCCCTGTGCACGGATATATTATATCTGTAACTTGATTCTTTCTCAGCCCCTGATTCACCCTGAATTTCCATGATGCCTTTCCGACAATCCAACTTCCCCGTGGATGACAGATATCTCCAACTGAGTCCCCAGTCTCGCCCTATGGACATGTTCAAGACTTCCGATAATTTCGGCAATTGGAGCTATGACAGCGCCATTGACCTGTTCTCTCTGACTCCAGCTGAGATGGACCCGGTCTTTTTTGATTTCGACAGCCTGACAGGCGATACGAAAGATCTCTTTATGGACCCATTCGGCACCTCATCTGCCATCAACGGCTTCACCATGCCCACCGAAGACACCGTCTCCATGTCATCGGTACATACCCCAAACTCCAGCTTATCAAATCCATACTAATAATATCAGGACGTCGACAGCGATGACCAATCCTGGTCCATGCGTCAATCTCTCGACATGACCGCCCAGACCCCATCCAAATCAACAACCCGCAGCTCAACCCAAACCTCCCAATCACGATGGTCCTCAAGTCCTGAAATCAAAGCTCAAGAATATGCTCCCCGCGAAAAATCCACCCGAAAAACCCGCAGCCTATCTCAAGACTCCAACCACTCCACACAGGACCCACAAGTACGCAATGCTGCCAAACGGGCCGCCCACAACATCATCGAGAAGCGCTATCGCACAAATATGAATACCAAGTTCCTATCTCTAGAAAAGGCCATCTCGCCCGCAGGCGTCCACAAACAAACCCCCCGCGCGGGCGCAGGATCGCTGAAGAAATCGGAAATCCTCACCAATGCCCTCGCCTACATCGAGAGTATTCAGCAAGAGAATCAAGCTATGCAGAAGGAACTTGCAGTCCTGAAGCAGAATCTTGTCCCGAATGCGATGTGGCGACACAAGCAGCCACGTGCATGATGGCCTTCTGAGTTGATTTGCTTTACATGTTCTATGGCTTTGCCTTTCATGACCGTGACGTGATGTATTATAGAGCCGACATCCGTTACGGCTGCAGGAGTTGGGTTTCAGGGTTTTGGATTGGCGTTTGGTTGTTTTACGGTCCTCCCATCTCATCCCCATCGGGTCCTGGTCCTGGTTACATCAAAAGTGTCTTTTGTGGATATCCCCGGCCGAGAAGAGTTGAAATTTTCCGAATTTCCGATTGTGTTCTAGCATTAATGTAATTGCCAAGACTCTGGTGGTTTTCACTTCTTTCTGATCTCGTAGTTCGTAGATTTCGTACTTGGAATGCTGAGATAAGGCTATAGGATGGGCTTTGGACAGGGTTCTAGATTTCCCAGATTTCTCACGGCGCAAATCGTGTTACGTCAATCCCGGCGCAATCAACACTTTGAATTCCAAGTCGTACGCTTCTTGTATCCACCAGGCACTAGAATGACGTTTCAAAAGAAAACACCCTGAAATAAGGCATTGATCAGCATGTTGTATAGCCTCTGTTCGTTTCACGATATTAGTAGATCATAGCAGTATACCATAGCTACTACGGATTACAAACAGTCTTGCGGACTTGTTCTGGCTCACGTAAATATTGAAATTGCCCAATTCAAGTCCCTTGCGACAGCTTGTATTTTCGATCGCAGTCTGAAGCGGCACAATGATACCTCATATTATCTAACAACCAGGACAGAGTTCAATTTCCCTATTTCAGTTCAATTTGCGCATCCTTAATCGAATTTTTGTTCTCTGATTCATGTGCTTCTTGGATTAACATTCCAGGCTCAGCATACCCGACCGACCTTCGGCCCGAAAAGATTCTCACAAGATCTGAAAGTCAAGACAGAGCCTGGCACCAAGGTAAATAGTTCCTGGAAATGAATCTCAAGAGTGAAGCAATTGCTTCCAACCGGCTTCCTCGGAATCAACATAAATAGATCAACGAAAGTGGAAATACAGCCACCGATCGGCAGTGGCTTTTACCCCACTAATCCGACTCCACATCGGTTAAATGGTGCCGGTCGATGGATGCATCTCGTCCTCACTTTCAGTCTTCAGATATGTGTCAATTTGTGTTGATATACGAAGCTATTACGGTATCCACATGGGTCCTTCCGACCATTAGTAGAATATGCTAATCGGTGAAAATGGTGAACCGGGGTTCAAGACATGTCTCGTCTTTGGGTGATACTGACTTGATGAAACCTTGACCGCGGATCCGAGAAGTATAATGTATAAATTGGGGAACGAGTACAAGACATTCAAATTATCATTTAACATTTCACTTTACTACATTTTCAATCAAAATTACCATTGAAGTTCTCAATTGCTACCATTTCCGACGTCATTCATCGTCGAATTTCACAAGAGTTGATCTATCTCAAGTCCTATGCTGCAAGACTCCTAATAGTATCCTCATACCGCTCCGGCTCTCGTCCGAGAATATCAACGATATCACTTGACACAACTGCCGTCTCGCCAGCCTTAATAGCCTCCCACGCTGACGCCCACTCCCTTGACAGATCCACTCCACGATAAGTATGTCTCCCGGCATGAGGAAGCGCCACATACTCCTCAATCCCAATCTCTCGAAGTCGAACATCCTTCCCGATTGCATGGCCCAAAATCTCAACCGTCTCCGCCAACGAGATAACTCTCTGCCCAGAAAGTAAGACCACTTTATTCACATACTTGAACGAAGAACCTCGCGAATGCGAAGCGATAATCTTCGCAGTCGCTTCTCCCAATTCATCACGCTTGACCCACGCAACACCAGCCCCGTTCCCGTCGTGGGGAATAGTGATTTCATCAACTGGGTTCTGGAGATCGAACCACGATGTATAGATAGGGAAAGACTCGGAGTAGATCCCTTCCCGAATAATCGTATATGTGATTTCCGTTAATTTGGAAAGATACTCCTCTGTAGCAAGATGAGCGCCCATAACATGCGCGACACTTTTATCAGAAGTTCCCGCAAAGGCGAGAGATGAGTAGAAAATGTGCTTAACGCCGCTTTTTATAGCCATGTCGATCGCGTGGCGGTGGACCTGACTCTGTTAGCTTTTCTTTGCATTTTGTTAAAATATATGATGAAGGTACTTTAACTCGATGATCGATTTCGAAAGACGCATATGAAATTAACATTAGGCTATGAACTCCATCGAATGCATTTTCCAAACTGGATGGACTATCGTAGTCCGCTTGTCGAATTGTTGCGCCTGCTTTTTTGGCATCGAATAATTTGGAGGGGTTTCGTGCGATGAGGATAAGTTCTGATGCTGGGACTAGAGTTTGGAGGTGTTGCACTACACTTCCTCCTAGGCCGCCTGAGGCGGGAAAGACTCCAATTTTCGACATGATGCGTTTGTTAAGGATAGAGTTTTTTTTTCCCGGTATGACTTATAAGTATTGAATGTTTATGACAGTTGATTACTGGATGATTGGTGGTTGCTTATAAATGAGGAATCGATCGGTTGAAGTGGAGCCCGAGATGATTAATTCGGTTTTTTTCCGAGCGGGGAACAAAGGAACATCTTCAAGACTCTGCATGAATTGTGGGTATTATCGAGGTGAGATCTATTCTACAGTCTTTCTTATATTATCTATTGCGCGATACCGCCCGTTCCGAAAAGCTCCATCTTGATCTGTTCTGCTTTGACTCCCTGGGATTTCAGACCCGCTTCCATGTCTGTCATGAACTTCTCAGGTCCGCAGATATAGTATTTTGTTGTTGGATTGTCGATGAAGAGGTCCTTGGAGAGCTTGTTCAGATCCACACGTCCGGCGTAGGTGTAATCCATCCCCTCCTTGTCTTCTGCGGATGGCTGGGTGGTGAAGAAGGTTGTCTGGAGAGTGGGGTAGGTCTTTGTCAACGACGTGACGTGCTCTTTGAAAGCGCGAACACTTGATGTTCTCGAGCCGTGGATGAAGTGTAGTTTGCGCTCGGATGGCTTGGAGGTCAATGTGTTGAGGATGGATGTGAGAGGGGTGAGACCAACGCCAGCGGAGATCAGTACTACCGGGTTGGTGGAGTCGTCGGTTGAGAGGAAGAAATCACCAGCGGGGTGCGAAACCTTGATCTTATCGCCCTGGTTAAAAGAATCGTGTAGGAGATTCGAAACGTAACCAGGATGAGCGGTCGCGTGGGTCCCTGTTCCCTTTTCTTTCTTCACGCTGATCCGGTAGTATTCCGAGTTCGGCTTGTCGCTGAGTGAGTACTGGCGCGGCTGGAGGTATCCCAATTTCGGTACATAGACCTGCACTGAGATATATTGTCCCGGGTTAAAAGCAGGCAGCGGCTTGCCGTCGACAGGGGCGAGATAGAATGAGATGATCTCGTCGGACTCCTTGATCTTCTTGGAAATCTCGAATTCACGCCAATCAGTCCACCCCTCACTCTCTTCGTAGATCTGGTGTTCGCGACCGATCATGATATTGGCTAATTGCCAGTATGCTGTCGCCCAGGCATCTTTGATTTCGGGGGTGAGGGCGTCACCGAGAACTTGACCCATTGCTTCGAGGAGGTATTTGCCAACGACCTTGTAGGATTCGGGCTGGATGTAAAGAGATGCATGTTTTTGGCAGATCAATTCCACAGCTGGAGTTAAGACGCCGAGGTTGTCGATGTTGGAGGCGTATGCGAATAATGCACCGGCAAGTGCGCGAGACTGGTGACCATTTTGTTGATTGGGGATGTTAAAAACGTTGTTCAGGTCAGGATTTTCCCGGATGAGATTGTCGTAAAAAACACTAGTGATGGTGCCACCGTGCGCGACCAGAACTGGTACTGTAGCTTTGATAAGCTTAACCTGATCTGTTGTCAATCCCGCGTTGGAACCCATGATATAATGATGATCGAAGTACGCACGTCGGTATTTGTGGAATGATTTGCGAAATATTAAGAGGTGAATGTGAGCTATTTATGTGCCAGGCTATAACCATTAGCCAATTTAGCGACGCGCAATATGGTTCGATGTAGCCGTTGCGGCTTCGTGACAAGCATCTCCGCGGACCCATAAGCGGGTCTAACAGTAGCCCAATGACCCGTATGACATTATTAAACATGAAGAATTTTCTAGACAACCAATGCTATATAATCTGGTAAGTAAATCAAGCATCTCCGCGGACTCGGTAAAGTACGCGTGCATTCGGTTCCTTGCCGTGGAGTTACCGTTTAGGGGGATCCACTGATTTCGGCTTTATAGCTGGAGTTTTCTCGGCGCCTTCGGCCTGTGGCTCCACACGAAAACTCCCCGGGTTTGACAGAAGATTTCTCACTGACAAACTCATCATTTGTGTGGTGCAAATGATCTATAAAGATCGAAATTCAGAGTTCGGCCCGCGACGGATCAAGTCGCTAGGATAAGGTTCCTGTCAAGCGCAGATCATCCGCCTGGATATACTCGATAGGGATGGTCCATGATTCATTTCCTATGACTAAGAACCTTGGAAATTCCAACTGAGAAATAAAAATATAAGATGGCTATCAACGAGCCCTGGAGGTCGGGTGCACTTTGCTGGTTTGGAAACATTGCCACTTCCAGGTTATCACGCCAATGCCGCCCGGTCATCCTCGCGATATTTAGGAACGTGGTGCATATGTTCTCCTGGACGTTTTAATTCGTTTTTTGCATTTCCTCCAACCAGAATTTCCCTAATTAATATGCAATCGTATCGGGCCGATCTGGTGGCTGAGGACGTCCGATGTCATAAGTGCAGATAATCTTAACCATCTCGGGATAGTGAGAGCATCTTAATAACCTTGCCTCAAGGTGCATTACCTCCTCGTCTTTGCTAAAGTAAAGATCCAATGCATTCAAGTTCTGTCTAGGGATCACCAGCCAGAGTCTCGTCGCTCTCGGTCTTTTTTCTTACCTTGCCCAAGTGAATACATTTCACTTATCTATTATGCTAATGATCTGATAGAGTCCCTATCAACAATAAGCTTTATGTGCTACCTAAAATAGGGTTGATGAGCAATTGATGTGATTTGAAAAGTTCCCTGGGCCAATCACGGAGATTCCCGAAACCCTTTATTCTGGAACATGTTATTGTCATGTTCTAGACAATGCGCAACATCCGTTTTCGGACGGTCGGGGATTCCCGTCTACAATCACTCTGGATCGAGATATTCAACACAAATATGGTACCGAAGTGCCGCCCGTACCAGATCCCGAGGTTGTGAGCTCATCACTACAGAGGTTATTCCCTATGAATCATCTCATCCAGATAGTCATCACCCAATCAACGCGATGAATTGACCATCAAACCCTATTTCATAACAAAAATCAACCCGCGAGCCCTGGCTCATACCATGATCAATGATACGTGGATTCCATTTTCTCGCGGCGCGTGCTCCTGGCTTGTGACGTCTGCGATGCGGAGAACAAGATACATAAGCAAAGTGAATAAAACAGTTTGTTGGAAGTTTTAGCTCAGGACAGCTTCAGCAACGCGTTCAATTGACTCGATTAGAATCAAGATCAACTATCAACATGAAGTTAAATTTCCACAGGCGCAACTTATCGGAACCTTCCACGACTGGGAATAATGGCAACGGGCCTGCGAGCCGTAGCCAGCTTCCTATGCTAGCGTCCCCGGATAAGACACGATGGAATTTGCTGTGCGTGCTAGGTGAATTTGTCGGCACGTTTATGTTCTTGTTCTTCTCTTTTGCGGGAGCTCAGGTTTCTAATACACCTATGCCTGCGCCTGGGTCGCCTCCGAATACTTCCAATTTGCTGTACTCGTCTTTGGCTTTTGGGTTCTCGTTGACGGTTAATGTGTGGGCTTTCTTCCGGGTGACTGGTGGACTTTTCAATCCCGCGGTGAGAGATATCGGATGTCTTCTGGTTTGCCCTGGCTGATCGTTTTAGGTTACGCTTGCCCTTTGCCTGACTGGTGGCATGCCTCCGCTTCGAGGGTTGTTGGTCTTCCCGGCTCAATTGATTGGCGGCATTGCAGCAGCAGGTGTAGTGAGCTGTCTCTTCCCGGGTCCGTTGAACTGCTCTACCCGGCTTGGTGGCGGTGCCTCTATCTCGCAAGGCTTGTTCATTGAGATGTTCCTTACCGCGCAACTAGTGATTGTCATCATCATGCTAGCTGTCGTGAAGCACAAGTCAACCTACCTAGCTCCTGTGGGCATCGGTCTGGCGTTCTTCGTTTGTGAGATGATTGGTAAGTTTCGTACCCTGACAGACAGTACTTTGCTGACCTTTTCAAAGGTGACTACTATACCGGCGGATCACTCAATCCCGCTCGATCCCTCGGTCCTGACGTGATCAACCGAAGTTTCCCCGGATACCACTGGATCTATTGGGTTGGGCCGCTGCTGGGTTCCTTACTGGCGTCTGGATTCTACCATCTTCTCTGCTTTGTTCGCTGGGAGAATATCAACCCAGGTCAAGACTACAACGAGTGGGAGGCAGCGAGGAAGGCGTCCATGGCCAAGTCGGAGAACACTTTTACGGATCAGGTTCATCGTGAACCAACACCTCCAGAATCACCTCCAGATGTCCCTCCCGAGCAACAGGTCTAACGCCATCACTAGCACGGCCGAGGGCAGAGACTCAATGATGATGTTGGATCTGAGTAAAATATCCTTAGTCCATTCATGGAGGAGCGACAAGGCCGTATGAACAACCTTGAAATTGTACACGATTTCATGACCATTGTGTATACGCTTGATGTAGTCAGTCAGTACGAAATTTATTAATTACTGCGACTCAATAATGAAATTTACCAGTTTAATTTCTACATGAATCTCTTGATCGCGTTGCACAAGGCTGTTGGAAGAAGTCCAAAGGGTTCTTTTATTGGGTGGAGACAATCCCGGAAGATCAGCACAGGAGTCACAGTCCCATCACGCAATCTCACTTCCCTACAATGCTAGACCTGGGTAACTGTTCAATGCAGCTAAAGCGAAAATCAAATCTGAATTGGTGAAAAGAGCCGACATTGTTCCAGCAAAGCAACGATATTATTCGAAGATGGAAATTCCTGCGCCAAGCTTCACGGGAAAGGAGCGTTCCGTGATCCACCAATGCCCAACCTTGAATGAAAATGTATTTATGCAGATCGTGTCGCAAGTCCTGAAGAATTAAGAGCACATCAACAGATCTCATGGAAATAGTCATGGAAATAATTCTACCTCACGACAAGAGGGGAGAATGAAAATCATATCACGATCTTGAAAAACGGGAAGAACCAAAGCAGACGATCGGATCGCTAGTTAATCAGGAAAATATGCAGATCCTCCCCCTGCGCTTACTATAGGTCGATAGCGTGTGTAACCTGATGACGCCAAGCCCTTGATAAAGACTCTCCATGTCCGTCCTTCGTGCAGGCCTCACCAACTCTAACACCACGTCAATTCTAACTCAACATGGGTTCTCCACGCGATGTTGAAGCTGATGACGCGCCAAGCGCCAACCCTGGCGACTCAGCACTTCTAGGTATGTCGCCTGAATTATTGCCCGAGCACTGTTGACTTTTTCCAGCGAAAATGGGATACAAACAGGAACTGCGACGACAGTATTCCACGCCGCAGGTTTTTGCGATCGCGTTTAGTATTATGGGGCTTGTTCCATCTATCGCGTCGACGATTGCGTTCTCCCTACCTGCGGGGCCGGTGGGGATGGTTTGGGTAGGAACATTTACATCAAGTCGTGTCGCGTGATGTACTGATTTTCTGTAGGGATGGTTTACAGCGAGCGTTTTTATTTTTCTAGTTGGGCTTGCAATGGTATGTTTAAGGTCCCTGATAGCATTGCCGGCGTGTGTAACATCCCTAGTCTGACCTCGCGTCTGCGATGCCTACGGCTGGAGGTTTATATTGGTGGACTCATTATTTCGCCAGTCCGAAATTCAAAAGCCCTCTCAGTTTTCTGATTGGGTATACCAACACGCTTGGATTGATTGGTGGAATCTGCTCTGTGGATTGTAAGTCCTTCATCGTCACAGTGGATTGTTCTAAACGGTTATCTAGATACTCTCGCTCTTATGATCGCGTCCTGCGTCAGCATTGCGCGGGACGGTGCATGGTCTGCTTCACGCGGCGAACTTTACGGTATTTATGTCGCGTTGATCATCATTCATGGATTGTCTGGTGCTCTGATGGGTCGAGTTATGCCAAGGATCCAGACATTTTGTATATACATCAACATTGCAATCGTGGTCGCTACCGTGATCGCCTTACCCGTTGGAAAGGTCAGGAGAGGCGAGTCCTTGAACTCGGGCAACTACGTGTTCCGGCATGTCGATAATGAAACGACATGGCCAACCGGCTGGACGTTTATGCTTTCCTGGTTATCTCCGATTTGGTCGATTGCCTCATTCGACTCGTGTGTGCATATGAGTGAGGAAGCGATGCATGCCGCCAAGGCTGTACCATTGGGAATCATGTTCTCTGCTGGATCGGCCTCTGTGCTCGGGTTTCTGGTGTTGGCTGTTATGGCTGCTACTATGAATCCCGATGTGTCCCAGACAATCAATAGTCAGTTTGGTCAGCCTATGGCACAGGTAAGACATCTCTTAGTCGCCTCGAACTAGCACTAAATTTGCAGATCTACTACGACGCCGTCGGAAAACATGGGGCTTTGGGCTTCATGATCGTCCTATGTATAATCCAATACCTGATCGGTCTCAGCCTAGTACGTCACCCAATCTTCAGTTTAGCATCAACTAAAAATCTAGATCGTTGCCGCATCTCGTCAGGCATGGGCATTTTCCCGTGACGGCGCACTCCCATTCTCTACTTTCTTCCGCCACGTCAGCAAACGCATTCAGTACCAACCCGTTCGTATGATCTGTGGTCTGGTGGTAGCATGTCTCATCCTAGGCCTATTGTGCCTTATCAATAACGCCGCTGCAAACGCTCTCTTCTCCCTATTCATTGCCAGCAATTATTTGTCCTGGCTTACGCCTATCCTCTGTCGCCTTGTTTGGGGACAGGACCTTTTCCGTCCCGGTGAATTTTACACGGGGAGATTAAGCACGCCGATCGCGTGGATTGCGGTTGTTTATCTTGTTTTCGGGGTTGTGTTGTCTATGTTTCCTAATGGGGGACCTGATCCAGCTCGTAAGTTATTCTGAATTGAGTGATAGTCCTGGCTGACTTTGCTAGCATCCGATATGAATTATACTATTGTTATTAATGGGTTTGTTTGGATTGGTTGCATGGTTTATTACTTCCTTTTTGCCCGGCATTGGTACACGGGGCCGAAGATGACGGTTGACGAGGGTCAATCTACGGACTCGGACATCACGACATCTGCGCCTGTGGATTTCCAGCGGACTTCGAATGGGCAGAAAGAGGAGTGATTGTTTTAGGTTGGCGAGACTGCTGCATACATAAATACTCCTATCTCATTTCTGATTTTATTTTGAGTTTCAGGCGTGCCTGGTGTGAAACCATCTGGGCAGAGATGAATGTAGATCGTTGGGGGCCAACTTCGGATGGCAGCGGAGTTGAGATTCCTTGGCGTTCTGTGAGATCCGAGGCCCATGCATTAGCTGTTCGGCGCAAGTTTGGTCGGCCAGAAAATTTTTGTTTGGGTTTCACCGGCAGTATCTAAACAGGAAATGCGGCCTCTACCAATTCAACCTTGGAACATTCTAACAGTCTAGGACTCGGGAGGAGGAAAAGCAATCGGTTATTACTGCTCAAAATTGAGGAATAAAATAAATGTCAATTGGATCACGGGTATATACAAGTCCGGCATCTCTGGTACACCCAGAGCCCAATGCAATTAGAACCAAGTCAAGGAAAGTCGTGAAAAAAGCGTGATCGATCTCGGTCATTCAAAACTGAGATCCATAGTATAGATATCCGATACAAGATCGCAATCCTTACAGAGCGGCCATAACATAGACCACACCGGCAATACCAGCAGCAGCAACACCCATGCCAGTAGCGTGGGGAGCGGCGTTGGTACCAGTAGAGCTGGAGCTGGAAGAAGAGCTAGAGCTGGAAGAGGAGCTAGAGCCAGAAGTGGAGGTAGAGCCCGAAGAGGTGCTAGTAGCAGAGGTATCGGTGGTAGTGGCAGAGACCTGGGTGGTCAAAGTGGATGGGACAGTAGTGGTCTTGCCGTCCGAGTTGGTAGTGGTAACATCGGCAGTTAACGTTGACCATCTGCTCTCGGCATTCGAGGCGATGCTCTGGGCATCGGAGACGACACCACTGGCATAGGTCTCGGCTGCGGAAGCAATAGCCTCGCCGCCAGACACGGCACCCGTGGCGATACCGTTAGCGAGGGTCTCGGCGTCAGAAACGATGTTTCCAATGGCATCAGCAGAGACCAGGCCAGCGGCGGCCAGGATGGCGGAGGTGATCAAAGTGAACTTCATGGTGAAATTGAAGGGTGAATATGGGGTTGTGGAGTAGATGGGAGTGTATGTGGTTTTATTAGATACGGTTGGTTTGGCTGTGGATGTCAGGTGTTAGATCTGGGGAGGCAAGGTCACTTATATGCCAAAATCGGGGACTAAATATAGTTAGAAGAAATCAATTACTACAATAGGCAGTGTGGAGTGTGGCAGTGTGGCAATGGCGCTGTTTGAGGGTAATTGTACTGTATTGGTCAGTTTGGGGGTAAACGGAAAACGAGCAAGTCCATGGCGATCTGCGCTAGTGGATGGAGTAGCAATAATGTTGGGGCAATTTTAGAAAGCCAATTATCACATTTGGTATCCACCTTTGGTCCAAGACTGGATGCTGTGGCCAGTGAGTCGTGAATTTCCACCTCTGGCCGCCCCAAAAGAGCCCTAGGGGCCATAAGCTGGGGTAGAAAACTGCAGCCTGCCGATGAGCCAAAATCAGGTATGGGAAATTAAGCAAATACAAACCAAGGTATTGGAGCAACTTGGCGCAGTTCCAAGCAGAAATTCCTGAAATAGAAATGTGTTATACTGCTGCCTTTGACAGACCCCAACGAACTCGCCTGCGGCCGGAATTGCGGCAATGGTCACCGCCACCACCGTGGGTAGATGTCCGACGGGCAAGATACCCACTGGTATTTGGCTTTGAGAACCCTGATATTTCAAAACGGAGGTACCTACTGCTTCGAAGGTTCTCAATGGTTTTGGATGAGCGAGGTAACAGCGCGTACAGTATTTTGTGAGTTTTCGCGTCAACATAGATGGACCTTGTGGCGGTGCATCGTGCATCTAGTGCAAGCCTCCAGCCTAGCCACCGGATCAGGCGTTGCTTGCGATGTGGAAGCCAAGAACCATGACGTCTGGATGGGGAAATTGAGAGATGAGACTGGATCTCCTCGAACGCCACCGGAGGGGCGAAGCAAGTTAGCACGGAATCGCCCGGAGACCCTTGTGATCCTACGGAAATACGGAAGTCACACCTGAGATATCAGGCCCGATACTTGACTGTACTGAGCTAGCGGTGAGAGCCGGCAGTATATCATTGCTCCAGCATTATGGCCTGACTCCTGAGGCTCTAAGTTTCCCGTTGTTTACAATGCTGTGTTTTTTGCCTCTTACATCTACTGCCCTCATACACTTTATTGGCATGGACTAAACCAGAATGTAGCATCGATTCATACATTATACACCCCTTCAAATTGAAAGTTGTCGATGCAGCCAAATGAAATTCTCATCTCGTCACCATCTTCATCATTATGCGCAGATCCCATACTGCATGTGTCCAACATCTCATCCACTAGGAAAAGCCATAATGGGCCATGCTTCAAGAAAATCCCTGTATCGTAATGTACGGCGGGTACTGCTTTCCAGCGATCTCCGCAAATGTACATACCTTGCAGCGATTGGAGCGCTTCATCATCGACGATGATGCACATTCGGAACTGTTTTGATTATGACGTCTACCTTCGGCGTCTATCCATGCCTCGATCTGAGCATTAATGAGATCAATAGATGCGCCGTCAAATTGGGATTCTTCTATCACTATAGATCGATGGTTGGCGCGGATCTTCTCTCGGTCTGCCCCTCAGGCCCAGGCATCCGTTGGAACAAATTATTGTTGGATGCAGGTCTCGATGTACTTGACACGCTTGTATTGAACTGCTGGCGCATATGTATTACTGGCCAATTATTTGGCGCCTCGCCTATTTACAGCATGCGGGGTAGGTGGCTGGCGAGCGAGCTAGTTCAGCTGACGCTGACAGTCAACCACAAATACATTCTCCAACATTTCGCACTTCGGGGCCATAAGTCTATCTGGAGGTCTGTTGGCGCTCCGCATTTCTTGGAACTTAATCTAGACGTTTAGACGTTGGCCCCGGAAACTACAATGACGGGCTCGGACGAGCCGTTGAGGATCTTGTCACTTGGTAAGTCTACCTGGTCCAAGCAGCTACCTTCGGCCACTGAAAGATTCAAGATGGCGGTGGAATCCGTGGAATCTCAAGCCTTCTCATCTTAGAGAGGATTATGCAGAAGATCGGGAATGCCAAGGGTCTTAGTGACGTTCCGCGACCGTGTGACCATTTTGACTTGATCGGTGGCACAAGCACTGGAGGGTATGACCGACTATTCAACACCTGTAAGGTATATTACTAATAATATCTTGCAAGAATCATCGCCATATTGCTTGGGAGATTAGGCTTGACTGTCGACGAATGCATAACCGCCTACAGAAAGGTTGCTAAAAAGGCCTTCACTCCGAAAAGGACGTCGTTTTTGCCAGCCGCACCCAAAGGAGCATTCTCGGAAAAGTCACTTGAGGATGCTATGAAAGAGATCGTAAGGGAGTACTGCACCGATATCGATTGCGTGACACGTCGGCGCGAGGGCCATGCGACTGTTAAGACATGTCCTCATTCTGACATGGCATTCCGAGACCATGGATGCAAGAAAACGTGAGTCGCGACCCAAAGCGCCGGTGCTGTTTTTTCTGACATGCTATAGCGTGGTCTTGGCGATCACAAAAGATAATATCGATGCACCACCAACCCTCTTCACAACATACGATTCATCGGCGGCCTTCGCAACCTCTACCCTTTGGCAGGTTGCGCGTGCTACTTCAGCAGCGACCACCTTTTTCAAGTCAATCAAAGTCGGCCGCGATCAAATCGAGTTCATCGATGCTGCTTTCGGATACAATAATCCAAGTGAGATCATGATCCAGGAGGCTCAGCGAGAATTCCCTGGACGCACAATCAGGATTCTCAGCCTCGGAGCAGGTCTCGGGGATGTCATTACCATCAAAAATACACGAGTATCTATCATCACTGCTTTGAAGAACATCGCCACGTCGTCCAAGAGAGTAGCAGCAAATATGGACTTTCGCTTTGGCGATAGTGGCGAATACCATCGGTTCAACGTGGTTCAGGGTCTTCAAGACATCACATTGTCTGATTGGGAGGAGGCTAGTACCATTTCTGCACACACTTACAACTATCTGAATGAGAGTGAACGTGCGCTTAAGAAATTTGTCGATGACTTCATCCATCAACCTCAAGAATCTGCGCTGGGCTTGGAGGAGGCAGTAAAGCAGGGCAAAACGATCACAAGTTAGTGCGTTACAGTCCAGGTCTTATTATCCATCACTCATCATAACTTGAATGCCATGAATAGAAGCGCCGTGCTACATGATCCAGTTTCCTCAAAACCGCCGATTTGTGGGACGTGTCAAGAAAATCGATGAAATGAAGCAGAAACTCTTCTTCCAGAAAGAAATTTCAAGACTGGCAGTCTTTGGACTAGGAGGTATTGGAAAGACCCAAGTTGCACTGGAACTTGCGCATTGGGTCAAACAAAACATGCCCTCTTACTCCATCTTTTGGATGCCAGTCCTGAGTAATGCAAGCTTCGAGCAGGCTTGCACCCAGCTCGCGACGAAACTTAACATAAGCAAAGCCTCGGACGACGAGAATGCCATGGAATCGGTGCAGCGACATCTCAGTTTGGAATCAACGGGACCCTGGCTTCTGATTATCGACAACGCAGATGACAAGGAGTTGCTCTTCGGGAGCCCAGATCAGCCAGGTGGTATAAGCCAATATCTTCCAGAAAATAATAGAGGTATTACGTTACTTACTACTCGCTCTCGAGAGGTGGCCGTTTCGTTTGCGGGGAAGGACATCATCAAGCTCCAGGAGATGGATATCGAAGAGGCCACTGGTCTTTTGGAGAAGACACTTATTCAAAATGTCTCTCCTGAGGACAAGGACCAGATGTTGCAACTACTTAAGGAGCTCTACTGCCTGCCTCTAGCGATCACACAAGCAGTGGCCTACATAAACACGGCAGACATATCAATTTCAACATATTTCAAGCTGCTTCGAGGTACGCAGAATGATGTGATCAGTCTTATGAGCAGACAATTCCACGATGGTACTCGCTACAAAGAGTCACAGAATGCCATCGCTACCACCTGGGTCATCTCCTTTCAGCAGATCCAAAGGATTGACGAAGCTGCAGCCAATATGTTGTCATTCATCTCATGTATTGAACCGAAGGGGATTCCACAGTCCCTTCTGCCAGACCTTGGATCAGAAGAGGAAAAACTGCACGCTGTGAGCACGTTGTGTGGTTATGCCTTTTTGGCCAAAAGAGATGAAGCTTTATTTGACATGCATAGTCTCGTCCATCTAGCGACACAAATATGGGTTGAGCAGGAAGGAACAACAAAAGAGTTGATGGGAACAGCCATTCCTCATATGCAAGCCGTCTTCCCGTCAAGTGATTATACCAATCGCGAATTATGGCGGATTATCTTACCGCATGGTCTCAAAATCATCCGAACATGTGATCAATATGATTCGGAGGATATACCGTGGCTTTATTATAAGATCGGGCATTGCCTCAAGGCGGATGGCCGGATCAAGGAGGCTGTCGATTGTTTTGAAGAATATTGTCGATGGACCAAATGTCGATATGAAGAGGGCGATCCGTATCAACTGGCATCTCAACATGAGCTCGCTGGGGTATATCAAGACAATGGCCAGATTGGCAAGGCCCTTAAGCTGCTTGAACATGTGGTTTCAGTGCGAGAGAGAACTTTAGCTGAAGGACACCCAGATCGACTCGCATCTCAACATGAGCTCGCAAGGGTATATCACTCTGATGGGCAGATTGGCAAGGCCCTTAATCTACTTAAACATGTGGTTTCAGTGCAAGAGAGAACTTTAGCTGAAGGGCACCAAGATCGACTCGCATCTCAACATGAGCTCGCCAGGGTATATCACTCTGATAGGCAGATTGGCAAGGCCCTTAATCTACTTGAACATGTAGTTGCCGTGGAAGAGAGAACTTTAGCTGAAGGGCACCCAGATCGACTCGCATCTCAAAATGAGCTCGCTGGGGTATATCAAGACAACGGCCAGATTGGCAAGGCCCTTAAGCTGCTTGAACATGTGGTTTCAGTGCGAGAGAGAACTTTAGCTGAAGGGCACCCAGATCGACTCGCATCTCAACATGAGCTTGCCAGGGTATATCACTCTGATGGGCAGATTGGCAAGGCCCTTAATCTACTTGAACATGTAGTTGCCGTGGAAGAGAGAACTTTAGCCCCAGAGCACCCCTCTCGAATTGCATCTCAGCGTGCACTTGCAAGAACTAAGCAAACCTTGGGGCCACATTCTAGAGGTTCCCCTAAATTTTGACTGGTTATGCTGAGTCCAAAATGTGGATTCCGGGAGATAGTCAACACAATCCGCTTATGTATCCAGTTGACGCTACCTGCCCTCATTTGAGGCCTGAGTGCATGAGCAGAGAAGCTTTAGAAGCTCCATATGTTCCCTCCCTATCGGATATTGATTCTGAATTATGAGGAGTTCAATGCTCTTTCCCATGAAGGAAAGCCGAGGAACCGTTGAAGGGTTGAACAAAGTGTTCTTTGCGAGGACTATAGGTTCTGTGGCCGACAATGCAGAATGGAGACCCATGAATCATATGCGGAACAGCTATATCATAATCGCGATCTTCATTCATGTGGAGCTTTGTTGAGCTTTTGTATTTAGAAGTGGAGATATACCTCATGCATTTTAGCGTGAATGAGTACCAGCCATCCGGGAATGCCTAGGATTTCACCCCTCATTTGCTCTAAGCACTTGAAGCATCCGAAAGTGTACACCCATGAACGAGATTTTGCAATTGCTTCGCATTATGATTACGTTGAGTATAGAAACGTATGCATATGTCCAATGCCATTCAATCAAAGTGTAACAAAAGAATTAGTTAGAAAACTCCCCATATGCCTGAATAATTCCCTCCCACCCACCAGGATGATCCGCCTCACGCGGGTTACTCTTTCCATCAAGTATCATAACATCCGTCTGGCGTGTACCAATCGAGTACCACACAAGATTCTGGGGTGCACCTGCAACCCGCATCATATTGGTCTGACACTTTCCACTACACGGCTCGTTATATAGGCCGTTCCAGTAGCCGTCGAAGAAGGCCCAGGCGGCGGAGTTGTATAATGCGATGTTAGATCCGCCTTCGATGTTGGTCGCGATGGAGGTGCGGCATTTTTGGTCGTTAGCGCCACACCAGGTGAAGTCTGGGTCTCCGATTTTCGGGTCGGGGGCCCATGGTGCGGGTGTGTTTTCATATTCCCCAGAGCCTTGCATGTAGGGAGATTCGCTTTGGAGGAGGCCTGCGAAGACGTTGGCTGCTTTGTTGAAGTTGTACTCGTATAGCCAGTGGTGTTCTGAGCCTGTGCCTGTGAGCCATGTGCCCTTGGTTGCTTCGACAAGGATACCACGGCCGGTGGAGACGATGGTGAGGAGCGAGGTGCTGTCCAGGTTGTGATCCGCGGTCCAGCCCCAGAAATTCTCGATATAGGCTGAAGAGGACGATGTGAGGTGCATGACCATGTAAGCGGCCATGCAGTCCTTCGGATCCTGGGACGTGCAGATGTTGGAGATAACGGTTTCAGCTGTGCCTCCTACCATCACGTTGGTGTTCCACAATCCGACGTCTCCGGGTTGGCTTCCGGCAGCATTGATCTCGAGGACCTTAGCTCCTGGAAGGATCTCACCAACAGAGAATCGCATGTCTTGAATCTCGATAAGACCGACGTCACCTGGGTTACCCAGTTTTACGATGGCCCTAGGGTTCCTGGGGTCCTTGAAGGCATCTCCATATCCAGAGATCACGGCCCAAGCCTCACCCACGATACGGGTACCGACCGGAACAAAGAGCGTGTCAGAGACTCTGTATACACCGAAGGGTATGAAGGTGATCTTGCAGTTCTCGGCATTTTGCTTGAGAATAGCATTGAGCGACGCTGTTTCATCCGCCAGACCATCACCTTTGACTGGATGACCAGGCACGGATTTGACATTGACCACATCGGCGCTGCTGAACTGGCTATAAGTTGGCTGCGCCTTAATGAAGAACTTATCGTTGACAAGTAGGCTTGCAGATCTCTGAGTATTATGCATGGCTCCCTGCTCATACTCTCCTTCAACAAGGCTACCCCATAGCCAGGTGTCGACATGGGCAGTTGAGGCCAAGCGAGTTCTTCCCTCACTGTCCACAGCGATGGGATTTGTTCCATCGTGCACCAAGTTCTGAATAAGAAGCTGGCTGTTTTTATATCCTGTGTCATGGGATGAATCGTGGAATCTAACCACTGGACCAGAATTCCTGGAGGTGGAGTCTAGGAGGACCAGACTTCCTAGACCATTGCTTGTCATGTTGATACCTGTACCACAGGATTCGAACCCAGCACTCTGAAGGAGAACGGTAAATCCACCTTTCGCTTCAAACGCAGTACCGCATCCGACGAATTGAATGTTCTTGAAATTGACTTGCTGGTTCGAGTTGATAATGCCGGTAGCACCACCAATGATCCTCTGTTGAAGATTAGCGACGGTCAAAATACATGTACGGAGATTGAACTTACCACATCAGTCACCGCAATTGTAGAGCCGGCAACAATGTCGATACCAGTGTGTACTTTGGAATTGAACGGCATGTGAACTTCAACGTTTGTCAATCCTGATCCCTGGGCGACTCCCCACTGAAGTGCGGTAATTTTGGTATTCGGGCCAATAGCATTTGTATCCAAGATGACATTCTTCAATAACATCATGAAGCTGGTCTCAGGATTTCCATTGTTCTTGTCGTATCCCATAATAAGAAACTGGCCCTGGAAGTCGGGGCTCGCTCTGAGAATCGGAGGATTCAGAGGGTCTCCGACAATGATTGTTCCAACAGTCATAGTGAGAGTGCTTCCAAGGGTGTATACTCCACCAGGCAGGAAGACTTCAGCTGGATACCGAGTGACACCCTTCCCCTTACGAGTACCACCGTTTCCGTCGTCATCAATTGCGTGCTGAAGCTTGGCTGTTTGATCACCTGAACCATCTCTGACAACGCCATAGTCTAGTACATTACGATATACTGGGTATATCTTGCTTCCACCAGCATATGGAGCATATCCGGAGGCGCCTTGCTTGTGATCCTGAGCATCTAGCCAGTAGGGCTCGCCCCCATTCCTCGTTCCTGCTGGACATGTCTTAGTAGCTGGTGTAAACGCTGTTGCGCTTGGTTTGCTAGAAACACTGTTTGCCGGAGGGATTGATGGGGTATTTGCTGGCGGGACAGGCGGGCTGGTTGATTGTTTCGTCGGTAGGTTACTTGTGCTGGTCACGCTGACAGGTTTACTGTCAACCGAAGTAGGTTTCGGAGCTGGTGGTGGGTTTGTACTCAAAGCACTGGTAAGGCTACTGATGGATGATGTCGGCTTTGGAGCCGGTGGAGGGATTGTACTCAAAGCACTGGCAAGGCTACTGCTAGATGATGTCGGCTTGGGAGCCAGTGGATCGCTTGGCAGAGATGTAGGTGTTGGAGCTGGTGCCGGCTTTGGTGTAGTAGCTGACTGGGCGCTTGGCGCAGATGTAGGTACCGTATCCCTGAATTTTGTTAGCATACCCCCGTTCAACCAATTAAACTTCGAATCACTTACGGGCCATCAGAATCGGTAGATGGAAGAATTCCTCTGTTATCCAGTGTCAGCAATCACCATAAATAAGGATGTTTCTTGCACATACGATTGTATCAGAGCCTCTAACCACGGAGGAATGATATGGAATGCATCGTACCCAGGCTCAGCCGGCGCTTCAGGCATATCTTGTATCGCCGCCCGAACAGACTCTTTTGGAATGGGTATAATAGCACATGATGCTGTTGTAATGACAACTGCCAGTGCAGATAATGAAATAGACCCGCGCATCTCAATCTCTAGTATCCTAACCTCAACCACGAGGAAATTCAGAAGAAGAGGGTGAAAAGGCCTTCATTATAATGGGAGGAATGGCAAGTATAAGAAGCCCTGGTTCACAAATGCCAGTCCTGCCAGCCAAGTCCCAATCAAAATGATAACAACTCATCGGTATGGACGCGTTGTGGGGATGATTGTGTGGAATGTTGTTCTAGGAGTGCGGTTGCTCGGCGCGGTATCAATGGGCAGTGTTGATCGACGCCCCTTGCAAAACCCAAGTTCTGAGAACGTGCCGAAAATGCGTGCCTTGGAAGATAGTGATTCTTAAGAGCAATATGGTGGTCTAGAACAAAACGGTCATGGTCCTGCGGTCATGATTAGCAGCGATCCAGATTTAGAATCCCGGTCGATGTTCGAAACCAGTAAACATACCCCCTATTGTCCAAGCTCTCTTCGAAATCAACCCCATCCAAAACATTTTCCTTGTTCTAGGGATTTCCATAAGTTCATGAATTCAAATTTCCTCTTCAAAGCAGTGCGAAATCAGAAGAGACTGTGGGTATCGCAAACGTCTTAAGAACAATATTGGCGGCCTGGAGATTCAGGTGTCGAAGCGCGCAGGAGGCAATGTACTAATATTAGGTCCACGGGTGTGTTAATACATTTGAACGCGAGTCTAAACAACATTCAAGCATTCAAAAATAATCATGAAGCTCGAATATGTGCATGGGCGTTTCCGCGGGGAAATTAGTCAAAGTCAAAGTTTAGGGTGCGTAAGTATAGGAAACAATTTTGGACTATCCATCTTTTGACGCATTTCAAGGTTCCGATGCTCTCGAAAAGTCTAGCTCTGTTACTTTAATATTGTCAGGGGATGTTCAATTAATAAATAAAATATTTTTTCTACCTCATTGACACTTTGGGAATCATCTCTGCATCTAGCCCTTAATTTCTTCGTGGGTTGGTAAACATCCAGGTGAAAATCGATCAGTGCTGGTATGATGCGTTATATATAGATGAGACTTATCGTACTGTCAGCAAGACCTGTTATCTTCGAAGAACTCAAGTTCGCTTAAGCACAATCTAACCCCCAATCTTGTTGCTTTGTTCGTTAGTTAATCCAAACCCATTTTCTATATGCTTAGACTTCCACTTGAAAAGCGAGATCTCAGCTCACATGTGCACCCTGCATGTCCAGCTTTGAAGGACGGCAACCAAAGATGGCGGAATGAAATGCGGGCAATTTTCTTTCCATGCGCATCCAAGATCCATACCTAGGTACAACCATGAGTGTGTTGAAAATTATGAATCGAGTCATCTTAGCATGTTTTTTACCTCAGCCATCATATGAACTCGATGCATACTGGGTGGTCTCATTTTTCCTCGGATCCTTCAACGCTACACATGTAATCCAGGCATTTTTGAGCTATCGGCGCTGTAAGCAGACCCTTGATCATCGAATTCTCGACATTATCAATGTGTGTCCACAAATATATATCTTCGATGTTAGCATTTCCAAACGTTGTTTGGCCAGCCGTATCGCTGTCGATGAGAGATTTACCCCGGTAGTAAATTGAAATAATGACTAATCTTTCAAATGTTGCAAAGCAGTGTAACTATTTTGCAATGCCGATCACATTGCGTATAGGTTTTGCTGTTTGTACCGCCATGCATTCTAGTTCAGTGTTGCACACATGTGCATGACGTATACATTTACTCGACTGCTGCTTTTTCTCTCCCGATATCTATCTGACATTGTGGTAACAGCATACCCAAGTTCCTGAAGAACCATTTCCAGTCCCATCATATACCTACTTTAGTCATAATATATACACCTACTGCAGTCAAATTTAAGTCTCAGTTATCAACAAGAACATTTGGATAATTAAATCCGGTCTAGTCTTAAGGTTATGAGTTTGTAAAAGCTCAAGAATAGTGCATATATCCATGTTCAATTCCCACTGCCTCAGTGCATCTTTGTTTTGGTGTCATCCCTTGCATGAAGACATTTTGGTGTCTCAGGGACAGCCCGGCATACCACATTAGGGTACCGGAACGCGACGTATGTCACTTATGCATGTGGTTCTAAAAAAAAATGTACCTTGCTGGTTACTATTCTCATTGGCCTTCGGTTCTATTTGCCATCTCTGTGTCGACTGTCATATTTGAGTTAAGCGACGTGCATTGTACTGGTGCAGTATATATATGCGAAACGGACTTATTGGCGATGCCAAGATTCAAAACCATCATTTAACCAGGGATAAGTTGGAATGAGAAAAAGACTAGAAATTTCGATATTCAACATTGAAGGCTGCTCAACAAATCATGAAAAATCGTGACCAAATATACAAACTTGTGCAACCTCTCGAGCTTAGTAATAGATTCGGGGATAATTTCAGATCGTCGGGATATGGGAGACGATAGAACCAAAAATGCAGTTGCCGAACCGATTCTCGTCTTATGGTCCGCTTGTTTCCCCTTTTTCTCATATTCACCTAAAATCAGACCTCATAGTCAAATAATGCATAAAAAAGCCTTTCAAAAGGTTGCTTAATTGATCAATATCAAACGTTGACAAATTTTTGTTGTCCGACAATATGAATACACCAGCTAGGACGACACCGGCCGCGCCCGAACGCCGACGGAGAAGGCCACCTGGGTAAGAGGATTGATTTGACATTGACCTACCTGTCAACCTTGAGGGCTGACAATTTATAGATCATGCACACTCTGCAGAAAACGCAAAATCAAGTGCAACCGGGAGTCACCGTGTAACAACTGCATACGCTCAAAGAACTCCAAGTGCGAGTATGTAGATCTTTCGCCGCCTCCACAACAGCGTCGGAGACATAGCTCACCAGAAGAATGCCCGGCAGAAGCATCTGAAGGGCCTCAGAACTTGGTCCCCGTGAGCTCAGCTTCTCAAATAATTGGAGGAACCTTGTATATTGGTCCTCACTCCACATCCTCAAATACTCCGACCAGCGAATTATCAACACGAGAGATTGAGCTCCTGAACAAAATCAAGCAACTTGAAAGTCAACTTGCAAACGCCGGAGTGAGATCGACAGCATCAGCAGTACCAAGTCAAATTTGGGATTCTCATGAGGATGCTCCACAAATCGCCGGGACGTTCCATACGAATCGCGAAGCTCCCTCGGAGGGCAAAGCCCCGACTATCATTCGCACGATCATGCACAAGACTCGAGTATTTGGACAGAGTCACTGGATTCATGGCGTCGCTCAGGTAAGCACCAAACACTGCAGGCCGAACACAATTAACCGAGACCAGTTGCAGGATATCTTACACCAGTGTGAGCCTATTATGTTCAGGGAGAATTCGAAGGCTATTTTGGATTTGAAAAAGTGCAAATATCTTGGGAAAATCATCAAAGATCAACGAACACCCCCGTGGCCAACTGCCCCGATGTCGGAGCTGCCTCCGAAGGACCTGGCAGATGCGCTCGTTGATATCTATCTCCGCACCTTTGAGTCCAGGTACCGTGTGCTACATATTCCGACATTCCGCCGCGACTATGAGGCACTGTGGGGAACCGAAGATCGCGATCTGGAATTTGTCTTGCAACTGAAGTTAGTCATGGCTATCGGGGCCGTTATATACGATGAGAATTACTCCTTGCGAGCGAGTTCGATTCGCTGGATATACGAGGCACAGACATGGATAGCCGAGCCAGATTTCAAAGCTCGACTCACAACTCAGTTCATTCAAACAAACATCCTCCTGTTATTGGCAAGGGAGGTTGTTGGGGTCAGTGGAGGATTGGTTTGGATCTCTGTTGGAGAACTCCTTCGAACTGCAATCTACATCGGGCTACACCGAGACCCTTCATATCTCCCAAGAATCAGCATCTTTGATTCCGAGATACGTCGGCGACTCTGGAACACCATCATTGAAATGGCCCTGAACGCGAGTTTAGAGTCTGGTGGACCTCCCCTGTTGAGCTTTGATGACTTCGATACTCATCCACCGGGTAACTTTGATGATGAGGATATCATGGCTGAAGATCCGATGCCAAAGCCGGACGGAACTTTCACTCAGATGTCAATCCCGCTCGCCCTTCGAAAGATGTTCGAGGCTCGTCTTGGTATTGCGAAATCCTTGAATTGGATTGGCATGCACAGCTGTTACGAAGAAGTGCTACGCCTGGATGTGAATCTTCGCACTTCATACAAGCTGGTCTGTCGCACACTAGACAGTTATCATTCCAGTAGATCGCCATCTCCCTTCAAAACTCGAACACTCGATTTTATCGTACGTCGCTACCTTTTAGCACTTCATATCCCCTTCTTCCCAGCATCTTTCGAAGACACCGCATATGCATTTTCCAGAAAGATAGTCGTGGACACGGCGCTTCAAGTTCGGTGCACCACCAACCCATCTTCGGGAATAATGGTAACTAGACACGACAATCAAACTCCATCAGATGATCTCTCTCGACTCACGATATGTGGAATGGGACCCCTGCGCTTGATAACCCTCCAATCCTGTTTTCTCATAGCAACCGAACTCCGAAAACAACTACAATACGAAGATAATCTTGGATCTATCCCCCTTCGTCGTGACCTTCTGACTGTCGTCGAGGATTCACGGGAATGGTGTTGGAAGTGCTTGGTTGTCGGCGAGACTAATACAAAGGGGTATCTGATGTTGGCGCTCATAAACACGCAGATCCATGCGCTTATGTCAAGGATCCCGGATGATGAGTTTCCGAAACTTCTTATGCGGTCGGCTGAGGAGAATTTGGCGAAATGTTTAGCATTGTTTGAGGAAAGAGTTGGAAAGGGTGATGAGGTGCAGGTGGGATTAGATGGGATCAATGATATGGTTTTCGAAGGTCTGCTTGGCTCGAAAGGAGATTGGAACTTCATGGTATGGTTCATGTCGCATTGTTCTAGCTTTTACTAATATTTTCGCTATCAGGTATCCGAATCATTTGAATCTGGCGTTGCAGACTCCATCTTCTGGCCGGGCAACTGGATTGCATAATTTCACACTCACCATATATCCTGTGTTTAATTGAGATACCAAATAGAAATAAATGTTGAATTAAGCCTGAATTACGATTGAACCTAGAACCACTTCAAGAGTGTTCAGTCACGTACTGCGAAGCATTCGCTCATTCTCTAATTTGGCTACTCCCGAAGTGAGACTATAAAAGGCCCCCTTTCTCTCTTTTTCTTGTTCTTCTTTGATCGCTACAACGGTCTCTGACCTGTTAGGTCTTATCAAGGAGGAACTGAAAGCTCTCAACCAGAAGATGAAGATCCTTGCACCTGTATCGCAGAGCAAAGGTGCAGAGATCGCCTTTTCTGATGCTTCTACAATCTGCCCCTTCTCCAACTCAAGGGGAGCAGAGCGAGCTTCAAACAAATTTCAATGAGGGCAATGTGCCCGGGGATACTCCTAACAGTCAAGAGTGACCCGTTGCCGATAAGTCGTTGCTCAGTAATGCCAGCCAACTACATCATCGAGCAGGACGAATACGATTCTCTGCGTTACACACCATGGCAGAACGGGATGATGGATCCTAGTCCTGCTCTATCACATTTCCTTCCAGCAAAGGCTCCTTTGAGCACCATGCAAATCAATGTCGCCGACGAGCAGATTGTGAAGAACATCACCGAATGGATGGTAGTACTTATCAATATAAAAAAAATCAATACATTCGTGAATCACCATATCTCATTCAAAAGACATGAAAAGTAAACGTCTAGATCTGCCATCTATAATATGATAATGAACAACCGCCAAATGAATCTCATTATCAGCCTCTTGGAATTATCTTCCAAGTATGGGGATTTCTAGCCTTCATTTTATAGTCAGTAATCGTATCTATAAAGCATGTCAACGTTAATTGAATAGTGATGGTGATGAACTTGGTCTACGTAGGGTGTGGTGGTGAGCATCATGTCTGGGCTTCAATTGAAGCATCCATCACTCACTTCCAGACTGAAAAACCATTAAAGGTAATCCTTTCTCTTTTTGTTCTCTCTTCCTTCACCCTCCATCTCCTACCCCACTCACATTCAGCTCTTCACAGTCATGTAAGTTCTCAATACCCCCAGTTTAGGTCACTCTGCAGATAAAAGCTAATATGCCATTCCTCCACCAGCATCCGATATGGACTCACCAAACTCCATCTCTCCCAGCGCTGGATCTGTCACGCCTGCTGCTCGGTGAGCTCACACTACACACATCCCCCTTCAAAGCTAAATCCACTAATAATTCAAAAGGGGCGTCTACTCGCAGCAAGGACTCATCAATGTCCTTTTCTTTTCCCGTGCCTCACTTGAACGAATGGTCAAGGAAGAAGGCAAGGCGGTAGTGGAGTTGTTGCGATTGATGAACGAAACTCGACTCGCCGGTCGTCTTTGCACGCTTTTGGAAAGCATGGAGGTGGAACTGGGCTCTCTGAGCTATGCGATAGAGGAAATGCAGTTGACCATGGAATAGTGATTTCTGTGAATATCGCTAGGTCATTTTTATCCTATGTAATACGCTACCAAAAACCCACAAAGGTCAGCCAAGAAGGACTGAAAATCACTCATATCAAGCCAATATGACCATCAGTCAACGCTTCTTACTCCAGAACTGGAAATTTTAAGAATATCACTCGCAGATCGAGACAAGAAGTCTCTGCTCATTGCTTTACTCATTTCCTATTTGGGACACTGAAGTGAGGCTATGAACGGTCCCCTACACAGACAGTTTCACAAAGTAATCCTCCACGTATGTCGTAGATAATTCTGGTGATATTAAAAATAAAATCCTCAAGAAGTTGCAGCAAAATGACGTAATAATATTCATAGATTTCACCTAGTCCACGACAACAAGCAAAAAAACATACCCACAACGAAATCCACAAATCCATATCCTTTAATCCAATCAACATCAACGGCAGCTTACGAATTCCAGCAATCCAGTCCTCACCTCAGACAATGCAATACCAAAAGGACAAGCAAAGCCAAAAAAACTCCCCATGCATAAAACTCACCACCCAACCTTGGAATCAGCACATAATCTCTCTACCAACCCCATCAATGCAAAGAACCATGCCTCGCCGATGTCATCCTAGAAGAAAATCCCCCGAATTGCGGGGCGGGCGCTTAAATCCGCCGAGGCTTAGCTTAGCTCCGCGATCGGCACACGAATCAGAACCCGCCACCAACGCATGTCGAGCCGATCGCGGCGATGAATGGACCAGGAACCAGGGACTTTCGGAATGACATTTGTTTAGGTGGTATTCTCTAAGTCGTGCGATCAGATCTTTCAGCTGGATTGCATATTGATGATGAAGTGGGGGTTGGGAGTTTAGGCAAGTTTTGTTGGGTATAAGTAGTCGCTGTCATCCTGTCTCATGGGACTTCGTTCAAGCTATTCTGTTTTTAACACCTTGATTGCAATTGAGTCGCTGCGATGCAGAAATTCCTTGTTCTTTTGGCTGCTGCCTCCCTTGCTGTGGCGGATCCGATCGTGTACCTTATTCGTCATGGCGAGAAGCCTAGTAATGGATCTGATGGACTGAGCGCTGCCGGTCACGAGCGTGCGCAGTGCTTGACGAATGTCTTCAATTCCAGCTCTATCTATAACATTGGACATATTATGGCTGAGACTCCTAAGAGTGGTATGCATTCTATACTAGTCCGACTTGGGATTGACACGGGTTCAGATACTAACTCAGCTATACTAGACGGAAGCCGTGCACGACCCTACGATACTGTCGAGCCCCTTGCTGAAGAATTGGGCCTCACGGTCGATACCTCCTGCGGCAAGACGGATTATAGCTGTGTGAAGGATGTGGTTGATGCTTATACTGGCGATGGGAATATTCTTATTTGTTGGGAGCATGATGCGCTTACTAATATTGTGGAGGAGCTTGGGGATGATGATGCGCCAGATTATCCGGATGATAGCTACAATATCATTTGGACGGATCCTTCTCCTTACACTAGCATTACGGCGGAGACCAGTGAGGATTGTCCCGGGTTGGATTCTTAGTCCGTTGCGGATTGTCACAAGTCAAGACTATAGACTGGCACACAAATATTAAATGTGGATCAATTGAATGAGAATTCATGCTTAGTAGCATCTAAGTAATAATTTGAAAATTATGCAATGAGATGATTGGCGGACCAGCGCTGCATCTTAGTATTATTTTGACTCTGTTTCGGTTCCGGTCTGATTCCGCCAGACGGCATAACCCAATAGTTCTAACAAATGTCGCTCGCGATGAGTAAAGGTTCTAACGCCTTCCTCGCGAAGGAATTTTGCGGTATGATCAATGAGGAGGCGTGAGTGTGTTGGTTTGGAGGAGAGACAGAGAAGAAGGTCGGAATTGATGACGATTTCGTCTGGTGTTATCGCCTCGGCGGGGATTTCAGAGAGAATGAAACGAACTTTTTTATCACGTGCGAGAGAGTCAACATATGTTTCCAGCATGCGATTTCGCACGATAAACCCTAGCATTGACTCCAATGATTGGGTATCCACAGTGAATTGTGGGATGGCCTGGTCTGGCTCGGCGAGATTACGCTGCATGCTGATGGCGTATTCCAGATCTTCCAGGAGAGGCGTCGACTGTAGCTTGGCGAGAGAAATTTGATCCAGAATCGGCCGATCATAGCCCAGCTTCTTGCGCCAGAAATAGTTGCACATGATCAGTGAGATGATACACGGGACAAGAACCACGTACCCTTCCCACCGCTTGGCAGTCACCATGGATGCAGCACCAGCTACCAATCCATTGATACTGTTCGCAATCGAGTGCCATTGAAAACGTTTGAAGCGCAGACGCAGCCGGCGCCGGATATCATCATTGGGCTCATGAGCGACAACCGCTTTATCGTGCTGCTTGAACCGACAGATCAGGTATACCGACCAAATGGCGTTTGCAAGGCCAAACATCGCCGCCATGGCATTACCAATGTACCCTGAAAGAAGGTTACTCGCCTCATAGACACGACGATTCGCTCCTCCGATAGCCATAAGTGTACCAACGCCAACAAGAACCGATCCAAGACCCATAAGCAGGTCCATGAGGATTCTGTCCACGACTTCCGTGCCAATCTCACGCATCCCAACGCCCAGCCTCGCATCCAGCAACCGTGTCAAATCCGGATTCTTGCAATGATACTGCTGCAACCGCTGGATATGAACGCGTTCCTTTCGTAGAAGTCTCACGTTCCTCCAACTGAGTCGAAAATCTTGTATAGCAACAATAACCATACACAGCGCGAACGTACCCCCAATCCCCATCAATACAGCTGCAAAAGTTGGGACGGGAATATCGTTCCATACATTAGCGGCAAAATCACCCGCGTTCGCTAGCTCAAGATACCCTACGCTCGCAAGTAGGCTGTTCTTGAATTGTTGCTGGTGCAAGAGTTGGAACCTGCCACGTCGCCGGACGAGAGGGACTTGGTCTTTTGTTGACTCGAGCGTTTCTTGCCATGTGATGTCGCTTGCTTCACGGAATATTTTGAGGATGGCAGGTGGTGGGGATTCGAGGGTTGAGAGTTCCAGGTCCGATTCCATGTTTGTTTTTGGTGGGTGGTAGACGGGGGAAGGAGGAGAGATTAAAGTATCGGAGGAGTCACCGGGGTCTGCCATTGTGAAATCATGGGACCCGGTTCACATGTCGAGTGTACAGGACTCCGAAGGGAAGAGACAGGGTTAAAGTGAGAACTTCAAAGGACAGAGAGAAAGGGTGAAAGGGAGAAAGAGTGAAAGAACGAAAGGTAAAGGGAGAGAAGGGAAAGGGGAAAAGGAAAAATGGGGAAAATGCAGGCGGTATAGATGGATCCAGGATCCATAGTGGAGAAAATTTTCTTGGCAGCCTTATAGGGCTGAACCACTTACATCAACCAAGTCAGTGCGCTCATAATAAAATACGTGACATTTATAGTTTTTTTTTTATTTTTACAGTTGCTAGTCATTAATGGTTATCTGGACTTCTAGTTCCTTGGCTCTTCATAAGTGGAGACCAACAGGCAACCATTTGTGAGATATGAAATACAATTAACATGATAGGAAGATTACTCCATGATGCTAAACAGCTAATACATGTAATAATCTATGCCTCCTTCGTCCACTTGGGCTCATCACTTTTGGGTGCGAGTGCGCGGATCATCTTGACGCCTGCGTCCGATATGTCACACGACAATCCATTCCAAAACTCGGCCTCGCGGTCGGATCCACGGAGTACATCATCATGCGGCTTCTCCACTTCTGGCGAAGAACTACCATCAGGTGGGGGTGTAGTTTCTGATCCGTAAACGTTGACTCGTTCGTGGAAACGCACGCGCTGCCGTACCCGAGTTTCAGGGGATCCGGGTCCCCCCTGAGCCTGGCTGGCATCTAAGAGGTTTTTGCGCACTGCATATCGGCGGGCGTCCTCCCGACGTAATGTATCATTGAAAATCTTTTGGAGGGCCGTTGTGACGGTGAACCTGACGATGAGATAGGCTTGTTCCGCGATGAAGACGGTTAGCAGTAGTGAGGATAGCTTGACCTCGGCTATCGGCCCACGGTATAGGTGCACGATCGCTGCGGTGGATAGTGTACCTAACCAAGATAGGAATTCCAGTCCCATAATACAAGGACCGATGGAGTCTGTCCGGATAGGTGGGGGTCGCTGGCACTCAAGGGTGAGTTTGAAGAAATCGCCTCGCAATTCCAGCCAGTTATTCAGAGTGAAACCAAGGGGAACGAGTGGCCATGCAACACCGAACAAAGCAAGATAGCCGAACTGGACACACATCTCCAGAATATCGTCTTCTACTTTGTACTCATCTGCGTCGGCTTCGCTGCGTACTCGTTTCAGGAACTTGGCTTCGCCCGGAGGATCGATCAAAAGCATGTCGGTCGCGGTGGAGAAGCTGCGCTGTCGGGTCAAGCCATGCTGCCGATCGCGGTAGTTTCGCCATTTCTGCCAGAGCACATGCTTCACGTAGGGGATGACAATCTCCTCGCAAAACCCGAACACTTGCGCAGTCATGGACAGGTAGATGACCTCCTGCTGGAATCGAGACGTATCTACCTCGAACTCATTTTGGGCCATGTCCATGACGCCACTTCGTCCCAGAATATCCAGATATGGCACAATCTGTTTGCCAAAGGGAACGTAGACGTAGGCTGTGAGGAGGGTTGGCAGGAAGGAGGTAATGAAGTTCATGATGAAACTCTTTTGCGTCTGGGCAAGGTCGAAAAGGTCTTGTGTTCGGTAGTTTTCGTATTTGGTCAGGCGGGTTGCTATGCTGTTTAGGAAAGAGGTAATGGCGGGTAGTGACAGCGAGAAGAGGATGGTCGGCACGAATTCCAGATATCCCTTGAGCTTGCCATTATAGACCTCCGAGATGAAAACCTCTGATGCGAAAGTCACGACGATGAGACCTCCAAGTGCAACGGCAGCGATTGAAGCGAATGGAATGAGGAGTAGCTGTCGCGAGAACTGCTTCCAACCGGGAAACACCTTGGTCACTTGACCACTAACAGGGTCGCGGACCTCCTTCTCCCACTGATACTGAGCCCGGTTTACCTTCAAACTACCGACACCTTTCACTCCCCATCGCATGCTCAGGTCATGTTCCCGGATCTTCCAGAACTCCACAAACACCACACACCAGATACACAACGAGATGCCGTAGATGATGGAATAAGGGCCTGAGTACATCCATCCAATCATGCCCAGGACCGTGGGTACAAGCAAGAATTGCGAATAGCAATGAATGAAGGCATAATAGAACGCGACCTAGGATTCTGTTAACATCTCATCTTGAAAGTTCACTTCCCGTGATACCTTTTCGCCAAACATGGCGCGAATCGCGTCCAAATCCTCACTCGTCAAATGATTTTTCCGACTCCATTGACGCAGCATGGCCGAACATGCGTCTTGATCGTGCAGTGGGAATGACGCGGTGACATTGCTCCATTTTCCATGGTTCGGTGTAATCCCTGCACCACCAAGCTCTTTACTCCAGGTAACAGCGTGGTATACCGATCGCAACTCTTCGGATGGTGTTTCGGCGTGTACGGTATCCTCGCCAGTTGGTAGGGTATGTATAATCCCAAACAACCAGTCTTTCACTCTACAACCAATCAGTATATCATCTCTTATCATCAATTCTACCAAGCTGATTGCTCATTGCTCATTGCTCATTGTTTATTGCTGATCTCTCACCTTGACTGATGCACCATTTTCCCGAGCTGGTCCCGGGGCATCCGCAAACACATCAATAGCGAAGACCCATGGCCATGTCGGACCTGAACGCGAAGACCAGCTTCGGTCAGATCGCTAACTAGCGTACGAAACTCTGTTATTGCCTGTGCTTGGTCTAGAAGATCGTCAGTTCACGCATCAATGCCTCCGGGGTACCTCATGCAGCACGCACCGATACTGCCGAATTCGTACTGCAACACCCAGTCAACGCCTAGATTATCATTTTCCTCGTCATCGAGCTTGCCGTACCCCGCGAGCCAAGACATGGTTGGCAGGGAGCAGCTAAGGGAGGGGGTAAAAAGACGGTGAGGGGTGAGTTGGAGAGAAAAAGGGAAATTGAATTAGAGGAACGGTGGGGGAAATGGCTGATGCAGGTTCTACTAGCCCGTAGGCATCGATTTGAAAGGCGCTTAGTCGTTGAACTTGCGTATGGACGTGGAGAATTTTAACCAGGGAATAATTGAGTAGGTCCGTACAACGTACTAGGTTTAATTCCGAGGCCCATTTAAGTGGCTAGCGACCCTTGCATCAAAAAAAGGGTGACTTCATTGCGGGATCCATAACAGCTTCAGCCCTACGGGGCGAAATTACACTAGGTTCGCCACTGCACTAATCGGCGGCTTTTATATTTCTTGGCAACATGGTTAGTATTAATGTAGATCTTGACAGTAATTATAAAATTCACAGGATATAACCTCAGTCAAATGATATTATTCATGTTATTTATTCATGTCATGATTAAAGTTTCCGTAACGATCAATTGTTGCCAAACAGAAGTTCTGCAATGTAACCAGCAATTCCATTCTACCCACTCATCATCTCTTATAGCCCCACATCATGCGTGTTAGCGTATTATTGGTTCCATTTCACAAACGAAACTGATCAAGGCAGAATGCATCAGTATTTATGCAATATATAACGGTAAGGACAAGTTCTGATCTACTACATATTAATGTTAACAAATTACAGTACTCACTGCTGTAGCTTTTAGGGCGAGAGATATCACGAACTGATTACATAAAAAGCTGTTGCCTGACGCTATTGCTAATCCGAAACCCAAGATCGAAATGTGGGTCTCTCAGTCATAAATCCGAGCCGTTTTGGCGTTTAATATGTCAACTTCTCCCTATCCCCCAGGTTTGTTACGTATATGTCCGTCCCCGTAATGGAAAACTCTGTCAAATTAATTTAGGCATGCTGAAAATAGAAATAGAATCCAATTTAACGTATTGAATTTGGGAGCCAATCCTACTCCACTCGGTGGGGATGGTCATTGGGTCTATGACGGCATCCCAACAAATAACTAGACGAGGCATCCCAGTTTCCAGCATCTGAGCCACAACGGGCTTGGTAACCGCCACACTTAGCTTCGGAACCGGAACATTTACTCCCGTGAAGTACTAGTATATATGGGGAAGGGTGATCAGACCACAGTCGATCTTTCTTTACGCACTGAGGCTTCCTTGCCTGGCTCCAACTTTCACGACTTACCTTGCTACTTCGTACTTCGTACTAATTGGCGATCTTATTGAAGTGTACATGTTCTCCAACCTACTCGATCTTATGGCTCGTCGTTTCCTCCAAGGGCAGAATGTTACCTTCGGGTTGAGTTTAGTCCTGTTCACCTTCATGCTATTGCCTACTTTCTTCGTCTTGGTCGCGGTGGTAGTCTTCTTTCTGCTTGTGTACCCTGGTCTGCAGAAATCCGTCGAAACCGATGGCGAGCAAGGGGTCCAGCCACAACAGGCGGAATTGAAGAATTGAGACATGGTATGGATACGTGCACCTCCTCCATTTCGGTAACTAATGGTTATAGTGGGTTCCAAAAGCCACATCCATGCATAACGAATGGTGTTATATGATCGGGCTGATCTGGAGTTTTGTTTAATTGGATTATTGGCTTTATTGATATTCCTTTACAGCTGGAAGGCTGTATGAAAAGCGGGGTCCCTTGCTTAATAATGGGTTCTTTGGAATTTGGTCTTTGTTGAATCAAAGTGAGACTGTGCGGAATCCAGAAGTTGTAATGGAGGTGCCTAGTGCCAAGATTGATTATTTGGTTTATGGACCACTAGCGCCATAAGGCTGAGGACCTTGCGGAAATTGATTCATGAAATGAATTTCATAGCTTGTCAGTTGATTGATCCATTGATCCTTGCCATATGTGCCCTTGTATTCATTGTAGATTGCAAGACTGATCGTAAGTTAAGAACAATTCTATATTTAACGTTCGTACTCTGTATTATAAGGACATTTGTTGGCCCACGACCCAACTCCCTAATTCATACAAATCACCTTCTTTTTCATTGGTTGTCAACTCCGCTCGAGCCACTTTTATTCCTGCGGTTCGCCGGGTAGGGCTGAGGGTAGACTTGGCAGACATGACCGACCAGAACTATGCTTCGTATGGAAAATCAAGATTCTTACTTCATATAATGTGAGCCAAAACTTCTCAATTCGAACAAGCCTCATGTCAAATCATCTGCATTGAATCTTTGAATCTCAAAATCAGTGCTTTTATGCCAACCGCGCAGACTAGAATGGGCTGAATGACTCGATCTACCGATGAACCATTTATGGGTGGGTTGAGTCTGGTTTTTGGGATTGTTGGGGGTTTTGTAGTTCTGATCATTGTTTCGATGGCTGCTGCTGTGAAATATAAACTTTTTTGATGGAATACAAGAGGCCAGGCTGGGTTCAGCGTCGACTTCAAAATTTATGTTGTCAATTAATATATATATGATTGAACCTGTATTCACAGTATGGAAGATAGTTTCCAAGGCTATCTATTTACACCTCGAGGAAGGGGAGGTCACTCATCCTCTCTCGGATTTAAGAGTTGGGAAGATTCGGCATATTGCTGTGTCTGCCTGACGTGAAAATCAAAGCTCAGCTCACCAACAAGTTTTCTCACGTTCCTATAACCATTAGCATTTATTTGAGAAAAGAGTATGAAAACTTACTCAATTAGATCCTGCAAGTTGAAACTGATAACGGTCCTCAGCACTTCCAGCGATACAAAAGCCGAAAACGCCGGGTCCCGCACATGCCGAATACTCAGCAACTCATCATCAATCTGATGCATCTGTCGCGCAAGGGGAAACGATTCCGGCATGGAGAGGTATGGGGGTAAAGGCTGGGCATTCGCAATGGCAGCTGACAAATGGCACAACAGGGAGGTGATACGGTGGGAGTTGAAATCCGCAGATTGTAGAGCAATCTCCGCCAGTCGAGCTTTCCATTTATCGCCATCATCGCTATCTGGGGATTCTGGCTCTATGCCCAGGGCTTCTAGACTCTGAGTTGTGTGTGCCATCAATGACATGCTTGTGAGCATTCGTTGGATCTCCGATATGATATTATCGTAGATCTGTTTTGGGAACTTGCCCCCGATTGGAGGTTCGTAGGTACTAAAGTGGCTGTGCATGCGAAGACTGGTCAAGAGCATCATTTGTTCTTTAAAGATCTTGTGTCTAGAGTGAAGGAGTTGATGGGCCGGTGAGTTCTTGTCGTTTATGTCGCCGAGTTCGTTCCCTAGCCAGAGCTCTATTGTTGTGTGCATGGCGCCGTAGAACTTGGCAAGCACGAAGAGACTTTTGCCGAGGAGTTTGCGGAGTTGGGACTTTGCTGTTATTGGGTATGGGAAGATTACCCAGAAGAAGGAGATCGCGCAGCCTGCTGCAACTGCGGCCAGTTTGTATGGGCCGAATATGTAGATTGGGTAGTAGGGTTGACCATTCGATTCAGCTTCGGTGATGCCCAATTTTCGAACCTTGATGTGTTAGTGGGTAGCCAAGCTGCAGTAAATAGCACATACCTGTAGCTCGTACCCGACGATGACGTTCAATGTGACAATCGCGATAACTGAGGCTCCGAAGTACTGTGGGAATTTTATATAGAAGTAGTACTGCAATTGTCAGTAGTGAACTCAAAGGGGCGTGGTCATCATACCTCGAAGATATTGGCAAGATATAGGAATACGATCACTCCAGCAGTCTTCCCGTCAACGATATACCAGACTATGAGACTGAGGACAAGTGATATCGCCGTCGCTACGATCCGTGCAAAGAATCCAAACATAGTCTGTCCACTTGTCGGGTTCATACCGATGACAATGACAATCATAGCCCAGATACATCTTTGGCGAACAAACCAATCTTGCGTTTGATGCAGGAATGCAAGAATGGCCACACTGAATGAAGCAGCAGCCACACGGAAGCCAAAGGCGCTTTTTTCCGATTTGATGATGTGAGAAATTTTGCGCAGGACCGTACTTCCTTTCTCCCAAATGTTGTCCGGCGGAAGATGCTCGGGGTCAGGAAATCCAGTAAATGCAGGGCGGTGGACATTTGAGGGATCAACAGACGACTGCAGACTATCCGATGGCTTCTCCTTCGGTTCCGCACTGAGCGATAACCACTGACGAATAGATTTCTGCTTGGGGAAAATCAGTCTGTCGCGTTTCATAGTCCCATCAGCAACCTTGCTATCTGCAAATCTGACTAACTGCAGCGTCGCTTTAAGCAGATCATCTTGTAGATGTCCCATGTACAGGATCATGAAGAATTCCTGTCGCACATCCGGATCTGCGCCGAGTATCCCAGGGGGTGCCGACGTGGCAGAATCGAGTTTCTCCGAAAATGCCTCAAGAGACGCCAGCGCCTCTGGCAGTTCTTTCCGACGGGTGTAATAATTCTGCAGCGATTGTTCGAAACGGGAGGTGAAGTCCGGCTCAAGGGCACTTAGAGTTTCACCCCTTGCTTCCTCGTCCCTGGCATTGGATCCATCAAGGTGCGTCATTTTTGTCTTGGACAAATGCTTAGGTTTGATAAGCTCCAGGACTAGCAGAAAATGGTTTAGTCCCTGTTTCACCAGGTAAGAGGCATCCACAAGCCGCGCGTGATGGGTGTGCATCACTTTTTGGATTTCAGAGTGTTTTTCTCCCCCTTCTGAATTATCATCTTCCCGTGCGTCGTCAGCTTCATTCTTAATTATTGTCTCTAGGATTTCTGGCAACATCGACATTCCAGCGAGTGGAAGAAGAAGGCTCCGGAAGAGAGAGGCGATGCTGCTAAGATCATCTGCGGATAGTTTACCCCATGCGATCTCATCTTTGGAGTAGAAGAGATCGGCATGCAGCTTGCTGTGTAGGCCATTGAGTTTAGTCATAGAAGCCTGGAGTGCCTTTTGCTTCACCTGCAGATCATCGCCCTCGCTCTGCATATCCCGGGTGCTCATCGCGGTCCGTGCCCGACGAAGCAGACCCTGTCGACTGAAAAGGCCATTTATGGAGCTGTCTTCCCCGAACGAGATTTGAGTCTGGAGAACTTCATCAACTGATGCGATGTAGTCTTTCATGTCGTGAAATACATTTCCTCTGCTGGTAATGGGGAAGATCAGTAGTGAGACACCGGTTGCGATGGAAAACCCAATCATGAACCCCTTTAGAAGCCGCGCAATGAAATCTAGACCTTCAGACAAGGATGTGAACATGCCTGCACGTGTAATGGTGACTGAAGCAAAAATGGAAAACGCAACCATTGGATCCTGTAGCTCCATTGGTTTTAGTGCACGAAGTGAGTTCGCACCCCTGAATTCCAGGTTAGTCTTGAACCCTGTCCAATGTTGCTATAGACTTACCAGATCATGAAGATCAACCAAATCGCAGCCACGGCGCACGCATCGCTGTTATAGCCAGTGCGCACACTTTCGCTGGCATCCGCAGGGGTATTGTGCTCTCTTGCTCTGACTGCACAGAAGACAGCAAGACAGCAGAGTGATGCGGATACGCAGGCAGATAGGATGTCATAAAATATAATCTTCATAAATTTTGCCCGCGGCATCAAGGCCTGGGATAGGACTGATATTAAGGCGGATAGGTAGCCAATGGTTGTTGTGATTTCTGAAATGGCAGTACTTTGGTATCTAAGAAAAGTTAGTAGGGCCGATCACGACAGTATGAAGGTTGCATACATGGCAATAGTGATAGTCGGCGCCAGCGCTCCTTTCATCATCATGAGTACAGTTCTGGAGTCCAGCCCTAGCTTCGGCCACCAGTACATTGGATCGATATGGCTTTTCAAGTGACATTAGCAAACACATTTTTTGTGAGCGATCTGGGCGTGTTTACCTGATGATCCCGGACCGAGGCCGGGATTCTTTCTGAGCCATGGTAGGCGTGGAGGTTAGATAACCACGTTCAAATTTTCCGATGTATAAATCGATCTATACGGAGCTCAAATGTAGGGAACATGAAGAGATGACGATTTGCAGCGAAGTTTTGTCGAGGCTTGGTGATGCAGATCGGCTTGCCGGTGTTCGATCCGTACCGAGCCAAGTGCCGATGGGGCTGTGGAGACAATGATATCGTGGCTTACCAACTGCACATAATCAATTCAGGAACTCTGGTTTTTTTGTAGCTTTCAAAAGACGGCACCAGCGAGCGGCACGTATGTCTGAACTATGTTCGAAATTTGTTCAAAGTTTCGGTTATGCCGGTTGTCACGTGAGGTTTGAGTGCTGCCTTAAAGCGTCAATTAATTGCCCTGGCCCACTCACTATTGCCCCGGTGGACGAATATTCAATTTTCAAAGTAATCTCATTCTTCAGGGAACTGCAGATTAGGTACGAGTTACTTTACCAAGTAAGAATATCAGTCAACCACTCGTGACTATTGCTGGGTGTACAGTAACGTATTTCATGGGTGAAAGGCGCACCCAAAGCACTTGACAGTAAATGCGATGAATTTCATTCATTATCTCAAGAGAAGCACCTACCTACCTATAATATTAGTGATTTACACATGGATTAATATCTAGACGTCTTAGGGAGTTTCGAGGATTTTCATGACTTGGTGACTGGAACCTAGGAAATTATATATTTCACCCACATAACCATGTACCTAACTTTCAGTGTTGTGATAATATAAGAATTCGGATTTTTGGAATTGATACATGATTCTCAGAATCCTCATCAATGTCTATCGGAAAATACTGGCACAGATTCACAATGTGGTCGTGATATTAGGGTAGTAGATACTGTCGCAGTTCGCTCCCGGCTGCGCCGCCACCCGAGACCCAAATACGTTGCACACAGCGGAGAAGGGTTTTCCCGCTACTCGGGCGTTTTCGCCGATCATTTGATGAGCGTTTCATTTCTTATCCAGACTCCAGGGCAGATTTCAGGTGATCTAGTAGTATAACCTTCGGTGAGCTTGAAATCAACTCGGACCTTTGGATTTAGAACCTTCAACGAACTGCTCGATAAATATAACTTGTAAAACTTGAATATTTAATGTATACATATCGGCGTGCTGACATATACACTCATCCTGCGATAAATGTATTTCTTTAACAACCTTGAACAAAATGATCTCGAGTTTCAAGATTGTTGAATAAAGATAACTTTTGACATTATGTACTGATGTACTGCGATATGCAGGTACCGGATAGACATCAATTAATACGTAAATTGAATCTGGCAGTTGACTCATTTCTTGTGAGAACGTGTCATGTGTTTGGGTGTTGATTGGCCACACCGAGGAGGCTCTAGAATCTACATTCCCTTCTATGACGCAGGTGACCAATATGATGATCAATATGATGGCTGTCAAACTAGAATATTCTCTACTAACGCCTCACCAATGCCCAACATGAGTCAAAAGTGATCTGGAAATAGCGAGGCTAGCACAGCCACAGTGGGGCTCAAATGTGGCTCAGACTAGGACAGAAGCTGGAACTCCAACACCAGCAAAGGACCATGGTAGAGGGTGTAGATTGTTGTAGCTATTGGCCAAACCAATTAATCTGTTTGCATGTACTCCGTGTATCTGTTTCAGTCAATAACGCACAAATGACATCATGTGGAGCGTGACTACTGTGGCTGTCCGCTAGTTTACTCGTATCAGATAACTGAAAAAGGTTAGGCTAGAACGATTTCGGGCATCGTTGCGAAGTTCGGGTTTCTGCGTCTTGGCTTATCGATCAGCGGGGGGCAGTTAAGCCGAAAGAAGTGCGACCGGTGATTCAAGAACGAATCAATTGAGTTATGGCGGAGATAATCATGTAAGATAGGAAAGTCCGACTCTTACTCGGTCTCGGGTTGGTCAGAGACATTCGCGAGGTGCGATCGGGGCGGACGTCGATCTTGTGGATACGTTGCACCAATCAGAAAAATTAAGGATGTCGGACATTGTCCATCTCCTTGTAGGGCGAGGAAAGGGGAAAGGGAAAAGAGATTGAAAGTTAGACGCGTCATTTAGAGGGATAACATGAAGGGATACAAAGCTTACGAAGCTAGAATGTGTCAACATTCATGGATCGACGTAGTTGCGTGGTACATGATTGCTCTCTCCAGGCGGATTCTATAGATGAACCTGGAGAAGTCGTCTTTGCCAAGTCTTTGCCAAGCTGTTTTCGACACATAAGTAGACTTCCCCCCCGATTCTTTCATTCCTTCTATTCTTTCCAGATAGTCTTTTAGACTTCTTCTTCCCATCAACACTTGGCTTCGGTGCCTTGCTTGAATCAGTCACTGGTTCTATAAATACATGCGTGAGACTTCACTCTTCACTGCTCTTATCGTTATCGTTAAGCTGACCCACCCCCAGACAGGATTAACTCGTGGGCGAAAGCTCACGCTTCTTCTCGTGGCGAACCTACCCAACTCGATCCCCTACCCAAAGCTCAAGCTACTCGTACGAACCTACCGGAATCCTCTCAGGATGTACACGTGAATAATACCCCAGCGGTCCCCGACCAGGGGCCCGATGAAAAAAACTCCCAACCAGGCCTGCTCCTTCGTATGCGAAATGGCAGCGGCCGGTTCTACGCCCACACCAAGGATGCCATCTTCCATAGCTGGGTCAATGTCCTACTGGTCTTCGTCCCAGTTGGTATCGCCGCCAAGGCAGCTGGCTTGAACGCGGATATTGTCTTCGCGATGAACGCGGTGGCAATTATCCCCCTGGCGGGATTGCTGAGCCACGCGACAGAGAGCGTGGCCAGCCGCCTGGGTGATACGATTGGTGCTCTCATCAACGTCACCTTTGGTAACGCGGTGGAGCTGATCATTTTCATCATCGCCCTGGTGAAGAATGAGATCCGTATCGTGCAGGCATCATTACTGGGTTCTATCCTGGCAAACTTGTTGTTGATTCTGGGTATGGCGTTCCTGCTTGGTGGTCTCCGCTTCCAGGAACAGATCTACAATAGCACCGTGACCCAGATGAGTGCCTGTCTGCTCAGTCTGAGTGTGACTAGTCTGCTGCTCCCGACCGCTTTCCATGCTTCGTTCTCCGCTACCAGCGATGCGGACAGGCAGACGCTGAAGGTCAGCCGAGGGACTAGTGTCGTTCTCCTGTTGGTATACATTCTGTATATTGTGTTCCAGCTCAAGTCCCACTCCTACCTGTACGCCAGCATACCTCAACGCATCATCGATGAGGAATCGCACCCTGGTGTTCTCGCCGAGTTCTTGAACAGCTCCTCCGACTCGTCTTCCAGTTCCAGCGATGACTCCGTTGATACCACAACGTCCTGGTCAACAGCTAAGCGGATCAAGCGCGCGATGAAGCACCGCAGACGCAGAAAGTCCAGCACCAGCTCCAAGGGCACAAGCCAATCCGTCCACAAGAATGTTATGGTGAATGAGAACCAAAGCTCCCTGGGAAATTCTATCGCCAGCAATAACAACAGCAACTCCTGTGCCGTTGACTTGGAAGAAGTGCGCTACGATGCCGACGACGATGCCAACCCCCGCTCTCGTGACTTCGGTATCTCCATGACCCGCGTCGACAGCGTGCAAGGCAGCGAAAAGGGCCGAAAGAAGGATCGCAAGAAGCGTCGCTCTAAGCGCGTTAAGGAAGCACAGGTTCCTGATACCCAAGTCCAGGCTGCTGAGCCAACCATGAAGGGCTTTGCCTCTGCTCCTAATTTCACCGGCATGGAGGGTGCAGGCGACAACGACAATTCTCGCAAGCGCTCACCATTCGGTCCTATCCCCTCGCTGCTGTCCAATACCGTCTTCAGCTCGCAGTCCCCTAGCATGTCGCCTCGCATTGGAGAATCAACGCGCCCGGGTCTCCATCGTAGTAATTCTCTGCCTGCCCTTATGAATGCACCACGTGCTGGTAATGCAGTGCAGTTTGCCCGTGGTGCTGCTCGTGTCCCTGCGCCCACTGACCCTGTCACGGATACCCCCCCGGAGACAGAGGCTGCCATGTCTCGCACTGCGGCTGTGGTCTTGCTTCTAATCTCCACTGCCCTCGTTGCCGTCTGTGCTGAGTTCCTGGTCGATGCTATCCCCGATATGCTGGCGACTTCGAATGTCAGCGAAGCTTTCATCGGTCTGATCATCCTGCCTATCGTGGGTAATGCCGCTGAGCACGTTACCGCTGTCAGTGTTGCGACGAAGAACAAGATGGATTTGGCAATCGGTGTATCTGTCGGTAGTAGTATCCAGATTGCCATTTTTGTCACTCCCCTCGTTGTCATCCTGGGATGGTGTATGGATAAGGACATGTCGCTGTATTTCACCCTTTTCGAGACGATCTGTCTATTCGTGACGGCCTTCGTGGTTAATTTCCTCGTCCTGGACGGACGGAGTAACTACCTGGAGGGTGCATTGCTTATAGCAGCATATGTGATTATCGCGTAAGTTTTCTCACGTTCCACGACATAGCCTTTCTAACATTTTCAGTCTTGCATCCTTCTTTTACCCGGACAGTCAGGACTCAAGTAACTTAGCCGGTTAGGCCTAAATTTACTTGCTACCCTGAGCGATTTCGACCATTCCTCCGAGGATTGTCCTTTGTTCCTTCTATGTAGTCAGTTCCAGATTGGATATTACTTTGATTTCTATGACAATATGATGATTTTCGGGAACAGGGCGAACCATTGACCCCTGAACCCCTGGCAGTTCCGGTACTCTCTATACATACTGTACCCCTATCTGATGTAGCTGTGGATCCTGCGCCACGTGTGTCACTATAAGTGGCTGTGTAACTGAGCCACATCGGACTTGGCGGATGCGAAACAATTCTCGCAGGGTCTGCCCCACCTAGATGAGGGGGTGAGTGATTTGTTCTTTTTTGATATTGTGAATATTGTACCAGTTCTCATGGCTGTGATTCACTGTATTCTTCTCGAGTCCGGAGTAATCCATACGGACAGATTATTATTTCTATGAGGGGCGGGTCACGTCGAGTTCTACTGTGGAGCTGAACGGATCAGAGTGGAAATGTTGTTATTAAAGGGTGTTATTCTTATCCGTTCACCTTGTCTTATCATTCATTGCTCAGCGCGATGCAACCGCCGGTCTTATGGTGGCACAGCGTCGACTAGTCCATTAGTTTCCATTATCAATAAGAACCTGACGACACCGCGCTGATCTTACACCCAATCGCGACCCATCAATTCAGGGGTCTCTCCTGATACATGTACGGAGTACTTGACGTGGAATCGCATCTGCCTAGTCTGAAGCGGACCGGTCCATGTGTACAATAAGCGCCACGATAATATCGAGTTTAGGGTGAATGTGATAGGGGTTGAAAGTCCACTCCGCAGTGGGGACAACGTGCTTCTAAGCAAATTGAATCCGCTTGGTGGAGGTTTCGGCTCTGAACGGACCTTTACTAGTCTACTAAATAAAGTAATCAGTCGTTTGTCGCTTGTCCCTTGTCTCCATATATTAAATCCTCCCCTTCCACTTCCTCTCTTTCCCCTCTCCATCTCCATCTCCATCTCCCCATAACACCATCATGGCCTACTACGGCGGTGACCCCTACGCTCGCCCCCCATCAGACAGACCTCCCTACGATCGTCCACCTTACCAACAACAATACCAACAGCCTCCCTACGATCGACCCCCCTACGACCGCGGCTACAGCGGCCCTCCCCCGGGTGCCCGTCCCCCTCCAGGCCCCCCACCACCCCTCCCACCAGGCTGGCACCAAGAATGGGAGCCGAACGCCCGTCGCGCATTCTGGGTTGAGGATGCTACCGGTCGTCCCCAGTGGGAACCTCCATTTGGTCCTGGGATGGATTACTCGCGTGGTCCCCCTGGCCCGCCTGAGCCTCAGGGTGGTTACTACAGTGCCCCTCCTGGCCCGCCTCCTGGTGCTTACGATCAGCGCGGTCCTGGTGGGTATGATTACCAACAGCAGCAGCAGCAGCCTGAGCAGAAGAGCAATACTGGAAAGTACATTGCAGCTGGTTTGGCAGGTGTGGCTATTGGTGGACTTGGTGGTGCCTTCATTGAGCATGAGATTGGTATGTCTTAACATTCTGCATTGATGAATTGGCGCTGACTTATTTAGACGAGAACAACGAGGAGGATGATGAGCGTCGCGCTTATGAAGATGGTCGTGAGGACCAATTCCAAGATGACTGGTGATTGTGATGTTGCTTGCGGGGGATCGACACTATTATAGCCAAACCAAGCAAATTCGAGGTTCATTCCATGGTTTCGACTCGGACATTAGCGGGCTTTCAAATGCATTATTACCAGCGACCGTTCTATTTGATTTAGGTCTCAATCCACCTTGCTCATTAGTGTCACTTTCGACAATCCTTTCCATCCATCATTTCAAACCACCTATCGACTTCCACAGATCCCTCCCATTCGCTCAACACGCAAACCCCAACGGCATTCATAACCTCCGAATTTCGTGCTCCGTCGATCTCCCTCATATTTCCTTTCAGCAGCGTACTAAAGCCCACGTTCCCGCTCTCTTCACAACGTTCAAAGCTCAAACCCAACCTCACAACTAACATAAATAATCGATCCAGGATGCGCATTCCCATCCACCCCTGTCCATCCTCTTCCTAATATTCACCCAAAGCTCTACTCCCCTTTTAAGCGGATACCACATCATCCCCGCAGATTCCCGATGAGAACAAACCACAAATATAACAAACCTCATTCCCGTAGTGCAAGAACTGGATCAGCAATATGCTTGGAAAGTGCTTCAATTGCAAGTCCTCGTGCGCCTTCTAGTGTATCGGATACGTATTCTACTCCTATTACGTGGCGGTTGGTACGTGGTTCGCGAGATATGCTAATGCTTCCTGGATCGTAGCCTACGTCGAAGATTTTCATGAAATATTTATCTACATTGGGTTGTAGATTGGGTTGTCTGCTCAAGATTTGATGCAATTGGATGTAGTTGGTTCTATCAAGCCTCAAAGGTTAGGTTGTACGGGCGCGGGACGACCGGGATGGTGTTTAGTTTTGACTGGCTGGCGAATGATTAGTTGTTGGAATATTCAAGTGGTTGATATGTGATAAGTTACATAATAGCCTTTGATGAACAGCCTGAGTAGATGGGATGATTTCTAAATTTACATGTGGATGTCATGTTAATACCTCGATTCTGCTTTATCTCTTGCGACATTTGGAAGCTTTGCTATAGAATGAATGGCGATCCGGAAGATAAAAACCTGGAAACCTATAACATTTTGAAGAAACTCTTTTTATATAAAAAATCTTGAAGTAACAGTAACCAATTAAATTGCAAACTCTGCAGTTGCAACCATTTCGTGGTTGCCGCTTATCCTTAAACCTTTCAGGATTCTTCTGGTGGTTTACTCTGTGTGAGACCATGAAGGCTTAAACTTCTCTTTCATCCCTTTCTCTCTTCCTCCTCCACATCATAATTTCTTGTCCGCTCTCCTATCATATTTGTTCCATTTATCTGGAATAATGCCACTATCATAATGCGATAATAAGCCAAGACTCAAATGCATTTGTACCGAGATCAGCCGAGGGCACGTGTGGGTGCGCAATCATATTTTGCTGTCCTATAAGGGCTTTCATCCTTATACCATTAGCGCTACAGTGGGTATATTCTGTTTGATAAATCACATTTGTGAACGCCACAGCTTATCGAAAACCAGACCCTGGTTACATACCGGCTGAGTGTGCGTCGAAAATGACTCGGCCACCCGGCCACGGGCCCCGAGTCTTAATGGTTTTTTACATTTTCTCACTTCATTTGATTGAATTTTCGTTTTTTCATTATATTCCTCAATATCTACTACTATACTTGAAGGTTGATATTCATATCATCTCTAGAAGTTTTATCACCAGATCATACTATAATAATAATAATATTATTATTACCTGGAGGTATTCCTCCACCATTTGTTGGACCTCCCCTTAAAGGTTCAACATTTGAAGAATTTAATAAATCATGTATATTAATATTAGTAAAACCTTCTCAAAATAAACTACTTATACCCTCTGATGATGTCCCCATTGTACAATAATAACTATCTAAAAAATTATTTAATAAACTTTGTTTATTAATATTAATATATATATAACATCCTGAATATAAATTACCATTAACATAAGATGGTATTACCATATTATGTAAATAATCACGCATAAAACTATCTAATAGTGATATTAATAAATCTGGACTATTTATAGTATTAAGAACTAAGACGTGTTATCCAACGCAATACGTCTTCAGTCCGTGGCTTTGGTCGAAGCCTTGTTAAAGTCCGGCAAAGATCCTAATACGTGTGACATTTTTGGACGTACGCCCTTGATGACTGCCACTATGTGCGGGAGGGACGACATAATCACCATATTAAGAGAAAACCCAAGGATTGATCTAGATGCCACTGATGGTTTTGGCCGAACTGTATCCACGGAAGCGGCTAGGATGAAGATGGCCCAGATGGCGAATCTTCAACGGGTAGAAAGTTTGGGCAAACAGGGTCTGGGTTCCACACAATATTTCGATAATGTGCACGCTGAAATGAGTGATGACCCGATGGAAGATTCCAGTATGATAGACGAGTACCATTGTGACGTCTGTTGGTTGCGATTCGATCGAGACTTTCAACCGATGTTTGATGATGAATGTGTGTGTAATATTCACAGATTTCTGGTCTGTGATGACTGCCGAAGGCTCGGCGCAAGGTGTCCTAAAAATCATGAAGACAAGGACTCTGAAGTGTGGGATAGCTGCTCATCAGTGACAGGCTCATCAAATCAAGCTTGTGCAACAGGCTTAACAATTAAATGGAATGCTACCAGCGAGTCCGGCCCATCATGTAAGAAGCACATCTGGGTCTCGTATCACTTTCTGGTTGCGTCTCTTGCCAGTTGTGCATGTTTAGGGCACTTCGTGATGGGTTAGTGAGGAGGCATATTCTTTTCTCTATCTTTCCATTTCCCTTCGAACTTAAATATTCTGTACCGGGTGTTGTGATTTCGGATTGGCTAGGTTTGTTGTTATTTCAATCGGGATACCGCGCGCAACTTCTCCCTGTTATTCTCTTTCCTCTTTGCCCCAAAGCTCTTCTCTGAAAGCTCCAAGTACGCTCTTAACGGTGGTCTGCTTTTCTTTTTATTGTTTACGTCTCAAGCAGATTCTCCATGGAGACCGAGCTCCACCCTCCCTGTTCATTCTCGTTTTATGGTAAATACTACGTTTGCCTTTTCTCAGCGGCTGGTAATTAAGGCTACTTGACTTCTGTACTATCTGCCGTACGCCACAGTTTTTAACTCGTGCATTTTTACATACCCCGCTTCCAGAGCTGATTACGAGACACGCAACAGAGCCGGATTTTTTAAGTAGCAAAACATGCTACAATAATACTTTTGATTCATGACAACAATCACCAGCAAAATAAAGTGACGATAAAAACTTAATGAAATCTTGCAACCTGACTCAATCTCACCCTTATCGCATTTCCTTCACTTGCCGAGGTGCGGCTGGGTGGCTTATAGCCGCGATTCTGATTAGTTCAATCCCCGGAGAGGCTGTGCTGAAATGGTTTACCAACCTTTCCTAAGGGCGCAGTGACCTGGAGTTGGGCTGCTTGCGCAGAATATTTTGGATGCCTATGCATCTTCTCTTTTCTTTGTCTCATATTCCCTATTTACTGTCCACCAAGCCAACACGACCACTTCTCCGTGTCAGATGAAGTGCCATGATTTACAGAGGCTACATATTGTGCTTTGTCTTTCTCTACATAGTATGCACAGTCGGACGACGAACCCCAAAAGAAAAACCAGCTATATTTCCGACACCTGTCACCCCTCGCGAAATCTCGCCTTCTACAAAAATGCAATCTCCCGCCACACCAACCCTGTTATACCTCCCCGTCACGTCTGAGGAACCTGATGCCCTTGGTATATCAGAAATAAGTGGCCTCTTCGGTCCCGGAGCCTGGGCAGGCTGGTTCCTCACACTGGTGGCATCCTGGTGGAGAATTTCCCGCGTCTCAGAGGAGAAATTCGATCCAAACACAATCGTCTTTCTTTTTAGCACCAACTGGGCTGCCGTTGATGTCTGGAGAGGTGTTCAAAGGGCACACAGTATTCCACTGAATGCGCCGGACTATAATGCACGAGTAAATCGTGGCTTAGGCTCTCTTGGGGCTGCTTACAATTTTATGTTTTGGGGCACATTTCATGGCCAGCTTCAACTTGCGGTTACATTTTATGTCTTCCACTCATCCAATGCCCAATCCAGACGTATGCGGACTCATGCTGTCGGACTTCTTTTGCCATTGGTGACGTTGGTGAGATTTCTACCGTCCAATTATGAACAATTACCCGCATTATACTGGCATGGGATGGAGAGGGGGGTGCATGAGAGCCTACTCCTTTACGCATCTCTCACCGGATTTCTAGTCATAGCAATTTTTGCGTGGTTTATTTTCGAGATAACCACCGTATTGCCCATATGGATCACTGATCGGGCGAATGCCGCGATGGCCCGGATTGCGTCTGACCGACTAAGACGCTCGATTCAGATATTTGCCATTTTCTCCCATGTATTATGCCTCATCTCATTCGTCCTGCTCTCAATCTTAGGTAATTACCGCTGGGCTTTCGGGTTTTTATTCTTCATCGTTTATTGGATTGTCATTTACCCATTTTCACATTTATTGGAAACCATCTTCACTTTAATCATGGGTCCTATCATTTTAGCCTTTATTTTCCTTCTCATGCTTGAAGAGCATATGATCGAATACATCTTCAAAGCATATGTTACTCGAAGTGTTGATCATTCAAAATCGTGTTTCTTTATGCCGTGCGCCCCACAGTCAATCACAGATGAAGATCAGTTGCAGAGTCTGGTTATATCTTTTTCGCTATTTTTGGCGTTCGACTTTGTCCCAGTTGTGTGGGGGAAAATCAAGGCCCGGTATAGAAAAGAAAAAGATTTTGTATTGCAGATGGAACGGCGGATGAAAGATTTAGAAGTGAGGCAGCGCCTAAGACCCAGATTCGGTCAAGAGGAAGCCTGAAAAGATGAGCGAGGTGCGCTTTTTCAGTGCCGTTGCTAAGCATCATAGTTCTGGGACAGGGAAGGAAAACAGAGATCATAGTCTAGATAGTGATTTAGGTTCGCAACCATTGTAATAGTCTAGTTTCTCCTGTTAATGAGGTCTTTTCCTATCGTGTATAATAACATCAGCTATACCAGCTCATGCATTCAAGGGACTGCTGGATTGAAGAGACCAGGCGTCACTAGTTCAGCAACCGACTCGACCGCTTCCCATTTTAGAAAAGTTTCAGAGAATAATCGTGCTTCTCTCGAGCGCGTGAAAATTCCGAATCCAGGAATTAGTAGATGTTAAGAGAAAAAGTGAGATTTAAGACTAAATCACGCACAGTAATATGATGCTGGGACTCGAATTTTCGATTAATGACGCCATCGGTCTTAGCCTAAGGGACTAATCCCGCGCGTTCTCCATAAACCAATTCACACTCCGCTCCAGGCCTTCCTGCATATTCACCTTTGGGCGATATCCAAGCACCCGCCTAGCCTTGCTTCCATTAAGCGTACGCATTAGGGTACTGAACCGAATACCCTCACGAGTCATATTGGCCTTTTTACCATATACCAACCACGCAACCCACTCATTCACAAATCCAATTGTTAGCCCAACCCACTTCGGGATCACTATGACATCCTCGGGTCGGATTGGGTTTCCCGTTATAGCAGAAACCGCCCGCTGGAAGTCCCAAAAGAGCCAGGGGTCTTCATTCGTGATATGGAAGCATTCGCCATCGACACGTCCCGCAGCTTTGTCAGTCGGAGGAGGCTTTCCCCATGCATCAAGAAGGCCATGGGCGGCAAGAAGATGTGCATCGGCAAGGTTTCCGACGTAGACAAAATCGTACGGATTCTGTCCCTTGCCCATCTGGAAACGGGACTTGCCTTGACGAGCCACGGCGAACATCTTGCCCAAGGTGCCGGCGTCACGCTCGCCGAATGCAAGACTCGGTCGGATCGCGCAAGTCATTATGCCGTGATCGTCCTGGCCGCCATTGCGGTTGGCAGCTTGGATGATATCTTCCGCATCTGCTTTCGCAATGCAGTAGAGGCGCTTTTGCCGTGGAGGACGGAGGATTGGCATTTCCTCTGTAGCATCGATGAGATCGGTATGGTTGTCGTTTATAACGCCCGAAGTTGAGGTATTTACCAGGGCTTTCACGGTATTCAGCTTAACAGCAGCCTCTATGAGATAGCGGGCACCGTCGACAATAATGCCGCGGTACGCTGACTCAGGTGCATCGGAGAATTCGGGAGATGCAGTGTGGAAGATGGTGACAGGGCGGGAGAGCTGCATGATCCGCTGCACGTCCGCAGCGGAGGATAGATCACCATAGTGGTAGTGCACATTCGGGTCAGGGTGGCGGTTACGGTCGGTATTCACGTCAATTGAGTGAATTATGCAGTCAGGCTCCTCCTCGAGGATTTTAGCGATGATGTGGTAGGCAATAAAGCCATTGCCGCCGGTAACAAGGACGGAGCCGAATTTGTTACTTGACATAATTCTCAGGTAAAAAAGGGATTGGGATGGGACGGATTTGTAAAAGAGGGTAGAAGCAGATTATTTATAAGGAGAAAAGTCCACGAGTCGGATTTCCAGGTGAGGGGAAAGCTGTGTGTCTTATTGTGTTTGGGGGCAGAAACAAAGAAGTGTACGCTTACCTGCAGCGGGTTCAACTGGATCAACACCCCTGCAAGTGCATGAAATGCGGAGTTCACCTATCAGATTGCCACGATACCACTATGGCAATTTCCACATGTTTGGGATCCTTTTGATCGCATAATTTTGACGTATATAGCTCAATCTAGCTTCTTATGTCTGAAGCCGTAAATAGATTATCGTCGCTTATTTCAAACTCTTAGACTGTGGCGCGAGGATATTTGATTACTCAGCCTTATCTCCCTGATTTAACCGACTGGTGGGATTTTCTTAATTTAACCCTTAGAGATGTGACACATTATTGATGATCCATCCTGCCTCTAGATTATAGCATGAGAATAGCGTAAGAGTAACTACTTAGAAGACTTTTCAGCCTCATGACTCCCGGAATCACAATCAAGTTAAACAGCATTGTCAGCGAGAAACTCCAGCTCTTGTGTGTTCGACCGGCTATCTGTTCTGACATTTTTGAGTCTTTCCCAATTCTGACTTGTTGGTCTTCTGGTAGATAAGTTGTTCCGCAGCTTATCAACAGTCTGACTGACCTTGGGAGACTCCTGTGAATTTGTATTGTGAAGTAAAGACACAGCTGAAGTATAAAAGGACGAGCCGAGAGACCGAATCCGGGCGAAGAAGATCGGGAAAGATGTTGCGCACGCGACAATGATGGCGATATTCATCTCAACGATCCTAAGTCACAGTCAGTCGGTAAAGTGCGACTAATTCACTGTCATTGATACATACGTGAACTGGGCATTGCGGCCCGTAACCCAGAAGACATCAGACTTGTCATTAATCTGGAAGTTGATCAACCGAGCCAGACTAGTGGCACACGCACTGTGAGATGTAGATTCTGTTAGGAATGGATGCGTTGAAAATAGGCATCATATTTGATACTAACCCGAGCCCACTCATAAACGTCAGCAGAAGTCCAATTCGCCGCCGCCGACTAACCTGTAGCTTGACCAGACGCGGGATGGGCAGAAGCAACACGTAGAAATCGGTAACCACGTTAATCACAGATTGGATTGTGATCATTGTCCCGGCATCAAACTTGCAGTATGAATTCTCAAGCTGTGATAATTCTGCGCATTTCACCATACTGACGACTGCTATGCAGATGCAAAAGATATATAGCACCGCAATAGCAACTATACCAACCCAAACTGCGATTATTTCACGGCGCAGCGGGAACACACGCTTATAAAGAAGGAGGATCGAGATTTTCGCGAAGCAGACAGTCAGGGGGAAAGTAATTCCACCCGCATCGAGTATCTGTAATTGTCAGCTCTTTGAAATTGCTGGAATGCTGCTCGAACTGCGTACACGGTTGGAGGCAGGGTCAATGAGATTGATTGCCCGTACATCCCACATGTGCCGTCCTATCCCTAGCGGCAGAGCTTTCATGTTTGTTAGCAGCGTGTTAGGGTGATCATAATTGGAATCATCACTTACTTTGGGTGTACAGCGTCATATGAGCAAAAGCGCCGCACTAGTCTGTTAGAATATTGAATGCTGGTTGTATTCACCCGAGATCGACTCACTGCTGCAATGATACAGGTAGCTAGATGCTGTAATTTTAGTGAAAAATCTTGACACATGGGGAATGAGCTGAGTGCATGATACTAACTATCTTCAGCGCCCCATAGTTTGATGATACTCGTCCGTACCCAAACACGGACAGAAACTGCCAAGAGCGAGAGGAACAGGAAGATTGTTTGTAGCACAATAATTGCTGTTCGTTGGGAAGGTGGATTTATGAAGTTAGAGACCTGACCTGCAGGCGGTGCTTCGGCTGGCGTGTTGTAATCCATGGTCAAGCGATGGCTTGTTGGACGAAATGGGTTCTTTCGGCATGGCGATTTGCATTTAAATGCCCATTCACTAAAAACACACGCTGCAGCCCCTAAAACATCAGAAAGGGGCCAGAAAGAATTGCGGAGAATAAAACGAGCAGAATGCAACAAGTGTTAAGCTCGGGCACCGTGCGGTCAGCATGCGAGTGTGACTGAATTAGGACCGCTTGCCATGAACCCTGGGAAGCGTGAAGGAGGGTGTATAATTCCTGTTTTGGGGGCGATTTTCAGCCGAGCTGCAGCTTATTCGCTTGTAATTCTTACGCCGAGTCTTGTGGCTCGAGTTAAATATAATCTCAACTCTCCAGCATGGCCAGCGAATAACGCGCTGCAGGGCGCATGATAAGAGCCTTCCTGCATGAATACCCCTCAGTACTGCATTTTCAGACAAATAACGTGCTTGAATCCGACAGCGACTGTGGGAATCGATCAGGTCAGCGAGAAAGAACTTCATCCCGGTTTTACTTCCACCACTGCTCTTTGGTGTTTGTGAATGCCTTAGGCACACGCACCTGTAGGACTTAATCTCACTTTGTCTCTTCCTTCTCACCCACCTTCTGTTATATCCATGCGTCGAAGGGTCAAATTATAGAGAACGTGGTGATGGATGCACAAAAATGTGATATGAAGTTGTAAGAACGAAGAGAGAAGAGGAGAAAAATTGGGGAAAGCCCCATTGCCCAGCGCTGGAAGTCGGCGGAGCACGCACACGCACAACCACACGCTCCAACAGCACGCACTTTTTTCCTTCCTCCGTATCATGCACATCGGAGACTTGAAAATTCAAGTACCTTCATGTACCGATAAAAGTGCTCTTGCCAACACTCTCTCGCGCAGCTGCAGGTGGCTTTTTGGGCCCCTACCTTTTCCCTAGTGCTGACAATTAACTATCGACAGCCACTACCATTGACCAATAGTAAGTGATAAGATCTTAGTCATAAAGTCTAATTTGGAAGAGACTGGAGATATTAGAGGGTTTGAGTATATTATGGTGTCTAGGTTGTTGATTGATTGTCCGAACCGCTCTAGAAACTGGCTGAGAAAAACCACTGGCAAACAGTGATGCTATTTCGCTGTCGCATACTATATCTATATTACACAGGTCTTCTCATTTTTGGATAGAATATTCCGAGGTGAAAGAACCAGCTGCATGTCAGTTCCTTCTGCAGGTCCTCCGGGTCCCGAAGATACCGGCGTGAATTGTATAGCTGGAGTTGCACTCAATGGCCTCATTTCAAAACGGTGCATCATCAATGCAGTAAAAGTCAATGCTAATCGTTTGCTCAGCAAGCGCCCGACACACTTGTGCTTTCCCGCGCCAAATGGCAGAAAGCTTTTACTATGAGCGAGGGTAGGGTTAGAGAGAAACCGGTCTGGCTGGAAGGTATCCCAGTCCTGCCCAAGCAGTGGATGAGACATGGCGAGTTGACGGTACGGAATGAGAATATGAGCGCCGGCTTTGAATAAACGGCCGTTGATAGTTAGGTCTTGTTCGACTGTTCGTGCAGAGCTGGAGTTCATAGCCAGTCTCTGAGTTTCGTTGTAAAGAGCGTCGAGAAAAGCGTTCTTCTCTAGACGAAGCGAAAGGGCCGAGAGGGATTCTGAAGCATGGTCACTTTTCGATATAATGGTGTCTACTTCGGCCACGACCGCCGTCAAAGTTGCCTGATCGGAGCAGATTTGGGCGGGGAGCCAGAAGCACAACTTAAAGATGTTTGCGTTGGCGCTGAAGGGGGTTAACATTTAAGAACGGAAGAAATGAAATGGCGGATAAATATCGAATAAAGTAGATTCGAACACTCACCCCCAGAGAATCATCAGTAGGTATGAAGCCATGTCGTCTTCGCTCAGTCCACGTCGCTTCATCTCCTCAACAGAGCTTTTAACGGCCCAACACTGGTCCTGCTGGCTCGCTGGAGGCAAATGCATATATTCCACTAAGCAGCGTTTTATCCTTGTCCTAGCAGCACGAACCTCTTTACCGCATGGCTGTGGTAATTTGAAAAGCAGCTTCCAAAGGTCTTTCTCCAGGCACACCAGATCTTCAACGATACACGGTGAAAGGTTCCAAATCGAATTTCCGAACCAGGACGTTGTCACCGCGCGGATGATCGCGGTTTGCGCCAAATTCCATAATGAGACAGTCTGCTCTTCCCTGTGCTCACAGGTTCGTAGAAGAGCCGGCGCTTCTATTCCGTTCCAGCTAACATTGGACTCAAGAACTTCCAGAGTTCGAGCGAGCAGCTCAGTGCTTAAATCCTTCTCGAGGAGCTGCCTCCTCATGAGGTCCTCTGCTACCAGGACTAGTGGTGTTGCCTTGGGTCTCGAATCTTGATCCATTTCCGTGATTCCTATATTCGAGCAACCAAGGCCCATGAGGAGGTTCTTGAGGTGCTCCGCATGATTCAGTTGAGACGGTTCTCTCAGCACCGCAGCGGCATCCTGCTCGGACAGGATGAAGTATATCTTCTGCCCAAATACGTTGATAGCCACTGGCTCTCCGCTTCCATTGCAGTATTTGCTATTATTTTCAGAATTAGGTGGTACTAGGTATAAATTTGATGGTTGAGGCACTTACATTGCAAATGATAGTAGATTGTGAGGGTTCCTTAACATCGAACTGGCATGGCCTTTCCAAATATTAGCGCTACACGGGAGGATCGCAGCAAAACTAAATAAGAATCCTTACCAACAACTATATAATTTTGTCAGCAATGAAATAGAAATTCTTGCTGATCCAGACTCACATGGGATCCAGTATGGTATCTCCTTCGGTGAGGGGGGCTTGAAAAAGGGAGAGATGGAGAATCGCCACAGGCGCCAGAGCACAAAAGCTATGAGACCACAGCTGGCTAGCTTCAGCAGGCTTGATTCGCCCTGGCTAAGCCTAAATTCGGAAATAACATATATCATGATGCAGAGTACGCAGGAACAAAACTGAGATGCAAAAAGAGCTTGATGTAGTGCTCGGTAATCCTCAGATGTACCCTTTTATCGAGCACGGCTTTCTGTGACAACAAGGCAAATTAATTCTCCACTGTGACACATTAGTGCATGCTACATAGGCATTTCAGATAGGCTTAGGGGCTTATGCGCGCCGGACTTCAAGGGCCAATCCACTTTTTCCTTGACATCTCCAGTATGTAGGTTGTACATATAAGATACATGTGGCTTTCGGGGTAGGATAAAGGGTTATAGTAGCGCCTTGACTGCTCCTAAGATGAGTTCAAATGTTGATAGCATACATTTGGCACCATCCCAGTGGGTTGACCTAATGTGGGAAGCCGACATCACGAAGGTCAATGAACACATGAGTAAACTTAAAAATATATTTCTAAAAGTAAATAAATAGTTAATGTAGATTTATCACAGATAAATATCAATGTCACTTAGTGTTCTCCACCGCATGTGAGCAAAATGACATTAGAAGTGGGGTAATTCAAACACGTAGGTAAAAAGGCAACCCGTGTACTCTATGCAAGTAAGCAGTAAGTGCAGGACACTTAGTGCTTACAGATACTCTAAAATACCCGAGTCACGGCTTCGTGCTAAACTTGGCATATTAACCGACAGGCAAACCTCCAAATGTTGTAATGATAGCTAGTTACTACTTTCGCTTCCGGCTTTGCATACATTGGCCAGCAGATGGAGATATTTTAGGAGCATAGAATATAGTGTATACCCCGCGCCTCGACTCTCATTATTAAGGCTATATCTCTATTATACGATAAATTTTATTTAAGTATCTGTCTCTTTATAGTTGGCTTTCGCACAGCGGTTCTGTCTTCCTCATTGCGCTACTCTAGAGGTACATGATAATTCTCTCTGATTCCGCATGCCAATCTTATCATATTCACTCAATATGTGGGTCGCTCATATCTATGGGGCACTGCTACTGCTCTTTTTGTTTGGTTTGTGTGTTCGCATAAGAGCAAATCTGCCTCAAAACCCAGTATGTAAAAAAAAAAAAAATGCAAATTAGAAACGCTGCTAATAACATGACTCCAGGAGAGACGCCAAAAAATTATTTTTGTTGAGCCTTCTATATATGTTCTGAAGGTCATTCGCAAGATCCAATATCTCTGGAAAGGACCCGAGATATTACGAAAAGCGCACGTAAGTGTTAGGATCACAGTACCGGAATTGGAGATTACTAAAGCGGTATGAAACAGATAAAAGGAGCGCCATATGCAATAGCAACACCGGAAGCATATCAGGTGCATTTCACGTCTAGGGAACACATCAAGGAACTGGTTCAGGCGCCAGATACCCACTTGTCACTCCATGCCCTAGCCAAAGACGTACATCTCCTTTCTTAATCTTTATTTGTTTTTTTGAAAAGTACTCAGAACTAAATGGGAATAGATGTTCCAACCCAAATACACCATGAACGGCCTCGGAGTCGATGAACGCATGAGCGCCAACGGCACGGTCCATCAGCGGGCCCTTCAAGCTGAACTGCGATCCCACTTACCGCATCTGACGCAGCCCTTGACCGACTGCATAGCAAGAACGCTCACCAAAGAGATAACAGACAGCAACTATGTGTCCGGGGAATGGCGCACAATTTCAATATTCCCAATGGCGAAGCGACTCACAGCAGCCGCAAATTCCCTGATTTTCTTCGGCGCAGAAGTATCGAGTGATCCAGTCTTTCTCAACGCCGCCCTCGAGTATCCAGAGCACTTGATGGAAACAGCCGAAGTCCTAAGACTACTGCCTTCATGGCTTGCACCCTTTGTCGCGCCATATTTAATGCGCCGTCACCGAGCACTGAAAATACTGTTAGACCGCCTCACCCCCATAGTTGAAGATCGTATCCTCAACTTCACCACTACATCAGAAAATGCAGACTGCATCCAGTTCTTTGTCAATGCAGCCGAGCGAAAAAATCAACAGCGTGAATGGCCCGCCCAACGAATTGTCCAAGTCCTCCTAGGCATCTGGTTTGCATCCGTTCACCAACCCGCAATGTGTCTTTTTTATGCCCTCGACGATCTCTGTCTCCACCCAGAATTCACCACTGCGCTGCGTGAAGAAGTGTGCAGCGTTATCAACGAGAATCCCCATGATGTGTCCAGCCTCCCTTTACTCAATGGCTTCCTCAAGGAGTCCGCGCGTCTTAATCCAACCGATTCTATCTCGCTACGGCGCAAAGTTCTTCGGCCATTCACGTTACAAGACGGAACAACCCTGGTGAAGGACGATATCGCGTGTATCCCTCTAAGACCGATCCTTGAAGATACGGAGATCTACACCGACTCGCTCACATTTAATCCCTACCGGTTCATCAACGACGCTCACCTGGATAAAGCCAAGCCTGGCGCTTTTGCTACCTCAGACTTTACAGACGCCGACTTTAATTTTCCCATTTGGGGACTGGGAAAACGAGCTTGTCCAGGTCGGCACTACGCCTCACTTCTCCTGAAGCTGGTTCTAGCCCAGATCCTTCTCCGCTATGACGTGAAGATGCTGGAAGATGCTAAGCAGGACCAAAGGTATTTCTATTGGCGGTCCGCGATTGTCCCGAAAGCTGGGGCAACGTTGCATTTTAGGGAACGAGGCTTGGAAATACCCACTCTAGCCAGCTAGTGTAAATTACATCTAGGGCTTCCTCTGATTTCTTTTACCGTTTAAAGGAAATATGTCACATCCCCTATACACGTAAGTTCCAATTGGCAAAAATCAAATTAGACTTTTACAGTATAATCATATCCCAGACTGAACCAGGATCTCCAAAGATCTATAAGATCATACCTATGGGACCGACCGCTAGTGATGTGAGACATGAAGTAGGGATAGGCTTGGAAATGCAAGTAGTAGATGAGCAGAATTTGACAGCCCAGCACATGATTTAGTCAAGATAGTGTAATCTCATTGCCTTTAATTTTGGTCTTCCGGGAATACCGCATTAGGTCTCCCAGCAGAAGTGATTGCAGGTCATTCTAGGCCGTTGTGGACACATGCAGGGACCAAGAAACCAGGAATAGAGGCCGAAAGATGGGGCGGAGCGAGCCCCGCATAAGCTTGCTGAAAGTTCGTGTAACACTGCAAAATCCCTCTCAAATTCCCTGGCGAGAAACAATGATGTACTAGTACCGGGTGGCTTTATTTTGTACGTTATTCACCCTCAATTTTGTCACCCTCAAATGGCATTTGAGGGCTGAGTCGCATTAGCAGATTTGGTATAATGCAAATAATCAATGCACATATCACGGCATGAAGACAAGTGTCTACGAGGATGATGTGCTGGTACCGTAGTTATCTTTGTTGATTTAGATGAGGTTGGTCCTTGTGATTGGGGAAGTTCAAATTGGCCTATCCAGCATGTTGAATGGTCACATAATGTGGCTCGCTGGATGAATTGCAAGACGAGTCTCACGTCACTTGTAACACAGCAATTTGAGTCGAGAGGAAAAGATTCCATTCAACGAAATGACTAGAGCTAAGCAAGAAAGAGAGAAGGAGAAATATGATCTCATAGTACCAATTTTCCTATATGCTAGTCCTGATCCAACGGTCAGAGAGTGCCATGTCCCAGATAGGCAATGTCTTCTTTCTTGCTAATAAACAAAGATGCGTTGCTGGTCATAATTGACCTACGCCTGTTCTGGTGTATGTAATTTCATGACGATTTCGTCTATGAAATTAATTGTAATTTGTGAACATCGAGATTTTATTGGTCCATATATGGCTTGCTTATATGCTTCGCGTGCTTATGAAATATGTTACTTTAACTATGATACTCCTATATTTCCTAGGCATCGAAATCATCCATATTTGAAATTTGGATTTTCCTTACTATGTCGAATATATAGAGATGCTGAATTAAATTATAATAATATGACGCGCTAAGCCTAACATGACTTGGCTATGGATAATATGGTTTGTAAACGTTAGTCAATCGATGCCGGAATTTTTATCTTACCAGTACTATATCGGTATCATGGGAGTTTAGACACCTGGGCATAAACCATATATTTTTGGATATAATTTTGTATTGGAGGATATTACCTATAAGCCATTCCTAAGATTAAAGATAGAGAAATAATTAATAGTGAGCATATATTGGGTGACTGAAACCTCGCAAGTTCATAGGTTCACGACGGTCTTGTACTATGTCTCCACTACCCACCATGTGATTATAAGAGAAATCCACACCGGATCTTACGCTAGGCGTCTACTGGACAATGCAACGCCCTAGCTTAAGCGAAGAAGTGCTACCATTGGGTACCACGACTAGCGTGCGGAAAGGGTCCATGGATGAAACCCAGCGTAAGCGAACCCTTCGCTTACCTAAGCCGATTCATTCGACCGGCGAATCGCAGCATTACATTATAGGATTAGAGATATAGAATAATTCATAGAGATATCATGTTGAGCTTCGGTCATTCTAGGTGTAATGCACTGTTAAACTTGGAGGTTGATGAAAGCTTTTCGGTAGGCATGTCTAGGAATATCCGTATACTAGGTCCGATGTACCTTGGCGTGAGGCTTAATCCCCACAGCTCGGAGATTGAAACCTTGAAAAGCCAGGGTCTGTTACCCCTTTCTACCTAGATATAAATAGGCAGGACCCTTCGTACGTTGAACGACCGCCCCTTTTTAAATATTACCTGAAACTCCGTACTTCTTCCACTTTTGGATACATTTTTGCCCTTACCTGCGCACGCCAACATGAACATCGCTTCTCTCTGGGTCTCTAGCGGCCTAATAATTTCACGGGCTCTAGCAATATCTGCTACGTCCACTACCTCTACTGCCGCGACACCAAGCTGTACATCTTCCCTCATCACCAGCCTCTGCAACTACCCGGAACCAGGCCCAGACTTTGCCGTCGCCAGCGACGGTAGGGCCTTCTGCTGGGACTACTGTAACGCTAACCCTCCTTGCAACTTTGTTATCTTCTCTGCTGGTAATCCTCTCACGGGCTTTGGCACGTGCTGGCTTTACCCGGGTGAAACATACGATGCGAGCAAAGGTAGTTCGAACTGCGACAATCCCAGCCTTTCCGTCTACAACCAGCCCGTGTGTGCTGGCGGAAGCGCAACCACCACTGCTGGTGCCTGCGCCGCCACCGCGACTCCCTCTGCCATTGCCTCTGTCTGTGGGTACCCGGCGCCTAGTGACTGTTTTGACGATTGCTATGCTAGTTCGGGTGCATCGAACTGCCTGAGTCTATGTGCAAAGGCCGATTCCTGCAGCTATGTCGTCTTTAATCCGCACAATCCAGATGATTCGCCATACGCCTCGGGCACTTGCTGGGTCTATCCGAACGGCACATTTAACGCTGAGTCTGTGACCACCTGTAGTGGTGATCCTGAGCAGTTTGTGTATGATAACTCGTGTCCCAAGCCATCGTCTTCAACGTCCTCTGTTTCATCAACTGCTACAGAAAGCTCTAGTGCTACGGAAAGCTCTAGTGGTGCTGGAACTACAGGCATTACTCTTGGATCTACTATTAGCGCTGCTACGCGATCTAATGGCACTGAAACTGCAGGCAATACTGCAGATTCAACTGATAGTAGCAAGAACTCAGCGCCTGCCAGTCTCTCGTTCACTAATCCGTTAGCTATAGGCATGGCTATAGTAATATGGCAGGCCCTTTAATGGTGTTCTTATGTATATTAGATTACTTGCTCGGCCAATAAGATATTGGAAATGACATATTATATATTAGTGCGACCTTGACGTTTGCCCAAAAATCGCAAATCGAATGCAAAGTACTGATCTCTGCTGATCCCTAAGTCTCACGCATCTGAAACTCCACTTCTGTACCCGATGCACAGGCTATGCCATATTTTCGGGGTTACCTATTTGTATCTGAATTCTTTTACCTCGTCCTAATTTAATAAAGCATCCTTTTTTGACCACGGTTCACAATTAATCTTCGCCAATTTCACTTTGATTGCCGAATTAAACGTATGTATGTACTATTCAGATCATAGGCGCTCTTTGATGGGCTAAGTACACCTCCATATGCAAAGACGGAACATGATGGCTGGATACATTTTCGATAATAACTTTTCGGATCCCATTGCGAAGAGAATGTCGTCTTTCAGTTCCTGCTTCCAGACTTCCGAGAACCCGCTTAAACCCCTCAATAGGGGAAATCTGGCGATCTTTTTCCTCCGCGAAGGCGTAAGAAGCATTGAATTTCTCCTCGTCGGATACAGAGACAATTTGTACCGTCACGTCACCTAGCAATCCAAACAAACCAGAGTGTGCGGCTTCCTGAAAGCTAGCATGAATAACAACGACACGCATAATGACCCACCAGCTGGGCACCTGTTCGAAGACATCAAACCTCTCTGCTTCCTGGTTGCACGGAAAGGAGAACCACTCGCGCATTGTCGAGCGACGGCCGAACAATAAGCGACTTTCCCAGGCAATACAGGCCAATGCACTACCCTCGCCATCTTGGTAAATTGCTTGGTAAAGAGGATGCCAATTAATATGCGCAGAGTCTCGTCTGAGGTCTATCCAGAAATCATTGGGATAGCCATCGGTTGTGGTACAGCCCCAAGATACGTCAGTCGGTGGGTCGTCATCGTCCTCTAGAATGACACCGGCTGATTCGTGGGCAACGATGCGCGACTCTTGACAAACGCGAGTGATGACGGGCGGACGGCCATTCAGTCTAGCTGTCAACTTGACACTGCAGGGATGCGGGCCATCAGAATTAGGATTAAAATAAAGCCCTTGGGCTCTCGGAGCATCTAGTTCCCATACGCGGAATGGAATAAGGCGGGGGAGACATTTCGCACCGGCAAAAGGATTGGCTCCCCGTTTAGCAACAAGCTGGAAAGTCAGTCGAACTGTGTGGCAACTTCTCTTAGGTGCCACTTCATGCCAAAAAAATTAAAATAATCGTCCACAAGTTTCGTGGCATCTGCAAACACATCGCGGAGGTACCCATCTTTGTCCTGGATCAGTTGCGTAGCATATGACCGCATGATTAGGCTTCGGATTTAGGCTTTAGTAGATAGCTTCGATGATACGCTAGGTAGGTAATTTGATGCTGAGATATATGTAATTTTTGGTGTCTGATGAGGTTTAGTATGCGATTCGTGAGCACCCCTTACTCGAAAGCGGTTAGGGGTGCGTGCGCGAGTATATAGTCCTAATTCCATCGCCACTGGTACTGGGAGCAAGAAATGAGGCACAGTCCTCTCAGATCCAGCCCACTGGTAATCTCTCTCCAGGCAAGGAAAAGCTCAAGCCCGGGGGCGACACATAAATCCTCAGTGCTAACTTCACATCAGAACCTGAAATACTTTGGCATCTGTTCTCTAAAGAGTAGGCTTTATCTGACGACTTTTATTTATATCCACTCAATTCAAATGGCAAGGCGGCAACAAGACCAGGCAACGCAGGTAAGCTAGGCTAGATATGGTGAGCAGTGTACTAAAATACAGGCCATATAAGGTTCTAAGTATACAGTGTTGTAAAATTTAACCCTAGAATGTTCAATAGGTAAAATATACGGATTAAAGTCAGAGATAACAGTCGTACCTATATATCTAGGAGTCAAGACTATATCTACTGCAATATGCCGGCCTATAGGCCATGTCGATGTCTAGTACCTTAGTATATCGATGAGTCCGACTAAGAGTATAGCTATGAGGATTGCCTTGGTTTAGTAACGCTACCTGTTCATAGTGAGTATCGTTCGTTATAGATTCCGCTTACCGAAGTGATGCTCAATCCTTGAGTCGTCGATCTATAACCGTACCGTCGCCAGTTGGCGTTAGGCCTATACGGACTCGGGCCTATACGATAGACTGTATGATGCGCCAGGTAGGTATGTCTAGTCAAGCTATACTTTCTTTTCAAGTATACCTCTTCTAGTTGACGATTTTCTTGTGCGAAAATGATACGTGAATGAACTGTTGGGTTCCAAGTATCAATAGTGAAAATTAATATGCAGACTAAAAAATGTGTAGTATTGACTGTCCTTATTTATCCTTGGTCCTGTACTATATAAGAGTGCCGCTGTCTTCTTTGTACTGAAAAAATAAACGCTTCACCACAAAAGGGGTATAGCACCAACATGCAAGTATTCTATACAAATTAATCAAATTCAATCTCTGCGGTCGGCTCAGGGTCGGCTCGATGCTTTCAAGATCGACAACGAAACATCTTAAGGGCGGCGGACAAAGGGACAGGTGAAACAAGGATGTAGAATGGTGAGTGTGACTACTGCTAGGGCAACCATCCTAAGCAAAAGAGGGTGTGTTAGTAATTTGTTTGCGCAAAAATATTCATTTGGCGGCTTACATTCCATCCAAAACCAAGAATTCGGTCTCATCTTGCATCAGAGGATTACCCCATCCTCCAGCCATCTCCGGAATGCTATGGAGAAGAATATTAGCCAATTCCATGGATTTGTGATAATGGATTTGTGATAATGGCAGTATTTACCGGTAGATGCAACGAATCAATATAGTAGTATAAGCAAAAACCTCACCAGCACAGAAAAGATAGAATCTGCGAGAATCTTTCGATGACATCTTCTCCTCTTCAGGGGCAGCCTCTCCGAGGCGCCGGTGACGCATAAGACGAATGACAAAGTCGACTCCCAACACTCCACATATCGCCATAGTCACGACCTGAAAAGCAATACCAGCGATCATGATGTCGTTGCCTGCGTCGAGGAGTTTGGCGTTGCTACTTGTTGCAGAAGCTGCAACACCCCCGCCGGCTGCTTGTAGAAGAATCGAGCCAATGTCACAGCCAACAAAGATCCAAGGGTAGAGACGGGGTGCTAGGCGCGATTTTTCGGGTCCAGTAAAGAGCACAATGTGCTTCAAAGACCAATAGATACCAGCAGCCACAAACGAAGGGGCCAAGATAAGACAGATAATTTGAAGTTCGAATCCACTATTATCCCAAGGGTTATTGTGCATGAGAATCCGACCAATGTATCCCGCCAATTCCATCAAACTGCCTACAGTCAAGGCGATTGTGAACATGGTCAGTCTCGATTTGATGCCAACAATAAGATTGTAGATTGCACATAGTCCAAATATGGCTGCAAAGAAGCAATTACCACCTAGATTGGGACGATACCCGTAGGTGGTAGCTGATACCGGGCATTCTGGAGTGACATGTGTGCAAATAGATGTGTCGCCCATTCTGGATCGATGTACCCTTTGAGTGGACGTTGACGTAGAAATGGAAGCTGAAGAAGGAAAGAAAGTAAAAACGAAAACCATAAGACAAAACCCCCTATAATTGATCAATAGACAAGAATACCAAAAAACGTTCAAAAGTATCGTATTGCGAGTTGCGTAAAGCGTTTTCGTTTTCGTTCTCGGCTTCGTAATTTATGGATACGTCATCATATACCCCCGGTCCGCCAAATTCTATTGGATGACATGAATCTACGCGAAATCTTCCAGGTGAAACTTGGAATACAATACAGGGCAGAAAATAGTCGTCTTCCTAATGTCGATTGTCATTTCGAGCCCACCTATCACAATTCCAAAGCCTGGCTAATCCAAATAATAAGATCTGCCCACTGTGAGGGTACCTCACTCTTCCGTGGTAGAATGGACCGCACTAAGCGTTTCCCTGAATCTTGGATAATCCACCGTTTTGAACTTAGATGCAACCCCAGCCCATAGAATATCAAAATAACGCGAGCCAGCCAATTCCCTTGCTTGAGCATGTTGATATACTCATCACTTATCTCTAGAGACCACTGCATTATTCCTGATTGTACTGGCCAGTGACCAATTGCTTCTACGAGAAGTCTATATGTGGCCATAAGGATTTCTCTATCTTCAGGATGCGCATATTTCAATGCGGAGCTTACCTCGCCAAGTTTCTCTAGTATTTCTCTATTCGGCGTGTCAGTTTCGTCTTTTTCTCTCGCACACATATGATCTTACCCATGTAAATGAATGAGATTTGAATTAGACCTGAATACTGTGAGTTTATATTCATGACAGGGAAAATAAGGGGGACTATACTCCTCAAACAGTTCCACTTGCTCATCATTCCCAAGATCACCGAATTTCCATTTCTTAAATAGTGGATTCATCGGAATCTGCTCCGATTGACGCACTAGGAACCTCGTACCCTTAAGGATCATGCGTTTCTGTAGCATATCATCTAAAGGATCTTTTTGGTTCTTTTCTTTCGACATGCTCGAGTACGCGGTAGTAGCAACGAGAATACAAATGGAGCAGATAGCGCAAGCATCCGGATTTTGCGAATTTCCCGAAGATAAATTCTCGCGCGAGGCAGTGAGAGCTTTATTGTAGTAATCCAGGGCAGACCCCATGTAAAATTGAGACTCCTCGGGATTAGTGAATGCGAAATGGAGAGCTGCTATAGCCAGTACGCTATCCATCACGTAGTCGTGTGAAGTTGCCAGTTGTGGGACAACCGTATCCCATAAAAATTTATCGCGGGCATTTCTTGTAAGGGTAGGACCGGTGTGTATCACGAAATGATGGAAGAGCCTCATCTCGTAAAGTCTGGTACGGTGTGGTGAGTCACATTTGGCCGGGTAGACTCTCTCAGTTTCATTGGCCGTGGGCATGGGGGGAGATTCCCGGCGGCTAGTTGGGCTTTGCGGTCGGGGATAGGCACAGCCCAGCTTTCGTTTTATACATAAACTGCATGCTGGTCGTCTCTCGTCACACTATGGAAGATGTTAGGAATCGGAGATCTGAGAGTTCATTGTTTCAGCTTAAGCTGTTAAACACCTTCACATGTCTGCCCTTGCATTGAGAACAGCCTGTCCGCGATTTAGTGTGCGTCCGTCGCGGCGCGGCAATTCTTTCTGCCTCGACTGCATTAGCCTCGCTAGCAAGAGTACACGTGGATTGAGCAGAGACTGCTTACTTTCTTGAATTCTAGATTCGTCCATCTATGAAGAGATGAGACGTGTGTCCGCAAGTTCGATGAGACGACCCAAAGTGGAATTTGCGGACCTCTGTTCCAATGCTGGTTGACCGCCTAAGCCGTTAAGTGTAAGCCGTTGAGTGGAACCGCAAGAAACAGTTGTGATAATTGGAGATACCATGTTGGCGCAATCGGGATTTATAACAAATACAATCGTATTTCAGTCGTACTGATCGTATCGGATAATATTGGTTTAAACATACCAAGTATCAATCAGTTGATCAATGTCGTTATTAAAGCGTACAGTACGGAAACATTCGACCGTTATAATACTGAATTTAAATTATATCTTTACACTGGGTGAAATAGCACATTAAAAAATGGCTCAGAACATCGCCAAGATAAAGGGTAACGGCGTACTCTCTTTTCATGCCTTTGTTTAAATGATTCCCGCAGGACCGATCGCCCTCTATGATACTGACAAGATTCGGTCTCTGTTATGATGGACTGTAATTTGAATCATATCAGTTATCCTGCCTTCTCATGCCCTATTGCCTTCGCCTAGTAGACAGTGTCCTACCTGAATGTAGTTTACTAATGATGTTCATACCGTCTAGAAAGGTGGTGGGCCTTCTCCACTAAATGCTTCGGAATTCTGCTAGAAACACCAAATTTCAGGATTTTCTTCCTCGAGCTCAGGAATATCGGACGGCTTTTACAGTTTGTCCTTCGAGGTCCTATGATATCAATTAGTTGGGTATAAATAAAAATTTCATAGTTGAATCCGATACGAGTGCGGATACAATGCTAAACGAATACGCAATACGGATCAACTCTACTCCGTACTTGGTAGGCGCAAGACCCACTAAGCTTCCAGATTGTACGGGAAATTTTTTTTATTTACGTTTTGCCTCTCGAAACAAAATAAAGATCCACCTGGAAGCATTGCAATGGTGACAATTGGTCACATCCAGGAGAGCTAAAGGAACTAAATTTAAATGATGATGCAACTTGGCCTAGTGGATCCGAAAGGGGTAAAAGAAAAATAGATACTTTGAGTCCAAGACTCCCTATAATGAAATTTCATATAAGAAAGAGGATTAGAACTCTAGCTGTTTTTCTCAAGGTTCAACCAGTTCATCTTGCAATCTACACAAAATGAACGCTGATAATCTCTACGGGTATGATCCGTCCATAGCGGCCGCCCTTATTTTCGTGATTCTCTTCGCCGGCACAACAAGCTACCATATTTGGCAATTAACCAAAGCACAATGCTGGTATTTCATACCATTTGTGATTGGAGGTATCTGTACGCGAATTTTGTTCTAAATAGGATCGAGTGGATGCTAATTGGGTAATAGTTCAAATAATTGGATACGTTTCTCGGATCATCGCCCACAACAACCTGAGCTCTGTCACTATTTATGCTATCCAGACTATCATGATACTTCTTGCCCCTACTTTGTATGCTGCTTCTGTTTACATGATCCTCGGGCGTCTAGTACGCTATCTCCACGCTGAGAAACTGAGTCTTGTCCCCGTGAAGTGGATGACAAAGATCTTCGTTGCGGGTGATGTCTTTTCATTCTTGCTTCAATCTGCAGGTATGACAGCTCCCTCATATTCTCCTTGCAGAAGATGCTAATATGAAGCTACCTAGGCGGTGGGATGATGGCTGGCGAAACAACCCGTACTCTTGGATCCAATGTTGTTATCATCGGATTGGTCGTGCAACTCCTCTTCTTTGGCTTCTTCGTCGTTGTCACAATTACCTTCCACATCCGCATTAATAAGTACCCGACGACGCGCTCTTTGGCAGAGCGTCAAATGGCGCGTAACGAGGTCTGGGGACAGCATAACTGGTCTACTGCGATTATGGCCCTGTATGCGGTCAGCATGCTTATTTTGATCAGATCCGTCTATAGGCTGGTGGAATATAAGGAAGGTTACAGCGGCGTTATCATGACCCATGAGGCCTATGCATATGTATTAGATGCAACATTAATGTGGCTGGCTATGGTGGTCATGAACATTTGGCATCCTGCTAACATTCTTGGGGATGCAAAGAGCGAAAAAATCCCGGATGATTATGACATGTCGCATTAGATTGAGATAAAAGTTAGCTCAAACTATGTTATCCTTAATATTCTTGGTATTATGTGATTTAACTGTTATCTCTTCCAACGTGGCAATTTTTGATTGAGAACTATAAAAGATATCGAAAATTTCATAGGAACCACATATTTCTGAGCAAAATCCCTAGGGATAAAGGAGGTGCAAAAGTGAACGACGCCCAGAATGCAGCTTATATCTTAATTTGAAAACGCGTAAAGTAATGATTGGTAATTTGAACCTTCCTACGTCTCAATTAAGTGATAGCTCGCGCTTAAAATTGTAATGTAGGAACAAAGACGATGGAAGTACCGGCCTGGGAAATATAGGCTGCCGGAGCATAGGGTAATATAATCCTGGTATAACCCTAAGCGCTCCCTCAGCGACCCGAATCCTGTACCGAGTACGTGAGGGTAACCTTGATTCACAATCAGTGCAGTCGATTTGTGGCGAAGTCGCAAGACCGGAGATTATACCTCCACGACGTCCGAGACCTGGAGTATGACCCTGAGTACCTAGCCGGATTCTCGAAATGCTTATAGGGGCCAATTTGTATAAGCCACGCATGAATGGGCCTGGTGCCTGAGAAGCTCGCATTGTTTCATGTGATAAGGACGGCGTACGAGCGTGCATGATAGTCAGCTGGCTCTTGCGCTTGAGTGGGAGGTATATGTGCTGGATAAGAAATTCGCAGTTCCCAATGGCCTCCCAGTAATCCAAATATCCGGCTGGGCCTCTCCAAAGTCCTGTGCTACTTACGTGCGACAACCTTCAAATCTTACAGGAGCGACAGCGGCTAATCTAGCTCGCAATCTGCCCTATTGCAAAGCGCATATTCATGGCGCGCGGTTTGCGTCTGGCAAAAAACCCTCCGAGACTTGAATGGTGCTTACGGGGATGGCCCTATTGAGGTGAAATCTCCGGATGGTCAAATCACTGGCATAAAGATTGAAGATGGACGCATATCAGTCTCGCGGGAGGTCTTCTATTAAGTGGGAGGAGCAACAGTCTACAGAGCAGCCAGCCATGCAGTCGAGACGGAGACACGATGGTTCTCCAAGCGAACCAACGTTTATAGAAGGCCATAACAGGGAACATATAATGCTCGCAGGGCTTTGCAGACCCATCTTGAGTGGAAGTATAGGCTTGTTGTACAACTAGCGAAGGACGGCCTTACTCGTTTTCATGTTGTGCGAGACAGACGTGGCTTTTCTAGTCAGCTTCAATTGTCAATTTGAAAAGACACAAAAAATGATTTGGTGACCCATACTGTAGAGAGAGATCTTGTTGCATTCTTCCAGATATTGTTAAATTCTTGGTTGGTAATGTGGGATGCAGGGTCTCTTATCATATAATCGGTTCTTATAATCCTCAAAGGGGTACTCGGTCACTTCATAAATATTCAGTCCCGAAGAACTGTAATCGTCCATTTACACCGTCGCAAGTCGACCAGCCCGGATCTCCGCGTCACGACACACAGACCGAAAGGAATCACCGTCTTTCTTCCCCCTCAAGGCCCTGAATTTGGTACTGATCCACTCTTCGCAACGAAGATGCCCATCCGGTACCGCCCCATGGAGCAGAGAGCACATAGGAGCTGTATTAGTCGGTCTCATCAGTAGAGCAAAGCTGTAGCGCTCCTTCATTTCCTGTCCCGGCATGGATGCCACCCGGTGAAGGACACTCTGCAAAGCCCCTTCCGTCCACATGCTCATTGCATCGCCCAGATTGACTATCGCGCAATTTTCCTTGGGTATGACATATTCCCACTCCTTGCCGTCCCGCGCACACGTCTGTAGTCCAGGGCTGTCCGTGAACAAGAATGTCAGAGAGCCCAGGTCGGTGTGGGCAGCTTGTGGCACGCGAAGTGAATCGGGGGACGCGTTTTTTTCATATCTTAAGAGGCGAATAATATCGTGCGAAGCGGTGGGATCGTGCAAGGTCTCCAGTGCGACTTCCTGTGGGAGCTCGAGAGCCTTTGATAATGTTCGGAAAATCGACTGTGCTACCTCATGGCACCAGGAGGTAAGGTCTCGCAAGGCGACTATGTGTAAGTCGACGATAGCTGGCCGTGGGAAGTGCTCCGATTGCTCAGCGATGATACTGCTGCATGGAAGCTGTTGCGACCGGTCATTATGATCCATGACTTATCGAATAGAAGTATGGCTAGCTTACGGCATAGCTTTCAAATCCATCACTTTGACCTGCGATCCCCCCAACGTTGCGACCGATAGGCTTGTACCTAGTTCACCCATTAGCTTGCGTATAGGAGGTCGCGACGAGCGAGTATACCCATTGGTCTTGAACGGCGCCAGTTGATCAACATCAAATTCCATCTTCTGATCGAGCCCAAGTTGAAAAAGTTCTCGACTCAATGCTTGTATGTCCCGTATTATGCCTGTGCAGGGGAGTTCTTTGCTGTCTGTGAAATCCAAATAAAACATCCCATCATGTTTGGCAGCCCTGACGACTTCGCTGACCGTTGATGGAGATCCATTTCGCAAATCGGTGAGCCCAATGGTCGACAAATTGGCAATTGGGTAGTTATCTGGCTGGGACATGGCCTTTTGGTATTGACAGAGATTTGTGCGAATGAGTGAAGCATGGAAAATTACGTTTGGAGATTCCGAATTGATTTTGTTGTTAAATAAATATTATGATCCATAGAGCGATATTACATCACAGGAGTCCTGTGAATTGCAAGAAAGATCATTTCCGTGAGATCAGCTTATTAACCGAAAAATAGAGAATCCTAAGTTACGTTTCCTTTTCTTCCCTCTGTATTGCAGATGATCATCTGGCGTGGCCTGGAAACGAATCCATCTACGATTGATCTTGTATGATGTGCCAAGCGATTGCAAAAAATTAGGAGGCTGGCTGGAATGTTGAAGGCTTGTGCTGAAAGCTGCTGATCAACTTCCATAAATTTTCTAGCCATCGTAGCTGCTCACTCGAATTACCCGGAATTGGCATCCGCGATAAAACCCCTTGCTTTGTGGTAGTGGCATTCGCGATGAGACCCCTTGCTTTGTGGAAATGGCGTGCAGCTTGGCCTTGGCACGGGAAGAAGTCGTATTTTTGTTGGTATTCAGTATTTGTCTTGCTATTGGTATGGATTCGGACTTTGGCACTATCGAATATAAGGTTCAGAAAGGCTAAAATATCGCTCCAATCTGAATGAGTCTGCTATTCTTGCATTTAACAGGTAAGATCTCCCCGGGGATCTGCAGCGGGCATTTTCATTTTAAACCACAGACAAGCCCATAGACCTGCATATTGTACTATCTACTACCTATCTACCACGTATTTGTTCACTAATAAAAATTAAAGTAGGGAATGGAATACCTAGGCCAAATAGACATTTTTCATACTCAGTGCTCACCGCCGCATTGCAAACATAACCTGTCGATTCAAGATGATTGTCGTAGGGAAATCCCTAACTAGGGTTTGCTGACCTTCATTTCTTTACATGCAATGTCTACTGATCAATGATCCGAATATCTTAACATAGGCAAAGAAATTCCACAGCGCCGTGATTATATCGATTGGGCTTCCCCCACGCGTTCCTTTCAAACGGCTATCTCTGAATTCCAGCCCAATCCCACGGCCGCTCCGATTTCATGGCTTTCAATTTTTCAATGTCATAGACTTGGACATTGCCCGAGTATGAATCTAGCGGACAGAGAGATCCCGAGGGAAAGAATTTTGCCACGGCTTTCTTGATGTCAAGCTTGTTCGTACGCGTTCTGGGGACATCTTCCCCACCTCTCAGCACGTATAGGATTGTCGGTAGATGGTAGAACGGCATGTGAGATGATAGTTCTTTGCGAAGCTCATCAAGATCGATATCGACAGATTTCGAGTGAACGATAGCTCCGACACGCTCTCCGCATGTAGGGTCGGGCACTGGCACGACGAAAGCTTCAAAGATTCGGGGAATTTGCGAGATTTTTGCCTCCACGGAGAGTCTGGGGACTCGGAATTCGAAAAGAAACTTTATGACTGTGCATAGTTCATAGAAGGTTAGTCTCTGATGCATCGATATCAGACGATGGATACGAACAGTCGGCTTCTGAGCGGCCATCCATCACGAAGTCATCGCCTTCCATATGTGCAATATCTCCAGTGTGGAAGTATCCTTCTTTGTCCAGTACCGAAGATGTTGTGACTTTCGTCGAACCTTCCAGGTAGCTATAAGTCGATAAGCAGAGTATAGGATATTGAGATAGTATCTATCTATCCACAATCGGACAATATCTTACCCAGCAAACACAAACGGAGACCGAACGAGGATCTCTCCATGAGTTCCATTAGAGAGCTTCACATCAAACCCCTTTTTCGGTTTTCCGAGGATGAGTCTCTGTTCGCCGAATCCTGTTAGTCTTTCTCAATCAAAGCTAGAAATAATCGGCAAGTCCAGTCCATTACAGACTTACGTGGAAGTTCTCCGGCGGCTCATCAATCGAGGATTTGATTACGGAGCAGCCTAGCTCAGTGCTACCATATGAATTTTGCAGCGCTCGCCCATCACGCAGATCCCACCAGAATCGCTTCAAGTCGGGCATAGCGGAGGCTCCGATAGACACCGCTACACGCAGACTCCTCACACCTCGGACGTAAAATTCTCGCTCCTCCTCTGAAAGATGCACGATAGTAGAGTTATAGTGCTTCATTAGCTTAAGCCAAATTGACGGGGCGCCGACAAGAATGGTCAGATCACCCTTCCGCAGCCGCTCCCACATGATTGCGGCGTCCCACGTCTGATTAAAGATCTCCAGCTGGACACCAGTCAGGATATATCGGGTCAGTGGAAGAACTCCATCTGCGCTGACGATGGTGCGGTACACGAGGAAAATATCCTGGCCATCTTCTCGGGGTGGCAGTAAGTCGTGCGCGTGATAAAAGACGCGCCTGTTGTGGACAATCGCCTTTGGCGGTCCGGTGGTGCCCGAGGAGAAGAGAATCAGGCTGGTTCTTTCTGGCGAGAACTTGATATCATGATTGATGGTGTAGTAGTGCATAGGAACAGGCTTGTGGTCCACAGAAATAAGCTTGGGGTTTCTTGCCGGGTCAATTTGGATAATGTGCAGCCGATGTCCGGTTTTTTCCTGGAGATGAATTTGTATCTTCTCAGCAAAAGCTGCGTTCTCCGAATCGGCCAGTACATATTGAGCCTTGCATCTGACAATCAATGACAAGGCTTCGTCGATTAGGAGAGTAGTAGCTGGAATTTGTTAACTCCTAATGCATTTTGAAATCGCCTCATTGTGAAGGTCTTACAAAGAGGTACAGCTGCGCCGCCGGTAGCCAAAATGGCCAGAAGAGCCACGATAAAAGTGTAATTTGGCCCGAGCAGAGTGCACACATAGACGGGATCTTCACTCAGGATGCTACCGCCACGAACGCAGGATGGCGGCAGGCTTTCGCAGAGGCTCTGCCGGACAGTCGAGACATCCCAGAGCAGCCGATTGTAATCTGCCTTTACGCGAGATCCAGGGTCGTTGATGATGATTGAGGAGCGCCTTTGCTCTGCAATAGTGAGTAACTGAGAGAAACAAGGGTCATTTGGAAAGCGGGCATAAACGTCAGGCGGCTTCATGCTGGCTAGAAGATTGAGGGTTGCCTTTATGGAGCACGATGTAGCCGTGCAAGAATCTGGTGGATAAGCTGAGCTGGAAAGTTAGACGAGGTGGTAAATTAGGTTGATCGTGCTTGTGCGAAAAAAAAAAGGTTAAGCGGGGATGACTACGAGTAATCTGCTCGAATGGTATTCCATATAGTATGAAATCTGAGACCGCAGAATTTCTGCTTGTTGTATGGCTTCCACACAAATTACAAGATTCAATTTAGTTGAATCTCTAGTGCTGTACCTAGACGTCTAAAAGGTGCAATTAATCTTGGGTTTTATCATCACCAGCATTTATAGATTTAATGAAGTAGATAATTTTGCTAAGGGTCATGTATATTATTGAAAGTTGAATTACGTTTACGAGTATCAATAATAACAGTAAAATTTTTTAAAATAGCGTGGAATTTTCAGTTCGCTCCCTTACTTCCAATCCGAATGTGTAGATTTGTAGGCACAACAGAGCGGGTCACACCAGAAGAAAGCAATATAACCTGTCGATTGTCTTCTAACTTCTGATCACGATCGACGAATCGACGAGGCTAGTGGACATTATGATTGGCTGCATTAAACTGGCCTGTTTCAAGCACTATTTGAAGATCACTTGGTACTATGGAGGTCCACTTTAAAATCCTTTGCAGTTTTGCTTTTTTTTTGGGTATTTCCTGTTTAAAATTAGCTGTTCTTTATGTCGTATCGACCATTGAAGTGCTGCCTCACATGCGAACTGCCCTCTTTGTATTCATTACCCCCTTCCAGCCGAATTCTTCCAGTCGTATGATCTCTTCAATATGTCTAGGAAGACGCTCAATTCACTGTTAATTACGCTCCTGAGGTTAGGTATTCCATGCTCTACGCCGTACCCCGATTGCCTCAGCCTTTTAGCTAAAGCTTTAGCTAATTCCTCGGGTTTTTACTTCTTCGGACAGCCAGATCGACTCATATCAGCCATATAAGCTTTGGCAACAAGTAAAGGCTGTCGTAAAGTGTTAAAAACCCGAGCTCGGTCCCATATCAAATTAACCGGCTGGGTCGGCATGTGCATTATTTCGGAGATCTGAAGGGTTCCATGCTAAGCGCCTTCATGTTAAGCATAAGCTTACGTATAGCGATATCATGTTTAACCATAGTGTGTAGGTATAAGTGGGTGCAGGTGTGTATTGTAGTTGAGGGGTGACAGAGGGAGGAGTCTTTGGACTAAAACAGCACTATTAATATTCAATAATACCGAAAAAAGCAAAATTGCAAAGACTTTTCAGTGGTCCTCCGAACCATGTCTGGCCTGCATATTGGGTCACCCACATGGGGGCCCTTCTCAAATATTGGTAGAATCAAAACCAGTATCCTGCTTCTGGGACTCTAGCTGGTCAAATGTTGGCGATATAGAAGATCAACTGAATTTGATACCTATATTTGATATGAGCCACAAGTGACAAGTGGGTAACGCGATATGCAGGTTAGACAGGGTAGATGCGTGTGAACTTTCGTTGTGCTAGATTTGTGCCCTATTTCCAAACATCGGTCTGATTGACCATTTCTATATTTTCACTGGCTCGTCCAAACGCATTCTATACTAGCAGTCGACGAGTGTAGATCGCCTCGACTTATTCGCCACTACTGGTGATCTGTATTCCTGCCGGACGCCACCTGTGTCCGTGTACGTATACAACCCACAGAAGGCTAGAAGCCCCCAGGTATATCAGGGCAATCATATTACCCATCCAGCCCGTTCCCACGGCTTTGATCAGTGGATTGACTGCGGCCACAGCCCCTGCACCGCAGAGGAAGCGAAAGGAATTGGTAGCGGCTAAGGCACCGGCGGGCTGATGTACGTGTAGACTCAAGATCAGCCCCGTCAGTTGTGTTCTCGCACCCGTCAACGCATTGCCCAGAAAGAACAGTATCACTATTGGACCCGCGACGTGCAGGTCGTAGTGCAGAACCCAACCGTAGGCTACGACAAATGCACTCCCCAGATAAACGGTGGGAAGGACTACCTGAAGCCGGGCTCGCTCAATGTGGACGATTTTTGGTTCGCCGAATTGGGTTGCCTCGCCTACTGCAGCTAATCGCTTGTGTCGTCGCATATTGGCGCCCATTAATGGACCAAATATCCAACGCGACGTGAAACCCCCTATCGCGTAGGAGAGGTGCGTAGCGCCAACTTCGAGGACGTTGAAGTGGTATCGCGCTGTGAATAGAAGCGGGACGGTGACGACTATCGCAATAGAACCACCAAAGAAAATTCCCTGGAAGAGAATTAGTAAGAAATTTTGCTTTCGAAACGCGAGCTGGATTGTTTGGAGAATTGTGGATCGCCTTTTTGGTGGGATGCAAGTGGTATAGTCCGGAGGAGGACTAGACGGCGGCCAGAACAGCTCTATAATAGGGCTATTCCATCGCTTTGGGGGCACGCTACCATTTCCGACCTGCCCACGACAGGTTTCTGGGAGAACGGTGGTGGCAAGGAGCAACACAACTCCCGCCACAGCAGCCAAGAAGTAGAAAATACTTGGCCAGCCGAAAAACTGTGAGAGAAGACCGCCGATAATTGGGCTGACGACTGGGGCTATTGAATAGCCCACCGAAGTGTAGATTCGATAGTCCTTGCGCTCAATGGGACGAAGGATATCGCTAACTATAGCCATCGAGACAATGGAGACACTACTACCGCTGCAGCTCTCCAAGCAGCGAAGAATCAGTAGTCCGACGAAGGTAGTCTGTTGCGCGAGACCAATATTGGTGGCGATGCATACAATTAAACTGAAGATTAACACAGGTCGGCGCCCTCGCTCATCCGACATACCCGCGATCAGTAGCGGAAATACGGCCTGGCAGAGCTGTCGGGGACGAATTAGCTCGTTCTGAAGCAATATGGGGCAAAATAGTACCATGTATGCAGTGATGGTGAAGCTGATCTGGCTCGGCAAGACGTGGAGATCTCTGGCAAGAGGAGCTAAAGATGGATAATATATCCCTGCCGAGGCCGGCCCAATAAAGGTCATGGCGGATACGAGGATGATGATTGCGATCTTTTTAGGGCGTGAAAATATCGATGGCGGGAGGGGCTTTCTCCGCAAACTTTTGGTTTCTGACTCGGCAATCTTTGGTCGCTTTTCATGAGCCGTTGGTTCAATCATGGCTGAGAATGCTGGTGAAAGATTCATGGACAGCCGTTTGAGTGAGAATGTGTCGTGAGATTTAAATAAAATGGTGATGGGAACATACAGTCCATATGAAGAGCCCTGGATTCTAGAATGTATAACGATGGCTCCAGAATACAATACAGTATGAAAACTTCACATCAAATAGACTTTAAAGATTGTCTGGCGCCATTAAATGCAAGGGATGGGTGTCCGGGTAACCACAATGATCATGATGATCATCATGCCAATTCACTAGTCCAAATGGGACGGTCCAATTGACTGTTCCTGAAAACTGATTTTAGGTTTGGAGATTCTAATGCATCGAGATGAGATTCTTGGCAATTAGGCCGCGACACCAGCCCAATCCCACGCCTTCTTTGGCTTCAAGTCCTCCGCATCCAACGGCCACACCTCCATACAAGAGGACTGGGTATCATCCAGAAAATACATCTTGATCGCTTCACTGCGCGCCAGCTTTCCTTGGGGACTAGTGGGGAGTTTGGCATGCGGCTCGAGGACCCTCAGAATGGAGGGCAATTTGTAAATCGACAAGGCGTCAGAAAGGTCTCTTCGAAGTTGCTCTAGGGAGATTTCTGGTGAATCCATGTCCTCAGTCATATTGCGGCGACGGACCAAGCAGCCAACCCGCTGACCGTATTGCAGGTCTGGAATGCAGAGCACGTACGCCTCGCCGATGTAAGGTAGCTCGCAGACGTGGGACTCAACCTCATTAACCGAGACGCGAAGACCATTGAACCGAACAACTGGAGCATGATTAGTGGCTGATGCTTATTGTGGGAAGCTCCTTGTTATTCACTCACAATCCACGGTCGCTCGTCCATCAATAATCCATAAGCCGCTGGATTCACGGTGGACAAGGTCACCAGTCTTATAGTATCCCTCGTCGTCGAAAGTTTCACGCGTACGTTGATCATCATCAAGATACCTGAGATCACATCACAGTCAGATGGCTCGTAGCTCGCTGGGCTAGCACTTACCCGATCATCATCGTGGGACTCTTAAGCAAGAGCTCACCATGATCCCCGTCGGTCAACTTCGCTGTGACACCTGGCAGAGGAGTGCCGATGACGGGCTGACTGAAGATCAGTACCACATTGCAAGTACCCATTTGGACACAGGGGACACTGACCTGGGCAATTTCTTCCTCCTCCCTAAAATGAAACGAAAATGCTTCGCGTCCTGTCTCCGATGATCCATACTTCACAATCCAGGACTTCCCGGTGCGTAGTCGCAGCCAGAATCGTCGCGCAACCGGCGATGGGAGACCTCCCCCGAACCATGCAACCCTCAAGTTATGTGCCCCGTCGCGATACTCCTGCAGTTTTGATGAAGGGAGCCGGCTGAGGTTCTCCTCGTAGTGCAACATCAACAACTGCCAGAAGCGGGTGGCACCTGCTAGTACGGTCACGCCTCCTTGACGTAGTCGTTCCCAGATGATAGCTGGTTGAATGCCGCCAGGGAAGAGCTCTGCACAGGCTCCGGCATATATGAGATCCATAAGGTTGAGGATACCGGAGAGACCATTGACAGGTCTGTAGACCAACGCGATATCATGAAGCGCGCAGTCCAGTTCGACATTGGGAAAGAAGAACCGCCGAGGCAGCACGACGCCTTTTGGAGGACCTGTGGTCCCCGAAGTGAACAGCACGAGCCCAGGCCTATCGGGGTTAAAGCTATGTTTGGTGTGCGTTGATGAAAAGGCGGGAGGTCCATGGCCCAGTGCCATTTCAATAGGGATGTTGAGGCCAGGCTCTTGCTCGGAACGGATTTGAGAGGCAAGATCCTCTTGATTGGTTCCCACAAGCAAGCAAGCTGCATGGCACTTGTTTAAAATCCATGCACCCTCTTTAGGGAGGATGCTTGTAGCTGCATCTTTATTAGCTGGTGGTGGGTATGGAAGGAGACAATGAATCCCATACAGAGAGGCACTGCTACAGCTCCTAATGCAATAACGGCATAGAATGCGACGAGAAACTCATAGCTGAGAGGGGATAGAATGCAAATATAGAGATCACCAAGTCCCGCCACATCGTCAGCCTTGACAACATTCGTGGCTAATTGTGTGTTGATACGATCCTGAAAGAATATTATATCACGAAGGAACTGAGCAGGTGTGGCTTCAATGCCAGTAGCTGTGTCTCGAATCAACACAGAATGGATATTTTGCGCGTTATATAGGAGCCTTTCGAAGAGCGGGTCATCGGGGAGACCAGGCGATCGATCCAGTGATAGAGACATCGGGATGAGTGAGTGGCGGAAAGGAAATCAGCATCGGCTTTTTTCTGCTCTCAGAAAATCTTTTAAGCATTCAATGATTTAGATGCATGACGCTAACAAAGCTAAAATGCTCAGGTTTGGAGGGATGAAGCACGGCGGAACTCCAAACACCCTCAGACCTACCGGAACGTAAAATAATCAGCCCTGAGGGCTTTAGATGTATCTAAATGAAATCCCTCATATATTCGATTCAATAATATATCGCACAATGACCCACACGTGCAGATTGCAGATTCAGATTCAGATCCAGATTCAATGTTGGTGTGAAGTAGCGGTCAGGATATGATACGTCAGATCTACCGCTCAATATCTCCACTGATGAGTTTCTTAGAAACATAGACTGTAGGGAGCGGGACATCGAGGAACTTTATTATATGTTACTGCCATCACCTCCCCTCCTCCCCCCTATCCTCATTAACCTCTCATTGGAGTACCTCCCCAATCCCACGCCTTCCGGGCCCGCAGTTCCTCTGCCTTTAAAAGCCAAACTTCCACGTCGTCAGCCAATCCAGGGCCATCTGTCCGTAGAAAGTATTTCTCTGCAGCAGCTTTGCGTATGACTTTTCCTGATGCGGTTCGTGGGACAGTATCACCAGGCGTCAAGACCCGCAATACCGTCGGAATCATGAACGTTGGGAGTATATCTGATAATTGGGATCGGATGTATTGCATGCCCAGAGCCTCGTTCGCGTGCTTGGAATCGAAATTTGTCAATACCCCCACGCGATACCCAGACTTTTCATCTGGTACAGGAACGACATAGGCTTCAGCCACAGCGGGCACCTCGTTCAGTCGCGTTTCCAGTTCGATGACGGGCACTCGGTACCCGCGGAATTTGATAACTGAGCAAATGTTTAGCGTAAGACGCGAAGGTTTGTAGCTTGGGACTAACAGTCGGATGATACCCGGCCGTCAAAGACGTAATCGTCTCCCACCTTGTGGCCGCAGTCACCGGTTCTATAATATCCGTCCGTGGTAAAAGCTTGCTTTGTTGCCACGGGGGAATTCAGATATCTGTGACTGTAAGCGAAAAGCTTTTGTGTAATTGGATCGAACGCAACTTACCCGGAGAAGATCGCAGGGCTCTTGATCTCGAATTCTCCATGGTCCCCATCTGACAGTCGAACAGAAATACCGGGGAGTGGTCGACCAATACAGCACTGCGCACCACGAATCACACGTCAGAAGCGCACTTGAGTGCTTTTAAAAGAGGCTGGGCTTTGTGGACAAACCTTGAGGTCAGGATCACTGTCTTTCGAAGTCCTCAGAGATATCCTGCCTAGCTCCGTGGCACCATAGCAGATAGTTAATGGTCTCCCCATTTCTCGCCAGAACCTTCCAAGCGGTTCAGGCAATGATGATCCGGATACATTTGCCGCTCGGAGATTTTGCATTCCACGTAGATATTGATCCCGTTCCGAGGACGGTCGTTGGGCCAGGTTCTGCTGGAAATAATCCCTCAATCTACCCCACATCATCGGAGGATTGCTCATGAACGTGATACCTCCCTGGCGCAAGCGCTCCCACATGATCTCTGGGTTAGCGGGGACTATGTGCATGCAATATCCAGTAAGTGTATGCAAAATGATTCTAAGAGAACCACCGACCCACTGCGGAGATCCGCTTAACAAAGAAACGCCCTCCGTGTTAGGCTCATACTCCACGTAGAATAGACGTCGGGCGTGCACCACAGCTTTGGGGGGTCCCGATGTCCCCGAGGTAAAGAGGATCATACCAGGACTGCTAGGCTCAATATCCCAGGTCTCATCAATGAGTACTTCGACGGGTTGATTGCTTTTCATGCATATCGGCAAGGCGTTAACAAGGTAGCTCTCAGTCGCGGCATGTGCCATAATCTCGCTTCCACGCTTCGAGGTAGTTGAACCCATGAGAAGGGTAGTTGACCCACACATGCGCATCAGATACAAAGCTTCTTCCGGCATAATCGCTGGGGCTGCTCCGGGTCGTCAGTTCTGCACGAGTAGACATGAATGGGAAACTTGCCCAGTGGAACAACGGCCCGGCCCGTCGCAATAATTGCAAAAGCTGCAACAGCGAATTCATAGTTGCAGGGATTGAGAAGAAACACATAGGGGCAGTCTTTGCATCCCGTAGAATTTGCTGACTGAAGCCCTATCTGGGTAGCGTGAACATCCTGGAGAAACTGCGTGTAGTCGGCATCGATATTCAGTTTGGAGTCATGAAACGTGGGACGATTTGGAGATTCTTTAAAGTGCTGCAAGAACACTTTGGAAAAAGGTTCATTAGGGAGAGCGAGTCGAGCCGGTTTGGGATCCATAGCAAGTCGCCGTGGGATGAGAAGTGGGAGAACAGAGCCAAATGGGAGGGGGGTTAATAGCACATGTTAATTTAATCAAACTCTGTTCCCACTTACTGTATTGAGTACAGCTATTCTTCTAGTCGTCGAATGGTAGTTGCGAAAGTTAATGTTGCTACTAGAAAATATCAGTGCTAGCCTAACCCCGTATTTCTCCTAGTCTTACCAAAAATAAGCCCAAGCCATTATGCGTCATGACATTTCTAATGTCCCATTTCGAGAAATTGCTTGGTAATTTGTACTATTTCTTACACATTTGAAAAAATCATCTTTGTGAAGTTAATCTAATTGTCATCTGTTCGTTCTCATTCCTTGCGTCCTATTCTCTGCTTTTCGAAAGGTTTATAGATTGGCTGCAAAGAGTTGGGATTATGGGAAACGGTAGGCGGTTGTTGTCTCTATAGTACTAGCTTAATTTGCGTTGATGGGGTATCGACACAAATATCTAGGAGACATAGCTCACATTCCGAAAAGTGGCGGTGACTGGGAATTTTCACGCGAAGATAAATATATGCATGTACGTACCACCAATCACCTTCCGTACTCTATTGATCTGCAAGACACGGCTCATGTTCAAAAATAGGGCAGTCACTGTAATTCTCGCTTTAATATGTACGTAGGTTGATATTCAATACTCTGCTATATATAGCTGTGGGCTGTTTGTTAATTATTTGCTAAAACACATGCCGGGGAATACCAATAAAGTGAGTAAACTTTATTATGAATCACTTCGGAAGCTAGCGACGCATGCCAAAATATATACTAAATGCAATAAATTACAACTTGGGCTGTGCCTGCTTGGTGGTGTATGGTTTGGTGCCGCGCTACGAAATCCACGTTTCGGGGCCGGTCGCCATTTTTCCTAGCATACATTATAACATGTGCTCGCACCTAACTCGCACCTAGTTGACGGGGCTGATGTTGAACATACATGCACACTACCCGGCAAGTGTCATGGCTCTTAGTTGCTGCAGGGCTGACCGGTAAGGGATGCTCCTATAAGCCGATGTGTCAAAAGTGATCTATGAACTCGCCGTCCTACAGTGGTAAATCTATGAGTCGGGTCCCACCCTACGGTCTGACCGCCACTATCGACCGCCTACTGTATTAGTATATCAAGCCTCGCGCGCCCGAACACGCTAGCATATGCACTACTCAAAGGTCAAATACTCACGGAACACCACTGTAACTAGATCCCCTCTTGGTCTAAATTTTCTGTATTACATATTTGTTACAGAGTGGGTCTTGTAATGTATTATCAACCTTTTTTTTTGGTGGCTACTTGCTAGTAGAATTCCACAAAACCCAATTTGCGTGGAAGGTCTCGACCCAAATTTCAACTTTCGACCCAGTTTCATAAAAATGGGTCGAATTTGGGTCGGGCAATGCCGAGACTAAGTTGACAAACAGCTTATGCAGAAGCCTTCTCGCTAGGCCAACTCCGTCTAATATATTGGAGGAGTACCCCGCGCCCTGTTTCCTGTTCATAGAAATGTCTATGTTTGGTCATGACCACTATGGCAACCCCGGACGCGCACACGCGCTTCCCGAATGACTCCTGCTTCTCCCAATTACTCACAATCGCAGAGCAAAATCTCTCCTCTGTGATTGTTAATGACCCTACCACCGGGGTAAAAGCAGACTACAATCGTTTGCTCCATGATATATCGGATGTCCGACGTACGTTATGCAAAGTTCTGCCAACATACCTACTACAGAAGGGTAGCATGCTTCAAGGGGATCCTATCTACGTCTGCACCCTGTTAGGACCAAATTATAACTTCGTTATTGCTCTTCTGTCAATCTTAGCTATAGGCGGAGCAGTGGTGCCTCTATGTAAGATTCATTTTGCTAGATTGATTACCGTCGATGGCTCTCAAAACTTACAGTACAAGCTACCACACTCTTACTAGATGAAGCTATCTCCTTGATTATACGATGTAATGCCGCACACCTCATAGTCGACCCCGAGAACGCCGAATTTGCTGTGAAGATCCAAGCCCGATTCCACGAACGGACCGGACTAAACATCTATATCGTTCCAATTGATCTCTCACAAGCCCCCGTGTCTGTGAGTCGACACTGTTGCACTATTGATCACGACACCATCTTCTCTCCGGGAAGAGCCGGTCTTGTTCTTTTTTCTTCTGGTACTACCGGGCCCCCTAAAGGGATTATCCACAGCCGAAGTGTCTTTTATCATGCAAAAGAACTAGTACGAGTACGCAAAGATGGCCAGGATATCTTCCTTATTTACCGAACAGTCGTTAGCGCAGGGGGTGTGCTTCCGCTCATACGATACATTCTGACTGGTGTCCAGCTGGAGATATTTAATCCGGCATGGGATGCTGCCGCTCTATGGGACCGGCTCCGAAAGGGCGGTCTCACGATCCTTGTCGGCACACCAATTCTCTGGCTTCAACTCAAGAAATACTATGAGTCCACTCTCGTCTATCTCCCAGAAAAAGAAAGGCGATTGTATGTGAAAGGCGCACAAGACCTCCGGGGGGCGGTATATATTGGCGCAGTAGCTGCGCCTGCCCTAAAGCATTTCTGGTGGGATCTACGTCAGGGGCGAGCGCTAGTGACCGCGTATGGCAGCACTGAGCTAGGAAGCTCGGTAATCAGCTCTTCCATTTACGAACGGCCGGAGACCTTTCATGTAAGGGCCTATTGAGTAGAACAAAGAATTCAACCTTATATGTGCTGTTGGCAGAGACCGATTCTCGGAACGACGAAAAAAGGGTTTGAGGTCAAGCTTTCTGAAGGAAGCTGCGGCGAAATTCTTGTTCGGTCTCCATTTATATTTGCTGGGTAGGGCCCCACCGAGTCATATTATTCAGCTCTGTACTGACCAGGCTAGGTATTTAAATGATGAGGGAGGCTCATCCTCAGTTCTGGATGATGAGGGGTTCTTTAAGACCGGAGACCTAGCTCACATGGAAGGAGAATGTTTTGTATTTGATGGCCGAGCAGAAAGCGACTGCAAGTCATCCTTCCCCTACATTGTCATGAAGAGACTAACTGTGCAATCTTTCCCAGTCATCAAGTTCCTCTTTGGATTCCGGGTTCCTAGGCTTCTCGTGGAGGCCCAGGTGGTCCAGCTTCCTGGCATTGTTGAAGCTGTCGTCGTGGGGGTACCCGATCCTGAGTGTGAGGAACGCGTGGGTGCCATTGTACGAACAGATTCGACGTATATTAGCCTTGAAAAGTTTCGAAAGGACTTATCAACTCACCTACCGCTGTACCAGCTACCCACGATCCTTTACGTCCTAAAAAAGGACGAAGATATTCCCCTGACGCGCACAAACAAGCCTGATCTTAGGAAGGCTCTAAGCCAATTCTTTTCTTTGGAACTGCCATCCTCATTAGGAGATTGTCCGCAAAATGTTCAAGTCTATGATATCAGTAAGCTGAGGGGCATGAAATCGGAACGGCTATGGGATTGGGCGGGGATTCAGAGATAGTCAGTCCGAGAGAATTTCAAAGTTCAATTCAACCAATGAAACCCAACTTGATACAACTAGCTATTCAGTGACTTCCCATATTTTGTGAGTTGTGAGGTATCGGTTTTCAGTCGCTTTGTGGGCACAAGAGGTCGCAGGGTCCCACCGCACGTTTGTCCAGCGACTTGAAGTATGTTGTATCTTTAACATGTGTTAAATCTCGAAGTAGTCACTCTAAAGACAATGTCATTTCGTTCCAGGGAGCCCTTGTCCTAGGAGGTACTCTCTACGAACTAGTTACTGGTGAGACCCCATACAGTGAATCTTCTGAGCCCAACCCTGACGGTCCAGATACCATATCCTAGGACGAGATGAGGTAGACCATGAGCTTGAAGACACTGAAGATACCTGGTTGAATTATGCTTGCAGTTGGAGTTATTTGCAGATCCCAAGATGCCGAGCTTTTCAGGGGAAACGGTATGATGAAATGATAGTCAGTCGCGATTCAGCTAAGCATCAGTGCAGTGGTCGTGCGACTTAGGATTCTCACCCTGGTTCATCCACATTTCTCAGATCATTTTGATGACTGGACAATACATTAGCAACGTTTTTATTGAAGCACGGCAAAAAGTCTACATTTTGACTTGCAAAAAAAAACAAAAACATACAACAGTCAGGATTCGCATGTGGTCACCCACCATACTACTAACTAACCGGCGTGTGGCTTAAGTACGGCTGAGCGGACGGGAAGCCCTGTTCTCCACACCCTATGGTCGTATGTATTGAATCACCCATCGAGGTGATCTATAGAATACTGTTGCACAGTGTAATACCCTGGACGTCGCTTTGCGGTCGCATGACGAACCGGGAGTTTTGGAGCCTCATGTTCAGGTATCAATGGTGGAGACCAGCTGATTGGTTGTTTTCTATCGTCCCAAATGGGATGAGGCTTGTGTAACTTCGGCTTAGCCTTCAGGGAGAATATGATCATTTCACCCTGACTCTCCTTTTCTTGTGTATCTGTAGGATCTTTTCTTAAGTCCTCTATAACGTGCCCTCGACGCCCGATACTGAACATGCCATATGGTGCCCCTGGGGTCGGAAAAACTACCACAGCAGGTTAGTGAACACTCCACGGAGCCTGGCCGTGCCCGGACCGCTAACCGTTGAGGAGTTGTTTGAAAAGCCGCTCTTTCAGATCACAGGCGGTACGAATGCCCCTCGATGCTCAATTGATCGTTCTGGGCATTGACTCATTTTGAAAATTGGATGCAGGTGATCTAGGAAGTAATGCGGAACACGTTGAGAACGCACTGGAAACCAATTTTGCCCTGGCTAATCGATGGGGATGTATTCTTCTGCTCGACGAGGCTGACGTCTTCTTGGCTAAGCGATCTCCTCAAGACTTTGTCCGAAATGGATTGGTGTCAGGTAAGGGAGGCCAAGTAACGGTCATGGAGGTCTTGTTACACTCGTGCTGATCCTCGGTGTCTAGTATTCCTACGTGTGCTCGAATATTACGCAGGAATTTTCTTCCTCACTACCAATCGCATTGGGGACTTTGATGAGGCATTTAGCTCTCGCATTCATATCAGTCTACACTATCCACAGTTGAAACTCCCTACTACTGAAGAGATCCTGCAGCTCAATATCCGTTTAATCAGGGAGCGTTTCCGACAAAAGAATCGACTGCTCTCCATTGATGAGGAAGGTATTCTAGCCTATGCTAGAAGATACTGGACAAAGCACAAGAAAATGAGATGGAACGGACGGCAGATTCGGAACGCCTGCCAGACCGCTCTGGCACTTGCCGAGTTTGATGCTGGCGGAGGAAACCACGAAAAAAATCTCGATCCAAATGCAGAGGTCAAACTAACAGTCAGCCATCTTAAAACGGTAGCCCGTGCCTATCGAGAGTTTATGTGGTATTTGAACAAATTGTACAAGACGGATCAAGATCGTCTGGCGCATCAAAAGGGACTTCGAGCTCGGGAGCTGGATGGGAAGGCGATGGATACTACGGACGAAGAAATTGGCCCGGGTGATAGCGATGACGCTTGCGAAGGAGAATCCCATCCCTTGCCACAACAGCCAAGCACGCTATCTTAGCCTCTCAACCTTAGCCGCAACGGTAGCACATAAATCATCCAAGTAGCTCATGAGAATGCTCTATTATATGCATCATTCGTGATTTCCCGTTGTTTTGACATTTGAAGAGCAGACACTGCGTGAGCAGTCTTTGTCAATCCTGCATGTATAATTAAACGGACTTGAACGCTGAACTTCTTAATGTGCAAGAGTTTGTGTAAGCAAGGAGAATATTAGCGGGGAACAGGAAACTTTCTCAAAAAGCCACTATTTTAATATCAGAGCATGCCAAATCTAAATGAGAGGGTTGACATTCATTAACTACATCTTTGCTGAGTATATCAAGTTGTCTCAAGAGAATCACCAGACGCTAGCCATACTGCAACCACGGGACACAACGAGAATCAGTTGAGTGGTGCTGAAGATCAATATGAATTTGACAATTGTGTGCGCCAGACCTGTTAACCCGGTTTGTACGATTGATCAATTACCAAACTTTACGTATACCTTTGAACTTCGACGATCGAAAATCATAGGCCATCTTGAACAGAGTGAGTTATTCACATCTTCATATTTTTATATATACTACGAAAGCACTTGTATAAAGAAAAGTCCGATATCTTTTGGACCCATCAAATCTTCTCATCATTCACAAAGAGCTTCCATAAGGGTGTATCTCATCAAGTGTAGACAATTCAGATGTTTAATTTTTCTTAACACACCTTATACTATAAAAAAGTAAGCTACTGCAGAGAAGCAGTCATATTATTCAAAGCTCGTAAATTTCCTTATCAAGGGAGCGGTATTTGAGAGGGGGATTTGGAAAAGATCATCGTACGCTCGAGAGCAAAGGTCCTTCGCAGTAACTGATTGAAAACCCCAAAGCTGGAATTCGGGGGCACGACTATATCTGAAAAGCACCCCTGGCGGTGAATTGTCCTGCCTTTGGGGAGGGCCTTGTTTTCTGGGTGGAATAGACGTAATTTTCGGCGAAGGATTGAATTGATGGAAGGCAGGCTATGACTCGGTTGCTCGTCTGTAAAACCTAGGCTTACCCGTCTCGACTTAACAAGCTCATATCCGCCCTTGAATTCATGGGTACCTTTACCAAGCCATATGGAGGCTCGTCGGATTTGACAGCCACGTGAGACATTGTCTCCAGGGTCTTTTGGGCCGCTGAATTAGAACTAATTACTCGCACTGCTGTGAAGGAGTGGCTTTTAACATATAGAAGAAACTCAAGAAAGTCGTAGCCGCCTACAGAATAACGTCTTGCCTAACAGGAACCGACTGCGGACGACTTGAATTTAAACCTTTAATATGCATAGTTCCATGACATGATTTGCGAAGTCAGAAATGAGATATTCATTCATTTGATGATCAGCACTCCTTTGGTCACTCTTAAGCTGTACTTCTGCCACCCGGTTTTCGAGGGGCGCGCGGATCGAGTCCGTAGGGAGCCTTGGGTCACTGTACCGATTCCGGCGACTTTTTGGCTCAGAGAAGAGTATGAACAGATCGCTTCAAAAATCGAGACTGATTATTAGCCGAATCGGCAAATAATAATGCCATGTCGCACACGAAATTTTTACAAAGACGGATTCCTCAGATCTGATCATTTTTTCTTTTGTGGATTTCAGCATCCGCTATATCTATTGATCTAATGCACGATAAAGTGCCGCGTCTTGGAACAGTGAAGTGCGGTACTCGTGATGGGATGAAAATTATTCACGTATCAGGAATTGTCTGCTGTGGGTCTAGAACGACTCTCTGAACAAACCACGCAAACGATGCAGCTGACCGAGGGATCTTGATCTATGAGTTTTGTTTACCCCGTCGATTGATTTTTTGGATTCCGGGGTACCGCCCCGATATGGAAAGGTTGGCTTTTGTTTGAAATGACTTTGTCATGGAATTTCCTTGGGAACATCGTGAGAAATTCGATCGGGAACCTTGGAAAGAGTGGTGCGTGAGATCTCAGTCCTGGATGTTAAGCTTTTCGGGTCTTTGCGGCAATCGTGCTGGATCCATGGGTACGCTCTTTATTGCCTCCCGAATTTCGCAGATCAATCTCATTTGATTGATCGCTTGCTTCACTTCTGTCCTAGAGTAGCCATTTGAGTGGGGACTTGGGCTTCCTTAATGTGTATGTTAAGAGCAATAGAATCTGATAAGGCAAAAATCCAAATTTTGCAAAGAAAAACATGGTATGTTATTCATCAAATGCGTTTGGGAATGGATAAGTGATCAGGGTTTATTTCTGATCGGTTGGAAGATTTAACCATACTTGTGATCTCTTGAGTACGCCGCGGCTGAATCTTCCGACCCATGGTATCATAGGCATCGCGCCACGTCTTACCGCAACATCTTGAGTAGCATTGACGTCCGAAATATATACTACGAGTCCCAATCTTATTGTTTGAATGGTAAAGAACCCTATTAGCAGTTTGTAGAAATATACCCATAAAGAATGCCGATTGTTAGAGGGGGAAAATCATATGAAGAAATGCGTTGAACCTAAGATACCTTCCCAAAGGGGGTCGCTTGTCGTAAGGCGATATGTGGCATGAAATCGGTGCTGACTGAATAGTCACCACAACCATTGGTTTTTGCATCAAGTGATGTCTTCGAGGACTTCCAGGTCGGGGTAGGCGGCAAATCATTCTGATGGAGAGAACTCGTCTCCGACGGAGCACAGCCCACAAACAAACTGTGTATCAGCTGCAAGGTGAATAAGGGATGCCAGACCTTTACCTTTATCTGCACACCTAGCGATTGTTAGGACGATCTTCAATCTCCAATGGGGCCAGTGACATGGCCCAAGCAAGAGATCGATCGCGTAGCGATGCAAAGGCTTTGAGAGTGTGCAAAACCCGTGCTGTAGGTGTGCACACGATGTCCCGCAGACTTGACACATCGCGCACGATTTAACAAGTGACCCTTCAAGATACATCAGTATGCTTCGTATGATAAAAGTACACACGCACGATCTCTCATCTTCAACTATGTCGAGCCATCCGCACGCGCACACCGTGGCCAGCAGACTGCTGAAAAGACGCACAGGTATCGCGCTGGGTTCGATTCGGCCAGCGAGCCTGCGATTTACGGTCCACCTAGCGGGTGCTAGACTGCGATAGTATGCAGCATATTTTCGCATTTATCCAGACTGCCCGACTATATCGTGGTACGTGATCAGAACCAACGGCAACGGCATTCGGTAGAAATACCATTGATTGCCGACGGCCGACCCTCATGCGACATATCTGCCGCGGTGGCATGGATTTCTAGTTGATATACCGCGGCAGACTACAGGTGTAGTCTTCTATTACTGCGCTGGTGTATAAGCCGACTGTCAGAGATTAGCAAGTAGATTAGAGAACAAGTTCTAATGGCTACTAACTGGTAATGGCTCCCAATCAATGATGGCCTATGAGACCATTTAATATTACCCGGTGCGCTCGTCTGAAGCAGCTCAATGTGTACAGATCGGGTCAATCGGAGCATCTGTAATTTCAGCACAGTATCAAACTGGCCCAAGCTGACAAAGGACATTTCCGCCGCAGGTAGAACCACTTGAATTGTCAAACTCAAATATATCACGCAAATGGGGGTACAAATGGCCAATCAAGCCTTGGATCCTGCAAAAAAGCAAAAGCCCATGCAGGGTTTTTTTCATATACTTCTTGTTCCATCCCAGCAAAAAAATGCAGTCGCCATACACCATGCACAAGTACTGATTCACAGCCCCCGTCATGGCAGTCCATATCCGACTTTCCAAACAATCACAGCAACTACAGTTGCGAGAGTGCCCGCAAGTATCACAATCGAGGGCATGAATACACCGATCATCGCCATACTAGTCAATGTAGCAAAGATACCTCCTGCTGGAGTAAATCCACCATACATATAAGATTGAAAACCGGCCGCTAGGGAACCTATCTAACGCGTCAGCTTACAGGGGCCGTCGCTACTCTAACGAGCGACACGCGGATATGACAAACCTGGAACAATCCCAGCAGGCCCAAATCCAAGGCACAATATAATCGTAATGACAATGAAGAAGGTGATGCACCAAGCGTTGATCACCGCGACAACATCTTCGACAGACCGTTAATATAATGGCTCTGAAGCAGAGAATTGAATTTCCTCACCGGGACGTGAAAGCCACTCTGAGGCTTTTATCAACCATGAATCGCCTGGCCAGGTCTTAGAGAAGGCTTTCACGCTGGACAAGACCAGAGAATGATCTGTCACATATCGATAGAATCCCGCCCCAAAATTCTCAGCACGCGTAAAGTTCAAGCCTGCTATTATCAAGCTGAGAGACGCCATTTGCGATGCAATAGGTAGAAGACTGGAAATCTGGAAGCAAAATAAAACACCGAGGATATTGATGCCAAGTTCTACCCAAAGCTGCGAGTTCGAACGGGGTAGGGCGAATATATATTGAAAGTCGAATGCACCGTGCTCATGCGTGGGTTCCGCTTAACATCGATGGGATGCGAAGGATGACGGCTATTATTAGGCATTGATGGCGCGTACTGCCTAGCGGTTCGACAGGGAGAGTATGATTTAGCAGTTTTCAAGAGATGAATGTTGGCTTTATTCGCTCGTGGTCGCTTTTCTGCCCCCACAGTCGCAGCGCTAAAAACAGAGCTAATCCACGGATGCCACGAGGCCACTGCTTTGAGCTCACTCCTGCAGATGTGGACGGCCTTGGATAACCAACCATTTTCGTATGGCCTCACTGCCGGCAGCATATGAGAAGTCAGGTTTAAAGGACAGCGGTGTCATGCAGGGAAGCTTCTTGGGCTGATTATGCAGTATTGTACAATAATGTACTGCAAATTGCTGATAATTGCTCTATAATTTCTGCATTCCAATGCCCAGAGGTAAAGTAACTGTAATGGGTAAAACGTGTTTCGAAAGAGGGTTTGATTTGTTTGTTACATATACGCGTTTGCGGAGACGGGATCTCTGTGAGGGCCAGACGAGTCTCCCATACAGACAGCCCTATCATTCTCATGCAGAAAATCATTAATTAAGTTACCGAACTAGAAAATCACTTCGAAAAGTCAATCACAAGAAAGGTCGCAAGGTGATACATATGTTGTACTGGAACGAAAATACCGGTGGCATTGCCGGCAATTGCCGTTCGTTCAGCCTTGCGGGAGGCGGGAGGCTCAGCCACTTGTCCCAAATATATTTCGACAGACAGCGGCAACGCGACAAGGCTGATTCGTTGAGACGACGCGCAATCGAAGAATAAGCAGAGTAATGACGCAATTTTCAAAATCCATAATATTTGCAGCCAATATGGGATGGCCGCGTTCAATGAGGTTGTCTACAGTGGGTTGTACGAAATTATGTCCGGGCGCGACCGTGACTGGCGTAAGTGAGGTGCGCTGAGCCTACAGTCAGCCGCAGCCATATCGCGCAAGTAACCCGACGACCTCAGCCCCACCTGTTTCATGCGCTGGCATGCTGCGCCAGCGACCAACTACTCAATTACTATCAACAAACACAAGCCAAATGCTACCAGAGCGGGTCCTCTTACTCCGGTGTCTCGTACAATAAAAGCGCACACGGCTCCATTGTCCGGCATATGCAGAATCCCTTTCGCTCGACACCTGGCCAGGTATAGAGTAGAAGACGCCCCGCCCGTGACGGTGTAAATGCAGAGACCGAGGCCCAGATCTCCCAGGGGAAAAGCGCATATGCTAAGCAGGAAAACTCTACTTACACGCAGGGCATCTCATCGGCTGCCCCTAGCGGAGGTGCCGAAACCCCGACTACTGGTGTGGCTGGTGCTGGCACCCTCATTGAATCTCAAAAGACAGTTTCTCGGTGGGGGCGGTGGTCGGGGCGGGTGTTCGGGAGCTAAAGTGAAGCACGATGGACTGAAAAAGTCTAGCAAGACCAAGGGAAGACCGAAGATTCTTGGCCAGGTACGATCTTTCATAAGAAATATACTTGATCACATTCACTACCGCAATAGTGATGCATAAGAGTAACTACAAGTTTCGAGGACTTTGCTAGGTACAACCTTGGAAAGAAAATCAAACAAATAGCGTATCAATATTCGGTGTTTGAAGGAGAAGCTATAAGGGAATCACCCCTCGGACTTCTTCGGAAACATCCAACACCACAAGAGCCCATGGACAGAGATATTGGATCTTGCTGACCCATGCAGTACGTGTGAGCGCACTCTTCTTCTTTGGGAGCATCGTTTCCTGATCAATCGACTGAGCCCATTCGGATCCAAGTACCATATCATGCTCCTGCTCGATTCGTCGCTGAGAGTTTTCATAAATCACCCGAAAGTCCCAGAACGTATCAGGCGTGAAGCACTTCTCCATGAACAAAGCCAGCGCTGAAAGCCGAAGATTCAAGTCCTTGCATTTCGTGAAGAGAAAATGCAAAAGTGGTGGGACTCCGATCTCGAAAGTGCTTTTAGGTGCACCCATAGCCATCAACTCCCGCAGGAGCTCCAATTCCCGCCGGAACATGTCGGTACAGTCATCGTACCCTTGATCACCATATAAGGATCCATGGCACCATATTTTGCAAATGAGCCATCGGGCCTCAAGCATATGGAATGCAGCCCTTTCAAGTATGGGTAGATCTTGGGATACCAAGCCGGAGACAGCGAGAAACCAGTTATCCAGTTCGTGGTTCAATTCATACTGTGCGGGTAGGATGATAGACTCTTCGCATTGCTTGTTCACAAAATAGACCACTTCCATGGACCGGTAAACGAGCCAGTCAAGTTCCTCTTGCGCTTGAAGAAGCGACCAGAATGGCTGCGTGATATGTGGACACCCATCCTTTTCTAGCAACAAGAGACCCGAAGGACTGGTGAATAGGACAAACATGTGCATCTGGCGAAAGATTCCTTTGATCTGAGCATTGGGAGTGTATGAATCCAAAATGCGTTTCCCATATCTGTAGTGAAGAAGTGCCTGTTCATGATTCCCGCATAGAATATCAATGGACATGAAAATAACACAGGCGATAACGACCGTGTCAAGATTTCCTTGTCGCAGCAAAGCAATCTGGCGCATGGCCGAATTATAACGACCGATAGAAAACTTCTTCTCCGCCTCAGTCTGTGTATCCTCTCTAAATTTCTGGTAAAGAGAAGCAAGCGCCACGGCCGCGTCTCTCAAGCCCGGTTCCTGGTGTACCATCTGAGGAACCGTATAAGTCCAGAAAGAATGCGGCAACGGGCCCTCGAGTACAGGTGCTAGAAAGAGGCGGAAAAAATCCAGAAATTGGGAATCAGCGGCCCCAGCTCCTGGAATGGAGGATGGTTGGATTGTTTGAGTTTGGCGCTGCACTGCTTTAGACACCCAGGTAGTGTAACCATCGCAATTTCGGCCTGTGGATGTACATCTTTTGCAATTCGGATGTGTTTCGTCACATTTGATTCTGCGGATTCTAGGTCAAGATTAGCTTGAATAACCTTCAATATCGAGTCCCGAGAACTCGGTAAGGTTGCGGGGTCGCTCACTTGCAGGTGGTGCACCCAGTATGGGTCCTACGAATACCCTTGCGAACCATCGGATCCTGATATTGCTATATTCTAGGTGTTGTTCTGTTTGAACAGCTCAATGACTTTGATTTGAATTTTGTCAGACAAAATCACCTGGACTTGGGATTGCGAGAGAGAAAAAAGGTTCAAATAGGAGTGCCTGAAGCGTAAGGGTTTAGCTTGTGTGATCTGTGATCTGCAAGTATACGGATTTGGGCTTGAACTAATTCGCCGTGGACCTATCAACTACGCTACTGATCAAAGGAGACTGTGTAACACAAGAGCAGATCCGTCGAATAGCGGTGTGTCTCTCTTCGCGCAACAAATACGTTCAAATCGTTCAATGTTTTTCTTTTTCATTTTGCATATTCACTAGTGGGGGGACATTCTGCTACATGCAGAAGGACCACTAGGCAGGAGCCTTTTTAAACCCAGCTCAGCTCCACTGAGAAAGGGGCTCATGGATGCACTCTTTGAAGGTATTTTTCAATATGTGACAAGGAGTATAATCATATCATAAAATGTGTTCATTTCGCTTAGTCAGGAATAAGGATAAGTTCGAGTTATGAATGAAAAGTTTCTTGCCTCTGTTCCAGCATTATAAACACTGATTCATTATCTATAGGGGGAAATTATAAACATCCTAATGCATCTTGGCCCCAGATCTATGTAAGCCGGAGTGGGTGTTTTACGAGCCGTAGAAGCTCCCGTGGAACTGATTATGCCCTTCAACACAAAAGCCATCCTTGACTTGTTACACCCTCAATTTTGCACCTTGGATTCCCCGCATATTTACACGACGTTTTTGCATAATACTGAACAACACTAGCCTTCATTATATGCGACGCGGACTTTCTTTCAAACAATCACGGATAGGCGTGGATGTCTCATGGAAGGCCGCGACCCTAAGTATACCCGACTTTTATATTCGAGTAGGCTTTATTTTCCTATTGAGCGAGACTTCATTTTGAATTTTGTTTTATTTTGTCCTACTGCGTTGATGGTTGACGAGTCCAAAGCCACCTAATATGGTGATACCACATTGAGCGATATTCCCATTTTTACCACAAGTACCACGGCACTGGTCTAACTTCATAAAGTGAGGCCTGAATCCGCTTTGATGCTCCATGAAATCCTGCACATGGTGAGCAGGTGGGATGGGTACGGAGAAGATGCGGCAAATGGAGCAAATCCAATTGTGTAAAATAGTTTTGACTACCACTTAATCATCCCCCTGTTTTCTTACGTTCGGCCTTGCATGAACTTTGATCCTCCCATCACAGACGATATTGTTGATGGCGATAATACCTTGCGCAAACGCTCTATCATCTACTACCACGATGAAGAAATATTCCTACCAAAATACCGAGAATCATGTCTATTTTGCTTTGTCTTGGTGGTACTATTATTCCAGAACGGATTGGCAAGGCACGAGACCGGTCACCTTCTATGCTGGATTCCTTGAAGAATGCACAGGTTTCTAGATGGAGCCTAGATACGGACTCGGGTGATGATGATATAAGCAAAACTGACAATTGGGGTATTGGCGCTTCAATCACCTGTCAAATGGTTGGTGGGTATAAAATTATAGGTCATCCTTCTTGCTGCTAGCGAATAATCAATCAGAAGTTAGAATGATATTTCCAGTTACCACTATCATAAATCAAAATGTGGATATGGATGGACTATTGGAAATCGGCTTTAACATTAGTTTCTTTTTCTCGCTTGATTAAGTGCGGGCAGTACAAAGTGGGGGCTGTCTGCTAGTGTACTAGTACATCCGGACTCCCCCGACGCGACTAAACTACCCCTCTGCCGTAGTTGGCTGGAGGAATTCCCAGTACTTAAGTTCTGCATCGGCACTTCCTGCATCGGAACTCTGCATGAATTCCGCCCCTCTGCCAACCTCATTTCATTCTCATTCAACATCATTCATTCAAGGTTACCAATGGTGCATAACTTTGTGTGGCTCAAATAAACCTGCGCAAGATGTCAATCACAAGCTTGCCTTTAGAGTTGTTGAACTTTATTTGTGAGTATCTTGAGCCTCAGGATTGGGGCGCGCTCAGGATAACTTGCCGCCATATACACGGCAACACACTCGAAGCCTATACAACGCGATACTTCAAAAGAATATCGCTTCTTCTCACTCGTGAAGGCCTTGACCGCCTGGAGCATATTGCAAGCAGTAAAACTCTTCGTGGCTCGGTCGAAGAAATCTGGATCATCCCGAACTTATTCGAAAGCGGAATCCGGTTGGACAAGGCAAAGTTTACAAACATGGAAAATAGGAACCATCAGTTGAGATGGGGAGGTATTTCAACAATGGCAAAATCGGATGAAACTCAAGCTGAGCTTTTGGCTTTTGTTGTCTATAAAGCTATAATGAAAGAACAACAAGCCATTCTCGATTCCTGGGGTTTCTTTGGTACCCTTGAAAAATGCCTACCGCGCCTCGAAAACGCTGTTACCTTTGGAGTACGGTTTCACGCAACACATTTCCTTCTCAATACAGCCAAGCATTCTGACTTGACCTGCCTGGGCTTACGTGAATTGAAGAGCCAGTTCAATTACAGTGTGTACAAGACGTTTCCAATGATTCAGAGAGTGCCGTACATGCTATATGATTTGCCATTCTCACAACTGCTGAATGCCATAATCAAATCCAATCGAAAGGTCCAAGCCCTCCAGACATGCGGCCATGCCTTTCGCGCCTTTCGCAGCGATCGCCTTTGCGGTATGAATTTGAAATCTTTTCAACTGCCAGAGTCAGAGTATCAATTACTGCTTCCACTCTTGAAGGATCTGACGACTCTACATATGTGCATTCGCCTTAAAGAGTACGAACAAGAATCATTCGATGAAAAGACATTTAAACGTCTTCTTAATGTTCTGGTCACAGTTGCACCGACACTTAAAACCCTGACCTTTGCCCAATGGAGTCCCATAGAAGAATTGTCTCCTCTCTACTTTAAAAATCTCTCTCAAAGAATTCAGTTTTCCCAACTAGAGGAACTTGATCTTCATTCGATCGAGGTGACGGTGAATAGCCTAGAAGAGTTTCTACGGACCGCAGCCCCAACCTTGAAACGACTGAGTCTGGAGTTGGTCAGTATAGTTGATGGGATAACATCAGCACCAGATCTAGGACCTATTACCGAAAACAGTGGCAGTTGGGTCTCTGCATTATCTGCTGAAGTCAAAAATGACATGCAGGGGCTCTGGAAGCGCGTTTTTGAATCATGGGCACAACATCTCAAGCTACAATACGTCCAACTTTGCAACCTTGGTTACCGGGGAAGATATATCAAGTTGAGAGATCACTTGTATACGCAACGCGGGCAGCTGGATGCACAGCCTTCTCCTGGCCCGAACTCGAAGCCGGATGCACAGCCTTCTGTCTTGAATCCCTTAAGCATCTCTTTTGATGCCGAGAGGGCGAGTATACCTTTCGAAAAGTGGATCACGCAGCTTGAGATAGAGATGTGGCATCGGACATTCTTTGGAGATTCCACGCTCCCAGGGACCCGCGACATCAACGTGCGCCAACCAGGCCGTGAATTTAGTGGGCAGGTGACTTACGCATGCAGTTTTGGAAGGTGAAATGGCATCGGACAACCTTTGGAGGTCCTGAGCTCCCAGGAGCCAGCGACATCTATGTGCACCAACCAGGCTGGGATTTTAGTAGGCATGTGACTTACGCATGCATCGTCAACCCGAGAAGAGCTTAGAATCGTGTGCTTATATAGGTGGGTCATTTTAAAGTCGTCTACTGTTGAGGCCACCTTCTTGTCTCGCAAGCTTTATCACCAGGAATGTACAGGGTGTAATGGGCCAGTAGCAGTGAATCACTAAGCAGAAATTGTGTATATTTACTGATTTATTAGCGCCCACGCGCAGGGATAAGCAACTGAGACTATCTTCTCTTCTCCAAGTCACTCCTTGAACTCCTTCTTGTCTCTAACTGCCCCTAGTGACGGACTTGAACGAACTTGGTCCCTACTTCGCAGATAGACCACTTCCTCGAGCGTTCCCTTCGTTAACAAGAAGTCTTAATCAAGTAGCCAATCGTTCTGGATAAGCATAGGTGTCTAGGTGGGTGGGATCCAGGCTTGCACGGCGAAAGTCGCCATCACGGCGAACAACCAAATTACTCGTAGTACTTGTTTCTCACCACTCGGATGTTCTTCCTTCATGCAAACTTGTAATGGTCTCTATGTCAATGCAGAGAGATGCCATATGTTGTGCCAGGGTCGATATCAGTTCAACAAGGCTTCGTGGGGGACGGGGCACCGGGGAAGCCATAAGATCAGCCATAAGATCAGCCATAAGATCAGCCATAAGATCAGCCATAAGCTCAGCCATAGTAATGATGAGATACAGCTGTTTTTGGTATCAGTCCGGTGAAACTTGGTGCGTGGGGGCATGCGGAGGTAAATTCTACGTTTACTTCGCCATCTCGATTCGGGATCCAGCCACACCCTCTCTCATCCTACCCTGCATTGCATGCTATTTTTCTCAATATGATACAACACGGGTCCATTTTTCATATTGCAGAAACTGCACTATATATGTTCAATGATAGTGGTCTCCAGTACATACGACCATAGGGTGTGGAGAACAGGGCTTCCCGTCCGCTCAGCCGTACTTAAGCCACACGCCGGTTAGTTAGTAGTATGGTGGGTGACCACATGCGAATCCTGACTGTTGTATGTTTTTATTTTTTCTTCTTTACTTTATATACGTCGGTCCGCTTCGCTGCTCAGCCCTTCACGCGAGTGGCTTCGAACCCACTTTTTTGCACCGGAATACCTTACACGCCCCTAAAATAACGGCATCTATAGGTCTTCAAGGTGAAAGTTTAACCATGACTATGTTGGATTAATCGCAGCACTATACACCAGCCGGTGCCACGTTTACTATTGATTGGAAATGGAGTATACAATTAATGATCCGAAGGGAGATGTCTGGGTATGAGGGCTTTAATGTGGTCAGAGTCAGAACATCACTGGGCTGAGGACCCTTGAGGAATCTAGACCGAAGACTTTAGAAATAGCCAAACAATCTCGCTAAAATTTTCAGGTCTATAGAACGACTCGAATCCATGATTGTAGCTGAATGATCTTAGTTGATATGGTAAGTGAATTTTGCTGCCTTACCGGTATGACATCAACATTCGTTCCATACAACCTCCTTATAACTCCACCATCCAAGGTTCTACATCAATGAAACAGCATAATACTTTATTTATTCTTCTTTTGAGCTAGCCTTCAAGCACAATTCGGTACATGAGCTGGTCCCCAATATCTCGCCTACGGCCATGCTTAGACTACATACTTCTACGGTCTGTTGGCCCAACACACAAACCCTTTTCTCCCGACAGCATACTCTATATAACTAGTCTTTCTTTTGGGAAACGATTTTCTCGCTTGTTGATCACTCCACAACTCTCGGTTTAGGTATAGAATGCCGATATTGTCAGACTTGAAACATGCAGTGGTCGAACGTGCCTCTGAAGCCTGGTAACATCGTGTTCTCAGTATCATTACCGGAAGATTGTAAGACCCTGTAGCCGGCCTAGCGGAGGTAAGTTCGTCTTTAAGCAAGCTTTAAGCCCCATTTGACGTGCTTCAAGGTTGTATGTCCCTTACACTCTCTTTTCTGCCTTCAATATCAAGTACTAGCGTTCTATCTTGTCCCATTTATCACGTTTCTATCATCATGCGCACTTGATTCTTCTTTCTATTGGCCCTGGTCACGGTATCATTAATCAATACTTTGAGTATGGAGAAGAGAGACAACCGGCGTGTTTCACGGTGCCAATTGTACCCGATACTCTTTTTGCGTCATATTTCAATTGATTCTGAATGACAGGACGGTGGGGGGTGCGGGGGAATAGGGGCTGTGGGCACATGTCTGGGAGTTGTGTCCAATCATAATTTATGAACGCATTGACCATGCGGGCTGATACACCCAGGAAACTGCGTCTCAGCCTCCATCCCAGCGTTCATCTCAGCCTACAAAAGAGATTTCGTGTCTGATGTTCTGGAAATATGCGGAGTTACATCGGGTTCTATGAAGATGGGGAACTTCAACTCAGCTGGGAGTTGCAGTACGTCGAAGATATCTTAGTCTGTCTATTACAATCAATACCATGGATTTAGTCGGGTATCTCAAGTGGTTGATCTTTAGATATAGAGATTTATCATACATCTTACTGACCCAGGCATTCACCGATGCCGGTACAAATAACACTCCGGCTTTCATTTTTGGGCCCAGAGGGATGACTACGGCAGTGTTAGCTATGAATTAGGCGTTAACACACTCTCTCTTCAGCGGTATTAAAAAGGCCAGATACTGAAAAGCTCTTTCCACTTTCCCAACAGTCAAAGGATCCAAACTGGCGAAGGCGATTCGTAGCAATGTGGATGGCATTTCAATCAAAGGAACTTCCTTGGAATCTAAGCTTTTTCCTGTGGATGCTGTCTTCGACAATCGGCCTGATATGATTTACGTACCAAGTCTTTGGCGCAGTCCTGAATGCTCAAATTGGCAAGATCTTCTCGCAGATTAATGGGGACAGGTCAATTTCTGCTGCGGTGCAGTGAGCATGAACTCGACCATAGATTTCAAACTCGAGAAATTGGAACTCCAATTTTTCCTCAGCTGGTTCATTAGCGAAGAAAAACATAAGGTAATGGATGTTCGTGATTTCATTGCAACGTATTTTTTTCACAAGCCTTGAGAATGTCGACATCGAATCCGAGCGAGGCTTGGTTTTTGGTTCCGATTCCATCAGTAGGGTTTATGCAGTCTTTGATCTTGAAAAATATGATACCTTGTTCGCACCGATCAATAGGAAACATGGTCCGGGCGACGTTGTCGTTAAATTAGGCAACAATAGCAAATTTAGGCCAAGATGGTACATCTAAGATGAACACGGCTGGTACGCGCATGCTAAAAGACATGGGGATGAGCGGTTTGGTGGCAGGTGCCGCTGTAATTATCCTGATATTCTCAGTTTGAGACTTTTACTACTAGGTACTAATTGTTAATCTCTTTACTTTTCCCTTTTATGCATCATGCCAATTGAACTATGAGACCCAATCAGGGATTACCAATCCAGATTATACCTTCTGCTCTCTCTAGGAACCTTAAGTTCGACACGAACCTCGATCAATAGCCAAGTAACTTCCCATTCCATCTATGGCAGCCTGCATATCTATCCTCCACAACATCAATTATCAGAAATGAGGCAAAGAGGAATGATCCCAAATGATGCGAGCACAAGTGAATAATTGATGGAGGAATCATATCTGAACGCCGTTATTCGTTCGTAATTTGCCGTGAATAATACTATACATGCAGGCCATCTTCCACAAATTGGGTCGTCCCTTCCGTAGGAGCCTTCCAGGCAACGCGATCCTTGGTAAACTGCTCCATTGTGGGTCTCAGTTTCGTCTCGTGTAGCGAGAAATCATCCACACTTCCAACACGCAGAATACTCATTCCCGGGAACGCTGCTCCGACTCGATACATAAGGGAGCCGCAGGTCGAACAGAAGTAGTTAGTCATGCTGTTATCTTTGCCCGGTGTCTTGAAGAACACAGTACGCGATTGGCTGTATGTCTTCAAGTTCTCCTGCCCACGAAGATGTTTCAGGTGCGTGTCATAGACTGTGAAGTTCGTGGCGTGCATGGATGCTGTGAGCTTGTGACAATCAGAGCAATTACAAATGAAGGAACCGACGAAGCCAGGTCCATGGGTTGGCTGGGAGATGAGAAGTGGTTAGTATTGTATAGCGCGAAAAGAATGGCACTTACGAATGATAATTGCACTGCTCCACAAAAGCATGTAGCTGTCGCTTCATCCTCGGTGGACCAGCCATCGTCGGCACCACCCGCGAGGGGGAAATATGGTTTTGACTTGTCGATGGTGGATGCCATGCCTTCGTCACTAGTGGGGTCTGTTGGATGGCTTGAAAGACAAAGCTTTTCGAATTTGGAAAAGATGATCAATCTGCGGCTGCATGGCAAGCTTTATACGCGAGGATAATGATTTGTCATTTTCCCGTGTTTGTTGCACCCTCGTGCAGAGAGGGTCTGGGCCACGGTACTATGCGGTAGTATGCGTCATTGTCAGCCGCCACCATTTCTGATTGATCCCCGCGCTCCAAAATAAGAAGCTATAGATGATAAGAAACAAAACTCAAAAATGCAGAGTAACTTTGCGGAACATCTGGATGGTAAATGATTGGATTCTATAAGAAGTGCACAGGTAGATCTAAGAGATTAACTCTCCCTGAGGCACCATACCCAAAACGGGCAACTCTGTTCTACGCGATCGACCTCATCACCTTCGCTTAGTCCCTGTTTCTAATCTTTATGATCTGTCCATTTGTAAGCGACAGGAAATAGATTGGTTGGAAACTTGATTATGCATGTCGGGACAATTGATAAGCCATTTCCCCGCTTCAACGATACGAGGATAATAAAGATCGCGATTTGTTTGCCACAAAGAGCACAACAGATTCGTAATCATCCTAAATTACTAATATTATTTATGACGCGATCAGGAATGCGGCATAGAGTCCCGGATCGTAGGCTGCATGGTCGATTGTCTTGAACGAAGAGTGAAAAATATTGCCTTGCAGTTGGAATTATAAAGTATTGCTTTGCAGTTAGGTTTCTATGTTGGGCTTCCACTGCATCCCCCCTCTATCCTAGGGCCCTCTGCGATTGGTCCCAAACCTGCAGGTGGAAATGTTTCGGTTAATGCTCAAGCAAGGTTTTGAACATGTCTGCAGGTGTACGCTTTGGCGCAGCGAGCGCCAGTACCTCTTTGCTTGTCGTAGAAGCCGAGCACTTGCCTTCCCACGCCGTCACCGCGGCATGTTTGATCGAAAAAATAACATTCTTCGACTGGGTCGCCGCGTACTTGAACTCATAAAGCGAGTCGATGAATGACAGGTCTTTATAGACAACCTCCTCGACTGCCGTACCAATATACTGCTCGACTATCTCCACAATCTGCTTTCCGGTGATATCTTCAAGACCATTCAGCACGTATTTGGCCTTGTTGTGTGAACTGGGGTCTTCTTGGGACAAGAGGTGAGCTGCAAAGACACCGATATCATGAGGATCGATAATGCCAATGGGAGCGTCTTTTGATGCCATCAATCGAAGGGTGTCCTGCTCTCCAGTTTTGCGGTAGTGCTTGATGAATTCCGCAGCGCTGGAAAGATAGAGTGGTGTGAAGATGTTCGGCTGGAGGGATGTCCATTGCAAAGGGGCAAATTCGGGTGAGCTGAGAAGAGCCTCGATAGCCCAATGCGTGCGAGGATAATAGGCCTTGCAATCCGGTCGGACATTGGCAGCCGTGGTGGAAATTCGCACGACATATTCAACACCGGCGTTGAGGGCGGCAACGTGGAATGTAGATTCTTCAGCGAACTGAGTCGGTTCATTGTGGGCTGCAATAAATGCTCTGACTACATGGTTTTCACGTAGCCATTCGGAGGTGATTTCAACCCAGTTCTTCTCTATCACTTCGACTCTCGGCAATTTGGCAAGCTTTTGCGCCTCTGGACTCTGCGCAGAACGAGTGAGAGCAATAACCCGGTGCTGGTATAGGATTTTGTTTGATTGGAGAAGCTTGGGTAGTGTTTCGGCAACGCTTCGGCCAGTGTTACCGGTAGCACCGACGATGAGGATAGATGGAACCATTCTTGGAGAGGGACAATTGTTGTAGTATGTGCGATCTTGCGAAAGACAGGGGATCTTTTCTCAAATTTATATTTACGCCACGGCTTGCGGTTTCCAGTGGGGAATGATTGAAAATCATAGTTAATTACTAAAAAAAAAGAATGGGGTTAGTAAGAGTCGCTGCATCACTAAATCTGCCCCCGGCATCCCACCGGACAGTATGAAGATGTGGTAGGGTTGGTGGGACGCCGGTGGGTGCCGGTGGGTGCCGGTGGGTAGTGGAATGCCGCTTAAGTAATATGACGCACAATATTATCTTTAGCTCACGTCTCATTTTTGCTATGCGTGTGTTCTTTTGTTAAAAGCTTCTCTCCAGATCATCAGATCTGGAATTTCCACTAGATGGGAACGACACTCAATGTAACTGACCCCAAGAATCCTAGCGGCGCGTTTAGATGTCAGTTCGCCAACTGCAACGCCAGTTACAGACGCAAGCAGCACTTGAATCGACACGAAACAAAACACACGCAGCAGGATAGCTTGCCTTGCTCAACTTGTAGTCGAACTTTCAAACGAAGGTGACTATGCTGAATCTACTCATTCTTGTGCATACCTGACTATTTTGAGCAAGTGACACACTTAAACGACATGTTCGACGAGACCACAAAATAATCGAGCCTCTTAAGCGTGCATTGCGGGCCTGCAAAAACTGTCATGCAACAAAGTCTAGATGCGAAGGAGGCGCACCGTGTGATTGGTGCTTGCATCGCAACATTGAATGCTCCCTCTATGATCATTCTAGTTCGGTAGAAAGGCAAGGTCCAGAACATCCAGCAGATAGTGCATCTAGTCCAAGGCACGAAGAGCTGGATATGGCTCCTTCAGAGAAGCGGGCTGAGTATATCAGGCATTATTTCGAAAACTTCCACTCGCATTGGTCATTTATCCACAAAGGATCCTTCGATCTGCGCCATGAAACGCCCTTACTTGTTCAATCGATGGTTGTAATAGGTATGTGGGTTAGTGGAGATCAGTATGCCAAGTTGGCAGCAGTGGAACTTCACGATATACTCGACCTGGCCATTCGAGATCAAAGGGTTCGTGAAAATCCCTCGAAAAATAAAAGTGTCTTACTAACGTATAAGCATAGGATAAGTGGGATGGCTCGGAAACAGATGAAGCGTGCAGTGCCTACTTCTGGCCCATGCCAACCTTCCAGGCTATCCTGCTGCATATAATATTCTCAAGTATGCTCAAAGAACACACGCTTGATTTGGACCTCAAATTCTCCCTTTCAATCGCAGATTTCGAATTACTCCAGGCGCTTATTCGAACCTGTCGGAGACTAGGCATGTTTGAATACCCGAACATACTTTCTAGGTATAAAGACGCCACACTTACTTCATTTATATGGGTTGGTATTGAGGAAATTAAGAGATTTAATATAGCCCTGTACAAAGTTTGTGCAAGATCAAGCAGCAGCGTACAAGACGGAGATACGAAGGATTATGGCGATGGTCTGGAAAAGCCTTTCCTGGCGGCGCATGAACTTCAATTTCCGCTGCCAAGCAGCAGCGCTTTATGGAATGCAGCCGGAAAGGCTGAATGGATGATTCATGGAAAGGGGATAGAGCCGGTTTCTTTAGACGATTACTGTGAAGAAAGCTGGATCTCGAACTTCGCAAAGGTATTAGAGTTTCTTGATCCTTGACTATCGCCTGATTTCATGTATAGATCAAACAGTTCCTATGATGTGCATGTGTATCTACTACGGGTGAATGCAAGACTAGCAATCAGGCCAGAGATGTAATAACTTCATTCCGATGCACTCATACCCGTCCAAGCTGAAGATTCAAGTACAAGCAACAAAATCATCGTCCGAGGCCCCAGTATGAGTAATAACACCCGCAAGTTCATCATCACCATTAAAGATTACACGATCCGCACCCGGTGATCCACCAGTATACACCTTTCCAGAGCTCAAGATGGGAAACTCATAGTACGGGGCAGAAACAGAGAAGTCGAAGCCCTCATAATCGTGGTAAACATGAGGGTAGTCGTCATCAGTCTCGCTGGCGGCTTCAAGCTTGTAGCCTGCGGCCTGGGCGGCGCTGACAGCGCTGCTGGTGTAGCAGACTGTACCGCAGGTGTAGGCACATGCGCGAGTGAATTTCTCGAGGGGAATGGCTAGGGTGCCTGTCATGAAGACTGTGAGGGCGAGGATCTGACTTGTTAGCTTGTAATTCGTTTCTATGGTGTGCGTTGCATACCTTAGCGTATTGCATGTTGGCGAGAATGGAACAAGGCTGAGATTGGGGATTTATTTGAGTGTGATTGATGTCAATTGTTCTGGATGTTTAGAGGTTTAAATAAAGAACTATGGCGGGTGAGTTGCTATCGCGATACTCATACATAATCTCGCCCACCCCTCGCAATTGACCAATGTTACATCTGTTCATCGTCAGCAGTGTAGTTTCATTGGCAGATACATGCAGGTTCAAAAGTACTCCAGAGGAATTGGCAAGCTATACCGCAAGTGGAATGTGGACCGATCTGCATATTATATCCTGAGTGGGTGCAAGGGAGGTGCATGGACGTTTTGATTGGTATACCGGACACCGTGAAAGATCAACTGGTACTCGCCTTATCCGAGGCTGATCGACAGGGTTTGGTGCCGGGTAGTGGGGTCTTGGCTGATACGGATCCTGCAGGATACTGTCGAGCCAATCGGGGGTGAAGCTTGGGGGCACGGTGAGCTTTAGCGATGTGGGGTTGAAGAAGTGACACTCGAGGTCTATTGGAGATTTAACACGCCGATGTGATTATGGACTTGCCAAGCAGATGAAGTTGGTTTATTCACATCGGTTCTCCGACGGAATCCGGGCCGCTCTCTGACCTGTGCATATGGACATTGTTGATTTGGAGATATTTTCACCTGAAAAAAGCGTTCAATTCAATGCTTCTCAGAGTATAGCGATATTCTATCATGCATCTGTAGCTGTCTATCCTATAACAATTGCGTTAAGCTTCCCCCACCATTCCTGGTCTTGGTTAACGTCGTCTTCTTCATCCACAAATTCTCTCCGGCCGGTCCAGATATCCATATCCTCTATTCGAACCCACCTGGTCTTGTTCCACACTTTGTAGACAACAAAGAAAAAGACAAAAACGGGCAATAGAATGTAGTTGATCACAAAGTCCGAATATGATGATCCAGCCCCATCGTGGTGCCGAAGTAGTCCAATACTCGATAACCAACGATATTGAGTTGTATTCGTTCGCGAGGACCTAAAAGTGATGTTAACAAATTTCAATCTTCGGTACGATTCCATCGCTCACAGTGACCCATAAATATAAATATGTCCAACACAATGCAAATGCCAGGGCATCGTCGATGAACCGCTCGGCGTACTCAATGAAAGATCCAGTCACGGGAAAAACAGTCGCCTTCTCACCAAGAGATTGCCTGCACATGTCAGAGATAGCTCAAGTCCAAAACGGAGTTACTGAAATCACGAAGAAAACGATAACTCCAACCAAGAAAAAGCTGATCAGCGAACCTGCCGGTCCACCTTCATGCAATGCATTTCCCGAGCTCACCAGCAATCCCGGTCCAATATTGCCTAGCAAGATGGTCAGCGCGAACAACTCAAGCTATCAGAAGTACAACTTACCCCCAATAGCAATCATCTGCAAATGCCGCGGTTTCAACTGCCGTTTCAACGGCGCCGCAAATGGATCCGTAATAGTCTCTTCATCGCGCACCGACTCCTCACAAGAATTAACACTCTAAGCATCCTCACCGGTAGCGACAGGCGCACGAGAAGCTATAGCATCGAAATCACCCTTGCCAGTCATAAACAAATCTACTTATCTATATTTCAAAATTGGATTACCAGCAACTTTCAGCTTCCGGGAGATTTTCAAAAAGAGTGTAACTTTTCTGCACGAAACTGCGGGAGACTGCGAGCTTGAGAAGGAAAATTTCGGGTCGTTCATTTGTTACAGATGTCGTGATGACCCCGGGTGATCGGCGGATTAGTGTAGATCGTGGGGCATTAGGTTGACGAGCCACTCATGCGCGAGTGGGAGGATTGGAATTTTCCTTCTTTGGTGTTGATTTTGGTGGCGTGGTGTGTTTCTTCGTCTGTGCCTTTTAGAATTTCTGAGGTTGGGGTCTGATGAAGGGAATGTGGACATAAGATCTGGACTGAGTGTTATGGATCAGGTTGGAGGTTTGGCGATTTGGGGAAGCACGCCACCAAGCCACTGGCTGAGTTGATACGCCTAAGAGGACAGTAACAATTCTCATTCAACTTCGTGAAACAATGGCTTCCAAGTCAATTGAACTTGTGATTGTTGGTTAGTCATTGGAATGTGGGGCGTCGATTGAGGTCATTTAGAACACACTGAACTTGGGCACTCAGACTCTAGACTGGGCTAAAATCATGAACCTGTGGATTCAGACAGCCCGAATTTTGTCATCATGCTGCCCATTGTCAATCATAATATGATAAATCAAAATTGGCTAGGAGGTTTTGTTGCAAGCTTCATCATGTCACAGGGGCCAGAACCGGGTAATAGAGCTGGAGGAGACTTCCTGTAATGATGCTGAAGATGAAAAATAAACAAAAGAAAGTTGAAACGAAAGAGACAAGCAGTTTGGTGGAGGGACAGCATGGGGATAGGAGCTGGAATCGGGAGTAAACAGGAAGAATAGTAGGGAAATATTAAGGATAAGAATAAGAATAAGAAAGATGAGAATGAACGCAAATACAAATACGAACGAGTGAGACAGAGTAGAAGTCAAGAGGGAAGTTGGAGGGAAGAAGAACGAAGTCAGAAACGAGACTTTTACTGTAGTTCTAGTCCAAAACATTGAACGACACTCACTAAGCGACATGATAATCACGATTTTTTGAGACATCTACAAATCGATGTCCTTGGGATTTTACCAACCTTTGACTTACAAGCTCGATTCCCTGCCGACGACTTTCCAGCATGACAATCTGGAATCTTCCCTTCCCAGATTCTTTCTCATCTGGCTTGGACTTTAGCTCAAAATAAGCGTTTCAGGTCGTGGAATGGCCAAACAGTCCCCTAATCAATATCTACAGGTACATTCATGTGCTTACCGACCTCGTCCTCAAAATCACTTTCTCAATCTCCAGTTTTTACCCCAAGGAATGAGTGCCTCGACGAATTTTCCCTTAAACCCAAAGCTGTCTGCAGGATCTGTGTCAGAGCATTTCTGTCTCTTTTTGGATCCACCGAAAGTTACGAAACAATCAACGGCCTATTGGGTCCTAGATTGAAACAAGATAGACATGATTTTATCGAAAAGACCGCGGAGGTTGCCCCAATATATTTTTAAATGGCCTTTCGACGTTGATTATTTCAGTCGGGGTATCTCATAATCTATCTAGCGACAAGAAAGCAGCATGATCAATCACGCGATTATGTTGACTGTTCATTGTCCTCCTCTTCTTCACTCGGTAGCTGCTTTGGAAACCAGCCATAACTTGAGAAGTCAATGTAAAACTCGTTCATACTGTCCGTGGTCACAACGACGCCTTCTTCTCGCAGTGCCTCTGCTTGCCGCTCTGCGCTTCCAGGGCCACTATGAGATCATTAGCGGTAGGACAGGATCCCAAGATAACAGCGCATGATCAAAGAGAGGAAGAGCAACGTTTAAGAGCCGTGCCTACCGATGAGAGATCATCCCTTTGGCATTGACAACTCGTTGCCAGGGGACAGTGCTGGAATTGAAATGCAAGCCAGAGTCTGCGGCAGGTAGAGATTTCAGACACACACCAACCTGACGTGGTCTTTGAGCTATGGATCAAATTGTGTCAGCAATACGTGCGGCATAACTAAAGATATTTCTTACGTTCACCCAGCAGAAGGGCAATGTGGCCGTAGGAGGTAACTTTGCCGTGAGGAATCTCTTGAATTGCTGAATAGACAGCATTTGCCCATGACTCCGCTTCCTCCGACCGAGGCATATTGAATGGCCTAATTATATTCTGGGTGAATGGTTATTCCCTAACAACAAGTCAAGTCGAGGCGGATACAAACCTCGGGAAAACATTGTTCCAGCTATTGATAAGCGATAAATCACTGCCGCGACCAAAGCTCAAGACGTGCACTACACCAGTATTCAACTCACCATGCCCGGCTCATTGGCAGATTACCTTGCCAAAAACTACCTCAACGCAGACCCAGCGCCTGAGCGCCCAAAAAAGAAGCGGAAGAAGACCAAGACCGACACCTCAGGTTCTGGCCTTCTCATCGCAGACGATGACCCACCAGACCTCCGAAACAGCAACACAACCCTGAACGACGATGACGAAGACAGCCCCTTCATCGACACATCAGCTCAAAGTACCGAATTCCGCCGAGCTAAAAAGTCCGGCTGGAAGACCATCGGCGGAGCAGCGGCCAACAATAAAAGCGACCAAGCAGCCGCCGATGCAATCCTAGCTTCCGCCGCAGCTGAGCGCGAGGCACGACGAGCCGACGATGAAGACTCGCCCATGATCGAGAGAACAGAGGAAGACGGGCCCCGCATGGAATCTGGCGCACTAGCAGGTCTCCAGACAGCAGCACAAACAGCCGCGATGATGAAAGCACAAGAACGCCGCCGCAAGGCTGAAGCAGCACTATTCAAAGACCCCGCAGCGGTGGACGAAAAAGAACAAGAAACAATCTACCGTGACGCGTCCGGACGAATCATTAACGTGGCAATGAAGCGGGCGGAAGCTCGTCGCGCCGAAGAAGAGAAGCGCGTCAAGGAGGAACAAGCTCGCGAAGCACTTATGGGTGATGTACAGCGTCAGCAGCGGGAGAATCGACGACAGGAACTACAAGAGATTAAGGCTATGCCTCTTGCGCGCACGATCGAAGATGAAGCGATGAATGATGAGTTACGGGAAGTTGAGCGGTGGAATGATCCTGCAGCGCAGTTCTTGACACAGAAGAAAGGGCCTGGGGCTGGTGCTTCTGGGCTGCCATTGTATCGGGGTGCGTTTCAACCAAATCGATATGGTATTCGGCCTGGTCATCGGTGGGATGGTGTTGATCGGGGGAATGGGTTTGAGAAGGATTGGTTTGCGTCGAGGAATAAGAAGAGTCGTAATGAGACACTGGAATACCAGTGGCAAATGGATGAGTAAATCCTGTTATTGCGCATTAATTCTTATTACAATCAATTTGAATGGGTGCTGGCGCCTGTTCTGTACAATTGCATTTGAATAAGATACGTAGATATTCCTTGTGACATCGGGTCATTCTCCAAATTGAATTAGGTTGAATAGTTGCGAGAATCAGCGATTGTAACGCTGATGATCACTCATGCGTTTTGGTTATGTATCATCCAATCGAGGGCGTCTCTGGTCTTGACCTTTGTACAGCTAGCTGCACCCCAGAACTACAAAGAAAAAAGTTCTCGATATTCCAGTGGGAAGAATATCGATCAAAGACCCAGATAAAGTACTAAATACTCCCTGCTGTAATACATACTTGCTGCCCGATAAGGCAATCTGTTTTTAATTGCTAGACCTGCAGATGGTGGAGTTAGCTGATCACGCCTAGACCACCTACTAGTAACGACATTGATTTCCTTGCATTGACATACTAGTTATTCGATGGTGAAGTTCTGTTGTTGAGCTACTACAATCCCTTATGGATATGTTTTAGGATTACGTTTTTCTAGCTCCGAGCGGGTTCTGTTGCCCCGGTGTTTTTTTTACCAAAACAACTTCTCCCCATCCATGATCCACCCCACCACGACAAGATGGTACGAACTGCTGAAGGTCCGATGGACTTTGAATGGCAGAACCGTCCTGCAATGGATGTGACATCTCCATTCTCCCACCTGGAGACTAAGAAACGTAGGCTCCCTAACTCCTACCATTCTAATCCTACTGACCCATCTTCAGGAACACACAGCGCATTCGGCTCACCAGACAAGAAACCACCTTCCCTTCGTCCTCCAAACTCCCAACCCTTTCTCTTTTCCCAAAATGATGCCCCTCTACCAACCCCCAAGTCCGTCTTTGGTCAACCTGCCTTCATGACACCGCGCAAAGTGGACCTCGACTTCTCCTCCGGCGCCGAGAACTTTTCCTCCCCAGAAAATGCCGATAACGAAGATACACCGGAACAATCGAGGCCTGAACGACGGAACTCACTCTTCAACATCTACGGTCGGTTTGGAGGAAGTCCCGGTCGGGGTGAGATTCCCCGCATGAAACAGAAACCCTATTCCAGTGGAGCCCTGCACAAGGTTCAAAAGAAACGACGTCGGAATCAGGAGTTGAGTCGGCAGGTCAAGCTGGAAAGTGACGATGAAAGTGACCAACCGACCGATCACAGAATAGCCAAACCGGGGAAACAAGGGAAAGAGGTCACAGAAGCTGCCCCTTCGCGCATGTCCTCTTTCTCCGAGTTCTTTGCCTTGCTAGAGGCGCATCCTAATGTTCCTAGCATCCTGTCCTGGTGGGCTCAGCTGATGGTCAATTTATCGCTGTTCTCGTTGGCCGTCTACATCGTTTTCACCTTTGTTTCGGCTATTCGCACCGAGTTCGAGCACGCGGCCGAGCAAGAGTCCGATACTATTCTAGCCGATATGGCAAGATGCGCCAAGGATTACGTGGATAACCGATGTGGAGGAGGAGATAGACTGCCGGCGTTGGAAAGTGTTTGTGAGAATTGGGAACGTTGCATGAATCGCGACCCGGCCAAGATCGGACGCGCCAAGGTGTCTGCCCATACGATGGCCATGATCATCAACAACTTTATTGATCCCATCAGCTGGAAGGCAGTGGTATGTCTCCTGTTCTGGATCACTTAATCACCTACTAACTTATTTTCAGGCCATTTTCCTCGCTACTATCTCTACAGTGACTGTTGTCAGTAACTGGTCATTCCGTTCTTTCAGAAGCAGACAAAGTCAGCCAGACTTCTCCCAACATAACTACCCACAGCCCCCTGCGCATGATTACATGCATCAACAACCACTCCACCTCCAACATGCCTCGACTTTCGGTTACTACGGACAACCCGATCCCCGACAGAACAACTACACCCAAAACCAAGACACCCCATTAATGCTCGAGAACAAAGGGATGGATTTTGTGACTGAACGGACTCGCGATCGTGAAAATCACCTCCGCACACCGAGTCCGTCAAAGCGCCGATTCGCATAATTTCTTGTTTTATATTTGTGACTTCAGGCGTCTTGCATGGGGTTTGTCAGCATACAGGAACATTGGACGGGACGGATTGGAACGGTGTATTTTACTCTCTTTACTTTTTCCTATACCAAAAGGTTTTCTCCGATCTGTCGCTTTGGAAATGACGCACCTTAAGGAGGTCAAAGTGTAACTAGAACTGTACGGTGAGAGGACATAAGTATTTGCAGCCCTTGCTGTGTTCTGCAGGTCAAGAACTTCCAGTACAGTATAAGATAACCCTGTCGAACGGCCGGTTTAGCTCTAGTAAGCCATATCCATTAACCTATAACATTGAGATTTTTGAATAAAGCAGTGAGGTAGGAGATCCAGTAGACGTAGGTGAACCTTCGGAGATTTAAATCTTTATTATGCCCAAGTCCAGTTCTTTCAGTATCTGTTCTAAATTGCGCGGCACCGTGGAACAGGTATTATGACTTCCTTTTCCCTCTTAGACTGCAGCTCTGCATCTGGCTCAACTGGAAAACAGTCACTCTTCCATGTCAACACTTGCTCTACCAGGTCTCTCTATAAGTTTATTTCATCAGCAAGAATGCCTCTGATAGGGACAAGCCATAGGGACGCAGGACCTAAAAGCAGCTCCTGCTCTTTCAAATCACAAAATATCAGCTGCTGATCCCCAACTTAGTGAGTTCTCATGTCATAAATGAGGTGTAGAGGATTGGCGATGTTCTCGTAGCAGTTGGCTGGAATATTCCCACTCGTCATGACCGAAGATATAGGACCTCATGGATAAGACTTGATAAAGTGTGTTAGCATGTGTCCTCCAACCCGAGAAAGTACAATTACCCTCTTCTTCAGGCAAAGGTTTTTTTCCTGACTCCCGAGCGAAAGCTTGAATCTTCATTGCGCGATCCCGGCGGGCCTTCTCATATAATTTTAAGCGTGCAGGAACCTCCTCTCTTTTCATATCGCCAGTAAGCATGACGGCCAGAGAAAGACCATCTTCAATGGCCATAGCGCCCCCGGATGCGGCGAAGGGGAGGAAAGGGTGAGCAGCGTCCCCCATCACCGCTAGGCGATCATTAACCCATGTAGACAGGCTTGGCATGTCAAGAAGTGACCAGATGCTCAAAGTCTCCGAATCTGCTTTCTTTAACATCTTGTGGACCCGGTGATCATAATTCTTGTAAATATCAAGCAGGGCAGTTTTACCAATGGATTGATCCCGGCTATGAGAGATCTCATGAGTGAGAGTGTCAGGGTGGATGCAGACAAAGTTCAACACCTCATTGTTGACACAGGGGTAGATTACGACCTTGGTGTTGTCATTGTGCCATACACCAACAACCCCGTTTTCACGTACCAGGTCGGCTAACTCCATATCCTCCAGAAACTCTGCTTTAGGCACCATGAACCGGAATGCATTTTTGCCTGTTGTGAACGTTTGAACCTCATCCCCGGAGACGTGACGGCGTGTCACGGAATGTACACCGTCCGCACCTAGAACAACATCGCCATGGAGAGTCCGTCCGTCAGCGAGCGTGACAGTCGCAGTGTGGGGATCTACATGTGACACCTTGCTTGAGGTATGAAGTGCCACAGGCTTCCCTTTCCCTGAACCCCGCGCCTTTTCCTTCAGGACCCTGTGGAGATGCGCACGGTGCATGAGAACCCATTTCTGAATTTCCAAAGTTAGCCGGATCAAAGGAACAAGGAGCAAAATCTTACGTGTTTCCAAATGTTGCAGGTTTCAGAAACGTGCTCAGTGAAGTTGAGCTTGCCCTCAGCGGTGAAGTTACGAATCTGCAGTAAGATATGAGTTCTGGGAATGTTCAAGACAAGCCAAGAATAATTGGCGTACCTGCTCCGCCTCGACTGCTCCGTAATGTGCAACATCAATACCAATACGTTTCAGTGCACCATTGGCATTCGGGGTCAGGTGAATCGCGGCACCCACTTCGTTGGCAAACTGAGAACGCTCGTACAGCTGTTATGTGATGTTTCTTAGCCAACCTGCACTGGAAACTCTGGTAGTCGGTTGCGATTCTTGCCTCTACTTCATGTCCCTCTTGGCGAAGACCAATCGCCGCAGCCAAACCTCCAATGCCCGCTCCAACAATAAGCACTTTCAGACCCCGGGTGGCCGAATCCGTGCCAGTAGCGGAAGACATTTCCCTGATTCTAGTAAGGGGCTCAAATGAGAGAGATATAATGCACTTAGAGAGTGATTGATTTAATGTTGAAGAATGTGCCTTGAAATCTCGTGTAATCGTACTTATTGGTGATGATATGTAAAATATATACCGAAAAGCACGAAATTTCATAATATGAAGTAGTATGGCGAGAAGAGCAAGGATTCAAGACAGAGGAATGGGATATACCCATGCCAGCCTTGCTCTCTGAACACGTAATCAGGGTCGAACAGCATGTACCAATGGTATGGGTCACGTCTGTGTACTTGTCTGGTATTCTCTAGTCTCCACCACAGCAATTTAACATGTGGTACGCTGACTAATAAAGTTGATTACATGATCCATTGTTCCGACACACCCCTTCAGCTTTGGCAGTCCTGGCAAAGCTGCGCAGTTGCCATAAATGGTCACTTGAATCATTCAAAGCTTCTCAGAAGCAACAAAATAGACACAATTCCTTCAGAACTGCGATCTTTTCAAAACAGCCTCTACTTACTAATTAGGCAAGTATGACTTATTTTTCTTCCTCAATGAGATGACGCACGTCCGTCAATCCCAGCATCCTGACAAAAGCTTCATGCTTCTGCCTCGGCAGCATCTTGGTGAGTCCGTCCGCGAGCATCTGCGCGGTTGGTACCCACTTGATCCGCACCCTGCCTTCCTTGACTTCTTGTCTCAGCCAGTGCCCGTGAATATCAACGTGCCTGAGCTTGGTATCGAAGGGGGTATCCTCTGCGTTGATCAAGTCCACCGTACGGCGGTTGTCACACTCGATTGTGAGACCCTCCGGATATTTGAAACCAATCCTTCCAAATAGACGATCCCACCACTGTAGTGACCTTCCTGCGTCTGATAGGCCTAATAACTCAGCCTCCGTCGTCGACGTGGTCACGGTCTTCTGCTTGGTTGCCCTCCAGTCCACCGGTCCACCGAAGAACTGGCAAATATATCCTGCGGAGCTAGTCCGGTCACCCATATCCCCATACGAAGCATCTGATGAGAACTTCACCACTTCGCTGTCGTTGTCAACTGGACCGTATTGTATAGCCCAGAACCGTGTGGTATAGAGGTAGCAGATTAAGCGCTCAATTGCTTGGTGGTGCTTCGGACCAGGGTTGGTCAGGAACTGTGCGCAGATAGACGCTCGCTTTGCTGCGTCCGCGCGGGTAATCGTGGTACCATATTGAACTGAGCCCACTCGCTGCTGATATTGGTGGATGCTTTCGGCTGTAGCTTGCTCGTCGTATGGCTCTAGGATCTCCGTGGTTCCCGGAGTCCAGACCGGAGCTCGGTGAGCCAGGTTAAACCGCTCAGCAACACTGGCAAAATAGCTGTCCTGCACTAGCCAGAGCTTTCTCTCTTTGCGATTTCGTAGGATTCTGATCCCTAGAAACCACTCAGCGTCCCCTTGGTCAGTCAGCTGCCAATTCTTCTCGAGTTCCCGTTCTAGCTGCTGAGCACGCTCGCGGGCAGTGTGGTGGCCGGCGATTAGGATATCATCGACGTAGAAGAATACGATAATCCCATCCCCAACAAAAACACACGGATCCTCGGCAACCTGTTGTAAACCAAGCTCTCTCAGTACACGCGCTGCGTCTCGCTGCCAAAGTCGTGGAGCAATTCTCAGTCCGTACAGCGCCCGTAGCAGCTTCCAGCACTTGCCCTGAGTCATAAAACCCTCGGGCATCAGAGTGTATACTTCTGTTAGGAGCTTGCTGTTTAGGAAAGCGTTTACCGCATCTCGCTGTCGGATATCTAAGTCGTACGCTGCGCTCAGGGCAAATAGCATACGGGCAGTTCTGGCTGCCAGTGTGGCAGCTCGCTTGTCTGCGTCTGAGATCGTCTGGAGATCCCCACGTACGCAGATCCTGGCTTTGCACTTAATCAAGAACCCATCTTGATCAAATTTATAAGCATATACCCACATGAGGGGCAGTACTTGTATCCCACGATCCTTTGGCCTTTCCACGACTTTGTACGTCTCTTTGGCCTGTAGTCCGTCTAGTTCAACCCTCATAGCTCGGCTAAAACCTTCGCTCAATGGGTGTTTCCAGACGTCTCGGAATCGTTGTGGTGGAGGTGGTAGGTCATCTCGATGCTGCCGTAGCGACGGTTTTGGTGCTAGAAGACCGGTAGCAAACGCTTGTAAAGTGGTTGTTGTGGTATCGTCGCCGTTGTCGTCATCGATAAACATGGTGTTATAGGCGTAGTCTCGGTCTCGTCTCGATATTCGCACCCTCGGTCCCTGGATGATATTGCTGGTATCCACAGCTGCACAATCGCGATCTTGATCCTTAGGCAATGACCCTGCCAAGTCGTTCTTGGCCGATGTCGTACGATCCTCTTGCTCAACGCTCTCCTGTAGGGATAGCTGTAATTGGTCCTGGAGTTGATCCTCCGGGCTCGGTTCCCGTAGTGATACTGGCGAAACAGGCGTCTGATCTATTTGATTATGGTCCTGAGCGAGACGCTCAGGATCATCCCTCACCCCTTGATCAGTGGTAGTTTCCGCAGAATTGCTTCTAACTGGATAATCCGGTGGTGGGGTATGATCAATTGGGGTTTTGTGCACAAAAACTTGATCTTGTCCCGAGTGTGGTATTGTCGTCTCCTGTGGTTCTCTAGATCCTCCAGATTCTTGATCCTGTATGACGTCTACATCATCCGCATCTCTTGCTCTATAGGACCGTCCCGGAGAGCTCCCTTCTGGGGTACTCTCGGGAATACTCGTACGAGCAGTCTGTTCGTCGAGACCCTGTCGAATACAGTCGACCTCTAGTCCTTCCTCCATGATTGTGGGAGGATAGTCCTCTGGAACTGGTAGCTTCACCCCTTCATCCGGGTCATGGTTCTCTGCCGAAAAACGTCGGTTTTCATCAAAAACTGCGTCTCGGACCATCCTGACCTGACCACGGTGCGGTATCCAGATTTGCCAGATATTCGAGGCCACGTAGCCAACGAGATATCCTATCTCAGCTCGTGACTTCATTTTGTCAAGTTTCGGGATATTGGGGATCCTGCAGTATGCAAGTGATCCATACAATTTGATATTCGCAAGCGACGTCTTTGTGGGAGTATTGACAGGAGTACCCTCGGTACCCTGGTTGAACCCAATAAAGCGCCGTGCTTCATCCCATGGAACTATCCAAGTCCCATCTTCCAATCTCGTAGGCGTACGGTTCAGCAGGTATACTGCCGCTTTTACCGCTTCTGGCCATAGTTTATCGGGTAGTTTTCCTTCCTTTAGAAGCGCTCTCGCTCTAAAGATAATCACACCTCCAGCACGCTCACCCGGACCGTTCATCTCAGGCGTATACGGGACTGTAAACGTGTGAACACACCCCAGCTGCTTAATTAGCAGTAGAATACTCTCATCAACTGATCTCTCGTTATCAGAGTGGAACACCTTAATCGGCAAATTTAGCCAGCGAATAGCGAAAGCGATAAAGCTTCTGATCGCTTCCTGGCACCCGTTTTTGTTCACATGGGTCATTAACCAGTGGAACCGGATACCCTCAACGTAGAAATGGGTTATCCAGCAGTGCTGATTATATCCCATAATGACCTGAATTAGGTCAAAGTAGACCCTCCCGCACCGTCCGTAGTGCTTGCCTATCGGTCTCCGCGAGACCTGTCGTGGAGCGTTGACCAAGCTGCAGACCGTACAAATTTCATCATCCGGTCGCTCTTCCCCATCCTCCGTGCTTCGTACAACCTCAACTCCACTGACCAGTTTCGGTAGTTGCTAAATTGCTGCCTTCGAGACATGGCCAAGTCGTTTATGCCACGTATTAGTATTGGCAGACGATTTCAACGGTTTCTCTGATCGTCGGGTAGCAAGTGCAGTTTTATGCTGGGTGTTGTTTTGGGTCTTGATCGTAGTCGTACGACCCTCTGTTTTCGGCCGAAAAACTGTACGTTCATCCCGCGTCTGTGAGAACAGATAAATATCATGTTCTCGGTAGGTCTCAAGAATAGGTTGATCTCCAATCATAATCCTTCCTTGCTTCATATCCCACCATCCTCCATGGTCCTCTATCCTGCCTAAGGAAACCAAATTGCAGTGAAAATCTGGAGAATAACGGCAGTTATACAAGTTTACCACACGCGGTCTGCCAGTTGTAGGATCCCTTCCGGTGAAGGTTGCTGTACCGACTCCAGCAATTGCGGTCCGATTGTCGCCCGTACGGAGATACGAGGGGTCTTCCTTATACTCGGTAAATTTGGTCCGGTCGTTGCATACGTGTACGCTTGCTCCGGTATCCAATACCCATTGGTCTCGGTACTTGGTATCAACTTCAGTTGATAGGGCGACTGTGGCAAAGCCGACATGGGCTAAGTTTGCAGACTCAGATGTCTTCTCTGTGGATTCATATGAGTTGGATGCGTTTTTGAGCTGGTTTTCAACCCAAACCTTCCACTCTGGTTCTTTTTTGAATGACTTCTTTAGCGCTTCGGAGGCCTTTCGTAGGCCCATCCACCCATCCGGTCTCTGGTCTTCATTCAATACCCAGCACCGGGTGACCGGGTGTTTCATGCCACAAGGGCAGTAGCTCCGGTCCTGAAATGGTCCAGTTTTCCCGTCTTTTCTGTCGGTTCTGGAGGTTTCAGCCTCTGTTTTACCCTGCCAAGTTGACGTGGCAAATGCTGCTTTGGACGTAGAATTGATATTCTTTTTGGTAGTCTCGGAATACGACATAGTATAGGATGTACGGAAGGACTCAATCAGATCGTTTATCTCGATTGTATTACTTCTTAGTACGATATCCTGGAACCGAGCTTCCCACCAGACCGGTAGGATGTCCTTTACAGCATGTAAAAACAGCTGCGGATGCTGCGCAGTGTCACTCTCCACTTTTAGGTTGACCGCTTCATCACGTATCAGCTCCCACTCTTCTAGCCAGGATAGTACGTTTTGACCCTTCTTTGGTGGTCGTACGCACCCTTCTGCCCAGCGTAGCAGGACTTCATTCTGGTGAGACTTTGTGTGTGAGAAGCGCTTCTTGAGAAAGCTAATCTTCTCGTACGGAGTCTCAAGATCATCCATGAGACGGTGTAGCTTAGTATCTGTTGACGCAGTGATCACGAACTCAACTGATTGTAGGCCGTTTTCCACCTTCTCATACCTTTTGAGCTCCTCTTTGTAATCGTCATGGTCGTAGCTATACTCCATCTGACGATCCTTAAACTCTTCCCTTAGGGTCTTGGCTACCTCTGTAGTTGCCCCTCGTGGGATATGTAACCGCGGTCGTGCGGGGGCCTGCGGCTCCTCCAGCACTTCCGGGGCTGGTTTCTCAGGATTGCAATAATCCCATACTTTCCTAGTCTTGGCAAACTGCTTCATCGCAGAGTACCAAGCTGGCCAATGAGAGCTGTTTTTCAGCTTCTCACCCTTCCATTGTGAGACAGATACCGTGGGGTCCATCCTTAGTTGGTTTCAAATGGCTTTCAATCCTTTCTCAATTGTCGTGTTCTTCGGAGGGGTTGACGCGGCAACTTTGTTGTCGTCGTCAGTGATCTCAGGGGTAAACAATCCTGTCGTCGCAAGTCGAGGAGAGCTTCTAGAACGTATATTCAATCAAAATATCACGGTAGGAGAGATAATCCGGGCTCATAACTCTCTGAACACGTAATCAGGGTCGAACAGCATGTACCAATGGTATGGGTCACGTCTGTGTACTTGTCTGGTATTCTCTAGTCTCCACCACAGCAATTTAACATGTGGTACGCTGACTAATAAAGTTGATTACATGATCCATTGTTCCGACACTTGCATAAGGTCATGTGACCATGGAACATAGACTCCGACAACACTATGTATTCGCGTTTAACATTAAATTGATTGGCAGAGATCTGCGAGCACTGTTACTTCTTCCAGATGCTCGGGTTGGACGGCCTCCCGACGCTTCGGCTCCCCGAACTTTCGGGTTGCTCCGAGGACCCGTTGATGACTGACAAGAAATAGGGCCGGTTTATGCAGAGAAGGAAATCTTAGATTGAAATCGCGCTTGTGCCGGGATTATGTTTATAGTTCTAGATTATTCAACTATCATCGCTATCCTGTAACTTGATACCTCAAAACTATAATTCGATGTTTCCACGCTACCATGTAGCACCTTTCTTCTCCTGGCAGACAGCAGGATCTATCTGTCGACAAAATGAGAACGTATTATTCAGTTTGAAATCTCTACGAGCGTTCTGTACATTCCAACGTCTTAGGCGAACCACTCAACAATCTTTCATCCGGTACCCGCACTTCTCGTATGCGGCCGAATGAAGCTACTTCATTTCAGTGAAATACATGCATAATGTAAGCCTGGAATGAAATATTCTATTACCTTGATCTCATTTTTCCTATCTCAGCACCTGGGTGTACTTCAAGTGCTGCATGATTAAATGGCAGCCTTGAATGATATATAATATTGGGTTTGGGCGCAATAACCTTAGAATTGAAGGCTGGTTTGATCATGATCATCCTCAATTTCCACTGCGTAGCTATCTGAATAAAAATTGATTGAGACTCTCAATTCACATCTCGTAGTTCATATCCCTGTCTTGAGCGATAATCAATGGAAAAAACCCCCCTTGACCAATCTCGGGGTCGCATTTGTCATTAGCTAAAAATGTTTCATTCCCATCATAATCCTTTTTAAGCAATGAAGGCGTGAGTACCTCAGTTGACAGACCCGCGATAGCAGCTAGACATACATCGCTCGTACGGTGCCATAGTTCATTCCGTTAAATTCTGACTCGAAAATCCAGGAGGCCGAGGCCGCCGTGAGAATCAAATTGAAACGGATGTCGTAATAATCAATCCCCGTCGAATTTTTACGTTTGATAAAAAGCTCCTTTGAGATCTTGCTGAGGTCTGTTTCCAGTTTGCAGAGCGGGAATACATCTATGTATCTCGCTTGGTTAGTGTTTAGAGGTTTTCGAACTTGATTGGATTGGATCTTACCCGGTCCAAGGCCCTTCGGGGCATTCTCTGTCATGCAAAACATCAATTCATCTGTGAATTTCATTGAGGAGTTCATTGCAACGCTTCGGTAAAATGGAAAACTGATTGGCTTGTCCTCAGAAATCGATTGGCCCTGCCAAAACTCGCGTCAAGAAAGCTGGAAAAGCTAACCAGAGGACTTACTTCACTTACCTTTCGGATGTACCATGTCATCAGATTGTTTGCCATCCACTTCTCCTCATAACAACACCAATATCTGTCCTTCAGGTCGTGTAATACAGGATCAAAACGGCAAGAATAGTTTACACCGTAGTGACATCTAGCTTTTCTGTCAACTACCTGATTTCCCTCGAGTCCGCGATAAACCGCACCCCTATTTTGGTTAGTAGTTTATTCCTTGCGCACATTTTGTGTAACTCCCAAATAACACCACAACTTACCGAACAACAGCCGACCATCTGAATGTCAAATTAGTTCTGTCAGCAATATTTCAAGTCGAAGCTAATATTCATAATATACTCACGCATTGGGGGGCTGCATGATCTGTGTCCCATGGAACCTCAGTTTCAGCCTCTTGTAAAGGTACTCGGAAGCACCCAGGCCGCCGACAAGAATGATAGCCTTGAAAAACTTAGCACTCTCATGGTAACTTGATTTCCAATCTACTCACCTTTGCAGGGCGTCCAGCGGCGTTGACAATATCATTTTGTGTGGAGATTAAAGCCTCGATCTGCGTCACAACTGGATCAAAAATTTCCTGGACGTGCGCACTTTCAGTGTATTAGCACAGACTCGTCTAGCATACTCTGAAGAAACCTACCTTTCCATGTAATGTATGCCGTTCTCTATTCCAGGAAGAGGGATTACATAACCCATGTCGAGATCTTCATCCTCATCTTGAGGCCCTGAGTAATGGTGCTTGATATCATTCTGCCATCGCTGCATTACCACCCGCTTTGTGGAGTTACTCAACTCTTTGTAATTCTTTCGACCCATTGTCTGAATGAGATACTCCTCAAATCGCTCATCCAGCATCACGGAGCCACAAACCTCGCCTGGGGCAGTAAGTACTCCATCCTCAATATTTTTGGGTGATATTACCTGTTCCTTCGGTAACCTCCTCCATTCTCAGAGGCTCAGTCTGTGTAATTCTGTAGGTGATGAGATCCTACTCAAAGGGAAATGGGACATTCAATTAGTAGATAAACATAAATCTCACGGAATGAGACTTACCACAGTTCCACCCCCTGCGTCGCAGACAATGAAGCAATCTCCCTTCTAGTACATCTTAGCCATCTCATAGTCCACAGTATCATTTAGAAACACATACTGCCATTGAGTTAGGCTGAATTGCGCGAATAGTGTAGACCGCAGCTGCCTCAGGCTCAGATAGAAGGGATAGGTGAGAACTCTGGATACCGGCAAGATGTGCTGCTTGCATGGTCAAGTCTTTGGCCTTGTCGGACCATACTCCCGGGGTAGTTAAAACATATTGAATGTTCAATGTTTTCAAAAGATCTCCCAGTCCCCTTCGATCAATGATGTTCGCAATGTGGGACACCATTCTTTTCATGTAATCACCAGCGACATCGACTGGTTCCTTCCGCAAGTCCGAGATGAGATGCTCACTTTCTGCTGCAGGTAACCATCGAACGACTTGGCTAGGATCAAGCAAAAGCTTAACACCCCTGATGGCTGCCTTCATATCGTTGACCTCGTACCCCCATCGGATTTTATCATTCACATACGAGATGAGAGTGAGTGCCTTCTGCGATGTACCTGGTTCAACTGTCAGATCTGGTACAGACCATGGATCGTAGGTATCTTACTGTTTCCTTTTCCAGGCCATTCCTGGATAACCTCAACATCGACGTTGCATCCTACGAAAGCCCAAGCAATACTGCCATTGTCAGCTATGCGTACACTGTCCCATGCCAAGTTGTAAGAGTACCCGCTAAATGTGGTCCCGAAGTCAAGTCCGATGACCAACTTGGGTTTTTTGGTCTCTGCCATGATGTTGTCGGTTGTTCTTGTATTGGTCACCTGGAAGCGAGTTTTAGATTTGGCTGGAGAGAAGCAGTGGTAAGAGATTAGGTTCAAATAAAATATGAGTCGGTGGATAGCGTCACTTAGCCATAATTAATTTCAGTGGTGACGTGATGGGTCGAAGAGCAAAGAAGTGGTAGAATCGTGTTCTGGGTGTTCCCAGATTGTCAAAAGAAGAGTGGTAAGGAGTGAGGTTCAAATAATCGATTAATTTTGAATGAGCTGGCGTGACTTACCCGGAATAAGTATTTGGTGATGGTCTTTTAGTCAAAGAGCAGTGGTAGAATTATGAAGAACGTAATGGGACGTCGGAAGGTATCTGTGTAATTTCTTATTGAGCGATTAGTGTGCAATTGTAAGATGCCAGAAGAAGACAACAAAAGAATTGTTTGAAAGGGTGATGACAAAAAAGATGAAAGATGAAGCGGAAGATTATGGCAATTGCTCCAAATACCTGTTGACCCAAAAAATCACCTTTAATCACCAACGTCTTCCTCCCATAACCTGCCTTCTATCTTCAATCATTTACTTTTACTTCTTGCTGTCCCGCTCTATCAGTATTTCATACCTCAAAAGACAAAAAATTCATGATGAATCGTCTCACTCACCAGTCGTATATTTCCATCATGATGAATCATTTTCGAGGAGGCTCTCCCAGGGGTTCTTTTCATGATGGCCCTGTCTCGGCTGAAGATGCCACACAATGCCATATGGACTCAGGTTTGAATTTCCGCCCATGGATGAATACTCCGTTTCTGACAGCAATAAATCGTGAAGTCAGGGAATACTCAGCACCCTCATCCTTGCAGAAAGAGCTCTACAGGTTACAGTACGAGTTGAAAGAAGCCAACAAGCAAATTGAGAGTCTTCAATGGGAATTGAAAGAATCCATGGCAATTCGCGAAGATTATCGAAAGAGCTTGTCTTCGGAGAGTGAAAGATGGAAGAACCTCGTGGACCATGTTGGTGCATACAGAGAGGACAGTATGATTAATAGAAGGAATCAACTTTGTGCCGAGGAGAAACTTCGACGTCAAACTGAGATGCTCGAGGAATGCCAAGGCAAGTTAGATATTTCGCTACAGATGAACAATGCTCTTGTTGTTAAGCAAGCAGAGCTTCAAAATGGACGAATCATCTGGACGACGATGAAGCAAGATACACCATGAACCAACTTTGTCAAGACACAGAGACATGGGTCAAACGCCATTTCCCTGAAGTCTTGCCCAGAGGCAGACCGGATGACTTCAATACTTATGATCCCTCAGCTCGTTCAAATGGCGATTTTAGACTGTTCTGTGCTATTTACGACTACATTGCATGCAGTATCTTTAAGAAGTACCTGACTCGAACTATGGTCGGCTACATTGATCCTCGTGCCAACGAGGATCTGTCTATCATCGAAAAACAGATACACTTAATATGTGAGTATCATTTCCTTATCACCATTAATCTGGCCTTGTACTAACAATAAAGGCCCTGCACATGTTACTCAGCACTGGCGCTCTGCAATGAGCACGGCAACTTTCTCGATGAGTCGTGAAGATCTGATCAGTGACTGCGGGGCACATGTTGCATCAATGAATGATACGTTGTATAGGCCCCCATCAGCTGATGCCAAGAGACAAAATGAGCAACTAGAAAATCTAGTCTGGAAATTCGTGAATTTCAAAAGCAAGTTGGATGCCCAGGCAGATCGCTATCTCTTTCTTTGGGCTTGGCCTCATACACCCTTCTGCGAACAAACGATGACCAGTTTCATGGGAGAGTCTGATGTGGATGCGGTTGTTCTGTATTGCTTTGCCCCCGCTTTTTTCAAGGTCATGTCGGACAACGAGAAGGTTTTGGTGCGGAAGGCAGTCGTTGTAACTGGCGTCAGGGGGACAGATGACGAGTGATAACGTGCAAGATGTATCTGGCTCTTCAGAAAGCTTTGCAACGGTCAACCATCCATCCCTATTCCCACCCGTAACTCTCGTTATGCTTATGGTTCGATTTATCCTGCCTCGTTCATTCACTCTATAAGAGTCATCCACTGCCTGATTTTCTTACCGTTAAAATCAGTTACTTTCACAGCTTCCAACTTGAAATTTGCTTGACTCTTGAAAAGGTCCTTTGGAGTGGTTCCAATGTCTTGCTTGAGTTCTATTTCTCATTCAAAAGATGTTGAATTTCAACTTTATTATAGTTAATAACCCCATTTAACAGAATATGTTTTTGAACGAGGTAGACCTTAGATCGAAAAAATAGTGAATTATTTCTGAAATAAATTGACTACAGCGTTAACTGCTAGTATTTACGTTTCACTGGGACTGAGGCTGCTAAAATGCTATCATAAATAGACATTAGTCTTTCCCTCCCGAGTGACATCTCTCCTTCGTCTCTTTTCCTTCTGCCACCCCTCTCCCATTCCTTGACCACATCATATATTTTTATATTGAGGCTTCATCTATTTAAATTATATTTTCTATTTAAATTTATATTTCTTTTTCATTATTCTATCCTCTAGTCTTCATTCGCTCTACCATGGCTTCATCAGCCATCTTTGAATCGATGAAAAAACCTTAACGCACTTCTCAATATCAACAGGTGGCTGCAAAAAGAGGTGGGAAAACCCATTCGAGGACTACATACTCAGCGATGATTCTCCAAGGATATGGGACCCCTGCTCTTACACCTCATGGCCCGTTTCTTTCAGCAATTTGACCCTGATAACTCGGACTTCATCAACGTTACCCTGATCTGGCAAACCCTTATCGATTTTTGTGAAGGCCAGTCGTACCAGCGGCGGGGCCCCCGATACCCGCTGCCGATTAGCGGTCTGTTCCTGTTCCGGCTTTGCAGCACCGACTACCAGCGGTACGCCCTTCGTCTTCCTGGCACCATTCATGGACACCAGATTGTCTCACATTAAAGAGGCTCAAGAGACATTGCCACAATCGACAAGGAGCTAAGATTTCGCGTCACGATAGCCTGGGCTAGATGCTCGAATGGAACAGACCATGTCGGCATTCCTAGCTTCTGACAAGATGCCTTGAACCTTGGTGAGAAAGACCAGCTCTGTGTCAAGCGATGCATTTCTAATTTGATCAAATGAAGGAAAAAGCAGGCCTTCAGCCGATGATATCATGGAAGGAAAGTCAGGAGTTGCGAGAGGAGCTTGTTAGAGGAGCTTGATAGCCTTCACAAAATGCGTCAAACCTTCGGCAAAGGACGATTTCTCAATTTTCAAGTCAACCCAAAAGAAAGAGCTGGTGGATAGGTGCAGAATTCGACACTATTTACTATGCCCCGGGGGCCTTCTTCCCACAGAGGAGAACGCGCGAGGCTTGAGAAATGAGTCAGAGGAAGCTAATGCGAGACACTCCAATCTTCTCCAGGCCAACTAATCCCACTTTAAGGTTGTTTAAACCCCGAGGACAACTTCGAAATCCCATCGTTTCAACAAGGAAATGTCCGTTTTCGACAAAAGAATACGCAAAGAATTTTGAGTGCGACTTCATCACAATGTTAGTATTCCTCAATACAGGCTGCCATTAAAATCTAACGAGGTTTTGGTACACAGGGGAAATGTTCCCAACAGAAGATGTAAATGAGAAAGATGTTTTCTGCTTTCAGTCTATGCACCTGGACAATCCCCCGGTCTACATGAACGAAATATGTGAGCATTCAACGGGACTTCAACAACCTGCAGTGGGATTGCGAAAGTCTGTGATTAAAGTTTGAAAAAGGAACGAGCAAAAAAAGGGTGGCTCTTGAATGGAAACTAAAGAACCATGTCTTCTTGTTTGTGGCCATTAATGTTGGATTTGGGCTGTTTACACATTTCCCTTTTATCCTCGCGCTCGCGCACGACGAAACGGAGATGCTCGGCCACTCCAATGGTAACTGGGATAATCGAGGATACCGCATAATCTGAAGTGCAAGCCAGTGCTTTCCCTGTGAATGACAACAATATGCGGAGCCACGATCTCCACCAGACGGAGAAGAAGCTAGTAGTTCCTTGATGTTGTGTCCATTATGCGGCGAGATCTTCCGCAACATTGGGATTACCGAGTTTATTCGGGGAATATGGGATAAAATTGCAATACTTCTAGCTACCCATGTCGATTTAATCAATAACAAATGGCTAGATCAGGCTGCAGGAAGATACCATGGTCATGCATCAATGAATCTAGATAACATATCGAAGTAGAGCAGTACACGAATCAATCAATGTCAAGTTTTCAAGTCGGATCCATCCATCCATTCGATTGAATAAGGTTTTAAGAACCTGCGATCTCTGCGGGTGACTCGCGAATCTCAGACTGGACATGAATCCAGCCCATCACCGTGATCTGTAGGGGCTAGCGTCATGAATGAACAGATGAAAAGGGGAAACAAAATCTATGTGGATGACAGCCGCATCGGAAGAATCGGGAATCAGGGCAAGACAGTATAAGGAGTACGGCGCACCGAAGCAAAACAATCCATCCTCCCCACCGAACTACCGGAAATCAAGGGAAAGGGAAAGGGAAAGAGAATAACAGAGAACCAACCAGTATCAATCCCATAGAAAAAAAGATCGTCAACCGACATAATAAACCAGCAAAACATCTTAAATGGACCGTCCCGTCTAGGGTGCAGCCTTTACAAGATGAGAACAAAGTAAGACAAAGAGAACGCTTGGGAAAAAAGCCAACAGTCCGATCCCGCGTGGATATTTATTCAATTCATCGCCGTTTGACCTCCACTGCCCAGCCGTCAATTCCGTCACCCCGAGTCCCCGGTGCAATTCCTAGATCGATCCCGGCCATACCAGGTGTATCCTGTAACCACTCATGTGAGGCCATGCCACCGGCGTTGGCGCGCTTCTCGGGTGAAAGATCCAGCATGGGTAATAGGAACTCGCTGGTTCGCATGCTATCCTCTACTGTGTAGTGGTACTTCTCGCGAAGGACTTCCGGGAGAGCCCAGTGGCGGAGTCGGTGGATATTGCGTAGCTCGCCCTTGCGGTTGAAGATATCTTGTGACCATTTTCCGGCTAGACACATGGACTTGGGGAATGGGCCGAGTAATTCGATAATTTGGGCGATGTGGTCGTCGTCTTTACCGTACTTGGTTCCGGATTGCGGGTCGAATAGGTAGTCGCCGGTGATAAGTTCAAAGGTCTGAAAGTCAGCCATGTTTAAAAGATTACGTAGGAGAGTACTCACCATGCACGCCATACTCCACACATCGGTACTTGCGCCCCACTTTGCGCCCAATATGACCTCGGGGGATCGGTATTGACGTGTCTGGATATCGTTGGTGAAGTGATGTCCCACCCAGCACGCATTGCCCAGATCGGCAATCTTGACCGAAATGATGCTGGCATCAATCTCTTCCTCGAGGGATTTGGTTGAGCTCTTATCCAGGGAGATACCAGACACCTCTCTCTCCAGGAGATCACTGTATTTATTAGCACTGTATTCGAATTGAATAATGGTAACATACGCTGTCTTTTCTCGCTGCTTTTGCTTGTCATCCTCGTCTTTGACACCGAGCGCCTCCTTCATCGACGGGTTCTCCGGTGCTGCGAGGATTAGTATGTAAACTGCAGGGTTGATCACCTGAGGTGCACTCACTTGGCTCATTCACCATCTGGCTTAGGCTACTGTGTGAGTTAGAAGAGCTGTGCTTGAAGTCGAAGCTGCTGAAGCTGGTATTCAACGGGCTGGGCAATGGCTGGCTGCCTGTGATCAAAGTGCGTCGCCGCCGCCGCCCGTTGCGGTTATCCTCTTTATTCTCTTTCTTCGCCTCTTCCTGCGCCACATGCGCCTCGACAATCTTCTCCACGTCGCCAATTTCAATCAACACATTCTCCGGCTTCAAGTCAGTATGGATGATGCCGCACTCTCGGTGGAGATAGTCCAATCCCAGCAGGACTTGCTTGGTGATCTGCTTTACGAGGGGTAAGGGGATACCTCGGTGGTTCCATCGCTTGATCAGACCAAGCAAGTTCTCACCCAACACCTCAAACACCATACACACGTGAACGCCGTTAGGGCCCCTGTGTTCAAACGAATCCAGCAGACTCACCACATGCTTGCGGCCTGGATGGGAGGGTTTGGCTTGAACGATCCGGTTGAGAAGTTTGATTTCGTCGATCGCAGTCTCAGTGTAGTGGGCAGCGGAGCGCACCACCTTCAACGCCACATGTTTTCCGGTAGTGGTGTCTCTTGACAGCCACACTGTGGAGAAATGACCCCAGCCCAGTTTGCGCACCACAACGTAGCGACCATTGTTGTATGTCTCCCCAACAGCTACGGGATGATAACCACCCTTGCAGTAGTCTTCGGAATCTTCTTCCTCGGCGGTGGTTTCGATTTCATCCCCTGATGAGGCAGATGGTGACCGCGACGATGAAGCGGCAACTTTGGGGTTCGCGGGCGCGGCGCCACTGCTGAGTCGAGAAATGGGTTAGCGATGGGGTCAAATTCGGAGGAATTTTCAAAAGGCGATAAATAGAAAGTCCCATGGGTTTGGGGCAGTCAGTTGGGAAGAGAGGGGAACAAAAATGCAAAATCACAAAACATACGCATCAGCGGCTGGATTTGCATCATTGGTGACGATGGGTTTGAGGTCAGTCCCCTTTCTCCTCTTCTTGCCGCCATTGCCATTGGCAGCAGAGGCAGCGACAGCAGCCATTTGTTTGCCCTTGTTCAATACAGCCTTTGTAAGATCAACACCGTCCATGATGTGGAGATTCAGAGAGGTTGGTGTGGTTCACAGCTGAAGAGGCGGGGCACCGGGATGCGAGTTGGTTGGTTGCGGGAAAACCAAAACTTGGTGTAGGGCGGTCGCTTCACAGCAGAATAACCCCAAAGGACAACGAGATAGAATCAAGTTGGATGTTAAACCGATAAGAAGAAATGGGGGAAATATGTGAGAGTTCGAAGGTTTATGCCCAAAGATACTCTACCCGAAATGGTTTAATGTGAACGTGAATGAGACTTGTTCCGCATGCAGCATGGACGGATGTGGCGAAAGTCGCATTGACCAGGAACATAGAATATATTGGATTGAGAGTACCAGTATATGTAATCAGATGATTTCAAGGATTTTATATTGACATTAAAGGCCGATCAGTCGTAAAGTAGAGATGGTGGAGTAAGTGGCTGGGCTGATCTTGGGCTCAAGATATACAGGATTTATGGAATGTATAAGTACAGTGGAGAGACTTTAATATGAAAGTCTCTGTCGATACCTAGGGATGCCTAAAAACGTATAAAAGAGTTATCCTTTTAGATTGTCTCGCTAGTCTCAGAAGTAATGGTTAAATCTGATTATATGTCTCAATCACCATACAATCATTATGAATATCCTGATGTCACTGACTCCGATCTCCCCGCTTGATGACTACTCACTTACCTAACATCTAAAGTAAACAACTTGCCCTTAACATCGACTTGAATCATGGCAAATCCTTTTATTCGCCCTTCCATTCCAGACTATTTCATCTCTTCTCCACTAGTCGCCCTCCTTTATCCACTCCACCAGGCCCTTCTCCGTCTGCGCGGACCACCTCGGCTCCCAAGTGCCCATCCGATCCGCGTCGTCTGTATCTCCGACACACACACCCTCGAATGGCCTGATGTTCCTGATGGAGATCTCTTAATCCACGCCGGCGATCTTTCTGAAGATGGCTCCGTTCGCGAAATCCAAGCCGCCGTGAACTGGCTCCGCAGCCTCCCACACCCACATAAGGTCGTCATCGGCGGAAACCATGACAGCTACTTCGATACGCGATCGCGCCTGGAAGAAGATCGGGATGAACCATCCAACAGATACGCCACCGTCTCAGCATCCACGGCTTCTATCCGCTCGTTAGATGATTTCACCGACACCTCGTCGCGCATCGATTGGGGCGACATCCACTACCTGCAACACTCCGCCGTAACTCTCGAGTTTGCGCCCCCGTCAAGTTCCGCTGAATCCATATCTTCTGCGACCACGCTGAACTCACGATCCCGCACTCTGACCATATATGGCGCTCCTCAAATCCCTGCTATTGTTCCCCTCGGCCCCGAACACGCCTTCACTTACCCGCCTCACCATGACGCATGGTCTCGCACCGTACCCCCAGAAACAGACATTCTAGTCACCCACACCCCACCTCAAGCCCATCTCGACATGTCCCCAGTTTACTCAATAGGCTGTCCCAACCTTCTTGCCGAAAGTTGGCGTATCCGCCCGTTGTTGCACGTCTTCGGTCACGTCCATTTCGCTGCTGGCCGCGAACCGATTTTCTGGGACGAGGCGCAGCGCGCCTGGGAACGATTATGTGCGTCGCGTCGTTCTCGTGCTAAGTATACTCGCTTGTTTGCCTTGATGGGATTCTTCCGCGATCTCCTCGATCCGACAAGCTGGGTTGATGTGGCAAGGGTGGTGTTTTATGGAGCTCTGGGTGTCGTTTGGGCGCGTGTCTGGGGTGGTGAGAATAATGGTGGTGGATGGTTTGTTAATGCGGCGTGTATGTATAAGGACTCGGGGCGTTTAAGGAATCCGCCACAGGTTATTACCTTGTGATTTAGCCTTGAGCTTGTAATTCATTCCTGTATATAGACGAAGCAACCTTGAGCAATGAATCAATACGATATCATCCAAATCTTGGAGGGAACATCAAAGCTACGACAGGACTGCCAATCCGAGCTGACATGACGACATACATTCACATACTCTGAGCCAGATGTTTCATCCCATGCCAACATTTAGGTCCTTGTACAATGGAATTAACATTTTGAAAAGATGGACCCAAGGAACATGTAAGCTAGTGGTATATAGTACTAGGACTGGGCAAGTTTTGATGTGTTTTACCAGCCTGGCACAAGAAAAATAAGTCCTACGCATGGAGTATGAGAGTCAAGAGAGTCAAGAGAGTCAAGGGTTATAATTAAACTGTAAGGCCTAGGGGCATGACTCAACTTGGGTTGATACAGATGGGACTTAATTATCTGCGATTTCTGCCCTTGCCGAATATGACAGAACTCTGGTTAAGGGTCCATAATGCCGCTTCTCACCGCCTAGTCCCTAGATCACCATGTGAAGCATTAGGGGGATTTTGAAACATGCGATTGATAATTTCTAATGTCATTGTCTCGTATCAAACTAATTTTGTCTATCCTTGTATGCATTGTTGTAATGCTGTTTAGTTTGCGCCCTACGCTGCACTTTCCACGCTCTCGAATACTTGCGCTACATCAAAGGTTCTCCAACCAGTCATTCAATTCTCTGTCTCGCTCCTTTTCCGATCATACAACCAAGCTATCCGGTTCACGCTTTGAATCGTGTGAAAATGCCGATCGTGAAATTTATCGCCAAATACGTGTTAATGACGATCAACACAATCTCGAAGATACATTCCAGCTGCTCATGAACATTATTAAGCGTCCTTGTCTTGGTCACTTTGTAAAGCGGATTGAGTATGTGCACAGACCTAAAGGTGCGCATGAATACCCGGGTTTTCCGTATCAACGCGATTTGAGCGCAGACGATATGCGTCTTCTCAGACGTGCGGTGGAAAATGCTGGTTTTCAGGGGGACAAGGAAGACAAAATCATCAATATGCTTATGCAAAACGAACTATACCAGAACAGGGGCTTTGACGGATGTAGTTTCCAGTAGGAGTCTCTCCTGGGCTATTTCTAGTGATTGACACAGTAATCTGACAGTATCTAGGAACTTCGACATTAGACCCACCTTCATCACACAAGCTATTGCCGCCATTCTTGTGTCTATGTCACCCAATCTTGAGACCATGGCAATGACACAGCCTTTCGACTACTATCACGAGCTTGAAGAAGGGAAGGAATGGAGCAAAGAATTCCCGCTCGTTCAAGTTTTCCAATATGCCAATTCCCGCAAGGGAACTCACTTCCTTCAGAAACTGCGCGAAGTCTATTTGATCAACAGAAGTCAACATTACAGTGATGACCGGTTCTATGCCCAGACAGATCTGATTGCCTGCCTCGAGTTGTTCAATCAACTTCCCTCCATTGACTCAATTGGCATTGATGCTCTTGAGTGGGACGAAAACAACGGGAAGATGAGCTGTGAGGACGCAAGCTCGAATATCAGCAAAATCAAAATCGGCCACTCCTCTCTGTACTCAAGCTATCTTTTATGTGTGATGAAATCAAGCAAGATCCTCACCGAAATTCAATATAACACCGGGGGAAGGTCAACGTCAGACGGTGGACATTCTCCGTTCAATCCAAAAACCTTTATCAAAGGGCTATCAGCACACACAGAAACGCTGCAAGTTCTCGACATGGATACCGACGAATTCAGTTCTCCCTACCCTGGTCAATCAACATCAATGAGCTCTTTTACCGACTGGGATGAAATTGATGGCCCCAATGGTTTCGAGTTTGAAGCATACGAACCCGATGAATTAGGTGAAGATCACAGTGATGTTAAGATGCACCGATACATGACATCGATCTGGGACCGCAACGCTTCTTTGAAAGACTTTGTGGTATTGAAAGAATTGAGTATGGGAATTGGACTTTTGATGTACTTCGCCCAGGGTGTGGAGATTGATGATTCGAAAAGAGCAGATATCAGAGTAGTGGACTGTCTGCCGCATAGCCTGGAGTATTTGACCATTCGAGGGTACGAGAAAGGAGCAAATGAAGCCCATGACAAGGAGGTAGCTGCTTTGATGGCTCAATTTGAGTCAGGGTCTTTGAGATTGAAGGAGATTAAGGGGGTTGATAAGCTTATTCCGAACGGAAAGGATGTTGAAGATCCGGATAATAATGATCATTTGTTGTGGTCTTTGGACGAGGTGCAAGTGGGATTCTCCGAATACTAATTGTGTACATATAGAAGTATTAACTTAGATCAAGTGCGCTGCTCGGACACGGCAGATGCGCTCACAATGGGATAACCGCAGAATAATTGACCATCTTGTCTTTGAAGATAGATGTGGAAAGGAGGGTCGATATCGCCTAGCTGAGTTGGCCCCAATTGTTACTCTGAGGTTGTGCACATCGCGTCAGTCTGTATTTATCCTGCTTTCAATTTTTCAAACTACAGTACTAGATACATCTAACCTAACGTCAGAGGCCTACGGTAGAACTCTAAGGAGAGCCCTGCGAAGCTCACGACAGACACAGCAGACTCCTAACTAAGCTCAAGCCACACCTCACGAAGCTAGATCCTACAAACCAAGCAGACCCTCATGAAGCTGACGACAAACCTCACGAAGCTGACGACAAACCTCACGAAGCTGACGACAAACCTCACGAAGCTGACGACAAACCTCACGAAGCTGACGGCAAACCTCATGAAGCTGACGACAAACCTCACTAAGCTGACGAAAAACCAAGTAGACCCTCATGAAGCTGACAGCAAGCCTCACAAAGCTCACAACTCACCTCATGAAGTTCACACAAACCTCACGAAGCTAGATCTTACAAAGCAAGTAGACCCTTATGAAGCACGCTGCAAACCAAGTAGACCATCACGAATCTCACAACCTACCTCACGAAGCTCACTTTAAACCTCACGAAGCTAGATCCGATAGACCAAGTGGACCCTTAAGAAGCACGCTGCGAACTAAATAGACCCTTATGAAGCAGCCTGTGAACCAAGTAGACCATCACGAAGCTCAAGACATACCTCACGAAGCTTATATTGAACCTCATGAAGCTCACTACAAACTAAGTAGACTCTCATGAAGCTAGTTTATAGAAACTAAGAAGACCCTTACGAGCTAGATCCTAGAAACCAAGTAGACATGAAAGATATTAATGAACTCGTATGAAGGCGATGTTGAGACACCCTGAATTTCATAAGACTAGTCGACCCTTTCTTGTGGCATTGATAGACATGACTAACATCTTTGACAACATGATATAAGAATATCCTGTTATACCATAGAATGAATAATGCTTTGCCTGTTTATTATAACAACTCTTTAGGCCCATGCCAACTCGTTGGGCCCACGTCTTTCCGGGCTAATATATCCGAGGTCATACGCAAGCTTTCAGGTGTCCCACAGCGGGTGCTCGGAATCGGAGTTCATAGCTCCGAATCCCTTGCTTAAGCCCGATGGAGGAAATAGTGGGGGAGGCGATGACTAGCACCGAATAGTTCAACGATGATCCCGCTTGATCACGGACTTAGGCAACTCTACAGAAGACGTACAAGAGGATTGACAAAAGTATAAATACTTTGAAACTGGCGATATAATTTCAAATTCCATAGTCATTTACTGTGACGCTCGGCATGGCTACCTCTAGAGCTCATCAGTCCGTCTCGCCAACTTCCAAGGTTGCGCTCACCAATGTCCGAGTATTTGATGGCGAAAGAGTGGGCAAGCCTCAGACGGTTGTCATTGACGGAGGCGTAATCGGCGATGATGCAACCGGTGCTCGTGAAATTGACGGCAACGGTGGTATACTCCTTCCTGGGTTTATTGATTCTCACGTTCATATCACTACAGAGGACAATCTGCAACGATTGACCCGGTATGGAGTCACCACCGCGTTTGATATGGCCACCTATTCGCTTGAGCATCTAAACTCTGTTCGTGGGAAACCTGGGTTGACGGATATCCTCACCGCTGGTATATCTGCGACTTCGTCCGACGGCCACCATGTCAAGATTCCGAATCGCCCTCCTGGGATCGTGGATAACGCAGAGGCCGCGGATCAGTTCATTCTTGATCGCATCTCTGATGGGGTGGACTACATTAAGATACTTGCCGATATTCCTGGTCCCGACCAAGCGACGCTCAACGCCCTAGTTCATGCGGCTCACAAGCACAACAAACTCGTCATTGCCCATGCTGTCACCTATGCCGCAACCAGAATGGCAATGGAGGCGAAAGTTGATTTTCTCACTCACGCGCCCGCTGACAAGGCCATGACCACTGCAGACATCCAGTGTATGGTTGATGAAAAACGCATGTCAATCCCGACTTTGACAATCATGGAAATGGTCGCGCAAAGACGTCCAGGTGCAAAATACGACAATATTCGCTCATCTGTACGCGACATGCACCGTGCGGGAGTCCCCATCCTTGCCGGTACGGACGCAAACACGGTTAAGGGCGTTCCTGCAAATGTGTCTCATGGTGATAGTTTCCACCATGAATTAGAGCTCCTTGTCGATGCTGGACTCACACCTGTGGAGGCCTTGCGGGCGGCTACTATCTTGCCAGCCAAGTTCTTCGGCTTACACGACCGGGGTGTCATTGAGCCTGGCCGCCGGGCAGACCTAGTTTTGATATCTGGGGATCCAACCAATGACATTACTGCCACCCGTTCAATCCAAAGGGTCTTCTGTGGTGGTTTTGAGTATAAATTACCCGCACAATAATGTTCTTTTGCCCACTTTCTTTTCAAAATAAGGTCTGCAATGAGACATATCAATGCGTCTGATCCCCAAGAGATTGTGCATCTATCGGGAACTAAGAATGCAGGGTTGCTTTCAAAATGTTGTGTTCATTGAGTACTCACCTCAATAGTTGCTATTATCTATATATTCTATCTTGAATTTTATGTTCAACAGATTGATTCATTCATCTCTACGTGAAACTATGCCCTGTTTGGTAGTGACTTGATGATTTTTAAGAGCTGTTGTAGCTTAAAGTGGTTTAGTGCTAGGTTGTTCATTACAATAGAAATATACGGAAAGTAACCTTTTAACATACTTCCTCTAATCACTTAAATTTACCTGTATCACAGCTGCTTAGCATTCCCCTAAGCAGACAGGTTTATTCCAAAATAGCCACTAGGCAACAGGGTGAGCAGGTCCAAGCGCATAGAAAACCTTCGAGATATGCACCCATCTATATTTAAAATTCCCTGCCATTTCAAGCTAATCAATACTTCTACAACCCTTTTGAAAGTAGCATCATAAAGCCTAATTGTAATAACATATCCATTTGTGCATATCTTCTCATGCCTGAATTATTCACGAAATTTAGGAAATATCCATCATTTCACATTTGACACGAGGTTCAACCCGCTAGAGTTTCAATATCTCCCGTGCGTTTCCCGAATAGATTTTTTGAATCAGATCATCGTCAAAAAGCTCCTGCAGACCTTCGTCCATTCTTCCACTCAGGAAGATAGTAGCTTTCTCTGGTGTATATGGATAGTCGCTTCCATACAGCAGACGGCCAGGATCACCAACGGTCAAGTATCCTTGGATCAAGTCAGGGAACGGGAAGCCTGCCAAGTCGAAGTAAAATCGCGTTCGAAAGAGCTCTTTCACCTGGGTGCTTGACAGTGAATCTTTTTGTCCCAGAATAGTAGTCGCAAATGCAGTGAAACGTTCAACAAGTGGTGGAATAGTCGCACCGCAATGGGAGACCAAAAATGTCAGGTCATGATATTTGGTCACAGTTCCGCTAAGAAGAAGATTGACAACAGCCCGAGTGGTATCGAAAAAGTATTCCATCATGGGGGTTGGGTACTTGTCCAACGGTTTAGGCACGTCGGCATGACCGGGCGTACAGCATTCAGTTGGGTGCATGAAGATGACGGCCTTGCGCGCGTTCAGCTTTGCAAATACAGGATCCAATTTGGGATCACCGGGGTAATAGCCATGCGCATTCGTCATGATTGCAAAACCAGCGGCGCCAAGCGTATCCAGCGCCCTGTCGATCTCCTTCAGTGAACCTTCCACGTCCGGTAACGGGAGGGAAGCAAAAAATCCAAATCGACTGGGATACTTGGCGCAGATCTCTGCCATCTCGTCATTGGTCTCTTGAGTAATTTGATTTGCCAGTTCGTCGTCGTCGGCTTTCAAGTACGTTCCTGGGGACGTGATGCTAAGGATTGACTTTGAGATGTTGATTTTATCCATCAATTCAATATGGCTTTCGGGGCTCCAAGCCTACTTTGATGTTAGTCAACTCTTCACCTCCGTTATGAACGTCCAGATCAACTTACGGGTATTGCAGGCATGCCATCAGGCTTCCCCCACCCATATTTTTCGCAACTTTTTCTCCAGCCATCTGGCACTACGTGACAGTGGGTATCAATCCTATTCATCGTGAATGACGGATATCGGATTTGAAGTTGAGGGATGTTACTGAGGAACAAGGCGAATTTAGAAACATTACATACTTGTAGTGGTGAAGTGCTGAATATATACCCGTAGAGTGGCAATGTCCCACAGAGATCACTTTTCTTTGGTCTGTGACTAATAAGATTGAAAACATCTCTGAAAGAATTATTACGCGTTTGAAGCGCGTTTATTCCATATCCGATCAGCCGAGGGGTATACCCATCTATCTGAAATTAATTACTCGAGACGTTCGAGTGAACTAATCCCCGTTTCGGGCCGAACAGGACACCGAACCTCCGAAACATCAGAGCCCGCCCGCTGCCTAGCCAAATCTCCGAAATTAAAGTGCCAGTCGAAGATAGTGTTTTATTCCAGAGGAATGATTCATTATTATTATTCAGAGAAAACATGAGGGTGCATGACCCATATTTTCGGCAGACTTTGCTGTGGCAGGCTGGGCCTTTGGCATTCTCACAACTCACCTTGGTATTGGCGCAATTCTGACAAGATGTGAATTTGTGTTTGAAAGTTAAGTGGGCCCGAGTCGTGTGTCATCAGTCACTATGTACGAAGTTATCTCCATACCTCGTTCTACGAAGTTATCTCCGTACCTCATACTACGGATTACGGGGTATGTGTTCCGTACTAAAAACCCACATCTGTTCCGCTGCAGGTAGTTATCGAGTTCTTCGGAGGTTCTCTTCCGACTTCCGAGCTAATTAATCTTTTGAAAAAAGTTGAATACGATAAACTTTCGACGTGGAGAACTGGCATTTCGTGAAAAGTTTTGTAATCAACGGAAACGAAGTTGAATATCTCATTATCATTCGAAAGCTCAATTGTCATAGCCACGGTTACTAGATATTCGATGCCGCCCCGCATTGTGGCGGTGCCGTGGGACCATTCACTTAGAAAATCATCGGGTTTCGGAACTAGAATCCCTTTTGTACGTCAGCTATCATTACGAACTTTGCTAAATTTTCTATACCTATTTTAAGAAGTTAGGTGGAATGTTATCGCCACTCTGAGATCGCTTCCAGTTCCTCAGAGAGCAAGCCGGACTTATCCGTAGCTGCCGTGGCCTGGAGCTCTTCCCCCAGGATGCTGGTGATAGTTTCTTAGGTGCTCGTGGGAAAGGGTTTGTCCTGATCCGGCTTGGTACACAGCATTTATGTCACCGTATTATCGAAGCCAACTTTTTCTTCTTCGCTGTCCTGCGCTCTCCTGGTGTCGGCTGCTTAGCGGCAGGGACAGTATATAATGATCTCTCTTTGATTATTCTTTTTGTGTCCACAAGCTGATTGCTCTTCTTTTTATGCATCGTGGATCTCGGCATAAACAAGCTTATACAAGCCATCATCAAATCCGAGTTCGCTGACCGAACAGTCATCGTGATTGCATACCGTTTGGATACTATCGTGGGTTGCGGCCGCGTGGCTGTCACGGCTGATGGTAAATGTGTAGAATCCGATGACTCAGGGTGCTCTTAGAAGGAACGACTTTTTGTTCCATACTCATTTCCGATCATAGTAAAGGGGGTAGTTGAAAACGAATATGGACCTATTACCGGTTTGGGCCATGCTGTGGGACGGTGAGTGGGACAAGTGGGACCCTTAGGCGATTATGTAACAAGGCAAGTAACTAAAGTCCTATTGCAGCAAGAGTAATTCGTGCGGGGGAAGATAAGGGGTCTTACGAACAAATTGCATCTCTTTCATGATTGGGTTCATCGCGAATTCCACTTAATGCTCTGGGAACTCGGGGAAGTGATTGGATACGTCTAGTACTCATCATCTCAATTTCGGCCTCTTGAGTCTCACTAGTTGTCACCACGCACAAACCGTGTGGATCTTTCATCATGGCGAGACACAAAGACCGTTCCAAGAAAGGTAGAGTTGCATATTTATCTGTCGGAACAAAACCACCTAATCTGATACAGGTTGCGCCAGCTGTCTTCGCCGGAAGATCAAATGCGATGAGCATCACCCCACGTGTCGGCGATGCGTCAAAGCCAAAATCAAGTGCTTATGGGACTTGACCTCCCGAATACACGTCCAGAAATCGCGAAGACAATGCAACGCCACTGAAGATTCCACAACACCTTCCGAAACCAGTGTTTTCAATGCTGCGGACAAAGCTGGCAGCCATACACAAGACATGAACTTCAGTGCGCAGCTTCAAGTTTCAAGCTCTGACTACAGCTTGCAGGATGATCCTACTTCTGCAGACAGCAATTTGACTTTGACACTCACGGCAAATGACAACTCTTGGAGATCCATGGATACTTTTCACGACTGGCATGTTGACCAGCACTATTTGAATCGTGACTCAACGTTGGAAATGCCGAGTTCGCTTTTATCACATGTCTATCCTCCTTCACTACAATGCGCCAACTCCATTCCGTTGTCGCATCGAGACAGGCTTTATCTAGAGTACTTTCCCACGTCGTCGCTGGTAAAGATTCTAGGAAAGGCGTACACCTGGAGCAATTTCAGGTACATATGTCAGAATAAAGCTTCAGAGGAGGCCATTGTTATGTACGCGGTCATGGCGTTGTCCGCCAGTGAAATGAGCCAAAGCCTTGGGCTACCGAAGTCCCACGATGAGGGCCACTTCTACTACAGTCTAGCCTTACAACGTATCGCGGATGCCGTCAGCAATTTAACGTGTGAATCTAAAAATATGGAAGCCGTCCTTAGTGCTCTATTTTTGGTCATCACTTATGAATGGAGGTTTTTATCATCCACCTCCCATCTACAGTCCCACAACCAGTGCCTTTTTGCGTGTCTGGACTTATTCTTTCAAGCTGCTGAACATGGATCAAATATTTCGATTGATCTAACAACACATCCCTCTTTTACACCTTTCTGCGCTCAAATTTTGCTATGGATTTTGTAAGACTCACACACCATACAAACATCTTGGTTGTCAAGCAACTAATCCGCCCTTTAGGTACATTGAGTCAAGTTGCATTCGTGGAAATCTCTCCTTTGAACTGATGGATTACCTTCATATGCACGGAGGGGAAACGCAGCTGCAGAGTTTATTCAGATATGCTCGTCACTCCTACCTTTTTATACACGGAGAGCGATATCCAGCCGAGCAGCATCAAGATGACTTGGAAAATTACCGCCCGTTGCAACTCATTCACGAAGACTATCTTTTTAGATATCGTATTTGGCGGCTTTTTCAACGATACCATCCGGGGGAGCCCGTGGAATCTGAGCTGGAGGTTCTGTGGAGAGAAATAAACATCATCGGAAAGGTATGGGGCGTATCCTTACCACAACTCCAAACGTTTTGAATTGACCCTTCTGACTTTTCATTTAGGCGTACAGTGATTTAATTGAACTACGAAAGACTTCACCCAGAAATTTCAATGGATGTCGAGCTTTTATAACTCTTTGCGAGGGTTTAGCGGGCTATTATTGTAACATTCTCCTGATTCATCGCCTGTTTCGCTATCGTGTTGTCCCCGTGGAGAGCCATGACCAGGCTCTATCTGAGCTATTTGACATCTGCTACACTATCCACAAGTGGTACCCCGTTGATCCGACTTTGGGATTTGCCTGGTATTCACTGATAGCTGGCCTGGAAGGAAAGGATTGGATCCATCAAGATTGGGCATACGAAAGCTTAAAGGACCTGGGCGAAAGGTGGAATACATGCAAGTGGGCAGGGGATATGCTTCGCTTGGTGCATGATCCAGAATCCAACGTCGGGTGGCTGAATAATAACGATCATTTCTTGAAATTGATTCAACCTATTCCCTAGGTAGAAAATACCTATTCGCGCCTTGCAATTTTCCAGTCTGCCACAGCAGCCTCGTATTTGCTATCGTCTGACAACAAGTCCCACGCACATAGGGCCAGGCACTTTCCAACCGTCAGGCAAATTTGGAACGCAACATCACTGCCTGCAGCTTCAGTGAAAGACCAGTGATGGGTGACGACGCCCTTTTCCTTGACTGGGATACAAAACATTGCATGGATCGCAGGAACTGCATAGCTCACATCGCCTGATGTATTTTAAGTATCAGTAATTGCTAGACCTTGAAATAGAAAGAATGATAGGAAGCCAGGAGCAAGGATGGATCAACACTTACCGAAGTCTGTAGAGGCCTGAATGTATTCCGGATCCGTTTTCATTACAGTTTGAGAGTAACCGGCCATGTGGTCTTGATACAGTCCGCACAATGTGTCATTGATCAGAAGATCAGAATAGGCAGTTTCGCTACATCTCGGTTAGACTGAAAAGTGGATCAAATAAGTTGCGAAGAACTCACTCTTTCAAGTCTAATTCGCATCCAGTGGCTAAAGCTCCAGCATGCAAGCATGAACAGAGCCTTTGCGTTAACGTTTGCAAGTCACTCATTTTGGGGGAACGACACTGCCACGCAATAGCCGTTTCACCAGCTATGATGTTGGTTCTTTTAGGGGCATCGACGATAGCGCAATGCACCCGTTGGGTTGGATGCATCTGCTGCCGTAGTAGAGAGACATTGTTGTATCCGGCAACAACCGCGTCCAGTGCATTGATGCCATCCCATGGATTGGCGGCTGGATGAGCAGTTCTCCCTTTGTACTCGGCGAGCTTTGACTGTTTTGCAACAAGGCGAGCACCAGCAGCCCCAACGGCACCATGCTTTTCGTGATAGTAATGATGGGGCATTGGATGGCTATCAAGTGTTAGCATCCGATATCACAAAATAAGTTGTTATACTGCTCGGCAACGGCTGAATACGTACGACATTAAGGCGGCATCCACTCCTTCAAAAGCGCCTGCCTTGAGCAGATCGAGCTTTCCGCCACCATGTTCCTCAGCAGGTGTGCCCAGAAGCCGAATTCTTCCGGGCTGGCCGGTCGCCTTCAGAACAGAGGCTAAGGCCAGAAAAGCCGTCAAGCTTGCGACGCCAATGAGATTATGTCCACATGCATGGCCAATGTCAGGCAAAGCATCGTACTCGGCACAAAATACCATCAAGCGACCACCAGATCCAAAGGTGGCTTCGAAGGAAGTGTCAAGTCCATGTGCATGGCGTATTACTTCAAATCCGTTAGCTTCGAGAGCTGCGCACATTGTATCGTGTGCAATATGTTCTTCGTAAGCCAACTCGGGATTTTCCCAGATCTAAAAAAGTTAAGTTCTGGTTTGATATTTATCCTGCAGGGGAACTTTCACCTTTCTGTTTACCTCCCCAAGCATCCTGGATGACTTTTCGGCAAAGTCATCAATGCCGGCCTTGACTTCCTCGGAGGGTGCCATTTTTCCCGTCGGTTGAAAGTGAATTCGAAGAAATTTGAACAAGGTAATGTACTGAATAGTTAAAAACACCTCCTTGGGCCGTTCGACAAGGACCTTAAATACTTATGCTTTGTCCCGATGAGTTGGAGTGCTACAAGTCCATTCCCATAGATGGTCCACTGCTCAATGCCGATTGGACGATTTGGGGGACTCATGGCCCAATCACATACTATTTGAAAATCTTAAGGGCTCCATCGAGCTAGCCAATAGGCAGCACGGAAACCGAAGGAATCCCACAATGTAAACTTCTTTCGTACTTATAGTCCAGATAACATCAGCCAATCGGCAACAAGCATTCTCCAACCTGATTCTACCAAATTTAATCTCTTTGGCAGAGCAGCTCACAACCAAACCAAGGTTTTTTCCGCGCGTTTTACGACCAGTATGGAGCCGAATTGTGGTTTGAACAAGATGAACAAGGTTTGTCTGCTTACAACCCCATTAGATCAAGGGGATGAGCGCGAAAGGAAAGTAATCTTCGAGATGTTATAAAGCTACCGCGTTTCTGATATGTGATGCAAATATGGAATGTTATAACACCTTGCTATGAACCTTTTTTGAACTTGATACCATTTTTGACATACTAAACAAATGGCGAAGATAGAAACATCAGAGCAAAAGCAACGAAATTCGGAAATCCAACTCGACGATATTGTGGAATTCCAGCCCACACCACAGGAAAATCCGGAACTCCTGCGAAAAATGGATCTTACCCTCATGCCAGTCATGTGTACCTGCTATATGCTGCAACTTCTTGACAAGTTAACGCTTAATTTCTCCTCGCAACTGGGTTTGACGCGAGACCTGAATCTCCACGGATCGCAGTACAGCTGGACCTCCTCCATCTTCTACTTTGGATACCTTGCCTGGACATGACTGAGTTCCTGGCTCGTTATCAGACTTCCCTTGGGCAAATACCTTGCTGGAACCGTCTCGATATGGGGTGCTATCCTGATGTGCCACGGGGCATGTCACAACTTCGCAGAATCATGACAGTTCGATTTTGACTCGGTGCTGCTGAAGCTGTTGTGGCACCGGGATTCGCTCTCATCGTGGGAATGTTCTATAGGCGTGATGGACAGCCCCTACGTCAAGGTATTTGGTTCGCAGGGAATTGTATTGCCAATATCTTTGGAGGTCTCATCAGCTACGGCATTGGGCATATTCACTCTGCTCTGGCTACGTAGAAAATACTTTTCCTTATACTCGGAGGAGTCACCGTTGCTTATTCAATTCTTCTTTGGACATTTCTCTCAGATTCACCCAGAAAACGCACGATTCCTCAATGAAAGAGAGAGGAAGTTGTCAGTTCACCGGACCCTGAAAGATATGTCAAGTGTAATGGATGAAGATGACTTCTAGACTTATCAAGTCTTGGCAGCTTTAAGAGATCCACAAGCTTGACTATTGGCCTTCTATACATTCCCTGTCAATATATGCAATGGTGGAATAAGTACAGTGAGTTCAATAGCTTACTCATTGATGGATTCGGCTTCGGCTCACTTCAAACCCTACTGCTGCAAATTCCCGTTGGGGGCAGCCAACTCGCTCTACTGGCAATCATGCGATATTAGCCTCAGTCACTAAAACATCACGCTTATTTTTGATGGCTTGTGCTTGTGTTATATCCTTGGTCGGTATGGTTTTAATTTACGCGCTAAACCTGTGCACGCCAATGCTTGTGGTCGACTGGGCGGAACATAGGAAACGAAATCAAATCAGGACCACGGGATCGGATCACAGCAGACCCGCACGGCATGACATCACCCACCTTATTTCTCGTCCAACGCGTCCACAGATTTCCACCAATTCACGCGCCATGGCAAAACGAACCCTCGAATCCTTCTTTAAACCAGTCTCCCCGCCGTCAACCGAGAAGCGGATCAAAATCGACGACTCGGCGCGTCAATCACAATCTCAAGCACAATTTGAACCCCAACCCGACCTAGCACAGGACAATGTCGAACCAAGCACTCACCCAACATACCCAATTCCAATCCCACAACTCCCCTCCCATATCGACGTCGGGGTAGTACACGGTACACCAGCCCGAGAACCACAAAACATAACCAACCAACCCCACCTCGACCTGCTATATTTCCAACCTTATCTCTCCCGACAAACAGCAAACGAGCTCTTCAAATTCCTCCGCCGCGAACTCCCCTTCTACCGAGTACAATACTCCATAAAAAGAGGCGGAGTCGAAACCTCCGTCAACACGCCCCGATTTACCACTGTATTCGGGGTTGATGATACGGCACGCTTTGTGAGGACAGGTTGTCCAGATTCCAAGGACAAGGATGAGAAAAGTTTACACGGGCACGAGCACGAGCTAAAGCTGATCAATGCGCAAACGAAAGCACCTGTATCTGCGAGACAATATCAATACGATCCGCGACCTATCCCTGCGTGTCTCGATGTTTTACGGCAGCGGGTTGAAGCGGCAACGGGTGCGAGATATAATTTCTGTTTGGTGAATTACTACGCCAGTGGAGAGGATAGTATATCGTTTCACTCGGATGATGAACGGTTCCTGGGTGATCAGCCGAATATTGCATCGTTGTCGTTGGGCGGAGAGAGGGAATTTGTGATGAAGCATAAACCTCCCCCTCCAACTGCCAAGTGTGGTAGCATTGGCATTAGGACTGGTGGGATGAGAAATATGGATGTTTCGGATAGTGGTGGTACAGCAACGAAGCCGAGTCAAACAGCTGGTACGACCAATTCTCAACATTGGGTTGCACCATCACATGGGCAGATGCAACAGCAGATCAAAATGCCGCTCGCTTCGGGCGATATGGTTGTCATGCGGGGTGATACACAGTCCCATTGGTTGCATAGTATACCGAAACGAAGGGGACGAGCGGGGGATGCGGTGCGGGGACGGATTAATATCACCTTTCGAAAGGCGGTTGTGCCTGCAGGGACGAATAATTATTATCATTATAATGTTGGGAGTGGACCTGTTTATCGGTGGGACGAGGGGAGGGGGGTTATGGTGAAGTCTGGTGAATCATAATTTATTTGCTGGTAATATATGCATAACGTATCCTCAATGGATTAAATGCGATCTTTGAGCTATGCATTGACGCGATCGCCGGTCTCAAACTCCATGTACATTGCTCCCGAATAAATGGACAGTGAAGCAAGTCGTAAGATGTGCGTTGGCGCGGTTCGTCATTTCCTGACCATGTAATCCTCCCAAGAATAATACAGAGGGGGTGAAGAAAAAGTAAAAGAGAATAGAAAATAAAGGAGGAGGAAGAAGTAGAAAGGTAGGAAGGGTGAACAGGGGGCGTGAATTAAAATCCGTAGACTTCCTCGCCGTAAACATCGGCGTAGCATTGAAAGACATCGGGGCAGCTAGGATTGGTCAGTGAAATGGACTAATAAATTAATTGTGGAGCGACTTACAAAACTGGGTCCTTGCCGAAAATAATATGCCATGAGTACTCCATGATGTTGGAGGTCACCTCGTCTGACAGATCATTGTTGAGCACCCAATTGTACATGCGTTTATAGTCGGATAGCGGGCGCATGAGGACCTGCTCCTTGGAGACGGCAAATTGCGAGCAGCATGGTGCGGCGATGGTCTGGGGAACGTTGGTGTTCCCGAACAACTCCTTCCAGGCATCCGCATAATGTCTCTCACCAGTGTCGCCTTGTTTCGGGGGACTACGGAACGGCTGCATCTCGGCGGGGCAACCAGGCGACAATTGGCAGCGGAGATTCACGAATCCTTCCTGCAAGACAAAGTCGCGCTGGAGGGCCCGCACCGAGTCCACATTGCTGTAATCCATGGTGTCGGTGTGCCAGGCGGCGGGCCAGCCGTCGCGGTGACTGTGCAGGAAGATGATGACGGGGGGAAGGTCCTCATAATGATCAACAATATATTGGAGATAAGGTAATGCCTCGCGGCCCTTGTTCTTGGGTGTGTGTACAGGGGCATTCGTGTCGTCGACGGTATAGATGTAATTGCGCCATCTGGGGAGAATTCGCGTCAGTATTTTTGCGGTTCCACTGTAACTTAGGCCGTTGGAATTCCCCTGAACGGGAGAAATACAACCACAGATGGGGATTGGATATGACGGAAGAGCAGGATAAAACGTTGAGCACATACTCAGCGATTTCTGCGGAGACCCAAGCGGTATTCTCCTCGCGCAGTTTGCCCATGACAATAACACCCGAATCAGGAACCTCGATCGGCGTGGTCTGGTAACTCAAACCCAGTGTTTTCTCGGAACCACTCCCCCATTTCCTGTGAATACTATCCTGCAAGGATTTCGGCGGACGTAATGAAGCTTGGAAGGATGTAGTATCGAAGTGCCAGAACGATTGGGGGGCCGGGCCAGCAGTGTGGAGTTGACGGTCGATCAGGACGAGCGCGAGAATGATCAGCGCGGTGGCCAATCCGACACGAATTGAGAGCCTCATCTCAGACCATGAAAGCGCAAGCTGTGAATAGTGAAGGGGAAGTGATAGGGGGAAGAAGAAGTTTATTTTTTTTTCCTCCGAGACAGGTCCACGGATCGAGGGGAAAAGACGAATCTCAGGGACGGGCTTGGCGGATCCTCATGCGGAGTAGCGGAAGTGAAGTGGGCGTCGGCACAAAACACCAAAGAAACGAGTGTGATGGTAAATACCAGGATTAGACAAAGCAAGTAAGAAGTAAGAAGTAAGAGAAGTGAAAGCACGAAGATCAGAAGAATGAGGAAATAAAATTCAACGGAAGCAGCGAATGGACTCCAAGGAAGGAACCACCAATCTAGCGTCTTTATGATTGGTTCTTTCTTTACATCAAGTACCTTTCAAGTACCCTCAATACGACCATCACATACAAAAGAGACCCGCCAATACATCCCTCTCTGTCGATCCATTATTGCGCCCCCTGAGCAAGCCCTCCATTAACAAGCCCAGACACTGCGATCGGCGGGGCCAGGCAGATTAGGTGGTCTAAGCGGGACAGAATACAAAGATGAATTTTAATCAAATCTTATTAAACGCTCTCTGTAATTACGGTCGGTACTTGGATTGTAGATGTTCTGCTTCTACCTGGGGAGGACCGCAAGGGGGAATGCTACATTCAGTGTACTGTACGCTGATGTCAGGTGATGCGAGGGGGAGACATTACCGGAATTGTCCGATCATAGATCTTCCATAAGATCATGAGTCTGAACGCCTGTGGAACTCGATTTCAGGGGCAATAGGCTTCGGGTGGGTGGTAGAGAATAAACTAAATGAAATGCAATTTTAAATGCGGGAGATAATCCGATCCCTGAGCTTAGACCATGCGTTTTTAGACCCTGACCGCAGTCAATCACCAATCAAATATCAAATAAGAATAGAAGACATTATCAGTCGCAAGATTATCAAGCAGAACAAGAGCATACTGGAATTTAGTACTAATAGTTGACGCCAAGACGCCAAGCCTCGTATAAGCCTGATGAAATATCGAATTCTGGTGGACTTATGTTAGTCGACATTGTAATTGAGCAGATTGTGTCGGTCATTCCCTCTAGCCTCGTGCCAGAGCTATGTAGACATGGAGATTTCCAACCCGACCACGCACCTTGGCAGTATTCCGAGCAATTTTCTATATATCTTTCTTGTTGGTGCAACCGAGATCGCTGACAACATGGTGAGTGGAACCGGCTGTGGTGGCTATTTATATAGACTAGAGATACCTGGTAGAATGTACTGCATGCAGGTCTTGCCTTATAAACTATATCATAAACAAAGGAATACGACGCCCAGTGTGCTAGAGGTGGCGAACGTCATCGTCTTTCATAAATGAGTGTGTGTTCGTCAGAATAAGAAGCGTGCCTAGGTGAGGGGTTGCAGCTGCACCCAGGGCGAATTCCAATAAGCCTAGACATGCATCTACTCTGATATTCATGCTCTAAGTGGCAGGTTACCCCAGATTTACAATCTACTATACTCCACTAGGCCCACAGGTTGTGACGGATCCATAAGAGGACCATGGGATCGATGCTGCTCCATACTACACGTCATTCTGGAAGTGTGGATACATGACTCGACTGACTACTGTAAACATTGGAAATCGTCAAGCATCGTATATCATTGATTAAGAACTGCATATCCTCGATCTGGTCTCTGTATCAGACCGAAAAATCACGAACATGCCTATATTAGGCTGTATGAATCACATACAAGTAAATCAAACGCCTGCATGCAAATGCAAAAAAAAGCCCCTAGGATATCAAAAACAAACCAACCAACCCAAAAGAAGAGAAAAAGACACAGAGATAAAGCATATCATATCAGCAGCACCGGCCCCGTCGTCTCGCCTCCTCCATAACCTGCACTTCCTCCGCCTCCCCAGGAGTAGGCGTAGGAAGCCCCAACCAACTCCTCCGTTTATCCCCATATCCAAGCCGAAAACTGCCCGTCCCATCCACACTCGGCGTAAAAGGACTAGGAAGTCCAAGACCGGACATCGCACTCAAAGCATCAGCATCACGCTTATTCCGCTGCTCCACCAACTTCCGCGTAATAACACGAAAAACCTCCTCAATCCCCTCCCCATCCTTCGCCGAGATCTCATGACAACAGTCCCACCCAATCTCCTGCCCCCAAAATGCCGAGCTGCGCTTACTATCCGGACTCTGCAAGGCACCAGTCGACATCCCCGCTGCACTCCCCACACTTCCAGCCGTATTCGCATTCGAGCCAAACACCCCACCACCGAATCCGAGTCCCATCCCTAACCCCCCAGCTGTTGGTGGTGGTGTCGACGCGTGCGACGGATACAGTTGCTCAGCCACGTATGCGATCGTTCGCTCGAACGGGACACGCCTTTTGGAAGGCTCCACCGCAACGATATCCGACTTCGTTCCAACAACATGAATCACCAGCGGCGGGGTATCGTCGTCGCTTTCTGATCCGAGATTCTTTCTCAACTCGCGGAGCCAGCCGGCCATTTCCTCAAAGGAGTTTTCATCGGTGATGTCATAGCAGAGGAGGCACGCGTGTGCGCCACGGTAATAAAGTCGCGAGATACTGCGGAATCGTTCCTGGCCTGCTGTGTCCCAGATTTGGAGACGGACTGTGGTGTCGGATGTTGTGTCAAGGACGCGTTTTGTTACGAACGAGGCGCCGACGGTTGAGGTTATTGTGCCTGGGTTGAAGGCGTTGCGGACGTAGCGGTGGACGAGGGAGGTTTTCCCGACTCCTAGGAGTTGTTAGTTTGCTTTAGCGTGTGATTTGGTGGGGTATGTACCTTGTGCGCCTAAGACGACGATTTTAGCCTCGAGGGAGGAGCTCATGGCGCGGGGTTGAAGTGGGGGCGGGTGATTGTGAGCATGGTCTAAATTCAGATATGTAGTAGATAGGAGATATGGGAGAAATAAGATATTCGCGTAGATTTATGATATTTGATTGAAATATGAAATGAGAGATGTGAATAAACAAAGGAAAGTTCCAGTCAGAGTTCGTGTTGGAAACCTTGGAAGGCAACCTGGGGACCAGGCGGGATCAGCCGACCTGAATTTGGTCACTCCTTACGCGTTTATGCAAGTCATTTTTGACGCAAGTTATGACTCACTTGACATATGCAGGGATGGAATACTATTGACAGGTTTGGTATTTGTTTGAACAGAAATAAATATTTGAATCGTAAATCTATATCTTAGCAGCACATATACATGACATCATGAAAATCCCATGCCCGACCGAAATAAACCAGTAAACCCAGACATGGACATGAACTCATTACTGTACTTAGAAAAGCAAACAATGGGTATAAAGATGGGGCTCCAGGTGATCTGAAACATGATCAAAGTAAAAACAAACAAAACAAGCAATCGCCTGTCATGGGATAGCAATCTAATATGCACATCGGTTAGTGCAATGGCAAAGCCAACGCACAGAGCTGTCATCCAGATGATTCGATAAGGAGAATCTAGTCCTCGTTGATAGTGGCAGTGCGGACCTCCTCCTCATGGTTCTCGTCGGAACTGGAGTTGGGGTTACCCTTCTCAAGGTCCTCAGGGTGACCGAGATCACCGAAGCCGTACTCAAGTGCCTTCTCCTCAACCTGAGCATCAGTGAGCCTGGGCAGCTCACGAGCAGCCTTGACGTAGCTGATCTTCTCGCAGTAGCCCTTGGCGAAAATAATGTCAATCTCCTCAAGGCTGCGACCAGCGGTCTCGGGGTAGAAGAAGTACATAACGGGGATGAAGACGGCGTTCCAAGCAGCGAAGAAGAGGTAAGTTCCCCAACCGATGTTAGAGATCAAAACGGGAGTGATCATGACGACGGTGAAGTTGAACAGCCAGTTGGAGCAGGTGGAGACAGCGTTGGCCTTGGCACGAGTGCGGATGGGCGAGATCTCGGCGGGGTACAGCCATGGCAGAGGGAGCATCGTGGCACCGAAGACAGCCATGTATAAGAAGAGACCGAAGACCGCACCCTTGGCGGGGCCGGTGGTTCCAGGAATCAAGCAGGCGAAGACGATGATCATGGCGATCATCTGGCCGGTCATACCACCGAGGAAGAGCTTGCGGCGACCGATCTTCTCAATGAAGAACCAGGAGAAGGTGGCGAACAGGGCGTAGACAATCATATTAACACCGGAAAGAATGTCGGACATGAATGTATCCATGTTCAGCGAGTCCTCCATCAGTACAGGCAAGTAGTAGATAACAGCGTTGCAACCAGACAGCTGCTGGGCGATCTGGGAAGAGGATCCGATGAGCATGCGACGGAAGTGCTGAGTACGACCGCCAGTGAGGAGATCACGGTAGCCAGCGCCCTCAGCGACACCAGCGGCTTCGATAGACTCCATAACGAGCTGCTTCTGGAGCTGGGTTTCCTCGTCCTCAATCTCCAAGCCAGCAAGGGCAGCGAGTGCGTACTCACCCTCGTGAACCTTGCCACGGGAAATAAGGTAACGAGGGGAGTCGGGCAAGAAGTACATGCCGATGACGATGATGAGACCGAAGACGATCTGGAAGGCAATAGGGAAACGCCAGGTGAGGCCGGGAGGACCGTAAGAGGCACCAAAGTCGATCCAGTAGGCGATACACGTACCAATGGCGATGATACCACCCTCGATACAGATCAGCAGACCACGGTTGCTGGTACGCGAGCACTCAGCCTGGTAGGTAGGGATAGTTGAGGTGTTCATGCCGTTACCAATACCGGTAATAACACGACCGAACATAAATTGCAGCAAAGGGATATGACCGGGGAAGGAGGTAACCTGAATCAAAACACCGATGATCATGATGGTAGCACCAAGCATGACCATGCGACGACGACCAAGCCGATCGGCAGTGAATAGAGCAAACATAGCACCGAACAAACATCCGGCCTCATAAACGGCAGTAATCAAGGCCTGCATGACGCTGTCATTCTTGGCCGCAGTAAAGACGTCGTCGAAGTCGGTGGCATTGATGATACCCGACATGACACCCTGATCATAACCGAACAGCAAGAAACCCATAGTGGCAATGGTCGATACGGCCAGCGACAGTTTCCTGCCGGACATGCCTGCGAAAGAAGGCGCCATCTTGTGAAATTATTAAGATTAGATCTTAGTCCAGAAAGATGACTCCTAGTGGGTATACACGTGGGACGATATAGAGAAAAGTGGAGGAGATAAAAAAGAAAACAACGAGGGAAGGGGGAGATATTTGAATGTCTCTGCGACCTACGAAAATGGCAAAGAGATGCAATCGTGGGTCTTCTCCATCCTCTTTTCCCCGTGTCTCAGCCTGGACGCACTCCGATAGAAAATGCACTAGAAAAAAGAAAATTACATATAAAAAAAAAGATAATACTTGGATCCCGAGCCGAGTGCGTATCCAACCTGGGACTTTATCTCCACCTACCAATTCCTTTGTCAAATAGAATTCTCAATGGTGGGGCCAAGCTTCCGGATGCATCAATAATGATGGATTTAAGCATTTCCGACGACTCCACCGGTGCGTGGTGGTTTGCGTCCCTGATGACATCAGAATCAAAACCAGAAAGCAGAGATTTTAGTTGAAAGAATTGATTGGTTTCGTCTAAGTCATATTGAGGCCCGCAATGACGAGAGAGAAAACGATCTAGAAATGTTGTATAAGTTACAAGGTCTATGTATGTATTGGGTAGACTAACGAATGAATTTGCTTTGCCGTACGTAAGGAGGCATACACACAGGTTCTTCTATCCCTTCGCTACCAAATATTACCAAGTTTAAACCATTCGAACCATTCTCAAACGGCTATGGTATCATCCGGACAAAGCCCCAACGCAGAGATCTTTATCTCAGTGACGTCGGGGCTACACTAAGATTTCTATGACAAGATGCATAAGAGGATCTTTTTCAACAGCCCTGATAGGCTCAATAGTGGATTATGCGGTGTAACGGCCGAGGGGAAAGAGGGGGATGTCCGATAAAGACAGTACAGTAAGAGGGGTCGGGAAAGTGCTCGGGATGCCGTCACCGTCTTTCCCGAATAAGAGTGGCCGGCACCAATGATGCAAGAATGCGCCGTATGCAAACTAGCGTCTTCTTCGAATCAGTGGATCTCACAACCCACTTTGGATCAAGAAAATAAGAACTTCTCTGTTTTAATTAAGGCAGGTAAGCGGCTCTTGTCTCCCCAGATCTCAAACTTGGAGACTGGGGTAGACCTATACTACACTCTGTACATATGAGCAACCCGATTCCAACTTTCGGCTTCACCCTATTAACCATCCTTTTTTGGAGCATTTTCTAGATTTTATCTCGTCGAAAAAAATCCTCGGTCATTTCCCGTCATGGCTCCACGAATCATGGCTCCGATCGAATAGCGGAGTCGGAAAAAACAATGCCCAATTCCTTTTTACCGTTTAACTCACAGGCCGACCCACGTCATCCCGACCGGGGAGGGCGCGACAATGAAAAGTCAAGTGGGATACCCGTTAGGCATCACGGAAACTCCGCTGATGATGTATGAGGCGCGCTTTTCACCCATCAAATGATTCTAGAAGGAATCCAGAGAATTTCATGTCATGGTCTGATCCAGTGAAGAGTTTTCACGAAATCTATTCCGATACGCGACTACGTAGCGCGGGGATTCGTCTAACCACGTCCCGAACTAACCAGATCTAGGGTCTGGAATGATTGCATTGCGCGTCTCTAATCTCCAATGTGACTGTGCCGCCTGATGTTCAGGGGAAGCGACATTCATGAGCCAATGAGCTTGGCCTGGTGGATGCACGACGAGGACCGACGTTTGCATTGTACTCGATCGTACGTCCGTACTGATGTCTACAGGTACTATCCGCCCCAAATTTTCGATTTGCTGCCTTAATAGTGCAGATAAAAGTAACATTGTGCATGGGATTAGGAAGTGACGCGGATGAAATCAGAATCAAGATTCTTCTTTTCGTTCCCGCTGTGTCGATCTCACCCAAAGTCATTCCAGGATGGGAAGGTCTGCCGTGTAAAATGTTCACGGAACTACTGTATGGAAATACTGTGTGGTAGAAATATCCATAGTCAGTACGATTCATATTTATTAGACATTAAATGTGTCGTCCATATAAACGCATATACGACCATGAGCCACTGATGTAAACCCAGGAAAAACGCCACAGCCGGTGCAAGTACCATCTTTCCTAAAACCATAACCCCGTAAAGTCGATATGTGGGAGTCTCGGAAAGCCCCGGCATCGATGTAGAAAGTCTCCGAATTCTGCATCAGTGGCTAACTCCATGCAAGTTGCGGAGTACCTGCGATACCGATATCTAATTTTTCATTGACCATGGTAAATCAATGATTACCTTGAATTTTATGAACATGATTAAGATCTTTGGCTGACCATGAGGCTTAGCACCAGGGATCGGCAAGTGGCGTCCGTCAGCCAAGAGATGATTAACTTCGGGTGGGAACTAGGTGATCTCAACCGTAGAACCTGTGGTTCATGAACTAAGTTTCAAAATTCATGGTTGAAGATAAAGTGGTTATAGCCAGATCCATTCAATGTACAGGAAGGAAAGGAACGTCAATCAGTCTTTGCGGCCTCAGGCAGAGGGCTTATGTGAGCAAATCTGACTCAGGCAGAACATTCTTAGGCTCGCGATTCCTTCCTCAATTACATATACTCGTCAAAGGGGTGAGTGCACGAGTATACCGGAGAATGTCTGGCAACTCTTGGCTTTCCCTTTCGGATTTAGTGTTCACCCCTTGCCGCTTTTTGCTCACTGTAAAACTGAGCACCAGGTAGTAATCCGAGCACCACACTACCTACTCCTCAGCTTATGTAGGTCTAATATTATACGTGATTTTCATAATGTATGTAGGATTCCTTGGTATTTCGTGGTAAGATACAGCTTTTATCACTTTATAAATTACACATGACTAACGTTTCTCACTGTCACACGGTCATATGCCGCACCCCAAAACACACGGTAAAGGCTGATTTAACAATCCAATATATTAATAACCACTTCCTTGTCCTATTCAATTACTTGCCGATTGACATAGATAAGCATTATTGAGAGTATGTATCGATTTCGAATAAGTTGAACATTTCTATTATCGCAGTCCCTAAGATCACATCTAGGACCTGGTGAGATATATGTGTTCCGATCACCAAAACATGAAATTTCCCAAAACTCCCAAAAGGGACTAGATATCATATAGAAATATTAAGACCTCAGAAAACTCTTATAGACCACTATTCTCGTGATAATGAGCTGTAATTTTTCACATAAAATATATGTTCTGGGGACTTGGCAATGGGGCCGCATTTGCCGAACCTACTACTGACCTAAGGAGAGGGAGAGGGAGATGAAAAAGAAGTTACTAGTTCTATCTAATCCACAAACAGGCAAGCAATGGTGGATGACTAAGCAGTTTGAGAGGCTTCAGCACAATTTCCAGTTTATGATACTATCTGCACTTTCCGTTGACATCTTCATGCCGATATTCAGGAATAATATCAGGTTTAGGCAAACCATTCCATCTTCTAGTCCGGCAAATCACAAGTCCTGCCGAGAGTACATTTTGCTCACCCGACCCAACGACAGTGACAGTATACTCTCCCGCCTCACTCAGCCAGCTAGACAATCTCTCGTCCCAGAAACTGGTAGCCAGAGTCATTGGGATAACGATCACGACTTTCTGTCTCTGGCCCTGTTGCAGTTTGACCTTTTTAAACCCCTTGAGCTCTCTCACAGGTCGAGAAATGCTGGCTTCTGTAGGTGGTGAAATGTATACCTGGACAGTTTCTGCGCCACTACAGGGCCCAATATTCTCCACTGTGACTGACACTTCCAACACTTCTTCTTTGATATTGTCATGAGCCTTCAATGGCTGTGAAATAGCTAGCCCCGAAACACGGAATTTCGTATAGGAGAGACCATGACCGAAGGGGAAAAGAGGCTTCACTTTCACCTTATCATAGTAGCGATAACCGACGTAGATATCCTCGCTGTACAACACTCTTCCTGCTTCTGATCTATATGAAAGGTACGCTGGGTTCTGCTCGATAAACTCTGGGAAGCTGAGAGGAAGTTTGCCAGACTTGAAGACACATTAGCCAGTGTATAATGCGGAACCCGTTTAATACTCACCGGATTCACATTCCCAAAAATGATATCCGCAATACCATTTCCCGTTTCGTTCCCACCATACCACGCATGAAGAAGGGCCTTAACGTCCTGAGCCCAAGGCAATGTCACAGGAGTTCCACTCTGCACAACAACTGTAGCTTTGGGTTGGACAGCGAGAATCCTTTGAACCAGCTGATCTGACATTGGCGGGAGATCCATGTGTGGGCGGTCGAATCCTTCGCTTTCCCATTCCCCGCTCAGCCCAACACACACAACAACTTGGTCGAATTGAGCTGCCAGATTAACGGCCTCTTGAATGGCATGTTCTGCGTCGATTCGTTTGCATCCTCCCACTCGCAGCCCACCTGGTCCAAAGGACACGACTCCATGCAATTTCAGATTTGAAGTTGGTGCAGTTCCGTAGTCGACCAGAATATTGTACCGTTTATTTGCTTCGAGGTACTTCGAGCCGCATTCCTCTGGAGTCCCGATGCCAAAAAATGACGTCCCCTGTCGCTGATTGTTCTTGTTGTCAACAACCTTCTCGCCATCGATGAAGAGCTCTCCGGTACCCGCTACCGTAAGACCAAAGTCATATATCCCACTTTCTGTGGTCTCGAAGATCCCTTCCATGGTAACGTAGTAGAGGTCGGAGTGAACTTCTGGATGCTTATAGTCCATCAAAAACGCAGAGCTGCTCTTCATGTGCAGAGTGTCTACCGCTTTTCTGCTTTTGTTGGAAGAAGGCTCGGTAAAAACACGGAATATGTACCCAGGTCGACCATCTTCAGTTTTCAGTTGGTCGCCTAGAAGTGGTAGCTCTTTGTGGCCATACACTCCCTGTGAGAAAAAAACACCCCCAGTACAGCTGCTCTTGATTCCCTCTAGGGGTGTAATGGCATAATACCCGGGCAGAGCGGCAGAGCCTCCACCACAGTATGTCGCAATGTTGGCGTTCGGACCGATCACGAGAGTTCTCTTAGTGGAATCCAGGGGAAGAATCTGATCATCGTTCTTCAGAAGAACAATTGACTCGGCAGCTGCCCTACGGAGTAATGCTCGATCTTCGGGCAGGTTCCGCTGAATTTCAGCTGCATTCTCAGGAATTCCCGAGCTGGACGTCTGCTTTACGAGCTCTAAAACACTGCGGACCCGATCATTGATAGTCCTCTCCAAGACTTTATTGGATGTGATGGCATGTACCAAGCCTGATCCCCGAAATCGAGATGGGCCAGGCATTTCAAGATCCAGCCCGGCATTGAGAGCCTCAGACACGCTATAGGTGCCGAACCTGTTTTGGTCAATAATAGAGCTTGAAGATTTGATGAAGAGTAGCGACGTACCAATCGCTAATGATGAGTCCTTTATAATTCCATTCCTTCCGAACGACATCCTGGAGCAAGTCAGGGCTCTCGCTAGCGTGGCATCCGTTGACCTTATTGTACGATGTCATCAGGGCCTGAGGATTGGCGCCCGTAATGACGAGCTGAAACGGAAGTAGATATATCTCACGTAGAGCACGCTCAGTGACAAGCGCATTGACAGCAACACGCTCATGCTCCTGATCGTTGCACACAAGATGCTTTGGCGTCGGAATGACATTCTCAGTCTGTATACCCAAACAATAACTGGTGGCCAAGGATCCTGAGAGTACAGGATCCTCTGAGAAAGATTCAAACCCGCGACCTCCCAACGGACTTCGTTGGATATTAATCGTCGGTCCTAGGAGGACATGGGCCCCCTTTGCCTTGCATTCCTGACCAAGAAGCTTTCCAAGGGAGAATATGAGCTCGGTGTCGAAGGTCGCGCCTAGTGCTGTGCCGCAGGGTAAACAGGCGGAAGGGACTCCATTGAAAAAGCGAGTGCCCCGAACACCATTTGGTCCATCTGACATGCGAATTGAAGGGATGCCGAGGCGCGGGATTGCTGTTGTGTGCCAGCCATCGATTCCTGCGGGTCTGATGAGCTGGGGAAGCTTGAGCCTGGATAGCCTGGGCTGGATTTGGGACAAACCTGAAAGTAACGAGACCTTCTCGTTTAGGGATAGCTCCGAGAGCACATGTTCGACGTCAATCGCCGACATGATTGATGGACGAACAGTATATGAGACAGGTGAAAGAAGAAAGAGAATAAGAAACACTCCAGCTGGGAGACCACATTTTTATGGCAAAAGAGTCTCTAGCTTTCTTTAGTAATGTGAACTTTGAACATCTCGGTGTTATGGAGCATCGCGGAGTGTCGGACTTGCGCTATTAGAGTGGAGCCAACATCACGGGCCAGGCTGCACCCCCCCCCCCAGAACTTCCAGCTGATAAGACTATTAGAAGAAAAAAGCAGTCGCGTTTGTGCCGTTATGATTGGCCTGATGTGATACATTGCTGCTTGCCTTATTTGAACAAACGTGTTCGAAAAGAAATGAGATACACATAGCAACCGCGACCTAATTTGCCCTCGCCTGCAGCAACACTTGCACAATATTGAGCAAACCCATTATATCATTCGACTCATCCTTCCAGAATTCCAACATCCGAGTAACATCTAGTACCGCTCCCTCCCAGCCCATTGGCAGAAAACACACGAGATTCACACTGCGCTCAGCAGCGAGTAACACTATCGCACTCCTGGCACATGACCGAAGCATGAGCCATGTTCCGTGATGCCGATGGTAAAATCCCGTCCGATTCTGCTGTATCCTATCTACACAGACCTTGAGCGCTTTGTGAAGGAAACTATTGCTGGTTCTGTCGCCTCGGCCATGTATTGCTTCGACCAAAAAATGCCAGTACATTGTCTCTTGGCAGTCAAGGAGATGACCACTGAGAATAAATCGGAAGGGCTCATATTGGTCTGTATATGCGTTGTCTGCATCTGGGGCTAGTGCCTCTGGTAGTGATCGCAGCCTAGGCTTTGTTAATTGATGCCTTGTTGAATCCAAGATATTACTCACCATCCGTCTGCTTGCTCCTCGAAGTCAAGGATTACAGATTCAAGATGAGACTTTGAGGTAACATCGTGGGGTTGGTAAAGATAGCTCAAAATGCGATTCTCCAATCTCCGCAAAGCGATCTCAGCGAGATAGAAGTACCACGCCGCTTCATCTCTAGACTTGAGTTCTTCTGGAGGGGATGGGAAGAAGGTAGGATATTTCAGACCTAGAAAATTCTTTTGGTAAAGATTCAATTCGAGTCGTACCTCACTATCGAGAAATGTTAGGCATACCCTCATAGTTCAGAATTTGGACTACCTACAGCTCAGACTTCAGACAGGTCCAGTATACTCTCTGTTTCGTCTCCCACGCATCTTCATGGCAGTCATTTGAGCGGAGGATAGAGAAGCCTTCACAGCATGCAAGTGCTTGCACAAACATCCTCCATGCCTGCACCGCCCGCAAAGATGTCATTAGATATACACCCGCTAGGAAGAAGCATTGTACCTCTACTACGCCGCCCCTGCAAAGCAACATACCCATTCGCTTCTGGGCAGCAAGGAAATACGCTTCGCCTTGGAGGAACTCCTTGGACTGGCGAAACAAATTAGAATCTACGCCTTGCCCATCCCTTACAAAAGGCGTTGCGATAGAACCGTTGGCATATATAAGAAGCTGGTATTATATGAGTTTGGTATATGAGAAAAGGGTTATGACACTCACCAACAAACAGGACATCGCATCCCACCCAATACCATTTAATCGGACAGATCTCACATATTCGTTGATGTCCTCTTCCTTTAGCGTGGGATTGAAAATATGGACATTATCGAAGAAGCTCCGAACGAGATGGTCTGCTGCATGAAGGTCAAGGTCGATGGAAAATTGCAGGTCCGGTTTTATCGTGTTCTCGTCAGATGGAGATAATACATCGAGTCGCGGGTCGAATTCATGGTCATCGAAAACAGGCCATTTCAGAACCTCCTCAATGTTGATGAAAGATGGTTCCCATTGTGTCCCATGCTCAAGCCCAGATGACCAAATTGCATTGGGACTGCTAGATGGCGAAGTAGAAGGGAATACATGAGAGAGAGCCGCTTGAGGTGGATCATTTCCCTTGGTCTGGATCAAGGCTTCCAGATCGTCGATCCGTTTTAGGATAGCCAGGCTTGCTGAATCAAATCTGTCGCTTGATTAGTTGAAATCTTGTTTCCAGAAATTCGATGACAACATCCATTGCTTATGCGGCACTTACGTCGATAAACACATCTGTTGGTAGGAGCATTTCGCCCCGAGTCGTACACACGATGCACACGATGGCCGGGTATTATCGCACTTCGTCCGCTTGATACGACACGTCTGACAGGCTTGACTAGCTCGCTTCCGGGGGTAAGTCGCGGCTGCGCGGGCATGTTTTCGTTTCGGGCCATCCGGCTTGTCGGCAGGTGAGGTAGGATATTCCATCTTGGAAGCTGAGACCTGTGGGGGCATCTCAGACCGGTAGTTTGATTCCATCAGAATACAGGATTGGTCTGATCACTGGCACCTTCCATACCGGCCAGAAAGTAAAATAAGTATTCAGCGGAGATTCGGAGGAGAAGAGAGGGTGCCCTGATCATTCTCGTATTTGCGCTTTGGTCTCGTAGGGCGCACAATGTCTTTTCTACCCTGAAACGGTTAGAGCAGATTCTGTATATTAGCATGGGGAAATTTGGTGGTATTTGCCATATCGGCTGATTGGCATCTTCCCCAGACGGGAGCAAAAATACCCGGGGATGCTACTGCGGGGAAAATGGTGCAAATCCGAAACTAAACCCGAACTGGCCCATAAACCGACGACTTGGAACTAGGTCGTAATTAACGACCGGTGTTAGGACGCCATATTGTGCTAGCCGAGGCGGAATTGCGGATCCACAAGACACTGCCGCACCCGGTCGTTTATCTGAAATCTCACATCGGTTTCTGCAGAGTTCAATCAGAGCAGCGAAAGAAAATGCTCAAGGACTGGGCGGACTGGGCCTGCAAATGTCTTGAGAGCGGAGAGTGAAGCAAAATATTTAGAATTCGGTCCCCCTGTCCCGTAAGCATTCTATGCTAAATCATCCCAAGTCTAATGCCGCGGTAGCAAGAGTTGAGATAGTACCTCATTCCGATTGAAATTAGTCCTACTACAATGTTACCGCAGGTCGCACTGAGCTTGGGAGTGCCTCCAGGCGTCGTGGCACAATGTATTTTTACAGTTATTCTCGATTTCCTTAATCAATACATACTTCACCGACGTTTCCTCGCTCCGCCACCTATTCGAAGAATATTTCAGGGGGAGAACGTGGATATTATTTGTGTCCAGAAAAAGCCATATCGCGACCAAGAAGTCACATTCGGCATGGAACGCCACTGTCTGCAAATCATAGATTCTGATGATCTTGATACATAACGATCATTGTACCACCAATTCGCCCATCTCATACGATTGATGTCAATCCTCAGGTCGTTGCATACGCCACCCCGATATCCGACAGCCCATTGCCTGCGTCATTTACGAGATAATCGGGAAACACTCCAAAGTATGCATAACGCTGTACATAACTTTGCTCATCCAACCATGGAAGCACCTGCTGCAAAAAATCTATCTGCTGCGCATCCGACCCATAGCACTCAAACTCTGTGATCCAGATTGGCAGATTCAGCGTCTGATATGCGTCTGTAACGTTGCCCTGGAACCAGTCGGCACCGCTCTGTCCATTGCCTGGGTCGCAGTCTTGGTACCAGTGAATGGCAGCAAAGTCGAAGTGGCATCCAGTGCAGTTTTGTAAGAAATACTCCGTCCATTGAGCCGAGTCATAGTTGCCTCCGGAGGAAGAGCCGACATTGTTCCACAGAACATTTGGCATACCGATCTTGACTTTCCCGGAGAACGGCTCCATGTATGTCTGATATCCCGCAGCTGCATTAGCAGGCAGAATATCAGAAGAGCCCGAATAGGTCAGGTCTGGCTCGTTGAAGCCGAGAATGTTCATGGTGCCTTCCGTATCGACTGCGGCAGTCCAGTCGGGATCAGAACCGCCGGGGAGGCCCCAAAGCATGGGAACACTGTGTCACGCTGTCAGCATCTGCCTTATCCTGGAGATAGCTGCTGGCAACTATACAATTCAAAGTCCGAATCTAGGCCCCAGGATGGATAACCCCAGTCATAACCCCAAGAAATCTTAGGGTACCCCGCGAAGAGATTTGCGTAAGAGGCATTGTTGTCTGGGTTGTTGTTATTGTATGCTAGTCCACGCTTCGCGACAGTGGTGGCAGCAGACCGCTTTGTAGTATCGGAATGGCTTGAGTGGCCTTTAAAGTTCACCCATTTGGAATAGTTATGAAGCACTTTATTGACGATGGCCTCCACCGCAGGGATCTCAAACTGCTCACCAACCGTGAGTAGCGGCAGAATAATGAGCACAATTGCACGCGTGAGAATCATTGCTGAAGGCAGTCAAGAATTGATAATCAAATTGTCCCGGTAATGGAAGGAATCAGATCAAGCAAGAAGGAGGCAAGCAGACTTATACACAAAGGCCATCACCTGCTTCCTTCATGCCTTATCTTGTTAGTCCGTTCTCAACTTGGTATTAGAGTTTCCTGCTTATTTGCTGCTTTGAATAATTTTGCAGGCCCGACGCAGGATAGCTAGAAGCAAAGAACCCGCGGAGTGTCGGGCAAGCCTCATTTGACCGTCTCTGGCTGGTTGAATGTCATGAAAACCCGGAAATCCGCAAAGCATCCTATTTGGGTAAATGACACCTAGAGCCCGGTCAATGCGCGGATTTGCAGACTGTTTAGAATAGGTGTGAAGCTTTCGCTTCAATTTGATATCAGGAGCATTCGGTAAAACGAATCAATGTAACACAGTTTAGTGTGATGTTTGAACATCATTGGCGAGGGCGAGAAGAGGGGAAAGCAAAATAAACATTGATATGCTAGGAAGTGGAGCGGCCGTGATCTAGTCATGCAGGGGCATGCAGTTATATTGCTCTAGAAGACCGGCAATTACCCGCATGCGACGTCAGGAAACGCGGGGAAAGCCTACCACGAGACTTCTTTTTCTCCACTCCAGATCCTTGTACCTGTCATTTCCCTAGTTTTTGAGTTTGGGAGGGTGCCATCTGCCCAACCATTCCGCATAAGCTGCGCCTGAAAAATTACTGAAGAAACGCTCAGACACTCTGTGGATCATTTCCAGGCCGAGTTGGGGATATCTTGAAATGGCCCTGAACTGAATCTGTACCCTGCAGGGTAAAATTGTCTATCAAGCGCAGAATTTGCCCTTGTTCGCCCAAAATTATTGCAAAAAACTTCGTTACTCTAAGCTTCCGAAATTCCGCACCAGTATACTTTCCACATCGCATGCTGTGATAAAATTGGCTTAGATTGCTTACATGCCGGTTGCCTGCTGCTGCCGGCCGGTAAGTTTGGATGGCTTCCTCATAGACCCTGGCGCTAGAGGGCCAGAGGGACTCGTCTCCGATGAAATGAGACGATGGCTGCCAGATTGGCTCGGGTTTTTGGGAATTGGTCACAGTCATGGCAAGGTATCATTTTGTGGCTGCCCGATATCTCCTCCGAATTTCTTAGAATGACCGCGATTGGCTCTTAGTCATAAATTCAATTAATTATCGCGAATACCACATATAAGAGCCATGATGTTTCCCTACTATAAGTGATATGGAATCTAAGCAATCTTCCGGGCACCAGCACTTCTCATTCTTCCATTATGTTACCCCACAAAGTTGCCCTGTTTGCCCTCTTCGGTGTGGCATTGGCAGTTCCTATGGAAAAGAGAAGCTCTAGCTGGTCTTTCTTGGGCTGCTATACGGATAACGTCTCGGAAAGAACCCTCGTGGAGGGTATTCCTGCCCCTGGAGGGGCGACCAATATGACCGTCCAGAATTGCCAGACCGGCTGTCAAGCTTTGGGTTTTACTCTAGCTGGGTTAGAGTACGCCGATGAATGCTGTAAGTCCCATTGTCCAGTCAGATCCACAGAACCTAATTGGGCCATAAGACTGTGGCAATGCCCTGCAGAATGGCGGCGGTCCGGCCCCCGATGGAAGTACCGGCTGCGATATGGCGTGTGCTGGGAATTCTGCCGAAATTTGTGGAGGGCCAAATCGCCTGGATCTGTACCAATATGGCAATGCTGTAGCCACCACTACATCTATCACCACGGCCGTGTCATCCACTCAGGCCACCACGAACGCCACATCTACAGGGTCGTCCAATTACTGGTACGAGAATATTGAACACCAGGGGATTTCTGCCTTTGGGCCCTCTGGATATACGGTCTATCGAAATGTCAAGGACTATGGTGCCACGGGTAAAACCCACCATCTCGACTGGATTCGGATCAAAGCTAAATTCTTTTCGCTAGGAAACGGGGTGACTGACGATACCGCGGCCATCAACGCTGCTATCAGCGATGGCGGTCGTTGCGGTGAGGGCTGTTCATCCAGCACCACCACTCCGGCAGTTGTATATTTCCCCGCGGGAACCTATTTGATCTGCTCCTCCATTATAGACCAGTATAACACCATTTTGCTGGGGAATCCGAACAGCCTACCGACGATAAAAGCTAGCTCTAGCTTTTCTGGCTTTGGCCTGATCGATGGAGACAAATACTATACTGCATCACTCAATTGGGGCTCAACAAATGTCTTTTACCGCCAAGTGCGTAATTTCATCCTAGACATGACGAGCATCCCAGCTACCTCCTCGGCTACTGGAATCCACTGGCCCACGGCCCAGGCAACGAGTCTGCAAAATCTCATATTCCAGATGAGCTCGGCATCAGGCACGCAGCACGTCGGTGTTTTTTGTGAATCAGGTGCGGTGGCCATATATGCTTTTGGGACTATATCACTAATACATCTGACAGGTTCCGCTGGTTTCCTCACCGATTTAACTTTCAATGGCGGCTTATATGGCATCCAGGTTGGCAATCAGCAATTCACTATGCGCAATTTGGTTTTCAACAACTGCGTCACCGCTATTAATCAGCTGTGGGACTGGGGCTGGGTGTATCAAGGAATCACCATAAACAACTGCCAGACTGGTATTGACATGTCCGCGGGCGGTTCCTCCGACCAGGCAGTGGGCTCAGTCATTCTTGTGGACAGCACCATCACCAATACTCCAGTGGGATTGCTGACAGCATTTACTGAGACCGTGGCCAATAATGTGGCCAACGGCAGTCTCATTATTGACAACAGTATCTTCAATAATGTCCCAAATATTGTCAAGTCTACCTCCGCAGGAACTGTTCTGGCAGGCAGCAGCGGCAGTGTGACGGTAGCTGGTTGGGGTGAGGGCAACAGCTACACCACTTCAGGCCACACACGTTTCCAGGGCTCCTTTACTCCAATCACTCGATCTTCAGCACTCCTTAGTGGCTCCCAATACTACGTTCGATCCAAACCCCAGTATGGTTCCCTTGCGGCCTCATCTTTCCAGAGCGTGCGCAGTGCGGGTGCAACTGGCAACGGGGTCACAGATGATACGAGCGCGTTACAAAGCGTGATCAACAGTGCCACGGCGGCTGGGCAAGTGGTGTTCTTTGATGCTGGTACATACAAAGTCACCAGCACGTTGCTAATTCCCCCCGGGGCAAAATTGGTCGGCGAGGCATATTCAGTAATCATGTCCAGCGGCAGCTACTTTAACAACATCAACTCCCCCCAGCCGGTGGTTCGCGTGGGTACCGCTGGACAAGCTGGCCAGGTTGAATGGTCCGACATGATTGTAAGCACACAGGGTGCTCAGCCTGGGGCCGTTCTGATCGAATGGAACTTGGCTGCCTCCGGGACTCCCTCGGGGATCTGGGATGTCCACGCCCGCATCGGAGGATTCACAGGCTCCGATTTGCAGGTGGCTCAGTGTGAAAAGACTCCCTCCAGTACTTCTATTAACTCAGCATGTATCGCCGCCTACATGACTCTGCATGTGACAGCATCAGCCTCAAACCTCTACCTGGAGAATGTGTGGCTGTGGACCGCAGATCACGACATCGATGACGCCTCAAATACCCAAATTACCGTTTACAATGGGCGCGGTCTCTACATTGAAAGTACCGCCGGAACATTCTGGCTGTACGGTTTACCTTCACTTGTTTGTTTATTGACGTAATGAGCTAATAATGTATAGAGTCGGAACTTCGGTCGAACACCACACCTTGTATCAGTACCAGCTGGCCAATACTCGGGACGTTTACATGGGTTTCATCCAGACGGAGACACCGTATGTTTTTATTGCTTTTGATCTTTTCAGTCCCAAAGCAACAGCAATTAACACTTCGGATGCAGCTATTATCAACCCAACCCTCCAGCGCCCGCACCGTTCACTGTGGTATCTTCATTGAATGACCCTAGCTTTTCTACTTCTTGCTCTGGCCAGTCAGCAAACTGCAATGACGCATGGGGTCTCCGAATTGTGAGCTCCGACAACATCTTTGTGTACGGAGCAGGACTATATTCCTTCTTTAACAACTACGACGGCAGTAGGCTAAACCCTTCCCTTCAGACTTGGTACATAAATGCTAACCCTAGACTAGCTTGCAATGCCCAGAATGGCCCCGAGAATTGCCAACCAAATATTTTCGACTTGGAAGGTAGTGTTGAATCAATCGAGGTCTACTGTTTAAGCACCGTCGGTGTGCAAAACATGATCAGCCAAAACGGCCAATCTCTGGCGCTTTCTAGTAATAACGTTGATGTTTTTACTGACACCATTTCCCTGTTCCAAATTGCGGCTTAGGATTAGTTCAATGTCGGAGTTTTCCTGAATCACCAATTCATCAAAGTCTTCTTATACACCACGAGAACTGAGTTTGCTTAAAAAAAGAAAAATCAAAAAAAGAAGAAATCTTGCTCCTCGCGCAGGTTGAATCCCCCTATGACGATGCAAGGAGGAACACTCTATTTTGATCAGCTTAATTTGGGAACTCTCCCTATTTCACTATTGAAACCCCCAAGTTTAAGTAACTAGCCAGTCAGATGGGCACAGTATCAGGGTTGAGTAGACCGTAGCCGTGTGATGAATTGAGGCACATGCTCATTTTTTCGCATTGAAAAGAAGTCCGCGACTCTCCACCAAAAGAGCCAAATAAAGGTGAAGGCCCACTGATGATGTCTAATTACCGAACCGCACAAATGTAGTGACCCTTCAGATACGTCTTTCAGCAGCGTAGCCGACCCCAGGTCTTATTACCAAGCGGTCTGAAAGTAAAGTCTGGTAGAAAGCATTCTGTTCTTTCCACAGAAAAATGAGTGGATGCACACTTACTCAGGCCAATCGGAGCTGCAATTCTCACAAGCTACGTAAAATGCTTGAGAACGACGTATATGCTTGAAGAAATACTTATTGGTTCTAGGAGAGTAATGACAGTTCTGTCGGTGTCCCTGGTGTCGCTAACGTGAAGTCCGGTTGCGCGGGCGACCCGGTTGAGCGAGCGACCCCACCAAAAATCCACTTCCATATTAATACGTCTTCTTCAACCATAACAAGAATGCCCCCTGAGCGCTCCGATAAGAAAAAAAAGCTAATAGAGCAGGAGGGTCGTCTTTTATTAGCTATAAAAGCTATAAAAGATGGTAAATATCCCTCTGCTGCGGCTGCTGCACGATCCTTTGATATCCCTGTCTCAACTTTGAAGGCACGGATTAATGGGCGTGAATCTGCTACTGAAAAGCGACACAATCGCTTTATTTTCACCGAAATTGAGGAAGGATCGATTGAAAAATGGCTACTGGATATGGATTCTAGAGGGGCAGCTCTTACTTTGCCTATGTTGCGAGATATGGCTAATCTGCTACTTTATGCCCGAAAAACTACGCCCTCTACTGTGGGTAATCATTGGCCTGCTGAATTTATCAAACGACGCCCAAATCTCTCTACTCGATTCTCTCGCAAATACGACTATCAGAGAGCCCTTTCAGAAGACCCTAGAATCATTAAACCATGGTTTGATTTGGTGCAAAAAACAATTGAAAAGTGGGGTATTGTCTCGGACGATATCTTTAACTTTGATGAGAGTGGTTTTGCTATGGGTATCGGCGCAACACAAAAGATTATCACTTCTGCAGAATACCACGGGAAAAGAGCTCTTTTACAAGCCGGAAATCGCGAGTGGGTAACCATAATCGAGTGTATTCGAGCTTCTGGAAGTATTATGCCTCCACTCTTCATTTTCAAGGGAAAAAAGTTTCCAGAGCATCTACGCCCTTATCTCCTTTTAAACCAAAAAGGAACTCATCTGACTATGAGTGAAAATGGCTGGACTACTAATACAATTGGTTTATGGTGGTTAAAACATCATTTTATCCCAAATATTGGGACAAGAGTAGGAAAATATTGCCTATTAGTCCTCGATGGTCATGGGAGTCATTTGACCCCCGAATTTGACCAAGTTTGTGAAGAAAACCAGATTATTGCAATCCGTATGCCTCCGCATGCTTCTCATCTTTTACAAACTTTGGATGTGGGTTGTTTTTCAGTTTTGAAGAAGCTTTATGGAGGAGCTGTTTCAACTTTGATGCGGAATGGAGTAAACTCTATTGATAAGGAAGATTTCCTTGAACTTATCGCAGATGCGAGAATAGGTGCTTTTAAGACTTCTACTATACAGAATAGCTTTTTAGCTACTGGATTAGCACCATTTGATGCTAATAAGGTCTTGGAAAAGCTAAATGTGCACCTGGATTCCCTTCCTCCGATAGAGATCCTCTCTCAGCGACCACCTTCTTCTGGCAGTGATAGTGATCCAAATACTCTCTGGACTCTCTCAAAATTCACAAAATCACAATCTCGGATCAAAAAAGGTCTAGAATCCTCATCTTCAATCCTTTCTTCACCAACAAAAAGGGAGATAAAGAAGTCGTACGATATGACTATCAAAGTGGTCCACCACCATATTTTTCTCCAGAATCGCTGTGCCCAATTAGAGGCTACCAATAAGAAACAGACCAAAAAGAGAGCGACCATACCTAAGTTTATTACCCAGAGAGGCATCTTCGGGGGTCTAGAGGGTGGTGAAGATGATGTGGTCTATAAGGATGAAGATGAAAGCAAAGATATATATTTGCCAGAGGTATCTACAAATACGGTTGTTGAGCCTACTTTACCTTCTATGCCTTCGGTTCGGCGGCAGGTGACATGTTCTGGGTGTGGGAAAAAAGGGCATACATATACTTATTGCCCTACTCGCTTTAAATAATAAAATCTATATTGTTTTTGTGGTTTTATTCGTCATTAGAAATTGGTGATTTTTGAAAAGTTGGTGGGGTCGCCCGACCGGTAGTGACGCCCGCCCGACCGTGAATCACGTTAGTCAGGATCCGCACATAAGAACTGTGGTTCGAGGGCGGGTAATAATTCAGACAATTACACGATCGAGTACGGACCCTATTGGTCGATAAAATACGTCCGTTTACGTGAGCCGACACCTGGGTCATATCATGTGACCTGAGCAGCGCTGGCATCCCGTTTAGGACTAGCTTAGTTTTGGGTCTGGGGGCATATCCTCTAGATCTTCTGCTCCTTCTCTCTTTTCTCCCCCCATACCCAATATCACATACGTTTTGTGTGAAGCTGTCAGCCTACATATTGTAGTCATCTTCCATCTTCCCCGCTTGGGGCCTATTGGCGCCAAGAAGTTCTTATCAGAAGAATGTCATAAACACGGTGTATTATTATGCCACATATTTGATAAGTGTTGCCCGACCCTACTGTGAAGGGTTTAAAGTGGAAAAAGAGCGCGTCGTGCATGGGAAAATTTAAAAGAAGAGCGTATTGTCCAAAGGAATTTAGAGAATGGCAGTATAAGAGTTGAACTATCTGGGATATCTACAGTTCAGTTGCAAGAACCTGTGTCCCGAGAAGCTCTTCTTAACAATCTATGTAGTACTTGGTGAAGCGTCTTTCACCTAAATCCCTCTTTGCAAGTTGATGACTCTCTAGGCATTTGATTCAAGAAGCAGAGGGAGTTCAGAATGACTCATCCCCATACTGGCGGCACGAATAATTTCCACGTGGCTCGGGTATCATTTCACTTTGTCCTTCCGAGGGGACCTGAATGACATGCTTGGGTGGCCCCATTCCGGAATTAAATTGCAGATGCACAAGAACGTCTTCTGTGGTGATCGCTAGTCGACAAATGAGATCGGGAACTTCTTGCTGTCCAAAAGGCAGGTACTCGATTGTAACTAAGATAATTTGAACGTCTCCATGGGGGTTGAAACATAGTCTCATGTCTAGCAGGTCCCATGTAGCAATCAAGGAGCAGAGACCGGGGCGCATACTGTATTTAAAGTTCAGCGGAATCTCGGAGAAGGATAGAGACTCCCTTTATTCCTGCTTTAGTCTCAGTACGCCCAGGATGGGTTTGCGCTTTCTCTCAATCCGGTCAGTGACTACCTGTCAATATGGGGAACTTTGATTCTATTCGCCACGCCATTTGACGAAGTCTCTAAGACCCTCTTTTTTTCTCTTCCCCAGATTGGGAACACATTTCAGTTTGCGGGGCAAATCATCTCGGCTTGCTCGAGAGCTGACACTAGTCTAGAACTGGAGATTCATCCGACGGTCAGATCTTGTCGGCCCATTACAAGTGGCCCGTGCTAACACCCCCCACAACAATAGGTTCAAAGGTCTTCAGGGTTTTCTCGCAAGCGATATAGACTAATTTTCATTTTTATAGTCTGTAGCACAAAATTGGAAGACTAAACCCAAGAGTTGAGTCAAGCCATTCAAGCCTCAGTGGCATCTTCGTTGCGGAATCACGGATATATGCGATGGGAAAGTGATATAAAGGGTCAGAATCACGGCAATCCCAGCTTTCCTCGACATGTCAAAAATCCTCCTATCTTTCATATTTAACAGGTAGACCCGTGATCAACATGGCCCATCACGATGAGAAGCCAACGACTGAAGTTCGCGATCATCCCGTTGATATCCCAAGTGAATGGAACCTGCAACGCGTCTTACCAAATACCGACAGGCCGTGGTATAAGCAGCGCCATCTTTTGCTCCTCAATCTTGGGATGATCATTCCCTATCTCTCATCTACCACCAATGGTTATGATGGATCTATGCTCAACGGTCTGCAGTCGATGTCACAGTGGCAAACGTTCTTTGGCAATCCAACTGGCACCCGCTTGGGCTCACTTTCCAATGGTGTGATATTTGGTCAGATCATCGCATTTCCAATTGCTCCTTGGCTCTGTGATCACACCGGCCGAAGGTTTCCTATCTTCATCGGATCGGCATTCCTAGTCATAGGAGCCATTCTTCAATGTGCCGCCCAGAACTATGCTATGTTCTTGGTCTCCCGAATGGTGATTGGGTTCGGTGGTTTGATCGCTGTTGAAGCATCGCCAATGCTAGTCAGTGAACTAGCGTATCCGACTCATCGACCTGTGTTAGTCGGCTATTATAACAACCTGTGGTACCTTGGGTCATTGCTCGCTGCATGGATCACATATGGAACCTATTTTATGGGCCCTAATATCTCATGGGCCTGGCGCATTCCCTCTCTTCTTCAGGGATTCTTTCCTTTGTTGCAAGTTATCTTTGTCTATCTTCTTCCTGAGTCGCCGCGTTACCTCGTGCAGAAAGATCGTTATGACGAAGCCCGTAAGGTGCTGACGAAGTACCACGCCGGTGGAGACGAGAACTCGCCACTAGTGGACTTTGAGATGCAAGAGATCATTTTGACCATCCAAGCCTCGAAAGAAACTAAGTCTGGATATCGAAAGTTTCTAAGCACACGGGGTAACCTGCATCGGCTTTTGATCATTATTGCAGTGCCTTGCATGATGCAGCTCTCGGGAAATGGTCTGATTGCATATTACCTACATCTTATCCTCAACTCGATTGGATTCACCTCAGATCCCCAACAGCTCCGAATCAACGGGGGCTTGGCAGTGTTCAACTTCGGAGTCTCGATCATCCTGTCCTCATTCATGGAAGCTGCCGGTCGGCGACGGCTATTCCTGATTTCGACGATGGGGATGTTGGCTTGCTACGTGATATGGACAGCTCTTTCCGCAATCAACCAACAGAGAGGCTTTAATGACACCGGTCTGGGCACTGGCGTCATCGTAATGATATTTATGTATCAGCTCTTCTACAACGCCGGTCTCAACGGGCCGCCCTGGGTCTATGTTACCGAAGTACTTCCTACGCATCTTCGTGCTAAAGGAACTAATATCATGCAAATCGCTTCGACATGTGTCATTCTATTCAATGGTTATGCGAACCCCATTGCAATGGATGCAATCAGCTGGAAGTATTACATTGTTTACTGCTGTGTGATTGCTGCTGAGTTCGTGCTTGTCTATTTCTGCTTCCCTGAGACTAAGGGTCATAGTTTGGAAGAGGTTGCCTTGATTTTTGATGGAGAGAAGGCTTTCGGTGAAGTCTCTGAGAAAGACTCTGGTGAGAAACCGAACTTGGGTGAAGCTTGAGTGACTCATGGGATTGCAACCTTGTCGAAGAAGCTATTTGAATGCCTACCTGTATCTTTTCAGCTGAATGGAAACTTGAATACGAAGGGCATTATGTTTGTTGCAGAATACCATTGATGAAAACGTAGGTCTGCGAGGCGGATCGCTGCTGATCTCGTCGTTACGGTCGCATGGAATATTACCGGTAGTGGTGGCTCTGATAAAGCTGTTCATAGCCTAACGTTATTCTAGTAGTTCCCTTGAATATAGTAGATCTATTTATACTTCTTTAGGTCCAGTAGGCCTAACTAGACCTCATTAAAAACGTTTTGAGGGCCGGAACCTCCAGCCCTCAGCTCAACCCGTAGCGGGTTGAGGGTTGGAGTTACCTACCCTCACCCGACCCTTAACCCGCAGAGGGCCGCCCGCATGCGGCCCTTATCAACCTGTATTTGCATAAAAAAAGTTGATCTTTCCCAGTTTGGACACATAATCTTGCTAAGTTATCCTGATAAAATACTGTTCTTTTATTTTTTTCTGGTTTCTATCTCTATGTCTACTTTATTCTTCTGTTGATATTAACGAACCCTAGGAGATTAAGTTGTATTATAGTAAATTACTATAGGTAGTAAGGAAGTTACACTTTTAGTCTACTATTATAAAGATGGGGTTGATAATTTTGAATATTGCGAACATTTGAAGCCTGTTACTTGAAGTTGAAGAAGTATATACCCGTGTATCATCTGCTTAATCCTAGTAATACCCTCTTTAAGTTTTAAATATAATATTAGAATTACTGTTTCCAATACTGATAATAGTTCTATATTTTACTAATTAATAGTATTAGATTGTATAGGGCACATTAATAAAGTATTGGCACTAGTATAAAGGGAGTGGTTTTATTGGGGTTGCCTCACAATGCCTGTAGCCTCACCATGTCTGTAGCCTCACGTGATATCTACACCGACATTTCCGAGGGCCTCTTGTCCTCTCCTACAACTGCCTCACGAGAGTCAGTTGATGGCCTCTGCGGGTAGCTCGTCATCTCTCAGGCAGTCAAGTGTCAATTTTGTGTTTCACGTCCTTCCCTACGGCAACAGCATCGATAAGCCTTGACTATATCTCTCTCCACCATGACATTCAGCCAGTCCAGCAGTGTCACTCCTGCCCCGCTCGACTCCGCTTGGCCACCGGCCCACATTTGGGAGACTATGGGTGCGGCAGACCGTGCCAGTTGGTTAGGGCAGATACAGAAAGACAGGGCTAGACGCCTTGAATTGGATGTAGCAGAGACCGATCTACGCCGTAGAAGACCTCATGTGGACCTGCAAGATGACGATAATCTCGAAGAAAACCGTGAGCCTCCCCCTGAGGTCAAATCACTCATCGACATATTTCCGGGTGTCTCCGCCGCCCTTCTTATCCGCGTCTTCGAGAGGAAGTTGAAGGCGACTGAACTTATACGCTTCAAAGAGAAGTCAGTCACCGAGCTAGATCAGGAGGATAGAGTCTTCAAAATGACCGAATCGGGAGGCACAGTGGGCTTCAAGAAGGCAGCAGCGTCGCTTAAGGACTGGGGCCCTAACCCTCAGATATGGACGACTTGCTTTCTTGCCTATCTGGCCGTTGTAGGGTACCTCTTCGGCGAGAAACATCCTAAGGCAATTCCCAACCTCCTCATGTTTATGAGGCAGATCCTGGACTTCGCTCAGACTTATCAGTGGTCGGAAGCAGTTCTCCCACTTGCCCTTAATTTCCACCAATACATACTGGATAAAGGAGAGCTATCGACGGACAACTACCTGGTCACAGGCCCATTTCGCGAGAAATACCTCCGCCACAATCTCACCCTACCTGCGAAGTCACCAACAAATCCTCCAGCCCGGCCTCGTCAAGCCAGGAATACCAGGTCTTCGAATAATGAGACAGAGGTTTGCGATAAGTTCAATACGATAGGGTGCTCCTGGGAAGGCTGCAAGAGACGTCATGAGTGCACGGCATGCGGCCTAAGCGAGCATGGTGCCTCCTCCTGCCGCAAGAAGAAGTAGCAAGCGATAGCCCTTGAGAACTGCACTAGTGACACCGGCAACGTTGTTCTTAACCCCTTGTCCCTAAGCCTCACACCGCAGGGGCAACCACCTAGACCAAACACTGCTATTCAATATCCCGTGTTCAACCCAGAGCTCCCAAGATTACAATCCTCTCCGTCACCACTCAATGCGAAAGGCTGGAGCAATCTTCTGCGCTACTATCCAGGCGATCTGGGCTCCACTATCGCTGGGATTCTGACCTACGGTGCCCAGGTTGGCTATAGGGGCAAGAAGCAGTTTCGCTATTCCTCTAACCATCACATACACGAACCCGGCATAATCACGGCCCAACTAGCAGAAGACCTCAACCTCGGCCGTGTTAGACTAGCCTCTAGGCCCTCCTTTGTTTCACCGCTTGGGTTGGTTCCTAAGCACGATGGGGGATGGCGCCGCATCCATGACCTATCTTGGCCGCCTGGACAGGGCCTTAACCAGGGCATACCGGACTCCTGGTCAGCGATCGAATACATGACAATTGATCATATCTACGAGCAGGTCATACAAGCTGGCCGGGGTTGCACAATCATCAAGAGGGATATCAAGGACGCCTTCCGAATAGTCCCCGTTGCCGAGGATAACCAACATCTCCTTGCCTTCCAGTGGAATGACTCGACTTACGTCGAATGCTGTCTCCCCTTTGGCCTCGCAACGGCCCCATTTCTGTTCAATCTCTTCGCCGAGGCATTCCATTGGATACTCCAATGCCACCTACCTGCATTCCATATCAATCATTACCTAGACGACTTCATCGTCATTGCCCGGTCTCCCTCGGTGACCGAGCCTACGGGTCCCTTCGACGAGGTTTACAACAGGGTCACCGACTACCTACGTATCCCCCGCAATACCAAAAAGGACCAGCAAGGGACCTGCGTTACAGTCCTAGGTATCCAGATCGACTCTATTGCAATGGAAGCTCGTCTGCCACCAGAAAAGTTGTGCCGCGCCACATTGGACGCCGCAACTTGTCTGACGGCAGTGAGTCTCTCACTCAAGCAAACAGAGCGCCTCGCAGGCTTATTAGCCTTCTGTTCAAGAGTTGTCCGGCTAGGGAGAACAAGGCTACAGTCTCTATACTCCTTCCAAGCCGCTTTCCCACATGGGAGTAGCGCGCGCCGCCGTATCCCCTACGAGGTACGTGACGATTTGGAATGGTGGAGGGACTCCTTGTCTCTCTTCAACGGCGTACTCCTGATTGACCCTTGCCGCCGCACTATCACGCATCTCTACACAGATGCTTCTAGTATAGGCCAGGGGCTCTTCTTCTTCTCATCCAAGTCTACATTAGACTGCTGGCTGGCCCATTGTCACCAGCTTCATCAAAGCAATGCTGCCACATTGGCCCTTGCTCAAGACGCACACGCGCACATCAATACTCAAGAAGTAGACGCCATCCTCCAAGGCTTCCTACTCTTCAGCCACCATTGGCTCCATCATACTCTCGTTATCCACACGGATAGCTCCACAGCGCACATGGGACTCAAGAAAGGCTTCCTTCATGGTCCGCCTAACGCACCTCTAAAGAGCCTACTTATCCTAGCGGCGGCGAGAGACATCCACATCGTGCCACACTGGCTCCCCTCCCGGGAAAATACATTAGCAGATGCGCTCTCACGTAATAATCTTGAAGACATTGCTAACATTTGTCCCCACTGGCAGGACCTCTCGGTATTGAACCGCCCGCGTGGTTCTCTTCACGAGCTCCTCAGCTCAATGCAGGCCACCTGAAACTGCTCTGGAACGGACTCAGCGCTAACACACGTTCCGTTTACCTCTCCGTTCAGCGTAATTACGAAAAGCACTGCGCGCTACAGAATCTATCCGCGTGGCCAGTTTCAAGGCATTCATTGACCTCATGGCTAAGCGCACGACTTCTTGGTAACGCTAGTCAAAAGGCCGTCAAGCCTGATACCGCACTCGCCGACCTAGCCGCTCTCCGAGCCTACCATATCGACAACTTCCTTGACGATAAACTCTTTGATAATAAGCATTTCCGACGTCTTATAGACGGCGCGAGAAGACTCAATCCCATGACAAAAGTACGGCTCAGAAAACCGATTTCGCGTGACACTATCACGAAACTATCCGCAGGCCTCGCCACACTCCCGTTACGTCCCTTAGAGATGACTGCGAACCTCCTAGACGACCTGAACTTCGCAACCGCGTGTCGGGTAGCATTTGCTGGGTTTCTCCGCCTCGGAGAATTTACCTATAAGACTGAAGACCTCCGCACACGTTCTATCTTCTCCGCCACAAAGTTAACGCGCTCAGACGTCAGACTCTCGCCCTCGTTAGACCACGCGCAACTCACACTCAAGCGCAGTAAGACGGACCGCCGTCACGAAGGGGTGCAAATTATTCTTGCAAAGACGGGAGACGGCGCATGCCCAGTTGACGCCCTTCGGAAACTGCTACTTCTCGACCCCAAAGGGCCCGACGCCCCATTGTTCTCCTTCGGCAGAAGACCATTTAGCCGCAACAACTTCCTCTCGACCTTATCTACTAAGCTAAGAGCACTTGGGATACCGACACACGGATATTCAGGTCACAGCTTTCGGAAGGGTGCGGCTCAGCATGCGCACGATAGTGGGATACTCGACGACCAGATTCAGATGCTAGGGAGATGGACCTCGGAGGCATTCAGGGTCTATTTTACGACGAATGCGTCAGTCCTTTACAAGCTCAACCACCAGTTCCAGACAGGCTCCCCGGCCCCGCTGTCTCTGCTGCTTCCACCACCGTCCCCTCCACCATCCTAGTTTGGCCCGGGTCATTTGGGCCTATCTGACGCCACGGTCTACGACCGCAGCGACAGGTAACCCGTTGCGGCCAAACTAAACTCTTCTTGCTCCTCTTGACTGCGTGAGGTCACCAATAAATGCTCTTTTAATCGCCCGCTTGCCCTTCACCCTGGTTAAAGTAAACTTGCACTCCAATTCTACCGCTTTGAGGCAGTCTATTCTGTAACATCAGCGATCACCGGCGGGGAAAGCTTACTCTTGGTCTAGCACCGTGATTGGGCGGGGCAAATGGGACGGAATGACATGGCGACGCAGTAATCCGGAAGCTTCATGACTCGCCGATATTGAAAATACGGACCTGTATGGATAACCAAAATTCTCTTTCCTTCCGAAGTAGGTATTATTGGGTTCCTAAATAAAATAGTACAAAAGAGTACTATACTGATACCCCTCTCCCTTTGGGTAATTCTACCCCGCCGCAAACAGGGAAACATGTGTCGCTGATGTCCGTTTCAGTCCGTTTGCCTCTTGTTTCCTGATGCCAACATTCAATAATTTCGCATCAATTTGAATGTCTTATAGACGAACTCGACGCACGTTTAGAAAAGATCCGTGAGCCTTGACCGATGGACGTACTCGTCGAAGAATACACGATAGGGTGGATCTCTGCACTCACCATCGAGGCCATTGCGGCGAAATTGATGTTGGATGAGATAAACGAACATCCTATTTAACGTATACCTGGCGACAAGAACTCTTACTTTTGTGAGGAGATGGCTCACGGACACTTTCAAATCTATCGATTGGATCTTACAAAGAACACAGCTCAAAGTGTCACCGCGATTGTACGCAGACTTTTATGAAACTGTGAAGGGATTTAACATTCTAGAACTCAAGTCTTCCTAGACCTGACCTAACCTAAAACCTAAGTGGATTAGGTCTAAGGTTTAGATAATTCGTTCGCTGTGCAAGGCGGCTACCTTAATGTGACCGTAAACCTAGCTGATATTTGTTAATGTGCAGCGCAACGAGGTTTATCACTACGTAGCCTTTGATGGTTATGCACCGAGAGGGATCAATGCCGGCTGATAGCGATTTTCAAACCATATTGTCAACCGCCGTCTTATATCTTTGGTAAATCGAACATGCGACCATCGATGAGGGGTAGTAGAGATTTTATCCTGTTTTTCCTCCCTTATCTTCTATTTCCGCAACCGGCTAAGCCGAGAAACCTCAATTTCACAGGCAGGTTCTAGGACAGCTTCAAACAGGATTAAATTTGTTATAGATATCGAAGAGCAATTCTCGACTTGCATCAACATTAGCTTGGTTTAGTCTTTCTAATGGCGAATCCTATACCAGAAAGACTTATCCTGATTTTTGGGTTGCCACCAGCTTGATATTACGTATCTCATGCGTCAGGAAGGCAATAAACCTACAAACTTACCGCTAAAGAACTTCGAATACGTAATATCTGTTGCCAATACCAGTTTTAGATTCCCATGAAGCGGTATATAAACTGAGTTCTTCCCTGATCACCAATATTTTAATCAATCTTCTTCTATTATTTGAAATACAACACTTATCAAAATGTCGAACCCCGCCGAAAGATTTGCAGATGATCAGTATGAGGAAACCAACGATGCCTCGCCAGTGAACGATTTCAACGACGACTCCTATGCGAAGGAGCCCAATTCAAGTTTGAGAAATCAAGTACCTGTACAAGGAGACAATGAGGGGTTTGAAGACCCCATTCAACCTCCCTACTCTAACTCAGATCAACAGCTCGGTATGTCTAGCCATCAATTTTGACCACCACGCAAGTAATTATGCCGCTAATGAAAATAGAGGCGGATGAGAACGAGGCAATCGACAAGTCCAACATTATCAAAGGAGACCGCCTCCGCCATGCCAAACCTCAAACTTCGAACAAATATAACGAAGGACCAGACGAGGATGATTTGCCTGCTGAAGCTATCTGATCTGCAATTTTTCCTTTTTTATTAGTCTCCATAAGTCACTCGTTTAAGATGAAATAGGAACCCAAAAAATAAATTTCAATATATTCATGCTTTGCCTATCATTCCCGACTATAAGAGACTTGAGACCTTTTTGTTCACCAAGAGTTGGGAGTTAGTATGCACACCGGCTTCTCAATTGCTTCATGGGATGATCCTAGAAAGACCAGATCCCAGTATTCATAGCAATCAACGTCGACAGATTTACAAACCGATCTGAATAAATGAAACTCAAATTAGCAACTGCAAATTAATTTCCGGTGTGACCGAGAAATAATTGGGTAGTAATGTCAATGTTAGACACATCCTTGCGTTCAGGTTAGTGTTTCAAACATGGTCAGCTATTCTTAAAATGATGACCGATAGGGAAAATGTAGTTGACCAGATCGGGATTGATCAATCAATTTGCTTTCTAGCTCACGTAATCCAGACGTAGTAGCGGGGACGAAGCCATGGTTAATGAAACCTACTGAGCTCACATTGTGGGGTCACTGATCACTTTAACCTACGGCTGGACGGGCCGAGGTTTCGGCCAATTAACTATCGGACTACAACTGAAGTAAACCTGTTCAGTCTAGAGAATTCACGCTCATGATGCCTTACTCCTTTCACGATTTCCGTCTTTCTCCTGACTTTCTTTGGTCGGTCGGTCGGTCAGGCTTCATCATAGACTCCAATGAAATCATAATGACATGACGGTCAATAGCAATATGAGAGTTGACCTTCAACTATTAAGCTTTGAACAGGAGGTTCGCAAACCTGGCATTGATATTATCTTTACATGAGCTGGCTGAATTTCGTCAGAAATCGGTCACTGTGATTTCATTAGGGTCGGTGTAAGATTTCAAATCAACATCAAATCAAGCTCCGATATGACCTCTCATATTACCGGTCGAACATATAAATACGCGGTATCTTCGTCACCTTACTCTTCATGATCAACACAAAATCTTTTAACCTAACCTTTATTATTGATCGCCATTGAACGTACCCCATACGTGTTAACATGTCTGACAACTCCAACCCCGGTAATTTTGCCAACCGACCTCAGGAAGAGGTGAAGAATATTGCTCGGAAGGGCGGGCAGTCTAGCCATCATGGCGGATTTGCTTCGATGGATGCCGACAAGCAGGTTAGTCAAAGTTTTCACTATTTGAGACCCTATAGCTGAAATCTTTTACTTCCAAGAGGGAGATTGCGTCGGCGGGAGGTCAAGCTTCGAGCGGAAGCTTCAAGCCCGGGGACGAGAGAGCCAAGGAGGCAGGTCGAAAGGGAGGCCAGGTTACTGATCAGCCGGATGAATAGGGTGACCCTATTGTCTCGTAGTTAACAACGTCTCACAAGCTTCTTGCTTACCCGGTGCAAATAATATAAAAATATTGGTTGAAGCCCTGCGTTGCTAGGCACAGGGGTCTCAACAACATCAACTTTTGTTTTTCTGAAAACCTAAACTCATATCTCAAAGGCTTTTATTTTTCACGTTGATCTTGATTGGGCTTTTTAGTAGTGGTGCGCCGTATAGTGTGAAATATTTAGTATCACTTCTCTCTTTCATTTGAGAAAAAAGATGTTACTATAATCAAGGTCATTTATTTTCTCTTCAGCGGCGTGATTCGATCCACTAGAGCGAAGAGATTAGCTTTGGGTTACTATTGCACAGTCAGTGGCATTGGAAGATCCACTGCTAAGGCACAAGACCTTTTTATTTTTACGGGTTTTGAAAAATGCGTAGCAGTCGTGACTATGACATTAAATACTCATCATGACATGGTTGAATTATAATACAGTCATCGCCATTAAAGGTACCGGAGGTGTACAACAACTGGCCAATGCCTCAGCATTGATACGTGACTTCTCACCAAGGGTGCATAAGCAATTATCTACTGCCAGTACCACGGAGCATATAGTGTGGTCCCAACTTGATTTGAATTGTGCATTGTTGCTTGCTTATACGCTAGTCGCTGCGCGACACTCCACGAATGAGCTCCAAATTAATATATTTATACTGTGAGGGAAAACTGGCCCTGGCTGTCTGAGTCAACGGATGGGTCGAAATGCCCAGGAAAATACAATGGGTAGGAGTATAAATGAAGAAATCTATGGTAGTGCAGACTTGGAGGGCAGGGTGAAGGTGAACTTAGACTACCATAATGGAAGTATTCTCAAGCGCATGAGATTCAGAGAGTGTGTAGACTCACTAAGCTACCCTGTAGACTCCTAAATTCCCCAGCAATCCCCTGCCAGTGCTGAGGAGGCATACCCAAACAGTCTGTTTTGTACAAAAACAAGCCCATCTATGGCACAACACTATGTGGTGGGCATCTTCTCACTACACCTTCCGTTCATCGACGAGGCACTAAACCCATCCACATTAACACCGTCAACTTCGACACCCTTGTCACTAATACCATCATCTATAATGTCAACAGGCATCTCAAGATCCGTGAATAGTAGATCATTTCTACTTACGAGTCGCCTGTATTCGATCCTTTTCGCCCGATGAGAAACTCCTGTACGTATGTTCTTGCTTCCCGTGTGAATTAATATTTTGCACACACAAGTCCTTTGCAATGAAATTTACAATAGAAAGACTGACGAGATCTATTCCTAAATATTAATATCTTGCATTTCAAGAATGAGCGCTCCAGAATGAGTTTTCATGGCACCACTATAGTCTTCTTCCCTGGTCCGGGCTTACGTAACGTTTCCATGAACAGGGCGTGCAGGACTTAGCTTCTACAATTGCCAAAGCGACACTTTGATACTGGTCCCTAGCACCACGAAGAGGTTCAGTCAGCATAGTGGAAAATATCATGTACGTAATCCCCAGTGTTATGAACATCATGCCTAGTAATATCTCACACCTGTTGTTTGCTATACCTTTCTAATGCAGGTATTCTGGACAAACGAGAATCAAAGGAACACATAGAACCGACCCAAATAGAAAAACTGACTGATGAAGGATTTGAAACAAGGCCAATGCCAATCATAGTCTCACCAACGAAGCTTTTGGAATATTCGGTAGTACATTGGCCGGACCATGTGCAAAAGACTGCTTTAACTTCAGACCCAGAAGTGTCCAGTCGACTACACCAAGTATATAATGAGACTGAAAATTCGTTTTCGCTATGGTTTCCTACCTTTTAAAAAGCAGTGAGGTCATAGGGTGGTTGGGAATAATCATTTATGTAATGCGTCTACTGCTACTGGCTAATATTTTCCCGCATTGATCCCGGAATAGATATGCCCGACCTCATTATCCTTATCCTAATTATACTTATGCCACAAGTAAGCGACATGTTCCGACATAAATTCTTTATCTCTTATCGCACGAGATGGCGGAAACCTTGGGTTCTGTCGGAATGAACAGTCGGCCGAGAGCTCCCCGCAACTTTTGATCCCCGGACTCAATTAGCCCGAGGTCCCTTTGGACTCTTTTCTACCCTTCAATCTTCCTCCCTTCGATAACTATCCGCATTCCAATTCACTCTCATCATGTCTAAACTTACTGGCGCTAACGTCGCCGAGCACAACTCCAAGGACTCGTGCTGGGTCATTGTGCACGGCAAAGCCTACGACGTCACCGAGTTCCTACCAGGTAAGACGCCCGGTATCATGTGTCAACGCTTCCTAATGCAATTTAGAGCACCCCGGAGGCCAGAAGATTATCCTGAAGTATGCAGGCAAAGATGCGACCGAGGAATTTGACCCCATCCACCCTCCCGATACCCTGGACAAGTTCCTAGATCAATCCAAGCACCTTGGTGAGGTCGACATGAGCACCGTCGAGCAGGAGGAGAAGGCTTTCGATCCGGAGGAGGCTGATCGCCAAGTCCGTATCAAACAGATGCCTCCCCTGGCAGCCTGCTACAATCTCATGGACTTTGAGGCGGTCGCAAGACGGGTGATGAAGAAGACCGCATGGGCATACTACTCCAGTGGAGCGGATGATGAAATTGTAAGAACACCCCAAAACCAACGAGACTCAATTCTTACTTTCCCAGACAATGCGCGAGAACCACGCAGCCTTCCACAAAATCTGGTTCCGTCCCCGTATCCTCGTCGACGTCGAACATATTGACATGTCAACCACCATGCTCGGAGATAAATGCTCTATCCCCTTCTACGTCACCGCCACCGCTCTAGGCAAACTCGGCCACCCAGAAGGAGAAGTCGTCCTCACAAAAGCAGCCAAGCAACACAATGTCATTCAGATGATCCCCACACTAGCCTCCTGCTCCTTTGACGAGATCGTCGACGCAAAACAAGGTGACCAGGTCCAATGGCTCCAGCTTTACGTGAACAAGGACCGCGCAATCACAGAAAAGATCGTCGCACACGCCGAGAAGCGCGGGTGCAAGGGCCTCTTCATCACTGTTGATGCACCTCAACTCGGTCGCAGAGAGAAGGACATGCGATCGAAGTTTTCCGACGCAGGATCCAATGTCCAATCCGGAGATGGGAACGTCGATCGTTCGCAGGGTGCTGCACGCGCTATCTCAAGCTTTATTGACCCCGCGCTCTCATGGAAGGATATCCCCTGGTTCCGTTCTATCACCCGCATGCCTATCGTGTTGAAGGGTGTTCAATGCGTCGAGGACGTCCTCCGTGCTGTGGAAGCCGGTGTGGATGGTGTAGTCCTCTCCAACCACGGAGGTCGGCAGCTTGAAACAGCTCGCTCCGGAATAGAAGTTCTGGCAGAGGTCATGCCTGCTCTTCGTGAGCGTGGCTGGGAGAAGCGTATCGAAGTCTACGTTGATGGTGGTGTTCGTCGCGCAACTGATATTATTAAGGCACTCTGTCTCGGTGCTAAGGGTGTTGGAATTGGTCGTCCATTCCTGTTCGCTATGTCCTCGTATGGTCTTGATGGTGTTGATCGTGCGATGCAGTTGTTGAAGGATGAGATGGAGATGAACATGCGTTTGATTGGTGCTAGGACAATTGAGGAGTTGAATCCTAGCTTGTTGGATACCCGGGGTCTCATGGGTGGGCATGCGGGTGTTATTCCCTCTGACACATTGGGATTGGGCGCGTATGATCCGCTTGAGGCGCCGAGGTTCAATGAGAAAGCCAAACTGTAGATAAGCCAGGTCCAGATATTTACGGCCGCGGGCGGGTGTTGGGTTTAATTTTGTATTTTGAAAATTGTTGGTAGATATTGTTGATCATATATACCCATGTCATATACGGCATGCCATAACCAAATGAAGTAATCACATAAATTTCAGATTCAGTATTATTTATCTAGATAGAGCGTTTCCTGTCCCAGTCCTTGGCTTTCTTCTTCCGCATAAGAAACTAAGTATATTAAATGTGGAGGAAAGAGTAAATCCGTCTTTTGAGACACGCTATGCCTATTACAGTTATCTAAGTTCACATTAGGGTTGGACCCCTTTTCCGGATAGCACAACTAGTTACAAGACATCTAAAAGCAGAAGCATGAATTATCCTTTCGTTTGGGTCTCATTTGTTTGTTCCATATTTCTGGGGAAATGCCTAAAAATCCATCAATGGAAGGATTATCAGCTTCGCACCAAGTCCTCACTTCTTCAACTCTCTTGGAACAGATCTTTACTTGGATTCATGAGGATATTGATGGCTGGTGGGCAGTACCTGAAGTATCAGAGAAACCTTCCCCAGAGGAGAGCGCGGACCCAACAGATGATGATTCTAGGCCCTACATCGACAGAGTGGGTGTTCTGCTTCGCTGCGCTCTAGTCAGCAAACAATGGTTTTGTGAAGCCGCGCGAGTACTATGGCGGAATTGGGATGACAATCGTTTTTACGGCTCGGTTTTCACAGAAATCTTTCAGAAGATCGAACCAATACGTCGACAAATTTACGCAAATATGATAATATCCCAAAGTCTTTGTACTAAATCAAATGTTTGAATAGGTCCGCTTTCCCAATATTAAGACTATAGAGTTTCTTGATCATGCTAAAGTTTGGCCGGGTGAGTTACAGAAGCTCAAGGATCGGCTTCCACATCTTCAACAGCTAAATGTACTGCGTGTGGTGGAAAGTATGGTAGAAGGGCGTGATGCTTGATCTATCAAACAGAGTGGGGGTTACTCGTGCGCGCACAATGACCAGTTTCGCTTAAATAAGTATATACCTACTTAGTACAGATCTCGAAATCCAATCCAAGAAGTCTGATGCAACATTAAATTGGATGATCAATTTTGGAGTGTACCTAGCCTAAAATAAACATTCCAATCTGAAGCGGTTGTCGCTCTGTCCAGGTGGTAGGAACTTCCAAACTCCTTCTCATGCCTTGGGTAAAGCAAAACCACAATCCTTCAAAAAAGCCAAACCCCTCTCATTCAAATCCGGATACCGACGCAAGGAACATAAATCCAACCAAAAATTGTGACCCTCCTCAAATTTCGGCATATACTTGCGCAGGGTATCCTTCCACTGCTTATCCTCTTCCCCAAGACCAATTCCAGCACACGCAAACTCCCACCAAACAGGATAAATTCCAGCCCCTTCCCAATCGATAATACCTGACAAGTTACCATTCTCCACCATGATATTCACACTGGTTAAATCCGTATGGCTGAACGTATAAGTTGCGGCAGTTGGCATTCGTTCACGTAGTCTCAAGCGAATCTCCTCTGGTACGTGTGATAAAGCCAAGGCCATCTGATTCCAGAATTCCTCGTCAGAAGACATGGGTTCATGCGGAGTCCCATAGTAGCTTCCGAATAGAAATGCGTGATATAACGGCTTCTCATCTAGAGATTCCATGCGAGTTGACTGGAGCCCTCGAAGTTGAATGAGGTAATCCGCCATCTGTTTTGCGATGCGCTCTCTGTCCTCTTCGGATAGTATAGGCCACGCCTCATCCAAGTTCTGTCCTGGAATTCGCCTGCTCATCTTAAAGGACATATCTTCTTCTTCCCAGGCTTCCATAATCTCGGGTATAGGAATGGAAGTTCTTTCTGCTAGGAATGCTATGTTGATGGATTCGAAATTAGGCGGCGCGGCGGGTCTTTCTTTGAGGATGAGTTTTGAGCCTAGGGACCATGCTCGAGTGGAGACGCCGTAGAAGATCTTAATGTGGCTGTTATAGTGGCATGCTTTTTGGCGTGCTGGGGTCCAGCTGCATGCTGAGCAGATATTTTCTGATTCCATTTGTATGTATGAGTGTTCAAATTTTGGGAGCTGGCCCGTGGATTCTTATACTTTGGGTAACGTGATGCCCCCCTTCATGCGGCTCAAAGAGCGGTCTAGCTCTATGCAATAAACGTTTGAGATTTGTCAGAAAGGTCATGCATCTTGGTTGATGTATATTGCATTGTGCATATAATATTCTAAATCGAGTTGCAAGAACTCAGGTTCTAGCACACATCGAAAGATATTCAGGGATTTATTTCAAGACAAGGAACTCGAAGGTAAATCTCAAATAGCATTCTTAATCTAGTCAAAACGGGACCAGCCTGTCTATTGACTCCATCTATTCCAGTCCTAGAATAAAAGAAAACATCCATCACCGCTGAACAAAAATAGGTCGATATTGGTATGCCCTAGTTAGGGATGCAGACGCCGGCGTTCCACTCAGTGGCACCGACACATTGCCAGCTATCACAGCAGGGGTTACTAGATGTGCAAGCAACATCGTAGTCTGGTGAATGTCAGCAAATATCCAAATCTGGAATTGTAGTACACGTACTGGCGACGCAGGTGCGCTTCTCAAAGTCAGAGGAGGCGGAGGCAACGGCAGCCAGGGTAGCAATGACAATGGTAATGAACTGCATTTTGATGGTCGAAGTGGGTGATTGAAAGATCGGTTGATGCTTCTAGTGTTGGATGGTAGATTTGTAGATTGATGGATGGATGTTCAGTTATTGAGGAAAGATCAAATTATTTATTTCCAAGCCAAGCCATACAGGATCTCATATAATCCATATTCGGTTGCCTGTATGTATACCAATTGAGCGTTCCAACATTGAACCTGAGATGTTTGATCGTGGCTTATTTACGCGATCTGGATACGATTGTCGTTGGGCCTGTGAGACTCATTTTTGCCACCCTTATACCGACCTCAATCCAGTAAGCGGTAGTAGCGCATCATACTGCCTTTTTAGGTCACATTGTGAACGGCCCCTATATGGAGCATAAATGAATAGTTATGCATAGGGCGAATTATGTAGCGCAAGTGGTTGAATCGGGGCCAATTGCTCTACCCGAGATCGATACCCCTTTCCACGGCGCGCCCCGCCCCACTAACGCCCCTTCCGACCACCCGCACCGGTGGTCTACAAATTATGCACAAGTGTAAATGAAATCGTTTCAGTTTGAGTAAATCATTGCAACAGTATCCTTGATTAGATCTGAGATGTCTAAATATCCATGGCTAAATCCATTTTCTGGCGGCTGACTTGGTAAGAGCCTCAAGGGTCTGCTTGAGCTTCTACCTTAGCTTTCGACGTGAGGTTAGTATAAGAGTTTACTTGGCTTGCTGGATCTGGGATGTCTATGGATTATGAGGGTCTACTTGATTTCATTCATACTAGCGTGTCTGAGTATAATATCGTGTTATCCAGGATTCACATCATGTTGCCTAGGATGCGTGTCGCGTCTTCACATATCACCGTTAGAAGTACCACAAGGGTCTAACTCATTTTTTTCTGATTTTAGAATTGCGTTTAATTTCTGACCTCAGGATTCATGAAGGATATAATCCCTTACAGTATTTAGTATCCCAAGAGTCCAATCTAGTTTCTGGGGTATCTGGACTCCAATGTTAGAAACCAGAGTTTTTCAAACATATGGAATGATAACAACAGGACCATGGATTGTTTGCCTACCCAGTAGGAGGTTCGAGGACTGTGTACAATAAATATAAATACTGTACATAGATAAGGGAAGCATGAAAGGCGTTACATACGATACTTCATATATTGGGCAAATTCGAGCCTAATAGTGATACAGCCTACTAGTATGATAGGCAGCTCCTTGAAAATCCGAGACAGGTTTGGAATGGATTGGTCTGCACACTATACGCGATATGGTCACTTTCAAAGAATCATGATATGGTGATCTCCCAAATACGACTCAGGATGAAACCGAGCAAACAAAAGGAAAGGCCGAGCACCAGGTGATCTACGTTACCCTCGTGATTGGTCGATGCTGTTTGCAGGTGGTGATCTTGCGCTTCATTCACTTCACCGCAGTGACCCCACCCAGTACTATAAATATTTCTTTCCTCACCTCCCTTCTCTCTTCTTCCTCCTTCATGACTTGACGTTCAAACTTCCATTTCTTTGAACGATCTTCTCTTATTCAAGCTCTATCATATGTCTGCCATGTCGTCGAATATTCAACTTCAAACCTCAAACCTCAAATAAAGAACAAAAATTCCAACTTAGGAACTTCCATCCATGTGTCTATTGAAACAAACATCTTCCACCTCAACCCATCATGTCAATTCCCCTTGATGCAGTGATCACACGATGATCAACGAGACTCTGAGCTTAGCCTGACGAGTTCCAAGGTTTGTTTACAACCCTTATCCGCTCTGATGTCTTATTAAATTGTCAGGCTTTACCAATCATTCCAGACAATTTCCCAATTTTGCTTCCACATCAACTGAGTCTGACTGAAAAGTCATTCTTCCTTTTTGAAGCTTCCAACATCTGCGAAAACCGCCTTGGGACTCGTCATCGGCATCAACAAAAGAAAAGGTGGTGTGGAGGGACAACCCACTTGGCGCATTTGCGGTAAGGAAGCACCTATTTGGGAAGGAGGACACAGCCTCAATCAAGGTTCGAAAACGGCATGCGGTGAAGAAGCACCGGCCAAAACAAGGGGATGTGCTGAAATTGGCGTTCAATAGGATATCTGGGATGGTGGAACCACAAATGAGTCGTTGAGATTGCTTTTCCTCTATGTTGATACTTTGCATTCGACTTGTTTATGCTTAAGAAGAGCTTGTCATACTAGACCATACATCTAATCTTCCTCATGCACATATTACTTGACCTCCGCAAATTGTTGCAATCCTTGATAGAGCCTATCAAAGACACCTCCATACCACCCCATAGCCTCCTCCCACTCATGTATTGGCAAAGTCATATGCATCATTTTCAACCAACCCCCAACAATACAATCCGCATAACTCGCCCGCTGACCAAGAATAAAAGGCCCACTCTCCCGATCTAAAAGTTTCGCTAGATCAGCCAATGCCTCCCGAAACGAAGTCATCATTTTCGCCCGATCCTCCTCTCCGAACACAAAGGGCTCCGAAGACTTGGCACCAGCCCGCTCGGCAAACATGGCTCCAATCTCCTCCGCATATGCAGGATCAAATTGCATCCCCGTCCCCATGAGCATGACATGAGCGGTAAAAACCGTATCCACACTCGTGTTGAACCGGACATATTCACCGAATTCACCCTCTTCCCGCTCCGAGAGCGGAACTAGAAAAGGTGCGTCGTGTTTGTATGTGAAATCGAGTTTTTGAGGTGGCAAGAGATCACCAGCTCCGGAATTGGGGTACTGCTTTTGGAGGTAGATTGCTATATCGAAGGAGTCTCCGAGTATGGAGTTTGTTGTGGAGTCGGTGAGCACGGGAAGTGTGTAGTAGTCGCTTCCGTCGGCGAATTTGCGGGATGGTGCTGCGCCAATTTCTTTGCGGACTTTGGCGATGTGGGGCATTTGGATCCATTGGGTTTTGTAGGGGATTCCCTTGAAGTTTAGGGCGTAGCGCGCTTTCCATGGGTTTGGGGCTGCGGCGGTTGATTCCACGGGGGGGCGGAATGCGATGTCGTAGAAGGAGAGTGCGGGAGATTGATCTGATGTCATTTTGATTGAAATTGTGTAGATTTTGGAAGATTTATGATCACCCTTAGAATTGGGAATTGGAGTGGAATTGATCTATGCTTTTATATCTTCAGGACCGGAGGTGAGTCTGAGACATGAGGGGTGAGCAATTGTGAGTAATAGTGGGGCTACCGACGATATCGACGATATCGACCAATGGGAAACAGCAATTCTTTGACGGAAGCACATTCTGGTAACAGAATGTGGTTAGTAAACTCTTGGCTAGGTTGGAGACGGTCGGGAATCAAGATCTCATGTTTAATTCTATTGGAGCTCGGGACAGATATACTATCTCAACGAATCATTTCATAGTCCATCTATTTTCTAAATCTAGCAAATATACCTAGGCTATCCTTTACACGCTATATCCTCTTTTCTCCATCTACTGCACCACAAACTGAGTCTTGTGCGACTTGTAAAGGGTACTACTATCCAAAACCGCTCCAGTAGATGAGCGAATAAAATCAATCTGCAGATTCTGCTCATCCAAAAACTTCAGCGTCGCATAGCTGTAGTCATCCGCATAAGCAAACTCAGTATAATCAGGCTCTGTCCCAACATCACTCAACCCTTCAATATTACCCGCTCCACCCGCAATGATATACATAGGCGCCTTGGGATCCGTCAGATTGGCCGAGTCAACAGTACCGTTGTAAATGGGCGTGAATCGCTGCGAATTGTGCACGTGGCCGAATACAGCCAAGTCCACGCCATATGTGTAGAATAGTTCTTCAAAGGCGTCCTGGCATGAGTCGCAAATGTTATCTGAGCCACCGGTGCTGTACCATGGTCTGTGGCCGGCGACGATGAGCCAGGGTGTTACTGTTCTGTCGACACTCGCGAGATCGGCTTTCAGGAAATCGATCTGTTGGTCCGCTTTGCCGAATGGGCCGCTGTCTAGCTTTGCGGAGCCGTCGGTGCCGTCGGGGGCATCGGTGAAATCGGTCTCGGTGTTGATCATGACGATATGTGCCATGCCGTATTCAAAGGAATACCAGAATGGGGGGAGGGCATAACTCTGCGCCTGGGTAGCGAGTGCTTGGGCGGTTGTGTTTGTTGACGACGAGGCGAATGGCGTGGGCATGGTCTTCTCGAAGCGGTGCATGAAATCGGTGAAGTTTTTCTGGCCTTCCGGGCAGAGTTCAAGAAGGTATGGGATTTCTGAGCAGTCTGCTTCGTGATTGCCAGGACTGGCCATGTAAAGCTTGCGCCCGGCGATGGGTGCGAGTTGGTCGTAGAACTGTTCCAGGATGGATTGGTAGGCCTCTGTGCCGTCTAGCAGGTTTGAGATCTTCTCATACCAGTCATCGGCGTAGGCAAAGTCACCTGGGTGGAGGACAATTTCATAGTCGTCCACAGTCTGAGCAAGACGGCCGATGGTGGTGTGGTTTAGCGCGGGCTGAACCGAAGGAATTGTATCTTTCTTAGAGTTGGTGGAGGAGATGGTGAAACCATCTGCGCCGTAGACACCAAGATCAATCACTACATCGAGATTGAATGCGGTCTTGTCTCCGGGAGTACGGGGGCTGAGGAAATGATCCACACTGGAGTTGGTTGATACGATCTTGTAGTAGTAGGTGGTGGCTGGAGTAAGATCCGTCAAAATTACTGCGTTGGACCATGTCCGTGAAGTAGAATAAGTGGTGGATCCGGTGGAACAAGCTTCAGAACTCAAGTCATCAGCCGAGGTACCATAAGCCACACAGCTTTGGTTCAGTTGTTCGTATGTGTTCCAGCCAACAGAGACGGCTACAAAGGTTAGCATTTTATTCAGGAACAAGCGACACGACTCTTACAATTAGGTCCGTAGACAGCTAAACGCTGCTGCACTGGAGTGGTCAAATCTGTCGGGATAGTAGGATAGTTCACACTGGCAAGACTGCTTGCAGCCAGCACTGGGAGCACCTTCAGAAAAGAGGTGAACCCGACCATTTTGATTCCAGCTATGCCAACTTAAAGCTATCAAAGTAGTTATCCAACAAAATGAGCCAGCCATCTTCATCCCTTTTATATTTCCATGATTGATTGAAATATGCATGTGCTTCAAATCTGCAGGTCCAGCAGACCAATCACTCGGAATAGGGATGCCACGCCGAGCACTTCATTATGACTGTCGATCACTTCTCGCCATGGCTGGGTGAACACCGCATTTAATCCAGTTTAGGGCTTCGCTTATGGAAGATTAAGCTCCCGGCCATCGGACCATACAATTGTCCCGACGCACGTGGACCATGTGGGGATCGTGAATCGTTCAAACTTGTACCTGACCAATTACTAATGCCAACTTTTGATTCGGTCAATATAATCTATATATTATGCTAGTGTGAAGAAACTAATTCCAATGCACTATTCCCGTTACTTCCTCAGTTCCGTGCCCACACCGCGAGCCCGACGGCGAATGTGAAACACCCAGGTACCTTCTGACTCGCCAATCCGCATCATTTATTTCACCTCGGAAGCCTTTCCATCTCACAGGTCCTGTAATGACCCTGGAGTCTACCCACTGCACCTGCGCGCACTTCATGAGGATGTCCTGGGAACCATCCCGCCGCTAAGCCCCGACCGAAGAACGGGAAGAAAACTGCGCCAAATTCGCCGTATCCGGTCTGTCCCTCCGATGACAATTATGAACAGAAAAAAAGTTGCTCACTAAATGAGAATTCTGTTGTGGTCGCCTTCGCCTTCATTGAGCAGGAATAAAGGCGCGAGAGGTCGTAACTGGACTCGGAAGTCGTGAGCATGTCGAGAGAGGATGAATATGTCTCCCAGACCTGGCATTGATTGTGGCTCCTAATTTGGCGTTTCCGCCCAGAATCCACCTATTCTAGCTACCGCTCCGTGGAAGTGTGTTTAGCGCTAGACTAATACGGCCTGTAGCCACCCCTCTAACCATCTCCGACGTCACTTCCGATGCGTGGGGTCTGTCGATGGTAAAAGTGAAAATACTTGAACTTCAATTGTTCTAGCGGTCAATTGCCTTGGAAGAAAGTGATCAAGACAACCGAGATCATATCGGGCTAAGCTTGCTTTCAAGATAAAAATCTGGATGAAGTTCTGTACTAATGGTCTATGGCGTATTCAATTCAGTGTTCCTCTTTACATCAAGCAAATGGATATATCATTCTATCATCAATGCTCCATTTCGATTCCATCCTCCACCCCTTAGCAGGGGAACCCTCATTCTTCATTGAAGTTCGGCGTCTGATACCCAATGACTGCCTCCTCCACATCGGTAGCCCCCGTGGTTTTTGATCCACCGATAACCTTGAACACAGACTCCCATGCTGCGAAGCTTTACCTGAACAGCCTGCTCCTTCCGGCGGGCGTCAGCTAAGGCTTGTCGCTTGATCTCGTGTTCTCTTGCAATCGCCTCCTCCTTCCTGCGTTCCGATTCAAGTCGCAGTCGTTCTTGTTCAAGGCGTTTGCTTAATTCCTCATCCTGCTGCCGTCTTGCCTCTTCCGCTGCCTGGGTCGCCTTATCCTCTGCTTCCTTCAATCTCAGCAACTCCTTTTGTTGTTGCTCTTCCTTCTCTATCATGGCCAAGTAGCCTTTCTCATTTTGCTCAGCAGCTGCTTTGCCTTTCTGTAGCTGATTCCAATCCTCGTCTGTGACACCTGCGTCGCGCCCTGGGACAGAAGTCCATTGGTTGCTGCGGTCTTGTGCATCGACTTTGATATCGGACTTGACAATCGATTTCACACTCTGTTTTCCCACGCTCTTTGCCGGTGGACTCGAAGATTGGGTACGCAGCGGTAGCTTCTCCCCCGAGTTGATGTCCAGGGAGGAGCATTTTGCCTGAAAGTTCTCGCGAGTCTGGCGCTCATTGATCATGTCATAAAGCTCCTTCATCACAGTCTCTCTGCTCAATACCAGATTTGGTCCGCTAAAAGAATCTGGTCGCTGCATAGTCTTCAAGAAAATCGCTTTCACCAAGGTCTCAACGTCTCTAGCGTTAGCCCAGCTTGCAGTTTTGGACAAGGCGTCAAATCCGTCAGCCAAGCTCTTCTTAAAATCGGAATCTGAGTGGTACAGACAAGAGATATCGAAGTTTACTTTTGACTTGCTGAGAATATCTTCCTTGTTCCTTTCCAGCTGCTCACCCAGTAATTGAATACAATCTCTTGGAGATAGAGATCGGAACTGGAGAGAATCTGGGAAGCGACTGGTAAGGCCAAGGTTGATTGACATGAGGCGGTTCATATCTGCATCATAGCCAGCAAGAATGACGATCAACTTCCGGTCGAATCTGAGGTTTGTGATACAGTTCACAAGCTCATCTATAGCCTCTTTGGCGAAGTGACCCTCAGCAAGACGATATGCCTCGTCTATAAAGAGGACTTTTCCAAGACAACGCTCTAGAATTTTCTGGGTTTTAGGGCCCGTCTGTCCGACATATTGACCTACTAGCTCTGAAGCAGAAACTTCGATGACCTCGTTGGAAGCGAGCAGTCCCATATTGTAGTATATCTGTCCCATCTTTCGTGCCGTGCTTGTCTTTCCAGCCCCTGTAGAGGTTTTGCAAATCAGCGAAGTTCTATTATTCCCTGGATAAATATAAGTAATGAAAATTTTGACTTACCCGGGGGCCCTCGGAACAAAAATCTAAATGGCAATCGTTCACAGGGGTCCAAATTCAGCTTTTTGAGGCTTTTGACCAGCTGCCGATATCCCTCAAGCTTGGCAACAATGTCTTCACAGCCCACGACCCCTTCAAACAATTTTGAAACACTGATTTCGCTGTTCTCCGCGCGATCGAAGTTGTCATCAAAGTCAACGGCATCCAAAATCGAATCAGGAGCCCGAATCTTGGGTTTATTCGAAGAAATGCGCCTCTGATGATGCATCTTCGCTGCGTTGAGCAAAATATCAATTTCTCCAGCATTACCAAAGTGTGGTCGATTCCGAGCTCGCTGAAGCATCTCCAAAATGACTCGACGAGCCTGACTAGTGACTTCGTATCCCTGCTCGGTCAGTCTCAGGTCAAGAATCAGATCCAACTCATGTTCCGTAAAGTCTTCGAAAACAAAGGCCTGATCAATTGGGAAACGCCGACTGAGACCAGGATTGACATTCTGGAACATTTGCTCCATTTGGTCCTTGTATCCCAAAAGTAGAACGCACTGATTATCCCCTGGTGTGCTCTGGACATCAGCTACTATGGTGTCTATAACAGCACTTCTGTATGGGTCAGATTTGGCCACTGTGCCATCTGAAGTTCCTCCGGCAAAGAGACCGTAGGCTTCGTCTATAACAAGAACCTTTCCCAATGTGGCTCCGAGGATGGCTTTTGTGTTCTTCTCGGACTCTCCAATCACGCTCCCAATGAAGTCGGATGGGTTCTTCACAACAACTATAGTCTCCGTCAGTGTTTGAAAAGTCACGATATGTTCCTTGCATACCTTCGCCATTCCATAGAAGCCCGATGTCCACGAGAATTTGACCATATAACTTTGCGACCGACGTTTTGCCAGTTCCAGGGTTTCCAAGGAAGACTTTATTGAGACTGTAGCCAACCACAGGTTGCTCGGCTATCTCGCGACGATAATTCTCTTGAACCGTCTCTAATAGGCTTTCGACAGTTTTTTTGACCTCGTTTAACCCAATCATGCTTTGCAGCTTCTGCCACGCTGTCGATGATTTGAGACTTTGAGAAGGATCTGGGCCGATCATGTCCTCCCCGTCAAGGAAGAAGTCGTCCACCAGCGAACCTCCCTGCCGTCTCTGTTGCATCAGCCGCCGAGCTTGTCGCTCCGTGACCTTTGACATGGCATTTTCAACAGCCCTTGCGTTTGCGAACCCCTCTCGACCTCGTCCACGGCCAATTCGTCGGGCTACAATGCGACAATAAAGTCCACCTAGCCCATCATCAACCTTCATCTGCTTTTTCCATTTCTTTTCAATCCAACTTTCAATAATCATCATCAGCTCTGTGTCGTCAAAATCCTCGAATTTCAGCTCATGAGGGAAACGGCTCTTTAGTCCATCGTTGTAAGCAAATAGATCCTCCATCGGGCGTTGATATCCAGCGAGAACGAAGACAACTTTGCCAGTAAGATTCTCAAACTCAGCCAAAAGAAAGTCAAGCACTTGACGGCCTCCAAAATTGCTGCCCTGTACCATTTGATAAGCTTCGTCAATAAAAACAACTCCTCCGCCATCTTTGAGTAGCTGCTCAATCATCTTCTGGCATTGCGAGACGCCTTCGCTTGAAAGTCTAGACCCTGTTGTCTCGATGAATTTGTGTCCGGGAATGATTCCCACTGAAGCTAAGAATTTTGCGTAGAGTCTGGCGACTGTCGTCTTGCCAGTTCCGGGATTGCCGAGAAGCACAGTTCCAAACCTCTCGCGGCCCAAATCGACGTTCTGCCTAACTGCGGTATCAACCTTGGCTTTGATCGTCAAGAACGTCGATTTCACGGACTCCAGTCCAACCATATCTATCAAAGCGTCGATTTCTTGGCTTCGAGAGTTCAAGTACGATTTTTGGTAGTCCCAATCAGATTTTGCCTTCGAGGTAGGCTTCTTAGCCATTACCTCCCGGGTGCTGGGCTTTACCCTGGGCTCTTTATTATGAGCGATAGGTTGAATTCCTTGATTACCAACTTCTTGGGGTCTAGGGGATCTTGGCCGTGGGTCGACTAGTCTCGGCAATGTTTGTCGGGTGCTTTGTGTGCTCACTGTGCTTTCAGCTGAGCTTTGGGGGCTTTGCAGCTCCTTAATTTCTTCGCGATGCTGCTCAAGAATTCTTGCTCGCTCTGCGTCTTCCAATTTATCGCTCTTGAGACGTCTCAAATGAGAAGTTTCGCTTTGCAATTCGGCGAGTTCCTGAGTGTATAAAATTTGTTTTCTTTGTCGCTCTGCCTCGAGCTTCACATCCCGGTCATGCTTTCGTTCCTTTAATTTATCTTCTTGGGTACAGGAACGACAAGAACTCTTGACTGCCGAGCATGACAAAGACAAAATATGGCCACGGGGACATTTCCATTTGATGATCTTGGTGCACTTCATCTTAGAATGGTCGTTCAGTTGATGGCATTTCAATGGGCATTCGTGTTCTCCGCAGCTTAGTCTAACACCACTTTCGGAATAACGAACGTCAGTCAGGGATTGAAGAGGTAAAAAGCTTAGAGAATTTCCGGAACAAAATTCCCTTTATCTAAATCAGCGCATTTGAAGGATAGGGAAGTAGCTTACCACAGTGCTGAGCATCCACCATTTGGCGTCTCTCTGTCGAAGTCCTCCTTGGTCCGAAGTACAGCGGACCTGTCAGGGTGCTGCTCGCACTTGACAGGCAATCCGTCATAGAGATGACCATTTGCTTTGAGCTGATCAATGAGGGACTTCCAAGACCTTTGTCCTTTCCGACTGGAAACAAATGTCTCCGAATTTCCTACCATGATAAGTACATTCCGGGCACGAGAGAGAAGCACGTTCAATCGTTCTGGGGCAGCCATGAATCCTATATCGCCACTTTTGTTGCTTCGCGTGAGTGACGCTATTACAATTTCGCTTTCCTCTCCTTGGTAGTTATCTGATCGCAATGGTCAGTATGCGTATCGAACATTGCACGCACTTTTGCCGCTCACCGATTGTAGAAAGCTTGATCATTCGCTTAGAATGATTGGCACTCGCATGCGACAACAGACCTGCCTGTAAAAGGTCATGAGAGTCAAGATCATTCAGTACTGGATCATTTTGCTTGCTCAAAATCTGGCGGAGAAGCGAAAGTTGACCGAGGTATGGCGTGAGGACGACGAGCTTGTCTGTTCCGTAACCTTGCTGCCCAAGATATTTGACGATCTTTAAGACAATCTCTGCCTCGAAGACATTCTGCTTGGACTGCTTTGCTCCTTCATCTCGTCGATCAGAAACCTGCGAAAAGCTTTCTTCGAGGTTTTGATGATTGAAGAAGATTACGCGGTCTGATAACCCTCGTGGCTCAGGACGAGTTTTTGTTTTCTCGTCGTCTTCTAATAGAGGGTAGGTGAGAGAGCGTACAAGACTTGAGATCGCGGGGCACATTCGATGCTGCTTCTGCAGGGTTGTATGTGGATACCCAGCACGAATAAGCCTTTCAAACAGAGACACGTTCAGGTCATAACCATCTCCCTTTTCCGTGCTAAGTGCATAGCTACTGATCTTTGGCCGGAGTTGCAAGTGATCCCCGATCAATATCAAGTGTTTCGTATCCGGTGATATTGCAGTAAGAACATGAGATTCGAGAATCTCGCCCGCCTCCTCCAGTAGCACGATGCCGGGTGATGCATGCTTAAGATCCTCAGCATGCATTGCTGCAGCCGTTGTCGTACATCCTATGATCTTTTTTCTTTTCAGGATCTCACGTGTCTTCTCCCCCAAGGTTGCAGATAGCTTATCGTGACATTTGTCGAGTAAGTCCATCTGTACTGCGAGAGATGCAGCTTGTTCATTTATCAGAGCTCGCTTCCACGACTGAATCTTCTCATCGCGGATTCTCTGTTCCAGTTTCCATATTCCGTGGCTTTGAGCTGGTAAACACTCAGTCAATGGCTTTGAAGACTGTCCTCTGATCCACCGGTCGTAGAGATAGCCCTTTTTAATTGCTTTTCCATCCTTGTCCACCACACTCATACCATCAACACTCTCGGGTATAGTAAGGGCTTCGAAGTAATCGGGCTCTTCAAATTCCAGATAGTCTAAAATGGCCGACGAATCTGCTGACAGGATCTGGTATGCTGCAAATGAGGTTTCGATGATCATTCGATGCTCCTGGCCCTGGCTTTCGAGTGCATCGATGGTGTTCCAGATCGACTGTGGTCTTGATTTGCTTGCATTTTGTTCTTTGAGAGTTAGTGGCTCTGTTCGCGACGTTGACTTGGATCCCAATCTAACAATAGCAGAAGGGTCAATGCCAATGTCAAGTAAATCTTCCAAGAATTGATCTAAAGCGTGATTTGTGTAGCACATCACCAATATCTTATCATCGGCGTGTTCGTGAAGGGCTTTGGCCAAAAGTGCTCCTATGAATGACTTTCCGGTACCTGCAAGTCATAATATTAGCTTCAGAGGTGCAAACTGGTCATCCTTGCGTCTTCATACCTGGGGGTCCTTGGATCAAACTGACCCTTTGAGACAATCCTGCCAACAGGGACTCACGTTGAGACGTGTCTAATGTAACTGGCTTCGTCGTTTTCAGAATGCTCTGAATATTTGGTCGGTATGCTTCATGCAACTCATTGATCACATCCAAAGGTGCCAAGGCAGAGTTCCTGACTGGCTCGTCTTTTTCGTATAGAAACAATTCCTCGGTGAGAGGGAACTCAACTCGCTCTTGCAGACATCTCAGAATTGGCTCGTAAGCGAAGGTCGCTGTATTAACCACCACGAACTCGACGTCGTCATAAATCTTGAGAAAGAGAATGGACTTTTTCATTGCCTCTGCTCCTGTAATTCGTAACATGACTACTGGCGGGGTAGATATCAAATCTTCAATGTTTCTTTCAATCGTAGCAAACGCCACAATCTCTGTGTTCCTCACAAAACACCCAAAGGCGCGGTGTTTGACAAATTGCGGAGTGTTTTTGAGATAGTCTTTGAATTTCTCTCTGGAAACACCTCTCGGCCTTTCCAGACCTGACTTGGCAGTTACGCCGACAGTGCATGGGCGGAGGTGTTTCAGATTCGCTGCGACGCAGGAGATACGAGCCAAAGACAGCCCTCGGAGGCGTAAAGCAGATCGTCGTCCCTTTTTCGGGTCTGTTGCAGCCTGAAGGTCATCCCGGAGCGCCGACAACATATCTTCGCGCAAAAGCCGAAATTGATTGTCTACATGCGCCGCGATGCGTTGGCTACCAGAGAGCTGAGTGATGTCGTCCACGCGTCGATAGAAAGGTTTCTCCGAACAACCCATCTCATCTGTTGTGGGAAGAATAGCAGTTAGACGGAAGTCAGCGAAATCATTATCATGGCGACCGCCTGCTGTATCTTCGCATGCGAGAAGAGTGGATGAGGAAGATTTCATGTCCAGGAGATGCTTTATCTTATGACCCAGATTGCGTAGTGAAACTGAAGATGACGAAAGAAGATACCCGTCACTCAAGATAGTTTGAGCATCAGTCATTATATCTACCATGGATGACGCTGGTAATGACAGGAGCTCTGCTGTCAACCAACAGAAAGCGTGGATGGCATTTTCATCCAGCCTGCGGGTAAAAAATGCATCCAGAAGCGAGTTCCAAAGTGTTCGGGGCTCCAAGATTATTAGAAGAAGTTGTTCGAGCCAGAGGCCATTGCATAAGAGCTTGATCTTGGGGCTGCTCAAAACATCGATGAAGTTCGATGTATAATTGTTGATGAAGTCCGGTGTGAGATTGAACCTCAAGCCATTTCGAAGTCCATTCAGAGCGTTTTGACTGGTGCTCAGTTTCTCAACAGCCATACAGGAATCCTTTGTGTCCAAAATTGCTTCTATGAGCTTCTTGAAGTTGCTGAGATCTCGAACTTCTTGTTTCCCAGATATTACGGCTTCAAAGTATTTGGCCAGTCGGTCGGATCGAGTAATTGTAGACATCGGAGCTTCGCAGATGGATCTTTGAGAAAGATAACTTGAAATATGAAATGTGATTTTATAAAAAGGAGGATAGATATTTTCTGGGCGGGAAATAGTAATATGTATAGTGAGGGGTAAAATAAAAGATGCCTACCAGGTTATTTTGGAATTATATACAAGTATTTATGTTTTTTGTCAATGAATCACCAGGCTGCATTGGCTATCTAGGGCATCTATACAGTGATAAAACGAGGCAAACGCCGGGCTGAGCCAATCAGGCATAGGGCGACGTGGTAGATCTGACGTGGCGACAGGGGTATGTCACGATCGCGAAAAACAAGAAGTCATCAAGCGTAATAGGAAGAAATTGATAAGAAGATCACACACAGACTTTCCTTTTTTTTAACCGTCGATCTCTTGTCATCTACTGAATTGATTTCATTTTAACCTCTCGCGCGCCTTCAAGCCTCTATCAAGTGACTCATCTTTCGTGGAGCGACATGGGTTTTTCACACAATGGTGATCGTCCATACCAGAGAAAATTTAGAGGTGATTGGAGAGGTGGTAGGAGTGAAAGGTCATCAGTAATTCTGACTCCACCTCCACCGCTTGGTGAGGTTCTTGCAACTATCGATTATCATGATCTGGAAGATTCCACAAGTGAATCTCATCAACCGGTCCAAATCACCAATACGCAGTATTTGACTTCCTACAATTGGGTCAATAAAGGAGAACCTACGATCATCGTTCCAGGTGAATGCCTCCCGGCAACCAATAATACTATTTTTACTAAAAGAATCTCTTCCTTCAGGTGAGCCACCAGCATGGACGCCGCTTTCTCAACCTACTCAGCTACGTGCAGACTCCGGTGTCTACTTTCGGGACTTAAATTCGGCACGATATCCCACACATCCATTGGAGCCGATGATTCAAGCCATTCTGGTGGACAAACCGGATTTTTGTGTTAGAGATTTGGATATCGTGGGTTGTGGCAGCACACTGGGAAATCTATTGAGATTTGCGCGCGGCAAAAGCCCCGCATTTAGAGTGCTGATCGAGGTCATCGGGAACACGGTTTTCTTCCGTAGAAGGGAGAATTCACCAAAAGAAACCATCCAGAATATTCAAGGGTTTGGACACACCTTTCCAGAGGCATACACAATGTGGGGTGAAAGTGTTCGGAAATCAGAGTCTCATCAACGTCTTATCAACTTTGACTTTGCCAACATGAATTGTCTAGTGCGGTTCGAAGCTGACGGTTACCTTCCTGACTTGATCCCTGGAGCTTTGAAGGCCAGACAAAACCCTCTCTCTAGCAAAAGCGATATGGAGCCGGAAGATCTCTTGTCTTCTATCCAAGGGGCTGCGATATCGACCGTTCACCCAGCCATCACTCAGAAGGAGTCAGGTCCTCTGAGAATCTTTGAGGGGGGTCGCTATATTCCACAATGTGCAATTTTCGACCTTAAGACGCGTTCTGCTCGGAAAGCCAACATCGATACTCTTTCAGAAGAGATGGCTCGGTTGTGGATCAGACAAATCCCAAATTTCGTGCTCGCATATCATAAGTCCGGGAAGTTCGACGATATCCGAGTCCAGGATGTACGAGAGGAAATGGAGAGATGGGAGGAATGTCAACAGCCAGGCTTACAGAAGTTTGCCACTTTACTGGAAATGGTCATATCCTTCGCTCGGAGCACAGAAGATGGAAAGCTTGAAATTGAGCATGAGGAGGAGGGGAAGGATCTGAATCTTCGAATTCCAGGTGGAATTTTCGGCAGCGTCTTGCCGCCAGCTTTGGCAGACATGTGGGACATTTAAAGTGGCTTTGATCCACTGTGCTAGTATTATTCTTGAATTATCTATGTTGATAGATACTGCCCACTATTGAACGGAAGAAATGCTGATATCGAGACGTTTTGTATTCCAAATATACGATTCATTATGATGTCGATTTGTATAAGATAGGTATTGGCGCCATACTACTGCTGTTGTCGCTGTGACCGAACCTGTGTGTCCATTTGGGATACCGATATGTAACGAGCATCTGTTGGATCATTCGTCGACAGACGTTTTTGTAAAACGGCAATCTACCACTGCATAATTCCCTGCTGCACAATAATCTTCCCCATGGAATCATCCCTCTCGCCCTCCACCACACTGCGTAATAATTGACCACCAATACTCGGATGCTTGGCCCCCATCGCAATAGCCATTTCACGCGCACCTCCGAGATTTGTTGCTAACATCCCTGGTCCCACACAGCATACCTTGACACCATCTGCCTTCAACTTATGGTTCCAATCCAGCATCATCATATTCAGCGCAACTTTACTACAGCGATACCCAATCGTCTCGAAATCGATTTTCTTCGGCCAACCCGCTGGCTGAGGAGGCGTGGGGAAATATGCCTCTGCGGCTTTGTTTATTGCCGATAGACCGGTCACAAAGATCAGACGAGGATCATTAGATTTGAGGAGAAGTGGGATGAATGTGGCTGTCATGACATTTGTTCCAGCCAGATTGACATTGTAGGCATTGTTGAAGCACTCGCGGAGAGAGACTCGATTGGCGAGGTATTCGAGATCGAATGTTGCGCCTGCTTCCATCAGCCTGAGAAACGACTTTTTTGCGTGATAGTCTTACCGGCATTATTCACGAGGGCATCGATATAGCCTACCCCGGACTTGACCTTCTCAAATGCACTCTCGATGGACTCGTCGCTTGTCAAATCGACTTGGAGTGGTTCAACCTTGTTGCTAGAGTCAGGAGATTCTTTATAGAGCTCTTTGATAGCGTCGTTCGCTCTTTCGATTGATCGGCTGCCCATAAATATGTGATAAGGCTTTCTGGACTGGAACAGGGCTTTGACTGCCTCGTAGCCAATTCCGCCGTTCCCACCCGTGACAATGACGATCTTTGACATCTTAAGAATTGTTTTGATTTCAAAATGTGATTTCGATGACTCCTAATACTGGAATTGAATTTCTTTATATATTCAACATTCGAAATATCAACAGAATCTCCAAATACCGATACCTCCGTTGCTAGATCTGAGCGGAGATAACAAGGCCAGCCAATTCTTAGTCATCCTTCCAACCCCAAGCGATAACAAGCATACCCCGCCTCCATATCATACTGCCGCAATCCTCGTGCATTGCCTTTCAATATAGTGTACATTGTTAAATATGCCTTTCCAAAGTATTTAAAGTTGGAGGCTAGTCAACGGCAATAGCCACGGCAATTGGGATCCTATTTCCAGTGACTTTCAACCAAAGCGGTAAAGGCCTCGGCTAGAATCAAGCCACTAGTTCGATACAGTCTAGCCTCACCTGATCCCCTCCTTCTGTTGACTCCCAGAAAGAAAACTGACCTGCATTGAACACTACTAACTATCAAAGTCGATCAACCAAGCTTTGAGTTCTCGGAAACCTCAAACACAACTCAACGCTCATCAACGATTCACTATACAACAAGCCCACATCCATAATGGCACCTACCCTGGAACTCGCATTCACACTCCACGTCAATCTCTCACCAGCTCTCGAATTCGGAGATACACCATGCGGCTCCCGGCGATTCATCCCCATCACCGGCGGGACTGTCGAAGGTCCGAAATTAACTGCCACAATTTTGTCCGGGGGCGGAGACTGGAATGTTCTTCGCGAAGACGGAATTACGCACCTTTTCGCGAAATATACGATTCAATCATCGGACGGTGTCCCAATCAGTGTCACCAATGAAGGATGGATCCGGAAATTCCGCAGAACGGAGACGTCAGAAAAAGTGCCGGAGACTGGGTGGTATGCGAAGACTAATCCGCGATTTGAGGTGCAGGAGGGGGTACATGGGTGGTTAAACAGGACTGTTTTTGTGGGCGAGCTTCGTAAGCCTGATATTAAGAATCATGTTGTTATTGATGTCTACTCAGTTGAATGATCATATGGGATCTTTGAAAGTATTCTCAAGGTATTCTTGTGCAACATGGACGATTTCACGGGAATGAACTCGGTCTATACTCTTTATTGAGGAGATAATTAGCCTTGTCGAACGTACGCCATATCTCACCCAAAAACAATATCAGGATTTTTCCGGTCTAACAGCTTCCCATAGTTCCTTAGGTGCGTTGCTGTGGAAACTCTGCCGTTGAATACTGATGTGAAGATTAATTTGTAGCTAGAGTGAGGACTTACCACTGCAATCATCAGGCAGACAACTCTGCGGATCGCGTTGTGTTGGAGATTACCCGTCGAATTTGATATTCACGTGAAAATGTATGGAAAGTAGTGAAAAGCCCGACATCAACTGAGTTCAGACCATATTTGAAGTGAGGCTCAAGTACGACTGAAATATAGAGAGAATTCGTTCTGCACACTCCAGCCCCGTATGTAGTAAGGATGAGTCAAATTTCAATATGCCAATGGGATGTTGGGGGCCCCCTAGGTAAGTTGGTTGACTAAACCAATCAGAGTCAAAAGAGGAGCATGTGTTTGAAGCGGTGCGTACATGTAGGCAGACGACGGCAGACTGTATAATCCTGCCATTCTTGGCCCCATTTTGCTAGCCACTATGCAGATCACTTCCATTCCACTTAACTCCCCCCATCCCCCCAAGACACGGTGTATCAAAACTATCAAAAGCAACACAACCCGTACTAAATTGAATGTTCTCGGAGATTTATGTCATGAAACCACGAAATATTGCCGATAAGGATGACTTGCGCATAGGTGTTGCGGCCCCATTTGGCTGGCGCTACGGTCCCGGCGATACAATCATTGGAACCGTCGGTAGAAAATCGCCCATTGTCTCACCCAGCGTCACACTCAAAGTATGGCTGACCGGATTAATGAAAGTCAAAATCTTGCGAGAAGGGACCAGCCAGCCCGACAGCGATCACGAAGCCTATATCAACAATTGGAATCTGCTGGATTCAAAAGAACAGGTGATTTTCAGAGGGCCTCTGCACCATCTTTATGGTTTAGGAGATCCCCTCAGTTGGCCTTTCTCTGTGACTATTCCTACTAAGCCCAGAGAATTTATCACGCAGGGACATCAGCCCCACGAAAGCTTTGTGCCTTTTGGCCAGGACCACTCTGCCTGCAATATCCTACCGGGCTCTTTACGCACATCCACTGGCAATGCGTCCAAGTCAGAGGCCCTGATTGAATATCGGGTTCATGCTCGGTTTTATTATGAACAGGAAGGCACTCAAACGGCTCTCTACGCGACTATGCCTATTACCCTGAAACACCACCCAGGGAACTTTGACATACTCCAGGGCATTTCAAAGGGAGGGCTCTCACGCCCTACTTATATACGAAGCCAGCGCCTACTACCGGACATGGCAGATAAAGAGCCTTCACTTCGAGAGAAGACTAGTAGTTTCTTCGGCTCCTCCAAGGCCCCTGTGTTCTGGTTTGAAGATTCTATTGAATCGCCACCAGCCATCCAACTCGACGATCCCATGATTCTACCGATTATCTTGACTATTTCAACATTGAAGGGCGACGGCCGAACAAGCAAAAGCATCGAAGACGTCCCGCAACGAATCCAGATCAATTACGTCAAGATTCCGGTGAAGAGTTCAACGATAGTGATTGCCGCAGGCAGCCTAAGCAGAAGTGTGCATACGGATCGACATGACTTTGACGTGGATTTCCACTTCGAAGATGTCTTCAAACAACTCGAAAATCCCTTGTTGCTTTCTTCGTCAAGCAAGGCCAACGAGTCTGTCAATCTAGGAACTATGTTCCAACTCGCCATGCGCAGGAACGGTCTCTATACGAATGGAAAGCGATGTTCTTGGACTGCCACACGTGATCTTTTTTTCAGATTGCTCTACTTTCAATATCAGACATACGCATCAGTTTGAGTACAGGATCAATCTTACAGTTGCGGGGAAGACCCTCGAAGTGAAAGTGTTTGCCCCGGTAAAGATTACAGAAGCTCTTTGAGGACAAAGCGTGGGGACAAAAATCCCCGACGTGAACGGGTCCATTCTTCTAGCATTGTTATAAATGGTGGCATTATTCATTTGCCGTTTCGTGAATTGATGTACCGTTCAAGAGAAATTGGAATTTCTCGAAAAGTAATCTTTATCGCAATGATAGGTCAAGACTTCGCACTATGTATGTCACAGCATCTCCTGTACATACGACTATAGGGTATGGAGAACAGGGCTTCCAGTCCGCTCAGCCGTTATTAAGCCACAGTATATCATCATGGTCAATACTTTGTAAAGCTCTACTACACTACAGCAGCGACTGCTATACGCTAGGTGAGTGTGGGTGATATGGGTGAGAACTTTACAGACTGGGTGATAGAGGTGAGAACGGGGAGAGATTTCTCACCCCAGGGGTGATCGGCCCCGCCGTACACCGACACTGACTCTGCCTTGGGACATCTTCGAGAAACATTTAAACAGATCAGTGCCCCTTAATTGGTCTGCCATAATTTTCATACCGCTTGAAATATGCCATCAAAGAACTAGGACGAGCTCGAGGAGTGCATTGCACGTTGTCTCTATGGTGAAGGAAAAATTATATAACCTAAGGGGTTAGGGGTGCGAGCACGAATAGATATTTAAAATAAGCGGTAGCTCTACTACTTTCTAAGAACCTTTTATGATTTATTTATTTTCTTGAATTAATAATAATTGAACATATGATCAGTAACTTATATATCTAATAGCATATAAAGAGAGAACAATTAGTGAAATCATGTAATTTCATATATATAGGGTCCAAAATATGCTGTGTCAAAAAGCTTGGCATTTTTGCTATGTTTGCGACACAATCAGGGCCCCAAGGATTAGGTTGGGTTGGGTTGGGTCCGACTTGGGTCCTGCCGGAGCCTGTAATGAGTAAATTCTTATATATATTTATAATAATATATATTCTTAATTATCATATCTTCAAGGTCCTAGAACGAGTTTTAAACAAGCCGTATTAGAAGGCTCGGCAAGTTTACCATTTTTGTTACGCAATTGGGTACCCAGCACTGAGTCTGGGTTGAAGGAGGTGACCTAGAACCCAGCGCTGGGTCAAGATTTTGGCCTTAGAGCTGGAGCCAGCCGGGTCCGGGTCCTGCTGAGTCATGCGAAAGCCTAAATACATCCAGGTTAAGAGACACATGTACTTATCTATGGTTGATGAGAGATTGGTTAGATGCCAGCTATACTGAAAAGGTTTTAAGTAACATTCTTAGATTGGAACCATACGCAGCCGCAGTTTCAAGATCTAGCACCATATGATGAAATTGACCTCTCTCCATTAGCCTTAGAACACATTTCCAGACAATATATCAGCCCGGGTGCCAAGGTGGAACAAAGGTAGATGTTCCAAGGGCGTCGGCACGGTCACCTTCTGCCCCCCGGCATAGGTCTCGTTGGTCCACCAATATGTCCACGGCTTATTACCATTCCCAGTTGCGGTCTGAGGCAAATAGACCTCCCATTCCGTCACATTCGGCAACGTGACAGGTGTAACAAGCAATCGAGGACCGAACATGTATTGCTGAGTTGTAAAGTTGTTGTTCCTGCCCGTCCAAGAGGAGATGTTGGGATCAATCTTTCCGAAGTCCATAAAAAGCGGGCGCATGATCATTCGGCCCGTCTTGGAAAACTGGGCAAATATGGCACTGATATAGGGGCCCAGAGTGTACCTGAGGTTGATATATGATTTTATAATCGGAGTATTTGACTCCCCGTAAGACCATGGCTCGTTATCACATGTATAGGCATGTTTTTCCTTGCAGCTTCTCTGCCCATGATTGCGCATGAAGGGAAGAAATGTGGCCCACTGTTGCCATCGCACGTATAGCTCCCGGTATTCCTCAGTATCGATGTCATTAGACCACGAAACAGTTGAATCGGCCTGGAAGCCTCCAATATCAAGCGTCCACCAGCCCAAGCCGGTGACGGCTGCCGAGAGTCCGTCTGCAACCTGCAGAGAGAGGGTCTCCCACGTCGCCGTCGTATCACCCGACCAGATGATGCTGCAAAAGCGTTGTGAACCAATATAACCAGAGCGGCTGAGAGAGATCGATTCGCATAGCGTACCCTGTTCCGTCCCTGATACATTCCTCAGACCTTCCTCGATAGCCAGCTGGTGGGCCCATGGGTAAAGCTTTCCAACGCTCTTCTGTGTTCCAGCCATATAAAGGACGTCTGGTAGCGCATAAGGAATAGAAGCAACGTAACCAAACTGTGCGGTGTTCTCCCACGCCTCACCGAGTGACCCGCCATCCGCTTGGTCAATCCAGAAATTTTTGATGCCTTTCACATAGTAATTTCTGTATAAAGTGTCCCACAGAAATTTACGAGCGTCGGGGTTGGTAGCGTCGTAGTTCCTGATATAAGTACCATTCCATGCGTCGGTCGTTCCAGGTCCTGTTTTTGTCGCGGACAAGAATCCATTTCTTTGCATTTCTAGGTAGTTTACACTGTCGTCTTCCACGGCTGGCCAGAGAGATGCCATCATCTCCGCACCTGTCCTCTCTTTCACATATGCTGACATAGAGGCTGGGTCCGGCCAGAGTGCTGGATCCAAGGCCCAATCACCATTTTGGGCCCAAGACTCATAGTCAATAATAATCAACGACACAGGGATATCGTTCTTCACAAAATTGTCGGCTAAGAGGAGGATCTCAGTCTGATTCTCGTACCGCAGCTTCGAATGAAGGTAACCCAAGGACCACTCTGGAGGTGGAGGTGCTCGTCCAGTCGCGGCGGTGAGTTTCTGTTGCAGGGCATCGTAGTCACCTTTCGGTGCGCCTATCACAACATAGTCCACAAGCGTAGACATCTCCGAAACAAAGCGGGTTCTCAGCGGTCCGAACTCCATGCGCCCTGAGGCAGCAGAATTCCACACAAACGCGTAGCCCTTGCTGCTCATGAAAACAGGGATGGGGACGTGAGAGTTAAAGTTGATGAAATCAATGGTCTGCCCCTTCTTGTTCACCATATGATCTTGCTGCATGCCTGTGCCGTATATCTGCTCATCCGGCGATGAGCTGAAGGAATATTCAGTGTGAAACTCATATCCGTTGGTCGGCCATTCATAGTATCTGGGATTTTTAGATTTTGTGGGTGAGTACTCGTTTAGAAGCATGGACTCCGAGCCATCCGCTTCCACTCGATAGAATGCCAGGCGGGTATTCGTACCGCTGGAAAAGGTGCCACCGAAAGTCCTGCAAATGGTATTCCCGTTCCTGATGGCGATTGGGGCGGAGCCATTGAATAGGGTGTCGGCCTTCATGCCGATGGATATGCCGCCCTCTGGACCTTCAAGCGGCGGATCGTAAAGAAAGCTCACTTCGTTACCATTTGGAGGTCGGAAGGCCCAGGCTCGGACTCGAAATCCATCATACCCATACGGCTAAAAAGAAGTTATATCAAGTAAATCATGAGAGAATCGAACTTGACCATACCTGAACGAGGATATTTTCGAACCCATGCCTCATGTGGAAGCCAGTCGAATTAGGAGCGAAATATGAATTATTTTGTGCTGCGATCGCACTGCAGGTGGTGATCAAACTCAAACATAGAGCAAATGAAGCAATTGATAACCACACCATCTTTCACTCACTCTTGAGTTGATGCAGAATTGTTCATTTGTGTAGAAGTTCCCAATGTCTACTTGTAGACAGCAGAAGACGTGTACGACTGTTCTTTTATACTATTGCTCCACGTATTTTAGGCAGATTATACGACTTGTGAGGAAAGAATGCGGGGGAAGTCGGATAAATACATGCTAGATGGGCAAAATGCCGCCGAATAGTGCATACTCTAGATTAGAAACTCGCGAACATGGATATCTTGAAGTTGGAGATCTTCATTTCGGGTCAATACTACGCGAGGAATTGGAAAACCGGATATCGTATCAAAGATACCTGTGTTGGTCCCAGATGTTGTCATAGCGCCATGCGTCATATAATATGGAGCCAGGTGTTTCCAGACGACTCTTTACCCCGCCTTCTATAGATTCTATAAAATCGCTGAGATCGTCAGTGAAGCCACCTAAAAGCTCAATGTAAAGTGCTTTGGAGCTGCTCCATTCGCCCCACTCGCCCCGCTGAGTGGGCCGCAAGCCATCATCGGCAAAGCACTGACCGACGGCTAATCCATGCAGCAGATAGACAGGCCAAGTTGGCCCCCGCTTTCTGGCAAGGGTAGAGTGATGCGCGCCAATTGCATTACACCAAAACTGAGCTCAAGCCTCTTTTTACTGCTCTACCGATTTTACGGTGCGTTAAAAAGAAAACATTGATTATACACACTTTCGAGACAAGCTGGAAGCATATAAAGTGGCCTAGGATGCATTCGGAATGATGATGTTGATGATGATATTCTATTAACCTAATGCCACCTAGCTAGTCATCGCCATATTAATGTAGGCGCTTCTTCTAATTGAACCATGGACCATGTCCGTACTCTAGTAAGTCCACGCAAGAACGAGATAAGAGAAAAGGGCGTCTGCCCGTGTAGGCAATGTCCAACGTAACTCCCAAATAATCGAGTTTAGTTTTATAACATGTATCATGCCCATAACCTACTCTCTTCATATTCGACCTCTACGGGCACTCATAGCGTCCACTTCTTCTACTTCTTCGATGACGTTTATATTAATTATATTATCTATTCCCGTGGTCTTTTGGCTATCAAAAGTTTGTCGATTCTACGATATATAGCGGTTTCGCCACCTATCCATGCTAATTAATTGTAGCTAGTAATTTCGTCGTCTTCTATATCTAGTTCCGGCTCCACTTCGCAGTAGCGGAACTATCTAAGAAGATCTATTTAAACCGGAAATTCCGCGACGGAGCGAGCCGCACGCGGGTAAGATATGAGAGCCTCATAATCCGTCAAATTTCCTCCAAGATCTGTCTATGCGTAGATATTTTCTAATATAGCTTTTCTCTTATCTACGCGGAGTAGATATCAAAGCAATATGTGCTGTAGCGTCTATAAACCCTTGAGATAATTAAACTTAACTAAATTAACTTCCCTAATCTTATATAGAAAATGCTTTTGGGTGATTCGTACATTACGTATCTACACCAAAATAGACGTATAGTACTTCAGGAGTCCTCTAAATAGCGATAAAGCCTTCTTATCAGGAGTTAGAACCAACTTCTGGTTCGGTTTTCCTATCTTGTCCTTCGCCCACTACGCTACCCACTTAGCCTTAATATGGCTCTGCACCTACTGCTTTACGTTCACAGCGAGCCGCAGATACTAGTTCTGCGCTTCCGACCCCACAATTTCCACCCCTCCAAGACCCGTAATCTTCGCCGCAGCGTCTGCGAGCTCGTTGCGTGAAACGCCCACATTGTGGGAATCCAACGGATCGAAATCAAAGGGTCATTCAGGGGATGCGAGGGGAACGTGGGCATTCGAAGCGTTCGAAGTTTGTGGACGTGTGCGTAAATGGCACAGACAATGATGGATTCAGAACCAAAAAGGTCAAGCGGATTGAAAATCGGGAAGACAGGGTTGATTGGTTGGAAGAAAAATGCAGGGGGCTGCTTTTGAGAGCGGCCCAATAGCCTGTACGCCCGATAATCGGCGGTTATAACGACCTAGTTCGGAGTAATACAAAATTACATACAAATACAGGGCGAATTTGGTCTCATGTTTAGATTATCAATTGCTAGCGGCAAATTATCGCTCCACGCGCTAATGCAACCCAGCCACTAGTGCTTCCCCGCAATGCTTCCCCGCATGTCGGGCTATAACTTGCCGTGCCCTGTATTGAAGAAGATTAAGTTTCCTAGTAGTACTATATTGGTGGGGAAATCAGCCAGGCATATTGTATCGATCTAAGTCCGCACAGAAACGATTGCGTGTAGAAATGTAAGCGAGAATGGGAGACAAATCGGGTCAATTATTGCCGAGTGGTGTGCCTCATTCTTCATAACAATCAAATTTCTAATAAATTCAGCATCTGAGGCTCAGCCACCAAAGTCTTGAACGATATCGAATTACATTTGTTGACCCAACCTGCAAACATCCCTGACGACTTGGCCGACCATGATCAAACTCCTATACCTGCTTGTGTTCTACTTTGGCGCTCTCGCGACGGCTTGGTCCATAGAGAGTGGCTCTTTGCGAACACAGGGTCTTCAGAGTCCCATTAGCATCAACGTCATAAAGCCTCGTCTATCCTGGCGTCTGACATCCCAAAAGCGGAATGATAGCCAGATTGCCTATCAGATACAAGCAGCCTCTACGGCATCGAGCTTCCACAGTTTACTGTGGGACACGGGGAAAATATACAGTTCAAACATCTCGGCGCTCTATGCTGGGAAGAAACTCGAGTCTCGGTCTCTTGTGTACTGGAGAGTCCGCGCCTGGAATAGCCAGGAACAAATGTCATCATGGAGCGAGCCATCGATGTTTGAAATCGGACTTCTACATTCATCTGACTGGAGTGCTCAGTGGATCACCAACGATTTGTTCGAGCTGGGAACGAACTCCCTACCTATATTTGTACGGGAGTTCCAGGTAGAGTGCCAGACCACGAAAGCGCGGTTGTACGCCCTGGGTCTGGGCATGCAATCGATTTCATTAAATGGCGAACCGGTCACCGACGAGGTTCTAGCTCCAGGGTACTCTAACTTCAACAAGACGCTGCTCTACACCACATACGACATCACACAGGCATTGAAGAAAGGCAGTAACTTTATCAGAGTGGAACTTGGCCGCGGCGAATGGGATACTCAGTCTGCTCTGGGCGGCCGCTATATGAAATACACCGCTGCAGCAAAGCCGCTTATTTTGCTTGCGCAACTCGAGTATACCTGCAGCAATGGTACAATAAAGGTCGTTGCCTCTGATGACACCTGGGTAACTTCCGTTAGTGGGCCGACATTAGAGTCCGCATGGTATGGAGGAGAGGAATACGATGCACGCATGGAGATCAGTGATGCATCCGCCTCGTACGGAAATTCCAGTGACTGGGTCACTGCCAATATCACCACAGGCCCATCGGGGAACTTAACTGGACCTCTGTATCCTGCGTTGAAAATCGTCGATACAATCAATGCTGTGAGCGTGTCAGGTCCTTATGCGGGACAGTACGTGATCGATTTCGGCACCAACTTTGCCGGATGGTACTCTTTGGTGATAAACGAAACAGCTGGAACGAGAGTAACAATGTGGCCCGCCGAACGATTGTTAGCAGACGGAGCTATCGACCAATCAACGACAGGAAGACCAATATACGATGCCTTCACGTCAGCTGGTGTGAGTCAAGTGTACAGTCCCAAATTCATGTATCATGGATTTAGGTATCTCGGAGTGAACTTGACATCAGCGCCTCGGAGCTCAGATGCGGTAGGGCTGGTGATACGTACAGATTCGGAGTCTGTCGGCGATATTTCGACAAGCGACTCAATGCTCAATAGCATCCATCGGATCATCAATAGAGCAATTCAGAGTAATCTCTACAGCGTCATGACGGACTGCCCTCATCGAGAGAAACTGGGCTGGTTAGAGCAAACACATCTTGTTTTTGAGCCAGTCAACATGAACTATGACATCCAAGCCTTTGGTAGGGGAGTTGTGCAAACTTTGGTAGACTCTCAGACCACCGACGGGTTAATTCCCGATATCGCTCCCGAGTTTGTTGTGTTCGAGGGCGGTTATCGGGACGATCCAAATTGGGGTAATGCCATAGTCTTGCTCCCCCTGATGCTATACCAGATGTATGGGGACTTAGACTTGCTGGAGGAATTATATGACGCCATGCAGAAGTATGTGGACTTTCTGTCTGCTAAGACCTCGACGGGCATATTAGACTATGGGCTGGGAGACTGGGTTGCATTCGACACCACAACTCCACTGGGTATCACCGCGACATTTGGCTATGTGCAAGCATTGCAAGGCATACAGGAAATCTCGAAAGCTCTCGGCAAAAATACTGATGCCACGACTTATGCGGAGACAATTGCCAACGTTCTCAAGGCTTTCCAATCGACATTTGCTACCACCATCAACGGAACATATGCTTACGGCTCAGGATCTCAAGCAAGCAATGCCATGGCACTCGATTTGGGCGTGGTTCCGACTGAATATGTGGCAACGGTCACTCAACAGATTGTTGAAGCAATCAAGAACAATGGCAGCCATCTTAGCGTGGGTGAAATTGCTCTGCCATCCCTGTTTCGGGTCTTGCAGGCGCAAGGGGAAAGCGACATAATTTACGATATGGTCACAGTGCCTAGTTCCCCCAGCTATGCCTATCAAGTTTTGCATGGTGCTACATCCTTGACGGAACGATGGGATGGGCCAACCGCATCATGTTCTGGCTGTAACAGCCTAAATCATTTCATGCTTGGATACGCAGACCAGTGGCTAAGCCAACTAAGCGGTCTCTCACAGGCCGAAGATTCGATTGCTTGGAATGCCATTGACTTCTCTCCCATCTTCATTTCCAACATGACAAGCGCTAGCAGCATTTACCGTAGCATTCGTGGCTTGGTTTCCGCAACCTGGTCGCTCTCCTCCACTGCCCTCCATTACAATCTCACTGTGCCGATCGGCGCTACCGGAAACGTCACTCTGGATACTCATCAACTCGGCTTCACACGGCTTAAGGAGAGTGGTGTCGCACTGACATCCAGGTCTCATGGAAATGGTATCCTCTCGGTGAACATGAACAATACTACGATCACGGTCAAGGTCGGTTCTGGGAAGTACTTTTTCGTCGCAAATTGAGGGTTCTGGAGGACTTGGTATATGACATCTTTGACACGTGTGCGAAAACTATCGCTGCCCCATGGGCTGGATGTTGTCATCGGGATTGAGGTCTATCTAAGTAGCTATATTATTAATAATTGAAGGAATAAATGTCTAAATCTTTCAATAATAATAATTTCAATAATTTCCTCGAAATACTAAAAGACAAGATTACGTAGGAATAGCTAGGGCGAATTCAAAAGTAACCTAGGTTAACAAATAGATAATTTGAGGTATTGAATATGATATGGAAAATTTGATTCAACGGATCTGTGACTTGCAAGAAATTCCCATGACAGTACGTGGGTTCTATATACAAGAAGTTTTCCAAAGACTAGTATTGGAGTGAACGTCAATGAATAACTAAGCTCCATTATTCACTACTTGGTCTAGATACTGGTATACCCTCGAGGTCAGCCACATCCTCCCGAAAACCCCGAACCCTCAGAATCAAAATCAAGTCGCAGGCACGCGTAACAAATCTTCATCAACCGCAAATAGTTCTCTTTAAGTCATGATTATACTGTGTCTGGTGTTTCTTCCACCCTTATACTATTTGCATTTTGTGGGTATTTAGGAAATTTAGGCGTTTCTAATATAGTCAGCGTAGCGTTGTATTCGGCCTATGCGTATACTAGTTAGCCGCCGTATTGTCTCTTATAGGAAGAGTTCCACGATGGGGTCTTCATGGAATATGTGATTATTAATTTCCTCCTGGCGATAGCTCCTTTTACCACTTTTATCTTAAGACATAACTCAGGCTCACCTGAATGCGAGATAAGGTAGCATGCAGAGCCAGGCCAAGCGTTCCACGTACTTCCAGCTCTTAGGAAATTAGCGTTGCTCTATGGCTAGGTAGATTATTGCTACCCTTGCTCCACTTAGAGAAGCCGCGCAAGCAATCACATATACGACCCAAGCCTACCTATGTTTATTTGTAAAATTTTGTTGTTAAGGTTATCTAAGTGACCTGAAGAACCCGCCCGTGGACCCGATTACACACTAACCCTCCTGACTTCCCCAATGTCTTTCTATGTATGCACTACATATATCCCTTTGATGTTGTTTGAACCACATACGACCATAGGGTGTGGAGAACAGGGCTTCCCGTCCGCTCAGCCGTACTTAAGCCACACGCCGGTTAGTTAGTAGTATGGTGGGTGACCACATGCGAATCCTGACTGTTGTATGTTTTCAATTTTTTTGGTCTTTTTTAAACCTTTCTCATGTCGCTCAAAACGCTTACTGGGGGGCATTGAGGTTCTGATTCCCTAAGTTTGCCTCGCACTTCAACTTTTACGTATTTGAAACAATCATCTCTTATGTTTTCCAAGACCTTGGGAGCGAAAAGGAAAGACAAGGCCGAATAGCGACTAAGGATTGGGCTTATAAATAATCGCATTGCTGAGGGCAAAGGGAGAGGGGAGGGACCAGGAGGAAGAGGAAGATTCAAAATCCTGTTGAACGGTTTTCGTTGTTTATTGCAGAGACGGAAGTCCTGGGGAACTAGGGTCTTCATATCACGAGTAATGTACGAAGTGTTTGTAACGGAGGTGGACAATACGAGTGCGTGCATACAACGAAGAAGGTATGAAGACAGGAAAGCTATCTACAGAGAGATGGGTGGGTTAGGACCTATAGGTGCGTGTGTTCAAGGAACCCGGCCAATAAATACATATCGACTATCTGTGAAGGACGAGGATGTAGTGACGGCCATGGTATTATTTATATATCTTGGTTGCGATGCGGAAAGATCGCTCTTTTTGGGCCAAGGATTTTGGTCTTAATTTCCTGGTTGGCAGGTGCCATAGTCTCATTGATTCGGCTGAGGAAAATACCACGCAAAAAATGGATTTTCCGTAAAACCCCACTACTCTCCCAAAATCTAATTTCTATATTCATTTTGCAGGGAAGTCACTAGTATTTCGAGGGAAAGATCAATCGGTTCTTGTGGCCGCATGTGGGGCCGAAGATGTCATCGTTCCCCCAGGTTTGCATGTGGTTTGAGTAACAGTCTAGCTGTGCGGGGTCTTGGCAATGCTATTTAAATTCTCGAATGGTGACCCCTCCTGTCAGCAACGCAATCTGTGCTTACTTCGTTTGAAAGTAAATATGAATACCTCGCTTGGTATCGTGGGGTATTTCCTGTGCGCTTTGATATTTTACATACTAAATGCAAGTAACCACAGAGATTCATTCATTCTATTTGAAGCTAATTATCAAGCAGGCAATCTACAAAGCCATATCGTCACCTCTTCGTCGCATCCCCGGGCCCTTCTACACCTTTTTTACGCGACTTCCTCTTAAATTCGCGACCCTGGGCGGGAAGCAGCTGTACTATATCCACAGACTGCACCTGAGCTATGGACCGGTTGTTCGAATCTCACCAACAGAAGTATCCGTATCCTCATTGGCCGGTGTCAGAGAGATTCATCGCATTGGCTCAGGTTTCCTGAAAGCGGAATGGTATGAGAAGCTTACCCCCGATAGAGTGGGTATCTTTGCTATGCGTGATGCCAAACAGCATGCGCAGCGGCGGAAGTTATTTGCAAGGATGTTCTCCAAATCAGAGCTTCGCAGTTTATGGGAGCCTCTTGTAAAGGAAAAGGTTGCGTTGTATGTCTCTCAGATCGAGGAGGAACTACGAAGGACAGGGGTCTGTGATATATTGAAATGGTCTACATTCCTGGCAACAGATGTGAGTGGTCACCTCATGTTTGGAGAGTCCTTTGATATGCTACACCTTGGAAAGGTAAGAGATCATTTCATACAAATGTGAGTATTGAAGAATAATAACTAATGCACCACCAAGAAAAACGAATACATCAAGGTTCTGGAGTTGGCTCTGAAAGGTTCGGGTATTGGTCTCGAAATCCCACTCCTCAGGATCATCGGACCATGGGTACCTTCCAAGTCTTTTCAGAATTTGTTCAACAGCAGAGAATTTTTGAACAGTTACGGTCAACGGGCTGTGAAGAATAGCCGGAAGAATGGCGATTCCTCTCGCAACATATTCTCTGATATTATCTACGAGTCCGAAAAAAAGGAATCATCCCTCACAGACGTGGATGTTGCTAACGAAGCCGGCAATTTGATTGTTGCAGGTTCAGATACGACTGCAGTGACGCTGACCTATCTCATTTGGGCAGTGCTATCGCACCGCGAACTGCGCACGCAATTGGAGATTGAGCTGGCTGAGTTGAGTGCTGATTTCGACCAGGCAGCACTTGAATCGCTTCCACTGCTCAATGCAGCAATCATGGAGACCCTAAGACTGTATGGTGCAGCACCAGGATCACTCCCTCGTACGGTACCTGAGGGTGGTGTGACATTAGCGAACCATTATATCCCAGCCGGAACGACTGTTAGCACACAAAGTTGGACCATTCATCGTGACGAGGCTCTCTTCCCTCAACCTGAGAAGTTTGACCCATCAAGATGGCTTCCAGGTGACAATGAAGTCACCGAACAAGCAAGAATAGCATTCGCGCCATTCGGTACTGGCTCACGAACATGCCTTGGAATCCATCTATCATGGATGGAATTGAGGCTAGCGGCAGCTGAGTTCTTCATACGATGCCGAAATGTGCAACTAGCGCCAAGTGTAACAAGCGATTCTATGAAGCCGGAGCACTATTTTCTAATTGCCCCCCAAAGTCATAAATGTGAGGTCATGGTCAAAATGTGAGATTATCAAACAAGTATAGTATATACAGTATCGTGATTGCAAATTCGCCTCTTGGCCAACTTGCTTTTTGGGTCAGGGACAGTTTAAACTTATTATCGATCTTCTTGATGAAATATTTGAAAATGATTATAGCTGATCCGGTGATGGCTCCCCTTTTCAAGTAACTGTTCAGGTTGTTGCGGATCTGTAAGAAGTTGAAACAAATGGCATGAATAGTTATGGCTTTAGTAACTAACTAACTAGTCAGTCCCTCGCTCATTATTAAGAGGAGCCACCGCCGACCAATCCAGATGGCTCGAGACGAATGTAGTCATGGAACTGAATTTTCATATATCTCCTAGCAGACATTTATCTCATGGAAGAATGTTTGAACTATGGCCATCTGCCGACAAGATGCGAAAACAGATGGAAGGATCTATTCGTCATTCATTTACGGTTTTGGCAAAATTATTAGACTTATTCCTTCTCGGTGAGTAAGCTTTAACCGTCAGCGAGGATTTTAACGTCTGAGATCTCAAGAATTTATCAACTGTCATTTGAAATTTCAAAAATATTTTATCAATCAGAACAGAGAATTCGTAATCTAATCTATCAATTCCCATGAAGGGCATTAAGGACTACAGCTGACAGACTTTCTGTTGTATCCCCTGCCCCCTTTATATTAGGCCGAATAGGATCTACCTTCCATCGAAGCAAAGTGAAACTGAGCTTTTGGAATCTGAATACCCCCTTTCCATCCCATGTTGACTCCTTTATGGCCACCTTCTCCGAGTCCCATGTGTTGACATCCCGAACATCATTGGCTTCGCCACCGACGCAGAAAACCTGAACTTCGCTTTCTATGATGGGAAGTGAAGTTTCCAGACTTGTTGAGTCGGAGATGTTCACAACAGCCAGATTGATGTAGTTGTCGTCGCTTAATGCTGCAGAAACATCAAGTATAGGAATTTCCGTTGTGCTCGCGAGCCATTCTGGGGCAGTGCGTCCCGTGTAAGTCGGAGAGCGAACGTGAACGGCTAGAGTTTGACCTCTCATATACTTGGAGAAGAGTAGCAAAGGCCAGTATGTGGTTTGCTTTATCACTCCCTGATCATTAGTCATGAGAGGGGCGATAACATTCACACTCTGTGCAATTGTGGCCATGCCAATGTGCCGTGCTTGTCGCACAAAGACATTGAGCCATAATGCAACAGCTGTCATGTCTGAAACGTTGTAAAGCTCCTCCGCTCCCTTATCACCTGGAGCACGGACGGGGTTCCAAATATTCCACTCATCAAAGGAGATCTTGGGCCTGTGGCGTGTTTTAGGTGTGGTGGAAAAATGTGGAAAGGTTTCGTAGTTCATCTCGGTGCGCGCCAAATCGATAAGGGCTGATGTGATTTCGATAGCTTTCTCCGCTGCCCTGGGGCTAGTGGCATTGGGATAATGCCTAGATCGGAAAAACGAAATCAGCTACTTTCCAGTGTGTTAGCTTATATGGGTAATTGGAAGTATTACTCAAAATCGAACGTGTACATATGAACACTGTGCAGATCGGTGACTTTGAGACATTCTTGTAGAACATATCGATCCCAATCGCTGTGTCCATCCTTTCCGCATAAGACAAGCTTGATTGTTGGATCAAGTAGTTTAAGAGCTTTGAGGATTGGAAGTCAGCTTAAATATCCAAGACTAAACCCTCTCAATGGGTATGAAGATGGAACTTGCCTTTACCCCACTGTAACGCCTTTTTTGCATAATCTTCCTTTGAAGATTGTTCGACTTGCCTATGTCATATAATCAGTCTAGTTTGATTGTTTGAGGTCACTTGCAACTGACCAAGGACCCCAGACTTCGTTTCCCAACGCCCAGTATTTGACTCCATATGGCTTCTCATGCCCATTTTGCCTTCGAAGGTTGGCATAAGTTGTATCAGTATCGAGATTACAATATTCCAACCAAGCCAACGCTGGGAGAAGTTAGGGACGACATCCTGAGACAAGGAGGGGAGGGGATGGTCTACCTTCGTCAAGGGTGCCAGTGCCCATGTTCAGCGCTAGGTACGGCTGTGCCCCGATAATTTCGCACCACTTCATAAATTCATCCGTTCCAAAGTGATTTGTCTCCACTCCCTTCCAGGCGACTTCCAAACGCTTTGGCCGTTGAGCTTTAGGGCCAATACCGTCGAGCCAATGGTAGGTAGCGGTGAAATTCCCTCCCGGATACCGCACTGATGATAAGAAATTAGTCAATTGTCCCTCGTGAGTCAACTTGGCCTTGCAGCTAGGATTACAGATTTGATAGAGTACATACTGATCGGGACTTGGAGCTCTTTCATGCAATCGATTACATCGGTACGGAAACCGTTCTCATCTATGAGTCCGTTCTCATTGCTGGGATCATAGATTCCGCCATAAACGCAGCGTCCCATATGTCTACTCCATGAGGTCAGATACTTGGTGTTTGTGCCCACGTATATATAACATAGCTGGCGGCCGAACATACTCTGCAAAGCCCCCATAAAGCAAAGGATCAATATCGGCGATGGCCTGATCAGGTGAAGTGAAGATAGAAGGCTGGTCTTCCTCGCCAATCCGAGTGAGAGTTGCCATCTTTGTACCAGGATCAATGAATATAAAAGTCAAGAAAATTCACAACCGAGTTAATTCACGTTTTACTACAATGCACCGAAGCATATAACTGGCAAGATCAGAAGGGGATTCCCGAGCTTACTATGGATGTTCGGGAATTCCGAAAGAGATTTGGGGATATCTCCGGTGGGGGTGGCGTTTTTACGGCACTTTCATCAGATTTCAGCAAGCCTAAAAGCGCCCCACCTAGCCGCAGAAAGCCACTGACGGCCTATTGGCAGATTCTAGGAAGCTAAACCACCGCCACGTGCTCCACATGCAATCGCCGCGTAATGTTATCATAAACACCAAATCACAGCTAGTCTTTTATTTCCCGAGCCCATCTAATTCGGAGTCCCGTGGCGGCTTAGTTTTGTCGACGCTCCCATATTTTCAGTTCAAGCTAGCTCCTGGAGAACATCGGATTTTCCGACCGGTGGCTCTGCGGAAATGAAACAAATGGTGATACTCTATAGTTGTGTATTCAGTGCAGGGAAGGGATGGGCCGTAAGTATAATAGAACGAACGAGGGAGAGACGTCGTGAAGAGCGCACGTCGGAAGGGCAGACACCGCTGCCAATGTTCAAAGTCAAGGATTATGTGATAAGAGTATACCACGGAAAAGCCTGTTGCGGGGGGATTTATTGGAGATAAAGCCAATAAATACAAAAGACCCTACTAATGAAAGCTACCTATGTTTTGATTGGGGTTGATGACTATTTAAGCTGGACCTAACCCAAATCCATATGCTCTTCTGATAACCCAAATTTCATCGATCGATTTTCACTTTTCATTTCACACAACCGAACTTTAACAACGACCAAATCATGGACAAAAAAGATGATGATGCCTGCTTTGCACACGTGGAAAAAGAACTGGATGAGCCTCGCGAAGCCGCTGAACGTGGACGCCGTATTCAGGAGGATGAGCGACAATTGACTGCTCGGCAAGCCGCCAAACTGTACCCCCGTGCGATCCTCTTCTGTAAGTTCCATCTTTACAGGTTATGATCACGAGGCTGAATGTGTCATCCAGGTAGCGTGGCTTTCACCGCAGGGCTGATGTATGGTTATGACATCGTCGTCAACGGTTCTGTCATCGCCATGCCTTCTTTCATCATTAAGTTTGGCGCCACTGATGCATCGGGGCTCTATTTACCAACTATCTGGACATCGCTTTGGACTTCCATGACATCTCTTACACAAGCCCTGGGGGCATCCTTAGTTGGTTTTGCTGCCGACAAGTGGGGTCGCAAATGGTCCGGAGCGTTTGCTGGTATTGTTTCTATGGTTGGTACGGCTGTCCTTTATACAGCAAATACCCGGGGCTTGGTACTGGCCGGTAAGATGATTACCGGCGCAGCTATTGGGGCTGCAATGGCGGCAGGCACAAGTTATGCATCTGAGATTGCGCCGCTAAAACTGCGAGGCCCTATTCAAGCTTCGCTCGTTCTGTTTGTCGTGCTCATGCAGGGACTCGGGCTGGGAATTGTACGAATATTCGTGCCTTACGATGATGAACAAGCATTCCGCAATGTTTTTGCTGTCCAATGGGCAGTAGGTTTCATTGCTCTTGTCGCTTTCACCCTTGCTCCAGAGTGAGTTGCCATTCATATAGTTAGAGAGGACGTTGGTTTATTAACGATTTTAATTCTCGCAGATCTCCTGTTTACCTTATCCGAAGAGGTAAGATCGAAGAAGCCAAGAAGGTCATGGGTCAAATCTATAGTGGACATTCAAACATTGACGACCGCATTGCCTACCTTATCATGACCATGGAGGAAGAAAAAGCCCAAGCACATAACAAAGAAGTAACCTATTTGGACTGCTTCCGTGGAACTGATCTCAAGCGAACTTTGACCGTCGCCTTCCTCTATAGTACCAACAACTGGGCAGGTGGTGCCTTCCTAGCTCAGTCCACTTACTTCCTTCTGACGGTCGGACTGCCTGCCGTTCATTGCTTCGACATCGGCATCGGGGGCTTTGGCCTTGCCATTATCTTCATAATTGCCCTTGGTTCCCTTGGAAATAAAGTCAGCAAGCGCCAATTGGTCCTTATAGGAATCTTCCTCAACTTTCTGTTCATGATCACGATTGGCGCTTTGTACTGGGCCCCTGGTATGGGGGCAATCTGGGCCATTGGAATCCTGATGTATGAACTACCTCCTTGAGCCTTTTGACTCCATCATTGAGCCAACTGACAAAACTTTACCAGGAACATATTGATATCCATACAGACAACTCTTTTGCAAGCTGTCGGATGGCCTATTGCGGCCGAATTATCCAGTTATCACCTTCGTGCGAAGACTGTCGCTATAGCAGTCTTATCCCAGACTTTGTCAACTTGGCTTACCCAATTCGTCGTGCCGTATATGTACAATGTGGACTCTGGGGATTTAGGGGCCAAAACCGCATTTCCTTTCGCAGGTCTTACTGTGCTGATCTTTATCTGTGCTTATTATTACGTTCCTGACACGACCGGTCTTACCACTGAAGAGATCGACCGCCTCTATGTGGATAAGACTCCGGTCCGAAAATTCAGGAAGTCTACTTCAGAATAGGAGTTAAATAGCTAAAGCTCAGGATTTTAGCATTTGACTTTGTCTAGAAGGTAATTTGAGACTTTATCAGATATATTGAAATGGATCTTTATAAATCAAAACCTATATAGATAGGTATCTTATTGTACTATACTTTTAATTTGTCCCAATTGATTAACTAATATATATTCAATGGAACGTTACCTATGTTTTAATAGTATTCATAGTATTTTCCTTGGTATAGATAGGAATCATAGACTGTAAGACTTAGAGAGAATTTGCTATTACTTTGAGAGCCTTAGTAGAAGAAAGCGACTCCTAAGGAATCATTAGAGGATTAGAGCTAACTAGACTAGCTAGAGCAATACCCTCGAAAGGGCTGCCCTATGGACAAAAGCGACAGATGGCTGAGAATTCTTCTCAGCAGCTGAATCCTACTGTCAGCCAGTTAAAGACATATATTTTTGACGCACGTAGCATCGAACCAGAGTGCTGGAAAGGTTTGAGATGGATGGAGGAAAGATGGCGAAGAGATTGAGAAGCTAGACGTGAGTAATCCGATGGCGTACTCCAAGTGTTCAAGATGTCCCTTCAAATAAGGATGATATATTTGAGGCACTCCTAAAGTTCCTTCGTGTCCTTTCTCTGAGGTATCAGTGACTGTAGTTATTGTTTATGTACTAGGATTATACAATTGGCCTACACAATGAGGTCCTTTTGCTTGAATTGTTATTATGGATGACTTTAAATGTTTCACTTCCAAATTATTTCTGTTCTAGATTGATATCAAAGTGGATGACGTCAGCAGTGAAGGAAGGGTCACCTAAGGCAGCAGCAGAAATAACCTTCAACCCTTAAACCCACGAAGATGAAGTCCTTAATTTTCAAAGAGACCTAATACATCTTCCAATCCAACTCACGAAATATTGGGTGATCACCTGCATTATCATCTTGATGTCTTCCTAGGACATTTGGGTCCACATGGATCATCCCTTGTTCGTTGCCCAAGAGGCCTTGTGCTTTTACCCAATCAGCACCATATACGACTCTTGTCCTCGCTACCTCTTTTATGCCCTCCTCCTGGCCAGCTGTATCACACGATGGACAGGATGGCTTGCGAACGTATTTTTGGGGGCTGCCGCGACGTATGCTGGCACGGCGGCAATCGAAGCTTTCATCTTGGTGGCAAGCGATCGGAAAGTTCAGGCACCCGTCCCCGTCACTATTCCACTCCTCACCGAGAACAGTACGCTGCGGAGCAGTTTTCCACAGCTCGTTACCCAGACGAATCAGATCTTTCTCCAGCCCACTGCGCTTGATCTCGATGGCAATGCCGTCATGGCAATCGTCGTCACCGGCTACCTGGTCTTTCTCCCACTGCAATGCTGGTCCCGTGTGTTGACAGAAGAGCGTGCTCGAAATCTTCTCTTCTATCTCTGGAATATCCTGATGCTCGCGGGATCTATTTGCGCTCTGATATACGTCGCGAATAAGAGTGAAACTCCAACGCAGTACATGTTTTGCTACCCCGACATCCCGCCATACGAGTCCACCTCCAGTGATGGGTGGCAGGACTCCTGGAGAACGTCGACTTGGAACGCTAGTGTGTGGAAGATATTTTCGAATATGACGACATGGGGCGATATCGGTGACATCTGCTATAACCCTTGCTTCAACACCAGCCAGACTCTTCGGCAGCCGACCTCGTTGGAATCGTGGGTTCCGGAGGAGGGATCGGAGGTTTCTCTTGGGAATCGCTTCTTGAATAAGCTCATATATTCGAAGCGATACATCTACAGTCTGATTATTCTGTGCTTCGTGCTGAATCTCATTCTTTTGACTTTCAAGTTCCTCCCATACAAGTCGAGGATTCCATCTGCACAGATTGTTGTGATTTGGAAGACGAGGAAGATTATTTGCAAAGATTTCAAGGACGAGCTGAATCAATCGCTCTCGACACCGGTTAATGGAGTCGAACGGAAGGGACTGTTGCCCACAGTCAATTCATCTTGCTGGCGCCGCATCCGACCTGTCTTCACCATTCGCTTCCTCAAGGCATCCCTGCGCATTATCGCCGACTTGACGATTCTCTTTGGCCTGGTATTCAGTATGGTTATCAGCCCACTTACCATAATTGCTTTCGTAATCTGGATCGAATGGTGGATCCACAATGATGGCCCGTCACAGGAAAACCCACAGCAAGTTGGCCAGTGGTCATACTTGGTATCAATTGCTTTGCTTTTGATATCGGCGGCGATCCTCACGTTGAAATATCGAATCGCTTCTGCGTCAGAACTGGATAATGAGATAGCAATGTTGAGAAAGCAGCTTGCAAGGTTGGAGAAAAGAAGAGATGCACGGATGGAGTTGGATTCAGCTTCATTGACGCCAGATACTAGAGACGCTTCAGCAAACAACCGTGAAGGTTGACGCTAGTGAAATAAACTTGATTGAATTTATCCTTCACTAATATTTCTACCTTTTCTAAGACCAGTTTCCTTATTTCTAGAAACCTCCGCCACCACCAACCCATGACGCTCATGGCTTCAGCCAAGTCAGAGAGAATATTCAATCAATGAACGCAACATAACTTATTAACCTCCGTCATTTCCAGTTGCAAATATTCTCGAGCTATCAGTCCTCGTGCTTTCACCAGTCTTACAGCGATCAAAAGCCCGATCACAAATGAGGCACAGTCTTGAATTCCTCTCCTACTGATTGGCCCATCACTACACAGCGCATACGGTGCTTGACGTGGATATTGTCTTTAAGCGCGCCGCACAAACTTACGAAGGAACCCATTCGGAGGAAGTGCAGGACGTCGATTGTTGCCTCACCTCAAAATGGCTTTGCAATCCAATGATACTCTTTCGTTTCGGCCTGAGGGTGCGGCCTAGCTTCCTGCATATGACCCAAGTGCGTGTTGCTTGGCGATTGGTTATCGGTGGTGCATTTGGAAATCGCGATTACAGGGGTCATCGAAAATGAGAACATGGCGTTGGCTCTTCTGATGTGCTGGGCATGCACGAACAGCTCATTACTTTCCCCTCTTTTCAAATTCCCCAACCTACAAATATACTGAGCATTTGTCTCACTGTGCCTCAACCACACCTTGACTGAATCTTAGCACGACAAAAAACCTCAATGGTCACTAGGCGTTCTGCATACTTCGAAATGGATGAGAGCTTTAGACCCGCGCCAATAAATTACGGTAGAAGGCCCCCACCACATCCGTTCTTTGGACAGGATGGCGATCACAGTGATGAAAGTGTGTGCGGTCCCCAGCGCAACTTTACTCATCAGCCTCACCCACAATATGGGCGGAGTAAACAAAAGCTTCCTAAAATCGAATACAACCAACCACGCTTCTCGTGAGAATCTTCTAGTCGCGCTCAAATTAGACCTACTAATTTACTCCAGGCCCTACCAACTTCCACTGGTCAACGTTGCCCTCTGTGTTGACGACATGGAAGGTATAAACGATCGTCACGAAATTCCGGCAAAATACCTGCAGAAGTATCCTCGAATCTTTGATCTCCTTGGACCTGTAATCCATGGACGCTATATTCACGTACAGCTTTCTGGTATCTCTCGCAGAATCGTGCACACCATAGCACATTTCGTGTGTACGGGTGAATATGAGACAATTGAGACAGATGCTCAAGCAGAATCCTTCGATGAGCGGCAAGATGTACGCGAAGAATTCGAAAAAAGCGTTGAAGTCTATCATGCAGCGAAGAAATACGAAATTCATGATCTTCAGGTGCTGGCCGAAAAACACATGGAACATTTTGGGGCATCAATGACCTCCAAGGACATCATATCTTCCACTAGAAACGCTTTCTTGGATCTCCCGCGGGGTGAAATATGGCTTCCAAATTTTGTCAAGAAAGTCATTGAGCGTGAACTTGTGGCTGGAAAGTCCGATGCCAACATTCGTGCCATTTTCGGGAAACGCAACCTGGAGGGATCTGCCGCTTTCAACGCTACCATTTTATGGATGATTATTGATATCCTCTCTGCGCGTGTACATGACTTGGAAAATGAGGTTCACATCAAAGACAACATTGCGCCCGAAGTTAAGGATGATAGAGAACCTGAGAGTGTGGCAGCAAGTGAACCAGTCACGGCTACCAACAAATCTGTGAGGCGACCGGAAGAGTCTACATCCTCTGAAGATGGATTCGTAGTCAATGGATCTACTGTTGCTACGCCTGAAGAGAGCACCGCGAACGAGTCTTTTGCATCTCGAGCCATTCCTGCTGCAGTGGCCGCTGACCATCCCGATGATCCTGTGCCTGCACGCACTGATGACCGTTTATTTCGCTACAGTACGTTCGCGTGGCCTCCATTCCAACCTCCTATGAATTATAACGCTTTTGCCGATGAACCTGAGCCTGCGGGCCATGTCGCTGCATATCTTGGTGAGGAGGATGTTCCTGGAGCCGAAGAGCCTACTGTTGAGGCCGAAGAGCCTTACCTCCCTGAGCCTCCCGCTGAAGGACCTCCCACTGAAGACCCTCCTGCGCAAGAGGCTCCTGCGGAAGAGGCTCCTGCGGAAGAGGCTCCTGCGGAAGAGGCTCCTGCGGAAGAGGCTCCTGCGGAAGAGGCTCCTGCGGAAGAGGCTCCTGCGGAAGAGGCTCCTGCGGAAGAGGCTCCTGCGGAAGAGGCTCCTATGGAAAAGGCTCCCACGGAAAAGGCTCCTGCGGAAGAGGCTCTTGAGGAAGAGACTCCAGTTGAAGAGCCTGCTATCGAAACCACTCTTTCAGGCATTTTACTGGCAAAATCGAAATTGTACAAGGATTGGAAGGAAATCAGCTTGCATACAAGGCGTAAGAGGAGCAAAGTGCTAAAGAAGCGAGGCCTTCCTATCCCTTCCGAAAACGGCATTGTTTCGATTGCGCTTTAATCTCCATGGGCCAATGGCATATGTGAACGAAATGCTTTTTGAATATACATTCTGCCTCATCCACTGGAGACATTGGGTACAAAGATGATCGTTATTCCCATGCACTACTTTCAGCTATTATAGTTGGTGATTGGAGCGTGGTTGGACTTTCTATTTTTCGGAAGGACCCAAGCAGTATGAACTGAAGTCAAATTGAAATAGTTTCCAGGCTTAATCTTAATGTCGTGCATAATTGTACCCCGAAACAATCCAAGATACTGGCTCCCTTTCTGTTAATCGAAACATCAGGCAAGTTCTCGTTTGAAGCGCAACGGTATTAGAAGTTTTTGTCGTTTGGCGAGGTAGTTTCCAGTTGAAGGTAACTTCGAGGAACGCCTCATCTTCGACTAACTATTTTACAAACATTTTCGAGGGGTGTATTAGTCATTCATGGATACGATTTTTCTTTAATATAGGTCTTCTGAAAAGGCGAGGTTTTCGGCTTCTTTGACTCAATCCAGAGCATTTGGTCCACAGATAAAATCGAAGAAAAACAGCGTACGGTCGGAATGAAGGAAGATAATTATTCCGATTTTGGGAAAGTTCCAAACTTAAATTTCTTTTGTTAATTCTTGGGGGTTGAATCTACTATTTGTTTGGTGCGCTTTATTTTCAAGACTAATAATTAGAACTAAAAGAGGAACTCTAGGTTTTTGAACGCCATGGAAAGATTCCATGCTGTCGAAAATAGACAACCACATTAGCACCCAGTTCCTTAGTCGCAATTGCTCCAGGATTGAGGTCAAGTGAACTGACCGAATTTCTCTGAGTTTACTATTTTTGGTATGTGGTGACAACTCCACAAGCCTTCCAATCAACTTGGAATATTTGAACCTAGCGGCCTGGGTATTTTCACTTCAAACCCCCTTCATCTGCCCTTGGTTCCTATAGCAAACAAGTCACCACTGACTATTCAACCCCCTCTCTAATATGGCAACTCCAGGGCCTGAAGCGGGACCATCTGAGCTAAGGACACGGCGACAACATTCAGAATCCAGATCGGCTCTGGGTTCGGGACCGGGAAGAAAGCGAAGAGCCAAGAGCAAGAAGAGTTTCGCATCAAGTTTGTTCGGCATCGCCAAAAACGGGAAAAAGCGCAAAACAGTCAGGATTGAATCTGATCTTGATCCCGAGTAACTAGATCTTCAAAAGGTTACACTTCTTTACTAAAAGTCGGGTAGCGATCTTGACACCCTGATTGCGAGATGTCGGGAAAGAATAGAGGATAACATTATGACGTTCGCATTCGAAGAAAAGCTTCGGCAACTCTTGTTGGAAAAGCAGTACATTGAGTAAATCGTCTTTGCCATCTTGCCAATCTTTCTGGTTACTGCCACTTGTTGTTGAATTGGGTCAGAGAGAGCCAGAAGGACTTGACCTGAAGATTATCCTTCGCGGATATTCCCTGAAAAAAGTCCTTACAAATGTTGTGAATAATGGCGACCCATATAAGCAGATTTCTTGAAAGGTTATCGAGATTGAAATCTGCAACTCAATGGCCTGATCACCTTTTGGTGTCATGGCGATCAGCTCTGTCAACCAAGACCATTTAGCTGGGCTGAATTCGATGTGATAAGTGAAACGTATGAAGGTCATGTGGGCTTTTGGGTTGAAGGCGTGCGTTTTCCATCACCTACCATCAGACGCTTCTAATTTTCTTAGCTGTTCGAACGAGATCTAACATCGCGTCCGGCGCTCGTAATTCCGTGGGCCTTGGTACCAGGTACATTCTATGTAGGCCCACCTTTTCCACATAATTAGCTCCTGGCTAACTATTCCCTAGTATATGATGGCCTTCCGCATTCCTGGGTACCCTTGGTGGACGGAATTAGACATGCTATACGACACTGGCTGTTGCGGCAGATTGCAGGCTCCTATGGCCCTCCTGACTATCCCGCAGTTCCCATTATTGGAGAACAGAATGTAATAGGAATTGGTGGAGATGTCACCTTGCAAGAAGTTGCACTTGAGTTTATAATACTTGACCGAAAACGAAAGCGACTAACAAAGTGGATCAGAGTTCAAGTTGGCATACAGACTGGGGCATGCATTAGCATGCGTGACGATGCTAGAACTGATGGTCCGTTTTTGATGAAATATCTTTATACTGGAACGGGACCGGATTCAAAAGGTAATTTGCACATTGCCAAGAATCTAGTTTTGCTGCGTTTACCCTGCATGGAATCTCGCAATGCGCCTGGTATAGACTACTCCTCAGAAGATGATCAAGGGAAGGTTCTTACTCCAGCAAGTAGTCGCTTGCCCCAGGAAGGGGATAGGTCTTTTTCCCCCGCAGGTTTTAGAGCAGAATGAGACAAGGGATTTATGGCAGAAAGTTGCATATGTAGGTACCATTCAATATTCATTTAGACATTAGAGTTCAATTTCATATTCAGCATTTCCATCTATTCAACGACTTGGGCACAACCGCATACTATAACGGGTGATCTTTGGGGTTCATTGGTAAATACTAGCGATATGCCTGTGAGTCGTACTTGGCTTGACATTGGTAAATATCAGAAATCATGGATTTCCGGTGAATAAAAAGTTCGTGGAATACAATATTACGGAAGAAGATTGTCTAGTATTTCTGGCATGATATCCATCGGGAAGACAAATAATGAATGTATATCATAAAGCCTATAGGAAGAAGGCGAATTCGGATGATACACTAGATGTGTGTGAATTGACTCTTTTGTTCTGGACATATAACTTCAATGTTGTTAGCGGTATAACCTTCGAGTATGGGATCGTCAGTGCCTGAGGCTTGGGGGTATATCCGAAGATTAGTCCGCTAAGCTTCTCACCGCCTAAGTTCACAGAACTCAAAACCTAGTAGCAGCATAAGTGCCCTTAGTAGTCGGTTAATTGAATCTAGTTCCTTAGTATCCCTTCCTAGCTTATATATAGTATCCTATAAACTGGTGAGTTTCTTTCTATATATTAAAATAGATTATATAGGCTTCCCCAAAACCCAATTTGGGCCCAAGGTATGGACCCAAGACCCAACCCATTGGGTTTTCCTGGGTACCCACTGGAGCCCCAATTGGGTCCTATTTTGCATAATTTACCCCTGAATTTTCATAACTTGATGCTTCTGTATCATCTGTATTTTGCTACTTCTACCAGGTAGATTTAGATAAAATTATAGACATATGTAGAAAAGGCTTATATTGACTTATATTCTCAATTTGAATTAAATCCGACACGTACAAGTGGAGAGAATTTGATAAAACTATTTTTTATGCATTCAAAAAATTTTGAAGTTCAAGATGGGATATCTTCCTAGCCATTTAGTCAGTTTTCTATTCAAAAAAGGTTTAATTCATCCACCATGTATCATCTTTACTCACAGCCAGGAAATATCTTCTGCAGGACCACCGATTATCATAACTGGGAAGTGCGCTACATCTGGGCCTACACTAATAGACAGTACGATGAGTAGCCCGACGTACCGCCATTAATCACATCGACCGTCGAGCAAGCGACCAACATGATATAAACCGCTGATATATTCACAGTCGGTATTACCAGTCAGTGAAGGTATTGCAGAAGAGAAATCGAGTCTGAGAAATGTCAGAATAGTAGAAACCACTGATCAATCTACTGGGTCGGGTGATCGGGATATTTCAAGCGCATTAAATGGATTAAATAAAACAAGCACATCGGATAACTCCGAGCTAAAGCGACGGCCATAAACGGGGAATCTTCGTTGGAGACTCCATTTCCAAGGTTATTTAGAGCTTCTTGGATCAAGACCCACGGTTTAGACTTCAACAAAGGATTCAGTCGGCTAAATTGTCCCGGCAGCGGCATCCACAATCGCTAGTTTCCCCCACTAGTCCGAATTGAATTTTTTACTGAGAGGAACCTCAAATGCTTAAATGTCATTGGGTGTTAGCTTAAATGAGGAATCGCCTAATGCCGAGAGGGAGTCCTGAGCCGATGAATCATTCCCTTATAGTAAGACCCAAACACCAAGTGGCACTGGGATTCTTCGCCAAAATCAACTTTCCCTTCTTTTTTGAAAAGTTTTAATACATGATTTTAGAACCACATTCGTTTAATTAACCTCTGTAGCATAGGTTTCATACCTAATGAGGTTCTCTGCTTCGCTGCTGCCCCTCGCCGGGCTGCTGGCACAAATCCTTCATGCCCAAGCGAAAGACATTCAGGTCTGCACTCAAGTGACCAAGCAATATGTCACCAATGGCGATTTCGCGACCGATTCGGACTGGACCAGCTCTCAAGACTATACCATCGTCACTAAGACTGAAACGGACAGCGGATACATGTAAGTGGTAACATCCCTACACCTCTCATATCAGGCTAACCATAGGGGGGGAAAGTGAGGTGCCATTTGAAGATAACGATGGCCAAACTGTGACTTTATTTCAACAGTCCGTCTCGCACACCAATATTGGACCTTTCTATCAAATGGACTTCTACTGGAATATGATAACGGATGACGATAGTGTCACTTGCACACTGGGCGTCCGGGCACTCGGTCCCGACGATAGTTTTGCCCCATGGGTCACCGACGGCTATCTCAAAGTCTCGGCAGGAGAATCTGGATGGACAAATGTGCTGGGACAGTGGCAGGCTACCGAGACCGATATCACGCTGCAATGGCAAGTCACTTGCAGTGGCGGCTCTGGAACTGTCCAGTTCAAAGACATCTCCTACAAGGGGCCTGAGATTGTCTGTACCTCTCAGTGTGCTGCTTCCACACTTCGAACCTCCGGCGAGCTGATCGCCGATGGTGATCTCACAGATAACTTTTACGATACCTGGGACACCGATGGGGTAGGATATGCGGTTGACGACGATGCTCCGGGGGGTGGACAATGCATGTGAGTAACGGCAATAATCTGCACAAGAAACGTGCTAACAATCGTGATTATGATAATAGCTTCATTCCGGGCGAGTATAGTTGGTATGAAATGAATCAGACCATTGCAGACGCTCAAGCCGGCCAAACTTATCATGCTAGTGCGATGTGGAGGCTGAAGTCGTCATACGCCGATGCTGATAATTTCCCCACTTGCACCTTCGACATCAGAGTCATCAATCTCGACAATGAGGTTCTGTTGGATCTGGCACACATGACATACAGCCTGACAGCCAGTGACAGTGGGTGGATGTCTCTCAATGGGACCTGGAACGCAACTGTGTCCTCCGCCATCGTCAACGTATACACTCAGTGCACCGCTGATGACTATGAATACTACCCGGATATAGAGATTGCCGACATTCACTTGAGATTCGAGACTGTGGTTTGTGCCACTCCTTCGTCCTCGGCCGTGGCCAGCTCTACACCTTTGAGGTCTTCGGCTAGTTCCATTCCTTTTGTCCGCTCGACTTCAGTCTCGCGCTCTGTTTCTGGCTCTTCTACTCCAGTTTCTCGCTCTGTTTCATCTTCCTCTATTCCAGTGTCGACGCCTTATAGCACCACACTTTCAGTCTCTCGCTCTATTTCTGGCTCTTCCACTCCCCTTTCTCGCCCTGTTTCATCTTCCTCTATTCCAGTGTCGACACCTTATAGCACCCCACTTAGGGTTCCAACCACAATTCCAATTTCAATTCCCCAGTCGACTCCCGTCTCTCACTCGGTCACGCCTCATTCTATTCCTGTTTCCTCGCCTTATAGCATTCCGATCATTGGGCCTACCACAATTCCAAATTCGATTCGTCAGTCGACTTCTGTCTCTTCGGTCAGTGTCTCCTCGGCCTCTTCTTCTTTCGCTGTCACAGGCTCTATTTCGGTTCCTGTGGCATCCAGCTCTGGCTCAGGCTCATTTGGCTCTGGCTCGTCTGGCTCGGGCTCATCCAGCTCGGGCTCGGGCTCGTCTGGCTCGGGCTCATCCAGCTCGGGCTCGGGCTCGTCTGGCTCGGGCTCGTCTGGCTCGGGCTCGTCTGGCTCGGGCTCGTCTGGCTCGGGCTCGTCTGGCTCGGGCTCGTCTGGCTCGGGCTCGTCTGGCTCGGGCTCGTCTGGCTCAGGCTCGTCTGGCTCAGGCTCTTCTGGCTCAGGCTCGTCTGGCTCAGGCTCGTCTGGCTCTGGCTCATCTGGCTTCTCTGGTTCATCGGCATCGGTTTCAGCAACATCAACCTCAGCTCCTGATCTCACTACCTTTAACTCCGACAGTCGGTCAACTACATCTACTATCTTCACAACCCAGACAAGCACCGTCACCGCATGCCCATCCACCGTGACTAACTGCCCAGTCACCGCTAAGACCACATACGTGACGACAGAGACCATTCTAGTCTCAACCACGGTCTGCCCGGTTACTGCAGCTCAAGTGGCGCATCCAACTACAGCATCGATCGCTGACAACGGCTCATACACATCTACAATCCTGTCAACCCGCACGATCACTGTAACTTCCTGTGCTGCTACAGTCACCAACTGTCCTGCACGCTCCCAGACTACATACACCAGCATCCAGACCCTCGTCGCTGGCACCACTGTCATTTCTGCTGGAACATCTCCCACAGTGCCGAGCTCTATACCCTTCGAAACAGCTTTAGGAAATACGGAGTCTAGCTCTTCTAGCTACGAGTACGCTGGTACAGCAAGCGCTACTGATTCCATCACGTCGGACAAGACAAGCTTCACGGAACCTACCAACCTCCCCATGGGCAACACTGGCTCTGACAGCACTTACGCCGAATCTATCTCGGGGGAGAATAGCGAGAGAGTGAGCACACAGTACGCATTTGAGACTATCACCGGCGCCATGGCAGTAGCCACCGGGTCTCACGTTGGCTCTGGAGCTTCTCCTGTGATTGCCTCTGGTACAATGCCAGTTTCCGCCGCCTCCAACGGTAGCACTGGAACTGTGGGTGTGTCTTCCAGTGCTTCCCATGCCTCTAACTCCATTAAAGTGCCCTCGGCGTCCTCCACCCTGGCCACGGTTGCTAGTGCGACTGAGTATTCTTCTATGACAGCTACATCAGCCCCTGTATGGAATGATGCTGTGTCTCTTTCTGTTCATTCTGGCTTGCTGGCAATGATTGCATGGGGTCTTGCTGTTATGCTTTTGTGAATAATATTTTGATGACTTGTGTCTTCAATTAGCCTTCTTGTATTATAATAATTTTGGGTACAACTGTCTTCTGTCAACTTTTGGAAGTAAATTCCAGTACAGGGTCATTTTTAAACGGACAATATGTCAATATTCCTCTTTCCTATCTCGCATTTGAATTGATGTAGACAGATGAGCATTTTATTGAAATCAGTCCGGAGTTAAATTAACTTGCATGGCTTGATAATTCATATTATCCGGTGTTTTTACAACTGCTTATTACCATGATGTCTGTTGGATTTTATTAGAAGCTACATATTACTAGCAAAGCATCTTGACCTTTGCTTCCTTAGGCTTTGCCTTATTCGAAGTTCTTCATATGGCAAACAGCCTTTGTGGGTGCGATACCTATGACACCAGGATAGTAAGCCCATACATAAAATGCTCCTATTTCACAAGTGTGCCCCGCTGCCTTTTTTTTTGCTGTACGAACAGTATACTACTACATAGTTACGTCACAGGTGCAAGAGTCCTTTAGCTTTCAGCAGAAATATATTCTGACTTCAAAGTCAGTTAGCTATAATCTTCTCCATATATTGAATACGCATATCTCCTCCTCAAGACAGACGCCACGCCAGCATCACTGAGAGACAGATATAACTCTCTTGAGGACTTTCCCGCGTCTCCGAGTTCCAAGACTTTGGACAATGTTATCTTTTCCTCCTGCAGGGTACTCTTTCTGGTCTCGTAGGCGTCTTCAGTGCTTCGCTTCAAACAAGCCCCCTCGGAATCAATATCTGGGAGTTGATCTACATATGTCAATTTCCGTAGACGTTTGGTACATAGGCTTCAAGGACTATTCGCGTACCTTCTTCAATCGCTCTTGTCTCAGAATATGGCAAATCCACCTTTCCTTTATCTTGCACCTCTGAAGTAGGTGAATCTTGTAACTCAGCTAGACTTTCAGAAGTCGATTGGTTATTCCTTCGAGATGTGAGAACAAAGTATCTTTAATCGTGGGGTGATGATACATACTGATCATTTCTCACAGGCATATTCATGAGCTTCGCATCGCCAGAGAGTGAAGATATATCTGACTTGGACCCCGCTAGTTAGTATTGAATTCCGAAGTGAGTGGTGCAAAAGCTAAAATGTTTGATTGAACATAATAAGACAAATGATTTGCATGATTTCGAGGCTGGCTTGGGGATGAAACGCTTATTGATTCGACAATAATTTTGACTCGATGCGAGGCGACATTTCTGATTGTTTACCCACGGTTGAATTACGAACACCGCTCTCAGGGTCCCAATCTGTATGTCTATTTCGCCATCTGTGGGGAAGTCCAGATAGCTCAATATTGCTCTTTGGACTTCCTTGGTGTATGGAAAAGTTCTTTTCCTCTCGATATCTTGCCAGTTTCTCAGTAAGGATAGCAATGCAGAAAGAAAGTCACAACAGAGGTACTGCAATAAGAGGATACCAAACTGGTTTGATGTTCACTTCTGGGATCGCCAAAACGGTCTGTTGCAAGAATTAGTCCTGTGGGTTTAGACTTTGATCCGTGGATCATATTGGACTTACTGCAACGTAGCTAAGCGGTACGTAAACAAAAGCCAGATTGGTAAGCCGACCCACTGATTGCCCCTGTGAAATGGCAGCTAGTTTAAACTCCTTGAAATTATCAGTTTCGAATGGTGCCTCTACTCGGAAGTAACCATGAACGTACCATCTCAATTAAATTGAAGAATTTATCTTTGACAATATCGAGTGTAACCACGTTGTGAGCCATTTGTTACTTCATACGGTGTAATTGGCTCTCGATCTCGCGATAATCGTCCTGTCCCCCGGGCTGGAAACCTATAGTTTGTTCAACGACCGCTTGATGAAATCGTAGGCTTTCATGTAGCTCAATCACAGTGGCAGTCCGGTGATGCAATATGCGAGTATGAACAGTGACAGGCACTGAGCCTGACATGCTGCGCATTTCGGCGTCCCGAAGGATGTGTTTCAGAGACGCAAGCGTAGAAGTCCAGTCGGTGAAAAGATAGAACAGATCCGGGATCAAGTGCGTGATATTCAGGCCCAGACGCTTCCACCTTCGACATGAGGCCTGGCAATAATGTCTCTTCACAGAAGTCATCAAATCTGGTGTTCTCGAGCTCCCAGCAATAATCACTAAGTTTCTGTTTTTGACCATTCGTGAACATGCGGCTGAAAACATCGATCATTTAATGTTTATATAAGAAGCATCTCTGTTTGAGGTCTTACCTATTGGGGAGCTTAAACAAGCCATATCTCCTAAATCAAGAGATCCATCTGCTCCCTGATTATGGCATCTCGGGACAACTCGAATGCAACTAAAGAGGGAGTCTCATGAATATGTAAAGCTTGCATGTATATTTGTAGAGGGACACTATGTATTGAAAACAATAGCATACTCTGGAAAATGTCTTTCTCGAAAGATAGCAACGAATATTGGGTCGAACTTTCCGGATATCCCAAATTCTCGAATAAATCCTGTGGCAAAAAGGGAAATTGGAGGGAAAAAGGTGCATCGAACTCCGGTCTCCAGTGATCGATTATTCTAGTGTATTAAGCGATCTGTCAGCTATTGCATCCCGTGAAGTTAGTCTTCGTGGGACTGACAATATTATCGGTGTATGAAGCCAGAGCCAGTTCTTCCCCTGCTGCTTATCGATCATACAAGTGACATTTGCATTTAAAAATTCGAAGAATTCCTCTGGGGCTGTTGGATTGAAAGAATGGGACTCAAAATTTACCCTCCCATAGACATCAAGCGACCCAATAGCCGCGGAAGAGAGTTGCGCTGACATTGGGCTGAAGAGATCTAGAGATCTCTGTAGAACTGATGCGTACTGATCTTTATCAGAATACCCGAATTGTCTGTTGGAATTCCCTCGCTCTTTTATCTCCGAATCAAAGGCAGGGTAGTGAGGTTGAGACACAGCCACACTCTATAGGACCCAGGATCGAATACGTGCGCAGCCTCACTTGAAATTCCTTCAGAGAGGGATCTGTATTTTTAATCTGAAGTTCAACATATCATCGATGAGCTGGCCCCAGTTTATGACACAATTTTGAAGCCTAAAGCAAATCAAGTCAAATAAAAACCATGAGTTCTCCATAAAGATTTTGGGCTTGTACGAATCGCTCATACACACATCTCGTTTCCTTACACTTTATAGGTACAAATAATATTGGTTTCCTCTTATCTCCACGGTCAGGTCGTTATATCTACTATCATATAACCCGTTTCAAATGCCTACATCAGAGTATGAGTAGAACACAGATATTTGAATGTCTCAGAGAGGGACCGTCGAATAGAGTTCTGGGGCCTGGAACTTATTGAAAGTCCGATTCATAGTCCGTAATTATTTCTATAACCGTGTACTGAATGATGAACAGAAACATTAACCCATAGCGCGTTCATTTACGTCTGAATAATTATTTCGATTCTGAGGATAAATTCTCGATATGATCAGAACGATGGGAATACGCGTTTTCCATGACTATAACGGACCTTCGCTCAGGCCATCTTCCGCAATGCCTCAGAATCTGTCGAAGATGCTCCAAAATGCACGAGACAGAGCGATTCCATCGTTGTAATACAAGTTAATATCTAGTACCGATAGTCACAGTGGAACTTAGCTATGTGCAATTTTGCCGTGCCTAATGGAGACTAACCAGTTCATCTATACCTAAATACTTTATAATAACTAGATTGATCAAGAATTTCTAGATCAGAAGAGTGAACCTTGTGCATTTTTAGTTATTTTGTGAAGAAATTTTTAGATCTATATGCATGAGCTCTATCGACCTCTCCTCCACTAATTGAGGAAAGCAAGAGCCAGATTCATATTTGAAGGCATGAATACTTTTTCTGGACATATAACTTGATCAATAAAAAGATTAATACCCGATCTACATATTATCTAGGACTTTCAAAGAGGCGACTTTATAATAATTCTATTATTAGAGGTGATATATGTGTTTCGTCATCAACTGACTTGAGCTGTGGGTACCCTAATATCTCCAGCGTCGTAGAGCTTATTGCTGATATTATTCACATAAAGCTTACTATACTTGACGACATGGATCATTTGTTACATTAGTCAACTACTTACGCAGGGATTTGCTCAATATTGTACTTGAGTCTTTCGTGCTTTGCGGAGGAGTCTCAATATCAATCGACTCTTCATTTCTGGGGCTAGGTATGAAATCGAGAAATAAGAAGGAACCAACAAAATTCGTTGAAATCATATATTTTTCTTCTAGTAGTCAAGCGTGAAAATGAATCAAGGGAACGAGACAAAAAGCCTTGCAGACAATAACTGACCTCGCAGATACAATAGGAGAAAAAACGACAATCACGAAAAGATTCGACCTAAGATTCCCGCAATACATTCCTGCAAGGTAGGTGGCTCAGACCACAAATTAGCGTCATAGAAACCAGGATGGGGCTGCTGAGCAGGCGCATGTTCAACTGTAGGAGGCGAGGGAGGCGCGTAATGGCCAATTGCCCAAACAGGCTGCATCAATTTCGTCCGATCATTATGGTATGCTACAAGAGGCGGTGGCACCCTCTGACTCTGCTCATATTCGGTAAGATACCTAGTGTTGCCAAGCATTTGATCTGACATGTACAGTCTTCCTTGACTATCAGGTCTGGTCACATGGAATAGCAGGTGTCGGAGCCAGATACCGCTAAGTTTAGGCTGACCTACAGTCTGACGACCGGGTGCCACGTAGCAGGTAATCGCTGTCCAGGGAGTGATTTGAAGTTTTTCAGTGGTACTAGGCATTTTGTAATCCCAGAATAAGGCTGCCTCGATATGGACGACTCTGAAAATTCAGTTCCAGCTGCGGTACGGACGAATGTCTGACCCGCCTCTAGCGTGATGAAGTTGCAGAAATCTTCGACCTTGAGGCCATCCTGCTCATACATCAACATATGCTTGGATCCCGTATCGTCCATGAAATCGTTTTCGATGTATCGATTCTGTTCCTTGAGGCGCTCGGTCATGTCTGCGGGACGGAGGGCAATTCGAATCTGGATAAATGATGTTAGCAATCAACTGAACGAGATGATTTGGGCTGAAAACTTACATTATGCTGAAAGTTAGTCATCGATCGTGGTGCAGCCCAACTAACAAAATTGACGGGTTCAGGCCCGGGGCCCTTCAACTACAGATTGTTAGTGAGGATCAGAAAAAAGGAGGAATGGTAACTTACTCTTTCAACGAATCAAGACTTTGGGCAGTCAAGCTCACACTGACAACCTCGGTCTACTTGGTCTTGGTCGGAGCTGCGTCCTTGGACTTTGCCTTCGAGTCACCCGAACTCCTCCTAGTCTTGTCTTTCGGCACGGACTTAGCATTTGTTTCAGCTTTATCCTTTGGCTCATATTACTTTTGGCCTCTCCAGCCTTGGGCTCGGTGGTTTTGGTATCCTTTTCCTTTGGCTCCGAGGCTGTCTTGGGCTTCATCCACTGCTCAGGGCCATGATGCTCCTTCGCTCTTTTCACACTGCCTTTTGGAAAGACTTTTTCCTCGTCACTGCCATCCTGGTTGTTATGGGCATCTTTGGTGTCAGTCCACTTGATCGAGTCTTCCTTCCTGGCATTTCGGTAATTGTTTCAAAAGAAGAGAGCATCGGATGGTATGTGGAATGTGCTGAGCCGCACATGTCAATATGGCTTCGGACAGGGAATCATGTCGAGTACCAAATTTGTCGTTGGATGCAGAAGAACAAAGATTCTACTGGAACTTGGATGGCCTTACTTAGCTTTGACCTTCCTGGGATGCCGGTCACCAATTTAAAGGATAGCTTAAAGAAAGTGCATGATTCCACCTCTCCACCGGACCAATTTTCAAAAATAGCTGGCTATATCGGATAGTCTGTATTCATCCATCGCGTGTTTGATACAGTAGCGGCCTCTTTCGCCTTTCGTGTCGAACACAGAGAAGCTGTTCCAAACCCTCATCATACGTTCCACCAATCCAGATATTAATAGCACGTAAACAATCCTTTTCAATAGCTAAGCGGGTAAAATATACTCTAATCCGAAGAAACAAGCATAAATCTACTGTCAGTCAACCTTGACCTTCTAGGGTGAAAATTCCGTGCAAACCCTGCAAACATAGCAGTCCAAGAATAAACAACCTGCCAACGGTCCCAGTCTCTGAGATTTGCGATTTCATTACTACTGGAAGCCTGGTGACTTTCGGGGTATCTATTCGTGATCAGTTGATGGGAATGGTAGGATATTAACTCCTATTCGTAATGCCCGCCACTTATTCCTTATCACGTCATCCTGATGGAACTTATTAGATGCCAATGATTATTCACTGATCGCTTCTATTTATAGCGATGTTGCTTATCAACCCTAGGCAGAAGGCATATAGACCGGATAACGTCCAAATAGTGAAGAGGGGAACGCTCGTTGGCAGCATACTCGGAGATGTGCGGGTCGATTCAGCAGCACAAGACCACGAACCACGACAGGTTGTACGAGGGATTCAGGGAACCACCCGTAAGGTTCAGATGAGAGAGGTGTGGAAGCGTGTTATTCAATGCTATCTTCGAGGTGCTAGATATGCTAACCGTGCCCAGCATACCAGCGTACTGGAAACCAGATGTTATGATACAGGTCGGAAAACCCTCTTCCGGGCTGGCGCGTAATACAACTAACAGGGTTTCCCCGCTACACTTTAACTGTCGCATACAATCAATCCGAAAGAGCTCTCTTCTCTTCCCCTTAAATCGAGCACCCCTCTCTTTCAACATCCAAAATATGTATTCCCCAATACCGTTCATTCTGGCCGTATGGGACTTGGTTCAGTCATCCATCTTCTTGGTATCGCCGCAGTCCCCGCATCATTCTCAGCACCACTCGATATGGGATCGCGTAAGACGAAGCCCCGAAACCATTGGACAAGATGCGCGATGGAATGCTGAATCATCCCTCTAAATTGTTCCCTCGGCAAATCTCCACTTCCATTCTTGCTATGCTACTTTTGAATGCGCCCGTCTTGATGTCCCATTGGACTGGTATAATGAATCCACCAACTCACGAGTTGCCGTCGCGCTAATCAGACTGCCCGCAAAAGTAGACGTGAGCGACCCACGATACGGCGGCTCGATGCTTATAAATCCCGGTATCTATAACACTCATCGATTCCGAAGCGAATAATATGGTGATTCCTGTCCCAATTTTGTTAATATATCGTTCCCAGGTGGTCCCGGAGGCTTAGCCATTAACCTTGCCCGTCTTCATGGCAACAACTTTCAAATGATCGTCGATTCTCCACTCAGCCCCAGCGATGCCAAATCGACGTGGGCAGATAAGTATTTCGATATCGTAGCTTTCGATCCTCGGGGTGTCGGCTTTACTACCCCGCCATTTACATGCTTTGCCAACGCCCAGCACAGTTTATTGTGGCAAGTAGCTTCAGAGACTGATGGGTTACTGGGTAGCTCAAATTTGGCGTTTAGCCGTATGTGGGCGAGAAAGAAGGCCCTTGCTGATGCTTGCTATATTCAAGATGGGGACCAGGGGATTAGCGCACGAATGAACACTCCAGTCGTTGCGATGGATATGGCAGCGATTGGAGAAGCCCTTACACGATGGCGAGTAAAGCGGACTCAGTCAAACAATCTAATTCGGGAACCACAAAGTCCAATGGAAAAATCGGATCTGGGATTACACAAGGTGCAATATTGGGGATTCTCGTATGGAACCCTACTGGGTGAAACATTTGCCAGTATGTATCCACAACTCGTGGGCCGTCTGGTACTGGATGGTGTTGTTGACAGCGATCGCCATTATGCCGGTAAGTGTATCATTCTATACTGGTCTACTGCTGATTGCTAAAAATATAGGAACTTGGGACGGAAACATTAACGATGCAGATGCTATAATGGAAAGATTCAGCAGCTATTGCTATCAAGCAGGACCTGATAAATGTCATTTGTTCTCTGAAAAGGGTCCGAGATATGTTCAATCTTCGGTCGACGATATTGTCGCTTTTGCAAGAAATACAACAAAATCCGTGGTTTCAGCACACAGACCGGAAATTGTCACCTATAGTGATGTGCAGAAGCTCATTCGGGATTCAATATATGAGCCATTCAAGGAATTCGAAGGACTCGCCCAGGCATTATACAACTTAGCTAATGGGGATGGAAGCATAATTGCGAATCGAAAGCAAACATCACCACCGCGGGATATGTTCTTTGAACCTGCTGATTATGCAGAAGAAGTGGTTGGAGCTATATCCTGCTCCGATGGCCCTGACCAGAGCAATACAACTAAAGAGGAGTTTATGCAATATTGGCAGAAGATGCGTCATCAGAGTATCTACCTTGGCGACCGATGGAGTCAAAATCGACTGCTCTGTCTATTTTGGAGAACCAGACCTGAATTTACATACTCTGGTAAGAAATTCCATGTACTCTGCATATGCTCAGGCTTCCTGGCATTCATTAACTACTATTGGTATCTTTAAAGGGCCGATTGGAGTCCGCACAGAGCCAATCTTGTTTATTGGAAACAGTTTAGACCCGGTCACGTCCCTTGATAAGTATGCCAATGTTGATATGAAATGGATATGCAGATACGTTTATGTGAATTGACACGATCTTTTGCAAAGCGCGAAAAAAATGAGTCAAAGACTTCCCGGATCGGGTCTCATCCAACAAAGCTCAGAAGGTGTAAGTTAAGCATAGTTTTTAATGCCGAATATCGATGAATAATATTATGAAAATTTTTAGCATCTATCACTTGCGACACCTTCTCTTTGCACCGCAAAAGCAGTTCGACGCTATTTCCAGACTGGCATACTTCCAAATCGTGGGATGTTGTGCCCGGTTTATGATAAGCCATTTGACTTACCAGGCGATAGGATAACAGGTTTGTTAGAGAAGGGTGACGATGACCTGCTGGAAGCTTTGAGGTCTATTGCGGGTCAAATGTGGTAAAGAGAGAAAGGAAAAAAAGGCTTGCTGATTATATTAGCCGCACTCAGGAACCTAGCGGTGGATCCACACTAAATTCCAGAAGAGCCAAAAATATTTTTTGAATGTTGGCCTGCATGGACCGGAATACGTGAAGGATGACCAATCCCTTTCCACTACTGTCGCTACTTAGGCTTGGCTATAAAACCTCTGCGCTGCGCCTCTTTAATAGCTTCATCGTAGCCTCCTCCTACTTACTTCGTTGCCCCTTCGCTTAGTAGCTGATCAAGGCCTGCGGACCTTAGAGTTGTGGGCTTTTGAAGTACTGCCTGCAGGTGACGCAACTCACAGAAGACGGGACTTCAAACTAGATATTCAAGTCCTACGTAGGGTCATAGACGATGCCACGCGGGTCAGCGGGTAACTCTCTGAGGACCGCTCGCGGGTTACTTTGAGGTCTAGGAAGGTCTGCTAAGATTATATTAGAGTCTCCAAATAGTTCAATAAACGTGGATATTTTCACTCGGCGCACTTCACATGATACTCGAAGAAATAATTTTGTTCCCACCTGGGCAGGTTTGTAAGAACGCAAAAGGCATATTTTGAGCTTCCTCATTAACCTGTTCCAGTGGGCCTCGGTACGTATATCTCCTCCACTGAACATCTGAAATGTTGGAATTCAGACGTAGAGGTCATTTTCTTCCGGACATAAATATACTTGATGACAAAAAGTATACAGTATTCATCATGCTTGAAGCTCCAACCACACTCAACGATACTCCTCATCAATCTGAATGATAGCATCCATACCTTCTCTCTCAAGAACATCAGTATCCAAAACAAGTGTAGCAAAAAGAACCGCCGGCTCGGTCTTGCTAGCATTATCGCTGATACGGTGATGACAACCAGGAGCCTCGTACCAAGTACCTCCAGCGGGGATCACCTTCATCGGATCATTGTTCATTTTGTTCAGTAGTGTTCCACTGACGACGTAGGCAGAGACCGCAGAATCTCCATGACGATGGGGTGGAGTTGAGCCGTTTGGTGGAAATGTAACGTGCAGGCCGACGATACTCTTTCCAGGGCAGTTGGATAGTTTGTATTGATATGCCAGGTGAATATCGGGCATCGGGCGACTAGAATAATTGTTAGCATTGACATATAGATTGAATAGTGTTTCGGACCTAGAGTCGTAGGATGATTCTTCCATTTTGATTTTGGAACTTTGAGACAAGCTACAATGGTACACTGTAGAAGTTTATAGCGTGGTATGTAGATTGAATGAAGGCATATATCAGCTTCTTTATAGTTGTTCAAGCCCAACAGGATTCGGATTTCAACAAATTTATGTTGAGGTAAGCTTAAATTCGTACCCGATTAGCCTTCTCTATTTTTTCCTATCAATAGGCTATCCACGGTTACCCGAAGCTCGCCCGGCTTGCCACTTTAGTGCTATCAGAATGCCAATAACCCGGGTGTGCTAACAACTTCTGACATGCCAACAATGCTAACGGCATGATCACACTGCACAGGCTGTTCACCGTATTTCTGACACTGATGACATTGTGTATAACACTTGCCACGTTATTGCCAAATCTGACTTTCCTCAGTGAGGTTCGCTGTATTTCCAAACTGTAAGACTATATATGAGGAGTCTGTGGTAGCTCTAGGCTACTGTGATTCAAATGTGTAGGCCAAGGAATGTCCAGCTCGTGGGCAAAAATGATAAATCGGCAAGGCAAGGAAACTTGGTTGCCTGAATATCAGGCTGAAGCACTCTGATTGTCACCATCTAACGAGAACATGCATACGCTGGTTAAAGAAAGGCAAGACCAAGTCATATACCATAATGAGAGAATAAGGAAACAAGTATAGGCAGCCGCTTCGTAGGCAAACGTAAATCAAATGAATAGCAGAAAGCAGACATATCTAGCTTCAAAGGGTTGATTTAATTTAATCTGGACCCAAGAAACAAGGCAGCAGCCTGGCCTTAAGCCCCAACATCAACGAAACTTTACATCAGGGAACAACACGAGTTCTGTTTCTTGGCCTGTGTATAGAACATCTTACTCTGGGCGGAGAGACCGTCACTCTTTTGAACCAATGAGTCAATCTTCTCACCACGTTCCAGCACACTCTCAATCTAATGCAATGATTAGCAATCGGCATTCTTCGTGCGTAGGCATCCAATATACATACAGTCTTGTGTAGCACAATCTTGGTCTCATCCAACTCCTGCTGAATCTTCATAATGTTGTCGGCCTGATTAGGGTCCTGGTATTTGATAATGTATTCCTTGAGGGCGGGCAAGGCGCATGCGTTCTCGCGCAGAGACGGGTCGGACCAGGATGTGCGGGGGTGCTTCGCGAGGAACTCGTCAACAATCTTGGACAGGAGCTGGTGGGCTACTAGGGCTGGGTAGTCGCCGTCGGTAACGATCACACCGGCAACACCCTCGGTCCGGCCGTATGCGTGGAATGTGTATGACTTCTCCTCGACATCCTGACGTTGTCCGGGCTTCGTGCGCTCGGCGACCGTGCGGCAGAAGAGCATCAAGAACTCTTCATAGCTGAAGGGGTGTTAATTAAGTCGAGAGAACGAGACCGCGGGGCTACCTACTTCTGACGGGTGAAACGGGAAAAGCTATTTCGTGTCAGCGACTACTCAATATGTATTCATCGGGTATGTGCACATACGAAGAGAGATCCTTCTCGGCACAGAGCTGGAGAGCCGGTTGAGAATCGTTCCGGAGAACCTATTGACAATATAGAGAGTCAGAACTTATCCGAGGAAAGCACAAATCGCCAGAGGACTCCAAACACGTACGCCCATATAGAGGATCTTCATGGTGGCGGGGATGGTAGGTTCGCTTCACACAATAAGCGGTAGTGGGAGTAAAATATTGACACCTTGATCAGACCTGAGAGCTAGTGAGATGAGACAGGTAGCAAGTTGGCTACGAAGGGGTAGTGCTGAGGACGGGAGGAGAAGATCAGCTTTAGGGGAATAAAGGTGGAGGCGGAGAGTCTCCTGATAACTGATGATGGCACTGCGGGTCCAGGGCCTCTGGCAGAACCCCACACCGCCCAGATTAGGAATAGTCCATTTATGTTTCGAATAACTCCCCCTCATTGTTGACACTGTTTACTTGAATATTTGTGAACTATGGATCCCACTTCTACGACTCAGTCACAATGGCTGTCCCAACTAGCTGCCATGCGTCAGGCTATCGCCGATCTGAAGCTCCCCAAAGAGCTGCCCCACGATACGACTGGTTATGGAAGCGACATGGATTTGGACATTGATGAAGACTACTCATCACCTGGTACGGTTGATGATGTCTGGGATATTATCAGTTCCGACGATGAGACGACCGACGACCTCGACGATGTGAACGAAATTCCCTTCTCTCAGACTTTACCCTACGATCGACTTTGGCTAGAAACAAAATGTCAAGAGCTTGCAGCTCGCTCGAGCATGGACGCGGCAGAGCTTAGCCAACAAATCCTCGCCACGCTTACCGCCGCCAGCGACGACTCCGAGCTACAGATGTCACTCGCTGAAGTTGTTGGGTTCGAGGACTTGGATCTAGTCATCGAACTAATTGCGCATCGCGGGGAGATCTTGTCGGACGAACCACACCGGGTGGAGGCACAAACGGACGGATTGGCAGCTGGGAGACTTCTCACCAGAGCGGAAAGAGAGGAGGCTCTCTGGCAGCGGGATTTTGACCATAAAAATGCTGCGCTCATGCCGGCACAGAGCCGATCGGAACCCGTCTACCCACACGTTTTCAAGCAGCACACCGCTGGAAATCTACTCGCCGCTGGTGGTAAGAAGTATGGTTTACCGGTTGGCAGCAAACATACCGATGAACCCAAATATGAAGAGTATGAAATCCCCGCTGCGAAGGTCGGAACATTGGCAAGAAACCAGAAGTTGGTGGAGATTGCTGACCTGGATGGTCTTTGTCGCGGTACCTTTAAGGGCTACAAAAGCCTTAATCGAATGCAGAGCCTTCTTTATGACGTTGCTTACAAAACAAGCGAGAACATGCTCATTTGCGCGCCCACTGGTGCCGGTAAAACGGATGCCGCGATGCTGACTATTCTCAACGCGGTCGGCAAAAACACGGTTCCTAATCCACTTGAGGAACCGAATGCGACCGAGTTCACAGTCCAAGTCGATGACTTCAAGATTGTTTACGTCGCTCCAATGAAGGCACTGGCAGCGGAAGTGACGGACAAGCTGGGCAAACGACTGGCTTGGCTGGGAATAAAAGTCCGCGAACTGACTGGAGATATGCAGTTGACCAAGCGGGAAATCGTGGAAACCCAGATCATCGTTACAACCCCTGAGAAATGGGATGTTGTGACTCGGAAGAGCACGGGAGACACAGAACTCGTTCAAAAAGTACGATTGCTTATCATTGATGAGGTCCACATGCTTCATGATGAGCGAGGTGCTGTGATTGAGTCTCTAGTTGCTCGAACCCAACGACAGGTTGAGAGCACACAGTCATTGATTCGCATTGTTGGTCTCTCCGCGACCCTTCCCAACTATGTAGACGTCGCAGATTTCTTGAAAGTTAATAAGATGGCTGGTCTATTCTTCTTTGACTCGTCTTTCCGGCCGGTGCCGCTTGAGCAGCATTTCATCGGTGTTAAGGGCAAGCCTGGATCCAAGCAATCTCGAGAAAATATCGATGTCGTCGCATATGAAAAGGTGCGCGACATGTTGGAGAGAGGCCACCAGATTATGGTGTTCGTGCATTCCCGGAAGGATACTGTTATGACAGCACGCATGCTCAAGCAACTGGCCGCTGAAGATGGGTGTGAGGATCTGTTCAGCTGCCATGATCATGAGAACTATTCCTCTGCCTTGAGAGATATGAAACACGCTCGGGCGCGCGAGCTGCGAGACCTTTTTGCCAGTGGCTTTGGAGCCCACCATGCTGGCATGAGTCGGAGCGATCGTAACCTCATGGAGCGTATGTTTGGAGAGGGTCTGATCAAGATTCTCTGCTGTACTGCAACTCTAGCATGGGGTGTCAACCTTCCTGCTGCTGCAGTTGTCATCAAGGGAACCCAGCTTTACAATCCTCAGGAGGGTAAATTTGTGGACCTGGGCATTTTGGATGTCCTCCAAATTTTTGGTCGTGCTGGTCGTCCTCAATTCCAGGATACGGGCATTGGGTTCATCTGCACTACCCAAGACAAATTGCAACATTATCTGTCCGCCGTGACTGCCCAGCAACCGATTGAATCTCGTTTCTCTGCTCGGTTAGTTGACAACCTCAACGCTGAGATTTCACTCGGCACTGTTACCTCCGTTTCCGAGGCGGTACAGTGGCTTGGCTACTCATATTTGTTTGTGCGCATGAAGAAAGAGCCACGCCACTATGGTATCGAGTATGCCGAACTTCGTGATGACCCGATGCTCGTTCAAAGACGCCGAAAATTGATCATTCAAGCTGCTCAGACTCTTCAAAAGAGCCAGATGATTATTTTCAATGAAAAAACCGAGGACCTCAAAGCAAAGGACGTTGGACGTATCGCCAGTCAATACTACGTTCTCCAGAGCAGTGTTGAGATATTTAACACAATGATGCGGCCACGTGCAGGTGAGGCAGACGTCCTCAAGATGATCAGTATGAGCGGTGAATTCGACAATATCCAAGCCCGAGACTCGGAGTCGAAGGAGCTACAACGGCTTCGAGATGAGGTGGCCGTGACCGAAGTTGAAGGCGGCAATGATTCACCACATGCCAAGACCAACATCTTGCTTCAAGCCTATATTTCACGTGCCAAAATCGAGGATTTTGCCTTGGTATCTGACACTGGATATGTGGCCCAGAACGCAGCGCGTATCTGTCGAGCTCTATTCATGATCGCGTTGAATCGCCGGTGGGGATACCAGTGCCAGGTGCTCTTGTCACTTTGCAAGTCCATTGAAAAGCAGATTTGGCCGTTCGACCATCCATTCCGACAGTTTGAACTGCCTCAGCCAATCTTGAGGAACCTAGATGAGAAGCTGCCAGCTTCGTCTATCGAATCCATGAGAGAGATGGAGCCAGCTGAGATCGGTCAACTTGTCCACAATCATAAGATGGGAGGGGTGTTGACTAAACTTTTAAACAACTTCCCTACTCTGAGTGTGGAGACCGAAATCGCACCCCTCAACAGAGATGTTCTTCGAATTCGTCTCTCGATCTATCCGGAATTTACTTGGAACGATCGCCACCATGGTGCCTCTGAATCGTTCTGGGTCTGGGTTGAGAACTCAGAAACCTCGGAGATTTACCATCATGAGTACTTCATTTTGAGCCGCAGGAAGCTTTACGATGAACATGAGCTCAATTTCACCATCCCGCTATCTGATCCGCTTCCTAGCCAGATTTATATTCGAATCATTTCTGATCGATGGCTTGGCGCAGAAACTGTCAGCCCGGTCTCCTTCCAACATCTTATTCGCCCTGACACCGAAAGCGTTTACACAGACCTGCAGAATCTTCAGCCATTGCCGATTTCGGCTCTTAAGAACCCCTTGCTGGAAGAGCTGTACAGTCAACGCTTCCAGTTCTTCAACCCGATGCAAACACAAATCTTCCATTTGCTTTACCATACACCGGCCAACGTGCTTCTGGGATCTCCCACCGGTAGTGGAAAGACTGTCGCTGCTGAATTGGCGATGTGGTGGGCTTTCCGTGAGAAGCCCGGCTCCAAGGTTGTTTACATTGCTCCAATGAAAGCACTTGTCCGCGAGCGTGTCCAAGACTGGCGCAAGCGTCTCACGGGGCCTATGGGCATGAAACTTGTCGAGCTTACTGGTGATAATACCCCTGACACAAGGACTATTCGCGACGCCGATATCATCATCACCACTCCGGAAAAGTGGGACGGTATCTCGCGTAGCTGGCAAACCAGAGACTACGTTCGAAAGGTGAGTCTCGTCATCATCGATGAGATTCACTTGTTAGGCGGTGATCGTGGTCCCATTTTGGAAATCATTGTGTCTCGAATGAACTACATTGCTTCTCAGTCCAAAGGATCCGTGCGTCTCATGGGTATGTCCACTGCCTGCGCCAATGCTAGTGATCTCGGAAATTGGCTCGGTGTGAAGGAGGGGTTGTTCAACTTCCGCCATTCCGTTCGTCCAGTTCCTCTTGAGATCTTTATTGATGGCTTCCCCGAGCAACGTGGCTTCTGTCCGTTGATGCAGTCGATGAACCGACCGACTTTCCTGGCGATCAAGAATCACTCCCCTGAGAAGCCGGTCATTGTGTTCGTTGCATCTCGTCGGCAGACTCGCCTGACGGCCAAAGACTTGATCAACTACTGTGGTATGGAAGATAACCCTCGCCGATTTGTCCGCATGTCCGAGGACGATTTAGATTTGAATCTTTCTCGAGTGAAGGATGACGCTTTAAGGGAGGCTCTCAGCTTCGGAATTGGGTTGCATCATGCCGGTCTGGTCGAGTCTGATCGACAGCTTGCAGAAGAACTTTTTGCCAACAACAAGATCCAGATTTTGGTCGCCACTAGTACTTTGGCCTGGGGTGTCAATCTTCCAGCCCACCTTGTTGTTGTCAAGGGCACTCAGTTTTTCGATGCTAAGATCGAAGGCTACCGGGATATGGACTTGACGGATGTTCTCCAGATGCTCGGTCGTGCCGGTCGTCCTCAATTCGATACTTCTGGAATTGCTAGAATCTTCACTCAGGATTCCAAGAAGGCATTTTACAAGCATTTCCTTCACACCGGTTTCCCTGTTGAGTCAACATTGCACAAGGTGCTTGACAACCACTTGGGTGCCGAAGTCTCATCTGGAACGATCACCACAAAGCAGGACGCGCTTGACTATTTGACTTGGACGTTCTTCTTCCGTCGCCTCCACAAGAATCCATCTTACTACGGGCTCGAGATTTCTGCAGAGGAACAAAGCACAATGGCTGCCCAGGCAATCGCTCAAGATTTTATGGTCGATCTAGTTGACAAGTCTCTCGATGACCTTGCAGCGTCGTCTTGTGTCGTTGTGGACTCTGCCAATGGTGAAGTTGACTCAACTCCCTTTGGCAAGATCATGAGTTATTACTACCTGTCGCATAAGACTATCCGGCACCTAGTGTCTCATGCCAAACCTGAACCTACGTTCCAAGATGTGCTCAGCTGGATGTGTTCTGCCACTGAATTTGATGAGCTACCCGTTCGCCACAACGAGGATTTGATCAACGCGGAACTTGCTCAGAACCTGCCCTTGTCTATCGAAGCGATGGGTGATCTTCCGTTGTGGGACCCCCACGTCAAGGCTTTCTTGCTGCTACAGGCATACATGTCGCGGATCGATCTACCTATTTCGGATTATGTCGGAGATCAGACGTCTGTCTTGGATCAAGGCATTCGTGTCCTCCAGGCATCGATAGACGTCATGGCTGAGCTTGGGTTCGTTCCTGCGTGCCGAATGCTGATGACTCTCCTGCAATGTATCAAGTCAGCCCGCTGGCCTGAGGATCATCCGCTGTCTATTCTACCTGGAATCCCTGTCGAGAAGCCGCCCCACGGACTCCCATCCAACCTGGTCGCTCTCTCGTCTCAGCCGGTGTCATCGGTCACCGGGCTGGTGAAAAAATTAAACCTTTCTTCGCAGTTCAGCCGTGTGGCCTCCCAGCTGCCCCATATTTCAATTTCAGTTGCCGGGATCTCAGCCAAGGGGTTAGCCGTGTCTGTTACTCGCCGCAATGCTCCCACACACTCGGAATATAGAATCCACGCTCCTCGATTCCCGAAGCCGCAGACCGAAGGCTACTTCTTGATTGTTTGCAGTGCCCGACCTGATGGTACTGACGGAGATCTTCTTGGCTTGAAGCGGGTTTCCTGGCCTCCTGCATCCAAACTCAACCACGGCAAGGGTCGCGCTGGCGCTGGCTCTAGTCGTGGTGGTAGCAGCAGAGAGAACGCCTCTCTCTCTGTCCGTTCCTTGGTCAAGTTCCCCCCTGCTGCTCTTGCCGAGTCATCTTCTGCCACGACAGCCGGCACTGCTCGTGTCAATGTTAAGCTCATCAGTGACTCCTACATTGGCATGCAGTGGGTGTTGTCGAGTGTGGAAGTCGATCTGGGGACCACTGAGACGCAGACCATCGAACCATCCGTGCCTGTCAAGGATTAAATGTATGACACCCCTGCACATCAGGGTGGGGCTGTGATTTCAACGGACTAATGATATTGAAAAGTTGACTCTTGACAAATTCACAGTTCTCTTTAGCTAGACACCCACTGGTTAGGGGATTTTCGGTTGGAATAGCAAAATTATTAGGGATAAACTGAAAAGAAAATATTTCATGCTATCTTTTTATTTGCTGTGTGCTAAACGAGAAGCATTCGTAACAGCTAGGACAAGGATAAAAGTGACCACAATGCATGCTCCTTGACAGAACGAGACTTAGTATAGAGACAAATTTATGTAAACTGTTAGTATGAAGTGAAAGGATGATAAATGCGATTAACTAATAAAAAGGGAGTTGGGCCTTAGGAGGCATCAGCTCGCTGGTATATTAAGTTCTATCTAGAGTGTTTTATTTATTAGTGTTGACTCCTAGTGACTGAGGTGGGTTAAGTAATAATGTAACTGGACAAAGCGAACTTCGCTGCTATTTAATGATGACCTGAAATTAAGCGTTCTGTATTACTATGAAGCGTGTGAGAAGCTTCCGACAGATAGAGCAGTGTGTCAAAGTGGATTCAGCGGTAACTGAGAACTTGAACACGGAATAAATTTCCCCAAAACATCTGTAACCAGCTGATGCATTCTCAGCCGAGAAATCAAACAATGTCGATGTGGACCCTCCATACATCGTTCAAGCTCATCTAAGCAAATGATCACATGCCGATTCTCATATCTAGCGATGGCAGCCAGAGTCTCCTGTGCTTGCCTATCATTTTTCATCTCATTCTGACTCGGCGAAGACAGCTCCGAGAAGTCAACAGAATTCAGGATGCTTTGATTTCTGTTCTTTCCTATGCTGCCAAAATCATTCCAAAGCCGGACCTCAGCCGCAGAATGCCGGTAGAAATCTAATACAGCCTATTTTGCATAACTTATGCCTAAAAATAAGCCCCACCTTCACAGGCCTTACGGGCTTTTCTTGGCGGGCCTGTCAAAGTCTATTCCTAAGCTCAAAGCTCGTACGTTCTGTCAAAAATTCCCTTGACTTCAAGCATCAAGCATAAAAATTTCGCTTAGTTAGATGTGTGACTGAGATCCATAGTATCTGGTCTCTCTATGGAAATAGGGAAAAAAACTGGCTACCACCTGACTATGCCTCATGCTTGGTGATTGGCTCCTTTATCCTTACAGATAATACACTTGCCTCGTAGTCATTGGCTTACAGTTCCATTGTTTAAAGTGATATCATTCTCTGATTGAGCTACACATTATGTGTTGGACACAATGAGCCTACTTCAAGCCCTACCATCCTGCAATGCTATAATCGAGTCAGTAAACTACTCACTTGATTAGAATAGCACAACAATATTTGACTTACATCAAACATCCCAGCAAAGGCTTTAATCTCTCCATTTGGAGCGAGTCGTACCGGTTGACAAGTTGTCTTCGGCTTACCAATAATACTATGGCGTATTCCATACTTTTCGTCGATTATTGGACGTCTAGCCTGGATGCCCCCTTCTCTAGCGAAGACTTCGAGGCCTACTAGTCGCCGACCGCGGAGATCAATCTTGATCTGCTTTTCAGGGATTTGATAGCCAAAATAGACGCTTGGTGTAATTTCGCCGTAGACAAGTTTGAACCCGGTAATAAAAGAATGTTCGTCTTCAGCAAGAACAGAGACAGCAACTTCCACAAGCTCGCCGGAGATGGTGATCATCTGAGGCGGTAACAGGATATGCGTTCTACGACACCGCTCGCAGATTCCATTGGGGATTGGAAGTGGAAATATATGTTTGCAAAGCCGATCGCATTGGACTTTTCCTGCGGCTTTGTCCCAGAGTAGGCCACCACATCGACCATCGATCTCAGCCGATATAGTTAGTGGAGCTCCAACCATCATACACCTATCTTTAATCCACTCGTTGTGAAGCCACTGTAGCCTTCTAAAATGTAGTGTCCTGGGTAGACGCTCCAGTCTGCCAGTGTAGCGGTACATTGATCTCCAATCTCCGCAGCCCTTTTCTAAGAGATAATTGAGATATCCTCTTTCCCGATGAATCAAAAAGCGTGTTTTCCAAAATTCTTGATATCCAAAGATAGGAACCATGGCCTTCGACGCAAGTCTCAAGCTGAGGTATTCATGAGTTGGAAGAAGATAGGCGATTTCGACACGGATTTCGAGTGGAAGAAGACAAAAGCAATCATTTGCTTGGGTCTCTTCCTTCAGAGGATTTTCACACTTCATGTTTGCTGCCTTTGGGAATGTCTTTGCCTCGGCCCGATACCCGATACATCGAAAGCTAGGAATCCCGGGTTTGAGGATTATGTCATCTAAAGGTTCTTATCGATTATTTGAGGCTGGTCGCGAGCGCGGAAATTCGGTAAAAGAAGTGAGGAATTGACTTACAGACACGATAACGTGGCGAAGGTGCTTCTTTAACTACCTCGGCCAATTTATCGATAGGCACAGCTCCGCTTACAAAGTGTTTTATCAACAATTCCCAGCAGCCTTTATGAAACACGCATGATTTGCCGAAGTCGCAATCCCCTATCCTGAAACCTTTGGGAGTTTCCTCAACACAACTTTCTCCGATAAGTTCCCGAACTGGTATTGAGTTGACTTTCAGTGATCCATTAGTTTTATTTTGGACTTGGGACAGGGTAATACCTACAGTCTTCTACCTCTTTAGGCTCGATAGAAGTTCCACAAGACGCACATGGAGGATGAGGGAAAACTCAAGAATACATAGGTTCACTCTTCCTCTTGACCCTCATGATTGAGATGAAGTAGTTTTCTGCGCTTCAAATTGCATTTTCTGAAGCCGATGCAGGTGCAAGGGTAGGGAATGTCCAAAAGTTTTGAACTGTGGGATACTTTTATGATGTATTTGATCATAATTGTATCATTGACATTACATCGTAAATATCTCGATCAGGATTGCATCATTGACATTGCATCGCAAATGTCTCTACGAAATCTTGGAAGCCTTTTAATCTTCTCAGGTTGGCTATAAAGACTTATGACTAAAACTACGTGAATCTCACCTTGTTGAATATAGCTGGTCTCATACATTGCCTTCAGATGCACAGCTTTTGATTTACTAAGATATTCCACAATTTTTGCACCTATTTCAATCTCCTTAAAATCTATGGATTTGATAGGGAACCGGTTGCTTTTGCTACATGCGAGTTGACCCTAAATATATTGATAAAATTTACTGTCAAATTTATACCTATTATATCATCAATAAGGTCTATAGGTTGAGCATTTTATATGGCCTCCTAACGAGGCCGACGCTAGAGAAGGAGGAAGGCGAGCTAACTCATTTATCGACTATCAGGATAGGATCTTATGTTTTTTCTCCAATAATAAGAGATAACAACCCCCGATTTTGGAATCACTTCCACTCGCAACATTAACTAGCGTCACCCGTAACGTCAAAAGTAATGGGAGACCTCGCAAGTCAGTTCGTCCTTCCTCTCCAAGGCAAGCTAGCAATAGTAACGGGATCATCACATGGTATCCGTGCCGACATTGCATGGGAGCTTGCCCGCCATGGTGCGAATGCAATGAGGAATTTGCCATTATGGACAGTCATTCTTTGATGTATTTGGGACACGAGAAATTGAAGGCTAAAGAGAGCCGGGCGTGTATGACCTATGTCTCAGACAACAGCAAATTAATCGTCGAGGAGCTTAGGACTAAAGTCACCCAACTTCCTCAAAAACCAATCACTTGGGCCTGCCAGGCTGGCCTGTCAACTACCACGGACGCCCGGGAGATTATTTCGCAGCTCAAGACTTGCTTTGGCAGCGATGAACTCCAAATCCACATTTTGGTGAACAACAATGCCGCCATTGAGGTGGTCAGCGATATACAGAGCATGACGCTTGGGAATTACGAAACGGTTTTCAACCTCAACGTGCGTGGTCTCATGCTCATCACGCAGGCCATGGTTCGCACCTAGCACCCAAGGACCGTATTGTCAACTTAAGCTCCGTGGGAGGGCGTTCTGGGCCCAAAAGTATCAGCTTTTACAGCACTTCCAAGGCCGCCGTCGAAGGCTTCACGCGCAGCTGGGCCAGCGAGCTGGGCGGGGATGGCACAACGGTCAATGCTGTCGCGCCAGGGCCTGTACCTAGCGATATGCTGGACAAAATCCCTAAGGGAATTGTCGACATGCAAAGACGACGATGCCTGTTGAGCAGCAACTTGGCACAACGGAGGAGATTGCCAGCATTGTTGGGTGGTTGGCAGGACCCGATGCCTCATGGGTGTCCGGCCAGGTCATCTGTGCAAGTGGTGCTTGGTCAATGTAATAGAGTACATAGTGTAGTAGAGAATATCCTGATGTTTCTCATTGCGTGACGAGACCAGCTTGTGATTCTGTCGTACAGAATTGTGACCCCTGGTTTCGGCACACTGGTATACCGGGTACGGAACGCATAATTAAAGCCTCGAGATAGTATTGAATATTACACATCTACACCTCTCTCCTTTGACCTCTACGGGCAGCTGCCTCGGATTTCTCGTACAACCTGTTCTGGTTGGTGTTGTCGGATTGTGTTGCTGAATCGACCCGCGCATCTTCGAGTGCGCTGCCAACGAGCGTTCCCCTCTTCACTAGAAAGTAGAGACCCTGGGAGGAAATATTCATCGATTTAGATATAATGTATGGTCCTATCGCTCTATTTTAGTTAAATTCTATCACAGTAATGGTGCTCGCCCTTACTAGATCAACCTACAAATGTCCTATACTATTAAGCCCCTCTTCAATTATTACTTGAACGCCACATGCGAATCCAGACTGTTGTATGCTTCCCACTTCTTTTTTTTTAAAGTTCGTTATTAATATTAGGGCCTAGTATAGATAGCCTGATCACTTTTTGGGATTGATTTATGTTTTCGATTGCTTTCCTGAATTGATAAGGGAGCGGAAGAGAGGTTCCGCCACGATAGGATCAACTGAGTGCTACGAAAGCCGATAAACGATCACTGTAAACTTGTTAAAGTGCCCTTTAAATAAATTTCGTAGTTCGCGTGATTCCTTCTAGAATCGACACGGGTTTCACACTGCGCATTTTATCACCCAATTTCACCAAGTCCAAATGGAGTCATCCCTGCCATTGGAAGACCCGCCCTTATCTAGACCTCGCCAAATGGGCGGGTTGGGTTTCGACCCTTGACCCAAAACCCGCCAAGAGATTAAAATACACGTAACATATACCTGATTACATCACTCTATATCTGGTATTGGTTGTATTTCAACAGTAATACTGTAATATACAGGTAAATGGGTTCTTGGCGGGTTCGCGGGTATTCCTTCGGGTACCCAAAAAAGCAATATGGCGAGGTCTACCCTTATCCCAGGTGCGAGTTGCTGTCACACAAGCAGAGCCGGTATGGCTCGATCTCGATGCTACAGTTGACAAGACATGCAATCTCATCGCCGAGGCCGCTAGCAATGACGCTCAGCTTATAACATTTCCAGAGTGTTGGGTGCCCGGCTATCCTGCTTGGATATGGTATGTTTTGTTAGGGGACTTCTTAAAAAGCTGGCTTCTCTAATAGTGTGGATTGAGTGTACATAGGGCCCGACCGGTTGACATGGAGTTGACAACCCGATACATCCAAAACTCGCTAAAGCTGGACTCCCCCCAAATGACTAAGATCAAGGCATGTGCCGCCAAGCATAAAATTGTGGTGGTTCTAGGATTCTCGGAGAACATCAACGACTCCCTCTACATCTCCCAAGCGATCATTGATGCCAATGGTCAAATTCGCCTGACTCGAAAGAAGATGAAAGCGACCCATATGGAAAGGACGATATTTGGTGACTCATTTGGCGATTGTCTCGACAGTGTCGCAGACACAGCGGTTGGCAGAGTTGGGGCCCTGTCATGCTGGGAACATGTCCAGCCGCTGCTGAAGTACCATACCAACTCTCAGCGTGAACAAATTCACGTCGCTGCGTGGCCACCTCTTTTCAAGTATGCTGGAAAGGGTCTATTTTCCATGTCGGCTGATGGTAGGAGTTACTCTTGCCCTGGGTGAACGCAGTTGCTAATTTCAAGGAAACAACAGGCACTACCGCACTCGCACAGACGTATGCTATTGAGTCGCAGTCATTCGTCCTTCATACGACCGCTGTAATTAGCCAGCATGGTATCGAATTTATGAAGACACAAAATGGGTCGATAATGAATGTTCCAGGAGGTGGCTGTTCCGCTATTTTCGGACCCGAGGGCCATCAAATGACTGCCAATTGTCCGGAGACGGAAGAAACCATTATCTACGCTACATTGAATCTGGAGGATATTCTTCAATGCCGAGCATTTTTAGATGTGTGCGGTCACTACAGCCGGCCAGATATTCTGTGGCTTGGGGCTGATAAAACACAGAAGACCCATGTCCGATCCTAGAGTTCTCTGGCATTTATGGATGTGTTCCTAGTATGTGCACATATATGTACTGGTCGTGTACCTAGTGGAGTTGGTCTTATTGATCCACGTATCTCTGTTATTTCTATTCGCACATATTTGAAAGGCCGGTACCTTCCAGCCAACCTTACGTACAAGCAGTGAATCTCATTCCATTTCCAAGGTTTTATTACGTAGATTATAGAGTATGTAAAATAAACTATGTAAGAATTAAATCAGACTATGAGCTCTCAAAGGCGTTCGCACTTTGTTAAGGTCATATAAACCTTCTTTTGAAAATCAAAGAAGTCACACTTTCCCCGTTCACAATTTTGCTCCCTAGATACCGAACGATAATGATGCGGACAAATTTAATATCATTATCTTGCTTTTGTGACGCGGGGCATGTTTTAGCGGCGGAATCTGGGGAGCCGCCTCGATAAGCTTATCGCGGTCGGATGACTTCCAGCGCCTATCTCGCCAATTCAACTGGAAAGTTTCAGTTCTAATTTAAAATTAAAAAAAGGCCAATTATGGAGTGAATTGCAAACTGTAGAGAGAAGAGAAGTGCACATATAGTTATCTCAGAAATCGGTCAAAAGTGAGACATTTCGATGTCGTAACGGGTACACGATGGCGATCAAGGACAGCCAAACCTGAAACATGTGGCATCAACCACTCGCCACTTGCCGCATTTCGTACTCTTGGAAGCTCTTCTTGTACCGACCGCAAAACATCCGAGCTCTAAGCCTTCAACAAGTTAAGCGATAGTGGATAATGCAGACAACCAAGTCTGTCTGTTTCAAACATCTTATTCTAAGTGACAAATATGGCAAGTCTAGAACCAGCCGCGAGGGTTCGCGTTGCCTGTGAGATGTGTCGCAAGCGGAAACGAAAGGTATGCCTAACTGAAAAGTCTTAATGAACATTTCCCTTGAAGACTAACCCGCAAAGTCAAGTGTGATGGAATGCAGCCCAGTTGTTTTGGCTGTCTGAGTCGACGGGTTGAATGCCTTTACGACATAAATCGGCCACCGAGGTCAGGCCCGGCCATTGAATGTCCAAATCCTTTCGTGTGGTACTGACTGCCGAGCAGACCAAAACAGGGTATGTGACTGGACTAGAGGATCAAATTGACCTTCTAAAAGATGAGTTGCACCGCTTAGAAGATTTGAAATCCAGCAGCGAAAACGCGGGACAAAAATCGAGTCCTAGCTCAGCTCAAAGGAATGTTGATTATGGTCTCGAGCGAAGAAAAGAGGTTTCTGGTGCCCCATTTGAAATATCTTTGAAAAAGGCGACTCCCATTCAAGACATCAGCTCCCTGATATGGCGAATGAGCATCGAGGACTCCGGGGAGCAGGCTTTCATTGGCCCATCAGGAAACTCTTGCTTCCCTGTATCGCCTAGAAAGCCCCCGAGAGGACATCTGCACTTTGCAAACTTGACCGCGAACACACCTGATATGTCAACAATCAATACACAACAAGTTCGCGATGAGACGCAGATCACGGATTATCTACTTGAATTATTTATCGAATTTATCAACCCGATTCATTTCTTTCTCACCAGCAGTACAATCGTTGAAATTCGAGCGGATAACTTAGAACCAAAGTTAAGCTTGGTCAAATATGCAGTCATGGCCGCCGCCTCATTGCTGGCCGACGATGAAGACAGCCGTGTATTTGGCAATGACGCAGCTGTTGCAGTTGACTCGGTTCTGTTGCCGGCTTGTCGACAATATCCAAGCATTTCCCTGGTTCAAGCGTTGGCAATCATGTGTTGGCGGGAGTTGGGTCTCGAGAACCATAACATGGCTTGGATGTATAATTGTAAGTTTTCTGATTCCGCATTTCATTGCGATTCAAACCTTGTTGACGTACCTAGCTATGTGTGCTAGTATGACTGTGCATCTTGGTCTTCCTGTCAGCTCTCTACACGTCCTTGAGGACCCCCAAAGTGAAGATAATGCTAAAGCCAAGAATTCGAACTCGAATAGAACTAGTGTTGCAACGGCCTGGTCTGCAGTAATGATCGATAGGTAAGAATATCTTCCATTCTAATATCCCGTTCTCACCTAATGCTAAAATACGAGAACAGAATCGCCACATCACTTCTGGGGCGCAACTGTATATTACCATGGAAGAGGATACGAGCACCTTCATATCTCAGCCTCATTGCTGTCCCAAATCTTCTTGAGCTGGCCTTTGACTCGCATTGTCAATTATGGTTTGTTTTTGATCAATGCATGGACAAAATGTGAGATTTTCCCACTCTCTATCTCTGCCTGGAAGAGTGACACTGAAACTTGACGCGGCAAAAAACAGTTATTCATTCGAATTTGACAGCCTGGAAAGTTCAGAACAACATCGGCTTCTCCTAGATTCCCGCGAGCAGCTCCTGTCATTCAAGCGAAATATGGACACACATGTACAGCTACGATCAAATAACTCATCGCCTGAGGTCATCATTCTTATATGACATATAACATGTGTCAAATGTTGATACACCGGCCATTTCTCAAAGACCCTGCCGATAGCAGTACATTTCGTCTATCAGTGCGAACCATGTCTATTGCGGCGATAGATATGGTCTGTCTGATTCGTGAGTTCGAGAAAGTGGCACAACTAGACAAAGCACCCCTTTTTATGCCACATAGTGTCATGACGGCTGCTGTTACTCACCTTCTAAACGCAACCTCAACGCAGCCCACAGTTAAGGGCCAATCTATTCGTCATTTTCGAGTATGCTTCAACGCCCTTATTTCTATGCAAAATAGATGGGTCAAGGCGAGGAGGTTCGTGTCATTTCTTCAGGAGTTAGCGCAAAGATGGGCCATCATGCAAGCGCTACCTTTGCACGGGTTTCCAAAAACATCAGTGGATATTAAGAAGCCGATGGGGATTCCCCATAAAATCATTCCCGAGGAACTTTCTTAGCAATTTCAAGGGCCCTCGACTCTTGGAGTTAAATCTGAAAGCCTGCCGTGGGCCAATGTGGACGCGATGGATCTTGCGTCATACCAAGCGGAACTCATGGATCTGCATATGTGTGATGAGTTTGAGCCTTCTGCTTTCATGACTCAGGATCTCGAAACCTATCTCGGAATTTAATTTTGTCAGTTTATCAGTTCAAATAAGAAACTTCATCTAATCGGAATTCTAGCATTAATGATCATCGCACCTTTCTTGCATATGACAACGGACCTCCAGGGCTTCTGAATTGTTTGAGTCACCAATCAATTATCTAGGCTAGCTCAGTCTTACAACCGCTGGACTATTTCTGGAGCGTCGTAAATAAATTACCTATCACAAGCGGAGAAAGGCAGCCCGCTGCAGACAATTTTTTTTCTTTTCTAAATTCAATCGTTCTAATGTTCTATGAGAGACGAAAGTCTAAATTACTGGGATAGTAATCAGTGACCAATCAACAGCCGGGTTCTTTGGCTGATGTGTTTCTTGGCGGCGGAAGATGAACAGCCGCCCCGATTAACTGCTCTTCTTCTAATCAGCTTATCTGTCGTTGTGAAGTAAGAACCTTGGAAAATAAATACGTTCACCTCGCCGACTAAACATGTAGTCCCAGCAATCCATACGGAAACGTCAACATTGGCACTCAATTCAGACATTTGATCAACATGGCTTTCGGCATCCTAGAGCCCACGTCGAATTCATCTCCATCAGGAACGAGCAACATTCAAGACAATTTCGAAGATGATGTATCAGAAGCGCACGTTATTCGTGTTCCGCAACCGTCTCAATCGGCCTTGGATCCTCTCAATTGGTCCAAAATAAGAAAAGAGCTACTATTTGCTACCATACTTCTGGGATCATCTGTCACTGGATCTATAGGTCCGGTTCTCGTGCCTGGGTTTACAGTTGTGGCTCAAGATCTCGGTGTCGACGTTAGTCGCATGACGCTTCTCAACGGCTTATTGGTTATGACTCTTGGTGTGAGCGCATACCTTTGTTCACGAACGTGGAAAGCGTGTTGGTTTCTGGAACCTAGGTGTCATTACGTCTGTCAACCTCACACCTGTTATTAGCGGATATGTTATCTCGGACTTATCGTGGAGATGGAGTTTCTGGCTTGAGGCGATTATGTTTGGGATTGTGCTACTAGCAACGTTCTTCTTTTTCCCCGAGACAACATTTGATCGCGCAGGCCCGTTGCCGCTTCAGCTGGAGAATGCATCTCTAGACGATAAAGCGATCCAGGTCTCCATGGTCTCTGAAACCTTGACAGAAACCTCCGGTCTACGGTGTCGCTCTGTATTGGGTGTTGAAGCGGTAAAACTTCCAGGATTGAAGAGCTTCTTGGCATCTATATTCGTGCCCTTCGCTTTACTACCTCATCCGATTGTTATTTATGGATCTCTGATGTGGGCAGTCACATTTACGTGGACTATCCTTCTGGGAGCTGTTGTTTCCCAGATCTTCACCCCTACACCATACAATATGGACACTATTGCGGTCGGAAACATATCTGGCATCGCGCCTTTCATAGGATCGGCATTGGGAACCATGATGGCTGGCTGGTTCTGTGATTTCTCTGCTACAAATCTGGCGAAGCATAATAACGGCACCTACGAGCCCGAGTTTCGTCTTCTCGTCATCTTCCCTGCGGCCATTGCAATGGCCATTGGCAGCTTTGGTCTTGGCGCTGCCATTCACAACGGTATCTCTGCTATTGTCTGTGGAGTTTTCATGGCCATAATCAACTTTGCGGTTGGCCTTGGATGTACTGGAATTGTATCGTATACCAATGATGCATGTGGCGAAAAGGCCAGTGATGCGTTCGGTATTGCTATGGTGAGTGCATCCTACTCATACTCTCTATTGAGTACTAACTTCCCTTCTAGTTCATCAAAAGTGCATTCGCATTCGGCCTTTCTTTCATTTTTAATGACTATTACACTAGAAGTGGCCCGTTGGTCTTTTTCTCAACGTTCGGGGCTGTTACAGTTGGAGTCATGCTGACCACTATTCCTCTTTACGTTTTTGGAAAGAGAATACGAGCTTGGGCAGACAATCACGACCTCTTACGTCGTAAATCAAGAGACCTTTATCCGCAATGAGTACACTAAAATTTTGTCTCGATATTGATAGGTTCGCTTTGGTCTTTAAACCTTTCTGTCGTTTTTTGAAATGGATCGATTCGGAATCTCATCTGATCTATTGATCATGATGGACCATGACCAGGCTGTACTGGGTCTCCCATACCTAATAAAACTAGCCTAGGATCTTTTATACCTAGACTTTTCGACAACTAGGCTTTCAAAAATACGGCATCGTATATATCACGGCCTAATCGGGGAGTCAGGGCTAGGCTGTGCCATGACCCGCAAGGACCCGCACCCGAACCCGCCCCATCCTCCCTATGGGTAGGGAAATGGGTCGGTCTATTCAACCCGCACGCGGGTTATGGATTCTTATGGTCTATAGGTACAATTGACTAGGCTTCGGCAAATGGGTACCCATTGCCAAATTTCAATACCCAACCCAACCCATAAGTTTTCTCGGCCCATATGGGTACCCATAAACCCATTTTTAGCATGGTTGCCTGAATGTGGCCTAATTCAGGCTATAAGCTAAACTATTTCTTAAAGAATCAGGGGCACTAAAAGAGAGATAGGCTTTATACCCTATACTCTCTTAGTAAGGTTAGCTAAGGTTATATAAGAGAACTTTAAAATACTCCTTACCAGTTTTATAATAATAAGGTAGAGTAACTATCTATTATCTATGAAATAAAGGGGATTCAAGTATATAATTTACATAAAATCCTCAAAATAAGAGATTCTTTAAGATTAAGATTTGAGCCTTAGATAGAATCTTTATTCATAGTATAATTATGTGACTCACTAAGCTCACTCCCCCCCTGGAACAAAGTGACCTGTCTTTTTTCTGCTGTGACTTCGACACCATATATGCATATTTTCCTCTGCCCGCAGAAGTCTATGTGGTGCAGCTGATGAGTGGTAAATCACTCGACCACGCAGGTGTCAGTTATCAACTATTTTGCCCTAAAGGTCATTGTAACCCAACCACTGACTGATGTACTATTTTTCTCATTTGTCCCCTCCCAGTCAATTTATTACAGTGATCAAAACTCAAACGCAAACCACTTCTTCAATCCAGCCAGCTTCTCCTCCTCCGTCTTAAACGAATCAATCACCCTCGTCTTCCCACCCATATTCAACTTGACATCCCCATTCACATACATAATCTTGCCAACAATACCTACCTCATCCTCATCATCACCATGAGCACATGCACAAAGCTCCCCCTCAAGCAATTGTAAACCCCCAACCTCCCCTTCCCGGAGAAACTTGACAATCCAATGATTATTCTTGGTAATAGTATCCCAGCTGGTATACCGATTAATAACCGCAAAATCCTCCTGGAAGAACTCGAATTCTCCAAACGAGTAGAAAGAGTTCCACTCCTTATCCACTCCGTTTCGATACTGATAGATCCACAATTTCTGTGAAGGGCGGGATTGTTTCGACATATTCCCGTATATCAAACGGACTTCTTGTGTTCCGAGATTCCTGATCGTTGAGCCCGAAATCATCGGGATAGGTTTCGTAGGTCCGTCGCCGCCGAATGCGACGTCGATGTGGTATTGTATTCCGTTTAGCTCGAGGATGTTTACGATGTGTGTCCTTGTGTATCTTAGTTGTGTTCATGCCAGGTATTCGAAAGTTCGGATTTGTATACCACCCTCCATATTCACCACCTGGAATACCGTTTACTCTTTGTCGATTCCGGACTCCGGTCATGTAGACTGAGAACCCGAGACCGAGGAGGATGTGGTGGAAGAATATACTGACTTCGAGACAGTATCCACCTCGTCCTGGGGGCTTTTCGCCCCCCATGAATTTTTCATAGATGCTTTGAGGGGCGATGTCGATGATCGGTGTTGCGGTGTAATGCAGTGTGAGATTGTCGTATGGGAAGCGGGTGATTTGGCAGCGGTAGAGGGTTGTCAAGGCCTCTTCTGTTTTAGGGAAGGTTACTGGGTTGTTGATGTAGACATGGTATTTGGGTGGGAGGTCGAGATAAGTTAGGTATTTTATCAATTGTTCTGTTGAGTATTGGGATGCCATGATGGGCCTTGGAATTGACTTGAATCAATCAATTGATAATCGTGAAATTAGTGGCGTTGGGTTTATAGTTGTACTTGTTCGGTATGACTCAGTCCGGCTGCGCTTACCTGGAATGGCTAAGGCTGGACATGAAGGGCGTGACAAGATAAGCGAATCTAATTTAGCCAATCTTGTTTCAAAATCAAATAAGTAGAGACAAATAGAAATATTTTTGAAAGCTGATCTATCCAGTTGATGTAGAAATGACAGGTTTAATGGTATTAAAGTTAAAGAAGATAATCCAATGTAAGAGGAAAGAATAAAAAGAAGGGAAAAGAGCCTCACATCGACTCAATTTGTAACTCTTGAGAAATCCCATGTCGATGCCCGTACTGCACGTCCATAATTGTCGGCGTCATGGCTCTTCGCTCGACCAAGCGCTCATTAGGATTTAATTGATCCACCCGTGCCCCGATCGGAATAAGAATCTGTCTCTTCCCCTTCGATACAGAGATTGAGCGCGCAGTCGACACTTCGATTTTCGGTCCTTTGGATTTTGAGACTGGGGTGACTTCCCGCTCCGTGACAACTGGTTTGAACTTTGCTGGGGAGGATCTTATTTCCATAGGTGATAGGACTAGGTTTGGGGACAAGATATGCGAGATTTGTTCCCTGGATGTCTTTGCTGAAAGAGCCGATTTGGAGGTTATGTCTTTGGCTGGAACTGGCGTGATTTCCCGCTCCGTGACAACTGGTTTGACCTTTGCTGGGGAGGATCTTATTTCCATAGGTGATTGGACTAGGTTTGGGAACAAGATATGCGAGATTTGTTCCCTGGGTGTCTTTGCTGAAAGAGCCGATTTGGGGGTTTTGTCTTTGGCCGGGGTGGGCGGTCCTTTGAGCTCGGTTTGGAGTCTCAGGTTTGGTTTGGATCGAGGTGGGTCGGTCACGGATCTTTCTCCTTGAACGTGCGCCTTTATGTTTCTGTCTGATTGAGATCGCTTGGGTTGAGGAATCGGGACTGGCGCTGTTCGCGACCGAGCGACCGGCTCAGGTCTGGCTGGGAGAGGTTTATCCTCTTTGCGATAACTGTTGGTTAAGGATGGGGTATTTGAACGCTCGGAAAATAGATTGGGAGGCGATTGGAACGTGGAATTATTATTAGGGCGTAGATCTGGCGATCCTTTCGGGCTCACGGGAAGCGTATTGGATCTCAGTAAGGGACTTGGGCCGCGAGAAAAGTTCTGAGTACCGACTTTCTGGGCCTTTGGCTGCGCTGGGAATATGGTAAAGCTCGATCGTGAATGTGATGGCGAGGTGGCACGTCGTTGTGGCACTGGCGGTAGCTTTGTAGTGAGGAAGTCCTGAACGGTCAATATGTAACCATGAAGCGACCAAGGATCTGGCCTACCTGGGCACTTGGTACGCGCAGATTATCCAGCGTCTTACTCCTCCTGGCCAGCAGTGAGGGTTTGTGATTTTTGGTCATCACTTTGCTGAACATGACACTGTACCGTTCCATCTGCACATCAGGGATGTTGACATCCAACATTGGAGTCACGTCCTTGTCTTTTGAATTCTTTCTGCCAGAGACGGAAAGCTTCCTGCTTCGATTCGGACTGGTATCAATCCCGACCTTGGGCTCATCGATCCTCGGCCACTCCTCAGTATCATCTTCTCTCCTCTGGGTCCTCGTGATGGGTTTGTCCTTTGGTCCCTCCTGATGGGGAATTGATTGAGTGGCCGTAGGCGATGTTAAGGCATTCTTTGCTCTGAACAATCCACCAATCTTCTTCCATTTGCTCTTGCGGGGTGACGCTTGATCAAACATAGCCGTGTTGAACCGCGGCGGAGGCAGTTCCTGGGAATCCACCAATCCTGGACTACCCAAGGCAACACCTATAGAATGTAAACCGATGGGGCTCCGATTTGATCGCGCGCTCGTCGGAGTAACTTCATCGGGTGGTGCAGTGAGTTGAAAGTCGAATTTCGCACTGGCTGGTTGCTTGAAGTGACCATCAGCCATACCGGGCCGTGGGAGATCCCGCTGTTTGCCATGGTTCATTTGACCATGAGTGATATCGCGAAGGTCATTCCTAGGTAGAGCATCGGTATATGTCAACACCGGAACGGAAATGGTATCGTTTTGAGTGCGAGTTATGGTCATTGTAGCCACCCTCGTCATTGAAAGAGAGAAATATAAATAAGATGCCAGATCAAGAAAGGAATGGACGGCCTTCCAGAGGACCAAGTGTGACAGGAGAAGAAAAGGAATGAAATGGATCAATGAGAAGGAGCGAACGATATAGTTAAGTGGAGATCTTGTTGCGCCAAGATGTACTTGAGACATTGAACTAATCTACTCCGTAGTTTCCATATAATGTTTTAGTCGGACAATTTAGTCCTAATCTAGTAAAGATAAAATTTCAGAATTTGAACTTGCGAATCAGAAAGCCTTAACCTCGGCCTTAACCTTAGCCTTAACGTGAACAAGCTGAAATGGACATTCGCAGCTGAGTTAGCACAACGGTCGCATTTTGGCGACCAAGGGGAATCCACTGAAGATGTCCACATGGGAATTCTCAAGAGTCCACACGAGCCATCGGAGATGCTTGTTTAACACGCGACGAATGAGTGCCAAAGTGTGAAATCGATTGGAATTAATTAGCTCGCTACCATTGATAACGGGCCAGTCAGATTATCGTATTGGCCGAAACCCGCTATGAGGCGTGTTTCAGCTTTGCGCTAAGTGAGACAAGGCTTTTTTTCACTTTACCCTGTCAGCGCTGGGCTGTGATGGGCTTTTGTCTTATTTGATTTTGTGTTTCTTGTTGAGTTTATTCGTTTTCCACTTCGGTCGGATCGCGTGATGCCAAGATTGTTTTGGTGCCAATGCAGTGTCTTTATCTTCCGATGAATTGGGATGAATTGAGATAACGATGTCTGGTTTGTCCAATCTACCTTTGTTCGAGATCATATGACTCGGGGTATCCAGCTAATAAAGAATGGATCAGATGACGTCTACTTAGTACTATCTACTATTCACTTCATTGTCCCATACCAAATGACACGGCCCACGTACCCCACCTGGCATCTAACCGGAACCGGCATTTCCTGGCTTTATGACGCTCCACGCGTCTTTCATATAAACTAGTGCTTTAAAGGTCAACCTTGGAACTATTCAATTTACCTAGGCACCCATGCGGCTCTGCCACAAATGTATACATACATCCTTGGAGGCGCTTTGTTTGGGTGGCGGAGCATGAAAGAGTTGCCTGCGCCTCGTACTCATAGGCCAGAGCGACATAAATAACTCGATCCGAGCTCACCAAAAAGGAACAGACAAATCCATTTTCACAAAATTCAAGATGGTCACTGTGAAATCCCGCATTCTGGGCTCAATCTGGGGTAATTGTGTCGCCGATGCACTCGGTGGTCCAGTCCAATTCTTGGAATCGGGAACATTCTCCCCGATCACCGATATGGAGTTCGTGAAACCATTTCATCAACCAGCCGGGTATGCACCTTCGCGGAACTGAAAAACTTACTCTAACAGACGTAGTTCTTACTCCGATGATGGAGCTATGACTCTTGCCCTTGCTCAATCACTTATCGACACGCCGAGACTGTATGAGCATGAGCTTGCTATTCAATATTTTCTAGAGTGGTGGAAGTTTGGTCGCTTTAGTACTGCTGATGAGGCATGGGATGTTGGTGTTTCTACAGGTCAGGCGTTGTCGATTTGGAAGAAGAAGGGTTTGGCCGACTTGGAGCAAACCGGCCAGATTATTTCTGATAAACTGAGGCATGAGCATTGTTCTGGAAATGGAAGTTTGATGCGGGTTGGACCTGTTGGGACGGCATTGTTCTTTATGCCAATTGCGGCGAGACAGGTTGCTAAGGAGCAGAGTCAGATTACTCATCCTGCTCTTGCTTGTGTGGAGGCTTGTCAGGCGTATACGGATCTGATGTGTTGGGCTATGAGAGGTATATGATGCCATCATCCGTTCGAATAATTTCTAACTTCTCAGGTCAAGCCAAGACACAACTGTTTCAGAGGCTCGTGGAATTCCCTTTCACTCATCCTGTGCTGATTGAGCGGCTTGCGCGTCACAAATCCGTTTCGGACTGGAGTTCTCGGACCGATGCAGAGATCAAAAGCAGTGGCTGGGTGATTGATACACTGGATTGTGCACTGTGGGCGTTTTTCAAGTTCGATACTTGGGCTGACGGTGCGCTTGCTGTGGTGAACCTGGGAGGTGATTCAGATACTGCTGGTGCGGTGTATGGAGCCCTGGCCGGTGTTTTCTATGGGTTTGAAGCGATCCCTGAAAAATGGGTTCAGCAGATGCAGAATGCAGACCTGATCCGAGAGATTGCGGAAAAATTTGCAGCGCGGGTTATTAAAAATGCCGAATGTCAAGGATGGAGGGTTGTTCAGTAGACTGATATGGCAGGGAGTAATATGAAATTCAGTTTCAATGGCGTATCAAGTCATGGTCTCATTTAGTTTTGCAAGGTATTTAGGTAATAGATTTCAAAATGAACGTCTCACTCCCTTCATAGAGCGATTGGCTGTTTCTTTTTGCTTGGTAGAAATTTCATTCCTACCATCCCAACCGCGGCGGATAGGATGGCTGCGTACGTTAGCTTCATTCTGGTCAAATCCATTCTGGTCAAATTAAGTTAGACTTACCGCAAGTCAAATTCATATAATAGTATCCAACCGACCGGGTCAACAAGCCTGACAAAATGGGTCCAACCAGCATCCCTGCAGTCCAACAAAAGTTGGTCATGGAAAACCCGGATGAAAAGTTTCTCGAGGATCCAAAGCGCTCTGGGTGCTCTTCATGTAGTTCTTTCATTACATCTACAGTCGTCAGTATTTGAGACTTCTTTCATTAGTTTAAACAACTTACTGGTAATCTCAATAGTACCACACCCACTGATGAATGTTCGTGAGATACCAATACCCACTACAGCAACCATGTATATCGCCTGACCTTTCTGTCCAGTTCCGACAATAGACAACCCATCACTGCTAGCTGTGCCTAAAAGCCAAAGAAAGAGACTGACACTCAGGAAGCCAATACTCGTTGGGAGCTTCGTGCCAACTCTGTCTTTAAGCAAACCAGTGAGGGAACCAAGGAGTAGGGATGGAATCTGCAATAGCAGAAACATCAGACTGACTCGAGCAGAGTTCCAGCCAAACTGCTCATTGCAATGAAGAGGTAATGTAGTGTCTAGACCAACCAGAATCACAGCCTGTGTGAAATTACAAATCAGCCCCCCGGCAGCCCGAGAATCGGATAAGATCATGGTATAGATGTTGGTTGCGAAGCGAGATTCTCCGCTTTTCGTACGATCGCCTGGCTGAGATTCGTCGTATGCATTTGGAATCTGCGGAATGTCGAGAAGTACCGCATCCTCACAGATATGATCCTCATCTTCTCCCGTGTCGGTTGAACCGTTATCTGGGGAGAGATATCCTTTTGCAGGAGATCGGTGGCCGTTCTTGTTCTCGATCATCACCACGCGCATGAGCATATCGATGATCAGCATCAGGATAGGAACCATCCAGGTCAACCAGTATCCTAGTACCTGTAGAAAGGTTCCTGCAGCCATCGGACCGAAGAGTAAACCGGAGACGAAGAACGATGAGATACCTCCAAGTACCTTGCCCGTATTCTCATGTCCAACTGTATCTGCGACAGTGGCGAGGCCAACGATCCACACTGTATTTCCGCCCACTGCTTGAAGTGCGCGTCCGAGGAGAAGAATCGGTACTAAACACGTTAGCATGGTTTGACTTGAAGATACAATGACGTACGATTCGGTGCGAGCATGATTATCACTGTGCCTACCAGCTCAGCCCCTAGGGAGAGAAGTAGCGGTAACCTTCTGTTTGGCGCTTGATCGGCCAGCCATCCTGTCAGTGGGCCAGCCACGAGACAGACCAAGGCATGGACGGTCAGTACGAGAGAGGTAGTCTCTTGTAGTTCTGATTCATCGATGCCTAAGCGCTGCTCCAGCATCACCTGGAGAATGGGGACGATGTAGCTGTATAGAAAGTTCTCTAGAAACGATTAGACGATCCCACAATACGACTGTGGAACGAACCTGAGAAAAGAGCTATAGCGATACAGCTAATAATAAACCAATTTGAAGAGCGCCATCGGTACCCCAAGGGGAGACTTGATTTGAACGCCATTTTTAGCGTCTGGACGAGAGAGAGTACACTGTACGAGTTCCAGCGAGAACCTCAAGGTGAATTTTTCGACCGCCTTTTTGATTTTGATTTTGATTTTGATTTCCAGGTGCAGATCGGCCAGGCCGTTCGCGAGCGAAAAGACATTATGCAGGCGACGAGTCGATTAAATGTGATGGCGTCTCCTTGTGAAGGCTTGCGTGGAAGTGGGGACTTGCTTTCGGACCAGATCGGCAGTGGAACGTGCCGATTCTTAATAAGGGAGTTAAGGCCGAGCGGGACGTTGTACTTCAAATGCTTCACGGCTTAATCACCTTTGAGTATTCAGTAATGGTGTGTATGGAGTGTATGTGGTAAAATGAAGTTCATTGATCTCTTCTTGGGTTCCAGTTTGTGCTTTGCCTTACATGTACGAAGCTGGAGCGGTGTGAGCTAAATTGGCGGTCACCATGTACATGTAGTAGTATACTGCTAGTATGTACAGAATACCGAGTGCATGTATCCTGATGCCAGTTTTCATGATAGAATCTGATTAATGCTGGAATCACATTTGTCAAATTTTGAAGCACTGAACTGAGGAATGCCTACGTACACAGTGGGCCCATCTATCGCCAAACCTCGTTTACCTAAATATCCAAGTACGGAGTAGGCAGGACTTTAAAAGAACCTTGAACGTAGTCCAGATATGAATTGGTAGCAGCCTACTGCATGTATGAACGGATGATCCTAGCCAATTATATCAGGTCCCACCTGTCAATATGCCCAATGGGCCCATAAGTAGCTAAGATTTTTGCTTACTCTTTAAAAAGGTCAAATCTCAAAAATATTAAAGCCTGATAAGGCAGCAATCATAGCTTACCCTATAGAGGGATTTCCAGTTTAATTTTGGATAATATCTTACTCAGTTGGCAATGAGTATACCCTATGAATATCAGCAATTCGATAGTTTCAAGTGTCCTGGTCCAGTCTGCAACAGATTAGTAAGATGTCAGGATCTTCTCTACACCGCCATCCCTTGAACTGTCTATGTTACAGACCCTTTCACCCCTTACAACCTTACAAAGGAGGAGATATTTGCAAATCAAATCCCGTAACGCATGTCATTCCACGTGTACATTGCTCCGGGTAAGAAGCAAGGTTGATCGATGCATATTGAAGACTAGACATTTAAGGCTAGGACTATACAATGAAAAGCTTAGAACTTCAGCCTCATTCTATTTTATTTCCATAAGCAACAATAAAAGCAGAGCTTATTCCCGTGGTTCCAATGTTATTCATAATAATCCATGGTTGTCTAAGGATCAAATCCGGTTGGCCCCGTCGAGATCGACCACTTTAGAACATTGGCGGGGTCTTATTTACCGCCAACCACCCCACTTTGCCTAACTCTCCCATATATTCTCTGCTTCGACTCCCCTTTTTCCCTTTCTCTCTCCCAATTCCCTCCATCTTTCACCATGGGCGCTCACTCCGCAGTTTGGCAAGGTAAGATTCCCGCTTCCGTCCGCCTTCCCCTCACTGACGTCTTGATTAGGCTACGTCGACTCGAGGTACGATACGACTCATGATTTCCCTCCCTACATGCTATCCCGACCATGATATCCGCTGTCATCAGCTGCCTGCAGCTGCTGCCTTCAGCTGTGCCCAGCTCAGACTCTTTCAATGTGGCGCCACCTTACCCCCGACCGATGCTGACAATTCCCAACAGCCTGATGGGCTCCGGCCAATTCGACAAGGCCGGTATCCTCGCCGCTGACTTCTCCGGTCTTGAGGCCCAGTCCGCTGGCTTCACGGTATGATTCACAATCCCCTATCCATCCGGGTCCGGTCCCATACGTAACGGGAATGCGGGGCCGATGTGTCACACTAAACTGACCCCTTTCCACAGCTTACCCAGGATGACATCAACTCCCTCGCTGTTGCGTTCACAAAGGCCGATGACGCTTTCGCCAATGGTTTCTCCATCGGTGGTGAGAAGTTTGTCACTATCAAGGCTGACGCTCGTTCCCTATACGGCAAGAAGGTAACACTCGGTCGTTCAGCATTGGTGAGATGGGATGACTGACTTGGAACAGGGCAAGGAGGGCGCTATTGTTGTCCGTGCTTCCGCCTGCACTATGATCGCCCACCACGGCGAGTCCGTCCAGACTACCAACGCTGCGACCGTTGTCGAGAACCTCGTCGACTACATCAACAAGCCCCAATAAATGGAGCCTTCTGGTCGGAGATATGAGAATATGAGACGTTGTGAAGAATAGCAAATGAAGGCGCATCGAACTTTTCTTTTCGCTTCATTTTACTGTATTTTGGATTCCGCCTGTGATGGTTATCGCTGGGGTAGATATATTCGTTCGATCGGATTGATACCTTATACCTCATGCTCGTCTATTCTATTCAAATCTCATGAAATACTGATATCAGATTGGAAATTTAAAGGAATCATTAATAATTACATCGGGTTTGAGGGGTAGACTGTCGCATCCATGCGCAGCCACCGGATACCCACAACCCACTGCAAGTAATCTATGCAAATCGAAAGTCATCTACCACGTACATTTGGAAAAGCGAGCCTATACAGGCAACTCGGCATTGCTCCGACCACCCGCCAAAACCTCCAATCCACGCTGAATATAAGGCCCAACAACAGGAACGTTCCCGGCAAATTGTCCGATGGTAATTAGGAAGTCACCGAAAAGAATAAACAATCCATAGAGCTCGACCAGGAATCCACAAAGCGGCCAACGGAGGAGGATGAGAATAATCCCTGCGGAGAAGGCGGCGGTGCCCTTGAGTTTCTGGGGACGGGAGAAGAAGACAAGAGTCTTTTGGAAGCCGATTATCAGGGTGAGGCCGATCAGGAAGAGAATCTAAGTATATTAGAGGGTTGGTTGGGGGATTGGATTTAGGATTGGGATTGGGATTGGAATTGGCGTACGTTGCCCATGGCCAGTCTGAGAGTGTTAGCTTATTCCATCTTTAGAGTATTCCAGGGGACACGTACAATGACCGATCAAAGAACATGAGTACTCCTCCGAATAGGAACAAGCCACCTATACCATGATCAGTTCTGTCCTGCTGTGCTGTTGCGAATTGCTGTCTCTGTCGCTGTCTGTCGCTATTTCTGGGACTAGGTTCACACACCTGCACAGCAGAAGACCACTCCAAATTCTAGAAAGATGTTAGTTATCTAGGCCGCGCTGTGACTGGGGCAGTGTCGCGCGACACAACCTTGTGGGAGTTAGCGACTCACTCTGGTGCTCTGAGAGCCACATGCTTGGCATTTTGACGTAAGATGTTGTAAATGAGGTAGACAATTTGTAGAAATAACAAGGAAGTAGACGCAACAAGATCAACTGCAGAAGTAATGAAATTGGCCGTAAACAGAACTCTTTTCTGCCCGCCACCAAAGGCGGTCAGATCTGATGTTTAAGCCGCTCGATTGGACTTTCAACTTTCAACTTCTTCTCTTCTTCCTTTCAACTTGACTTTGGCTGAAATTGTCACAAGTAAAATTGATCTCCTAATTGATTTCATTTCAATTCATTACGGTCTATGTCTATGTCTATATGTACAGACTTTAATGTTGGTCTGTACCTTGGTGACTGGACACCGTACCTCCCCGCCGCGACGACAACATCATTCGATGTTGTAACTGATACTCCCTCCCGTGGAATGTCGGTACTAGTTGAGTGCAACCTGGCACAAGGCGAAGAAAAGAGTTTACGGTCACGAATAAGCCGGAGCGCTTTCTTGAGCCTGTTTCGAAAGGAACAGGTGGGATGGAAAGGGCTTGACTGTGTTGATCGAACATTTATAGAAATTCAAGTTTAATATTATTTGCTAACTCCATTGATCATAATTCATTAAATTAAATATCCTTGCTCATTTCAAGACAGTGTGTGCTCCACGAGCTTCCAGGTAGCTCTCTGGTACTCCCTGTGCCAATGTGCGAATCACCCCGAAGATCTCTTTATTGTGATATCGCAGTCTAGTCTTCGGATCGGTGTAGGGACCTGATAACCCAGTGATATCGCAGTAGTGGCGCTGGTTCGCTGGGCTCAATGATGGTGCAGACTCGATGTTGGTATAGGTCACTGCTGGACCGGTCGGGAAATTGGCGCGAGCGTTCTTCTCCAGTACCAAAGTGGACAGGTTTTGAGATGCTTGTGCCAGATTTGGAGTTTTGCCAACGTCGGGGGTTTGTGTGCCGTCCGTTGTGCTGCCTGTCGCAGGAAAAGGGGTGGTCGCGCCTGAATTGGCTTGGGTGGCCATCACTGAGGCTTCTTTCCGGGCACTCTCGGCGATAATCTGTTTGAGGTTTCGGTTGCGACGTGCGGAGGGCTTCCAGTTGGGATTGCGGAAGGGCTTCTGGATATGGGCAATGTCCAGCTGATTCATGAGGAGCTGGTGAGCTTCATCGTTGGCAGGGGTCGCTGGAGGCATTTTGCGATTAAATGTGGAAGAAAATGAATCAGTAGAGTAGAATAGATGTTGGTAACCAAGTGAATCTGGTGAAAGGGCGGCCAATCGGGTCTCACATGACCAACCCAAACAACCTCAGAATCATCTCATTCTGTTATCAACAAAAACTTCCACCACATCATGGTAGGTGGTTTCATAGACTTCCTTAGTACAGAGCTAATTCTATTCAGGAGAGTCCTCATGAGCACCAGCAGTCTGTGCTGCTTTCGCGTATCATCACCAATGTTGTAAGTCGCGACAACCAAAATCTATTGCTAAGGCTGATCCAGACCAGGAGAAACTCAATGAGGCCGTTATGGCTATGAATAAGGGTCTTCAGGTATGGACCCATCTACTGCTTCATGGCTTCATTATTGACAAATCCTAGGAGGTCAACATCCAGAACATGAACGTGGAGTTGGTGGCTCAGATGTTCAAGAACTACCAATCCAATGTCTTGTTTCATCTAGAAGGTATGTTTCTTTTTTTTTCTATCATCAATTGAATGCTAATAACATCTGCAGCTACGGAGAACCTTAAGGAACCGCAAGGTTCTGCTTGAGAAATAGAGATATTACGACGCGATGTTTGAATAAATTACCTTTCTACGTGCCATGCTTTTCTTGAAAATAGTTATCCACGTACTACATCTTATATAAGGTAGCTGTACAGCTGTAGACTCGAAGCTACATGGGAGGTCTCAAATTGCCCATCAGACAATAGCAAATTACACTATATGCATATCATGAGTGTGGTCTTTGGAGAACACAACGGTTAAGCTGCTCAGTGCTTGATAGCGCATCACCGCTTCCCCATTCTTGGCGCAAACCAAACCTCCGGCTTTCAACTCCCTTCCACGCAACTGGTCTCCGCTTTGTCGCTTCAATTTCACTTGCTGTTTATTTCCCTCTTCCCTATATTCTCCCAATCAAATTTCTACCCTGTCATGCAGTAGCCTCCCCACTCATTGATCCCAAAGCTCCTGGTTCCGCCGGCGCAGCCCACCATGACTATTACTTCGGTGACAACCATTCTACCCACCCGATCTGCGGCCAATTCGTCCGAAAAACCTGCCGCGAAACCTCCACCCGAGCTATACGCAGCAAAAGACTTCCCCTTCAAGGGATACCAGCCTCCACAGACAGATGGGTTCGAGCGGAGCAAGGCCCATCCCGACACCAGCGCTATCGTCATTGACAATGGTGAGCAGTTTCTACATGGTCCATGGATATACTGCTAATATGCGTGCGCAGGATCACATCTTGTCAAGGCCGGTTGGTCGTTCGATAAAAGTCCGCGATTCGTCATCCCTCCCGTCATGAGCCGTTACCGCGATCGCAAGCTCAACCGCCAGTGCAACTTTGTCGGATACGATGCCTATCTCGATGCGACAACCCGCGGCCAGCTTCGCGGTGCCTTTGATCCTGGCTCCAGCGTTGTTGGTAATTGGGATGTGATGGAGGGTGTCTTGGACTACCTGTTTCTCAAAATGGGTGTGGACGGTGCCAACGGCGGTGTTGATCGACCTATCCTTATGACGGAACCGATCGCCAACTTGGCATATCCGCGAAGAAGTATGTTGTTCTCTTTTACTGGTGGTCAGAACTAACAATCCTAGTGATGAACGAGATCCTTTTTGAGTGTTACTCTGCGCCGTCGGTGTCCTACGGAATTGATTCGCTTTTCGCATACCGCTACAACAAAGGAACGGATGGATTGGTGGTTTCCTCGGCACATACATCTACACATGTCATTCCTGTGCTCGGCGGGAAACCGCTCCTGTCCAACTGCACCAGGCTCAATTGGGGTGGCCTGCAAAATGCCGAATACCTTATGAAGCTCTTGAGGTTGAAGTATCCCACCTTCCCGGGAAAGATCACGGATAACCAAATGGAGGACTTGGTGCGCAATCATTGCTACGTATCGCAAGACTACGACCGCGAGCTGGGCGGATATCTTGATTGGACGGGCCTGGAGGATCGCGACCATGTCATCCAGTATCCATTCACCGAACACATCGTTGTGGAAAAGACGCAAGAGGAACTCGCCCGGATTGCAGAACGGAAGAAGGAGAGTGGCCGTCGACTACAAGAACAAGCAGCGAAGATGCGCCTTGAAAAACTGGTGAAAAAGGAGCAGGAACTGGAGTATTGGAAGGGCATTCAGCTGGGCTTGCAGTCTGAGACAAAGAAGGAGATTCGTCGGATACTGGAGGCCGAAGAACTGAAGGATGAGGCTCATCTCGAGCGGATGATCCGCGACCTGGAGAAATCCATCAAACGTTCTCGCAATAAGGATCTTGGTATTGAGGAAACCGAAGAGCAGCCCGAGGAGATGTCCTTCCCGCTGCTTGAAATTCCCGATGAACAGCTCGATGAAGCTGGTCTAAAGGAGAAGCGTCACCAACGCTTGATGAAATCAAATGTTGATGCACGAGCGCGTGCCAAGGCCGAGAAGGAGCGTGAAAAGGCCCGTGTTGAAGAGGAGGAGCGCCTTGATCGAGAGAAGCGGGAAAATGACTTCGATTCTTGGATTTCTGAACGGCGAGCTAATCATCAGGTAAGTGTGTCTATCCTTCTCCAGCTCAGATCTAACAAGTACAGTCTATCCTGCAACGAATCAAGGACCGCGATCGCATGACGGCGGACCTCGGAAACCGAAAGTCCCTTGCCAGCCAGGCTCGTATGAAAACTCTGGCCAACTTGGCGTCCGATGGTCCCAAGAAACGCCGCCGCGGCGCAGAAGATGACGACTTTGGTGCCAACGACGACGACTGGGGTGTTTACCGAACCGTTGCGACCGGCGACCAGAGCGACGAAGAGGAAGAGGAGGACCTAGGTGCTATGCTCAACAGCGCCGAGGCCGAGCTACTCCAATTCGACCCCGACTTCACTGAGAACCACACCCTCGCCGCACAGTCCGACTGGACTAAGAGTCTTGTCCATGGCTTCCTACGTGGTCCCTGGCCCTTTGATCCGGAAAGCCAACGAGAGGCGCACCAGCTCCACTTGAATGTGGAACGTATTCGGGTCCCTGAAGTTGTGTTCAAGCCCTCTATCGCCGGCGTAGACCAGGCCGGCCTGATTCAAATTGCCGCCGATATTGTCAACCAGCGTTTCTCAGGTACCGAGGACCGTGCCCGTCTCCTGAAGGACGTCTTCTTGACGGGTGGTAACACCCTTTTCTCCGGATTTGAGGACCGGTTCCGTAACGAACTCCGTGGATACCTACCCATTGATGTGGAGTTCAATGTGCGACACGCTTCTGATCCTGTCTTGGATGCTTGGAAGGGAGCGGCACAGTGGGCTTCTGGAGCTGATTTCGCTCGATCATCTGTGACTCGACAAGAATACTTGGAGAAGGGCAGCGAGTATATCAAGGTGAGTCTACGTGTCTGTTCTTTGGTTGATTTGTTCTAACTCTTCTCAGGAGCACGATCTTGGTAATGCCACATGGTAAGCAGCTGAACGGTTCAAAACTAAGGCGCATGGAGTCTGGGTTATAGGCTGTATTTAGTACTCTAGTGACAGCGGGAGTCTAATTGTCAATGGTATGAAATTGTTACATTATACGTAGTACATAACATCTAGTGCGTTGCTAATCCTTCGCTTCTTGGAACCCAGGCGCATATTTGTCAACTTGGCCATGTACTATTAGTCCCTTTTTCTCTGCTGGTGCCACTCAACAGATTGTCCCTACCACATAAACCTCCGCGACCGGACGTCTCATATCAACCCTAAAGATACTTGAGTATCAATATTTTCCCACAGAAACCTAAGCTCAGTCTTCATGTTTTTCTTCAAACTGCATTCACATTGATATGAGTGTTAGATACTCGGAACTGCCATCCAACCAGAAAGCGAGACATTTCTCGAGGAGAGTTGATTTGTGGGATTCTATTCGGACATAAAGATTTAGATCTTCTATCATCTAGGTTAGAGATAAGCTTCCTAGGTAGGCCATGGGCCATACCATTGTGTCAGTGGCATGAGATCACATATATACAGCCGAAGCAAATTATCTAAAAATGGCCACTCTTTCAGTTTCTATCTTCTACTCTTTTGATTTTGATAATTAGTTACAGTGTGACATGTCCTCCATAGACGGGTAACTTTATGCAATCATGACGCAGCTGGGGAAGACCACATGACTGTTGATTTCGGCCAAATTTTAACTTCCATCAATATATGTATCGTGTCCGGGATGATGCTATGAAGAGAACATAAAATCCCAGTCTTGCCACCTTGGATCTTTTGTTTTCAAATATTCTTCGTATATACTTTGGTTAAACCTACATTATTCTAGCCATGCGCTTCTCATCAACTATCGCCAAACCACTGCAATTGATCCTTAGAACCTTGCAGTGGTGCAGTGCTGTTATTGTCTTAGGATTAACTTCTTGGTTTATCAACAAAGGACCTCGTGGACAACATATTATCTACCAGGAAGTCATCGTATGATCATCCCATGCACCTGAGATATGGGATATCTGAGATATCTACTGACATTGAACTCAAGGCCGCCTTTTCAGTCGTCTGCTTCATTCCAGCTTTCATCTCGCCCTTCCGCCCTGCACTAAGCAAATTCGTCATCTTTGTCGATATCGTATTCTCTTACCTGTATGTCGTTGAATCCTGCAACGGAAGATCATCTCACTAATATGTGCTCTGTAGATGGTTAACCGCCTTCATCTTTGCGGCACAGGACTATAGCTGGCACTCGTGCTACTTCCATTCCCCACCTGGTGTAGCATGCTCACGCAAGAGAGGGAATGAGACATTTATGTTCTTAAGTTTGTAAGTTCCAATTCCTATTTCAATTCCTAATTCATTTCCACTGTATACCAGCTAATCCTCATAGTATATTTACGTTCTTGGGGATTTTCCTCGAGGGCGGTGCTCTTTGGGCTTATAAGAGAGGTCAGGCAGCTCACCCTGTTGTTGAAAAACAGAATGTGAGGGCACCCCTTGATGCTCCTGCCGAAGTTCCCGCTCCGGTTTGAGACGGCTTGAATCTGATTCGAATTTGGATTCGAATTTGGGTTTAGTTCTAGTGGTACGTTCTGTACTACGTTAGGTTCACGCCTGGGTTTGCACCAATCGGGTTGAGAGGAGATGCAGATCTATCTGCGTAAGTTCGTTACCGTGTGAGGTTGTTGTAATGTCGATTCGGTCCCCGCTTGATTCGGACTCATCCAGTTGATAATGTGGCGGGGTTTGCATATACTCAGATGTCTGCCAAGTTAGCCTTCCCATCTAGTATTACTTAATGAACTTTATACAGTTTGGTTTTGTGGCCTGCTGTTGGTTTGTATGAAATTAGACTTGTTTCTAGCTCAGTCTCAACGGGTATTTCTATCTATGTACAGGTTTTGACAGCCAATGTCAGACCCAAGTCTTAGGATGCATATGGTGTATCTCATGCAAAGCGAAAGTACGCCTAACTTCAGCCAACGCCAAGCCCAACGCTTCAAGGAACATCCTCAAATGGATGGTAATGGCATGATAATCGTAGACTTGTAGACTTAGATACTGGCTCGTCTGGGAGCCATAGTCCGCTGCAACTTGCGCTTTTCCTCCGTCTCTTCGGGAATTGGGAGAGATCCCTCATTCTTAAGACGCTCGAGGAACTCCTTGCCATATGCGTATCCAACCTGATAGATCTCGTCGAATTTACCAAAGTCGAGTGTTCCGTACGGATCAATTGGTGGGCGCATGTAAAGACAACCGCTCATCTTTTTGGCTCGTTCCAGATTATCAATGGACGAGACGTATGCGAGGCGGGCTTGGATTTCAGAAAGTGTGGGTGGGTTGGGAATAGATGAGAAGGGATTCCAGCGGTTGAACGTCGACCAGAATCCGGATAATGAGTCGCCGTAGACCTGGGGTGTGTTGTCGTCGAGCGCTCCCACATCGATGGCGAAGATGACATCTGCGCCAAGACTCTTCATGTGCGCCACCGTGAGATTGTCGATATATCCACCGTCCAAGAGCATGCTGCCTTCATCACAGATAGGAGGAATCAAGCCAGCTAACGACATGGACGCACGCACGTACCGCCACACATATCCCGACGAGTGGTATTCTGCGCGGGACCGGCTGATGTTGGTGGTGTTACAATAGAACTCGAGCCAGAAATCCTCAATCTGGCTGTCGCCAAATGTTTTGAAGATGCCGCGGTTGAACTCATGGCCAGTCGTGTACGAAACCGTGGGATAGGTGAGGTCCAGTGCAAACCGCCACATACTCCCCATGCGGCCGGAGAATTTCTTTGCGCGGCCATACATGGGAACCACGTCGGCATCTCGTGCATAAAGGGCTCCAATGAACGAACCAATAGAAGTGCCACCGATGATATCAATCGGGATTCCAGCTTCTTCGAGTGCCTTGATCACACCAACTTGAGCGATACCGCGCGCACCTCCTCCACCCAGCACAAGTCCAACAGACTTTCCACATAGCCGGCGAGCGAGGCGGTGGAAATCGCCCTTGAAAGGAGTCTGGGATGAATACAAAGGCGTTTGCTGAATACGTCGTGAGGTATACTTTTGGATCTCGGCCTGTAAAATCTGGACACGCTGCTTGAGAACAGTACCAAATTTCTTAGGGTGGGGATGAGATGGCTCAGTGGTCAGGCGGAATGACATTTGAATATGGTGATGACCGCCATTGATCCACAACCGGTTCTTGAGCCAACGTCGTGTCAAGCCGGGCGGGCAGTACCTTTCGGAGTGAAGAAGCACCAGCTCCTTCCGGGCGGTAGTCTTCATGCCAAGCAAGAATCGCTCATATTCTCCGATCCTGGGCGACGACTCCGCGACACCCACCAGCAAGATGGAATCTGCTTGCGTGATGCAGGTCTGTGTCCATGGTGTATTGACATTAGTATCAGCGATATATAGTAACAAGCCATACTTCTCTTCCAGGTCTGCCAGGTACTGCGAGAGCTTGAGCTTGCCCATCTTGCTGAAGGCATGGCGGCCCAAGTGGTTCAGAATCGCAGCTTGGTTAAGGGAAGTCACTCCTCTTGTCACACCGACCTGGTGCAAGGCATTCAGCAACCGGTGACCAAATTCAATTACTGGAACTCCTGCAGTGACTGGCACGATAGCAACTGTGCGGAGGTTGACAGTTGATGTCGCAGTCTGGACGCCACCGACATGAGCCTGCTCGAATCCTTTCTCAGATAGAGGATGTGCGACCAAGTCACGCATGCGCTGAGCGATCAGCTTGGACACTTGGATGGTGATTCCTGGATGCTCTTGAGCCAGACTATTAAAAAGTGATCGAGGGAACTTGGCCAACTCAGTCTCTCGAATTGCATGGAGAGTCGATGGCCGAGTAGATTCGGTCATGACCTCGAGTTCCCCAACACTCTCGCCTTGACCATATTCACCAATGACGGTCATCTTGCCATTGGGCCCTTCCAAGACCGATCTCAGACGGCCGTTCAGCACAAGATAAATCGCGTCACTTTCATCTCCTTGGTGGTAGATAGGTTGTCCTGCGCCTACTTGCACCCACTCGAGCGCAAAGTCAATGTGAAGGAGCAGACGGGGAAGGAGATTCGTCAGGCGTTTTGCCAGGGTCAATAGTGCAATGGGGTACCGGTCTGCGATCCGCTCTAGAGATGCACGAGGCAGGAATCCCACGTAGACATCTGTCTTTGCAACGACGTCTGTGTATGAGCGATAAGAGGCTAGGGCACCGACGTACCCTTGCATGCCTCCAGGTTTGATCAGGTAGAGTGACTTGCGCGACTGAGTCTTGCGGCGAGAGTCAGTGGCACCTGTGCCTGAAGCACGAGAAGAGCCCGTTGCGGTTCGGCCCAGTGGAGGGAAAAGATCCTCTTGTGTATTCGCCGAAGAACGTGACGAACCAACGAGGTCCTCCCCCCGTTCATTGACAGGGACACCCACATCTAAGAATCCATCGATCACATAGTAAAGACCAGGGTGACGCTCACCCTGTTCTACAAGAACTGAGCCTTGGGGGAAGTAAACCACTTCAATATCGTGGCGCAGCTCCTCTCGCAGATTGATCACTGGTGATGTTCCCCCAGCACTGGTCACAGACATGGACATCATAGACTCCGTCTCGCCATCCCCCGATCCTTCATAGGGATCGATGAACCCAAATGCATTAGAGAACACAGCCTTCTGTCGTCGAGAGTCGTACGACAGCAGTCTGGGTGACGCATCACCGGAGGCATGGCTGCCTTTTCGAAGAGCATCCCGTGTACTCTCCATCAAACCAATTCCCTTCATCATGCATTCCAAAATGGACTCGCGGAACAACGTTTCCTCGTCTACTGATTCCTTTCGCTGGAAGGGAGATGGTGGCAAGCCATCAAGACCCGCAGCTGGTCGGAATAGAGGACGCTCTCGCTCTGTTAAGGGGCTGAGAAGGCTGGGGCCCATATTATCGGGACGATGTCCAAAACGGGAGAGCTGGATTGTGGATAGCAAGTCGCCCGGACTGACTCCGTTCGACTCTCTCTCGTTGTAGTGAAGTTTGGGTCGCCTCTGGGGTGTCAGGGCGAGTGGCCGGCTTGCTCCGTCCACGCGGGCTTGTAAAACCGCTTCCTTTCGGAGGGAGCTACTGGAACGGCGTCTCCGTCCCACCGCTGGGTTGTGGAGAGCGATGCCCTTAACAACTTCTTCCGGACCAAGGCGATCTCGCTCCTGCATGAATTTGTTCTTCAACCTGTCCAAAGCACTGCCGCGCAGATCATTGGGCAGATCATAGGAAGTGTATCTGGCCATTTGTCGCTCAATGCCCAGCACATCGGTTGCTAAGCCCAGGTAGGAGTGCGCGGTCGCGAATGTCACTCTTTGGAGACGAGTCAAGATTACTTGCACAATATGGGCGGTCGCTCTGGGGTAGACTCGAGTCAACCGACGGAATGCGCTCGCGGGAATAATTGCAATAGTCGTATCCACTGTGGCTCGGGCAACAATATCTGGATGCACCGACTTTCGTCGTCTGTGAGATGGCCGAGTGAATTGTGGCCGTGCAGGTCGCCGAGGAAGGGTATTATGGCTCTCACCCAAGTTCAATGGAGGAACTGTCGGTAGCGCATCACCGAAGTCATGAAGACCAGGTGTTATGTCGTGATCATCTGTTCCTGACTGTGGACTCCCCAGCATGCCCATACCAGGACTCACTGGAAGGGATTCTGGAGCTCGTGGGGTATGAGGCGGTGCTACACTGGAGTTGCTGGAACTGGAACTAGAGGTGTTACGCAGTTTGATATCTTCGGTGAACAACTGCAGGATGGAGAAGAGCGACGACATGGAAGCGCCGTTCTTCACCTCTGTCAGCAGTTGATAGCCCTGGCCGCCTGGACTGCTTTCTTCATCTTCCGAAGTTGCGTCATCCAGGTTTAATTTCTCTTCCTCGCGCTTGCCCTCCCGAGTTGACTTGACGAAGATCTGGACCAGGCCATCTACCACCAAACAGAAGCCTTTTTCTTCCTCCAACATCAGGGTCTCGCCGGCGATCAGTTTTCTTGTCTGCATGGTCCGAGTCAATTCGTGAAAGACCGGTCGTTCTAGGTAACCAAAGACTTTGATCGCGCTCAGGAACTCGTCGAGGTAGTTGGCCAATCCCGGTTTGGAGTCGCCATCTTGGATATCAGGGAAGAGATCGACCTGGGCTTCTTTGCGCTGGGGCTCCGGAGGTAGGCGACTGTACATGTTCATAAAGCGGTAGCGAATGAACCAGCTCACGGTCGAGACCATGGCCAGGAGGATTAACAAGCTATGCAAATGGTCAGCTGCCATATCCCGGTATAAGGGGCAGATCAGTAACCCACAGAGTGGTGAAATTCATAGTGAACGTGAGGCTCATAGAGAACAAGGTAAATAGCCATGTGGGCAAGGTGATAGTGGTAAAGGTGATGAACCAGTACAGGGCTCGCGGGACGACCTGCAAGGCAATGGTAAACACCCAACCAATCCACCCTGTCATTGTTGACGGAATTGGCGGCGGAAAAGGCGGGGGAGAAGAGATATCGGCAGCGGATAGAGCGGTCGCGAGGGAGGGGGTAGACAGTGAAGCTGTGGCCGTGATGGCCGTTAGGCTCAGGGACGGCGCCAGGTTAGGCATGACGTGTGGTCCCGGGATGAGACAGAAGCTCCGCTTTCCAAGGAAGCCAGTCGGCAAGCAGGATATCACCCACACTAACTCAAAAACGACCCTCTCTGGGCCACCATGTGCGTGGGCATCGGAAACGTGCGGGCCCTGGTATCAGTGGATGGAGCAATTGAGGAGGGGAAACGGTCTAGTCCGCAGGGATAACAAGCTTCCGAGGCAGGTGACTTTGTCGGTCGGAAAATGAAATGGTCACATTCAATTGAGAAATAATAGAAAACAGATGTAAAAAACCTTGAAATCGATCGATGTTTCTAGTACTTGAGATCAACTAGTAGTATTCGATCTCTGTACTCCGTACCAGTAATAGCTCTATTTAGTCAAACGTGGGTTGGTCCGGACTCCGCGTAGAAGTGGAGATTTGAAACTATCATGAAGTGCATATTTCAGCCAATCATCTTATACATATTTATCTATAAAACACTTCTACAGTTCTAAAGTGATATTTCAAATGTTAAGTCTAGTCACTTGATATTCAATTAAACCCTATCTGGGTGAAGATATATGAGATATTGGGGCCGTTGTACAATACCTAACAGTATGTACCCGAGACCAAATATATTTAAATCGCTACGCTACATCACTTTAAATGCTAGCAGGTATAATCCAATGAAATTAAACATCAAATTGGCTCTCGACGTTTCATAACTTGCAGAGATCATTTTCGGAAAAAAAAAAAATCTATACTCAACTACTATCACTCAAACTAGGTACATAAAACTACGTATTATGTACATGAGCGACCCTTCTGTGAAGCTAATTGGGGGATTCTAATATAATAGCCTGCCCGCATACTAGCCAACTGATTAAGGAGACATGGTCATTCTGAGCAGGTATCATATTTAACAAATACTACACATTGAAAAGAGGGACCGAGTCTTCCCACTACAATATGTACTTAGTAGTCCCATATTCTTACCTTAAGAGTTGTACTCAGTTCGTGCCACATATTATTCATACCTGCTTTTTCGAACAAAAATGTAGCCTACGACAATCTGAATCCTTGGATATAATAAAGTGCCTCCTTACAATATGAGCCTTTCATTATTCGCTATGAATTTTTACACATATGATACATACAACTAGAATCCCGTAGCCAAAAAGTCAGCTAAAAGAGTACTCGAGTAGGCACTGGAGTAGCTATAAAGATAGATATGCATAAAGTAGGCTACCGGGGTATCTGGGTAGACTATAAATAAAATGATCTAGTGTACCTTAGTTCGAACCATAGATATTGTATTCCTGATCAGGTTTGAGTGGAGCAATTCCCTTCAATGTTTTTTTTTATCAATCAATCTTGATACATATTTATATTTAGTCCTCATTTGGGGGTGCTTCCCTTTCAAGTTTCTTATATAATAGGAACAGGATATAAGTAGAATAGAAGGTTAAAATTATATTGAAATCAGTCTGGTGCTTACACATGTAGTGGGTTCTATCTATTAATATGTCATGGCATACGTGTTTGGCCCGAGCTATGTCTTGGCCAACTCCGATCCCGATTATGCTTCCGGTTTCATGTTCATTGACCCCATGCTCCCCACGCCGCTTTCTCTCCTGCTACTCCTCTGCATCAACCTACTTTTCTTTCTTTGTGATCTTATAAACTTGGTGGTATTGGTCCAGAGACCCGTCGCGGTGATGTTTCAGGTGACTTCCCTTCCCCGGATCGCACCCACTGCAGCCCACACAACCAGCCAACCATACTAACTACCTTTCTAGCGCCTCCGCGACGCTATCGACTCGCGCATAGCAGAGGAACAAGCGCGCCAAAAATCCGCACAGGATAATCTCTCTCGCTCTAACTCCGCACGCCGCCCGGCCAATCCTCCCCCGGGGCAACGGTCCCGCCCGCGACGCAACACTGGGACCCCAGTCCGAGGCCCTGACCCAAAAGAGTTCGAGGCAGAATTCACGATCGGCGATGATGAGTCCAGTCGGTCGGGCACGCCTCGTGTAGAGACACCTGACCCGGTCTCCGAAGTGGGCAGCTTGGCGGGTGACCGGACGGAGGAGACAGAGAGCCAGACCGCCCATTCCTCAACTGATGCGACAGAGAAGACCACTGATACAGAGAAGGAGTCTGCTACACCCGCCACTGAGGAGACCAGTAAGTCCGGCCCAGCGGAGTTGCCAATAGAGGTCAAGGCCAAGCTGCGCCGGTTAGACAAGTTGGAATCACGATACCATGGTATGGGACGATATGTCTGTTCTATCAAATGAATCTCGAACTGACCTTGTATTTTGTCAGAACTTCTCAAAGCCTACCGCGTGGCGCACTCGCGCGTCCTCTCGATCGAACCCTTCGAAGCTGCGCTGCGCGAGAATACCCCTCTTACCTCGATTGGCGAGCCCAAGGCTCTGACCGAGTACCTCAATCAGATGTCACTAAAGACCGATATGGTGATGGAGGAAATGAAGCGGGTTGCAATCGAACGGGACGACTACAAAAAGAAAATGAACGAGGCTGAAAAGTCCACGAAGGAAGCATGGGATGAAGTGGCCGGCCTTAAGGAGAAGGTCAAGGAAACTGCATCCGCAGAAAAGAAGTCCGACGAAAAGCAGGAAACGAGCGAGGAGTTTTTCTCATACGACAACGAGGTTCCTCGGCTGGAAGGCGAATTGAAAGAGAAGCAAGAAGAAGTCGATAGCCTCAAGTCCGAAGTCGAGCAGCTCAAGACCGATCTTTCTGTGACCAGGGAATCTACCGAGGGTATGGTGCAGAACTTGGAATTGGCCACCCGGGAACTGGTGGAGCTGCGAGACACCAAGGACAAGCTGAATGCGAAGATTGAAGGCCTGAAGACCTCGAAGCAGAGCGATGTCGATGAACTCAAAGCGAAACTTGCGACTGTCGAGTCTTCTCTCGAGAGTACCAAGGCCGAGGTCGAGAAGCTGAAGACAGAAGTGAAGGACAAAGGTAATGAGATTGAGAAGCTTCAAGCTCAAGCATCCGAGGCCGACAAGGCAGGGAAGACCGAGGATAACTCAGAGCTGGTTTCACAGCTGGAGGAGGCCAAGAAAGCAAAGGAGACCAGTGAGAAGCGCCTCGGTGTTCTGCAGGGTGTAGTCGATGCAGTCAAGTCACAGCTTAAGGAAACCGAAAGCACCGTGTCAGCCCTCAAGGAGGATATCACCAGGAAGTCCGAAAGCAACGCTCAGCTCCAAAATATCATCGACTTCTTGGACACCAACCTTCAGGACAACGAAGCCTGGAAGTCCTCCAAGGAGAAGGTTAGTGCTGGGAAGACCGCTGATTTTGAGGAGATCCGCAAGAGCCTCGCTCCCACCGAGAAGCCCGTTGAGCCTAGCACAGCTGCCCCTGAAGAAGATTCACAACCGGTCGCAGCACCATCTGCTGGTGGAGCTGCAGGCAAGAAGAAGAACAAGAAAAAGAAGAAGGGTGGAAAGGCGGCTGAGGAGCCGTCCAAGCCGGCCGAGACTACTCCTGAGCAGCCTCCAGCCGCGTCAGCTGCACCCTCCGCATCCATTGCGGAAATGGAAGAGTTGAAGCAGAAGATTGAGTCTCTCACTCAGCAACTCTCTGACAAAGAGAACGCTATCGACCGCCTTAGTGCCAAGCTCAAGGGGGAGGAAGACCTCAAGGAGGAGATCGAGTCTTTGCGTGATGATATCGTCAATGTTGGACAGGAACATGTCGAGGCTAAGGATAAGATCAAGGAGCTTAATGCTCAGAAGTCTGCGCTGGAAGAGACTATCAGCAAGCTGGAAAAGGAGCTGATTGAGCTGCGTACAAGCAGCGCCTCGACTTCCGCTGACTCGGAGAAGATGCACACATCTCTTAAAGAGGAGTTTGAGGGTCTCAAGGTCCGAGCTGCCACCTTAGAGACAGATCTTTCGGCCGCTCAGCAGCTGGCTGCCACTCGGTTCAAAGACTTGACCGACCTGCGCGAAACCCTTCAAAAAGTTCAACCAGAGCTACGTAACCTTAGGGCTGAATCTTCAGAACTGAAGACTTTGAAGGAAACCCTCACCAGCAAAGACAAAGAGCTTAGAGCCCTCGAGTCCAAGCATGAGGATCTGCGCGCGGAATTGAAGATCGCCAAGACCAAAATCACAGAACGGGACGCAGAAGTAAACACCTTGAACAAGAAGGTTCGCCAAGAGACTGATGGTCGTCTCAAAGCCGAGGAGAGTCTTAACGTCGCTCAATCGGATCTCCGATCTTCGGAATCAAGAAGACAGGACGCCATTAACGCCAAGGATAAAAATATGGGAGATCTCACCAAGTCTCAAAACAACCTGAAGAGTGCTCGCACCAAGATGCGTGAAATGGATGAACAAATCTCTCAACTCAACAAAGATCTTGCAGGTCTCCGAGAAGAGATTAGCCTAAAAACCGCACAGCACACCAGTGCACAGAGTTTGATGAATAATATGCGTGACCAGACCGCCGAGATGGCTATGCAGATGAAGGAAGCTCGCGAAAAATGCGAAAGCCTGGAAGAAGAGCTTGGGGAAGCACACCGCCTCCTGAGCGAACGTACCCGCGAAGGCGAGACGATGCGCCGTCTCCTCAATGATATTGAGAGTCGCTCTGAGGCCAAGGTCCGAGACTTCAAGGAACGCATGGAGGCCGCTATCGAAGAAAGAGACCGTGCCGAAGACGAGGCCAGTACCCAGGGCCGCCGCCGCGCACGGGAGATGGAAGAGTTGAAAGCCAAGGTGCGAGACGCCGAACGGGCTCTGCGCACTGCCGAACAAGACAAGGAGGAACTTGAGCACTCTCAAAAGGACTGGCGTCGTCGTCGTGACGAATTAGAGCTTCTCTCAGAGCGGTCTACCCAAGAGGTCGAGGAAGTCAAGCAGGCCATGGCCGGTCTGCGAGAAGCACTGGATGAAAGTGAGAAACAAGTCCGTAGTCTGGAGAAGGATAAAGCCGAGCTCCGCCGTTCTGTTGAAGAAACGAACAACCGACTTGAGAAGCTGCGCAAATCACACAAGACTCTGGGTGAAGATGTGCGTCTCCGTGGACTGGAGTCCGGTCGCCAGTCCTCTCGGTCATCGATTGATTCTGGTTCAAGACGTGGCGTCGCCTCACCATCCGGTCAGGACCGCAGTGTGTCTAGTCGTCGGAGCGAGACGCCCGCTGTTGGACCGAATACCCAGTCAATCGATTACATGTATTTGAAGAACGTCTTGCTCCAGTTCCTAGAGCAAAAGGACAAGACCTACCAAAAGCAGTTGATCCCTGTATTGGGGATGCTGCTCCATTTTGATCGGTAAGTTACTATTTAGTCCTAATTAAGTGCACATACTGACTTGACGCAGAACGGACGAACAGAAGTGGATGTCTGCCATCATGTCTAAGTGAGGTCTTTCTTTTTTTGAGAACGTTTCACAGCGGTTCTGCACTACTTTTATTCCACACTGTATAATATCCACCGCCAATAGTATTTATCCATCCTTGTTATAGTAATAATGAGTTGTTACTATTACAGTACTGTATAAGATCACAGTTATCGTCTATGTCCGCAGATGAGTGTCTTATCCCATTGGCTAGATACTTAAAACAGTAACGGGCACAGCCCTGAGATACCCCACATATGTGCAGAGATGACAGTAAGCAGGAACTGGAACTCGGTAAGCTGATATGGGAAGTCAGCTTATGTAGATCGGCAGTACGAAGTGGAGAGCCATGTGAACGCCCTTGGTGCCTGATGTGTAAGGCTAGATATATATGACGTAATATCAATGGATGTTGAGTCATCATTCATCGGAACGGAACAAAGACTCACCTAGCGTGATTCACGTGATAGCAACTAGTTGTCAAAACCCCCCACGAAAAATCCAAATTAATTCGAAGAATTCCGTAGATTGAATATGATTGCCCAATCAAATTCAAAAGCTTACTGCATTTCTATCTAGAATATTAAGCTTTTTCCTTTCGTTTTGTTGTACATAGAAAAGGCAAAATAGTTGAAAAGCTTCGATATTAGCGTTACGGAACCGGAACCGGCAGAATGAGAAGCATTCGCTTACCGCACGCAAACTGCCTGACTCAGAATTCCCTCCTTCTGCTTACAGCATCTTCAACTGCTTACCTCATTCAGCTTCACCTGTTCAAAACCACCAAGAATCACTTTCTTGAGGGTATTGGGAATAATTTTAGTGCTGAAAAGAATCTTTCCAAATCTTATTTACTGAATGCCCATTTCATCCCTTTCGATGCAACCTGCGTTGGCTCCAGCACCGCATCCCAGTATGCAATCTACTGCTCAGGTAAGCAACCCATCCTTGACGCGTTTGTCATCAGATCATCTTCCCGCGCCAAGGTACTATGAACCAGTGCATCAAATGGGATATCTTGGTCAAAAACCTGCGACTGGTATTCCGACGCGTCGCAGTGCGCTACTTGTCTTGCCGCGACCTTCCGGGCGCATATCATGATTATGGTGTGATTGGTTACTAACAATGTTCATAGGACCATGCGGACCAGGGTATGTCACTGTTGTGGTTGAGACCGGTTCTGGTATCGTGTTAGGGCTATGTGGTTTTTGTCAGCTCGCTGGCGGCCCACCTGGTGCTGACTCTTTGCGGAACCTACTGTGTCCTGTGGCAAGGTGGTCTATGAGTAGTACAAAGGCTAACTGATATTAATGCAGTGCTCCATGACCAGCTGCTTGCTGCTCAGCACCACCTCCCTGGTCCTCGTCACCCGGGTGGTCCCAGCCCACAGCAGCACATGGCACCTAGCACTGCCAGCCCTCGCGACCAAGCTAACATTGATCCCGCCATCTCTGGTGCGGCCATGATGGGTGCGGCTCCCCCGCAAACCCCCACCCAACCCCAGCAGGGTTCGCCTGAGAGTGACAGCCCCAAGACTTACGGCAAGCGTGAACTCTCCACCTCCAAGCGTGCTGCCCAGAACCGCGCTGCCCAAGTAAGCTTCCTTTACTCCAGTCTTAGGACTTGTTCCCACTAACATAATTTAGCGTGCATTCCGCCAGCGCAAGGAGACTTATATCCGTAAGCTGGAGGATGAGGTCAAGAATGTTGATGGCTACAAAGAACACTTGGCCAAGCTCAACAATGAGGTCTTTGCTCTTCGCGAATACATCATCAGCCTTCAGTCTCGTCTTATGGAGGCGCAGGTTGAGGTCCCTGAACAGCCCGCCAACATTGATCTGAACCAGAACCCCCGCCATGATCTTGGTCTCGGTCTTCCCGGTGGCAGCAACGTCGCCACCTCTGGTGCCCAGCAGGCTCAGCACCCCGGCTCTGTCAATGACGACATGAACTCGCTAAACCGCATTGCCGTCGCCGGTCTGGGTATGCGTAAGCACCCCGAAGAAGCTAACTTCATGGCAAACAACTTCCAACATAACAAACGCCCCCGCGTCGATGAGAACACTACCGACCCCGACCTTGTCACCAAGCAAGAAGGCCAGCACCAGCATGGCCTCCCCTTGGCTTAAGTCTACTTATGTTTTCTTCTGCATTTGCAGGCTTCTAGCCTACGCAATCGTTCGATATCCCGTTTCGTTTTTCGCGCTTTCTGATCTTCCATTGTCATTTCATTTTATCTTAGCTTTTCAGTAACGGTGTGTGGCGCGATACGTGACTTTTTTTATCTGATCGATTTCACTTTGCGGCTCGGCGGTGTTTTGTTTTCGATTTTTTTGCCTTTGGGGCTTCTCTATGCTTTTTCGATCCGACGCGCGCAGATATGTCTGTCCGTGGAGTACAATTCTGCACTTTGGCCTGAAGAGCTACAAGAGTCAGTTCAACATGAATACTCTCTATTTCTCGTTAATTGATTTCGTACCGTGATCAGATGAAGACCTTGATTTAAGTAGACTGAAAGGATCATGATTGTCTATTCCAGGCCGAGATACTTCTATCACTGATTCAATCCATACTCCTGGATCAAAATATCAGCACATGTAGCTCCTGTCACATACGCCGTCGCCTGTGTATGATTATTCGTCAACACGGGCACAACGCTCATATCCGCAACGCGAAGATTGTCAACCCCAAATACCCGGAACCGATGATCGACCGCCGCATGGATGTCCCCTTCTTTGCCCATCTTCGCCGTTCCAGTCATGTGCCAGGCGGATGCCACATTGGCCTTCCAGAATTTAAGAATGTCTTCGTCGTTGTCAGATTCTGGCGCGACCAACGTGGATACCGTATCCTTTGAAAAAGATGGGTGTCGTGTTACCTCCCGGAGGTGTTTGTAGATCTCGATGACTGCACGCTGATCGAATGGGTGCTCCAAAACCTTGGGATCGAAAAGAAGGGGATCATCTGGTTTCGCCGACTGCAGTCGTACCTCCCCGGTAGACTGCTCGTTCATCAGTAAAGCGATCAGGCAGATGTAATCGTAGTCCTGAAATAGCTGAGGGATTGTATAGTGAACCGGAAACCCGCTGATAAGCTCCCAGTGTGGGATTGTATCCTTATTCATAAATTCCTGGACCGAAGCTGGAAGGTCCTTGAACTCTTTCAAGGAGGTTACCTTGTCGGATTTGAACCATCCACATGCGATCTGACAACCGTATCGGGTCCAGGGCCCTGTGCGGTCTTTCTCCCATTGGGCTAGTGCGGCATCCATGGCGGGCTCCGAGCCATAGAATTTGTTACGGTCGCATGTCTCGGGGTTTCGCGTGAGAATTAACGGCACAAAGAAGTGGTCTTTGAGACCCTGGCCGATGGCGGGTAGGTCTTGGATCACCGGGATGTCGAACTTGTCCAACTCGGCGGCTGGACCAATTCCTGAATGCATCAAGATTTTAGGCGTATCGAGTGATCCAGTTGATAAGATAACTTCCTTGCTGGCGAAATCTGCGGTATGTCAGTTTCTATAGATAGATGTTTGGTCGGTAGTACTTACACTTCTTGCCTTGGGTCTCAACACCAACTGCCTTTTTATCTTGCAAGACAATTCGCTGTACCGGGGAATCCGTGATAATGACCAAGTCATCAGACGCACCACTCAACAGATCAACTCCAGTTGTTCTGCGTCCTTTGCCAGCGGAGTTGATCATCAAACTCATACCAAGAGGATTCCCAGAATTATGATCCAGATTTCGCTCCAACCCAGCATCCTCCAGCGCATCCAAAATAAGAGGCAAATCCTGTTCCCATTCCTTTGCATATCCAATCAACAAACCACCTCGATCTCCATGATCTTTCCCCCTGGGCTGTGCATACTTCTGGTTCTCAGGAAGATCAATAGACCCATCAAACAATTCAAGATCTTTAAACCGCTTCTTCATTGCTTCCCAACCAAATGTCTCATCGCCAACATCCTCAGCCCAAGTATCATAATCGTCTTTCGCGCCAAAAGTGTAAACACCAAAGTTAATCGCAGATCCTCCCCCCAGTCCCTTCCCGCGAGAGTAATCAATAATCCGCTCGTCGCATGCAGCTTGAGGGGTTGTTTTATATCCCCAGTTCATTTTCTCGTTCAGAAAGGTTGTCCAGCGCTTACCATCTACGCGTTGGGAATAGTCGTCGTTTTTCCCGCCCGCTTCTAGCAGGAGTACGCGGGGTTTGGCGGCGGACTTGCTGAGTGATGCTGCGAGCGCACATCCTGCAGGGCCAGCTACAGAATGTCAACTAGGGGCTAGTATTACCTGGGTGTATTGGTGGAATTACCTCCGACAATAATGAAATCGTAAGCCTCCTGCTCCACCATTTCGAAAAGCGATTTGTGAATCTGGGTTATGTATGCACCTATGTTGGGCTTAGGTAGGTCAGGAGACGTAGTGATGAGCACCAGAACTGTCAGGCAGCTGGGGCTTTTTATTATGTATATTGGGAATGATTGCGGAATGTCCAGGTGGGACAGGCTAGGTAATACCAAGTGCTTATTTCACCGCTCCAACGATGGTCGTTGATTTGGGGCTTACCCCTCCCCAATGCACATTCCGAAGAGAGTAAGCTTGGTGGGGGAATAGTGTGATTTATTGGTGGAATTGGTATGGCCTGCAATCTTGGCGCATAGAGATAGGTGATCATTGGCGAAGAAGTAGATAATGAGGGTGAACACATGCATGGGGCTCTTGGCGTTATTTGAGTCTTTCAAGGCTGAGAGTGTTGATACTATGATTTTATTTGAGCACAAATTCTATTGAGACTTGATAGAGAATGGTTTTAGGGTCGATCGTGAATTGGCATATAACTAAGAAAGAAAGCTGAAATGGAAGGTCGTTGGCGTTCTTCTGAGAACGTCTAAGATTGACCTTAGGCATCTGTTCCGAATCTATTAATTAAACATCGCAGGCTTGCATCGTCAGTATTCTTTTCCAGCGTCTCCAACTTCCACGCCTTCAACTCTGTTTCCTTAACTCCAAATGCAGCCTAAATTCCATGGAGTAATAACGACGTCTCCTCCCAAGAGAAGTCGATGTTCAGGCCAAAGAAGGATCTTCTTAGTTCTTATCTTCAATCTTTACATTGGCCAAGTCAGCAGTACCGGCATCTAAAAAGCGAGCTAATGCATGGTCATAGGCAGACAGGAGCGACCCGCCGTTGTAGATATTGGCCATATCTGCCGTCACCAAAGACGGTCCGAATGCTTCCATGGCAAGAAAACTCTCGCCATCTGCCAATTTATAATCCCGATGACGTTCAGATCACAATCAACCATTATGTGATTTACCTTGTCATCTACGTGCTTGAGAAAGAATTGTTTCGTACCCACAGCCACTAACCCAAAGCTTGGTGCTTCTTTCAGGAGCTGAGTCTGGATCTGGGCTTTCCGGCATGGAAACACTAGATAAGCATTCCCAGGGAAAGATGTGAAAAGCTGACAGTCCGCGATTAGAGTCATGTCCTGATCCACACATGAGATATAGTAGACTCTGACCGTGTCGAAGGGTCAGCATTGTGTTCACTTCGGCATGTATGTTGGCTTCGAATGCTTCGTCTAAAGTAGGCTTGTAGGTGTATTTAAAAAAGATATGAATGATTGAATGTACCATGTCAACGCGCTTATGAGATGGCGGGTGACGATGGATTCGGCAAAGATGGCAATTACATTGTTCGCAGGGAGTAAAGTCTCGGACAGTTGTTAGCTGACATCCTAAAGGCACAAGCGAAGAATCGATCAAGTGTGGAGATCATGGTGTGTTCCGAAGTTTGGGATGAATTGATAGAGCGGGGTATGTTTACTGGATTTTCAGCCAGATGCGATGTATCAATTTCTTGATCATCTTCTAGACTAGAATCGTGAATTGAGTCTATCGTGCATTTTGCGTCGATACCCTACATCCTAGTGGGGAGACCCTTCAACTGGATGGGGCCTACCGGTATTAATCGTGAATGACTGGAACAGGAACAGTCCACGGGCGGAAAACTTGGAAGAATTCCATATCTATCTGCACGGTTTACAGGTATGAATGTAGAGAGTTTCGGTAAGAATTCTTTTACCACTTTGCATCAGAACCAGCGGGTCTGTTAGTCTATACCCACGATGTGGATCCCTAACTGTGAATGATAACTCGAGGAAAGTCTCCTTCAAATAGTGTGAAGACCAAGTCATGAATACAATCAAATATGAGACTAACCTGGAACCCAACGGCTCTTCGGCTCTTCCCGGGCTTGCTGCAGCCATGCGATTAACTAGCGACCAATACCAATGTCATATTGGTAATAGGTCGATCCACAACACTATAGGGCAATTACTAGCGTGATGACCAGGTGGGAGCTTTTGCGATCATCATCATCATCATCATTGCGTCGGCTCCGAGCCAAGCCTATCCCATAGCCGAGGACCGATCGTTGTGGTGTTCACTTGCTCCATGACGATCATCACCCACCAATTAAATGAAGATCTAACGTTAACCCCGAAATCCCCGTACAGTATGCAGTAAACATCGCGGGCATAGGCAATTAGAATTTCCAAGAGAATATCTAAGCAATAATCTCTGTCCAAGAATCCCCAAGAATCTCCAAGATCCTTTGTCCCCTGGTTTGAAGTGGCGAAAAAAACCCGAGGCGGGAAAAAGCCGGCCAAAGCCGAGTTCAAACCTTGACGAGCTTCCTGTTGCAGATTAGTGGCTTTTTCCCCAGAAAATCTGGATGAAGAGAATTCACTGGAATTAACGGGTTTTGATTTCTCATCTTCAGGCGAATACTCTGTAAAGGTGAAGAATTCGATCGAACTGGCTCGTGCGGCCGAATCACCTAATCATACCTAAAGTGGATTCTGGTCATCCACTTTTTACTCCATCTTTTCTCCTCTTTTTTCGCCGTTTTATCCAGAGGCGAACGGGTGCCACTCGGCATATATATGGGGGGAACTGGGGAAGATAGTTCACACTTCCCAACCTCCTACTCTTAAACCTCTCCCCACCTTCCAACCTCTCTCTTCTCACTCCCTTCCTCCGCTCTCGGTAGCTAAATTTACATTTAGCGGCATTTGCGCATTATTGGGAACGGCATTGAGAACCCACTTCTCGGTCGTTAACACTCCTTCACGAACCTATTCCTGCCCTATCAATCGAGATGTTCGCCTAGGAAGATCATGGCGGTGAAATTGATTCTCTTCAACAAGTTACGCATACGATCGGACTTCCTTAGGGAAGGAATCACGACCTTCACGCTACCTTGACAAGGCCATCATGGTCAACGAACTCGATGAGCTACCCGATGGCCTCATCGGGGGCTACCACGGCCACAGCCTCACCGTGCGCATCTTGATGATTGTCTTTTCCTCAATCGCCCTGTACAATGCCATCGAATTGTTCATTTTAATATTTCTCACCTTTCAATCCTATCGCGGCCTATATTTCTGGACCATGCTTCTGTCCGTCGCCCTTGGTGTCATCCCCCACTCGATCGGCTACATCCTGGAGTTTTTCGCTCTGGCTCCGCTCTGGCTGTCCTTGACCCTGTCAACCATTGGGTTCTATGTCATGGTGCCCGGACAGTCCGTCGTCCTCTATTCGCGACTACATCTGGTTGTGCAGAGTCGACCCGTCTTGCGCTTTGTGCTCTGGCTCATTATCGTTGACGCGGTTATTCTCCTCATTCCCACCACCGTCCTGACCTTTTCCACCGCCTACATCCAGACCGAACCGTACATCAGGGGATACAATGTGATGGAGCGCTTGCAGTTGGCCTGGTTCTGTTGCCAGGAGTTTGTCATCTCCGGAATCTACATCTTTGAGACCGTCAAATTGCTCCAACTCATGCCAGATAAGGATCAGCGCCGGACTAGAATCATGTACGAGCTGCTAGCCATCAACTTTGTCATCATTCTCCTAGATGTCGCCCTGCTGGTGGTGGAGTACATCGGCTTCTACTCGCTGCAGACCACTTTGAAACCCATGGTGTACAGCATCAAACTGAAACTGGAGTTTGGTGTCCTTGGAAAGCTTGTCTCATTGGTCCAGACCTCACGGTCGACACCGACTTCTGCAGAGCAGGACGAGTTTCCGCAATTCGTGGACCCGAGTCAGCTCACCACTGACGTCACGCACGCGGCCCCTATTGATCGTGTACCGCGCGGGATGCGCGCATGGAATACCATCTCCATGGAAAGTTTACCAATGTCCGAGCGGATGCGTTCATCGACGCGATCCAGAGTGTCCAGCGACAGTGCCAAACCATCTTGATCTACCGACTTTTATTTAATCGTCCAAATTCCTATATGACTTTTGAACTCTGTGAATACAGAGAGAAATAAGCTCGTCGCGATCAACGCGACACCCATCAGCTTCGCTGCATTCGCGCGAAAGCCTCACGCTGCCAATGAGGCGCGAAAGTACCTGCAAACATAGCAGATTCAGCATATTGCAAATGCAAGTGCACATACCGATCGACCCAACTCGGGTCTTTGACTACCTGTCGTGTATAATCCCATCTGTTGATATATAGCCATTTACCATGGCTCTTTCGGATGTGTATAATTATGAAAACTGTAATCGAGTATCAAAGTTCATTTTCGGATATATTATACTTCATGGGTTATCCCTTACTACGATGTTATGACGAAATTGGACAGGATTCCTACTTATTAGGTACGATTCATAAAAGCAACCCCAATTACTTTTCTACACATGTGTTAGCACCATGCAGGGAACAGTCTTCATCCACCGCGGGTCCTACGAATCCATCACGGAAAATGCCTCCCCGGGTCTTCGATTTCTCAACCGCTTCCTCCCAGCTGTGGAATCAGTCAACCCAACACAAGACCCCATCGGCTCGTTTTTTAAATCTAATGCCTTCATCATAATCGGCAGTAATCCTTCCAGACCAGCGCAGCCGGCGACGCACTATGAATCCCAAAGTCGATACCTATCCTATTTTCACCACTACCTCCACGTAGCCTGGGACATGGACCTTACTCTGAATTCATTCAATCTGAATACGGAAAGCCATGATCCTCATAATTCGCATATGAAACGCACAGTCATGTTCGAGGCCACATCCGAGACAATCTTCAAAGATGACCCGGATCAGTTTTCGATCAAAACCTGCGAATTCAATATCCTCGACTTGGAGGGGACCGCGGAAAATCTACAAATCGTCGAGATGCGCATGTTTCTCGATGCAAAACCTATACAGGCCCGTGCTGCTTCATTGACAAGGGCATCAGCATTTGGTGAATCGCAGAGAGAGGCCGATGCAGAGTAATATTTTCGTTTGTCACACAGCGGAATGGCGGGATCGCATCTAATCTTATCGGGCTTAGTTTCGTTCAAGCTTGTTATCTTGCGGGGTTGAGGTGGCATACTGATTGCCGATCGGCAATAGCGTCGTATCGGGTTATCAGCCTAATGAAGAGCTGCTCATAAATAATGGGGCCATTTCCCGCCAATTGGAGTTTGTGATTTGGTCAAATCGCTTGAATCAGAATGCAGTCTGTACAGAGTCAGCAAAGTGTCATCAAAAAGGTCCGTGAGGTCCTGGACAAGTATGAGCCTCGGCTCAGCGAGATTAATCAAAAGGTAAGCAGAATTGAATTCAACGGACTAGACACTGCATCTAATATTGACAGATCTGGTCCAATCCTGAACTCGCCTTTGAAGAACATGATGCCCACGATAACATTTGTGCATTCTTCGACGCCCTCGCGAATGGATACACAGTAAAACGCCACGCATATGGCGTCAACACTGCGTTCGAAGTGAGCTACACGCATGGCCAGGCTGGTCGCGTAGTCGCCTTCAATGCAGAGTACGATGGCCTACCTGGTATGGGACATGCTTGCGGTCACAACCTGATTGCCACAAGCTCGATTGCATCCTTTCTGGCTACCACCGAGGCAATGAAGGCCCTCTACTCCGACACCACTGGATTCTCGGTCCGGTTACTAGGTACCCCAGCTGAAGAAGGCGGTGGCGGCAAAGTCAACCTTATCGATGCGGGCGCGTACAAGGATGTTGATGCCTGTCTTATGGTTCATCCTTACCCTATCCTATCTGGTGCACCGGACCTATTGAGCTCCGCGTCAGACTCAAGTCAATACCTTGCGATTAACTCGGTCGAGGTTACGTACACGGGTAAACCGGCCCATGCATCTGCTGCACCTTGGGAGGGAATCAATGCCCTGGACGCTGTTGTCGCGGCCTACGTGAATATCTCCATGCTCCGGCAGCAGATCCTCCCCACGCAGAAAATTCATGGTGTGGTCTTGAGAGGTGGTGAGAGACCTAATGTTATTCCTGCATCTACTACCGTCGAGTATTATATTCGATCGGAGACGAAGGAGACTCTGGACCCGTTGACCGAGCGCGTGGTGAAATGCTTTGATGCTGCCGCTACTGCGACTGGGTGTAGCGTCGAGTATAAGTGGGCGCCTTCGCACACGGATATGAAGGTCAACAAACCTATTCGTGATAGCTATACCTCAGCTATGAATGCTATGGGGTATAAGACTATCGCTGATGCGGTGGGACAGGAGGGTGGGTTGAGTGGAGGATCTACTGATATGGGTGAGTTCAATTTTTTGACAATTATGCATTTATTAACATTTGAATAACTTAGGCAACGTTTCTTACGAGGTTCCTGGATTCCATGGAGGATTCTATATACGCACCGATGGGGTTAACCACACACCTCAATTTACTGCTGGTGCTGGCTCTGAAGAATCGTTTCAACGCAGTTTAGCTTGTGCTGCTGGTATGGCTGTAGTGGGATGTCGTGTTCTGGTAGATGATAAATTCTCATCGGCTATTAAGGTGGACTTTCAGAAGAAAAAGTGAGCTACTAGTGGGACTAGAAGTGCACAAATAGACCTCGATTCGGAATTTTACCTAGACAGTAACACCCTAGTGGCCATCTCATACTGGAAATCTTTGAAACTTTGCCGCAGTTCTCTTCCGAGGGTAACCTTCGCATCTCCAGACTTAGATGTAGTTGGCAATGCAGATCAGTCTCCCCGCAACGGAAAGCGAATTGGCTAAATGGCCATTCTTATTGGTCGTTTATTTAAGCCTCACTCCTCACCTCAGGGATCCACTGCAGAATAGACGGGATTCTGTATTGGTAGGTAGAAGCGATGTGGAGGTCCGTGAGAAGCTAGTCTTCTTTTAGGGTAAGTTGGTCGGGTATCTCCTCCGCAACTTTGACTCGGTAGAAATTCAATCTTATAGCTTATGGTATTTTCCATATCATTTTTTCATGGCGCTCTGGAAGCTCATCCATCTTCCACACATTCCACTCTCCAAATATCCAGACTTACTCTCGCGACATTCACCAAAATGGATCAACCATATTCTACCAGTCCTGAAGGCTGACAGGGTCGCAGTATCATGGAAAGCCTGGTCGACCGACTCTGGCGACGCGGACGAGAGCGTGGAAGAACCGAGCGTGGAAAAATACAAGATACACTGCTGTATGAGCCTCTTATTTAGACGCTATGTTTTGTCTAGAAGTGTAGAAACTCTACGACGGCAAAGATTAATTAAAGGAGAAGACAGTATTTATTATGGAGGACAGCGAGTCGTTGGGATTGTGCGAATGGCCATGCCTGCGATACCCGTGGTATTATTGCACCCACGACCCCCGGACAAAGCACTCCAGTGCTGACAATCAGTCCTCGGGCTCGGAACAAGGGATCCAAGTGGAATATGGATCTGCTCCCCCATCAGACGGTAAGTGAGACAGACACCCAGGACATTAGAGGCTCCAACTTGTGGTATATGTATGGATTCTCTTGCATTAGATGATGAGATGATGACATTACCATGTGCACATTGGTTTTATACTGAGTGCACTGGCTCATGGTTTCGAGAGGGCCGGAGCTGTCCGATGTGTTGTCGACCTTTTGGCCAATTGGAGCTAACCGAACTTCTGACGGAACCATAGATCTACCCACTGATATATCTGGAATCCATATTGAATTGACAGATGAAGTTCCTTTGATGAGGGCGTGCTCTACGGATATTACTATCCTCCGAGTGATGAACACCTTAGCTGAGTTTATGTATGGTTCTTCGACCAACGAATACTGAAGGGCTGTACAACATATGAAGGTGAGAGACTTGAAACTAGGACATTCTGCTTTGCTCAAACCAGGCTTTGAGTTCGGACTGAAGATATAGACATTGGTAGAATGTATACTTTTTCTATAAACATGCTCATGTGTAGAGCATACAATCTGATTTATCTGCACCCAATCCCATCGTTCGGGCGATACATACAAAAACCTGGATCAATGTTCACTTCGTTTCGCATTCCTTCGATATATAACATCATTAACATCGATCCCGATACTGTATGACGTGAACTATTTTTGTTCCCTTTCTTGCGATGGTATTCGATACGTGGCAAATCCACTGATATTGTCTGCAAGTGGATCAATCTAGCTGAATCGCCGAGTACTCGGCCGGCGATTTGACAACACAAACCACATTGATGATATGGGCCCACAACAGTTCACTAGATAATGTCATAGTGCATGGTACCTTGAACGATTGAAACATCCCCAGTATGATGATGATGTCATGGAAGAAATCTTGGGTACAATCTGCGCCATGTTGCGCCATCGAATCATGATGATGATCAAAGTCTCCACTTTAGAAAATGGAAAATTGTGATTCGATTGATTCGCAGTGGGGGGGAAACCCTTGAATTTGCCACACCTTACTCGGTACCGAGTAGACCACTAGTTCAGCCACAGCGGACTCTATGTGGCAGATCCAGTAAATGGGTAAGAATGGACTCCATTTAACGCGTACCTAAGACCTACTTGGGAATTTTAGATGGAAATATGCTGACATAAGCAAAGCCCCATTCTCCACAAACAAAAGTTGACAGAAAGCACTGACCGCCCAGCTTTGCCCCTCAACAATCTCCGCCTCGGGATTTTCTCCAGATCTTGGGATCGTCATCTTGTGTATTCCTAGGATCGTCACACCTGGTGTGTGTGGATTTCCTCATGCCAACTGCAAGGATCCACTTGGTTTCCATCACTCATCTAGTGGATCATCGATGACTGCGGTCGGATTGTGCATTCATCATAAAGAGACTCCGGCCTCCCGGCCTCACTTTCGTAGCCTTTGCGCTGCCAGAATTTAGGAATCGCAAAAACCCAACAGCGCCTATCGACAGTACAGCACGAATGCACTGGATTGGATTACGATTACCCTTTATTCGCCCTATAATCGGGCCTCGATCCCACCCCCACCCCCCTAAATCGGTCAAATCTAGACACCATGTCTGAGAATTCTCGACCAGGGACCCCACGGAAACGATCAGAGACTGTCGCAACTCCTTCCCGGCCAGCATCGATGGAGTCTTTGCACAATGGATTCGAAGGACGAGATCGGTCGCAGTCGGTCACACAGTCGGAGGGCTCACAAGTTCCTAGTGCGGGATTCGACAGTATTGACCGAGTGTTCCCCATCCGATCTGTGGTCTCCGTTGACCGGAAGGCCGCTGACCAGGCTGCACATGCGAGGTCTACAGTTTCACCGACTCGCGAAGGCGCAATGCAATACCCGATCATCGATACCCAAACCTGGAATGAATTAAATTCCCAATCCTCGCAACCCCGATCCGAACCAGGGCTAACTGTGCCGACCGATACAACTCGACTTGAAACACATGCCACCAACGATGCAACAGAGTTGGCAGCGCGCTCGATGGCGTCTCACGTTATCCAACACCCGGAGGAATATGCCAGGCAAAAAAGTGACAGCCAGTCGGGAAGCACCAACACCGCCATGCCGGCATCTCAGCAAGCAGCAAAATCCGATGAACCTAACAGTCTTGTTACGTCTCGATTTACCCACGTCATGACCAAGAGTGGTCATGCAGTGATCACGGGAAGGCATGGCGAATCATTCCAATACTGTGAGGATGAGCCTATTCGAATTCCCGGCGCCATCCAGTGCTTCGGAGTCATGATCGCCTTGCGCGAGGAGGCTCCAAATAGGCTTGTGGTGCGCGTCGTCAGTGAAAATTCGGAACAGATAATGGGTTATACGCCCAAACAACTCTTTGAAGTGGAGAATTTCTGTGATGTGTTGAGCGATGATCAGTCTGACACATTCCTCGACCATGTTGATTTCGTCCGTGATGATGCCTATGACCCCAGCGTAGATGGGCCAGAGGTCTTTATCTTGTCTATTCGAACTCCAGCGGGGGAGGCCCGTCGTCTCTGGTGTGCGACACATGTTAGTCCTTCTCAAAAAGACCTGATCATATGTGAGTTTGAATTGGAGGAAGATGAGCGCAATCCACTGAACGTCGACGGACGTGCCACTCCGGCAACCCCTACCGATACGATGGGTGCGGTTCCGACCCCGGAGCAATTTGCTGCAAGTACGATCAACACCAGCCAACCGTTACGGGTTCTTCGCAACGCCCGACGAAGGAGAGGTGAAGCTGCTGCGATGGATGTCTTTAGCATGTTCACTCAGATTCAGGAGCAATTAAGTCGGGCCAACGATTTGGATCAATTGCTCAACACGACTGCTGGCCTGGTCAAGGAGCTCACTGGTTTTCATCGTGTGATGATCTATCAATTTGATAGTAGTTGGAATGGCCTGGTCGTGGCCGAGCTTGTGGATCCTAAAGTCTCCGTTGATCTCTACAAGGGTCTCCATTTTCCTGCATCCGATATTCCTGCACAGGCCCGTGAACTTTATAAGATCAACAAGGTCCGACTTTTGTACGATCGGGACCACATCACGTCTCGCCTTGTGTGCCGGTCATTGGAAGACCTGGAAACTCCCCTGGATATGACCCATGCCTTTTTGCGAGCCATGTCCCCTGTCCACGTCAAGTACCTCGCGAACATGCAGGTCCGTTCGTCCATGTCAATCAGTATCAATGCTTTCAATGACCTCTGGGGTTTAGTATCCTGCCATTCTTACGGAACAGCGGGCATGCGCGTCTCATTTCCTATTCGAAAGATGTGCCGGTTACTGGGAGACACGGTCTCACGGAACATCGAGCGCCTTTCCTACGCAACTCGCCTGCAAGCAAGAAAGCTGATCAATACCGTCCCCACGGAGGCTAATCCTTCTGGCTATATTATTGCCTCGTCGGACGACCTTTTGCAACTTTTTGATGCAGACTACGGTGCCCTTTCTATTCGCGATGAAACCAAAATTCTCGGCGACACCACCCATTCGCAGGAGGTCCTTGCATTGCTGGAGTTTATTCGAATGCGTCAGATAAACACGGTGATGGCTTCGCATGACATCATCAAAGACTTCCCAGATCTGCACTATTCCCCGGGACTCCGAGCAATATCTGGGCTGCTATATGTCCCCCTCTCTACTGGCGGCAGTGACTTTATTGTATTCTTCCGCAAAGGACAGCTCACAGAAATCAAATGGGCTGGTAATCCATATGAATCCGCAAAAAGAAAAGAAACAGCCGGATATTTGGAACCTCGTGAAAGTTTCACAGCCTGGCGAGAAACAGTCCTGAGTCAGTCACGTGAATGGTCCGAAACAGATGTTGAAACCGCTGCGGTCCTGTGCCTTGTCTATGGTAAATTCATCAAAGTTTGGCGACAAAAAGAAGCTGCTATGCAGACCTCTCAACTCACGCGGTTACTTCTCGCCAACTCTGCTCATGAGGTTCGCACTCCTTTGAATGCCATCATCAATTATTTGGAGATTGCGTTAGAAGGAGCTTTGGATGCGGATACCCGTGAAAGCTTGACAAAGTCACACTCGGCTTCCAAGTCCCTCATTTACGTCATCAATGATCTTCTAGACCTTACAAACACAGAGACGGGTCAGGACCTTATCAAGGATGAAGCATTCGACTTGAAATGCACTTTACAGGAAGCATTTGATATGTTGTCTGGAGAAGCCAAGCGCAAGAGCATCTCCTTTTCCATGTCTATGCAACCTGGCCTGCCTTCCAAGGTTCTTGGCGATCAAAGGCGTATACGCCAAGTCTTTTCAAACCTTATGTCCAATGCTATTGAACAGACCGCATCTGGTGCAGTCATTGTAGAAATGTGGCGGTCCGCTAACCAAGACACAAGCGACCATGTTGCAGTGGAGATGATGGTTGTGGACACCGGTGCGGGGATGTCGAAAATGAAGCTCGAGACACTTTTCACGGAACTGGAACAAGTTTCGACCGAAGGGGAAGATAACAGACACGCTATGGAGGATCATCATCAAAAGCGTGTTCTTGGCTTGGGACTTGCCCTTGTAGCCAGGATTGTATACAATATGAGAGGTCAGCTGGGAGTTAAATCCGAAGAGGGTAAGGGCAGTCGCTTCAAGGTGAAAATGCAATTCCGTCTACCGGAAGGATCCTCAACTGAGACTCCTGAGGCTGGTCTCCCCCCCTCACGCGGCTATACCTCCCACGCCCATGATCTCAGACCAGGAATTTACTCTGACTCGTGGTAACTCGGAACGGCAAGAGTCCAGGCGACGAAGTACGGAGAGTTTGCGATCTGGAGCCAGCTCCCGTAGTGGGCGAAGCCAGGCCGATCGGCTGATCAGCGCCATACAGGAGCCGCCACTTGGTCAAGGACCCCCGAGTGAGAGCTCTGATCTAAGCAGGTTCAGGCATTCTACCAGTCCCCAGAGCTCGGGATATATGGCCTCTATGGGTTCACCACCCTTAAATTTCAGACAGGCATCAAATGCAGATCCTCTTGCCAGCCTCTCCACCGTGACACATACACCACCGACCACCCTACAACCCATGGTGTCTCCGCCGATACCGGGTACAGAAAACATCACGGACTCAGGTGTGCCATTGGGGCCTGTTCGAATTTCCGAGCGCAAACCTAGGCAACCCTCTTCTCATTTGAACCAGGAGCAATCCTACTTCCCTCCTATGCCTCTGCGTGTCGACACATGTGAGACCATCTCAACTGTGGGGGAATCGTCTACATCAGCATCAGTAGCCCAAAGCTCTTCACAACTTCTGAGTGTATTGGTTGCGGAAGATGATCCCGTCAATAGCAAAATCATACATAAACGCCTAACCAAGCTGGGCCACACTGTTGAGCTGACAGGTAATGGTGAAGCCTGTGCAACCGCATTCGCCGGTCGCAGCGGAGACTTTGATGTCATCTTGATGGACATTCAGATGCCCATCGCCGATGGCTATGCCGCCACCCAGATGATTCGTGACTTCGAATCCAAGGCCGGCCCTGAGGCACTCTCCAACGTAGCCCGGAGCAATTCCCGCATTCCCATTTTCGCTGTTTCAGCTTCACTTTTGGAATCTGAGAGACAGAGATATATCGATACTGGATTTGATGGCTGGGTCATGAAGCCCATCAGCTTTTCTCGATTGAATATGCTTTTCAGTGGCATATTTGAAACCGAGGCCAGAGAGCAAGCCACCTATAAATCAGGTCATTGGGAGAATGGTGGGTGGTTCTGAGCATCTCCGCATTTCCCACATCTCTCTTTATCGAGTTTATGACCATCAAGGGCAGGCAATACCCAGACGTTGCATGCATTCCAGTGCCGTTTCCCACGCATGCACGAGGCTGTTTCACTATCAAGGCTTGCGAGCCTGATTTACTCATCACCATCGCCACCACCTATTATACGTTATTATTTATCTTCTTTTGTGTCCATTTGTTTTTGCGCGCATGAGGAAATACGGAAATACCCAAACGTCGGATGTTTTTCATGGATATACGATTTTCTCATTTTGTCAACTTGTTTTGCGTTCTGCATGACCAGACATGTACACGCTAAATGCCTGGAGCCTTTCGGTGTTTTTGCTTTTGATATGATTTGGGACAAAAACATATACCCAATTTCTTATTCACATTTGTTCTCTTCTCCCTGTTGCGTTGGGCTAGAGATGGGTGTGATCTCAGCTACTTCTATCCCCTCTACATTGTATCATACTGAACCGACAGCACTTGAGACTTGCACTTGGCATACCAGAAGATCAACAAATATCGAACACAAACATGAACATAAACAATTGAAATTATAAGGAACGATCCAACCAGATTAGATAGGAAATTGTATCGCTGAAGGGTATAGAGCTAGGAAGAGAATGCCACCCAATAAGTGCAAGTACCACCAAGGAAAGAAATACGAAATAAGGAAATTCAACCGACTCGGTCACTCGAAAAAGATGAGGACTTTTGTATCCAACATGCTCGCTTTGCTGACTCCATCAGTCTCATCTCCGCAGTAGACTTTGTGTCCGCCGACCCAACCCTCGGTCGACCACATTTCTCTGCAAATGAATCCGGAATAGAACACGAACTCACTTAGGAGATGATATTCTCAACAGACGCTGTTTCCCGTAACGCCTGATGGAAGTCATACGTGGAATTCCCCACCGAAGGACGACGAGACACAGGATTGATTTCGACCAAAGGAGATGGCGACTCGATATCATGACAAGTGCGCGATGCCGCCGATGCCATCGTGAATATGTTCACATCAATCGATTGGCGTGGACAAGCCGATCCGCTGTTGCACATGCATGAAGTTGTGCGAGTCAACGAGCGCAGACGTTCGAGGATGAAGAATTCGAGTATCAGTTGGAAGCTGTAGCATACGGTCTTGAAGCTGACTTCCAGCCAATGGATTTTGAATTCTGCGATCAATAGGAAAATGCTCAATGCCACGACTATAATGTTGACTATGATCAGGTGGACGATTACTTTTCGGCCTTCGCGGCCTCGGGCTTCGAGGACAGGTTTTAGGGCGCGCAGGGCTTCGTAGATGTAAATTCCGCTGATGACAAAATCCTGCATGCAGAATCCGACCACTTGGATTCGGTCGTAGATGTGTGCGGCGCGCAAGAATTGGCTATGGCCACCATTGACCGCCAGTAAGAGGATTGACATCGGGACGTGGAAAATAAACACATTGATGATGATCATCCACAAGACCCAGCGGAAAGATTGTGGGTCGGAGGAGGCAACGAGATGGAGACGAGAGTATAAGACGACGGCCTGGCCAGTGACCATGGCATACCAGCCGATGAGAAATGGGAGAGCCACGCTCATGCTAGAGGCTACCTCCATGTAACGAATTTGGGCTGGAATTGCATGCACCAAGATGCCCCATGATGCCACTTGTAGGCTCCAGAAATACAGGCCGCGATAGTGGGTGAAATGGTTGAATGCAGACACGCCGACTTCAAAGCGTTCCATACTCCTACTGCAAACATGGCCACCACCTCCAGGGCGAGGAAGTTTTCCATGAGCAACTTGCTCACCTGCGGAGGCACGTAGGCTACGGCTGTGTCCATGATGCCAGGGGGTAAACATAGGAGGCTTTGATTAGGACAAACGGAGAATGGAAACGACAGGAAGGAGGGCTAGGGCCAGGGCCGGGCTTTTAGATTGATCGGGTCCTTGACACCCAGTCATGGCGTCAGCAACACGGGTTGTATTGTGGACCTAAGATCTTGCAGATCATGTATTATGTTCTTATCTTGGGAGATCATCTGTTTTGACGATCTATGGGGATCAGACTGTCGAGTCTTCGGAATATCCGCACAAAGACAGAGCCTCTCGTCACAAAACCAACAGAACGTGGACATCATAATTGGCGCCTCAAAGCGAGCCGACTTTCCTGGAAAGTGTAATGATAGACTATCAGTGCGCCAGACAGGGATCTGGGTGGCGCTTGAAATATGGAACAAAGAAAGATCCACGGGAGTTGTGCACCTGTCAATTTTCGGTTGTCAAGGCGTTGAGGTTTGAGAATCCAGGCCTGGGCTTTAGATTTTGAGATTTTATCGGGGTCTTTCGGGGACCATTCAGCCGTTGTCAGATCTGTTGATCTTGCGTCAGATGGAAGGTTGTGGTTGACGGATGACCTGGCTTGATTGAAACAAATGAACATTAAAGCCATGACCTTCCAAAAGAGTAACGGCAGTTGATATGATGTCAAACGGTCGAAGGTTAAACTGAAGCAGGATACCCTGTCCTAAGTGCCGCGTATAGGGAGGCGAGTAGCGGCCAAGTGAACAGATCCCCCAAAAACCGGGAATTGCTCCAAATACCCCCTAGATTACTCTTGTACATGTGCAAGAATAACCAAATTGGGAGCGGAGCTCGCATGACTCTAGGTTGTAATGGCATGCCCACCTTGCATCCATCAATCCATTTCGCCTCCTACGCCTGTCCTCAGCTCATGGCTTCGCGACTTGAGATCGATACCGGTGAAGAGACTGGCGCATCAAATATTGCACGTGATGCTAGAATCGAGCGTCTTTTCCTAGATGCCACGGATATTGCACTGGACTCACCCTCGACTATTCTGCAGCAATTCCTCAGCTTAAGGTCCGTCATATCTACCACCTCATCGTTCAGTATCCGTTTCCAAAAGGCGCGTTTTGAACCCCATCTGCAAGCAATCAATCAAATCGGCGGAGGCCTACAAGGCACCATTTTGGAAGTCATTTGGAAAGATCACGTCCTCAAGAAAGAAAATATAGGCAACGAGTCACGACATTCAAATCTACGACGTGAATTTTAAACACATCAGCGTTCTTCGGCAACTAGCCCGACATTGTTTGCAGCATTTTAGTAGGGATACATCGATGCTGATAGTGTTATCTTGTCAACCAAGCAGCTGAACGATAGGTTCAGCATGGAAGACTTTAAGCACGAGTATGAGGAATATGCCGAAGACGTTCTGTATGAGCCTATTCACCAAATAACCATTCTTACCTAGTTTACATTATTCTACATCTTTACCAACCTTGGAGCCAATTCTCAACTATGATAGTATAAATTATGACAAGTGAGCCTAGTAGGCTTGCATAGTAAATATATTTGTTGCCTTTATGTAGTTGAGCACCTTCGTTGGGCCTAGCACGGCCAAGGCAGAATGCACTACATTGGCCATGTGAGCACTTTCTATGACTTTTTTCCTGATCGTGTATTGTCATAGTTGAAGTTCGTAGAGTAAATGTAGATGTGGTCCGTGCGTCAACCAAACATACCAAACCTACTCAAGTCAAGTTCCCTGATCTTCTACAAAGTTGTTACTCAACATGGTCTCTTTTTGGCCCTGGAAGGTAAGTGTTTTGATTGTATCTATTTGCATAGTATGATCTCAGAAGTCTAACTTACATTACTAGGGCGATGACAACTCGGCCGCATCCTTCGAAAAGACACTATCGACCTTGTCGACCAAGATCGCCCAGACCACCACTCGCCTCGATCAGCAGCGCCAAAGCTCCCGTCGCTTCAAAGCTCTTTGGACTCTTTACTCTACCTTTGCCTACCTATTTTACTCCATCATACTTGCGCTGGTTCTAGGATGGGAGAGCTGGGGCGTGAAGGAGTATGCCGCCATCGCCGGCGGCCCCGTTCTGTAAGCTTCGCCACCTCCTAGAGCGGGATCAATCACTAATCCGAGCTTCGAAACAGTATCTACGGGGTACGAACAACCAGCGCCCGTCTGTTTGAATACCGGATCTCCAAGGGCCAGCGTGGTCTAGACGACCTACACAAACAACGCGAGGAGACCATTGAGAAGCTCAAGGTCGCTACCAAATACAACTCCACGCAACAGTTACTCGAGAAGTATGGCGGCGAGTCTCCCAAGCAATCTCCCAGTCCCAAGGCCGAATCCAAACAACAAAGACAGGCCAACCCACAACCACCCGCACAACGGACAGGACTTCCTCCTCCCCCGACCGCGAACATTCGCCGCTCTCCAATGCCCAGCGGTCCGGAAAATGCCATGCCTCCCTCGTATCAGGCTCAACAACAGCCGCAACAACCCATCCCTGCTACTTCTTCGATCCCACAAACGCCTGTCGATGAGCCGGGTTTTGCGCCCAACGCATTCCCAAGCTCAGGCCAGTACATCGAACAACCGCACTGGTACGACCGTCTATTGGACGTGCTGCTAGGCGAAGATGAAATGCAGCCACGCAACCGCATGGCCATGATCTGTTCGGACTGTCGCCTGGTCAACGGCCAGGCACCTCCAGGTATCAAGACTCCCGAAGAGCTTGGCCGCTGGCGATGTGGAAGCTGTGGAGCGTGGAATGGCGTTGAAAGCGAGACTACTCAGATTTTGTCGAGCTTACGCCAGGGATCTGTCGCAGAAGCTTGGGAAGCAGGTCCCAGCGTGGAGGCAGATTCGCAGTCACAGCCGGAGGAGCAATCTGGTGACATGACTCCGCCCAAGGAAGACCAGAGTACCGACTCGGATACTTCACAGAAGTCGGTCGATCAGGAACCTCAGGAACAGGTGGAACAGGCGGAGCCTGTGCGCCGATCCACACGTGGCAAGGCGAAGCAGTAGACGGCTTATGCACATATCATTCCGGTTGATCTTGCGAATTCAACATTAGTTTTGCTGATTCGCTATTTTTTATATAACCACAGGCTTCATGATCAAGGAGTTTCCGGATTAGTGCAATGTACAGTACACGTAGTAACTTAAAAGTTATGAACTTGGTATCTTTTGGTCTAATTATGCGCAAGAATATTATAACATTGGTATGTATACAAAATCGACATTAGACCCTGTCGAGGGGTAGATGAGCCTGTGGTGCATCTTCGTGATGTGTCGATGCAGTACCCGTTGATAAACCAGCCTCGTAGCTTAACCTCACTTCTGTTGTTTTCATAATACCCCCTTCTGCGAGATTCTCCTCACTATCCTTGCCCTCAAACACACTCACGAAGTTGGAAGTCGTATGTTGTACTTGGAGCTTGGAGCGGGGGTAGGATTTCAGTTCGGTAGATCGACCATGGTGGTTTGTATGTGTCCGGGTGGTAGATTTGACCGATGTCAAGAGACGGTGGAAGATAATCATGAGAAGAGGTCGAATAGGAGGGATGCAGCCGACAATGAAGACGACCCATTTTTCGGTTTCATTCAGGAAGATCAGCTGGGCCATGTAATCTGACTTGTTAGTAAACATATATCTGCATCTCGGGCTTCACATACATGTTATATCTTCCGTTTCTGCTAGCACTCGTAGAGTCGTCGTCTTGACAATAGCACACACACATGCTGCCACTCCCAGACCCATCAAAACACAAAGGCCGATTTTGACTCTTTGGTTGAGTCGCACATTCCAGAAGAACAGGACTGGGTATAGAGCGAGGGTGAGATCGCACAATGCGGAAAAACCTTTACCATTGATCAGCATTGCTCATGAATGCAGTGGACAATACTCACTGCCCTGGAAATATCCAGTCCGCTGGTTTCGCACTCTCCCGTCGCAGGTCCCTGGTAGTGAATCCTGCCATAGCTTCGCACTGGGGTCGCATTGGGTCCAAATCATAGCTATAGTGACACAATTGACTACCATGTTACTGGCAGCGACTCCCCATAAGAAGAATACCTTCTTCCGACTCTCGGGGCCATGAATTTGTTGCATGAATGCCACGATGGTCAGTTTTCCAAGCCCCGTGGCGATGATTCCGAGTGACTGGTTGATCCAATTCCACTTTATAGCGTTGGTGATTTCCGTCTCGGTGAGATCTGATTTATGTGCCCCCAGTCCAGAATTGACACCAAGTCCAAGGAATACTGATCCGATCATGCCAATAATCTGCTCTATTAGTATAAGCTGCGAGAAATGATAAGAAATGACATACAAAGGTGACAAGACTTAGGTATAGATCACCCCGGATATGTCGAGTGATGCGCCATGTCGTATATATGCGGGCTAGGAGGAGAAACAGGGCAACGCTGCCTTCAATGACGGTCAGGATCACCAGACTCTTGCCATTACTAGCTAAGGCTGCCTCTGCGCCTGGATTCGTCATCTCCTAGAAAGAATTGAATTGCCAGAGGAATCAATTGCTCATAGGAAGATGAATGGAGAGAAACAACGTGGAGAGTCAATCTAATTTAAGAGAGTTTCTCACAAAGAGTTGAGCCCTGGTATGCTCCACTGATCATACGGCCAGAACTGGGGTACCGAGGTCCACCTTGCTGGGTATCTCGCTTTTGTATGGCTTGTCCCTGCAGGGATCGGACCTCAAAAATGGGCAAGCCGCAAAGCTGAGAGGCCAGAGCCGTGGGAGGAATCGAGGACCCCATCTCGTAGGCAATTGACCCAAGTGCTGGGTTGCTCTTGACTGGTCCCTGCCCAGGTGTGGGGGAGAATAAACATCCATGGGACGATTCAATCCCATAACCTAATTTTCATTGGATGGATGTGTTAATACTGTCGCATTCAGCGATGCCCCAGATTCTTGACTAATATCTAGCGAATCATGACTTGGTTTGTTCTCCACTTGTCTCCACCGGTGCAAAGCGCTTTGTAGGTGCTTGAATCGCTGAGATGGTGGATTAGGGGCAGATGGCATACGCAAATACTGAAATTCGTCCATATTCTTCAAATATTTGTGCCCTCATTTCTCAACCTCAATCATTTCTCATAAGAGTAACACATGTGCATGCCTCTTACCCCGCATTACCACCGGGTCCACCTTCTGGATCCTTGGATCTGGATGTTGTGGAACTTCTAGAAAGATTCATGTTCCATATAGTTGGCTAACGTGGCTCGTGAAATAGACTCTACAGTCGAACCCACCAATGATTCTGCACTGATCAGTAAATCATTGTTGTGGAAGGCATCTAATGCGACCCAAGTTCTATACTAGTCGGGTACCGATCTCAGTCGGCTACTTCCCCACTAAATTTCAGTCCCCGAGATCTCCGAGTCCACGTGAGGCTGATGCAATCGCCCCTGAACCACTTCCGGGCTCACAGAATGCCTTTGTCAGCAGTCTTGCCACAAATGACCGTGTAGACCTCGCCAAATGGGCGGGTTGGGTTTCGACCCTTGACCCAAAACCCGCCAAGAGATTAAAATACACGTAACATATACCTGATTACATCACTCTATATCTAGTATTGGTTGTATTTCAACAGTAATACTGTAATATACAGGTAAATGGGTTCTTGGCGGGTTCGCGGGTATTCCTTCGGGTACCCAAAAAAGCAATATGGCGAGGTCTATGACCGTGTAATCTCTCACGTGCAAATGTTTCGTGGCTAGAGTATCTACTTTACTTACCGTATTCCTCTCTCCAAACCTAGGTATAATATTTTATTGAGCTCGTGAAGAGTGTATTAGTATACTTTTCTCCTGACAATAATGCATACAATCAGTAATCGGACATAATGAGCTCATTGGTGATATAGCCGAGCGGGCACTTTCTACTATCTAAGAGCTGGAGGTAAGCTACTTGTCGTGAGAGATAGTATCCAGTTACATTGAAAATCTTATCCTGGCGGAAAATGAACTAAATCCTACCAAGCCCAGTAAGCCACAAGCAGTTTCAATTGGCCGCTCTCCTATAGAATTATTAATTCGGTCCAACCACACTCAAATGGCGGGCTGTGACTGAGAGGGATCAACTGAATCTAAAGCTTGTTAAGGACTCTGAACACAGCGACTCCATTCCAGCAGCCTTCAATGACCCAACCAAGCCAGATGTCTTGGGTACTTGGTAGGAGCTTCCTCTCTGGCCAATAGGCTCGGCCGTCAGAGGGAGAGTTGTTTGAATAGAGGTCGATCTCGCACTTGTTACCAGTCACAACTTCATAGATAAAGATAATGTATCAAATTACGACTCTCATATCTGAAAACTATCAAACAGTCGGCACGTTGTCATATTCGTCCATCATGAACTTCCGCAGGGCCTCAAGTCCATCCACCATGACTTGGTGTTCAGGCACGTAGCCAAACCGAACAAACCCTTTGAAATCAACTCCATCGCCAAAGCACTGGCTTCCTGGTACAAGCATAGCACCAGTACTCTCTTGTAGGCGCTTGCAAAGCTCCACAGCATCCACCGGGCGCCCATTCCTTCCGAGGAATTTGATAAAGGCCGTTGTGCCGGCTTTAGGTCGGATCCACTTAGCAGCCCACTGGAAATCATGAATGAACTTGTCCAACAGGGAAATATTCTTCCTAGCAAGCTCAATGTTGCGTTTCAGAATTCCATTCACGACCTGATTGCTAAGGGCAAACGTCGCAATCTCATCGTCAACCTGACTCACGGAGATGGTTGTATAATCTCTCGTACTGGCGCACGCATTGATTATCTTGGAGCTGTGTGACGCTATCCATCCAAGTCGAATTCCAGCCATACTAAAGGCTTTGGACATTGATCCGGTGACAATACTGTTCTCGTATCCGAACGATAGAATCGAAGGAATGGGACCTTCATCCGGACCAAGAGAATGGAACAGAGGCCGGTACACTTCATCACTATGGATGGTAATCGAGTGCTCACGAGCAATATTCACAATCTCTTGCAGAGTTTTGTGAGACAGTACGGCGCCAGTTGGATTTTGAGGATTACTATCTGGATTAGTTCGGCTGATGCTGTTCAGGACCTCCATTTGAACGTACTTGATGATGATGAGTTTGGTGTTGGGTCGGATCATCGCTCGAAGCTCATCCAAGTCCAAGCGCCAACTTTCATCCTCCTCGGATCTCCAGAGGCTGACATCTGCGCCAAGGGACTCTGGAATGGCGTAGAGCTGCTGGTACGTTGGGTACTGACAAATGACATGATCACTTGGTCCAACATTCGTATACAGACTCAAAAAATTGGCCTGAATTGCCCCGTTTGTCACCAAGACTTTATCTGCCGGCAGTGGTGTGGATTCAATGCTATATATGGCAGCAATGTTGGATCGTAGAGCATCTGATCCGCGGATGGCTCCATAGACTTGCTTTCTGGAAAAGTCTATCAGATTGGTCGGCTTGTCGGGAGAAAATGCAAGGAGGTCGTTAAGTGAGATTGAAGCGCAGCAAGTCTCTGCCAGGTTATATTTCGCATCATTCTCATAATCATCCATCCACTAATGATTGGTCAGTGGGTCCCATGACTCCCATCAGTATGTTTTTTGGGTAATAAGAAACTTACGCGCTCGACAGCGAACTCAGCGATTTTGACCATTTTGTTGTGGAAAGAACCAGGAAAATATATGGCTCCGAGGAAGATATGAATGTCAAGGACTGGACCAGCACGATAATTTATAACTTTCTCTTTTACGGAGTATACGATCTTGTTCTCGTTCACACATGGCCATGGCGCCCCACGTGGTTGATATTATTGGCTGATTCGCATACACTTCCGTATCGGGCATAAGCATCAGACCCACCAATGTTGACCCTCGATTTGCCTTCACTGCCTGGTGGCGATGAAAAAGAAATGATAATGAGTTATGTCGACAGCTGGATGTGGCGATCAGGGAGGAGGGGCTACATGGGTAGCCTGAAAGCAGGTCAAACGGTTATAATCTGCACTTCGAGAGGTATCGAGGATAGAGAGAGAGAGAGAGAGAGAGAGAGAGAGAGAGAGAGAGAGAGAGAGAGAGAGAGAGAGAGAGAGAGAGAGAGAGAGAGAGAGAGAGAGAGAAAGAGAGAGAGAGAGAGAGAAAGAGTGAGCAAATTGAAAGAGTCCATTCAGCGAAATGACTATGAAAAAAGAAAGAGAGGAGACGAAAGATGTGTCCTGCGCACTCGTCCTGATCCAGATCAGACAACGCCATGTCCCGAATAGGCAAATTCTTCTCTCTTGTCAACAAACAAACCAAGCAGCGTTGTCATATCATGAAATGAACCAGCGACCTGCATCTGTCCTAATGTATGCATCAAAACTGTCTGGTCTGTGACATGATTGGTATAGTACCAAATGAAAAGCCACTAGGATTTACAGTGCTGTCATTGTTTCTATACAGTTTTCTAGGCAATTTGCTTCGACTTTGACATGTTCTTTCAGTCTGTTCCAGACACATTTCAATTTATTAGCATCATGCCCTTGATCACAATAGCCAGTCTTTCAACACCCGCAACTAATAGATCCTCATCCTCGTACATGAAGCAGAGACGCAGTCGTTGGTGCCCGTCCCCCTTGGAAGTCGATCTGGGAAGTTCAAATAGGTCACCACACCCAAGAATGAGATTTTGGGCTTCAAGTGCCTTCTCACAGACATCAGCTGCACGTAATGAGCCAGGAAGCTTTAGCCAAATGTAATAGCCACCGGCTATATTACTGAATTGAGCATCTGGGTTGTAAGCAACTCCAAAAGGCCCCAGGCATCTTTCAATGGCAGATACCATCACAGAGTAGCGATTGACGCATTTTGGGACAAGACCTTTAGCGATATAATTTTGCAAGAAGTCGCCGTCGAAGAATTTGTTCACCATTGTTGAGGTAAGCTGAGATGGAGCACCTCCAGATCGAGTTTGACCACTGGGAGGTTTAGCACATATACAGTCTTTGGGTGAAGCTTATATGACAACTTACGCTTGAGAAAGCCCGCAGATAAAGGCTTTGGTACCTTGGGCCCATCCAACTCGACACCCGGGTCCAATGAGCTTACTGAACGAACCATTGCTGACTACGTTTCCAAAACGGTCGATAGGGCCGTCGTCAAGCGTACATTCGATGTCCACAAGACGATTCAGGGAATCTTGTACTCGGGTTGACTCAGACATGGGCCCTAAAGCCCAACATAGCATGTCATAAACATCGTCACATATTATGAGAGCGTCATATTCGCGAGCTACACGAATCAGTTCCTCGCGGCGTTGAAGACTCATGGTTTTTCCAGACGGGTTAGAAAAACTAGGCACGCAATAAATGACATGCTTGTATGTCTTCCGCCACGAGTCCTGTGACTTGGTCTTGTATTATTAACAACCCAGAAAAAGGATAATATATGAATTAGTGGTACTTACAGGGCGGTTAGGCAAGACCTCTGTAGACTGACTGCTACAAAATGTTTCCAGCGCGTTTCGAAGCGCATCGACATCCATGCCTTCCTGATCTTCCGATACTGATCTCATTTTCTTATAGAATCCTGCATCTTCAAAAATCCTAAATGCCAGATGATAGCTAGATTCAGCGAACCAGATAAGTTCTGTACTGGCCGGATCAGTAAAAACTTGCAAAACGCTAGCAACATTCTGGCTTGCACCACCAGTAATACAGATTTGCTCGGTTTCGGTGGGGCTGGAGTAGAATTCAGAGAGCCATTTTCCTATGTTTTTTCTCAGAGGATAATATCCCTCATCTGGCCCGTATCCGAAACTTTCCTCTAGTATTGTTGGGTCCGATAACACTTGAGCTGCAACTTTTCTGAAGTGCTCGGTAGGAAGAAGATGTGTAGCTGGTCATCCTTTGAAAAGGTCGATCAGGTTAGGAAGAGCCATTCTGATTTATCAGCCGGAAATGATACTCGAAGGTAAAAGGCATAGAAACTGTGGTTAGAGCGTGAAGTCATGGACGGATGTTTCAGGGGTTTATATTTCCTTAAGCTCAACTCACCCGGTCTGGATATGTAAGCGATGCGGCCAATGAATTTGGTATTTGGTTTTACATTCAAATAGGTAAAATGCACGATAGATTACAACAAAAGCTTTCTGTTGGAGCAGACTACTATCGATGATCATCTATACACCTTGTCTATTGTGGATATGTAATTGTATCTGTGATTGGCTGAGTCGGATACAAGTCTCTTTTCGGACTAGCGTTGGACCACGTAAAACCCCCAGTTGATCCAAACGCGTCATGATCATATTCTTTCTGTGTCACCGAATGCTCTAGTGTGTTCGACCGAGTCAAACATGTTCACATTTTTACATTTTTCCTGGATTTTAGATTCAGTCCTGTTATCACGTGGTTTGTCCTCAATCGTCAATGATGGCCGACACGCTAAGCCGACCGCAAAGAAGACGTGATGGCTGTAGAGAGTGTCGAAGGAAAAAAGTCAAGGTATGCTTTGATCTGTCCTAATGGCCAAATCTCCTTCTGATCTTCTTTAGTGTGACCTGGGGATGCCAGTATGTTTTCGCTGCATTCGGTATCCCAAGGAATGCATATATGAACTGGTTATCATCAGCGTGGGCCAGAAGCAACACAGCTTCAAGAATAGTCATGTCCGTATTGATGGCCCTATGATACAATCCGACAATACGATACACCAACCATTTCTCTGCATCTCGCCATTACTGTCATCAACAGAATCTCGATTTTTCATGCATATATTCAGCACCGAGACTGCCCTCAGACTGTTTCCAATGGCTCCACCGATGTTTCTACAAAGGATGATAAGTTCTGCCTCAGAAACGCCACATCTATTTTATGCATTGCTAGCGGCCGCATGTAGCCACCATAGTCGGCTTGTCCAGAACGATATCCGGCAAAAGTCACGAGTTGCATGCTTGAAATTCACTAATCTGGCCATTTCCCATTTACGGTCTGCACTATTGGATGCGGATGAACTGCTTAAATCGGAAACGATCACCACGGCCATGACTTTGTGTACCAACGATGTCTGCAATGGGAATATGAATACGTGGAATGTGCATTTCAATGGGGTCATGCAACTGCTATCTGCATTCATGGAACACCATAGTCATTCTTCTGGAGTTGACCCTTATGCCAAATGCTTGGTGAAGTGGTTTGCTACTATGGATGTTTTAGCAAGCTTGTCAGGACTTCGTACCGCTCAAAGTGGGTTATTGGGTATGGTCTCAAGTCAATCTGCTGGCCAGATCGATGATATTTGTGGCTTTTCATTGGATTTGGCTCCACTTCTCGCGAAAATTGCAGACTTAGCACGTCATCGCGGTTCATTTGCTGCCCTTGAGTCCGTTCAATACGATACAAGTATAGAGGCCGAGATACTTGAGGCGAGAGTGTCTTGCCTTATTGGCGCTACTGTCCCCGAAGCATCAATATGCAGTAAAGGATACCTGGCTACAGAGCTACATTATACTCACCTTGCATTTGTGCATTCCGCATTACTTCACCTTCACCGCTGTGTCCAACATCTCCCGAGGGATCATATCAAGGTCCGAAGTGATATCAAAAATATTTTCGATGCTATCCAAAATATCGGGCCTTTTTCTCCTGCAAATATCCTTATTCTATGGCCGATATTTAGGGCTGGTTGCGAAAGTGAGATTATCGTCGAGCGTAAATTTATACAAGAAAGGATGAGCAATATGCGGAGTCTTGGGATGGGCAATTTTACAAGAGCTCGCGAATCTTTGCACATCTTTTGGGCATCTGGTACCTCCTTGTCATGGGATATCTATTTTTCGCAAGTTGGGCAACAGTTGCTCTTATTTTGATATCGTGTAGCTACCAGCACTAATGTATCTGTACTTTCGAATAAGAAATACCCAAAACTCCATGACCAAAATTAATTGAATATTATGGTGCCCACCTTCCTGGCCTTGGTAAGAACCATTAATTACTAGGAACCTGGAATGTCTTCACAATGCCAGTAATAATCGCCACAATACCACAAGCACCCGGATCCGGAATGCCCCTTGTAGGATTCTCATCGCCAGCACTAGCACCCACATAGGTTGATCGACCAAATGATGATTGCATCCACTTGGTAGCCTCCGCTCCATCCTGAGCAGCTTTCAGTCCTCTTTGCAATGCATTCACCGCAGTCTCATTATCAGTAAATACTGCAGTTGACAGTTCATTGACAAAAGGAATCAAGGCGTCCATCAGGGTCCGGCTGTTCTCGCGGGCATTGGTGTATCCCTTTAGCGTCTCCAGGGCCTGGGTTGCGCTTTTGGCGAACAATTGAATATTTACATTCTTGAAATCCCCGTGGTTCTTTTGTACGGCGGAAACGAAAGAATTCAGGAAGATTCCGTATAGAGCTCCTGATGTTCCGCCCATCCCGCTGCGGACGGATGAGGCGACTTTCATTAACCCCTTTGATAGATTTCCGAGGCTTTCGTCGTTTTGGTCGATTAAGGCATGAGCAGCTGTTGCCCCTGCTAGCAGGGTAGTGCCGCAGTCGCCGTCTCCCATTAAAGTGTCGTATTCTGTGAGACTTGGCTCATCCAATGTCACTTGGGAGAGGATATTCTTTAGAATAGTAGTAAAGACACGTTTGTCACCTAGGGATTAAATGTCAGATTGAAAGCAAAAATGATCGATTGGAGATTCGGGACGAAGCCTACATAGGATGTCCTGCTTGAGCTTAGGAGAGCGGGACCGCTCCTCATGCTCCGGCGTAAGAGTTCCCGAGGCGGCCTCAGGCACGGGCTGGCATGTGGCCCAACTGTTTGATTTCACCGGCTCATCAATCAGGGATATTAGGTTGATGTCCGATGAAAACAATTGTGGCGATAGGTTGGCAATCGTAATGCTAAATCCCGGTGCATCGAGGGCTGTCAAGTATGTATTGACGTATATCCGGACCGGCTTAATGTCGTACTCTTCTTTCAGACACTCTAGCACAACATTCGCAATCGCCTGTAGCTCAAGCACGGAAAGACCGCCCAAGTCGTTCACCATCAGTGCCAGCTCTGCTTTATTGTGAGGGATGCCGTGGAATTTCAGGAATCCATGCTCTGGGTCGCTCTCGTTCAACAAGAGCCTGCACATCTGGCTCACCAGCTTCTCAATTGTGGGCTGGGGGGAGATTCGTTGCGCCCCGGGCTCGTTGTGGATACCCATTCCCAGCTCGATGGTATTCTCCGGGATAGAAGGCAAGTCAACACCGCCAGGGAGGTTGGCGTAGTCCAACGAACAACCAATTGTGGCCATGTTGTCGGACACATGCTGAGCAACCTTCGCGACATCGGACAGACTCAATCCGCTGGCTGCTGCTGCACCACTGACTTTGTGAATCAACACCGCACCAGCTAAACCGCGGCGACCGACTAACTTTCCCCGAGAGTGCGGCACTGAGACATCATCTGCTACGGTCACAATGTGGGTCGGAACTCCTGTCTGTGCTTGGTATGTCTCGGTGGCAAGGCCGAAATTAAGCTTATCGCCAGTATAGTTCTTGACAATGACGAGAATCCCTCCGGGAGTGGCAACTCGATCAAAGGCCGAAATGATTTGATCAAAGTTTGGCGAAGCAAATACTTTCCCGCACACTGCTGCGTCGAGCATGCCTTCGCCGACGTATCCTGCGTGGGCTGGCTCATGACCCGAGCCACCGCCACTGATGATGCTCACTTTTGTACTATTGTGGTTTGTTGGACGATAGAGTACTGCAAAACAAAGTATTCGTCAATTGAATTTTCTCCTAGACATCATCCCTTGAACTAACCCTTGTTGGTGGAATCGTATCGGAGACTTGGGTTCTGTTGAGCCAACGACTTGCACATATGGTCAACGATGCTAGTCGGGTCACTGAAGAAGGCCTTGGACTTCATATTGGAATAGTTGTTTCTCAAACAAGGTTGAACAATGGAAAAAGATGTATGAAATGGTAGAGAGATTCGACTCAAGGTGAGATTTGGGCTCCTCCCAGTCCCCCTCTTATACCATGGCGATACAGCGTCGGAATATTTAGCGATCCGTACAGCCCCGCATGGCCCCCACGCCCGGTATAATTTGTTAATGTGAATTTCCCGTGTCGACATGCCCGTGCACAGACATTATATCCTTGTTCCTGCGGAGTTGGCGGCAATTCCGGGAAGTGGGTAGTCCATTGGTTGAGGTGGCTCAGGTGACATTCCAGAAATTTGAATGGTGGCGATCGAGGAAGGTTTTCCGAGTTATCAACAGCAATTCCTTACATGCTTCTCTGACTTCTTCCCCACATTTTCACAATGTCTCCACTTTGTGGACGCAGGGACCGTAGGCTGGTGGATGCAGACCCGGTGTTCAGGTCAGGGATGATCATTGATCTTCAAAGAATCGTGTCGTGATGTTACTTCTGAACTTGGACAAGTTTGGTCAAGCGGTCAACAGATAGTCAAAGAATGGGGAAATCTGGAATTAGTGATGTCCACATCTCCCCATAGTCATTACTCTACTCATTGTCACATTGATGGATGCTAAGCTCCGAATGAGAATTGCCTAACACAGAAGGCAGGGAATCATTTATATCTTGATTCGAAAATCATGATTCGGCAACCTGCCTCAAGCCAAGCCGGGCTAGCTCAATCGGTAGAGCGTGAGACTCTTAATCTCAAGGTTGCGGGTTCGACCCCCGCGTTCGGTTTTTTTTTGGAAAACACCATTCTATATACATTTTTCTTTTTCTCTTCAAACGGTATGCATTGGTCCATAAAGCCATATATTAATTAGTACATGTAACTGATTTCGAAAACTGATATAGCGTTCGTTTCCATCTCTGTTTTTCCTTCACCGGGTCTGTCGTTTTTGTAAGATTTCTCTCTTCTCCTTGAATGCATGGTGTTCCACAATAGTGTCACTGGATGGTAGCCGTACTAGGCCAAAGAAATATATTCTGTACTTTTAGGTGAGACTTAACACACACATGCTAATAATCGAACTGCAAAATCCCCAAGCCTTAGGCAAAGCCCTTGAATGCCCATCTCCACTAGAATCTTCGGTTGAGCTGGCGCTTTGAGTTGAACTGGCACTTTGAGTTGAACTGGCACTTTGAGTTGAACTGGCACTTTGAGTTGAACTGGCACTTTGAGTTGAGCTGGTAATTTCCCCACCCCCATTAGCCTTGTCGCAGTCAACGTAGTCAATTGTGCAAGTGCATGACAGATAAGGGAAGCTGCCACTATCCCCATCACATTGCATATAAGTGCCACTGTACTCCATATCTTGACCAGGTCAGATTTGTTGTTTCTTCTAGTGGCTTGTTTATTGAGAATAACATACCATAACCTTGTTTCATGGCATTCACGCATTTAAGTTCCACACCTGTGGAAGCACAGCCAGATTGGCTACATTCACTCTGCGTGCACGTATACATGCCCGGGCTGCCTTGTTGCACAGGAGAACCACGCCTATCGAGGCCTGTTGCTATTGTCATAATAGATAAGATGCCGAGAAGATAACGCATGATGTGTATTATTCAGAAAAGAAAGAGTCATTTAATATAGCCACAGGGTGAAAAGAAAAATCCCACAAGAAAGCTATCGTAGGGTAAAGAAGTCTTTTATACCATCTCTCATCTCTCGTGTTTCGACATATTAGGTTTCGGGCGTATAGGTGGCGTAAACCCATGATCGCCTATACCAAATTATTTTTCGATATTTTATATTAGACATAATATGTATAATGGCAGGATGGAGCTCATGGCTGGGGCTGGATCGATCTTCCAAAATTTTCACTTGTGTTGAGTGGTCGTCAATTGTCGGTTCAACCAACTCTGCTCCCAACAATGATCTCCGCATGCGGAACTTACTTCAAGTAGAGTCAAGAATCACCGTATTGACATCCCTCCATTGGCTAGGGTCTCTATGGATAGTGCGGGTATACAGGGTATCTTCTTTCGAATACAAAAGTATGTCGGAGGAGTTGGTTCATTCGCAGCAGCCACCAGCTACCAGCAATGTAGATAGTTTCTGGGCAATGATCAGTCATCATACCATACAGGAGTATCTACTTTGAAGCGCATAGATTGGCATCATCCCATCAAATTTCATCCCTTATATAATAATTATCAAAATGATAATATATACTAAGGGACGATGATTTTCAAAGTGGGGTATTGTGGTGTCGGGTAGACCTCAAAGTAACCCGCAAGCGGCCATTAGAGGGTAAACCGCGGACAGGCCTTATTACTTCTAATTATTTAAGAAAGCGCCCTAGCTAACTAACTAACTTAACTTAACTAGCTAATTAGCTTATATCATTAACTAGTTCTTACTTCCCTATTAAATCTTATTAGACTAAATAAGGGTTAACAATCTCTATAGAAAGGATTAACTCCTAATCTCTAAATCCTCGGGTAATAGGTAGTAGGCTTCTAGGTGATTGATTAGCTCTTTATCATTAGCTGTATTTAATAGTTGAGATAGCAGAAATATTGCCACCTTTCACAAGCCCGCCGGGCTAGCTCAATCGGTAGAGCGTGAGACTCTTAATCTCAAGGTTGCGGGTTCGACCCCCGCGTTCGGTTTCCTTTTTTGTTTTTTATTCCAACGTATCTACTTTGTTGTCTAGAAAAATTTGAGTAGTTTCTGAGGTCCTCATTCCAGATGTCAATTTCCGAGTTTGAAATACAAAATTGAGCTGCACATATGAGCAGCAATGACAGGAGCAATCAAAGCGATGTGTGACAAATGTCAGTTCCGAGGGCTCCCGCAGCATTATATAATTATACCATTATATAATTATACTGGCTATAAATTTGATTCGATAGGTCACTGCAGCCTCTAGATTTTTTTCTCACCTCGATGTTCGAGCTATATACACCGTAGAAAGCATGTCCTTTGATTCCCAGGGAAGTATTACTCCAGTCAGGTACTCATAGTACTCTTTCCAAGAGCTGGTCTGTCAGGGGCCACAATAGAGCACAAGTACCTAGGTAAATGGGTAGTAGAAGAATAATTAGAGCAAATATCTATTCATAATGCTATTGATGAGAATAGATTTGTGAAAAAAGATATCAGCCTCCAAGGCTATCACCATCGAGGGTCCACCGGTCTTAGAAGTTGAAAGTCGGGCTCCTTTGGCATAGCTTCCAACTGGATCCCACGTTTGCTCGCAATGTCGTAAAGTGACTGGCACTCTCGGCGTGCATAATGAAGTGAATCCAACGGCGGTTCAATTTCACGTCGACCATACCTGGCCTGCTTATCATCGTAGTGCAGATCTAAGACGAAAGCAAGATTCTGCAGATGCGGAAGAAACTCCGCAGACTCAAACGCTCGCAGCCAGTCGGCCCAGTGGTCTGACTTGGCGAGCGAGGTTGGGCCACGAAAGTACAAGGCTGTTATGTTGGGAGGGAGTACCTTGTGAAGCGTGGGAAGGTATAAGGGATCCTCAAATACATATCCCACGGTCAAGTTCAAGACCTTGAGATTTTCCAAGGCAGGTAGAATCTGACGAAGTGTCTCCTCCCCGGTTAAAGAAAAATCCAGGCCGCTGGTGGACCGAAGTCGCAAGGTGTGAAGGTTGTCAACCAAATGAGGAAGTGCACCATACATTCGAATGAAAGTATCTAGCGCGTCGTTCTCCCAAATCTCAAGGGACTGGAGATTGATAGCGCCGGTAGGTGGTTCATTTTCTGGGTCTAGCCTGCGATCAGGATCGGAGTACACCTTGCTCATGGATTCACAGACCAGCTCGGGAAGGTAGGTGATTTCGATTTTCCGATCTGGGCCAAGATTCTGCTGTTTCTTCCCACGGGAAATGGCTTCTCGGTTTGTGTCATACAGCTCATCGTTTGTTGGACCCTCGAATCGAAGGTTACAGGTGAAGTAGAGGTTCAGGTGATGAACTAGTCCTTGGCGAACAAATGGGCTTTGAACTAAAGCACCACATGCAGAATTTAGCTGAAGCTTTTTCAAGGGCCAGTGAAGAGGGATGGCTTTGTCATTGAGCTCTTCATTAAACCCACTCTCCAGCTGTAGATCTTCCACGTTGTGGAAATGCGCCCCGAGTAAAGTCCATTCGGTGTCTGATGGAGTATCTTCGTCGATGAGCAGATGCGTCACGTTGCTGGAGATGGACTGTAGTTGTCGTTGGAGTTCGGATTCATGATTGGGCTCAGATGCGTTGTGGGGCCCTCTGACTATCACAACTGCCTGTGGGATGTGGGCCATTGTGGAGGCGGGTTGGCTGAACTTCTGGAAAGGCTTTTGGAAATTGGCGATTCGAAGAGAGGTAGGGGAACGGAGAAATGAAGGGGAACGGAGAAATGAAGGGGAACGGAGAAATGAAGGGGAACGAGCTGCTTGACTCGAATCTAAACCCGTGAAAATTGAACGAATAACCCCCATGTGATTTTGAACTATGATGAGGTAAAATTATGCAGATTCCACCGTGAACAGATCTCAATCCGGCCCAACAGAGCCTCAGATCACGTGGAGCTAAGAATGAGAACTTGAATGAGTCTGCATTGTTCTATGTTTTCTAGATCTATCTACATCATTCTAACATTAATACATAATTGCATGAATCCATCAAACTAAAGGTATATGCGTAGGTACTCTCCAAGCGCCATGATACCCATCGCCTGTCCATATGGCATGGAGGTCAAGGGAATATCCTTGTAGAACTGGAGGCAATCACCCATTCCCGTACCGAAGCTAGTGTTCTGAAGCTCACCCTGATCATCAATATCTTTAATGACAGAGAAGATAGCCTTCTCTGCAACAGGTCGGTACTGCGCACTGATGTATCGTTTGCGCACAGCCTTCAAGATACCAAAGGCAAACCCTGCAGTTGCAGATGCCTCGAGGTAGGAGTCTGGGTGGTCCAGAAGAGTGTGCCAGCCACCTGAGTCGGACTGAACGCGCTGCAGTGCTTCACACTGCGCCTCCAGAGTCTCAATCAAGTGTAACCGAATAGGATCATTAGGCTCCAGCTCCAGCAGCTCAATGATCTCAGGAATGACAATGGTGACCCAACTGTTTCCTCGTGCCCAGCGAGCATCCGCGAAGTTGTGACCCCCATCCTCAAATGTCCATCCGTGGAAGAATAAACCCGTCTTTGTGTCGAAGAGATACTTGATATGAGTGAGGAACTGCTTCTTCGCCTCAGCGATGTATTCTGGTCGGTTGAGCAGCTTGCCAATCTTAGCCAGTGGCATCACGGTCATCATGAGAGTATCATCCCAAAGCTGCTGGTAGTTCTCGGTAATATAGGTGACGTGTTGCATACCGCCGTAGCGGGTGCGGGGAAGCTCGTGCATTGCCCACTCGGCCCACGAGTCCAGCCACGGCAGATATGTGGCGTTGCCGGTCTTCTCGTACACGTATGCCAGAGTCAGGAAAACCGCCATTGTGTTGATGTTCTTTGTTGTTCCACCTTCGGCAAATCGTGCGGCGAACCAGTCCTCGATTATCTGCAGGAGTCGGGCTTCGCCTGTCAACTCGTAGTACTTCCATACGCCGTACAGGCCGATTCCGTGTGTCCATTCCCAGCCATGCCAGGACTTGGTATCGATGATGCGTCCATCGGGGAGGGGGAGGAGGAATTTTCCGGTTTCATCTTTAATGTTGACGAGGTTGTCGATCAGCAGGTTCACGGCGCTGTGAACCTCGGGGGGCGGGGGGACGCGTTGGAGCCATTTCGGAATGCTTCAAAGTTGAGATTGGTATTAGGATTCGTTGCTGACAGCCAAGACAATCCTTTTAATTAACTTCCTTCTCAGCTGTGGGACGGTCCTCCGGTCCGAAATAAGTACTGTCAACTGTTAGTGTTCGGTTGGTTGAATCCTCCATTCATGACTGCCCCGCGCGAGCCAAGGCGAATTCGGGGTAGAAGCGCCCGAATCCAATCCAAAGTCGGGCCCAAGCGAAAAAAAAACCCATGATTTGATTCGCGCAGTGGATATTTCGGATGAACACTTCCCCGGACTTTGGGTCTTCGTGGGGGGTAAATGATGGTAATAACAGTGGAAACAGTGGGGGTGGAACGGTCCTCCCCGCCAAGAAACCGGGGTAAAGGGATCCCGACTCTGGTCATTGGGTCTTTGGGCTGATATAGGCTTTCACATTTGTTAGTTCCGCGGTTCCTAGCGACTTTTCAAACACATGATGAATCTTGGCCCATAGGAGAATGAACTTGGCGGGGTAATGAGGCGTTTAGTCGGTAAACTCTGTGGTGAGTCGAGGATGATTAGTTAAAAGGAGTGTAGTGGCATGATGGTCAACTCCACATTCTCAACAACATTATTCTCACAATGGGTCAAGATACCCAATCTCGCGATGGAATTGATTCGGTGGGTGACGTGCAGCAGCCAGTCGAGATGGGTGAAGTCATGGCCAAACATGACTTACAAGACATCTCCCATGTCGAGCGGGTTCTATCGCCGGGCGATGACCTAAAGAAGGAAGACATGGACTTAACCCGCGTGGATAAGGAGATTCAGATGTATGCTGCCCGAGGACAAGTGGTGGTTGATGAGGCCACCAACAAACGATTGAAGCGCATGATTGATCGCCGTGTATTGGTTATCATGATCTGCACATACTTCCTCCAGGCATTGGATAAGGGAACAATGTCCTTTTCGTCTATTATGGGAATAAAAAAGGACGCACACCTGGAAGATGGACAAAAGGTTCGTCATCCAAGGTCCGAGAACAGGAATTATGCTAATTGGTATAGTACTCGTGGCTCACGACCTGCATTTACATCGCAGTCCTGACAGTCGAATACCCGACCAATTGGATCATTCAGCGAGTTCCGATTGCAAAGTATCTGGGAATAAATATCTGTCTCTGGGGTATGACACTAGCAATGCATGCTGCCTGTCACAACTTCGCAGGCTTGGCCACTGTGCGAACCCTGTTGGGTATTTTCGAGGCTTGTTGTCAGCCTATCTTCGTCGTTCTCTCCTCCATGTGGTATAAGAGAGAAGAACAGGCTGCCACGGTCACGTACTGGTAAGTCGAACCTATTTTTGTTTCCAAGGTTTTAGCTAACTCCGTGGTTAGGTATATGATGAATGGCGCCCAGCAGATTGTCGGAGGCCTATTGGCTTATTGTTTTACTCTCATTGGAGGTGATAAGGTTCTCAAATCCTGGCAGGCTTTATTTTTGACCTACGGGGTCGTGTCTGTGATGTGGGGTATCTTCGTCCTTTGGTACATGCCCGACTCTCCGATGCGTGCCAAGTGCTTCAGTGAAGAAGACAAGCACCTCATGATTGAGCGCCTGCGATCCAATCAGACCGGTATTCAAAATAAGGAGTTCCGCTCTTATCAAGTATGGGAGGCTCTCCGTGATCCCCAAACCTGGTGCTACTGCTCCATCCAGATCTTCACAACTCTTCCGACCAGTGGTCTGGGTGCGTTTGCGGGTATCATTATGACTGGCTTTAACTTTACAACTTTGCAAAGTCAGCTGCTGGCTATGGTGTTGGGATTCTATATTATCATCATCTTATTGACATCCGCCTGGCTGGTGAAGAAGTATAACCAGAATCTTCTCGTCATGCTCGGTTTTGTGGTTCCGTATGTATAAGTCGATTCTTGATTAATCTTACGCTAACCTGTCCAGTTCGTATATTGGAACTATCGTGTTGATGACCGTTGCCAACACTACACTGGCCACAAAGGTGGGCCTGTTGTTCAGCTACTACATCACGCTGTCTTTCTGGTCGGCCCAAACACTATGTCTCTCTATGGTGTCTAGAAATATTGCTGGACAGACCAAAAAAGCGACTGTAGTAGCCGCCACATTTATCTCGTGGGCTGCAGGCAATGCGATCGGTAAATTCTTGTGTATCCATTGCGCTATATTCATACTGACCGAACTTAGGCCCACAAGTGTTTTTAGACTGGGATGCGCCAAGGTATCATATTGCCTGGAGTGTACACCTAGCTTGTTATGCTTGCATGACTGCAGCTGTAATATATCTGCGCTTCCACTTGATTCGCCAGAACAAGAAGAAGGATGCGATTCTGGCTGCTGAAGGATTGACTGCCGCTGATCCAAACTTGATCCACGCATTTGAGGATAAAACCGATCGGGAAAACATCAATTTCCGATATGTTTACTAGGTTTCAATATTGAATAGCCATATTAGTTTTGCGTAACTATCGGAGTTCTCCCTTGTATGACATATGGAATGTGTAAAATCAATCTCTATCTTATCGTGTGTCGGCGACCTCCGACTCTGACATCCGGAGGCGAAAAGCGGAGAAAGGAAAGATCAGAAATGTAAAAATCACGTAAAATGTCAAACCCATTCCTCTTCCCCTTAGGAATAATTCCACTTCAAAATTCTAATCCCAATTGTCTCCCCAATGCTCTACACACACGCAACTATTATCACCGTTGACGGTAACCGCCGCATCATCAACGACGGTGCTATTCGTGTCTCGGGCGATATCATTGCGGACATTGGGAAAAGTGCTGTCCTGAAAGAGCGATACCCCGGTGATGAGGAGTATGATCTCACTGGCCGAATTGTGATTCCGGGCTTGATTTCCACCCACATGCATACGGCCCAGACTCTCCTGCGGGGCACTGCTGATGATCTGGAGCTTGTATCATGGCTGTGCGAGAGAATCTGGGTTCTTCAAGGTAACTTCACGGAAGCAGATGGCTACGCTGCCGCGAGACTCAGCATCGGCGAGATGCTCAAGTGTGGAACCACTTGTTTCTTGGAGAGCATGGTGAGCACCATTTCAACCCTACAATGCTTTTTTTCTGACCAATCAGTTCGCCGATCGCTATGGTTTCGACGGACTTGCCCGTGCCGTAAAGGAATCCGGTATCCGAGGCTGCTTGGGTAAGATTGTGATGAACATTGCCAAGTATGCCAAGGACGATGCCTGGGCCATGCATCCCGGTCTCGTTGAAGACCGCGAGATGTCCCTTCTGGGCAGTGTCAAGATGTGGGAGAAGTGGAATGGAGCTGCGAATGATCGCATTCGGGTGTGGTTCGGCGCTAGAACTCCTGGAGGGTAGGTCAAAAACTTATACCGACTAAAACCATTAACCATGTTGTAGGGTTTCTGATGCGCTATACAAAGAGATGACTGCCATCTCGCGAGAGAAGGGGATCCCCATCACCATGCATTGTGCTGAGGTCAAAGCCGATCGCGATTTCTTCGCGTCCGTGTCCCACACACCCATGTCGTACTGTGACTCTGTCGGGCTTCTGAGTCCGAAGACTGTGCTGGCGCACATGGTTCATCTGGATGACTCGGATATTAGGTTGCTATCTGCCTCTGGGACCCATGTCGCGCACTGTCCGACTTCTAATGCTAAGCTGGCGTCGGGAATTTGCCGAGTGCCCGATCTTCAGCAGGCCGGGGTGAACATTGGACTGGGAACGGATGGCGCTCCCTGCAACAATAGCTGTGATATGTTGCAAGAGATGAAACTTGCGGCCATCATTCACAAGAGTATCTCCTATGACCCAACCGCTGTCCCTGCCGAGTCTGTCTTGGAGATGGCGACGATCAATGGTGCCAAAGCTCTCGGGCTGGATGACCGAATCGGCAGCCTGGAAGTGGGAAAAAAGGCGGATTTCGTGGCGATCGATGTGCGCGGAATTCATACGCAGCCTTGGTTCAATGCCCCTAGCGCCGTGGTCTATACCGCGACTGGACGTGATGTGGATGTGGTTGTGGTAGATGGTAAGCGACTTGTTCAAAATGGGGAGCTACTCACGATGAATGAGAAAGAGATTGTAGAGGAAGCAAAGAAGCGCAGCCAAGAAGTGGTTGATCGGGCTGGTCTGTCGAGCAAGATGAAGGGTCGTTGGCCCGTGGAATAATTTCAAATATTGTAGAACTTTAGCATAGATAGGCTCTCGTCTTTCTAACCGTACCATTGGGAATGAATTGGAAATAGTATTTGACCGTTAATATGTTCAATCACAGGATTGCTCCAGGGCTGTTCTAGAGAATGATGACAAATAATTCATGACTACAGTGGTGTTCAACAAGTATTTGACCTCGGGTACTTCAGGACCCACTTCTCTTATTGCCAGCAGAAACTGCAGAAATTCATTATAATCCATATCTGGCCTAATTTGGCAGAGGAATAAAAGTAAAAATCCCGCAATTTCCTCTAAGCACCCTTTTATCTATTAAATGGTGCCGTATATATTAAAATAACAAGGCGCGTGAAGTTGACTGTACTAGATTGGTGAGCGGTCTAAAAACGGTCGGGTCCGAAAGTACCCAAGGTCAAATACTTGTTAAACACCACTGTATGAGTATACTGCTCGTTCTGACCGCTTCAATTCGATCGTCACGCATGTTCTAGATAACTCAAGCTCCGATCCCCCCAATGTCTCATTGTTTGATTTTCAGTCTTTTTGAGAGAGCATCTTTCTTCATTAATTCCAGAGTCAAGAGACTCGCTTAGCTGTTGATAACCAGCCACCAATCACAAGATTGAGTGGCGCTTCAGCCATGCGGTATTTCTCAAAAGGGGAAAGCCGAATGGATCATGTTACAATTCAGCTTGAGGGCCTAATCTCACGTGTGAATCAACTTAATGCCGTTGAAGCATCCCGAGTCAAATTGCAAGCCGCTTTCGCAAACCGAAAGGCTCTCAATCGGGAATTTGACTTTCAATACAACTGATGATGTGACAACCCCGCAAATTCCCCCGCATCCGGCGTCCGATCGGAAGCCCAATTAGATGGACGGATCTGACTCAAATTCAGCTTATGGGGCTGAGACCCAAAAACCAGCCTGGAGGTCTTGTGGGGTTCGCAAATACATGCAACCCGAATCAAATCATCGCTCTCGTTGGTCAATGATGATTATGTTTATGTGGTCAGCTCTTGGGGTATTATAAATCGGATAATAGATTCGGCAAGAGAACTGACACGACTTTATCTCACCAAGGTGTATAAATAGAGCCTAGTTCTAAGCCTAAGCCTAAGCCTAAGCCGCATGAAAAGTTTTATCTTATCAACCACTTGTCTTTATCTACCTGAATTCTGTATATCCCCTCCAAACTTTCCCCACCTTTAGTCTTCAGCTCCAAAATGACGACCCCCTCGCTGGACTTTTTCGTACGTGCTTAAGATATTCATTCTGCGTCTTCCATCTGCTAACCATTTAGAGCTTTCACAATATTATCAACAATGAATTAACCTCCACGGCGACTACTCGCCATGGTATCAACCCCGCGAACTCTCAGCCAAACCCCGACGCTCCAGTCTCTTCTCAGGAGGACCTCGACCGGGCAGTCCAGGCTGCTCGTGTTGCTTTTAAAAAATGGTCCAAGACTCCGATTGCGGAGCGGCGCGCCGCATTACACGCTTATGCGAGTGCGATCGAAGTCAATGCAGATGGGTTTGCCAAGACCCTCACAATGGAGCAGGGAAAGCCCTTGGCCCAGTCTGCGACAGAGGTTGGCATGGCCAGTACGTGGATTCGTGGTATCAGTGCACTTGTAATCCCCCAGAATGTCATTGAAGAGACCGAGGACCGGAAGATCATTCAACGTTTTACTCCTATGGGTGTTGTCGGTGCTATTGTCCCATGGAACTTCCCTGTGCTTCTGGCCATTGGAAAGGTCGCTCAAGCTGTGTATGCCGGTAACGCTGTCATCATCAAGCCCTCTCCCTTCACACCGTACTGTGATCTTAAGCTAGCTGAGCTGGCTACTCATTTCTTCCCGCCTGGTGTGGTCCAGTGTCTCAGTGGAGACGATTCTCTGGGCCCGATGATTACGGAACACCCTGGTATTGATAAGATCTCGTTCACTGGTTCGATCTTGACAGGTAGACGGGTCATGGCCAGCTGTGCCAAGACTCTCAAGCGAGTGACTCTTGAGCTGGGCGGAAATGACCCTGCAATTATCTGTGATGATGTCGATATTGACGCAATTATTCCCAAGGTAAGCATCACTGTGCTCTAATGATAACACCAATTAATATCCTTCAGATTGGTATTCTTTCATATCTTTGCAGTTCCCAGATCTGCATGATGATCAAGCGTCTCTACGTCCATGAAAATATCTATGACGCATTTCTGGAGAAGCTAGTTGCCTTTGTGAAGACACTCAAGGTCGGCGAGGGTACAGAAGCAGATGTGTTTGTCGGCCCTGTGCAGAACAAGATGCAATTTGACAAGACAAAGGAGCTCTTCAACTCAATCACCACCGATAGACTCAAGATCGCATTAGGCGGTTCCATTCAGGATTCCGCTGGGTACTTTATTCACCCAACAATTATTGATAACCCACCGGAGAACTCCCGGATTGTCCAGGAAGAGCCCTTCGCTCCTATCTTGCCTGTCATGAAGTGGTCAGATGAGGACGATGTCATTGGGAAGGCAAATGCCTTGGAGACAGGACTAGGTGCGTCAGTTTGGTCCAAGGACTTTGAGCGTGCTACCCGAATTGCCGACCAATTGGAATCCGGTGTTGTCTGGGTCAACTCGCATTTCGATGTAGCTCCTAATGCTCCTTTTGGTGGTCATAAACAAAGCGGTATGGGTGTTGAATGGGGAGTCACCGGACTCTTGGGCTACTGTAACTCTCAAACTCAGTGGCTGAAGAAGTTCTGATTGTCTAGTGGTTTCTTCATTGGCTATCTGTGTTGGGCAGATGCGTATCGTGCATCAATGAGGTCACCAATATCATTTAATTTTCAAGTTTCATTGATAGTATTTACTCAGAAAAGCTACACATTGTTGTTAGACTAGGGTCGGTTAATGTTGGACTGCGATATAAGTGACGTCATGCACGAAGGGTAAGCCACATTCCAAAGTTAGTAGGATGACGGAGTCTGCCAACGCCACAAATTGAATAGATCAACATGGATGGCATCCTATTACAACTAGTCATGCGCTGATGATCTTCACACAGATGACGTGCCCGCGTTAACCCTTCCACTCAAAGGCTCCCAACTCCCTTGCAGAAGGCGAAATAGTACTTGGCATACGTGTATGTCCTGCTTCTTACTATAGATGAGACATCCAAAGGTTGATGACGGTCCGATAAGAGTTGCCATATAAGTATTCGCTTACCTTTCAGAATACAAACCTTTCTCATCAATACTTTTATCTATCAATCTATCACTGAAATTCAATTATCATTCACCATGTTCCACCGCGGTCGCACTACCACTACGAGAACCACCAAGCCGACCTTGATGACTCGGCTTAAGGGTCCAAATGCTAAAACCAAGACGGTGAAAACTACAACTACCACGACCCCTGCTTCCTCGCATCACACACATCACACTACGCACCGCACCAATAAGCGTCATTTGGGTCCCCAGGCCCATCACCACAAGCGCAAGCCTACTATTGGTGACAAATTCTCTGGTGCTATGTTGAAGATGAAGGGTAGTCTTACCCATCGTCCTGGTGTCAAGGTAGGCTCAGTCCCTAGATATTTTTTTTTTTTTTAAGGCGCTAATGAATCAAGGCTGCGGGCACTCGTCGCATGCACGGTACTGACGGTCGAGGAAGTCACCGTCATGTTTACTAGAATGTTACCTACGCATACGATGTCACGACAAGATTGATTGATTTATTGAGAGAAGGTCTGCTTATGTGTTCTGCCAGCCCTTGAGGGCGTGTATAATATAGTCTATCAAGTGTAAATTGAATATGATGATTTAGATGTTTACTTTTGAGAGCAAAGCCATATTCCACAATACCCCCCGCGCTTTATTAACCCGAATAGTAACGTCCGGAGCAATATGGTTCCTTTTCGCCCGGTTCATGCACGAACACAGCGGGGGGGATTTGAGTATGTATGTTTGACTGGTGGGATTAATTGTTCCAACTTGCCAGACAGATGCATTCTCCTCCGATGTAATCTAATTATGCAGGCCACTTACAACACAGCAAGCATCTTCATTGTCGATCCCCCGCAAATCGGTTAGTGATAGCCCGGATCCTGTTCAAGTCCTTATTTCATGGATTAAAAGCTTCGCAAACCCGGAAAAGATGCTATCTGGGTAACTAACACGTTGGTACGCGATCAAATGTGTACATATAGTGAAATCGAACATTGAATTGAGTGATGCATAGGAGTATATTGTTGCTGGTAGCTGGGCTCGCACCAGGCTTACTATCTGCTTCATCGTTACCCCGGTCGGGTGTTGTGGATCTCGGGTACTCGCAGTACCAGGGGACAACGTTGTACAATGATGTTGATGAGTTTCTCGGCATAAGATATGCAAAGGCACCAGTGGACAACTTGCGATTCCGAGCGCCACAGGATCCCGAGTCGACGAATGAAGTCTTGGATGCAACATCGGTGAGATAGAGGACTCTTGGTGCCTCAGTCTATTCATTTTTTAACTTTGAACAGTTTGGTCCCGTTTGTGTAGGTGTTGCAGAGACTGTCGGTTCCACCTACGGTGAAGATTGTCTGTTTGTCAATATTTGGCGGCCCAATAACGCTTCCAATGCCAATCTCCCCGTGTGGGTGTTTATATCCGGGGGTGGATATGCAGACCTCTCCAATGCCAATTATAACGGGAGCGAAGTCGTCGAAAAATCCGGTAACGATATTGTCTTGGTCAATTTCAACTATCGCGTCGGTGTTCTGGGATTCCTGGCGAGTGAAGAGGTTCGCAAGGGTGGAGATCTGAATGTCGGCTTGCTTGATCAGCGGAAATTGCTGGCTTGGGTCCAGCAGAATATCCACCTCTTTGGTGGAAACCCGGACCATGTGGTGATTCATGGCGATTCGGCGGGTGCAGGATCTGTTGCGCATCACATCACTGCGTATGGGGGACGCGACATGAATCTTTTCGCCGGCGCAGTGGCTGAGTCGAATTTCTGGCCAACACAGCGGACGGTTGCGGAAATGGAATTCCAGTACACGAGGTTTGCGCAAGATGTTGGCTGTGGTAGTGCTGATGACATTCTCGAATGTCTTCGTGATGTCGATATCCAGACGATTCAGGAGTATGACGTTGATGAGCCTTTCCCTGGTGGCAGTAGTAGCCCCGTGCCGCTGTGGTACTTCCTCCCCGTAGTTGATGGGGAATTGGTACCGGATATTCTGTACAGACTATTTGAGGAGGGAAAGGTGGTCCATGTCCCAGTGATGGTCTCGGATGATACCAATGAAGGCACTGCCTTTGCAGTCAACGCGACTGATCCCGCCGAAGTGGCCCAGTTCTTGAAGAACAACTACCCGAAACTCACCGATGATCAGCTTCAAATTATCAACGAAGAGTACCCTCTAATGGAAGCACTTCCTAAACATGCTGCTTATTTCCCCTCTGCTGCAGCCGCATACGGTGATTCGACGTTCACTTGCCCAGGCAACCACATGTCAGCCTCAATGGCACGATTTGTCTCATCTGACATAGTGTGGAACTATCGTTGCAACATTCTGGACGCAACAGAGATTGCTAAAGGCATGGGTGTTCCGCATGTATTTGAGATGCCTGCTGTCTTCGGGCTTGGTCAAACCAGCGTAGCGTCGTTGTCTTTTGCCACCACCAACGCCGATATGGTTCCTATCATTATGGATTATTATCTCAGTTTCATCAAGGCGCTTGACCCAAACACTTTCCGGAATGAAAATGCGCCGCTTTGGAAGACTTGGGGATCGGGAACTGGGGAGCGATTGAGACTACAGACCAACTCTACGGCCATGGAATTCGTGCCTCAGGACCAGGTGGAACGATGTGCGATGTGGCAGAAGTTTGCGATGACGATGGAGTTGTGAAATGTTACATGTTACACTGTTATCAACTCGGTGCATATTACTATCACTATCATCAATATCAGTGTCGTCATCGTAATCTTAATCTGATCACTCACTAAGTATACTAAAGTACAATCACTGCTACTGTTAATAGTAAAAGTAGGCAAGTAACAGGTACGAGTACTCAATATCCCTATCACTATTCCTATCATATAACCGTTTTATCCGATCCCTGCCGCACTTCTCCGTAAAACAAGAAATGAGGGGTAAAAATCACTAAATCCGGGGAAACTCCACTCCGCATTTCACGAACTTCAAAAGTTTAACTTCAACTTCAACTTCTACTTCAACTTCTACTTTATCCTTATTTCTTTGACATGTCCAGATGTTGCCCAAATCTTGCCTCTTTACATCCCTCGCGGTTGAACTCATCGAGCTGATCGCGGGGTTTGTAGATGTCGACTCTTTAATGAAACTACGTCTGGTCTGTCGCCACCTGCAAAGGAAAACCTTTAATCATTTCGCACGTCGCTGCTTTTCGTCGATCAAGACAGATCTCTCAGAAGAAAGTCTCAGTCGAATCAACGCTCTCTCTCAGAACGAAGCACTCCGACCATACGTTCAAGGTCTAGCATTTATGCTTCAGAACGGGGTGGGTCACGGTCTGGTGTGGGATCGTCATCCGTGGGGTCCTCTATCCGCCCCTATGGAAGTGGAGGCCATCAAGCGCCTTCGAGACAACTTGGTGAATCATTTAACAAACTGTCGTTCATTCTTTATCTTCTGTCGATACCCAGAAGGGCATCCCGATATGAGTCATGTCACCATCACTGATGCTGTCGCCGTCTTCTTCGCTCTAGTCGTTGACTCCCGCTTACCAGTGTCATCGTTTCATTTAATCTATGCGAATCAACAATCTCGAACATTGATGATGGATATGCGCCGCTTACCAAAGCTTCTATATCGACAACCCAAGTTCCGAATAGTATGGTCCAATCTACAGAAACTCTCTTTGGAGCAGTATCTGACCTTGGATAATTTCGGGTTTCTTCTGGAGTTGGTCTTGAGTGCACCGAATCTCAAAACATTACTTCTCAACTTGGGCTCTCATGACTTGGCCGCAGAGTTCATGCATGAGTTGGCCGAGGCAGCTTCATTCTCTCAGCTAGAAGAACTAGCCTTGTTCCGCACTGCCGTGAGAGCACCAGATCTTCACATGATGATTGATGGCCTTCGTGGGACATTGCAGAAGCTCACTTTCTATCATGTGTCTTTGGCACCAGACGACAGCTGGTCAGCCATTTTGAAGGACCTCAGTCGTGATTTCTTGGCTCTGCGGAGAGTCTCTTTATATTATCTCTGGAACAGCACCCCGGCTACTCAGCTGATATCCTTCCCCGAGCTTCAGAAGGCGCCGCTCATCTGTGAAACACCAGTTCAACGTCTTCAAATGTTTTACTCGGAGAATCCGAAGAGCCCGGCTGTTCTAGGCGTGGAGTATTCGGGTCCGAAGATGTCGCAGTTTCTTGGTCTCCTCCAGAGAACCGCTATCTGTACCTAAATTCGTCTACCTTCCGCCTGTAATCAGGTCTTGTGATATTTATTGTTGGTCTCTTTTTTTTTGACTACTTGTGTCTACTACAATATGTATATATTCTCGCTAAGAGCGTCAATTTGGAACAACCGTTTGATATTGTGATATAGCAAAGCAAGCATGCATAACAGATACGCAAATCAACACTTGAAAGCAATGATCTAAATATCTTCTTATAAATTCAATGCGACTTTCTGTTTCAATATTCGTGATCATATGAAATTGGCGTTCAACTCTAAGCCTGTCAGCTCGGTTCGTGTGAAATCGCCTTCATAGGAGACTGTCAGAGGGATGTTCTCTTTTGGCCAAAGTGTAACATAGTTTTCAGACCAGTACAGTGGTCCTAACCACCAATCATATGTTGCATTGTAAACATCCAACCGTAGGAATACGGCTGGGACTTTCGATTTATTTTCAATCTCGATATCCACAGTGGTCCATCCCGGGACTCGATTAGCTTGGGGCTTCATAGTTACCTTCATGTTAGCCTGAGGAATAGAACTCAGTTCTGTGAAATCCACGTATTTCGCGACCGGAATGGATATCCAGCTGGAGTCTGACCAATCGAGGACATCAGGGCTAGGGGAAAGCCAGTATACGTTCCGACTTAGATATCTTCGGGTTTTGGAATCACGAAGAATAAGACGCAAAAATCCAATATCTTCAATCCTATCAATTCCATTTATCAAGTGCACTTCTTTGGAAGAGCTCGCCGTGGTCTTTGTTTTAACCTTGGCACTCGAGATCTTTTTGCCGTTTTATCAATGAGACCAATCAAAATACCTCTCTCCCCTTCCTTCTCAAGAGAGTGGTTGATCAGCCAGACAGTTTGAGCTTCATGGTCATAAGCAACATGTTCCATCCGAATCCCAACTTTGCTACCAAAGTAAGACCCCATTGGTTGAAGATAATAATCAATAAGCTGCCAGTGTAGATTCGACCATGCACTATTAAGCATCCAGTAGATCACCCCGATTGCAGATTGAGTTGCATTCTGTCGAGCCGAGTACGCCTCAAACTGGGCACGAGTAGCTTCGTAATCTGCCATCTGGCATTTATAAACATAGTCCTCAATGTTCTCCGGTGTGCCGTATCGAGCGAAGAGCCCTTCATTATAGATTGTTCGGTTGTGGAAAGAGGAAACATTGTTAGACAAATGATACGATCCCGCATCTGGTTCTTTCCACAGACTTTCAAGTTCCTCGGTCGACAGGAATATCCTCAAGCTACCGATTTCAGGACTTCCAACTCCTGCACCTAGCTCGGAACCGAATCCGAAAGCTTCTCCATATTTATCGCTTCACCAGTAGTTTGGTGGAACCCAGTCGTACGGTCCATTCATCTTCATGCTGGAAGGCCCTAGAGCTTTGGGGTAGCCCCGTTTGCTGGCGGATGCGAGGATTGGCAGATTCCAATCAATTTCGTGTAATGCATCAAGAAAAACTTCGGTCGCTTGGTCGTTAAGCCAGTAATCTGAACCGACTAAGAATCCGAGAAGAGACGGATGTGGCTGCATCATCTCTGCTTCGTGGATCATTGCCGCGTACGCGATCGAATGATCGGATTCATTCCATTTTACCCCGTCGGTGTCATTATTGTACTATTCAACTCGTCAGCATACGTTCACAGTAGGCTGGTGGATAACTTACGTCCCATGCCTCCCATTTATCGCAACATTCCCAGCCACTTAAGACCATTATTCCCATTGGATCGCCAAGGTCGTAGAATGCAGGATGCTCTTGCTTTCCCTCCAAGCGAATAGTGTTGAGTCCTAGATCGATCATGTAGTGTGAGTGGAAAATTGAGCCTGGACCCATTCGACCCACTTCTACTAGTAAGGGTCAGCTAACTACATTCATGCTCAGGTGGATATATAGACCATCCGACTATGTGACCCACATTTTATCAGCCCAATTGAATCCCCCTTCTCGTTTCATTTTCCATTCCGCAGCAATCGAACTTACTCGTTCAGTAACGCTGCAAAAAACTCAGAGATCCGATATTCTGCCTATCACTGTACACATGTTCCGGCTCTCCAGCCCCACTCCTGCATTTTGACATTTCAGACCTGAAGCAATTATTAAAAACTTTCTATCCACCATGAAAACAAAAGCTATCCACCATGAAAACAAAAGACTCTTCCGATTCTGCGCCAGTATCGGCTCAGCACATAGATACCGAGAATAGCTACCCAGACTTTGACCGTATATGGGGCACCTTCGTTACATATGCAAGGTACGCCCACTTCTCCATAAAGAATTTCGTTCAGACAGCTAAAGCCGCGCCATATAGCGTCACGCTGGTGACTATTGCATTTTTCACTCTGTATTACTTCACGTGTCGCAAATACTGCGAGGCCGCTTCGTGTGAGAGTCATATTTGTCGGTGTCCCTGGGTCATGTGACCTGGCAGCGCTGGCTTCCCGTTTAGGACTAGCTTAGTTTGGGTCTGGGGGCATATCCTCCAGACCTTCTGCCCTTTTCTCTTTTCTCCCCCCATACCCAATATCACATACGTTTGGTGTGAAGCTGTCAGCCTAAATATTGTAGTCATATTCCATCTCCTCCTCTTGGGGCCTATTGGCGCCAAGAATATTTCACGTATTTTGGCCTGCGGCACGATTTGTGCTATGGTCTCGATGGTTTGGAAATTTTATGGGGATGTTCGTGTATTCGCGACTCAATATATCAGGGAGCGGCAATGATTGTGCGAGTACTCGAAAATAGTCGAAAGCCTTTGCTCATCAAGTCGCATAAACATGTCTGCACTGTATCCGGCACCTAGTATCTGAAATGGATGTCCATTGATGGTGAAAGCCACATCATCGTGTTCATTCACGTAAGACGAGACATGTCGAATACCAAATTTTTGAGATGACGATTCTGAATGTATGAGCTGTTCCTCTTGAATCATGGCGTGGACCTTCGCCCTGTACAGCAGCTGCGCTCCCCAGCCAACCGGCCACCAGATCTTTGGATTTCTCAGCACGGCCTGGATGGAGTCTTTCTTCTTCTCTCCGGGCTTTAGTTCAAATGTAGCACATATTGCAGCATCATCCGCCTTGATGGGGCCCATGATCGTACCATTCAGTTCCACCTGAATTGTATGTGGCGCATGATTCAAAAGATCGGTCTTCAGTGTGACGTTCACGTTTTCATTTGATCCATTCTTTGTAAAATCCGGGATGACTCTGAGAGGCGACATAGAAACTACGCCTCTTTGAATAACTTCGACGTGGCGCCAGATACCAGTCCCGTTGTCGGGTGGATAGGGATTCCAGTCCAAGAATCCCATGGCAAAGTCACGGAGAATATCTGTGGGGTAAACATAAACCAAAAGACAATTGAGTCCGGCCTGATTCAAGAAGTCCTGCCATCACTGTATTACGAGGTCCAGCTCGATACCATGAAGATACATCGTTGCCAGGTTGAGAAAGGCTAGACATGCTGGTTCTCACCAAACTTGAAGGCTGCATGCTCCATGCTGGAATGACTTTTCTTTCACCTGGATTCGATACAAGAGCTTCTGCATGCATCTTGCTCGCATATAGCGCTACTGTCAACACCGCCAGTCCCTTGAAGAGGCGCATATTGGTCACAATAACAAGGTTGTAAATATTTGTACGATGTCTTTTTTGTCAAAAGTGTGAAAATAGGACGGTTGAATATGTTGAAATAACTACAAAAGCAACACTAACAGGATACAACGGAACATCCAATATCCACTTTGCCCTTTTGGGCCGAGGGACTCGTTGGTTTGTCCTAATTCCGTTTCGGCACGTTTGACTTTCCACTATTCTACATCGAAGTTACTTCAACCGTAGGTCACAATTCATACCAAATTAATAGCAAGATAGTCATGATTGAACACTATTATTTCCATGTACTTCTTTGCCGACGGCCAATCAGAGTCCAGAAATCTATCCTTCTTCTCAAGCTTACTCTTTACCATATTGTCACTTCTAAGCACCACCGGCTGCTGCCTCCATAAACAGTTTTTCACGCTAAAGATTGAACTTGTGAGCCAATGTGCGAAAGTAGGTAAACAAGCAAGACAAATACCTTCAGGAAGATGGAGAGAAGAACACCAAGTGCACCAGCAACGATTAGAAGGGTATAGCTGTAAAAGAAAAGTTAGCAAGAGTTAGAATTGTGAATGGTAATCTAGTGATCTGGGATATCTAAATGAAACTTACACATCATCGATGGCATCAACAATGATTTCAAGAGCAGCGGTCCGCTCAGACTGTGTCAGGGTGTCGAAGAATACACTGCTGGTTCCCGCGATGGTGTTGCCGACGTCAATGGGATTGGCATTAGGGAGCAAAATTAAAAGGTCTTTCGTTGCAACATTGACAAATATAGCACCTGCAACGCCTAAGCCCAAGACAATGCCTCCCAGTTGAGCTATTCTTCCGGATTAGCCTAATTAATAACTGATATCTTGTGCGGGAAAATCACTTACAAACCATCATGAAGCCCAAGGCCCATGGGATCTCAGCCTTCGGCACCTTTGCCTGGACTACGCTGTAGCCTGCCTGATTGAAGGAGCCGACGCCCAAGGCCATAAGGGATGTATATCCGTATATCGCAGAGGCGGGGGTGTCTGCCTTGACACGATCTGAAGAATTGACTCTAATTAGATAGCGAGCGTTTTCGAAATTCTGAAAAACTCACACATCAAAACAGCAGCGACAAGCTCACAAGCGGAGCCGAAAAGGTACCACGGGAAATAGTAGCCAAATCTGGTCATCATGTGGCCGTTTGCAATGATAATAAAGATCAGAACCATCACGAAAGGCAAGATACGTAATGAAGAGTAGAGCGCGGTATCGCCCTGTTATGTAATTAGAACCCATATTTCTGGCATTAATATAAAAGTAGTGATTCTTACCTTGGTGAACTGAAAGTACAATGGAATGTAGTAAACTGAGATGAACAGTCCACTGCTGGCACATGCTAATCACAAAATAGGACTTATTAGTATTGAAATCAAAAGGCAGTATTATAGCGGATATAACTCACTGTTGAGAATGAATAGTAGCACTAAAGAGCGTCTCTTGATGAAGTGAACTGGGAAGAGTCGGTTTTGCTCATTGCAGAAGATGTAGAAGGTCTGTTGCACTCCGAACAGAATGAATAGTACGCCAGATACGACAAAGAGTGCAATTGACGAGCCGCTGCTCCATGTCCACTCCACACCTCCAAAGTCAATTCCCATAATTAGAGAGGCCAGCGAGCCAATGAAAAGGACGCTGCCGACCCAGTCAATGTTTCTCGCCTTATCTTTCTGGGTTTCGTTTTTAAGGGGGCTTATTGAAGGCAGAAGGAGGACATAGACTGGAGAAAAAACCGCGCCAATGACGAGATTTATGTAAAAAGCCTATAATTGGTAAGTTAAGACTCTGGTCTGGTTAATGTGAAGTTATTTTCGGCTTGTGAGAAACATACCCAACGCCAGGTGGCGGAGCTCTCGGCGAATGCTCCTCCAATAGCTGGGCCAATAACCGTTCCAATGCCCCATGAGACAGCACTGTGGTAGGATTTCGATTAGTAGGATAATTAACTTCGTACTCGGGGTTGAACTCACGTCAGTCCAATATAAAACGGACGCTCAGGCACGGTTGTGTTCATGGATAGCTGCGTTAAGACTCCAAAATACATGCCACTGCCCTGCAAAGGTGTTAATGTTTGGAATCAAAGATCTGATTACAATAACTCACTCCAGAACCGGCTATAGCTCTCCCAACGATCATGGCGTTCATGTTGGGAGCAGCTCCACACAAAGCAGAACCTGCCATGAAAATAATGACACACTATTGAACGGTTAGACATTCTTCTTTGCTCGCTGGATCCCTTAGTTATATCACCGACGTACACTAATGTACAGCCATTTCACATTATAGGTTGCATAGGCCTTGGACCATGGAAGACATAGAGCACATGAACAGAGAGTGAAACTAGCCATAAGCATCGTAATGTCAGGAAAATGCTACAATATTAATGAGGAATCGCGAAACTTACCCGACGGAGAGCCATGAAATCTGATCAGCTTCGTCGAATTCCGTGAGAATCGCCTTTGCAGATGAATTACAGTTAGCGCTTATTCTCACTTGAAAATCGGATGGGAAGAACCAACGGCCTGGATATTAGCCACAATAGTGTTATCAAGAGCAAAGAGCAAATGGCTAGACAAGATGGCAATCACAACCAAGATCCACTATATCAGGTCATTAGTGAAGCCATGACAAGCCAGAGGGACCAAACGTACCTTGAACCCACGGATGGTTCTATCCCCCTGCTCACTTTCATCGGAGGTGCTGAGACACTTCTCACTGAGCTGGGAGTCTGAGCTAAGGGTCAGGGACTCCTTACTCGCGGGGGGAAGGCCAGAGTTGCCCCCATCCATTTTCATTGGTGCAGTCATTGTGAACCGAGCAGGACGATACAAGATGCAGATCTTGGTCGCTCTATAAATGAACTTGAATTGTGAAGCCGAAGTTTATGGGCATGATACTAGATTTTATAAGAAGATACTTGAGTCCTAGAATATATCTACACTAAAATAAAAGCCATGATCTCTAATATTGCTAAACAATCATGGGATAAAAGTGGATCCTGGATTTTATAATCTGGGATGCCGATGGGATCCCGATGGGATCCCGATGGGATAGCAACGGGATAGCAACGGGATAGCAAAGGCCGGACCGGTTGCCACAGAATTCATATACTCCCAGAATTTCTCATTTTGCTGGGGCGCACGATATCCCACGGTATCCCACGATGTTAATGGTGAATATGGCGAATTGACAGATCCCGCTTCGCCAGGCTAGATACAAGGGCAGTCAATTGGACATCCAACATTGCAGAAGATCTATGTTCCACCTTCAATGAGGACGAAATAAACTTCTATGACTCTGAGTGCAAGATATATAGACGTATCAAGTTGATAGCAGGGCCACTGAGGGAGGGCGATATTTTTACTGCAAATTTCGCAAACGAGATGGAAGTGGTTGAAATGTTGCATTCATTCAATACTTGAAAAATATTTATTTTAGCTGGGTAATTCGGTCCATCCGATCTAAGAAAAGTACAATAACTCACTATAGAACTCGTTCATACAGATTTTGATACACCCTCTCAACTAATATAGTCTCCAGATTAGAATTAGCTATCAGTTATCGTGATAAGGAATCTTATCATCTTTATCTCTTATCATAATCTTTATCGTCAGCTCAAGCAACTCTTATCGGGTTAATCGGTTATCTAATCTACCAATCCCAGTCCGATATGCGCTGATTGCTTCAAATGCGGGGCCATGGGTATTTACCTTAATATGTAGTTTCCTTCGACTTTATTATGTTGACCTGATGAAACTTGGGAAATATTTCTGAAATCACATACTTATAATGGCAAATCAGTATTTCCTATGGCTTGCTGGTCAGGAGCAAGCAGGAGAAGAACCTTTGTACGTGCATCCTTGTATTGAGCTCGGAATATTCAAGCTGATCAATCAGAATTCCTATTGAGGATCCTTCTACAGGCGAGATCTTTGCAGAGTAAGTCAACCGATCTTCACTTCCGTCGATTTGTGTCTAACAACAAGCAGTTGTCATGCAGCCTCAGCTAAAGATGTCGACACAGCCGTTCAAGCTGCTCATTCGGCATACAAATCCGGCATTTGGTCGCGAGCAGGCCGTCATGAGCGTGCCGATGTTCTCGAGAAATGTGCCGCGCTACTTTCAGAGTCTCTTCCGGAACTTATAGCGCTCGAAGTACAGCAAACAGGTCGCGCGATCCGGGAAATGAAGGCCCAGGTTCCATCGCTGGTCAAGTGGTTCAAATACTACGCTTCTCTTTTGCGTGTCGAAGAGCGATCAGTTCTTCCAACAACTGGGAAATTACACAACTTTGTTGATCGCGTGCCTTTAGGCGTCGTCGCACAGATTACTCCGTTCAACCACCCTCTGTTGATCGCGGTCAAAAAGCTGGCCCCGGCCCTCGCGGCAGGAAACAGTGTCATCCTTAAGCCTAGCGAATTAACACCCCTGACTTCCCTGCTTCTGGCAAAAATCCTTCATCGCGCGGGGATACCCTCCGGCGTGCTGAGTGTCCTGCCTGGCTATGGCATGACTACCGGGAAGGCTCTGGTCTCCCATTCGCTTGTACGAAAAGTCGATATCACAGGGGGTACTGTGGCTGGAAGGGCAATTGGGTCGATTGTTGGTGGAAACTTGTCCAAATATACAGCAGAGTTGGGAGGCAAGGCTCCGTTGATAGTGTTCGAAAAGGCACAAATTGACGCTTCTGTGAATGGAATCGCATTTGGAAGCTACATGGCCAGTGGTCAGACTTGCATTGCCAGTACAAGGATTATCGTGGCCAACAGCATTATGGACCAGGTTGTGCAAAAGCTAAAGTTCAAGGTCGAGAGTATCACAAAGCGCATGGGGGCTCCTAGTAATCCTGCCTCAATGATGGGGCCGCTGATATCTGAGAGGCAGTTGCAGAATGTGGAAAGGCTAGTGGAAGAGTCTTTGGCAGAGTCTGCGACCGTCATTATGGGCGCAAAACGTATGCTCGGTCGAAGTCTCCTAGACGATTTCGATTTTTCTAAGGGACATTTCTATGAGCCAACAATTCTCACATCATCCACCGGCAACGCCATTGTCAACTCCCCCATCTGGCGCCAAGAAGCATTCGGTCCGGTGATTGTCGTTGTGGGATTCGATACAGAAGAGGAAGCCATTTCATTAGCAAACGACACCGAATTCGGCTTGGGAGCGGGGATTTGGACGGAGGATCTTTCACAGGCTTTCCGAGTCTCTGAGCAAATTGAGGCAGGACTTGTATGGGTGAACACTCATCATCGAAATGACCCGAGCAGCCCCTGGGGAGGTGTCAAGGCGGCAAGTGGTGTTGGAAGTGAGAATGGCATTGATGCCTATCATGCCTACTCGATGATGAAGAGCACCATTGTGAACTTTGCGACAACTGAGGAAATTTTAGCTCAGGACGATTGGTTTGCGGATGGATCGAAGGAAGTCAGATACGGATAAATCCGATCCTAAGATCAGCAGCTGCGGTCGACAGCAAAGCAGCAGTGAAGGGTACCAGTGTATGTAATCTATCAATATATTTCATTTGTACTACACAGAACCCTGCACCACAAATGATTGTTCAAATATCTCAAGCAAACAAAACTAGAACTCGGATATCATCATTCCATCTTCCACGGTACTTTAAAGGACTGGTATAACAAGGATTTACGGCAACATCACTTCCCCGCTCTACCAAGAAGAGGGGAACCTTGCTCAAGGTCAAAACAAGAAACAATATGACGGGTAGGTGATTTCAGAAGTACAACATGAAGAGGGGCCATCAGCGTCTCGGCCAAAATCTGTCTTTACCTCGGAGCTTCTCCACTCCTGCTTCTTTTAAATTCCTCAACATCTACTGACCTGGATACTTGCACTTAGTTCTCTTACTAATTTACAACATCGATAATCATGACTTCTTCACTACCACTCTTCGAAATTCCCACGCACTGCAAGGCTGGTGTCGTGATCAACGAGGGACCAGACTTCCATGTTGAAGTACAGATGGTGCCGGTTCCTGAGCCAGGTAGGATCTCGTGGGGAAGTAGAGCTGTCGCGATGCTGTTACAACTCCTAAACCCTTACAGGCCCAGACGAGATTCTCATTCGCCTTAACTTCACTGGTCTCTGCACGTCAGACATCCATTACATGAAGGCAGATTTTGGTTTTCCTCCGATGTCGCATTTTGGAGTCAGATCTCCCGGGCATGAAGGCGCTGGCATAGTTGTCAAGGCTGGAGCCAACGTGAAAAATTTCAAGCTTGGAGATAGGGTGGGAGTCAAGCCTCTCGTGGATACGTGCCACGCGTGTGATATGTGTTGGGGTGGTAAAGAGACGTATTGCAAGAAGGGTCTTCATTCAGGGCTTATGACAGCAGGTGAACTGGTCTCCGTGAACCACTCTTGTGTGATACAGTGCTGACAAGTTGATATTAGGAACGTATCAACATTATGTCGCCTCTCCAGCACGATACGCGGTTCCAATCCCAGATGGGGTGCCCGATGAAGTCGCTGCTCCGATCATGTGCAGCGCAAGTACCATGCATCAATCCTTGGTTGAATCCCATCTCCCGGCCGGTTCGTGGGTGGTCTTCCCTGGTGGGGGAGGTGGTGTAGGTATCCAGGGCGTTCAGTTGGCCAAAGCGATGGGCATGCGACCCATTGTTGTCGATACGGGCAATGAGAAACGCGGGTTGGCCTTAAGAATGGGAGCAGAGGCATTTGTGGATTTCAAAGAAGCCGATGATACTGTCGCGGCGGTGATTCAAGTCGCTGATGGGGTTGGTGTCCATGGTGTATTTGTCACCGCGCCGGCGGCATACAAGAATGCTGTGGCGTATGTTGGGGATCGCGTCGGGGCGATGATTATGTGCATTGGAATCCCCGCGACAGGAACGGTAGTTGTAGGAGCTGATCCTATGGAGTTTATCATGAAGAACCTGAGTATTAAGGGAACCTTGGTAGGGAGCCGCCAAGACATTGCCCGCTCACTGGACTTTGCTAGAAGAGGCATGCTCCAGCAGATCAGTGAAGTTTATCCAATCAATCGGCTTCCTGAAGCCGTGGACAAACTTGGCAGAGGGGAAGTTGCCGGGCGCATTGTGGTGAACTTCAATTGGGAAGAGTAGGGAATTACTTGATGTTCTATATGTTAGGTAAGATGAGTATATTCTAACATTTTGATATTCTAATATCATGAATAGAACCTAGGAAGGTATAATAGCATGGCCTCGAAATCCCTTATAGCATAGTTTCTTCACGGAAGCAGTAGATGCGGGGAAAGAGGGAATCCGGGGTTTTCGGGTAGAACTTCTACCACCAGCCATTGTAACCATGAGATTTCCGCTTTCAGTTGGAACCAGTCCGCAGATCGAACCCTTTTTGAAAGGCTAAATGATGCCCTGATTAATCCTATCCAATCAATTCGGTGTCAATGGGAAAAATCCTGTCCACTTTTACCGATAATTATCCGAATTGCATAGGTGGGATTATATAGATCGGATTTCCCCTTACTTAATGTTGGCTCCTGGCCGGTTTTGAGCTGTAGTTTACAGTTTTGCCAATTTTTCATTTTGGAAATATGCTATCCCTTTCCGTCTGTGTCGCAGCGCTTGCACTAGCTGCAGAGGCACAAGAGGTTTATATCACGAAACATGGTACCTCTGCTCGCCCTCATTGCACACAGCCCGCGTCACCAAGTTACTATTTCCAGCCATTCTCATACACACTGAACGAGACAGTCAGGTAAGTGCCATGTATCTAGTACCAAGGTGCAATTTACCATCTCCCTTGCTAATCTTGCGAAGATATGCAACATCGGTTCCCTCACCAACGACTACCAGAACCTTCGCTCCGGCCTATTCAAAAGCTGTTCAGCTGCTAACTATTAGCCTTTCCACTTCAACATGGGGGAGCTGGCTTCCTGGACAGACGATAATCAGCGCTACTGACACCGCTGATCCCTACGGGCAAGCAGCGTGGTCATCCATGTGGTTACAAGCAGATCTTCAGAATTATGTTCGTCATATCAGGACTCCGATATATTCACCCACTCACTAATGACTCTCAGACTACAACAGGTCTTTTTTCCACCACCGTCCAGCCTACTCCGGTTCCAACCAGCGAACTTGTTCTCCCACCAACTGACTACTTCGGCCCGACTGATTGCTATGACTTCCCTGACGAATTTATCTTTGGAGTGGCTGGCAGTGCTGCTCAAATTGAGGGTGCAATAGCTCTTGATGGCCGCTCGCCTTCGCTACTCGAGAAACTTATCACTGGGGATAAGCCAAGGGACTACGTCACCAACGAAAACTACTTCCTCTATAAGCAGGATATCCAAAGAGTGGCGGCCATGGGTGTGGAATACTATAGTTTCACGATTCCATGGACACGCATTCTGCCCTTCGTCTTGCCAGGCACTCCCGTGAATAAACAAGCCATCGATCATTACAATGACCTAATCAGCACTGTTCTCGATGCCGGAATGCAGCCTGTTGTGACGATGCTCCACTTTGATAGTCCGCTGATGTTTGTTGCCAGTGACAACATAAGTAATTGTTTTCCGACCTTGTCCATTTCAGGTTGCTAACCTCTCGCCAGCGAGACATCCGGATATCGGGTATAACAATGGCGGGTATCAGAACGAAACATTTGTTGACGCGTAAGTCGCCAGTGCACCCCTTGATACCAGTCTTACTGACTAGATAGATTTGTGAATTATGGCAAGGTCCTTCTGACCCATTTTTCGGATCGAGTCCCGATTTGGGTCACCTTCAACGAGCCACTCCTCTACGCGTTCAACTTTCAGGGTGTTGACAATGTGGTGCATGCTCACGCTCAGGTCTATCACTTCTATCACGATGAACTGAAAGGCACAGGCAAAATGGGCCTGAAGTTTAATGATAACTTTGGTGTGCCCAAGGATCCAAAAAATGCCAGCCATGTTCAAGCTGCCAACCGGTTCCAGGAAATGCAATTAGGATTCTTCGCTGATCCCATTTACCTTGGAAAACAATATCCGGATTCGGTGTTAAACACTCTCCCAGGGGCCAGGCGACTCAATGACACCGAGCTGACGTATATCAATAAAACAGCCGACTTCTTCGGTATTGACGCATACACTGCTACCGTGGTATCACCTGCTGATGAAGGAATTGCCGCCTGTGCGTCCAACCCATCCAGTTCTAATTCACTGTTCCCATATTGTGTCAACCAAGAAACGACGAATAGATACGGATGGAACATCGGGTATCGGTCGGCATCTTATGTCTATATCACACCTACCTAGTAAGTTCCGTTTCGCCGGTTGTAGGCTCCCATGCTAACTAGAATAGTCTCCGCGAGTTCCTTTTCAATATCTACAATGTGTGGAAACACCCTATCATCCTATCCGAGTTTGGCTTCCCCGTTTACAACGAGTCTACAAAGGATCTACCCGATCAACTATTTGACTCCCCTCGCAGCCAATACTATCTCTCTTTTATGTCCGAGGTGTTGAAGTCGATCTATGAAGACGGAGTCGAAGTCATTGGTGCCTTGGCCTGGAGCTTTGCTGACAATTGGGAGTTCGGTGACTATTCACAGCAGTTTGGCATGCAAGTAGTTAATCGAACGACTCAAAAGCGATCTTACAAGAAGAGCTTTTTCGATTTGGTGGATTTTGTCAAGACTCGGCAACCTTTGAATTGAGATTTCAATGTGGATCTGTCGATCTATACGTATTACGGAGTACATATGCAACAAACTATGCCCCCAGACCAGACTCTGTCAGCATCATCAATTCAATTCAATCCGTCAATAACATAGCTTGATTAGATTTTGAATGAATTCATCAAGTTTATCTTCTAGAATTAATTGGCCAGTTGGGCCTCGCTTTTGTATATCACGTGATATGCTTCCCCGGAGTTGAAGCGTGGGCTGTAGCTCTCTCCTCCTCCCCACTCCGCCAATCCTTCACCCTCGCATTGTCGCATGCAAGTGCAGTTGGTGGCGCTCACTTCACCATGTCCGATTCCTTCACTCTCCCACTTCGCGCCGCCCTGGAGAAGCAGGACCGCCCTGACACCCTGCCGGTTGAAATCTCTCAGATCAACAGCCACTGGGGTTCCTTTCGAGATGTCAACGAAGAGATTCTCCGAACCAAGATCGCCGAGGAAAAGGAACGCGATGAAATACTTGAATCAGAAGATGACGATCAAGACAAAGGGGATGTGGACACTACAGAGCGCCTTGAACAGCTGTACAAGAAGCGCGCCGAGATTACTCAATTCGCAGTGTTGGTCCCTCATATACTCCTGGTTGTATGGAAGCTAATCCACACATTTTAGACAATCCCACATGGAAGCCATGTTCGCCCTCGATTTCATCTCACTCCTCCTTTCGAAAAACGCCCCGCGCCAGGCCGAAACCTCCATGTCGCCCTACTTGAAACAGATCGCTCCTCTTGGCTCATTGAATGCCGATGTTGTCAACCCCCCTCCGAAACCAGAATCGGCTATGAAGGATATTGCGTCTGTCTCCAGAGGTTGGAGACTCCAGAACTTCAATTCCGCGTCCAGCAAGCTATTGAAGGCGGCCTCTCGACTGGAGACGGAAGTCGCATCGGAAACCAGGTACTGGAATGAAGTATTAGCGGTCAAGAACAAAGGATGGAAAGTCTGCAGGTTGCCACGCGAGAGACAGGCTCTCGGAGTGCAGTACGGATTCCTTGAAGCTACACCGGTCTTTCGCGACCGTGGGCTTGCTTCCTTGCGGCGATCTGAGGATGGGAGCTTGATCCTGGATAAGGGACTTATTCCTTCCGGAGCTCGCTTTGTTCGAGTGCGTGTGAAGCAAGGCTCTCGCATCATAAGTGGCACAAGACCATTTGCCAACAATTCCACCGATGCCGAATCGATCGAGCATCGCATCCTCCAAGCGCGTGACTCAGTCTTCGAGGAGGAACTGTTCCACGAATTGGTTCGAGAAGCTCGATCCATGGCAAGCTCCGGCGTGACAACCCGTCAAAATCTCATCCAAGTCCCCGCTTCAGAAGACCTTGAAATCCTGTTAGATCTGGTAGATGCGGACGAGAATCTCGATTCCGACGAGGATTCTACAGCGACTGATAAACTTCTTGCCAACGGGTTAGCACACTCATTACGCATCCTGCTCTCCTTTGCTCATCGCCAAAACCTACGGCGTCGTACACAAATCCCGCCGCCATTGACATCAAAGAGACGGACTACGCCTGAGTACCACCTTCTCCGTCCCGCTCTGGCTTACTTTCAGCATCTGGCGCAACTCCGGCAGCTGGAATCATTCCTTCGCGAGATCTTCGGTGTCCTGCGATCGTCCGGTTTGGATATTCCTGAATTGACGACCAAAACATTCACAAATGGACCTCCGCTGCCTTCGATTTCTTCTGAGACTCCTCTCGAGACACTTATTCGAAAGTTCCTCACGCCAATCGAGTCTGTGCTCCGCGGAAACCTCTTCACACCCGATAGCTTCTTCAGTATCACAATTCGAACAAATCTGTCTGCACCGCCATTTGGCACATATTACGATGTGTCTTTCAACTTCCCTTCTTTCTCCGACGTCAAGTCTCCGGGTCGCGTGGCATTGAGGGATGAGGTTGAAGCTGCCATCACACACATCTTACTGTTAGATTTGGTCTCCCGAATCTCCTCCCATGAGTGGCCATCAGAAAACAATGATTCCGACGGTACCAAGACATGGGACGCAATCTACCCTCAACTGGGTGAACTGTTACTTTGTGGAAGCGATCCTGAAACCCACAAGAAGATGAAAGTAGCCCTGTCCCGTCATGAGCTTTCTGTTTCCACCTTTCTCGTGCGCGGCATCGACGGCGTTGGGCGCGGTATCCACGAGCTACGATCTAGTAACGCTCAGACTCACACCTGGAATTCGTCAGCATCCATCGACAGCCCCAACAAGCATTCCTCTGTTATGGACTTCATAAATGCCGAACGTACCGGCCGACCTGCCTCGCAGACCGACTGATCGGGCCGAACTCCACACCCACCAGCCGTCCTAAACCACCTCTGGTACCCAGCCCACATCAAATGGGCTTGTGGTTTAGTGGTATAATACTCCCTTAGCATGGGAGTGGTCCGGGGTTCGATTCCCCGCGAGTCCATCTTTTTGCTTCACGCTTTTTGTGAAAGCTTCATGGGATAGAAGAAGCCATATTTCGAAGCAAGAGGGGCGGCCTCATCACGGGTGGGTCCGCCCAAGAAAAAATTTTCTCGCTGATATTTTCATGCATGAATAGGCGCCAGGAAGTAGATACCCTTTGTATAAAATTGAATGAAAATAGATCGCTTGTTTAAAGTCTCAAGTATTGAAAAACTATGCTATAGTCATTCCCTTTGAGAATGTACAGAGATGCATCCGGTATACATTTTGGTTTACCACCAATGATCACAGACTTTCGATGTACATGAATCAAGACTATAACTTAGAAGTCAGAGCCTTGATTGATTCAGGTGCCGTGAGAATATCTCTCAATCGCTTCTCGCTCAGTCCATACGCATCCGGAAGCCATTCCCCAGCACCATTTCCAAGTATCATGGACACCAGTGCCTCGCCACTCATCAAGCAATTAGCCATGCCATATCCATTGAAAGCGGCTGCAATCCATTCTCCCTCGCCATTGCGTCCGGTGAGTGATGCAGGGAGCTGACCAATTAGCGGCAGCCCATCAGATGAGAATCCCATAATGCCACTCCATGAGCTGACAACCTTCCACGGCGGCGTGGCGCTTTTGCCAAAGAACTTTGGGAGAACAGACTGCAGATGGGTCACAGATTTCTTTTCCACAAAGCTATCATCAGCTGTGACAACGTCCTCTATCCGAGCATTTTCGCCGCCGAGATAGAAATAACCGGTCTTCGCACTCTGTCCCAGATAATACAGTCCATGGCCAGATTCTTTCGTGGCAGGATCGTATGTGACTGGATAGTGAAATCCCCATGAGAAAGATTTTCCTTGATTCGGCATCGCATCCCCGGGGTCTTGGACCGTCATTGTGCCTTTGAAGGGATGAACGCGGCCTCGTAGCTTAGGGATGAGATGTCCGGTGTAGCCATTGGTGCAATAGACTACGTTTCCGGCTCGCATTGGGCCACGAGAGGTTCGGACAATGTACGGAAACACGGATGTTATCGGTGTGACAAAATTGTTTTCATACTCGACTGCCTGAGCGGGCGTGTTTGTCTCGATGGTCAGTCGATCTGGGTACTTCTTCATCAAGGCTGCAAACACTTTTGTCACAAGCCGATAGGGCCACACGGTTCCAGCGGGAAGCAATGCTCCGCCTGCCGCTCCGTGGATTCCATATTTCTGGCAGTATTTAGATTATTTTCAAATCAGAGTGAGACTTTGAGACGAACCTTGATGAGAGTGTCCTGGTCCAGAATCGTGTACAAGCCTTTCCAGGAAGGATGGTCTGTTTCCAAGCGCGCAATACTTAATTTGAAATCTCGGAAAGTATCATCAGTCAAAAAAGCTCGCAACTTCTGAAGCTGCTGCATCTCGCTCGTCTCCACAGCGTCATATTCGTTGATCAATTCTTGCATCCTCTGCAGGTTTCGAAACGTAAATGATACGATCTTCCCCGCCATTTCTGGTCCATGCGTTTCAGCCAGATGCATATACTCTTCACCTACATTGGCGGCCATCTGTCCTCCATTGCGTCCTGTGGCACCGGAGCAGAGGGTTCGAGCTTCCAACACGGACACTGTTGCTGCTGGATGTTGCTCTAGAATAGTCTTGGCAACGGCCAGTCCGGTAATTCCAGATCCGATGATAGCAAAGTCACGTTCAGTGGGAAGATTCGGCGATTTGACATCCGCTAGGTCGTGAGGGATATGTTGCCAGTAGGACTGGGTTGGGTTTGGTCGGGGTAGGCCTGGGTCAGCCATGACTAGCTTTGCCACTATATCGACGTCAAAAACTGCTTGCTGCATGATCTACGACTAACGCCGCCACTCTGGTTGATGTACCGAGATCTTTATTTGGTTCCATGGCGAATTTCAGAATGACAATCATAAATCAACACAATTCACTGTGGATGTTTATGAAGTTGCCGTGCGGGGTTTGTCCCATATGTCTTATCATGATAACAGTGAATACCCACTTGACCTTTCAGACCAATGATATTGCGTGTGACATGTAGCCTATGTTATGCTTATATTGTCTACATTATTTCACTGATATTATCAGTGAGCTCGGTATGAATGTTTTAAGTTTTAAGCTCAACATCTTTGGCTTGGTTTTGAGGGTTTAAAGTCTTTTGGTATGCGATGGCGTAGCCACATATGTACCACATACCAGTCCGCATTCCATGTGGAACGTGCGAGGCAAGCTTTACCGACTATAGGAATGCAAGACTTGTTTTTCAATTATACTACTTAAAGCTTCCTTTCTCCCACTTTCTCTTCGGTGCTAATTGTCCTACCTAATCCAATATGAAATTCTCTTCTGTTATTCTTGCTGTCTTTGCCCTGGTCTCCACTGGCCTGGCTGACAAGTCATGCACTCCTAGCTTTGATTACTGCGCCGATTATCTCATCGAGAATAAGGGTAAGCTGTTTCCTACCTTGAGTGATTATCATGTACTAATATCTCAGGCTTTACCGAGGCTGATCTGTTGGGCGTCATCAATGGAACTGATGTTGCGGATCAACCTTTGGACCACGTTCTGTTCCACTGCATGAATCCTGGCATCGTGGGCCACGCAAAGGCCTGCACGAGCACATGCAAAAACCCCAAGGGTGAGGGTAGCCACTCGTGCGATGGGTAAGTTCAACCTCGCTTTTCTTTAATCAGTATCTCATCTTTTCAGGTAAACATTTTGGCCATATCCTATAAACCGGTGTATCTAGATCGTATCTTCTCTAGGGATATTACAATGACATCATCCTAAAATTATTATGCCTGGGTTATCATTCGTAGTTTAGGTTGCGCGAAGATCTATCTTCAACTTTGTTTACCAAGCGATCTCTCCGCCAGCATATTGGTTCGGCCCCGGCGCATTCTCCCACCCCGTAACATGAATGTTAAGTAATTTTCCATTCTGAGAGGGTCCAGCATTTTGCACGATATCTATGACCTTTTCAGCTCCCACTTCAACAGGCAGATCCGCTCGCGATGAACCGAGGTCGGTGCGCAACCACTGTCAGGGTTAGCGGGAATTGATCATTACACCCAGTCTTCAAAGAAATCTGCAATATATAACTCACACCTGGGCTGAGAGCCAGAATGGTAAAGCCCTCTGATTCATACTGTTGGGCATATTGAACCGTCAACATGTTCAGCGCCGCTTTGGTCACCTTATAGGCAGGGGTCGGTGTCATTCGGTAATCTTCAGCTTTGGCAAAAGTGCCAAGTGTGGTCGATCTGTTCATATAAGTTTGACGTATAACCATCCTTTAAAATACCATTGTGGACTCACATGTTGATTATCGTCTTCTTGTCCCCTTTGCGTAAAAGAGGCAAGAATGCCTGTATCACTGTATGAACTGAAGTCACATTGGTGTGGAAGATATCATTGAGGTTGTCCCTGTCACCAGGTCAACGAGTCTCCATTAGCTTGGCGCAAGGACTTCTCACATTGCTTCAATCCCAGTCGGCGAGTAATCCATCACACCGGCATTGTTGATAAGGTAGTCAAGTCCTCTGCCTTGCAGCTTTCCGTCCACCTCACTGGCAGCTTCTAGGACATTTTTCTGGTCAGTTACATCTAACTTGATCCACTCGACTCGGTCTGGCGAGGCAGCGACAATCTCCTTCAGCTTGGGCGAGTTATCGGACCGCGCAGTAGCAATGATCTTGCCCACTTTGGTGGTGGGTAAAGCAACCAATCGGGAAACCAAGGCCAGACCAAGCCCACGAGATGCTCCTGTGATCAAGTATGAAGCCATAATCAAATCTGATGCTGATATTCGCAATTCGTGTTTATTTGGGAGACGCGGATATTGGATGAGGGAAAGTACCCTGACCTCATTAATACCCCGGATTCCCGGATTACAAATTGTAGCTGCGTAGTCACTTAACTCCGTGTGCTTAAATCCGTTGGCCCAGGTGTGCACAACTTATTTTATTAATCAATCCGGGGCAATAAACCTGGGTAATACAACTCTCGTTGGTATATACAATCTAGGGGCAGTGCTCAGCATAATTTGTCAAACATGCACTCATACCATTTGAGGTCTTTCGGACATTGGTGACACGGGTGATCGCATTGGCCACTCCTGCGTGGGCAATGTTTCATTATCGTTAGAGTAGCCGTTGACGTGATCATGTCCATCACTGTTGCCATTGCCATTTTCCTGTCCAATCTTCTGGTCGCTGCGTATAGATGCCCAGCTATCGATGCCAAGGGAGCTTGGAAAGCCAATGCCGCGGATGAAGGCTCTCCGACGACTTCGTGGTCCCCAGGCCCAACCTGCTCCTCGTCGAATAGGGAGATGATACATGTTGAACCCGATCCAGGCAAAGACCATCCCCATAAGAGATCCAAATATGATATCAAATCCATGATGCCGATAATTGAACCATCGAGATGAGGCAATGAAAAACGCCGTGGCAGTGGGAACGAAGGCGATGACCATAAGCGGAACAGGAGGCGCTGCACCACGTGTCCGAACTGAGGAACTTTCATCGCTGTGGGTTTCTCCTTCAACGGGATAAGATGGAAGATAGGGGAATCCAACTGAGAATTTCGCGCACAACCACAATGTCAGATAGCCCAGCCCAGCGAATGAAACTAGCAGAAGCAGAATCAGTCATGTTCTCCAGCTCTGGGTTTGAAGTCACTTACATGATGAATGGCCACTTGGAAAGCTCGAAAATCCGTCCACTGTCACCAACGAAGACTGGTCTTGACAGATTTTATATGACACGAGGCTAGCGGCACCCTCTAATTTCTGACCCAGCCCACCGACAATGTAGGTCGTGATATCGTCAAGATTTGGGTTGCAACGCGCTAGTAAATCGGGGCGCGGTTTTCCGATCAAGACTTTGAGTCCTTGGGTGGACATCCATACACCAGCCAACGCGACCCCCAGTCCCATCCATCCGGCATTCCACTCCCAGAATTTGCGACGCAGGATCTGAGACTTGGAGGGTTTAGTTCCGGTTGGAGCAGTGGTGCCAGGAACAATTGCCATGGCACCAATTAGGATGATGGCAGCGGGAGCCAGAACAGAGACCAGGATGAGAGTTTCGTCTGTGACGGTCTCGCGCTCCGTGTATGGATATGAAATGCTCGGGTCCGTTAAGGAGAAAGGGTGTTGGTTTGGTGTTTGTTTGTAAAATGCGTATCCGAATAATGCGACGGCACTAATTGCTTTGTTAGATGTAAATCCACTTGACTTGGGGGCGCTCAGGGATATCCTACGCACATAATGAATACCCAATCAAGAACATAGGAGAGCACCACTAGCTTTGAAAGGTGCGCGAGCATAGCTGCGCCCATGGCGGGGCATCTTGCAGTTGGCATACTTGAACGAGTTTCTAGGAATTTCTAGGACCCTGCATATACTGTACCATGAAACCTTGGGTATGGGTTCCTGTGCGTGCTCACTGGCGCTAGGCAACAATCCCTCAAATGCTAGTTTGGTGGGTCCGTTCTCGACGCGATCGTCGACGTCACGAAATCAATCTTCGGTCTGACTAGAAATGAATAAGGAGTTTAAATAACAGCATCAAAAATTGGACGAGAGATTCAAGATGAAAGAAGATCAGGCGGCAAGAAGAACAACGCTAGACAGGGTGGCTGAGCGTATGGCGCTACAGGAAGTCTAATTTTTGTCCATTACCCAAACGGGCCGTTCCATGCAACCCCAAGGCCATTCCAGGTAATTCCAATATTGATCCATGGATTGAGTTCTCCCGGGGCTATAATCCTCGCGACCGTGTAATTCGTTGTTAGAACGCTCCACCGGGCGCGAACTGCTAGGTTTTTCTACAAATGTGCAGATCTGGTCTGGACATCAGTCCGATCATGATCATACTTATAATAGTCACTTATTATTACTAGGTACTAGATTGAGTCTTGCCAGGTGGCGAGGGCTATGTATTTTGAGCGCTAAATATCGATGAAAATCGGCCTACGTACTACACATATTATATGTGGTCAGCTTATGGAGTGGATTTGATGTTTGGGTACCTCTTTTGCCTTGCACACACTGCCTAGGTGGAGATACGGTACAAAATAGGAAACTCGGCGTTCTTGTTGATTACATATTTACAGGTGCACTGAGCCTGAGGTGGGAATATGTACATACATATATCCATATTGATGTTGGGGTGGTCAGTGGCAAGCATTCGAAATTGCTTGTCGGCTGCTGCTATATATATCCATGGTCACTTGGATGACATTAACTCTTCACCGATTGATGGAACATTAATAGAATATCGCAATGAAAGCTCAGAAAAGGGTTCTATTATAAATATCAAGATGAATAAAATTCAAGAGTATTTAAGGCTGAGCCGCCTTCTGAAGCGCCTGAGAATTTTGTACTCAAGCAGGTGGCGGACATGATCCGGATTGGGAAAAGTAGATGAATAATAATTAGATTTTTGGGTATATAACATAAAAGTATGACTCGTTACATCAAATGGGCTTGTGGTTTAGTGGTATAATACTCCCTTAGCATGGGAGTGGTCCGGGGTTCGATTCCCCGCGAGTCCATTCTTTTTGTTTTTACTTCAAGTTTTTAGCCCTCGTACTGTATGAAACACAGGTCCAGAGATAGGTTGTTTTTCTTTCATAACTGATAAACCCATGGTACTAATTATCAGAAAATCGTGTGGAAGGTGAACTAATACTTAATATATGCCATCTGCTATTGAGAGACTATCCTCAAATCGAGCCCTGACATCCAAAAACAGTCATACCACGTGACAAGCCACCATTCCACGTGCCCCGTACTAAACCGGGAATAGATTAAGGCGGTGATGCAGTGTAGTCACTCAGCATTGGATTTTCTGCCACGATGATTGTATGATTTGCATGATGTCTTGAGTTGTTGTGCAACTCATGGTGAATATGAAACCGTTAAGCCATTGGAACTGATCAATTATCGGAATCAAAGTCAACTTCCTACGTCTCTTATCTTCTCCATTTTCCTTGTTTTTACAAACCCTCCCCCCCGCCGAAACTGTTTCTGTGCTAGCCGGTTTAACGTTATTCATTGATATCATCCGTGTCTGTGACGACATTCCCCCACTTCTGCTTTGTCTCACCGGATTTGGGCGCAACCCCTCCACTCAACATTAATTTGTCTTTGCTGGCGCGTCTCAGTTAATACTTTCTCACTTTTGAATCTCCTTACCCTTCTTACCTCTCAATTACTATTCCATTGGTTTTGTGTTCGACCTCAGGTCGACCTTTTCCTACTCCGCCATGGAACCCTTGAAAATCCCCGTTCAACAACCGAAGAAGCGCCGCATCGGTGTACTCACCTCCGGAGGTGATGCACCTGGCATGAATGGCGCCGTGCGCGCTGTGGTGCGCATGGCCATCCACTGCGACTGTGAGGCCTATGCCGTCTTCGAAGGATACGAAGGTCTGGTCAATGGCGGCAACATGATCCGCCAGGTGCACTGGGAGGATGTTCGTGGTTGGTTGTCCCGTGGCGGTACATTGATCGGCTCCGCTCGATGCATGGCTTTCCGGGAGCGCGCTGGTCGTCTGCGGGCGGCGAAGAACATGATCCTGCGTGGCATCGACGCGCTGGTGGTCTGTGGTGGTGATGGTTCCTTGACAGGTGCTGACGTCTTCCGTGCGGAATGGCCCGGCTTGCTGGCAGACCTTGTCGCAGGGGGTGAATTGACCCAGGAGCAGGTCGAGCCCTACACAGTCCTCAACATTGTCGGTCTGGTCGGCTCCATTGACAACGACATGTCCGGCACCGACGCCACCATTGGATGCTACTCGTCCTTGACGCGCATCTGTGACGCCGTTGACGATGTATTCGACACTGCCTTCTCTCACCAGCGAGGCTTCGTCATTGAGGTGATGGGCCGTCACTGTGGATGGCTCGCCCTGATGTCCGCTATCAGCACCGGCGCAGACTGGCTGTTCATTCCCGAGAACCCTCCCAAGGACGGCTGGGAGGATGAAATGTGTGCCGTCATTACAAAGGTGTGTATTTATTTCATCATGAAAGCCTCGTTAGAAGCTCGCTGACATGAGAGTATAGAACCGCAAGGAGCGAGGCAAGCGCCGCACGATTGTGATTGTCGCCGAGGGTGCTCAGGATCGCCAACTCAACAAGATTTCGAGCTCAACAATCAAGGATATTTTGACCGAAAGACTAGGCTTAGATACTCGAACCACAGTGCTGGGACACACCCAGCGTGGCGGCGCGGCATGTGCATACGACCGCTGGCTATCGACTTTGCAGGGTGTCGAGGCCGTTCGGGCCGTGCTGGAGATGACTCCTCAATCTCCCGTGCCTGTCATCACCATCCGTGAGAACAAGATTATGCGCACTCCTCTGATGGATGCGGTCCAGGCCACAAAGGACGTCACAGCCAAGATCCATGCGAAGGATTTCGAGGCCGCCATGAATGAGCGTGATGCTGAATTCAAGGAATACTACCATGCGTACTTGAACACCTCAACCCCAGACCACCCGAAGATGTCTCTTCCTGAGAACAAGGTACGGTTTAACATTCCAATCACTCCTGAACTGCATATATTAACCGAATTGCAGAGAATGCGCATTGCGATCATCCACGTCGGTGCTCCCGCCGGTGGTATGAACCAAGCTACTCGAGGTGCCGTAGCATACTGCCTGACCCGAGGCCACACCCCGCTTGCTATTCACAACGGTTTCCCCGGTCTGGTCCGTCATCATGCCGACAAGCCTGTTAGTTCCGTTCGGGAAGTCAAGTGGCTTGAGTCGGACGCCTGGGTCAACGAGGGAGGTTCAGATATCGGAACCAACCGCAGTCTTCCATCGGAAGATATGGAAGGCACAGCCAAGTGCTTCGAGCTTTACAAGTTTGATGCGGTTTTCGTGGTCGGTGGATTTGAGGCTTTCACAGCCGTCAGCCAACTGCGTCAAGCCCGTGCGAAATACGATGCATTCAAGATCCCTCTCGTCGTGCTTCCAGCCACCATCTCGAACAACGTCCCGGGAACCGAGTACTCCCTTGGTAGTGACACCTGCCTGAACACTCTTATCGATTTCTGTGACGCTATCCGACAGTCCGCTTCGTCCTCTCGTCGCCGAGTCTTCGTCATTGAGACCCAGGGAGGCAAGTCTGGTTACATTGCAACGACTGCCGGTTTGGCGGTTGGTGCAGTGGCCGTTTACATTCCGGAGGAGGGTATTGATATTAAGATGCTCTCACGCGACATTGACTTCCTGCGTGACAACTTCATTCGCGACAAGGGTGCCAACCGTGCTGGCAAGATCATTCTTCGCAATGAATGCGCATCGAGCACTTACACTACCCAGTTCGTCGCTGACATGTTCAAGGAGGAGGCCAAGGGCCGCTTCGAGTCGCGTTCTGCTGTACCAGGTCACTTCCAGCAGGGTGGCAAGCCGTCCCCCATGGACCGTGTTCGTGCCCTGCGTATGTCAATCAAGTGTATGCAGCACATTGAGTCCTACGCAGGCAAGAGTCGCGATGAGATTGCTGCGGATCCCCTATCGGCCGCTGTCATCGGTGTCAAGGGCTCTCAGGTGTTGTTCTCGCCGATGGGTGGCGCTGAGGGATTAGAGGAGACCGAGACCGACTGGGCTCGTCGTCGGCCCAAGACTGAATTCTGGCTGGAGCTGCAGGAGGTCGTCAACGTTCTGTCCGGCCGAGCTGCTTCTCGTGCCCAGGAGACTTGGTCTTGTTACGAGAGTACGTAACCATCGACAATTTCCCTCCCGTCTGACTCAGCTCAACTCGCCCCTTTAACATTGATTCATCCGCTTGTTATCATCTAATCAACTCTGGTATTGACAATCTTCACCTTCAGATCCCTCGACCGTCCACTCCATCCCTTCCGTTCCGAACTCCCCATGAAAGACCTTTCTTACGTCCGAACATGACCTCTAATTGCTGAATGGATCTCCCCGGTTACTTCCAGTACGTTGAGTATTCCTCACGATCGAGACTGTCCATCCAGAAATCATGAGGTCTAAACCCCTGGCAACCCCTCGGTTGACGCCTCCCTTCACGTTTGTATGACGCTACGCCCAAACTGCCCAGATTCAATAGACTGGGTCACCCAGGCTAGAATGATAGTACTGCCAGCTACCTTTATCTTCTCGTGCCTTTATCGGAACAATAGGTTCCGTTGCCTCGGCAGCCTTACAGACAAGACCTGTAAAATAGCATTACACCAGCCAATAGAAAGCCCAAGTCGGTTTTTTGACTTCGAGCCAGCCATTTATGGATCTGCCATATTCTAGTAGAAACGAAGAATTACCAATGTAGGAATTCCTTTCTAGAGTACTATAGTAGGTAGCAACTAATAAAAGGTAAAAGTTAAATTCGGTATTAGTCATGCTGCGTAGATTAGAAAACATCTGATAAACTCCACTAACCGCCAATCAAGGGTTCACTGCACTCTCCAGCTCATCCAAAAGGTCGACGGTTTCGGCGGGACTTGCAATCCAAGCGGTGGTTGACGCCAAACGAGCCTGATTTCGCGTGAGATTGCTGATCATGCAGGTGGTGACATGCACGTACCTTAAAATCGTTCGCGCCAGCGGACAGGAATTGATCACCGATATGCAGAGTCTTGGAAGGGTCAATGCCGCCAAAGTATTGTTGACACACGCGCACACCCCACGACTTGTCGCCAATATCAACGAAGACATCGTTGCCGCCTGAAGAGAGTTAGGATATATTATCAACGTGGGAAGTGGATAAGTACCGTTAAAAGCACAGAAGGGCAAGCGCGCACCAACACCAGACCTCTCCACGGTGTTTTGGACTGTGAGGACGGTCTCTTCCAACTGTTCGCGGTTGATTCGAACCCCATTCACCGGATAGACACCCACAGCTCGATCCTTGCGCAAAACGCCAGCCGGGAGATTCAAATTGCCGGCGCAGTCTCGAAGTGCAGACTCGGCCAGGTCAAGAAGCTCTTTGATGTCACTATCCGCCCATGCCTTCATGTCATCGAGCAACCACTCCTCGCGAGGAACATAGGTCAAACGAACTTCGGAGTCCTGGTCGAAGCGGAATAGGAAGTTGCTTTCACCGCCCATCACAATAATGCCTTGTTTCTGGGCGGGGGTCAAGGTGTTAGAGTCGTGTACGGCATCCAAGAGACCGTGCAAGCGACCGTAATATTTGGGAGCTTCTTCGTAGCCTGCCGCGGTCACAATGCCGACTTTGCGCCCTTGATGCAAGAGTCGTAGGATCCGTGGGATCACAGGGTTATCGGCAGTCAAACAGGCACCATCATCATAGAGAGTAACATCTCCATCAAAAGTGATCAATTGGACCTCGCTAGAGCGAACCAGACCCAGGAGTTGGGCCGAATTCAAGATAAGCCGGATATCGTTGAACGATGGCGCAACGAATCTCCGTCTGCTGATGAATCGTCGATCATCTTGGTACTTGAAGGCATCTTCGATGTGTAATTTGGTAAAAAAAGTGCCGACCGAGGGGACCAATAGCTTCAGCTTGGATTTGCCGGGAGCGTTCCGTTCGTGATGTTGAACTGCGACCGATAAGCGAAAGAACAAAGAAAATAGAGAATACTGCGCTGCCTAGATTGATGGCTTACTGTGATCGACTATCAAGTTTTCAACATCGCGCATAATTTCGGCATAACGTTGATAGGTGTCGGCGGCGACCGACCCCTCACTGTGTTCATGATAGTTGGCAGTGGGCTGGGAGTGCAACACAAATGGGACTGCCAGTAAACCCTATAGATCGTATAAGTCATGTCCATAGTAGTTAATTCTCTGGAAAACCATGACGTACTTTGATCCATTCGATCTATGTATGGGTTAGTAAATCCGCATCCCAGTGCGAAAGGGGAGGGGGGGGGAAGGCCACGTACCAGTTGATCCCGACGATGGGTCTAACTGCGGAGTCAGTCACGGAGATACCAACAACCCATCTATTGGAGGAACTCATACCTTAAGTGCATCTACACGAGTCAGCAGTCAGCAGTCAGCAGAGTCAAAGGCCCAAGCGGTATACATTACATTCAACGCGATAACGAGTCGTCATTGTTGTTTCCTGACAGATCAGGTTTCAAGTTTGTTTTGGGTTTGTTTATCTTACCCCGCACGGTCCATCCTGACTCACCCAAAATGACTCAGTCAGAGTCACGAGTTAAGGTCTTGACTAAGCCCAATTCATCCCTTTGTGAGGCTTCCTTCTTTTCATACCAATCAGCCTCAGGCTCTTCATTGCGTGGCTGCCGCCAAGAAAAGCAAAAGACCTTCAACTAATACGACTGCCTTTATAAGTGCCCGTCGATCACATACTGACCCGGGTCTAGACCCTTTATATTCACTAGACGCTTGCAATTGTGAGCAAGGATGACTCCCAGGCAACACTGCCACCACGACTCTAACCCGAGTCACCGACAATCGAAGCAGCCACGGCAAAATGATGATGATAGATGGCTTGATGGTTTCTAGGCAAACTTATTCTCATTCTGGTATAAAGGTAGGATAATCGACCAGGTACTGATGCTCAGATTATCAACACAGTCAATTTCATCAACGGTCAAGTTCAAACACATTTATAAGATATAATGCTAGTAGCATCATCACTGCCTCTTACATACACCACAACCGTATCAATGTTGTCAAATCAGGGCCAAGCTGATGCCCTTCCTCCTTACGACCTTTCAGAAGACTTTGACTATGCATTCGACACAAAATCAATGGAGAATTTGCTTCTTCCTGAACAGGCCGATGAGCCGGGCTTTGCTGTTGCATCCACGCTAACGCGAGGCCTGCAAGTTCCTTCTCGAAGCGGCACCTGCTCATCCGGCTTTGATTATCCCGAGGAATTGTCCCAGCACAGAATCTCTGAAAAACAATGGAGTCAATTCAACCAGGTCATCTGCGACGAGGCAAAGCTCTCCCCACAACAATGGAGTACCGTGATCGGCAAAGGCCTGGGAATTCTCGCGATGGGCGGTCTCATGATCGGCTTCTTCGGTGCCATCCCAGCAGTCCTAATCGCCCGTCATATTCGAAGAAAGAAGGAGAATCGAAATTTGGCCACTGCGATGGCTGGAGAACAGGGTGAGCGCCTCGCTCACCATATCTCAGTTTGGAACGAAACTTTTTTTAAGCCCCGGGGGCTCCTGATTCGTGTCGATCTGCCCAAAGAACTGCTGGAGGATATGAAGGAGATGGACCTTCATCTGGAGGGCTCTGTGACTCCGTCGGATTCAAAATCCCGTGACAAAGCTGCCCTTAAGGCTCGCATTGTCATTATTCCACTGGATGGATCTGCGTCCACATCAAGACGGGGCTCAGAAACAACTCTAAGGGCTGAATGATACATCACCAGTCTCCTTTTTAAAAAATTGGGAAAGCGGATTTGGCGATTGAATATTTGTGTCTATTTTAATTTCAATTTTCTATACCAATGACAAGTCTCTCTCGTTCATCTTGAACAAACAGAAGAAGTTGACATCCATATCCCGAGGTCTCTAGGACTAGATACAATATTCCCTACCACCCTCTCCTGGCTTTTCTAGACTATTGAAGGAAGCTATTACTTGAAGTGTATGAGAACTGTGAAAGGAACAAAGATTCCTCAAGTGCTGCCCAACATGCAGATCCACGAGTTTGCCCCACCTAAGATTTGAGAACCATCCCCAGCGACTCAGGGGCTGATTCCACAAATCCGTTTTTGGAATACAATTTCCGCCCAGCCTCATCTGCCAACAATGAGATGTAAGGCTTGCCATCGGCAGGTGCCCGCGTTCTGATTTTCCAAAGCAATGCCTTCAAAATCGCGTCCCCCAGGCCTTTCTTCTGGTGTTCAGGATGAACTGCCATGTCGGCGATATGGAAATACCAACCGCCGTCCCCAATTACTCGCCCCATCCCAATTGGTTGTGGGTCTCCAACTACATCAAAGGTGATATAGCACCCACACCAGCTTCCTGTGGAGACTGCAGCTGCCTGGGACGGAGTTTTGGGGGAGAGTCCGGAAGATGACCGGAGATTTAGGTATTGTGAAACAGAGGGGTAGCCGGAGTGGATTGTGTATCCCGGAGGCAGGCTGAGATTATCATGGGAATTCATTTCAACAGGAGGAGAGAAGGTATGAAAGTGAAATTGTATCAATTGGTAGAAATTGCTCCCCTATCCTTCCCCCGCACGGGGATTACTCCAGGCTCCCGTCCGCCTTGTAGCCTATCAGCTTGACTGACTACTGCACGAATTTTCAAGGCGACCAGCGCTACTTGAATGAACGAAGTGAATACAGCCATCCTTCAAATCTTACATCAGTTAAGATAGATGCCCTTTTAAGCAGCACTTGCGACACATTGGTAGTAATAGGGATTCATGGAACTGCAAACGGCCTGGGTGGTGCATGCAGTAGCGCCTGTCCAGTTGACTCCTCCACACTGCCCGTATAAGGACTGCGCTGAACCCGCAGCAGCGGTGATGCTAGCGCTACTTGGAGCAGTGGTAATGATGCTGCTTGGGGCAGTCGTGGACACCGTGGGCGAACTGGTAGAATCCAGCTCGACCGAAGTCACCGGTTCGGATACCTCGGCACTCGTGGTGGAGGTTGTGGATGCCACAGGACTGTTTGTACTTGGTATAGATGTGCTCATGGCAGCCACGGCAGCCGATGTTGTAGCCTGAGTGCTATCCCCCGATCCAGTTGTTGCCGTGCCAGTTGAAGTGATGGCGGAAGTAGACTGGGTCACTGAGACCGCACCACTGTAAAGGGTGGGTCCAGGAATCTCATAGGTGGACAGAGAGGAGTAAATGTTGACTAAAATTCCGGCATCGGTGGCGCTGTATAGCTCCGTTCCCAGCACACCGGATGGACTTTCCGTTCCAGTGCCTGTCACTTGCAAATTGAAGCATTGAGGATAGTTCTGTGCACCGTCGGACTCCTCCGCGCTGTGGAGTGCAATGATCTCATTTCGCAGCACATAGTAGCCGGCTTCGAGGTTCGGCGGGATCTCAACCAGCCAGCTGTTGTCGTTGGAAATCAGCTGATCGTCTCCCCAGGTTCCAGGGACGTCTGTATCGCTGACCAGTCCGACTCCGCTGATTTTGAAGAACTCGAGGGTGGTTTTGTCCACTGTTTCACACGAGTCTCCACAGTTGGCGAGGTAGGTGAGTACTGGCCCATGGTGGGAGTCGGGCCAGGCTGTCCACTGAAGATTGATCTTGTCTCCAGCTGCAATGGTTGCATATCCTTTGGCATTTGTGGCGTTCTCATGACAGATGATATCCGAGGAGCTATATTGGTCTTGTAAATTTGTGTAAGCAGGCAATAACCAACAAAAGAGGCGTCAAGTGACATACCGGGGCTAATGAAACCATTTCCAGTGTTTGGCGTGCCCCAGGCTACCACAGTTGGTGGATCAGATTCGTAGGGGAATGAGTTAATATCCCATCCTTCGTAATAGACTCCATTGATGACAATATTGCTGATATGACCATGACCAGCAACCGAACCAGCCAGAAGGAGTGGGACAAGGACCCAAATTATGCTCAGAGAAGTCATGATTTATACCTGACAATACTTTCGACCTGTGCAAGCTTTCCAAGTTGAGTAATGCTGGATAGGACTTAAAATCTGAGCTCAGGCTTGAAAAGTGGAAATTCTCAAGCTTAATTTATACCATTTAATCATTGGTGCCAATAATGAATGCCAATGTTGCTGACGCCGCAGACTCAGCTTCTCAAACCCCCGTTGAGTGGAACTGGGATATGAAGAGGTGTCGGATCCTGAATCAGTCCGTAGCGGAACCCATTGCCAAACGTCCATGCATGTGAGCATCCTGTTGTTCAACTTGGCGCCCGTAGAAAGAAGCCATCTCCACATCCGTGTCGAAAAAGGGCCGGACCGAGGCCTTCAATCTGCGAAGATTCAAATGAAACCGAATGGCTGGAAAAAAAATGCAATTAGTTCGAAACCCATAAGGCGTGAATCCCATCAAGTGACGAAGATTCTTGGCAGTAGGCGCCCTTGGCAGAGGGACAGAGACAAAGTGTGACAGACTAGTTCCGGATAAATTGGATGGCGTCGGTCAGACCACAACCTTGATTTGCATTTTGAGCCACTTGATCCTATATTTATCCGAAATTATTAAAACAGAACGAGAATGGGTGTTTCTTTGGCAGATTATTATAGCTTCAATATGGTAGTTGCAAAAGTAGACATCTGCACCAGTTTAGTCAGATGATCCGTACAAGTCATCTGTACGCTGCACTCGACTGTCTACGAACAAAATCGGACTCCGAACTCCTTGAGTGGGCCCTAATATATGGGAATCTTCAACCATAGAAGCCCCGGTAGAAGTTGAGTGAGTTCCACTGCTCAATCGACCGAGACTTTTCCGCACGTTTCCGATCCATAATTGAAACAAGGGTTTCATGAGCATCAAGGAGCCACAGATAATTGCCACGTCGAGCTCCAATATGGTCCAAAGCAGTGACCACGCACTATTCTCTGTATATTATTGAACAGTGTCAGTCAATGAAGCTTTGCCCAAATCTTCCGCAACTCACGTGTCAAATTATCAGTCTGTAAATGGGAGAGGGCGATGAGACGGAATATGCTGAATATGCAGACCCTGAGCGATGGGATCAGCAAGTATATGAACAGTCAAATATGATAACCTTACAAGCATCCAATCGAAAATAGTAGAGTAATTTCTATCTTCTGCCGGATTGGAGTATGCAGCTTCCAGACTATCGGCAAAGGTAGGCAGAGAATGAGGACATCCCCTAGCGCCGACAAGGATCCGATAATGATGTAAAAGGTATCCTGTCCCTCCATGCAGTGACCAGATATATGTTTGATCCAATAATATTGAACTGGCCAGCATTGAACCGTGTTTCCGATGATTGCTGTTGTCCCCCACATGACCACGAGTACAATAAGGACTGTTGCAAGCTGATGAAAGTGCTCGAGACAGTCCAGGAGTCTTCGAAGGAAGATGATGATAGAAACCTTGATAAAGACCTGGGCCGGGGGGTAGAACTTTTGTAAGATCCAATCAGTCTGGTTCAGATCAGCATTCTTTCATTGCGAGCGTGTTTTCGCCCCTTCTTTTCTCTTTTGAGAACTTACTAAGCTAATCCGCAATCTTTCTTCAGGAGGTAAAACCCAGATGGATGCTCCATTGCCAATGCCATGGAAAGCGGCTATGAACGTCAGCGAGGTAATTCAACGTGATAAATAATACAGAGAGTACTCACAGTACACGGTACATATTGCGACACCATATGTAAATACCAATCCCATGCCCATCAAGAAATCCTCAACACGCAACCTGTGAACGACCATATAACGAGCATATAGGCGGAGGAAGAAAATCACAGTCGCGACCGTAGTGCCCACGATTGGCGTGATGATTAGGATGTTTCGCCAGTGCTGGGGTGAAGCTCCCATTTCCTGGGAGCAGCCTCGGTGCTTTCCTTCTCTGTGGAGTATGAACGGGGCTTCGAACTAGGGTGGGTTTATCGAAATAGTTGACTGGAGGTGATCATTATTGAATTGGAGGTGCATTTGGGGGCTTTGAAAGAGACCTCGGGTGGTGAATGAATGTCAATCCTTTTTACGAGATCTTAAATTGAGTGTTGAAGTAAATGCGATTTGGTGGCAGTGCAAGACGTCATGAATTGGGGCGCAACGTTGTAACAGAAATGGACCCCGTGACCACAGTGGACCCGTGACTGTGAGGTGACCACGGTTGACTTCTTCAATCTATCAACATCCCCTTCATCGCCATGACACAAGAATATCCTCCCGAGTTGAGTAAAGAGCGACTTTTGTCTTTGGTGACTCAGATCAAGGTTGTTTTTAAACCCCCCGAAACCAATTTCTCTGAGATAAGGCTGATTAGGTGATTAGGACTGGCAAGTGAACCATGGATCCTTATTGAAGCTGATTCGAACGGACAATGAACATACTGTTCTTTCTCAACCTGTGGGTGTCAGTGTAAGGGATTTGCTTCATTGATCTGATCTGATCATGCATCAATTCAGTCTGACATATTTTCAGTGTTTTCCAGCAAAGTTTCCTCGGGCGCGATTCCAGCAAGCGTTGGATATTCAGAAAATATATAATAAGCTATATTGTGCGGTTGCAGAGGATAATGAGTATATCTATAGTGCCATTCAAGATATTCTTCCCATCGAGCCCCTTGCGGCTGCGCTTTGGGGAATCTATGATACCGCAAAGAAAGACGGATCGGTGCAAGACATCTCCGTAGGAATTTTTCGGTCGGATTACATGCTTCATGTCGATAGTGCGAATTCGACCAACTCACTTCACTCGATGTCGAATACGACTCTCAAACAGGTTGAGTTCAACTCATTCTCCTGTGCTGGTGCTACCCACGCGAATAAGGTAGTGGACATGCACCGGTACCTGACCCGGAGTGGGGTTTACAACGAGGAAATCCCATTCGATATTGAAACATTGCCTGTCAATAAGAATGTGGAGTCCCTAGTATCATGCTTAGCCTTGGCACATGATACATATGGTCCACCCAGATCCACTCTCGCAAAGGAAACAGCTGTGCTATTCCTTGTACAGCCATTGAATGTACGGAATCCCTATCCATCACGCGAGCGATCCAATCATAACGCAGAGATTAGTTCAATATCGCCGACGAAAGACCTATTGAGTATGGTCTGTGGAACAGAGAGAGCCCGGTTCCAGCTTATCGACTAGAATTCGGATCGGATGTTCTCCAATATACACGCTTGACGGAATCACGCGAGCTGCTTTTTCAGCCACCATGGCTAAAGTCCACCAACCCAGTAGAAATATCGGTGGTGTATTTGCGAGCTGGGTATGAGACATACGAGTATGACCAGGTGGGCTGGAATGCCCGTCTACAGTTGGAGAAGTCCACTGCAATCAAGTGTCCCTCTCTCCTCGGTCATATGACGACTTTCAAGAAGGTTCAACAAGCATTGACGAAACCGGGGGCTCTCGAGCGTTTCCTCACAGATTCCGAAGCTGCCATCATTCGTGAGACCTTTGTTCCCATCTATCCTGTGGATAAATCTGAAGAGGGTCTCCACGCACGAGATCTGGCGGGTAACCCTGAAACGGCGAAGGATTACATACTGAAACCATCTCTTGAAGGAGGTGGTCATAACATCTTTGGAGAAGACATCCCGGGCTTTTTGGCATCCATTCCCGAATCACAGTGGCCTTCATACATATTGATGGAGAAAATCCAATCACCGATCGCATCAGGTCTCCTGATGAGTCCGGCTGGGATTGATGGCGGGGAAATTATATCTGAGCTGGGTATTTTGGGGACCTGTTTGTGGCAACGGGCCAAGGGTGGTCGCTGCGAAATGCTTCATAACTCAGTTGGTGGATGGACGTTCAAGACGAAACATACAGAGGTTGATGAAATGAGCGTTGTGAAAGGATATGGGTGTTTTGATACGCCGTACTTGGTTGATACTTGACTAAAATATTGATTTCCTATCATCTTACTTACCCAGTTACGGGTGGATAGGCATAGTTCATACACCCTGGCAAACCTGACCAGGGTTATACATGGCTTCGAATCAAGTTTATTGACCTGATACTTACTAGTTGACACCTGTATCTCCCCGGTACCTACCATTTTACTACTACTTACCATAAAACTTTTACAGGGGCTTCAAAATGGGGTACTAATCTACTCAAAGTCGTGTGGAAATACTAGATTTCAAGATCATCCCCATCGTATGCCAAATCGGGTTTAGATACTGTGTATACAGAATCGAAGTCTTTCTATTCCCCGATAGACCGAAGTAGAAAGACAGTAATCCAAGCGGCATCGGCACAAAGAACAAATGATATCCTTTGGGTTTCCTGTGGTTACTCTCTGACCCTCATTAGGTTGCCCGTCGAGACATGTTCCAATCCCCATGTTTCTTTGACCCCCCACGCCAAGAGGTAGAATGTACCCCGTGCTTTGGACAGACCAATCACAAGTGTCATGGATATCCATACCCCGATCTTGGCAAGACGGCACACCCGCCATCAACCGGAACTTCCCCGAGCTAGATTTCCTGATATTCGATAATAGAGGCCCATGGCTCATCTGTGATTAAATTGACAGCATATTTAGAAATAGATATCCCCCACCAGTACTCTAGTAATCCAGATATACCAAAGAGTATGCATAGGATGATAGATACAAGGTGGGACAATCTGTGTGCCATGTGGCTTTGTCGCAAGGTTTTTCGGCATGCAAGCAACCCGGGAAAATACAGGCGGCCAAATTGTCAAATCAATTGAATGAAACAGGTTTGTCGGGATCCAAGCTCACTTGGCAATTTTCCCCAGTCTTGGCCGACTCCATTTTGCTCTATGGCCTGGGCGATTTAGATCGGGCTGTCCGAGTCTTGTCTTGACTTATGTAGCATTTTGTAGAACTAAAGCCGAGGGGGTGATAGAACTACGTTTGCTTCCCCGACTTCCCCGCATTATAATGGAACTCTCCGATTGTTGTGCTCGTGACTATTAAAGTGATGTGAACTGATCTTTTTCCTTTCTCTTTGTTCATCTTATCCCAGTCCCCATTCTTATCTTGCTTTATTACCCCTGCCATATCTTCATTTGTCAACTTCTCCCCCGAACTGCCTACCATGGCCGGAGGAGCGAAGAAACCCGTCAATGTCTTCCGTCTGAAGAACCTGGGCGAGCCCAGCGAGATTTTCAACTGGAAACTTTGGTTCGCCGTCATATCATTTGGGCTGATGGGCGCGGCCCGAGGTGTCGATGAAGGCCTCATTTCCGGCGCCTTCAACTCGAAAGACTTTCAGCGTTACATTGATTACAGTTCTTACAGCCAGGTTGAGCAGACCAATATCAAAGCCAATGTGTCGGCTATGGTGCAGATTGGATCCGTAGGAGGGGCTCTCTTGTGAGTTCAGACTCATGCGCACTTGGCTTGTTATTGACTTGATATCTTTTATTGAATAGTGCGTTTCTAGTCTGCGATCGAATTGGACGCCTCTGGGCCACTCGCCAGCTGTGTGTCCTGTGGATTCTGGGAATTGCTATCTTTATGGGAAACAATGGCAGCCTGGGAGCTGTTTATGCTGGTCGTTTCATTGCAGGACTTGGCGTGGGTCAGACCGTGGTTGTTGCACCAGTCTACCTTGCGGAAATTGTACGCCCACATCTTGAAATGATCACCGCTAGACTGGATCGTGAGTTAACGGAACATGATAGTCTCCTGCCTCCATCCGAGGTCTCTGCACCTGTGTCTTCACTGGCTTTGTTTACCTTGGTAGGTCCCTTTCACGCTGCGTGTCAAAACACGACCCACTAATATGCTTTCGGAGAAAGGAATCGTTCTTGCATATTTTGCCAACTACGGATGTCAAGTGAACATTGGAGATACCACACATCAGAGATGGGTAAGCAATACGCATCCTGCGCAAGAGTACTTTCTAACCCCATCAGGAAATTCCCACCAGCCTGCATATTATATTTGCTGGATTGATATTCCTTCTCTCATTCCTGCAGTATGAGTCTCCCCGATATCTCGTCAAGCGAGATCAGCCGGAAAAGGCCATTCAGACTCTGGCCCGGATTCGCAATCTACCTCCTGATCATGACTATGTCATCCGCGAATTTGCCGAAATTGAAGCCGCTCACCAGGCAGAGATGGAGGCCACAATGGGCACGGGACCTCTGGGCATCATCAAGGAAACCTTCCTGGTACCCTCAAATCTCTACCGTGTGTATCTTACCTTCATGGCCCAGATCCTATCTCAATGGTCCGGTGCGGGATCAATCACCGTGTATGCGACGGATCTTTTCAAACTATTGGGCATATCTGGTAGCAACGAGAACCTGCTGGTCACGGCTATTTTTGGAATCATCAAACTCACCGCCGCTGTGATCTGCGCTCTATTCTTGGTTGACGTGATCGGACGGAAGAGAGCACTACTTCTCGGCATTTCACTGCAGGCTATTTCCATGGTCTACGTGGCTGGATTTCTTACCGCTGTGCCGCAGATGGGCATTGTGAGTGACTTTGTTCTTCCCGAGAGCCAAAAGGGCGCTAGCAAGGGTGCTATTGCTATGATCTATATCTCTGGAGCTGGCTGGGCACTTGGCTGGAACTCAATGCAGTATGTTCTGACTGCTGAGTTGTTTCCTTTGCGAATTCGCGCCCTAGCTACATCCATGGCTATGACCCTGCACTTTGCCAATCAATACGGCAACTCACGCGCGGTTCCCAATATGCTTCTTTCCGTTGAAAATGGTGGAATTACCCCCAAGGGCACATTTTGGTTCTTCAGTGTTGTGACCGTCATCGGTGGCGTCTGGGTGTGGTTTTCTGTCCCGGAGACTGCCGGTCGCTCTCTCGAGAGCATGGACCGACTGTTCTCTCTGCCGTGGTATCAAATCGGCCGTCACGGTAACAAGGATGCCGAAGAACGGGACGAGGCTATGGATATCAAGATGGAGATGGTAGGAACGAGTCGGCACGTGGAGAGGCAAGATGTTTCGAGCCGAGTCTAAGGCTTCCCTTTCAGCCGATATCTTTTTTTATCTGATATGCTATTTGAATGAACATCGATCAAGCAAGTCACTATTATTCGAGAGATCTTTTAGTATAGCATACTGTGAACAGGACGTCAAAACTATGTAAAGCGATAGAGCAAACAAAAAAAGCTTCCGCGTGGGGAGTCATAAATGGGATATTTCAGCTCATTCCTGGGCCAGAAAGCATCCAAGAGCTTGAGGATGTATACACAGGAATTCTTCATTATCTATGGAAGCTTTCTACTTTAGAGTTTCATGTGAAGGGGTGGCTATCATTCTATGCGACTGACCTCGATCATTCTGCTCAGGTTACGCAACCGATGGAATCGCTTTCGATAAGTAAATGGGCGCATAATTGATATCTTGTCGGCAAACCCGATGGCCGGCAGTATGACCGGTTCCAATCATACCATGAGTCGATTGCATAAGCGAATCGCTAAAAATGTTCACCGAGTTAGTTTACGATACATACTACCTTGAGTTATTACTCAACCCATTTGACATTTCTGATACTAAAAACTGTCATTACTAGTAACCCAATGCCGGTATGACACTGACCGACTTTGCCAGTATGAGCTCAGGTGAAGACACGCAATGACCATGGACGGCATGTGAGAGAAGCTAGTCTTGATCCGAGATTTAGCCGAGCGAATCTAGAATGATTCGCCTATTTGCCTAGCTATGTGAAGGTTATTATGGACCTGCAGACTATGAGTACAGACCTACGGAGTATGTATCGATCACTAGAGCATGATCCACATCGTGATCCGCTTTTCTTGGCGTGTCCGTATCCGTACTCGTATGTTAGTTGCATAAATGGTCCTGAATGCATAGAATATTCCAATAAAATAACGTGCAAAGCTTGTCTGGCACCCCACTATGATATTCATATTCTGGGTCCATAGGCGTTTAGTTCCGGGTTCGGTGGCTTTTACACCCGTTTATGATAGATTAGAGAAAATTGGGTAACTTTGAAGACCGAAATGAAAGAATAAGATAGGTTAGACTCGGACAACATGCAATGCAAGTTAAATTAACGGAAAGTAATTCAACTTTTGCAAGCCACTTTAAGGACACAAGCAGGTACACATGGGTGTTGCTGAAGATCTCGTTGGATGGGAAATCCACTTTATCCACTATCCAATCCGCGCTACCCGACGCCAAGTTTGCTACTATAATTTTGTGGAGAAAAAGAACGATTCAGATTTCTCCTGAATGCTGATGACGAAACTAGTCACGATCGGCAACAGAAATCAATTTCGGCATCCAGGCACAAGTCCAGGCACAAGCCGGGAAATCCGCGAGGATATAAGTCAGCTATAAAGTCAAGAAATTCATTCCCAACAATTCTATCGTTCACTTTGGTCTCCCCTTGAAAACTTGATCATGCGTTTTAACACGGCTGCCCTTGTGGCCTCTTTGTCCCTTGCGGGACCCGCCCACGCGATCAACATTATTTCGTCCAATGACGATGGCTGGGCCGAGGTTAACATTCGCGCCCTATTTGAGTCCCTGGACTCTGCCGGGCACGTAACGGTGGTCTCAGCCCCCGCTGAAAACGAGAGTGGAACAGGTCAGCTATCGACTTCTTCCTTTTTTCTTCATATTTCTTCCTCGCGACTAATCCAAGTATCACAGGTTCCGATCAGAAGACCCCCACTGTACTCACGGAAGCCTGTGAATTCAACAGTTGTCCGTCAGGCAGTCCCGCTATTGGATACAATGCGTCGCAGCCTCGCCTGAATTATGTGAATTCGTACCCCGCGACTTCTATGAAGTACGGAATCAACACTATCGGCCCTGCCCACTTTGATGGTGCCGCCCCCGACCTAGCCGTGACCGGACCTAACGTGAGTAGAACCATTCGCTTTGGAGTTGATGCATCGACTGAACTTTCATAGGTTGGCAACAACCTTGGCTTGGAGGCTTGGCTCTCTGGAACTGTGGGAGCAGCCACCTACGCTGCTAAGGCCGGAATTCCTGCGATCGCCTTCTCGGGCGCAACTGGCTCACAAACTGCGTGGAATGCCTCCTCTACTTTCCCGCATTACAGCCAGGTTTATGCCGACCTGGCGGTGAACGTGACCGACACTCTGATCGCCTCGGGCGTGCCTTACCTCCCCGACGACATCTGGCTCAATGTCAACTTCCCATCTGTCTCGGACTCGGAATGCACAAACCTGGACGACATTAAATTCGTTCTGTCTCGTATTCATATCGCAGTGCCTCTGATCACCGCTGATGATGTGACCACCTGCGGGAGCTCCCGTTTGCCTACCGAGTACAAGGTGGCTCTGACATCTGGATGTTACGCAAGTATCTCCGTCGGTCTTGCAAGCAACAAGCTGGACGCCAACGCCACTATGCAGGCGGTCGTTCTGAACAAGCTTAGTGGTATTCTGAGCTGCCTTGATTGAGAGATATACTGTACCCACGTGCATCAATCCCGGTTTGTCCGACGGACTTGCACATCAATCAAATGATTATCGTTCCCCACAGAAGAAGCTAAAGATTACACTAGTCCTTAGTGCAAATTCATCTCTTCATATTAATTAGCGGGTAAAGCACCCGAGGTTAAATACGTCCATATAAAAAGCATAAATTATATTAATTCATTCCTGAAGAACTGACAAAACAAGCGGAAGACGAATCAACATTGATTCAAAGCCCACGGGCATCCCTTGTAGCCAGGCGAAGGGTCATGTGGAGCATAAACCGGCCACCATTCTGCTTTCGGACCGAAGGCCGTTTCCTAGTCTTCGGAGTTGCAGGTCCCAGCCTATCTAACTCGCATTCGAAGCGAGGCATCTTATGCGAAGCTGTGAATATAAATGAAGATACCGGTCTGTCTAAATGGAAGGAATCATTCAGTATCAAACTCCCTTCAATTGTCTTGAGTTATGGCATCCAGACTATCTGCGGGTCTCGCAACACTTTCGTGCTTGGGAGCTATGGTGAACGCCAACCCCTTGTCGCGCCGAGGAACCATTGCCTCTGATGAAATCGTTGGCTTCAACCAAACTGTCCCATCTGGAACGACCGGCGACGTCTATTTGGCGTATCAACCCTACCTATACGTCGAGAACGGCTGTGTCCCTTTCCCAGCAGTGGATAAAGATGGCAATACAAAGTGAGTCTTTAGATCTCAAGAGATATGTATCCTCTAGATTCAGGATCTGACATATTCAGTGCCGGTCTCGCCACTACCGGAGCTTCTAATGGCGACTGCAGCAGCAGCACGGGCCAGATCTACGTTCGGGGCAACAGCTCCGGTGATTACTATGCCCTGATGTATGCCTGGTACATGCCCAAAGATGAGCCGTCCGATGGCCTTGGCCACCGTCACGATTGGGAAGGAGCAATCGTTTGGCTAGCCGATTCCACCAGCACTTCAGCAGATAATATTGTCGCCGTCTGTCCTTCCGCCCACGGTAACTGGGATTGCAGTACCGATGGATACACGGTCGATGGCACTTCCCCCCTAATTGACTATTATAGCATCTGGCCCGTTGATCATTGCTGTGGTCTTACGACCACTGTAGGTGGCACTCAGCCTTTGATTGCTTGGGAGTCCCTTCCCACGGTTGCGCAAGATGCCTTGGATACGACTGACTTTGGTTCTGCCATTGTTCCTTTTATCGATGCTCACTTCTCTACGAACTTGGAGGATGCCACATTCTAGATAGTAACCTGAAAGGGGAATCAATGTAAAATGGCATGAATTTCGAGCGGAGACAAATTCACCAGATCTTGAACCTCAATTTCAGGGTCTGAATTATATTTCGAAGCTACATGTGCATTGGTTGAGAGATCTCATTAAAACCTAAATTGATTTTGATCGTATCAGGGTTAATCCAGCCTTGAATGAGCGTTCGAACTTACGTCAATTTACTTGAATGACATCGCTCAATAGCCAAAAAAAAATTTCTATGCTGTTTGTTCTATGTCTATAACTAAAAGTAGGCGAGATGTACGCTCGAAAAATATCAAACCCAGGCGAATGATAGGAAGGGGGAAGAGAGGTAACGAAGAAAAAGGGAGAGACGGAATTAGCTCTCTCCATCCGAAGATAAATCCAAAAGCTTTTTAGCCATTGGAGACGAAAGGAAATCAAGAAGGCTAAATGTTGTAATAACGAAAGACAAGGAGAGATTAAATGGAAGTCTGACCAAATTCCATGCGATCGGCCTATTCGGAGCGAGCACTCTTGGTTTTCTTGCTTCTAAGTTTCATCATTGTGAACACCATGATGTAAGACGTGATGCAGAACAAAGCTGTTATACCAGTCTGAGACCATGTTAGTAGGATACACATCACCGAAGGTGAAAATGGGACTTACATCTCTCCACGAGTAGTACTTCTCCTTGAGATTGAAAGTCTTGGCGTAGTCTGCACCAGTGGAGTACTGGCAGAAGGAGCAAGTCTCAGTCGCGTTCGAATCCAGCAAATAACCGGCTTGCGACCTGAGGAAGTCGGCCATGTATTCGCCACAAGTTTGACCTGATGGGGCGCTGAATGTGGTGTATTCCGAGGGTTCACATTTAACCTTAACATCCCAGAGAATCTCACCCAAGAGTCCACCAACGAGGTAAGTGAAGGGGTCAAGGTAGTACAGCCAGTAGCGCCAGAAGGCCTGCATCGAAGAATATGGAACCACAACTCCACAAAAGCTGACCAAACCTGCTCCAATCAATACTGGGTTCATAACCGCAGCAAAGTACTCATTGGGAGCGTATGCTGCGATGGCCTGGCCGATTGAGGTATATAGAAACTCGTAGACTAGAGTTATGTTAGCAATATTTCCGACCAGCAAAGTCTTAAGGGAAGACATACAGATCATCTGGAGGTAGAAATGACCCGAAATGCTGGAGTCAACCGGCAATCCGGCCGTGAAGTAGAAGCAAACGAAGTAAAGAGTTGCGCAGATAATGAGATATGGGACCTCTGTAACTGCTTGAGCACCAATGAAGGCGATCCAGTGGTATGTCTTGGACTATAGCGCAAAGAATAGGTTAGCAATGTTATGATAGGAACACTCAATATGGATACAAACCTTCTTTTCGCGGGTCTCAAAAATATCACGATTATGCAAGAAGAAAGGTTGCATTTGATTGATGCATCCGGGTGCGACGAAAATGAAGTTGAAGATGGCAAAAAGCCGCAGCTGGAGAGCAAAAGTGCCGTCTCCGATTTTCCAAAAGGTGAAACCGCTGAAGAGTGCGGCGAAGATGTGAAGGATCATCTTGTTCCACATATAATCCTTGTGAGGGGTCAGCGGTAGTCAATCATAGAAAATGTATAATCAACCACATACCGGAGAGCGCCAAATCTGAATAGTGAGACGTTTAGACACCAATTTAAACTGATACCAGTGAGAAGTAGCATAGTCCGCAGTATCTTCAACATAGTCAGGCGCAGCTAGCCCGGCTGCGTTGAGAGCATCCAGTTCTTCCAGAGCCCGTTCCCGCTCCGGGGACTGACTCCAGACATCAACCCAGTCGATCTGCTTAGTAGTTCCACTACCTTGAACCACATCGATAATATGTTCAGCAGGGTTGGCATCTGGTGGACAGGGTGCACCGTTACGGGAGAAGTAGTCCAAAATTTTGCTCGAGTCCTTGCCAGCTAAAAAGTCTCGAGCGTTAGATTTGTTCACGTTGATTAACAAAGTATGAGAGCTCTGGCTTACTTTCGCCGAAATATGTCATCCTGCCACCCTTTGCAAGTAGTAAGAGACCATCGAACGCGTCGAACAGGACCGCAGACGGTTGATGAATTGTGCACTGAATTTATTAGTCTTTCGGAAATCTTGCGAAAAGCCGTTGACAACCTACTAGAACAGCTTGCCCTCCTTCCACAAGCCTCCTAAGAAAGCGCACAATGTTGTATGCGCTTTGACCATCAAGACCCGAGGTAGGTTCGTCCAGAAACAGCAACGTGGGCTTTGCGACGAGCTCAACACCCAACGTTACACGTTTCCGTTGTTCGATGCTCAGGCCAGCCCCAGGTACTGCAGTGAGTTAGCCTGAATGATTTTCGTAATAAAGTAGAAAGGGGGGTATATACCTCCAATGAGAGCATCGCTAATGTCATCAAGCTCCAGAAGGTTGATTATATGTTCCACATATGCAATTTTTTCATCGTGCAAGACAGTTGCCGGTTGACGGAGAAGGGCTGAGAAGACCAGCGCTTCCTTTACCGTCGCAGTACTCTCATGCACATCCAGTTGCTCGCAGTAACCAGTCGTCCGTTGGAAGCTGAGACCTTGAGGCCTGCCATCAATGAGAATAGATCCATGAATTTCTCCGGAATCCTTTCTTTGGGCTAAAACGTCAAGCAGTCTTGATAATATTAGTAAATTGAATGGATAGATGAAACGACAAACAATAGATCTGGACTCACGTAGTCTTTCCAGCGCCCGAGGCGCCCATCAAAGCAACCAAGTTTCCAGGCTTGACAAAACCAAAAACCTGATTCAAAAGTTGCTTCTTTTCACCGTGAAATGGCACATGATAGTCGAGGTTCTTCCATGTAAAAGTTGACTGTTTGAGTGAGCCAGAAAAAGCACTCGCATCAGTTGGCGGCTTGCTAGAGGGTGCCTTTTCAGCATCCCCTTGCCGTGTCTTTTCGCTTCCACGTTTGTATAGCAGCACCGAGGAACCACTCTGGCTGTTGAAGAGCTCAAAACCAATTGATGTCAAAGCGATGAAGAATACCCAGAATCCGACGATGATTCCGAAGCTACGCCAGATGTGGCCGGCAGAGTAGCTGTATTGCTCACGAATATAAGCGGCTCCGTTGATCACCCCATCGGTACTTCCAGCGACAGAACAGCCCCGGTATTTTGATGCGGAGTTGGAGTATCCTTCGCCATAAGGGATGTAATCGGGCTCGATGCACTTGAACTCACGCCCAACAAACTCATTTGCCATGAGTGCTTCAAATGCGTAAGCTCCTGGGTTAAGGTAAAAGATCCAGCGGAACCAGACATGCATCTTCTTAAATGGAACCAAATAACCTACCAAGTACCAAGTTAGCGGAGCTCACTGGAAAAGTTTCAGGTAGGGCGAAACTACGAGGAAACGTGATGTAAAAGCAATTCTTACCTCCGTAGACAAAGAAGACCGTGGAAAGGAGTCCACTGATCATAGATGCATTTCCAAACCTTTTGCAAAGCGCACCAATCGAACGGAAAAGTTGAATAAAACACAGCGTTTGTGCGATGATAATAATCCAGTAGGTAAAAAACCGCCCGGCATCCATCTGCAGCGCAGCCATGAAGTATAAGATCAAAGAAAAGCACGAGACCTGAATCATGACCACAGGGACATCTGTAATCGCGTTGGCGATACAGAATGCGGTGGGTCGATAAAATCCGAATCTTTTTTGACGGGAGAGAATGGGACGACCCATGAAAGATCCAGTGGTTTCAGACATGGACTCCAGCAAGAAGTACAGGACCGGGAAGAAGAGGGCTCCCGGGCGCAGGAAAATTGAAGAGCTATCTTCAGAGAGGTTGTAAAAGAGAGATCCGCACACAAGAGCCTGGATGATGGCTGAAGAAACCCTGACGATCAAAGAGAATTTGTCTCCCCACATGATCTGAAACTGGCGAACCGTACATGAAGCGACTTGATCCCATAGACTTGTCGTATAGACGCTCTGCTCGCGACGAATATGTTGTTTCCGCTTCTCGCTTGATACAGCGGCTTTGAGATCCTCAGTCTCGTAAAGGAGCTTGTCGGGAGACTCAATAGCACCCAACTGGGTCTGGTAGATTGGGCTGTTATGGTATCGTGACTCAAACTCCTCTGGTGTGTTTGGTACCTTATCCTCCCAGCCGGGACGAACAATGCGCTCAGTCAAAACAGTGACTGACGTCAAGTAATCAGCAACATTGGCTCCTTTGGGAAATTCAAAACCCAAATCCTCAAAGTAGCCTTTGGCTAGTTCCCGTGGGCCGTAGTACGTAACTCTACCATCGGCGAGAACGAGGACCTTATCGAACTGATTGTAGATATCGTTTCCTGCCTGGTAAGTCGTTGTGATCATTGTCTTGTCATTCTCGTCGGCTTCACGGCGCAGCATTCGAGCAAAACTCGCTGCAGCCTTGGAATCGAGACCTCGGGTCGGATTGTCCCACAATTGGACCGGACTCTGTTGCAAGTGTGTTAATATCCAGATTTCAGTTTGATGAACGATAGCATCTTACATGACCCGCCATCAGTTCAGCCAGCGAAACACGCTTGCGCTCACCCCCAGAGACTCCACGAATAAACTCGTTACCAACGAGGGTTTTCTTTGTGTGCCCGATACCGAGTGAGTCAAGGATTTGATCTCGCTTTTCCAGCACAAAGTCTTTGCGATGAGCGAGCTCACTGGGCCGCTCATTGGGAACTTTGTTACGCAAGGCGAATTTCATTGTCCGATTCACGGTAAGCGTAGGGAAATGCACATCGTCTATGAATGACAAGGTTAGGAGATTACTCAATTCTGTATTTGATATAGCATACCTTCGTTGTTGAACATGATCTGCTGACGGAACTGCCCTGCGGCTTTATGATCCATGCTTCCATATCGAGTTTCGCCGCTGATTTCGTCAAAAGTATCTCGATCATTCGAAAGAACTCTAAGGAGAGAAGTGCATCCAGACCCTGGACGTCCAAGAACTAGGAGCTACATTAATTAGCCTGGGCAGTCTAGATTGCACGCTTTCCATCAGGACTTACCATTTCTCCAGGCTTGACCTGCCCAGAAACATCCTTCAAGATAGTCTTTAATTTCAGTCAGCAGATAGTCCAGGTAGCTATAAGAATTTCGAAGCTGTACTCTTTTGGGGCGCTCATTTCGATTGAACAAGCCCGAGAACTGACGAGGGTCAACTCGCGACCATAAAGTGCTCCCAAGTGCAGCATCGGGTGCTGTAACCCGGACGTTCAAGTCGCGAAAAGTGATAGTGAGCCTCTTCCTAATTCCATCGACCCCATGTTCCTCATCAACTGGTGTCACGGTACCAGATGAAGGGGTCTCCATAGTGGGAACTGTAGTGTGAGTCCTGAGCAGTATCCTTCAAAGCTGTGCACCAAAGAGGCCCGAGTCTGATACTGCGATTGCACCGATCTTTGCTGTCAGAAGTACAACCGTGGAATGTCAGATACGAGCGACTTACTCTTATATGATCCTGCATCGAATCTTCCATGATACATCCGCATTGCCGAATAATAGATCCAAGATATTTCCATATCCGTGACGCGTTACTTAGGTGGAGCGATAAAAGGGGTTCGCGCAATGCCATTGGCCAGAATGTTAAGAGGGGCCTTATCACGGATTTGTACTTGATGGTTCGGCTTTATCATTTTTGTAAGGATCCACTCTCTAAGGGCGTCTCGGATCAGATTTGTCAGATTCTCGGATATAAGATTTCCCTACCTTAGTGGGAATTGAGGCAGGAATAATGACAAAACATTGGAATTCTAGAAAGTCGGGTTCATCAAGTGCCAAGACCGGTGTGTTCGACACAAAGAAGCCATTTCCAGGAAAATGCTCAATTCACGATAATTGAGAAGGTACTTCGGAAGAAAAGCACAGAAGCAAATAACAAAAGGAAAAAAAAAGCCACTAGTCTCAATCGGGCATCCTCCTTCACACTCCTCAGGCATCAAGGCAGACGACCTGGCCAGCCTGCAAGTTCAGCGACAGCGGTCGGAGACAACCTTTGAACATGAGTGGAAAGCGGTTGGGGATTATTATGGCATGAAAATGCATATGATATCTACATCCATGGATTTGTTGCATTTTTCAAGATTTACCTGTGGACTAATGTGTGCATCTCACAGAACTTTAGAGAGTTGGGAAATGGATTGTCCAAACATTCAAGGAAATTATGTACCCAGAGTAATAACATCCCGAGGTCTGGAGTATTTGATACCTACTTATTCGACTGAAATTACAAAGCCAGGAAGGCTTAACCAACGTATATTTCACATGTGAGATACACGACGTCATCCGACCTTGTCAGGAGATAGTTACCATGTGGTTCCTAAGAAAGATTCTTCTCGAAAAAGTCACCCAGCTGGTTGTATCTGGTCAATGTCAGTTTTAAATGTTGGGTATAGGAAAAAGTCCGGAAGATTTTTTGACTAGCAAACTTACCCACGAGCGTACTCCTCTCGACTGTCCTCCTGTTCGAGGTTGGCCCGAGCACCCATCCATCCATGCCACTATTGAAGAATATGCGTTAGCAAAACAACACGCACGGGATTGCATCTCGTAATTCTGGATCTTGGAATGACATCTACCATGCTTGGATAAGTCTCCACCAGACCCCCCTTCCCATTTGCAATCACATTAGCGTATTCTTCAACCACGTCAGCTGGCTCATCTTTGGATGCCAACACAATATGAGGAATAGATATCGCCTTCGCATCAGCTGGATGCATGGCGCTAAATTGAGTCAGATTGGAATTTCTGGAACTGGCACTCTGTTTCACATACCCAGGGTGAACTTGGCCGGTCGCGGCGAATGGTGTCTCGGCCCCAGAGGCAAGAGCAGTTACCTGAGCAAGTTAGATTCTATTATTGAAGCCGAGCAATATTAATATATATCACCTTTCCACCCCAGCATAGCCCAAATGCACCCCACTTCGTAACCAATGGAAATTTGGTTCTGTATTGTTCGACAGCGCCGACCAGGACACTGACACTTCGAGGGATATCGGCCTTGGAGGCCAGGAAGTCGCCAATGATCTTCTGCTTCTGCTCGGTATCTACAGGCACTGTATCGTGTGATAAGGCATCGCCTTCGAAGAAATCCGGGACCAGCACCAGCGCATTCAATCGCTGAGCAAGGAGGTCTGCACCTTGCAGAGTTTGGTTGGAGAGACCAAAAATATCGTAGATATCAACCAGGCCGATGGTGGAACTCGCATTTCCCGTTATGTCTTGTGCGGGGCAATGTTAGAAACCATACTTTTATCAACCAACAGTATGAGGTTTGAACTTACAAGTTTTCAGGCCAGCAAGAGTTTCATATTCGCCCTGGGGTGTGTAATCTTGCGAGATCACAGGAGGGATAGTGCGACAAGCTTCACAGGACATGATGGTTTAAATTGAAGAGGATGGCAACGGTATGATTGTGGGAGACCGTGAGTTCTTATTATACCTTTATCCTGATCCCGGTACCGGCTTTGTGGAACCCACTTCTGCTGGATGGGAGCACTCGACATATCCCGATAACCTTGAAAATATGAGACAGTCAAAAGAATATCATGGGAAGCTCGAATAAGTATAACTCATGGTGACAAATGGAGAAAAGGAAGTTCAATTTGGTGTCCGAGTACCCACCACGTAGCCGCATGGAATCCAACGATGGGCGATAAAGAAACCTGGAAATAAAGCTAGTTACATGATAAAGCCGGTCAGGGTCGCCATTGGAAAGCCGGGTTTCGCCAATCCATTTCCTGAATCTGTTTTTGTGAGAGACCCGCTAAAACAACGTCGACGTCGACGGATTTGCGCCTCCGGTTATCCCACACCATATACATCCACAAGGAAGCCGCGAGAATCATGGTCATGGATGACGTCGCGAGATTGAGGCCGTTACCAATGTGATAGTTTGGGGAATCGAATGGCAAAAACGACCAGGTAGATATCAAGCCACCGATGTTACCAAACATAACAGTGGTTCCAATGGCCGATGATCTAGCAGTGTCTGATACGACATTTGCAGAAACATGAGCAGTAACAAGCGCTCCAAAGGAAAAGGCTCCACTTCCAATGAGAAATGTCGCTCCATATCTCACCATGCTTTCCTTGCTAGCCAGGAACATTATATATCCGGTCATCATCAATGGGGGGCATATGACGAAGAAGATCAACCTATGATCGAATCGCCAACTGAGAAATGGGAAAAGGACAGTAAAGAAAGCACCGACCACGTAGGGTGGCACGGTATGAAGCTGTTGTGATATGACGGTCGCATCAGGATAGATGGTCTGGACGATGGTTGGCGCAAAAAAGGCCAGGCCTTGAACCGTAATGTTGTTAAGGAGAAAGACAAACGCAGTGGTGAGCGTTACAGGGTTGAAGATACCACGCAAGGTCTTGGGGATGTCGATTTTGTCCAGAACTTCAGTAGTTGCAACTCTCTCCGACTTAACTCTGGCAATGGCTAATTCCTTTTCATCCTTTGATAGCCATCGGGCAGTCTCTGGTCGGTCAGTCAAGGTGAAAAACGCCAACAGAGAAATTCCGATCGTGATAACCCCTTCAATAGCAAAGAGCATACGCCAGCTGTGAAGCCCACCGAAATGATCCAGTTTCAGAATTCCTGATGCTAGCAAGCCACCAAAAGCGCCGGCTAAAGGAGCCATGACGATGTACAAAGACAACCGAAAAGCCAGCTGGAGAAAATGTCAGACAAAATAGAGTTTCTCCAGTGAAATATAACACCTACTTCACTTCGGCGATACCAACGGCTGAGATAGTAAGCGATTCCAGGAAGTAAACCTGCCTCAAACATGCCCAGCAGGAATCTCACACCCGAGGCGCTGCGGATGTTAGTCACAAAAGCTGTGCCAACAGAGCAGATGCCAAATCCGAGTGTGAGAGCCGGCAGAAACCAGCCAGGCCCAATCCATTTGCATGCAAGCTAGACACCATCAGTCATTATTGTGCGCAGTTGGAACGACAGGTCATCTCACATTGCTCGGAATCTCGAATAAAATGTATGCAACGTAGAAGATGGATAGTACAATATTGTAGTCATAGCCTTCGAGCCCCAAATCTTTAGCAAATCCAGCCAGTTTCGCGTTTCCTATCAAATCCAGTCAGTCATTTACGACATGTTACTGAGGAGCGCCAGGCTCACCGATATTTGCACGATCAATGAAGCAAAACAGATACATCAATGCTACAGTTGGCACAACGTAAAGATCGATTTTGAATCGGAGTCGGGCTTCAGCTGCTCTGTCCAACTCTACCAATGGTTGACCATATTGGTCAGTTGCCAGGTGGCCGTCAACAGCGTCGTGGGAAACATTATCAACCAAAGTCTCTTTGTGGTCTTGCTGCGTCTTTTCGGCCATAATTATCTCACTGTAGGCTCTATCACTGGCCATCATGGGCGATGCTACTGTAAAAGAATAATATATCTGGTGTCACTGTAAGACGTAAGAAAGGAACCGAGCAGAGGCTGGGAGAACCAGAAGTCCAGTCGGATGATTGGGTCATCTCAAGAGCGGGCAAGCTGCGGCATTTATAGACCGTGTAACCAACAAAAGACCTCACAGAACCATCTCAGATTGCGGGGAAAGAGTCGGAGAAGCCGGCCTTTCAGACATATTCTCCAGGTATTGACCTGCCGTCGCCAAGGCAAGTAAAAGAAAATCGTGGGAAATGAATCAACGTATCAGTTTTCTTGGCACTGGTCTGCGAAGGTTTGCTTGGCAACCAACCCTCGGAAGATGATATGTGATACAAGAGGGTCGGCAGGATTGACCGCTGCAATAAGCCATAGCCAACTTAAGTAGCTCATCATCAGATTGTACGACGATGATGATTCGATAATCTTCAACCTGATGTCCCCAGTACCCACCAAAGAGGCCCGATGCGTCTTGTACCTGATTGTCTTGGGTGATCATCAGAGTTGCACGTTCCATGGTTCACACCAGTGATAACTGCCGACTGATCTGCCCGACAGACATATTGGCACAGCAATATTCCTTAGCAACCACTCTGATGTGGACTGGATGCCGTATTCCTCGATAGTCACCAAGCCTTTTGTCTTGGCGAAAGCGCCTGTGGGGGATCCGAGAGCCGATTGTTGTGCGGGGTATCCGAAGAGGGTCGAATCAATTTGATAGAGGCTAAGGAGCAATTTGGAAGACTTTCTAGGAGACCCTTCAGAAGATTTACTAGTCGCATACGTCAACAACTTGGGTAGGAAGGCGCGACGCTGTCAGGCCAATCACGGAGAGTCACGTGATACAAAGCAGTTAGGAATTCCCATGCTCAAAGGTGAAGACTGAAGGGTGAAGGGGAAAGAAAGGAAAGCACCAGCTTAGACCCAACACGTTCTTCATAAGCATCATGTCCTGAACAACTATGGGGAATGTCAATATCAGATTTGGAATAAAAAGAAAGACAGCCAGTGACCCACTTTTCACGTGACCTTCGGATATACACGGATGAAAGAAATGGCCTGCAGTAGACAAATTGCCCTGCACATCCGCGCCCAGTTCGCAGGATCTCTCGGATATGGCTGAGGAATCAAACCCCCCCCGGTTCTGGTTGGCGCATCCCCAAGGCTTGCCAGGAGTGCCGTAAGCGCAAGATCCGCTGCAATGGCCTGAACCCGTGAGCTCAGTTCACCCCACAAATTAGCGTGTCGCTAAATAATCTCCAGTTGCAAGACATGCCAACAGAGGGAGACACCTTGTGTCTATAGAGATTTTATTCGACACCGCAGGAAGAAGAATGAGTATCGAGAGGCTCATGGTGATGTGCAGACGCATCGGGTGTCCCCGATTCGGCCGGGCCTTCACGTCAGCGGAGCTCGTCGGTTATGAATACTTTCCCCAACAGTGTCTCAGCGACCCATATGGCATCGCCTTCATGTCAAATGCAACTCTATTATGGACCCACCTCACATTTTTCTCTAATGCAGCACATATACCGGGACCTTATAGCTAATCCAACAGCTCGTCCGGGGCCATCAACAGGAGTGGATGAAGCTGGTGCCGGCTTGGATCTTTTCAGCTTCCGTCGAATCTTCTTTGGAACACCAGATACTCAGGATGTGGGGAAGTTGTCTGTGATGTGCGATGTTCCGGTCATGTTTTTGCCATATGATCTGGCCAAGATGCTTCTCACTCGATTTCTTTCCTCACTCTATCAGATGGCGCCTCATTACCCTCCGGCTTATTACGAGAATTGCCTGGAACAGCTTTACAGTCCATCTCCTGGTAAACATCCTGACACTCTCACTCAGGCTACCATTTTAACCGCTTTGGCAACTGCATCTCTGGGTACGGAATACTTCGCCTGGGGTGATATTCTATACGAACGGGTGAAGGCATCGCTTACATCCTACGATGAAGTTGTTAACCTCCAAACTATTCAAATATCTTTGCTCATGGCCAATTACCAAAATGAGCAAGGTCGGCCAAACTCTGCGTTTCTCTATCTTGGATCGGCTTCTCGCAAAGCACTCGCAGCCGGTCTGCATAAAGATGCTCCTGGGAGTGGAGTTCAAACCCCAGAGACCGTTGAAGCGCGTCGAATCACGTTCTGGTCGCTTTTTGTTTTCGAAACGTAGGTCCGTCACTTGATAATCATGTCCTAGATGCTGACTCCGGCTTCAGGTGGTTCTGCTTTCACACAGGTCGACCGAGCTCACTGTCTTTGAAAGATGTCGCTATCGAAGCTACACAAGATCCGTTCATTCGAATCCTGATCCATCTCTGCAAAACAATATCTCGTTCCACCGACGAAATCTACGGCCAAAACCACGAGTCCCTACTACATATGTGGCGTGTCGCACGTTCAATCAATAATGACCTTCGTGGACATGAGGAGTTTGCGCGGCAGAAGCTCGGTCTTGGACTCGATACCAGTCCTCAAACAGGATCTATTGGTGTTCGGCAAGCGGTTTACGCTACCTGTACGCTTCGCTTTTCCAATAATCGCAAACAAAAACTAAATATTCTTAGTATACTATCATACTCTCCTGCTCACATTTAGGCCGTTCCTGATATTCCGTGGTCACCTGCTACGAGAACGAAAGATGGCGGCTCATCAGGCTAGTGGATCAACCAATCGTCCGAAGGAGATCCCTTCTTGGCTGAACGAGGCGTGTAACTATGCTCTTACAGCTGCGAGGAAGACCATTCACCATTTGAATGAATCATCGCGTGTCAACGATTTTGTGAGGGTATGTCACCACAGCTTCACCCATCGTCAGCCCCATCTAACTAGAAGTCATTTCATAGCAATTACGATACCATGGCTACTTCCTTGGAAGCTCTGCTTTCACCCTAATATATGATTTAATTCATGACCCTCAGGCCGCCGCCGCTCACCTGCCATGGGTATATGCTTCTTTGCAGACCCTGTCTTCAATGAGAACAGGAGATCCAATCTCGAGTACTATAGCAGCCATTCAAACAACTCTGCGAAATGTCGACCTCTCATACGAATGGATACCGGGTCCTAAAACTGGCGACCAAATTCAATTCACTGACGGGAGCACTCCCTACATTTCAAGAGTGCAGGACGCAATGGATAGTCAACAAGCACTACTGAATGGCTCTACCTTCCCTTCGAAGTCTTCATTGGGACCAGGGCCTGATTTGTCACCGTCGCCATGGGGGTTACCGCAGCTTGAGGGACCTGAGACTGGTCGATCCGGTGGGTCGAATGAAGACCTCCCCGATTTCACTCAATCCGACATGGGGTGGGATTTCGATTTTTCCACAATGGACTTGGAGGCATTCTTCTCAGTCTATCAGGCGGGGGATCCTTCATTTTTGCAGTCTTCATTTATGCAATGAGCTACACTCGGAAGGAATCAGCCCCTACCCCCCAAAAGCAACTTTTTTTTTGGGTGAGCTGTTATACCTAAATAAAAATTCTGGGGATTGCTCCAAAAAATACCCCAAACTCCAAAATGTTGCTTTCAAGTGTTGGTATACAATTTCCCCCGGTGCCTTTAATCTGCACGTTTAATGAAGAATATGTACATGTATATGACTTCAAATATGAAAAATCCTCAATCTGAATTTAATCTGTAAACTCTTTCATCTTCTTTTTCTTTTCCAAAGCTCTGCATTAGAAGCTCTTGAAATAACAGCAAAACTTTATGAGCCCGAGGCAACATTTATGGACCGACGTACCCACCTGATCCCGAAATGTTGCCCCACTTTCCCTTTCTAATCCCGGTAGCGGCCCGTCACCGCGAAAGACAAGCGTGGAGCTTCGAAGATATAAGGTATGCCCCCAGAATAACAAGTATCCAGCAGGCCTTGATCAGTTAATACCGGCTACACAGACCTGGCGCGTTGCGCCCTGACCAGTGATGAAATCCTTGGAATTGACAAGAAGCAAGAACGATCACAACAGTCTGACGAGGGAGAAGGTCAGCGATCAAAGATAGCTCTGAAGGAACAGCCAGCAAAGCACTTCCAAAGTAACCTATGGTGTGCTTTATACGGGTGCAAACGTGATAGTAGTCATTTTAGGAAGATGTTTTGCGATCATTCTCCTGGCATTTCCAGAGACCTGCCGAGCAGCGGTCAGTAATGGCTGGGCGAGTCCTTTGCTGGAATCGACCTACATGGGCTTCCATCGCATCGAGTCTGTATCTTGTGTTTGCGAGCTATGTTGACGACTCAGGTGATCATTCATCATGTTCCCCCTCGATTCAAGTCGGTCTCTGCTATTCCACAACTGGGTATCGGAAGCATCTGTTCGCGACGGACTGTGAGAAAATCGCTCGATTGAAAATCCTAGCATGAGGCACAATTCCAATAATTTCGGTCCAGAAGAACCATCAGCAAGAGATCGAGATCCCGATATTGAGCGATTGCATTTATTTGGCGACTTTGATCTATTTTGCGTATCCTTATATCCTACAGCTGAGTGATGGAATATCGAACTCCACTCGTCGGTCCGATCGTGATACTGTTCTTAAAGGAGACTCTCGACAACTGGTGTATTCAATACTTCAGCCAGTAGTGGACAACAAGTGCCACGGCTGCCACAGCCGTAAGTAACTTGTGTTGATACCTTGAGACTATAGACTTTATGGCTCCCTTAATTGATGCTATTGGTACTGGAAGGACTGGACCCATAATTGGGACACTTTGGGTTGTCTGCCGTCCAAGCCGACAGGTGAAATAAGAAATGAGATTTGAGAATATCACCCACACTTATTCGGACAACTAGTGCCGCATTTCCTGTTTCGTCAGGCCAGACTTTGTCAAGCTATTAATTGATTACCTGAGCGGCATTTTCCTCCTTTCTGACTTATAATTTGCAATAAGTTCAAGTTTGGAAGCCTTGTCAAATCGAACAGATACAAGTCAGACCCCATGGTTTCCGAGTGCTGACCAATCTCTCTATGCGTCATTGGGGTTCCAAGGGTCTCCTGAAAAGCAGATATATAAGACAGCTTGTTGTTGCCTAATCAGCCTTTGGACTCCTAGTTTGGATGACTCTGCATTCGAGATCTTGGGGGATCGGGATCGGGATCGGATTTAGAATTGGTATGAATATACCCGGTCGGCGTTAATAAACTTGATTGGCCTTGGAACCGACCGCCTGGGCGTACTTCGGTGTTCCATGCCCACTCGTCCTTTCCTCTAGACCCTTACCAATTATTGCCTACTCGGTCTCTAATACCCAAAGGCACATGTACTATTTCTGTTTTCTCCAAATGTTTGAATCAAAATCTGGAGAGTCCCTTGACAAGTGGATAAATAACTTTATTTTGCTTAGCCATGCCGATCCATTTGCTTCACGCCGATCTTACATATGTGCATGATACCCTTTTTGGGATACGCGCAAAGTCATCCCAAGGAGTTCTTAATATATTATAACAGCCATGAGTTGATGAATATATCATGGTATCTTATTGAATAATCTCAAAGGGTGGTTGTTCGCCTCAATCTTGATACCTATTACGTCAGCTGAAAGGATTTCTATCAAAAAGGAAAAACACGCAATGAATAAAGATAATCTATCAAATTGATCCGCCTATCATATCGATCTAAGAACATTGTTAGTCTTACTGAAGAGTCCCGAATTTTGATATCTATAGGATAGTGCCGATCACGTTTAGCAAGATCAGCCTGGTGTGCACTGTGGACCATTTGGTGTCCGACTGGGTGGGGCGAAGGGACCTTCAAAATATGTCTTCGTCTCCATTGCCACCTCGTCAAAGACCCATTGTATCGATTTAAAGGACCCTAGGAATATTTCTTGCGCCAGGGCTATTCTAGCCTTCACGGCCTCCCGATCAAAACAGCCGAAAAAGCTTGACATGAAGCTTGGCGAACTCCACTGATTGGTTCCATCGAAGGCGCGTGTCCGCTCTCCACAATAAAAGTTGACGACGCTAGCGCCGAGGATTACGCATGCTCCGCGCGCTATATTTAATCCCAATGGCGGAAATCGGGGCGCCCGCTTTCATTTCTGTTGTTCAAGAAAAATTCTCTAGACGATGCTCTGCCCTCTTACATTCTTTTCAAAAAATATCAGCGACGTCTACTCTGTACAACTTCTACCCGCTCCTGATTGGCAGACCCACTCCGATATCGTGAGGTGGCTTGCTGTTAGCGATGCATTTGCCTCGCCCCTGGCCTGTATTGAAGGGTCTCTTGATTACAATTCTCTTATCGGAGTCAGTGCTTGCGATCGATTTGGACATCAGTGATGAACGTACGTCAAATTTCTACTTTCTACTTCAAGTCCCCTCCCAATAAGGCTCACTTTCCATGCCCGTCCAATTTGAATCTGAGCAGGCTGACTGATCTGAATTGTTCCAATAGAATCTATTAAAGATGCCGCGAGTACTTCAGCCTACGCTATGATGACTTACTACAAAGGGAACGAGACCGGCCATATTCCTGGAGCTTTCGCAAGCAAATGGTGGGAGGGTGCAGCGCTATTCTTAGCACTTCTTCAATACTGGCACTTTACGGGAGACACAACCTATAATGATAATCTCCGTGTTGGATTGGAATGGCAAGCTGGTGACGATGATTATATGCCGACGAATTACAGTTCCTACCTTGTAAGACTTCAGCTTCCTAAGTAGAAGCGTTGGTGCTAACCGACGAGTGAAGGGAAATGATGATCAGATGTTCTGGGGCCTGGCCGCCATGACTGCCGCGGAGCTGAAATTCGCCGATGCTACAGATATTGGAGATGGTCACTCATGGCTCTCCCTTGCACAGGGTGTCTTCAACAGCCAGATCGATCGATGGGACACATCTACCTGCTCGGGTGGACTGCGGTGGCAAATTTGGACCTACGAGTCTGGCTACTTGATGAAAAATTCCATCTCCAATGGTGGCTTATTCCAGCTAGCAGCACGACTTGCACGATACACCGAGACTGAGAAATATGCCACCTGGGCCCAAAAGATTTGGGATTGGTCTGTCTCCTCACCCCTTCTCAGTAACACAACCTGGAATGTGGCCGATTCAACAGACACCACAAATGATTGTACCACTCAAGGTAATGATCAATGGTCCTATAATTATGGTACATACTTGATGGGTGCTGCTTACATGTATAACTATGTAAGTATCACTTTCCTGCTGCCATCTAGGAAGGAGTCTTCGGGATATACTCTCGTTCCATGTTATCTGGTTTCTCTTTTTCTGACCTGATATAGACAAATGGTAGCTCCGTTTGGCTCGAAGCAGTCAATGGTCTACTAAACAAAACCTTCGATCACTTCCTCAATGATGATATCCTGGAAGAAAAGCTATGTGAGCCATCAGAGGCCTGCAATGACAACGAGATTCTGTTCAAAGGACTGGTTTCCTCTTGGCTATCATTCACGGCTCTTTTGGTTCCATCAACCTATGATACTATTTTGCCGGTCCTCCAAACTTCTGCCCAGGGTGCAGCGAAATCATGCACAGGCCATGACAATAACACATGTGGAGTGCGTTGGTACCTGTCGACATATGATGGCTGGATAGGAATGGAGGAAGAAATTAGTGCCACGAATATCTTTGTCGCGAACTTGATTGCATTTGACAGTTCGGCTCCAGTGACAGCATCCACGGGTGGAAACAGTACGAGTGATCCCACCGCGGGAGAGAACGATACCACGACATCCACCACTGAGTCCGTGATTACGACGGGAGATCGGGCAGGTGCTGGAATATTAACCGTGGTGTTTGTCGCGGCCTGGGTTGGCGCAATGAGCTGGACAGTCTTAGGATGAGGCTATGCATTTTGGTTATTTGGAGTTATTTTTTCTCTTCTCTTCACAGGAGAACACAGTGTAACTTTGGTAAGCCTCCTGGATGGGGCCGGTTGCATATAAAATATCATTTCCGGAACGGAGTACATCTCTCTCTTTTTTTGGTTGGTAGATACAGTGTTCTCGTATTGATATGTACCATTGAGATCTCATGTTCATCGATTTTGTCAAGCCTGCACGCAGTACTGCTAAATAATCTAACTATGTTCGCGATTATCTTGTCCAGGACAATATTCGATGCTGAAACTTGATTATCCGAATGCCCGGCTTGCCGATTTACCCCATGTTGGTGCTCATTGAGAATTTGTCTTTGCATCAAGACATATGAAATGTCGTAGATAGTCACACAGGTAGACAGGCAATTGAAACTCGAAAGACCCAGACAGACTACACAATTAAAAAAATCATTCAGCTGAATACGATATAGAGGCCAACACTTTGAAATCGAATTATAGAAATTTGGCAAGGGTTTCTAGTCTAACAATTCGAAAGTGTTGAGACGAAAGACTGTATGGCTCATCTTCATCCAAAATTCTTCTTCCACGCCATTCTACCTATCGTCTCTCCCGCGGCCCAATCATAGATGGTAAAGTCATTTGTGGTGTTGAATGCAGACCTCAGGCCTGAAGTCCTGCCACCAGATTATCACCAAGATCCTTGATACTGGCCTCGAAGGTATCGCGATCGGCTCCATCCCAATCTGCACTAGTTCCAGGAACCGCATTTTGACCAATGAAACCAAGATAGAGTATATCATCTTGGTCATGTCCATTGTTGCCGTTAACATCGTCGTCGGGGAAGCACATTTGCGCAAGCGAGATAGAGGCTTCACCAGTAGAGTCCGCACCATTTGTATCACCCCAGATGCTGTAAAGCTAAAGTTATCAGCGAGGAAAATGATAATTTTCAGCAGATAGGACATACCACTTGGCTATTGCACACAACAGCCATTACGGATAGAGGCTCCATGCCAAATTGCTGAGGATTAAAGTCGTTGTTTCCGAATACCACGTATGGATGAACATTTGCATCTAGATCCGAGATACCATACTGACTCAACTGGTCCTTGAAAGCGGTCTCGTCTTGTCCAGTTTGATCTTCACCACAGTCACCTCCCTTGAAGTTCAGACCATCACAATCCACGTCCATGTTATTGTACTGACCGCCGTTAGCCTGACCATGGAGATAGATCACGCCGTCGATATCACCACAGTAAGCGAAGCTGTGAGAAGTACCACTAACTGCATCAGTGAAACCACCAGCAAGTATATTGTTGCATTTTCCTGCCTAAATCACGGTCAGACAAATACGCCTCATAAACAGTCAGCACAATGCTTACTTTGTGGTTGCCATAGATTTCTTGCAAGTTATGGGGTAAATTGTACGCTGATACTGTAGCAATTAAGAGCGCAGTAAGATCAAAGAGAAGCATTTTTCAGGCGGCAGGAAACTGGTCGATTCGCAGTTGAGTCTACAGTCGCCGGACATGCCGGCTACTTTATACGCCCAGGGCTCGCAAGAGGTTACCATATCAGGATTATGGATACTCGTCAAACAGAAGAGCCCTGACTGGGTGAATGGGGTGCAGTAGCGATGATCTCAGCATGACACTGTGATAGTTGGGAAAATCCGGATAATACCGAATAGGAATTGACCAGGGAGAAGCTGATGAGCATCTGGGTCAAGATTTTCAGACTGTTTCATCAAAATCATCATTATAAGAGAAAGATAGAGGAAATATTTTTGAAGGATAAAGATCTGGCTAGAGTAGGAAGACGGTAGATGTGCCTGAGTTTTATGGGTGTGGGGCCATATAAACAGCAAGGACTCAATCCCCTTTTCATTATTTTTCTCAATCTCTTCACGCCTTTGAGATCAGTGTAGAGATGGTTTTCGAGATCGCTCGATCGTGTTTACAACTTGGAGTTCATGTTGACCAATTTCCTAAAAGCGTGACCGCCAAACTGGGGGGTCGATCCCTCAAATCAATCACAGCGATGTAGATCATTCCACACCGTGCTCGCTTGAAAACTCACTGCAGACCAGTCTTTCCCCTTCAAATGTTCTTTAATCCCAACAATTTGCGCTCCATGAATGACAACACCTCAACTCTATCCTCTCAATAGTCTTCAGCATAGAAGAAGCACAAAGGCTGTATTGTTGGATTACCCATAGAAAACAGCCATCTTGGGGAATCGAATAATCGGTAGACAGGAAAAGACTGCCCCTCAAGCACTAATATTTGTTTACATGGCAAGATAAATGAACGACACTGGGATTGAAGCCAACGAAAAACAAACGAGAAGGAAATATCCACTTGCAGCCTCTTGGATTGCTTGTCAGTGGGCCCGTCGAAGCGCAAGCAAGTTGAGAGTAGATTGGCATAGCATAATTTGGGGGAATCGATGGGCTAATAGTCAATACTGAACATCGTTCAGTATTGACTTGGTCGGCCCTCCACGCCTTTCTCCAACTTTTTATTCATGAAATCAGCCTCTCAGGACAAATGTAGGTAAGCGTTTTCTGTTTTCAGAACAATCAAAAGATAACCCTTTCAAATGCTTCTTGGAGTCCCCTTGTTCCCAGCCATGTCTCGAGTGCCTGCATGTCGCCCCGATTGGCCCGCTGACCCCCTCGCTCTCCAAGCGAGTCCGTGATTTCTTCCATTCCTGAAAAGATCCTTTCAATATTGTCGGTCTGACGGAACCTTTCGCTGACCTTTTTCTGATGACTCGGGATATCACCCCATGAATGTGTCTTGATGAAACTCATATAGGCATCGATATCTGGCGATGTGCCTTCGAGACATAAAACACCTGGCTTCCCCGCCAGGACAAAGCCGGTCAAGGAGTACCCGGGTGCGAGATTGACCATGTCCTCTCTCTTTTTACGAGTTGACAGTGATGGAAAATAAAACCACACCCTCACAAGGGGCGATTTTGAGCTTTCTAATAGCCCCGACCCTTGAGACTCCATAGCCTGACACTGCTTGCTTTCAAGAAAACGGCCGGCCTCGCCTTGGATATATTCAAATGCCTCCATAGCGTCACCTTGAGGGATCGAGATAGCAATTTCAGCTACCTCGGCTTTGGTCATCCAGTCAGGTTGGCGGAGTGTATAGCGTAATGGCGGAGGCTGGTCGATTGTTTCGGGATCCTCGCATCGTAGCGGGACAGAAATACTGACTTGGATTGTCTTGTCGCCATCCGCAATTGATAGAGCAACGACGAGAGACATCGTCAAAGGAATACCGGATGGTGTAGACACTGGGTCCTGGCACCAATCCCGTAGAGTTTCGATACATTGCATCGTTGATTCGGCGATTTCCAGCTCTCCTGGCGATGGGAACATCGCGACCAGGAGGTCAATTATGGACAATTGGGACTCCATAATCTCCACCGGCAAAATAAAAAGTGTTTCGGAGGCCATTTTGAACTTTGAATATTATGAATGGAGCAATTTATGCTCTTGTAAATTTGATTGGACTCAATTATTCAGAATGATGTGGGGTTGAAAATTGAAGTTGTGTGCGTGCGGGCGTCAGATGGGTAAGCTGGATGGGAAACCCTTTCCCAAACATTAGAATGTTGAAATTATAGGTCTATCGGGGTATTGATTTCACTAGTGCTCAGATGCGTGACCAAAGGAGAGGATCATCATGGCCTCAATTGATTGTGCGCCAACTTGCACTGAATTTTCCCCGTCGGAGTCTTCATCGGCCCCACCGCCCTGAAGTGGGCAAACAGGACAAGTCTCGGTGGAAAAAGGACACCATGAGCGCTAACGTTTGATTTTGAATATATCCCAGAGAGGTGCAGTTTCTACTTGATCTCGTCCGGTTAGAACAATACCGTGCTCGTCAAAGATCCCACTGTCGAGGCTTGGATAATATGCATGCTCAATTATACGCAGCTTACGAAGTTACAAGCCCGATCTTAGCAGTCTTCCCCGCTCTTAGCTTCTCGATGGCTAACAACTCATCTGATTATATGAAACTCATCCAACAAGAAGTTGAAAGGGCCATTTTTGGAGCCAGGGAAGCCAGTGGATAATACTAAGGCTTAGTCAAGTCAGAGAGATTGGACCTCTTGGCTCATTCTGGCCAGTCGTGGTTTTTACGAACGAGGCGGACAATTTCATCTCCAATTTACATCTTCTGTAAGGTAGTTTATACGATTACCAAGCCCCAGTAGTCCAAATCCCTTCATTTCAGATAGAGCAATGACGTCATTAGAGCCTAGTACAAATCTATCACGAGGTCCAGGAAAGTAGGCGGCCTTCGTTCTTCAGATCCTTATTCCTTTTCAGGGACCAACAGGAGTCGTAAGCGAGGTCCATCTCTAAGAACCCATAAAGTGCAACAAAACGAGCTACATGTTTGAATAATTGTGAATGGTGGGACCGATTAGAAAGGATCATGATGAAAGCTGACGCGGCACAAAGCAGAGAGTACAGAAGTACGCCAAGGAACTGGAAGAACTCTTTCCCGTTTCAACCGTCCTTGGCAACGCCCAACAGCTATCTATACACGGGGGGTTGAGCATAAAATTGAGAAGATTGGAGTTGGTGACGTGGGAAATAATTGGTGAGGAAAGTCAGTTTCCCGAAGGCTGCATTCACATCCTTCGATCAAGACTCTTCCGCTTTGCCGCCCGGTGTTGCAATAAATGGTCTTACGGTCGCGTGGTGCTGTGTGGAAATGCGGCGGGGTAGAAAGAAACAGGTTATATGCGTAGTACTTGTGATGTAACTGCCGACATTCTTACCATCTTATGCTCCTCTAAATCGATGAAAATTCCGATGAAGATTCCGTAATTTCTACTTATACGTCAGTCGAACTCGCGTGTATTCGCCTGTGCATTGATTTTTCCAATTTCCCCCCGTCACAAAGAAAAAACGCAGAGATCACGCAAGAATGCCCCTCCAAACATACCACCATATCGCCTCTGCCAAGGGCCTCTCAAGTATCACGACTTTGATTGTGGGAACTCAAGAAGCTGTTCTAATAGATCCTCCCTTCCTGATCCCGGATGCCCAGGCTGTCGTGACCTGGATTCAATCCACAACTAATGTTCCCCTCAAAAGCGTATTTGTAACGCATCATCACCCAGATCACTTCTTTTCGGCAAATCCTATTCTTGACGCTTTTCCTACTGCCACTTTCTATGCCGCGCCCTACGTGCTCGCAGGAATCAACCGCGAGTATGATGAAAAAGTCAAGTACTGGCCGACTATCTACGGAAAGGAGAATGTTCCAGAAACACCTCGAAAACCAGAAGAATTCAACTTCAGCTTTTTCTTGTTGCAGGGCAACCTCGATAGCCCTGTCATACTTTTAGGCCCACTCCAAGGTGATTCTGTGGATCATACGGTATTCTGGATGCCTACCGAGAGAACACTCATCTGTGGGGACACGGTCTACGGAAGAAGCATGCATGTTTGGTAGGTCAACATTATGATCTGGTTCACTAAGAGGAAGCTAACAATATCTTAAGGGTGGAAGAGGTTGAAACACCGGCTTTGCTTCAAGCATGGATCCAGACCTTGGAGCTTATCACGGCCCTACAGCCTATCAAGCTTATTCCTGGACATATGGAGGCCGGATGGGATTTGGACGCGAAAGCCGACCTTGCCCACACAAAGCAGTATCTTGGTTTGTTTGGAGAGAAAGTGACTTATGCTCCCACCAAATCGCAAGTGAACGAACTGTTCGAATACTTCAAGAATGCATTTCCGCAGTGCACGCAAAATTTGGACTTCTTCTTGGGTCACTTGTCGAATCAATTTGGCGAAGGTGGACAGGTCTGGGAGGAGAATAAGCATCATGCAGTGGATAAGCGTACTTTGAAAGGTCTGAATGGTTATTTGTTTTAGATTACGCTTTATCTTGGCGGATGTGAGGGGACAGCGAACAAGAAGAAGGGGCCAGTCGTTTAATTCGTACATGAGTCAGAATTCAATTGCTGTGACGCCTGACCATATAGTCGGTGCCAATACCTGGGCCACTGGGATGGCAAAGAAGAGCAGGCAAGGGGAACATTTGATGGACCGCAAAAAGTCGCATGGGAATGATCTGCTTTTCTCAATTTCTTGTCCAGACTCAAGTTTCCCCACACAAATGGCGGGGCAAGAGCTCGAATTGTAAGTTAAAGAACAGACGGGGTTCTCTCTTAACTTGAGAGTGAAAGAATGTGGTATAACTTCTTCGTCGTCATGTATTTGTTTTCCGGCGATGATCCCCAAACCATGCTCTTATTGGAATCATTCTTGCGAATCTTCTCCACTGGCCGCTCATTTCATCTAAAAGCGAGCCTTGGGTGGGCAGCCGACGGAAGGTTGCTCAGTATTTCAAGCTTCAGAAACACAGCTGGTTTCTATCGCAAAAGTTTTTACACGCGCAGAATACTACGGTCGGAGATCTAAGTAAATAAAATGGCAGGAGGCTGAAGAGCGAGAGGCGCAAGAAAAGGAGCGCAGTCAAAGATCCACATTCTTGCAGAAATTATACGCTTCTCCCACAACCTACTCTCTCGATCTTTAAAAGTCGAAATTCCCCCCCGCTCGATAACCGGGATCATAACCTCTCCTTCTGGAAGATACTACCCACTGCGATTAGAACCATGGATAGATTGCTTAGTGTAATAGCAAGATGTCTATGGTTCGGTTTGCCTCTACCTTCAACCAGCTAATGGAGCTAGACCACATTAATTGAATCCCCTAATCGCTCTTGCAGAAGATGCTACTCGATTCTCTCTTCCGCCCATTCGTGATGAATAAGGCATTGATGGAAGACCAAAAATACGGACAAGTGATTCGATCATATCAAGTTTATGGGAAAATTGTCGACAGCCAGGACGCTAAAGGTACACTGGATGTGCCAATTACCCTTTTTTAAACGGCACTAGTATTGGTCACAGAAACATTGATATCTTTGAGATACCGATTTCTGTCACCGAGGTTTGGATCAAGACAACCTCTGTTGGACAATTTGGCTCTGGCTATGTATAATTATGGCACGTTGACCTCGGAAGAAGGCCGAATGTGTGCTAGAAAAAGGAAGCCAGCAATAGAAAGATCGATGAAGAGAGAAGAAGAAGAAGATGATGATGATGATATTCTATTAACCTGATGCTGCCTAGCTAGAATCGCAGTGGCAATGCAGGCGCTTCGTCCGTCCGAAGCAAGAATATGCCCAACGCCGTAACCCACGCAGTAAAGAGTGACTATGCACAAAGGAAATAGGTATCGCGCTACCACACAGGTGTAAATGAAGCCGAAATGAAGCCGAAATGAAGCCGAAATGAAGCCGAAATGCCAAATAAAGTAAAAACCCGCTAAAAGAACGTCGCAATCGCTATGCAATATGCTTTGATATCCCCGATATCCTCCTGTACATCCCCCTCTGCATTTGTCAACTCCCTCCTGCCCTGCTGGCAACAGCACACCCCGCTTCGATCGATTGTGTTGTGTTGTATTTTCGCTGTCGTCGTGGTCGACATCTCAGTTGTCGCTCACTTCGTTGTTGGATACACAGCGTCTTCACCCCTTGCCCATTCCGGTCATTCCCGGTGTGTTGGTTCAGTGTCTTTCTCGGGTTCAACGTCGCATTGGCGAAATTGTCCGAGAAGGCCAGTTGATAACATGAATTCGGCGACGTAGCGAATCGCCTGCGGGTGAGACATGATGGCCTCATAATCCGTCCATTTCCCACTGTCCAGGTCCGTCCTCTTAACCTTTTCTATGAATGTCTTCCGTAGATCCACGTACAACGGACACTGCAGGAGGACATGCCTAGAGAAGAAGATGGAACCTTGGAAAGAATTGGGAATGGAGCCTTTTAGCCTGATGGTCTTAATGGTCTTATTATGGTTACCACGACAATAAACATGCACGGAGACTCCAAACGATAAAAGTTTCATCACCATTGTCAGAAAAGGCCAGATCCCTCCGATGCGGAACATGGCAGTGGGATGACGTGGTAATGTCTCACTCGCCGGCTTTGGAAGCTCCGAAGCGCGACAAGTAGAAATCTTATGGAATAAAGATTGATGCCCTGGTATTAATTGATAAATGTGGTCGCTGCGCGCAAGGAATTCGAGGAAATTAGCGTTTGCAGTCACACAACATGTTGAAAAATTCTATATTTCTTTCGTAAAAGCTTCACCCAGACCTTCGGCTACATGTCCAAAGCTCCTTCAGTGCTACCGTTTCCCAATTGTTCTATTCTCAAAAAATAATCGTAAGCTTTCAACACCCGTGAGAAGGAAGCATATACGGCAACTATCGAAATAGGAAGATAGAAGCAGAGACAACATTATTTCAAAGTAAGACGATATTATTGCTTACATTAGTCAAGCACCGTTCTCTGAAAATCGTTCAAATGGGCCTTTATAGCGAAGAAAAATAATTGTCAAAAAGTAACCAAGTGCCACAACTCCAGCAACCACGCTGTATGCAACAACGGCCCCAGTTGGAGCAAATGGCGTACCGATTCCTGTGAGGCGGAAGCCAAGACCCCCGTTTATGATACCAAGAGTAACGATAACACGTCCAAACCACTGGTGCAAATAACCAAACAATCCCTTCTTTCTGGCCTTGCAAAAATACCAGTGCTGGAGAAGGCCCATAGCAGGCTGGAAAAGAATAAGGGACGGAACGATCACCATCCCTATGACTGGGTGGTATTCACCGATCAATTCCAGTTCTGTTGCCATAGAAATTCCAAGGCCAAGGCCAGCAATTGCAAGAGTAAGAGTAAAGAGCTGCAAATATGCGTGAATCCAAAGCATTTTTGACGATGGAAAGACATGAAGGACTAGTGCAAATGAAGGGAAAAGAACAACAAATACAGTGATCATGATAATGGCATGGGCAATTCTTTTCTTATGAATGGGGGGAGAGTTATCGGATAATACAGACTGTCCTGAGCTAGTGGCTGTACCAGATGTGGTGAGGAATGGGTTGTTGGATTTGCCACCAGTAGCTTTTTGAAGGTTTAGCGCTGCAATTCCTGAAGCATCATGTATACTGATAGTTTCTGACAAGCTGTTGCTATCGAGTGGGTTCCCGTATTTGAAAGCCCAGACCCATGGGCTAGACGAGCTTGTTGTATCTTCATGCCCACCAGGCCAGGTGATGCAACTATCACACCGGATATTTGCAGTGATAATGCCATTACTGATTCCACTGCCGTCCAACACAGAAAGACGGGCTTTGGGGTTATGAAGCGGTTCCACATGCTCCACGCCTAACCGGGGAGAGACAGTGACATTATTGCCGTTGGCATTTGCATAAACAACAAATATATTTGCTCCTTGCATTCGGGATCCCTGACCCCATGCAAACCACTGAAGGTTGCGTGTGGATTTCAATTGGAAGTAAATGGGGCCTAAGCCAGAGGTAGCAGTTTGTTGAGGGATATTAACGGCATACGTTATATCATCCTGACCTGCAGGTGTAAAAGTCTGCAATTGGGCGATGGTAAGGATCATGCAGGAAAGCCAACAATAGCAGGATAACATATACATTTTCAGAGATGATGTGATGGATTGAATAGATGAAGGCCCTCCCTGAAGTGTGGAAGAAGAAATAATGATAATATTTTGAAATGAGAATGTAAGCAAATTCATCATTTCCATGCACATGTGTCATGTTGTATTATATTGATTTTAACTTTATTCATTTAAACTAGTGCATGGTGACGATTATAATTTAAGTTTGTAGATCACCTAACTCGACTATCATCGTTATACCTTTAGAGGTAAAAGAACCATATAACTGGAACCCGATAGGATGGATAAATCGGGGCTTTTAGCATTTGCCACTAACCTTGAACATATTCCATGATGATGTACTCTACATGCTAATGTGTAACTAACTTGACATCGTTGCAGAGAATCCAGCAGCCTGCACGAAATGATCGAGGAATTTGATTAAATGTTGTATTTTAACTTAGCTCGAGTTATCTTGAAAAATTTCCCCTCTTTTACGGAGTAGACCGTTGAATGGTGGCAACCTGCTACCCGTAGTTTTTGTGCCCCTGATTGGGTGTACAGTATGCGAGAGGATCCACAACCAATATCTTTCAGTTGCTGTTTTCAGGTCACCACTCAAACTTCTTAATAAAACTAGACTCTGACAGTCCTTGAAGAGGTTTACTCGAAAGGTGTGCGAAATAGGCGTAGCGGCTCTCGTGTCCAATTCTGGCTTATATTGCTGCAATTATCACGTCAATACGAGGACCAGCAGTGATGACATACGTAAGTTTCAGCACTGCCTTATTCATAATGAAGGAGTCATTTCTTACACAAGTAAGATAACGAATACGGGTACGAGGAGTAGAACGTGGTGCGATGGTAGTGAGGAGTGAGTGGTGACGAAGGAGGTGTTCGTATGGGTTGGTGCCTTAGGCACCGGCCCAATTGGGGCTTTTTCCCACTTTCTCAATGCACATAGCCACTTCCTGTCGGTATGCATACTCGGTTCCTTTCCCCCCACGCGGATATATCTCCTAAAGGAAAAAGGTGATTGAAAGCCTGTTGCCTTTTTATGTAATAAACAAGTCATACGCCAGCCACATATAAAGCAAGTCGAAAAGACAAGACTAGATCATACTGTAATTGGAACTGGTGACGAAGGAAGAAGGTAGTTATAGCTGGAATAGGGTTTATTTGAAAGCAGAAAGGGCATTCCATCTCGAATCCTCGAATCGAATATAACCAGGAGCAATGCTCTAGACTTTCCATTATGATGTTGGCGATGATATCTAAACTTGTTTTTCACAGCTTTATCCAAGCGGAAATCACCAATCAAGCTATAATAAAGTAAAGACTTATCATGAGATGTTATTTAATCCGTATGTGGCATATTGTGTCCCGGCTGTGTTCGACCTTGCCAAGAATTGGCTTACCTGTTTTTGGATCAGCAATGAGGTCTAATCCGTATCTAGATAATGGTCATATCTATTTCATATTGAAAATTTCCTGGCATCCTCATATAAAAGAGGGTGATAACTCCATCTGGAGAGACTAGCCACCCTACGAATCATTTATCTAGTGTGTTTGAAAAAAATGGCTAGTATATCGAAGTTAATTCTTGTTCTATTCTGGCTTTCAGGGATCAACGCCCAGTATGGGGGAGGCCAAAGCAATACTACGACGACATCAGTATCATCATCGGTTACCAAATCAAGTTCATCAACTTCACTCTCAGCCACAAAAAGTGTGCAATCTGTTGATGTAGGGGAGGATGGCTTTACCTTTTCCCCAGATACACTCACTGCATCAGCTGGTGATAAAATCGAGTATGTTAAATTGAAAAAAATATTCTCCAGAATCAGAATACTAATTTGTTTTAGGTTTCACTTCTATCCGGGAAATCATTCAGTGACTCAGGCGGCCTTTGCAAAGCCCTGCCAACCATTGAACAATACAAGTATCTTCAGTGGATTCGTACCGGCTACAAGCGGTGAATCAGTATGATTTGGAACCCATCACTGGAAGGAAAATTAATACTGACGGCGATTTCGCCCAATGTAGAAAACCGTCTTTACCGTTGTTGTCAATGACACAAATCCTATATGGTTATACTGTGCTCAGATTGGACACTGTCAGGCTGGTATGGTTGCTGTAATTAACCCGCCGTAAGTATTCTATATTCATCGTCAAATTTGGGATTTGAAATTTACTAAATATATAATTTGCTTTTTTTAGAAACCAGGACGCTCTTTCGATGTTCAAGGCAGCAGCGGCAAAAGTAAGCGAGAGTTCTGAGCCATCGGCCGTACAAGGTGGGACACTAGGAGTACCGCGCAATTCATCCACATCGACAAGCAGCAGTTCTACAAACAGATCTACAAGCGGTTCTACAAGCAGTTCAAGTAGCAGTTCAAGCAGCAGTTCCGGCAGCACATCTTCGAGTACGCCCACCAGCAGTTTGAATTCAAGCAGCACATCCTCACGCAGCTCCAGCCCCAGCAGCACCTCCACGGGTAGCCCAAGTTTAAGCCAAGGAAACACCTTGTACACCTGGAATGACGCGAGTATAGCTCTGACCTTATCGGCAATTGTAGGTATGCTCATGCATTAGGTCCAACTTTTGTGTTCGAGGCTATGATTGAATGGATTTGGCCGGAATCGATTTGTGAAGCAAATCGAGTTCCGTTTGGTACATCATCGTCTCGCTGCTCTCTTAACAAAATTATTCCGGTTGTTGAACATTCTTTCTGTCGAAGGAAATTCTTTGCAAAATTTTCGGGTATTCCAGGACAAATAGTAAAGCCAGCCGTGAAATCTCTATTTCAAGCAATGAAAGATATCACTCCGAGTCAATTTCACATATCACCTCAATGTACAGTCAAAAAATTAAAATCAGCACTGAGAGAAGTTCCAAGCCTGATATTCAAGTCACATTATGAGATGATTATTGGGGGTAAAAAAAAGACCGACGGCTGTTGAATATTTATCATTGATGAGGCTTGGACATCATAATATCCACGGTGTTTGCGGCCGAGATATGAGTGGATAGTGGCTGTGTCTACCCGATCATGCAGTTTCCAAGCTCCACCAATTGTCAACTGAGTGAAAATATAGGTGCACTGCCGCCACAAGTAAATGTCGACGGCTGATACTGTCGTCCAGGGAAGAGCAGATGCTATATGGTAGCGTGGAAACAGACGAAAAAAACAAGTCTGTATTTCGAGAGGAATGGAGAAGGAAGGAAGAGCGAGAGATCTAGTTAAGACATGCACCCGCTAGAGCAGACGGAAAAAGTTACGTGACCCCATAGTCTAATAGTAGCCATCTGAGCATTTATTCCAATGAGGTTGACAATTATTTTTTCGGTTTAGGAATACTTTTGAGTGCGTGTGTATATGAAGAGCCTCATACTGGTTGTCGACACCGAAGGAAATTCAGATACTATACATGCCGCCCACGGACCTGGGAAAGATAGTGCCATAGAGCTATCTAGAAGGTCGCGCACCTGGGATTTCAAGAAGTTTTCCTTAGTCTTCACGCATCCTTCACGAATCGTGAGTCGATTTTCACTTTCGAGTAATTTTCGTTTTGATTTACTGTGCAAGCCAATCGAGATGGGTTCCCAGAAAAACCCGAGCTTTGTGGTCGGAGACCATGAGGCCTTCATGGAGTTCGCTCTCATTCAAGAACGAAGATCACCGCCAGCTATGAAACAATTTTGCGTCAGAACCATACTTGTAGATGCCGCCACTGGCACAGTACTCTTGACAGGGTACTCACTTGAATACCTGAGAGATTATGAGGGCGACCTAGGCACGACACACGCAGAGCGGTCTTGTTTTGTCAGGATCGCGGATGAGCACCAAGTTCCTGAAGAACGAATCCACGAGGTCCTTTTTGCCAATACTGTGCTATATAAAACGACTGTGCTATATAAAACGACTGTGCTATATAAAACGATGAAAATATGTAACGAGAGGCTCAGTGCCAATAATAAATGTTTAACCAGGATCCTGAAGCTCGGGAGCGGCATCAAAACTATCTGTAGGAATCAACGAGCCGGAAACATAATGGCAGACAACAAAGAGTGGAAGCTTGAGGTATCAACGTCGTGTTCCCTGTGGAACATTAGCATAGCAAAATCACCAAGGTCTCACTGGCTGGGCACTCAGACTACAGATTTGACTGATTATCGATATCAGACGGATCTCTTTTTGGAACCACTCGGGCGGTCCGATCAGCCACGTAGCACCAGTTTCTTTCAGCCATCATTACTCTTTATTATTTTCCTTTTTTTTTCACTTTTTCCATCTTATTGATTGTGGTTACTAAGGGGCGACGCTGGGCCCGACCCCATATACCCAATATACCAAAATTAAGCCATAGCCAGTCTGGTAACCTCTACATGCTGGGAAATATTTCGCGGGATACCTATATTAAGCCTTAGCCTCTTATAGTGTTAATCCCTGGGACATAATATGATAAGCAGAGTCTCACTAAAATTTACAAAGTAGTAAGCGAAGTTTGCACCGAGTGTAAGCGAACCACATACCCGTATATTCCACAAATAAGAGTATCCGATAGCAAGTTGGTTATTAGTGTTTTGGAACTAAATGAAGGCTCTAGCCTATTCTCAAATAGACGGGTACGTGCAAACAAAAGAGATACCACGTTAAGCCCCACTTCATTAAGGCCCCTTATCCCCACACCGCAGGACAGACCCACGATCAGCGAATTAAACAGGCATGGGGAGGGGATTTATTCATGGGGACCTGGAAACATGATATTTTTTATCCGAGGTAGATGAAAATGCTAGCTAAAAAGTCGTAAGTAGTTCAGGGCCCTTTGCTACTAAGTCTCTCATTGAGAAAATGGGAAGCATTCCCTGACTTAAAGCAATCAGGCGCGAGTTATGCATGGTACAGTGGCTAGGCTCACGTTAGTAAGGCTTGGCACTCAGCGCAGGAGTAATATTTTAGTGAAAGACTACAGGTCTGCTGACAGGTTGCTACGATGCATGTCTTCGCCACTATTTCCCAGGCAGACTTAACTTACGGCTTAGAGGCTTGGGGCTCGCTAGAAGTGATGTTTTCTTAAAAAAAATTAAATAGTTACCCCATATTCCAATCTCGGGTTAGCTGCATATCTGTACGTGATGGCATTGGTGGGGGCAAATCCCCACATTGTTCTCTAGTCAGCTTTTCCCTCCCCCACCAACCCTATCTAGGTGCGTGAATGCTCTTGCGTTTCCTTTCCTCCGTGTAATGCCCAGCTCATTCCACAATCCAGACCAAGCGCCAAGGCCCAAAGTTCCGAGCCATGCTGACAGGTAGATTATCTCACTGCTCTCAAGACCCTGAATGTGCGCCCTGCAGTGCGTCGGGCCCTAGTGGATACCGAGCCAAGCATTTCGATTATTTCAATGGTTCTCGATAATATCATTTAGCCGATACCGCTCAATAGGACTCGACATTATTACGGGCTACCCTCTGGAACCTATTAATGTCTATGTCTTAGTAAAAAGCTCCCTTTCTATCCGAAACAGTTATGTGTTCTAGGATTATTTATCCGCACATAGAAACTCAGGGGCAATGTAAACGTAAACGGAATAAGGCCTCCCTTTCTTGGAATTCTCCAAGTCTTACTGGCGGTTACGACAAATACACAAGAATACATCAAGTCACTTTAGAAGACTCATACGCCAAGACACAGATGTCAGATCACAGATAAATCCGTTTTGTGAGAAATCTCCTTGTAAGATGAGACTTATGTGCGAAGTCTACTTTCTCAGTGGGTTATTCTCTGATTCATTCTCGCACCTTGGAAACATGAAGATTCGTTCGAAGACCCTCTGTTGTCCTTCGTCAATGCGTCGCACCCCAAGAGGATACGGTGGCTTGCCATTTCGGCATACCGGTATCGCTGATGCCGATGCAATGTTTCTGTAGGTTTATTGCTGGGAGTGGATCTGAGGTAATAGCGCACAATTCAGGAAGTTATACGTATTGAAAAGACACGCGAGAAAACAACAATGGGTATTTTCTTACTAATTTACTTGCTCAGGGTGCATTTGGTATTGATTATAATTTTCGTAGATTCCCGAGCGTTTCTGAACGCTTCTGCACGCTTCTGGCGATTTTGCAATCCCAGAGAAACAGATCTGCAGTGGAATATAGCAGTCCATGATGGACCGAATCACACTGTCTTACCTGCAGTAGGGCCTCTCGGGGGGTTTCAGGTGGGCTGGGGATGTGGGCCGGTTTGAATGATTTGCCGGGCCGAGCGGGAATAGTAGCGAATGAACTCCACTGTTACTGTCAGAATTGATCAGTGAGACGGTCGGATTCTTTATTGCATTTCGTGAGAGATACCCAACTTCCCAATACACCTTTAGCCTACGATATACACATTTATCGATCTTAAACACCCTTCAAATATAAATAATAGAAGACTCATGACATCGTGCCAATTTAGAAGGTGTGGTAAATGATCATGATGTTAGTAGTAGGGCATATATTCTCATTTGTTGCAATACACGTGTCAAAGGTTCAAGCATAATATTTACCCGAGGAGCAACCTCCGTATATTCATCATATCCGGTCACCGCTTTACCTTGGCCCCGGAAGGTCCATTAAAACCCTGAAGATTGAATATGGTGTCGCATTGTGACAGACTCTCGTATTCTGACTAATGTGGTAATAAGACTTTTGAATCGGTATGACACTAGTCACGCAGGCCAAGAACTTGCGGTGACCTTCTATGGACAGGCTTCAAGCACTAGCACTAGCCATCACGGAGAGTCTTGCAAGACACGGGAAATAAGTAATCAAGAAGTAAGCAAATTGAAAAATAGCAAATCCTTTGTCAGGATGTGTGGATCATTGGGAAAACGGAGCACTTGCAACAAGCGACCAAGCCTAAGAAGAAGGCGTTGGGGAAGGGTATAAAGAGGAGGCCATTCCCACGGCGATCTGGAGATATATCAAAATCATCTCAAGCATTTCACCGTTTTCGAAAAGCAATCGAGAAATATGTATTTGTCCACCATCATTAAGGCAGCCCTGGTGCTCGCAGCATCTGTACCCGCGCAAGCGTGGAACAGACTTGACAAGAACAACGCTGTGAGAATCCCAAATTATACGATTTCTAATCTTCAGATCGCAATATCCAATATCTAACAACATTAACTGCAGGCCCTCCTCATTATCGACCATCAAGTCGGCCTGGCTCAAGTTGTCCGTGACTATAATACGAATGACTTCCGCAACAACATCCTTGGCCACGCTGCCCTCGGGAATGTCTTCAGCCTGCCAACGGTGCTGACCAGTTCTTCGGACCAAGGCCCAAACGGCCTGATGCTAAAGGAGATTACCGAGATGCACCCGAACGCGACCTTTGTGCGTCGCCAGGGTGAGGTCAATGCCTGGGACAACGCCGAGTTTCGCGCTGCCGTGAAGGCCACGGGGAAGAAGCAGTTGATTATTGCTGGTATCGTGACTGAGGTCTGCACCTCTTTCCTGGCGCTGTCGCTGGTAGATGCTGGGTATGAGGTTTTCGCCAACACCGATGCCAGTGGCACATTTGATCCCCGCCTCGCCGAAGATGCCAATCGTCGCATGGAGAAGGCCGGCGTTACCCTTATGGGATTGTTTGGTGTAGTTTGTGACCTTATGCGTGATTGGAGAAGCACCCCCGGCCTGAATGAGGTGCTTCCGTTCCTTGATAAGTGAGTGTATTCATGTTATCATTTCAGGGTTCAAAACATTTGCTGACTTTTTGGGAACCAGGTATCAATTTGCTTATGGCCTGGTTGCGCGCCACCATGCTGGGTCCATCCAAAATGGAACTCTGTATCCAGTTGAGCAGACTTTGATTTGAGTTGGCAACTGGGTGCGAAAACTTCAAAGCACTCAAGGTAGACCGCCCTTAGCATGTGAAGAATCCTTTCACTTCTTTACTGTTCAGCCTGAGCCTTCAAGATCATCCGAGATCAGCGCTCGCTGGTTGGAGATTGTTCTCGCTATCGTCCCAATTGGGACCACTTTAGCTTCCTACATTTTAGGAGCAAGCATATTTCTCTTGTCCTAAGAGAGAATGTCAAACTATGTTTCTTAACTCCCCTTTGAATATTCCGTATTCATTTCGTTTATTTAAATGGCTCCTAGTAAAACACCAATAGAGGTCTTCCAAAATATGTTGTGAGCGTGTTGGGTGGAGTTGAGGGCATTGATGTTGCTCTAAATAATCTCCCGATCTTTCCGAAGGCAGTCATTTTTCGATAAGTTAATCATGAGATGAGAGAAGAAAAGAAAAGGGGAAAGTAAAGAATTTGAATGAAAATACAACAATCCTTCCCGCTAGTACCGCCAGTGCTGATTCGGCGCAATGTCCCGGCTTGGTGATCTCGCTCTCTCACATCTCACAATAATTAACAAAATACACTAACGCTACGCCACCGAACGATGCAATGCAACTTCGCAGCGCTCCTCAAGACATAAGAGGTGGTCTGTGGCAATGTCCTAGATCAGGTCTGATTCTGAAGAATGATAAATCTCGATTGGCAATATCGGCCGATCCGGTCAACTGATGATTCCACATGTGCGGCCTGAATGATGATCGTCACATTGAAAGCCATATATTGCTGAAAGTTGAATTCACGGTTCTCTCTCACCCCAACCTCGGGTCACACCGGTTCGCACAAATTGGATTGATGGTGGTGTTCCTGACACCTGGGAATTAAGGACGGGAGCTGATTAAGCGTCATCACCGTCCAATTTCATCATAATAGGCTCACTACGTATTCTCGACCGTGTACAATGATGACGATTCTCCATCATTCTGGCTTACTTTTGTGATACGGAATTTCCTTGTATTATTCCGCAGCACCATGACGACGATTCGGATCGCAGATGATGCACATCAGGGTAGTGAAAGTCGTTTGAATGGTGAAGGCGCCATCCCAAGGACGACATCCAACCTGCAACCGGGCATCAACGAAGACGATGATAATATCTACAATATTCGCTCCCAGGCTAGGCTGCCTGTTCGGATGAGTCATACATCTACAGGGCAAGAGCAGGCAGACGAAAATCCTAGTCTAAGGCTACCTGGCGACTTCAAACAAAAGCAGGTATGCAAGATGTCGGACAATCCCAATTTACAAATTTTAGCTAACGTGTGACAGAGCTTCAAGGGGAGGGTACTTCTGTGGCTGGCTTACCAGTCAATTGGCGTCATCTATGGGGACATTGGAACCAGTCCCCTATATGTATTCTCATCCACGTTCAGCTCAGAACCATCACGACAGGACCTTGTCGGGGTACTTTCCATAATAATCTGGAGCCTATCTATGATGGTGACGGTGAAATACGTACTTGTTATTCTTCATGCGGACAACGATGGCGAAGGAGGTACTTTCAGTACATATGCTCTTCTGAGTCGTTATGTAAGTGATCCTACAACTTCCGTGCTGTCGAAGGCCCATAGACCACTGACTACTGCATTAGATGAACATAACTCACCGTGATCCAAGAGAGGCCTCTCTGGTTCGAATGAAACGATACATGTCGAGTGAACTCGCAGGTGCCGGTCAAAAGCTGCGACGCCGCATTGAATCTAGCAAGGTCACCAGGAAAATATTGCAAGTCACAGGAGTGCTGGCCGTGACGATGGTGCTTTCAGATGGCCTTCTTACCCCCGCACAATCTGTATTGGGGGCTGTGCAAGGGATTGAAGTCGTTCAGCCTAAGATATCCAAAGGTACTGTGATTGGTGTTACTGACGCTATTTTGGTCGGTTTATTCTTCATTCAGCCGCTTGGAATCACAAGGATTTCGTTTGCCTTCTCGCCAATCATCATAATCTGGCTCGGCTTCAATGCAGCTTTCGGGATCTATAATCTTGTCAAGTATGATGCGAGTGTTTTTGAAGCTTTTAACCCAGGTCTTGGATTTGAGTTCTTAATCCGCAACGGTGAAAAGGGGTGGAGAATGCTCGGTGGAGTTCTCCTCGCATTTACTGGAGTTGAGGCTCTTTTTGCAGACCTAGGAGCCTTCAGCAGACATGCTATCCAGATCAGCTGGCTATGTTACACGTTCCCATGCCTTCTACTGGCCTATATAGGACAAGCAGCATATATCAGTGTCCACCCTGAGGCCTATTCGAATCCCTTTTTCAACGCTGCGCCCCCTGGTACAGTCTATCCAGCCCTAGTGATCGCAATCCTTGCTGCCATTGTTGCCTCACAAGCCATCATAACCGCGACTTTCCAGGTAAGACACCAACAAAATTTGCACGGATCACCACTAATTTTAATGGCAGCTTCTGACGCAGGTAATGAAGCTTTCGTACTTTCCACAGTGTAAGGTTGTGCATACGTCTCGACTATTCTATGGGCAGCTTTTCATTCCTCTAGCAAACTGGCTGCTGATGATTGGAACCATTTTGGTTGCGTCAATCTACAATAATGTAAGTCCTATGACTGGGCAGTCTATTCCTTCGAGACGCTCACCCTTTCTATAGACTAAATCACTTGGAAATGCATACGGTGTCTGTGTCATGTTTGTGACATTTTTCGACACATGTATGGTCTCATTGGCTGCTATGTTCGTGTGGCGAATCAGCCCGTACTTTGTCTTTTTCCCATGGCTCATAATCGCGTGCTTGGATGGGACCTATCTATCTTCCGCTCTTACCAAAGTCCCTTCTGGTGCCTGGTTCACAATCACGCTTGCCTCGGTGCTCGCAACTTGTTTTCTTTTGTGGCGATATGGCAAAGAACAACAATGGTTGGCTGAAGCCGAAGACCGATTCCCTACGTCACACTTCGTGGCACATGTGCCAGACGGTGAAATGCACCTCACTGACAAATATGGTGGTGATCCTATCAAGACTAGCCGCGGCCTAGGAATATTTTTCGACAAAGCTGGTGAAACCACTCCCATAGTATTTAGCCAATTTGTCCTCAAGCTCAATTCAATACCGGAAGTTGCAGTGTTCTTTCATCTACGGCCCCTCGAAACGCCCTCTGTGGCTCCAGAGAACCGGCATTCTGTTTCTCGCCTTGCCATTCCGAATTGCTATCGGTTGGTTGTTCGATATGGTTACAATGACGAAATAATCACTCCAAATCTCGCAAGTATCATTGTTGAACAAATCCGGCGGTATCTGATTTTGGAGGAGAGGCCGCAGCCAGATCGCTTGCCTTTGTCGCCTGTCGAGGCCGTTGTCAATGAGAGCTGCAGCTGCCCATCCATAGAGGATAGTCGCACAAGAAGCCCAACAACTGAGAAAGACGAAGACAGTGGAAGGCAGGACAGCGATAGACTTGCCAGACTGGAGGAGGCGTATACTCACAAAGTTCTTTATATCATTGGTAAAGAAGAGATGAAGATTAAGACTGGCGCTTCGATCTTTAGGAAAGTGACTCTTTGCCTCTTTCTATGGATTAAGGATAACACACGCAACAAAATGGCGAATCTTGGGGTACCAACGGATAAGGTGATTGAGGTGGGATTCTTGAAAGAGATATAACCTGACATAGGCAATATGACGTGAGGTGCAGAGATTTTTACGGGTTTAGCATTTGCACTCTGGGTGTACAAATCGTCAAACAGAAGTACTAATCACATTTATCTCGGAGCTCTCCAGCTCTGCCCTCGAAAATAGATAACCCACAAAACTGAAAGGAAAGTATCAAAAAGCTGCTGATCATAGTCCCCGGCCAGCCAAAGCCTATAAAAGCAGTCGCAGGGTTTCTAGCGACAGTACTTTCGGCACATGGGGGGCCCTAAAATATTGCTATACCTCCTCTCACTGTGCCTAGCTTATATGCCTAGAGATCCACAACCAGGGCCGAAGTAATGTTCCCTGCGCCTGTGACAGCGTTTCTCAAGAATAATAATTGAAATAAGGGACAGGAGATGTGAAAACTACTAAATGACGTCCAGCTATATGCTCCTATAAAGACACAAGCCATATAAACTGCTGGTAATGCGATTTTCAATCGACTGTGTTCCAATGGTAGTATCTCAAATTGCTTCATGGTCTGTTGATTAGCTGGTCAGTGACACCAACTTTGTGACCAAGCCATCTAAAGTTCCAATCAGCCAGCGATCCAACACTCCAACGAGCTTTTATCGCTCCAGTTCCCAAGGGATGTAGCAAAGACCCATCTGCAGTGAGTTCAAGTGATACTTCTCCCCCAGAATTACCGGTATATTTCCATGACGATATGCCCCCAGTAAATTAAGGACCAAAAGGATGTGAGAGGCCCGGCCTGTCTGTTGCATATGATATTGAAACAGTCTGATATGTATGGTGGGGCTGAGAAGGTCGTTTGTCTCGTAATCGGGGCTAACTTAGAATTTCCGATGAAGAAGAGGTCTGTTCCAGGTGGAGGAGGTATATTGCCATCGCCCACGATTGCGTAGCAGGTCTTTCAGAGAAGCATGACAATCAAAACAGTTAGTGTTCCAGCAGATGGCAAGGAACCCAAAAAATGCTTCGCCATCCCAGGCTATTGGCCAAAACGCCTCCGATAATTGGACCTGAAATATTTGCCAATGGTACTGCCCATTTTGATGTAGGCCATCTACTTTCCACGCTCTGAGCGAGCCACTATATCATCATCGCGGCGAATGTAGGCGCAAATGCAGCAGCACTGCCAATGCTCTGTAAACACCGCAGGATCATGAGTGCCACGAAACTACTTCGATAAGCAAGAGCCAGGCTAGTCGGGATGAAAGTGAACATGCAGATGAGCAAATTTGGCCTTCCACCTTTGCGGTCGGAGTACCTGCCTGTAACAAGAGCAGCTATACCTTGCATAATGTAGAACTTATTAGATACAGTTGTTGGCTGGGTTTCTCGTAGAGGTTATACAATAACCATATATGCCGTTGTTGCTAGATATACTCCTACGCATAATCTTTCGAAATCTTTGGATATACTGTAGAATGAATCGCCGGGTGTACACTGTATTTGTGAAGAATGCACATGCATTGACTGTCACCACAATTAACAAATGTGACTTTCTTTGTTCTCTCGGAGAGTACCGTAGACTTTTTTTGTCTTGGCTCATCGAGTGTGCTCAGACAGTCTCTAGACCCGTGTTAGAATGTGGAGCTTTTGGTAGCTCAGCTGTTTCCATCCTTCTCCTCTGCTGACAAACGGCCTATCGCTGATCACAAATCAGCATTCGCGGATGTTTCGATCAAGTCAAGATCCCCTATCATGTTGATCATTTTTAACAGCCCTCAAAAACCTGCAGGCGGCCCTTACGCTTGTTAGGAAAAAATCTACTCGACCCGCGATTAGGCTAAACCAACCCTCAGCCCGCCCTTATGCGGGTCCGCGGGTAACCCGCTGAGGGCCGCCCGCGGGTCACTTTGAGGTCTAATCTAGAGTGTTAGGAGATACTTATAGGGAAGACTCCTTTCCCTAGTGAGGGCTATATGTATTGGTTGATGTTTATTACTAGGATTCTAAGGAAGCTACCCAATGAGGTTGACTGAGGGAGACTACGATGAGAGCACAAATATATCTCGAGCTGTGAAGCTACGGCATGCTAGCAGTAAATTCTAGACTTTGAATACCATTGGATGGTTTGCCTTGGGATTTTTGAATACCACCGTGGTACTTGTGAATCACAAGATACGATTGTCCCTGTTACAGATGTAAAGCCCAATATTTGGGCTAATGACCAGACGGTGATAGAAACGTACTACTATAACTAATTATGTATTGAGAATTGCTGACTCATCTACATTCCAACATTTTGCCACATATTGCCAAACAGAAGACACCGGATTCGGTAACGCCGCGATCAAGTTTTACTCAGTATTTGATGACATCAGAAATTGTTCATTTGAATACTTCCAAGACTTCCGACAATCAACAATATAAGTTGCATTCAACCGCCATGTTCTATGAGCCCACTTGCCTGTATTCAGCTTCCAAAGTTTATGCAAAATGACGGATAACATCCCCCAAACCATGAAAGCAGCAGTTGTCAAGGACTTCAAAAAAGGCTACGAGGTTCGTGACGTCAAAGTTCCAAGTGACCTCGGACCAAACGATATTATCGTGAAGATCGGAGCCGCAGGATACTGTCACACCGACCTACAGGTGATGGAGGGGGTCTACGAATCCGATGGCGCAAAGCCAGGCCTGATAGGCTCCCATGAACCATGCGGGACGGTAGTGAAGATCGGCTCAGAGGTTGAAAAATCCAACATCCACGTTGGCGACCGTGTCGGGTCCATCAATACCTATGGATTCTGTGGCATCTGCAATGCCTGCAAGAAGCAGGGTCAACAACTTTGTGAGAACATGGTTGGCATGCTCGGGCTCACGATCAACGGCGGCTTTTCGGAGTACATGAAAGCGGATGCGCGTGTTGTTTCAAAGATTCCTGCATCGATTCCGTTTGTCGAAGCAGCGCCACTCTTTTGCGCCGGTGCGACTGTCTATGGAGCTCTTCTCGCGTCGGGAGTGAAGAAGGGTGACTGGCTTGCTATTGTCGGTATTGGAGGGCTTGGCCACTTAGGTGTCCAATATGCGAAAATGATGGGCGCGAAAGTCGTCGCCATCGATAATCGAAAAGAAGGGATCGAGACCGTCAATTCCGTGCCCTCGCATCTGAAACCAGACAAGACATTCATTGTTGACTCAGATTCTGAGCAAGATGTTATCCAAGAGCTGCAATCCTCATTCTATGATTCAAACCCTGGTGTCGATCGGGTTGTCATCAACGCTGAAGCGCGTGGTCTGATCAAGTTTTCGCAACAGTTCCTTCGAAAAGGAGGGACGTTGGTAGATGTTGGTCTGCCGTCAGACCAAGTTTTAGAGCTTGATCCATTTGCGTTGAGCTTCAAGGAGCAAACTGTTAAGGGGCGGTTGATCTGCACACCCGAGCAGTGTCAGAAGATGATTAACCTGCATGCGGAACATGCTTGCAAGACGCACATTGAGAAGACTTATCCTGTGGATCAGATTAATGAGATGTTTGAGCATTATAAGAGGAAGGATCTGCGAGGGCGTTTGTGCATGGTGTTTTAATACACAAGAAGGATATGCCTCACGATTCGACGTCAGAGAAATCAGAATAAAAGGAAAAACACATAATTTTCCATGGCACATTCAAAAATCTGCCACCCATAGCGAATCTTGAGTCAAAACCTGAAACGCTATAGTGATGATGTAGAAGGTACCTCTACAATTCGATTTCTTGAAATGTGGAAGTTGTCATAGTATAATCTTAAGAAGAATAGAAATTGATAATAGAAGATCAGATATTGATACTAGAAGAACTATAGATTACCTTAATTTACCATGCTGAATCTTCAGATTCATACACCCCAAAGATAATGAGTTCAATGTAGCAATTCCCTTAAATCAGTGAACGTCCACAGAATCAACAACAATAGAGCCTTCATTTTCACATGAAGGGCCATGGAAACCAAGGGCGATACGGAAAACCTGTATCAAAGCTAAGCGAAGAAAGCAATAGCTTTGCTTAAGAGTAACAGTATTTGCTGCATTGTTCAAATGACCACCCGCCAGACACCCGTAACTAACCGGAAAGAAGCACTTTTTTTACTATTCTGTTTGATGGTCTATATATTTCGTCGGGGTACTTCATGATTTATACTCTATCTATTGCCAGCTATCAGCCTTGCTCTCACTTTTATTGCTCTTGGCGCTGTGAACAATCTCGTACCAGTGATCGATCATAATTCATCTTTCTTGCCTTCATGGTTATTGTTACTCGGCGAGAGAACATATTAAACTGCACCCTCCAGCTTATCAAATATTAGTTCTACCTAATTTAAGGGTTTTCAGCGAGGCCACTTACGGCTTTAGAGTCCTGCTAGGTCGACTCTAATGCGCGTTGATTACTCATAAGCTAAGACGGCTATTCTATAACTAATAGGTTGCCACGCATTAGCCATATTCATATAGTTACTGATCAAACTTATAATTTTTCCTGGATTCACGCACTCGCACTTATTATACGACTTCAGGGTTATTTTGAGCCGATCTTGGCTGCTGCCAGCCAATCAGTTGTTCCGAGAATTCACGGTGCAAAATTATCATACCTCAGACATATCTATCCATATGATGTATAATACTTCACTACTTTCAGAAAACGAGAGCTGATACATTACATCCATCTGAGTTCATTAAACTACTAATGGTGCTCAGGGAGGATGAACTTTTGGGTTGGCAGAAGCGATCAAGCTGCTTGTTCTACGTATCCATTGAACTTATACATGTGAACTAGAATTTAAAGTAAAGTTTACCCCTAGTATGCCAGAATTGATGGGAGACCTGGCAGTCTAGCTTCAATTACGCCACGCTCACTTCCTTGCTTTTTCTCCCTACTATCTTCGTTGGCCATCCGATTTTGATTCCGGACGGCTCATATCCAGCCACCTACCAAGTTCTGCTATCCTTTCTGACCTCTGCTTAGGGCTCACATAGAAGCAAAGGGTTTATTGGTGGTGGCAGTGTGAGCACTGCGGAATATTAATTGAGCTGAAAATGATCCTTGGATTTCATTCAACCCTTCACGTAGCGATAATTGCGAGACCCAAAAGTCAGTGGCGCTAATAAGGCTCATTGCAAAGTGCCAGTAACGGGAATATGATTTTTAGAGGTGGAGGACGTATCTGATTCGATACGTACATAGCAAAATGAAAGACCGAATTTTCGATAACTAGTTACATTTCAGATCTTTTGTCTTGAAGTTCAGGCAGAATGTCGAGAAATCACAAAAAGAGCAGTATTCAAGAAGCTTTTCAGACACTTCCAGCGGCCAGCACATAGCCACCGTCAACAACAATAGTCTGTCCATTCAGGTATTGGTTCGAAACAGTGAATAGAATGGCCCCTGCCATATCCTCATCCTTTCCAGGGCGTTGGGCAGCTACTTTACCCTCGTATTTCTCTTTCGGGATTGAGCTTTTTTGATTCTCATCACTATCCTTGGCTGTCATCTCGGACGGAAAGACACCGGGCGCGATGTTGTTGACGCGGATTTTGATATTCGAGGAGAATATTTCGTATGCAAGCATCTTTGTTAAATGGATTGCAGCTGCTTTACTAGCGTTGTAGGCGAAATGATGCTGAGCAGTCCTGAGGATCCCTGATATGGAAGAGATATTTACCACAGTGCTAGACCAGCCACGCTCGCTCTCCGTGCCCTTACTTAGTAAAGGCAGGAAAGCGGACGTTGTAAGAAATAGCTGTGTAACATTTGTTCTCATCACATCGTCCCATTCTTCAACTGTTGTGCTATCGTTGTGGAAGAGCTCTTTTTGAAGCGCTTTTGGGTCCTCTAGCTCCGTTTCGTAACTCGTGGAGCTAATACCAGCATTGTTGATCAAAATGTGCAACTTGGATTCCTTGGAAGAAATCACATCGACAAGCTTGTTGATCTGCTCTTTGGAGGTAATATCGGCTGTGATCGGGATAATTTTGCCCGGGATATCCTTGCCGTATAGCTCTGCCACCCGCTCCAGTTTCTCACCCGTGCGACCGGTGATGTACACTTTGGCACCGTTGACAGCGAGTGATTGAGTGGCCATCAAACCAATCCCTGACCCACCGCCAGTCACAAGAGCGACTATCTTATCAGTTAGCACCTTTTGAATAAGCGAGATTTCATTGCTTTGTCTCATTTCGCATGGTCAAGGAAGGGGGTGCTTTACTCACCTTTATCTCGAACGTTGAAAACATTCTCGAGCTTGAAGCTCTGATTATTCACTTGTGTATTCATTTTCAGATCTGTTTTAGTACTGGTAGAAAATTTCTTAGAACTGCGAAGTGAAAAAAACCGTGAAATCTATTTCGATCATGCAGACCGACGCGGGGTTTTCAATGAAGGAAGACTTTACGTCACGTCACGAATTCTTTCATGCAGTATGCAAGTATATCGCCAATCTTGAAAATGGTTGAATACTTCGGATATGAAGTCATAATCTCCAAAATGATGACGTTTCTTTACCCTCAAAGTTCGATGAGATACCGTAGCCACAAGTTAATGTGCATGTGGAGTACGACTTACCTACTTACCTGTTTCTGTCCATTTTAAGCCAATCGTTATCGACAACTTCAACATGACCCAACATTTTTTAGTAGGCCAAAAGGCCAGTTAAGACCAAAACATAGTGATGAGAAATTTCACTTATAAGATCGAACTTTGAAAATCTCCCTTCCGTGTAATATGGAAGGAGCGGCAAGATACAGTAGGAGCGAAGCGACTCATTTTTAGGAAAACTTTCATATACGTTTCCATCATCCTTCGGTCATCTTGAGGGTCATTAAACAAATGGCCTGCGACCATCTTTTCCGGAAAATCTTAAAATCAATTTGAAAAACTTGATGGGGCAACCTTGAAACTACCCATCCTCTTCTTGTTTCGTATTGGTGGAATTCTTGTTCAAAAGACAACAGTTACTTCAAATTCCAAGTATTTATTAATGAGTATTGTAAGACAGCAATGCTTTTGGAGTTGGTCAAAGCAGGTGGTAAGTGCATCTTAAAGTGGTTTGTTTGAAAGAGCTATTGCTATATCGTCAGTATGACGTCTGTATATACCAGTTGTTTCGATAGCTCTGGAACTCCCGTATATGTGTTTCTTCAACGTGAAATAATAAGAGACGACTATAGAACACGTACGTCAGATATCTTAAACATGAGTTTTATGTACCCTCTTACAGGGGTGACTAGTGTCTACAAAACTACAAAAGTCTTGGCGTTTTTTTCATGGGGAAAAAAATTGGGTTATAGTGGAGAAAAAAGTTTTGGTACTAGAATTCTGATCTACTTGTATAATTCCCGTGAAAATTCCAAACATTCTAATGTAGCTACTATCTAGATCCTCGATATTTGAAATTTGGTATCTAGATCTATCTGTTACGCAACGCTAACTAACTATAGTAAGTATCGTTCGTCATGGGCTCTATGTACTAAGTTGATGCTTGATCCTCGAGTTATTTGATCTCCAGATCCCTACACAAATTGCGCCTGGATCGGACATGAGATGATTTTCATAAATACAGAGTGTTGCTCTAATGCTTGTCCATCTAGTTCATTTCGAATTGCAGGGGAAGAAATCGTTACTATGGGCCAATGACAAAAAGGCTCACGCGTCTGACTGCTATTTGGCATGGAGGCCTACTATTGTAATGGTACAACGACAAGTTCGATTCCCACTCGCTTCTATTCTTCCGATACTTCAAGTTTCAGAGATGATACAGCTAACGCGTTTCACTACTATCTCAACGCTTGGCTTTGAGAACCCCACTTGTGGTGCTGAATACGTGGCGAGCTTCGACAAACGTGATTTGACAGAGCGCTCCCTGGTCAAGCGAGAAGCTTATACCAGATATGCTGTTAAATACATGGTTTTCTTGCTTACCGCGTCTGTCATCGCGATTATATGACTAGATATTCAATAATTTGATGTTCAGCTTTGGATATGCGAACGAGGTGGCAAATATCACCATTTCGACCAACACCCTATATGGATATGGCGACGCCTGGACGGGATCTCCGATCTATTCACCGGAGCCCCTTGTTTCAGAGACCTTTTGTAAATCGCCCAGTCATCAAATGGCGTGGAAGGCTTGGGCTTTCTGACTGAACTTTGTGAGACCTGCCCAGCTCATCCAGTTCTATAAGAAACCGTGCGTTCAATGGAATCGGCACCACCTCTCGCTCTTCAAAGGACGACTAACCTAAAATACACAGTATATTATGAGGAGTTGTGAATGCAACTGAGACATCGGACTGAACACGTCAAACAACTAGTTTTCTGACAGAAAAAAGCTGACTTCCACTAAGCGCAATAGATTCAAAGGAGTACAATCAAAAGCAATGTGCAAGAAGCATTCTTAAACTTGCATATTGTATTATTTCAACAACAGCAGGAACAGCACCTACCGTGGCAGACCTGGCGACCCATGGCGTAGGCTTCCCCAGGACCCAATTTCACCCGGACTCAACCCAACCCAAAACCCAACCCTTGGGCCCTAGTTAGGTCGCAAACGCAACAAACATGCTTAGATTTTTGACACAGCATGTTTATAGTATGTTTTAGCACCCAATATATGTGACATTTTATTATTTTACTCGTTATTATCTCCTAATATACTATTAGCTATATATGTTACCTATGATTTATCAAACCATGATTGATTTATAAAAATAGATAAATTACAAAGGGTTCTTAGTAAATGGTGGAACTACTGCGCATTTCAAATAAATCAATTGAAATCTTGTACTCCAAAATTTTGGCATGCATAAAATTCAGTTCTATCGTATTTCCCCCACTTCTACCAGTCGGATTTTATTCAAATTGAGAAGATAGATTATTTCAAGTCCTTTCTATCTATGTCTATAATTTTAGATAAATTTGCCGTATAGAAGTAGCAAAATAAAGAGAATATAAGTGCATAAACTTATGAAAATTCAGGGGTAAAATTATGCATGATTGGCGATTCTGGCGATACTGTTAACCCTGACCTTTAAATCATTTTCCATCTCTATAACCCGCCTCTATAACCTGCTTAACGGCGACACATGCTGTGAATTGGCTAGAACCCAAAGAGACTTCTGTCCAGGAACTCGGGGAATGGGAGTATATCACAGCAATTCGCTTAATTATTTGGGGGATAATGAAGATCCGCAGGCGGAGTAAGAGTTCTCTAACAACTATGCCGAGCTCAATCACGAGGCAAGTCACCGGTTCACAGTCTGAAGGGGAGAGTGAGTGAAAGAATTAGGTAAGGGAAGGTGCAGGGTAACTAGTTAGTTCAGCTTATTGGAATCCTTATCTAAGACTTCTAGGCTCCAAGTCGTAGGTTTGGCGTGAACTTAGGCGATGAGAAGCTTACCGAGACTAATCTTCGGCTGAGCCCCGAGCCTTAGGCATCAAATAGTTCCAGACTTAGACTGAGGGACTTGACCGCCAATAAATACCTTTTTTGCTCTAGAATGACCCTCAACCGCACTTCATTTCATTGTCCAGTTCTATTTTTCTTCAGCTCTACTTCACCTGTTGAATTTGAATATAAAAGATGGCTTACAAGGGCTTTGGTGGACCGCATCATGATTCGAATTTCGCATCCATTCCCCCGTCTCTCTTGACTCAGATGGTCACCGATCTATGAATGTTCCCAATAAGGTGTACTCTCCAAAATTATCTCACGAAAATATTTGGAAGCTCTGAAGTCGTACAATGACTGCCCTCATACCCATGTAATCTGGAAATCGAATGAGTTCAATGAGAGCAACCCGTTTCACATTGCCATCCACAGCGACAATTCCGATATTCTGTGTGAGCTCGTGCGAATGTATTCCTCGGATACAAGCTTGCTAGAGTCCTTGCAAGACTCAGACGCCATAATGTCTCCCCCATTGTCAAGGCTTGTGTCACGGGCAAACAAGAGATGGTGCTCTGGTTGATGAACTATAATCCCTGCTTAGTAACATTGAAGGATCTGGATTCAGAAGGCAGAACAGCAATTTTCAAAGCAGTCGAGGGCCTGAAAGAAGTAGGCACTCTCATGCTGCAAGCACAACATGAAGGAAATGGAGCGCTTCAGAGGCCAAGGCTCGTACATGGTTTGATGGGCTGGGGCGTGCCAACAAATTGTGTCATGTGAACTATACCATGTGACGCTTAACAAGCGGTGAGATGAATCGAGAAATAAACTTCATAACAATAGTCTAGACTGCGTTCTGGCCTTGGATTTTGTTGAGTGAGGCCGTGTTATCGAATATCCGTTGTATTAGACGGGCATCCAGAATAATTTGACTGAGGCAGAAAGAAGCGATAAAGTGGCTATTAATGTACGACAATATGAGTAGATCTGATTAATGCATTTTACATATACTGATACCGCAGAGTGCATAAATGCTATGATGGCCTTGTCGATGCGCTTATATTCTAATGGGAATTGTGTTGACGGGACACACATGACGGGGGTTGAGACTCGTTTTTTGCAAATGCGGAATGACGTCGTTTGCATGGAAGCGACGTGCTCGCACACGCTACACGAACAGATCGACTCGATAGACGTGGAGAAGGGATGATTTCCCCTTGCGCCAGGCTGGCACAACGTCATAACAGGTTTCTAGTTATGGCTGATATAAACTGATGATGTCCTTATAACCCCTGATTTTCTCTCTTGGCCTTCAAATATTCCCCACAGTTGACTTCGGAAGAGCTCAGCGCAAAGACTACCCGCCTACCACAGTGTTTTATCAGGAGCACTATACGCTTCGGCCCCCTGAATTCCGGTTTTGCAAACGACGTCATTTCCCGCGCGCATTGACACGCAATGTCATATTACGATAACCGCGATTACCTCGACCCCCATAGCCGTGACCGTGGATATGCTGCGGATTATTACGATGGACCCCCAGTAAATCAAGACTACCCTGCGCAGCGCGACTATGGTTCGCGACAATCACGCCGTCCAAGACACGAATTTCGACGTCGGGCATCGTCAATTGGGGGAGATCCTTCCTACCACCTCGATAGTCGTACCCAGCGGGATCAATCTCGACCACATGAGGATTTTTGTGAGTCGCTCAATTTCGACTTGAATAACTCCATGTAATATTAGGCTTACTGGTAGACTGGTAGACTCTAAACGGTCTAAGAACGACTCTTCATCCGAATCCGGTCGCTCGACCCGTCATAAGAATCGTCGCAAATCCACGGGCGGGGCCCCCAGAGATGACCATCATGACCGGTATCGCAGCGGTGATGGAGGCCGCGATAAAAGTAACCATGATCGTGGCTGGGCTGACAGACTACGCGACAAGGGCGGGGAGCTCATCGTGCAGGCTGCTCTTCCCCTCATAGCCGCTGGTGCTGCAGAGGCCTTGCGATCCCGCAAAGAACCTGGAGAATGGAAGGGAGACAAAGGGAAGCACGTGATGAAGGCAGCTGTTACCAATGGAATTATCAACAAGGACCCAAACAAGCCGAACACACACCATATCGTTGATACGACAGTTTCGGGTCTGAAAGAAGGCCATCCTACACGTGAAGAAATGTCTGAGATTCACCGTCGAGCTGACGGGAGCCGTACATTAAGCAATCTTAAAAAAATTGCTGCAGCAAGTGCGCTGGTCTTTGCGGGCAAGGAGATGTATGATCGATACGATCGCTCGAGATCTCAGAAACGAAGTCAAGGCTACGAAGATGACAGTCATGGCTTGAAGAAACGCAGTCAGAGTGTTTCAGACGACTTCAATCGTGGAATGGGCTCTCTTAACGTCGGGGACAGCGACTACCGGAAACCTCAAAGTAGATATGGAGATGATCGGTTGGATCACTGGGAAAGTTACTCTGGTCGTGATCGCAACTACAGGGCTTGGGATTATTCCTCTGACGAGTATCCTGACTCGGATCTGGATGTGAACTATCACGATGTTGATGACGGGCGAGAACAAGATACTCGAAACCTAGACCGAGCACGTTCCTTGAATGCCAGCAAGGCAACCAGCAGCGCCCAGCACAGTACCGGGTACATTGAGAATATCTCAGGTGGTGACTGCTCATGCTCCGAATGTGATTCCGACTTGGGGGACAGCGCAGATGAAAAGGAAAAAGCAAAGAAGATGAAGCGTGATATGCTCTTAACCTCTGGGCTAGCTACAGTTGCAACCATCCATGCCGCTCATAAGGTCTATGGTTCGGTGAATAAGCGCAAACAACGTATGAATCAGTTACAAGATGGGGAGATAACCCCCGATGAGGCCCGAAAGGAACGCATTAAGGCAAATACAATCGATGCGGCAAGCATCGGCCTCGCTGCACTGGGTATCAAAGGTGCGTACGGAGAGTGGAAAGAAGTGAACGAGAAGCGCCAGGAGAGCCAGAATTTCAAAGACGAATGTAACCGTCGTGCTAGGCAACGGGAGCTCAGGCGCAACCGCAGACACTCTTAGTTATCTTGGGGATTTACGAGATTATACTATGCAATGGAATTATTACAGAGCAGTCGATCTGCATCTAACACGTACATGTAGAATATCTTTATTTTTTATCCTTTTCTGAAATGGCTCTCACGGGGAAAGAGAGAAGCAATGTTCCCCGGTCACTTGATTTTTGTTGTTGCATGTGTATCTCAGTTGTATTGTTGTGGAGTTCTGTGGGTCACGACCCAATACTATAGATACAGGTCTAACCCTAATGCATGAGTAGTGCGTATCAGGGTGACAGGACAATACCATAAATACAGGTGCTCCAACACTCCCACTCAGCCTGACTACGCGCTAATCATCGCATAGACAGGATCTCCCACTCGTAGTCTGGCTTCCTTTACGAGCCTCATCAAAAACCTCGATCGTGTGTAAACTTCTCTCGATAAGAGTAAAATCACCGGTCGCAGGACAAAAAGAGTGCTCGCCCTCAAGCAAATCCTTTCCGAAGGCCCATTGATAAAATATGTTTCTCATGCAGTTCACGAGGTAGTGCCTTTGTCAGAATATCTGCTGTCATCTCTGTTGTGCGAATGTACTCGAGTCGAAGGATGCCATTGGAAAGTGCTTCTCGTGTAATGTGGTATCGGATGTCGATGTGTTTTGATCGAGGGGAAACGTCGCGGCCTGATTGTGCTGTTATGATCGCGCTCTGATTGTCTGCATATAGGGTTGTGGGATGAGTAGGGTGGCAGTCCGGATGGATGTCTGCAATTAGGCGTCGAAGGTAACTGGTTTCATAGCTGGCATTCGCCATCGCGACATATTCGGCTTGATGAGTGGATCGAGCAATAAGTGATTGTTGTTTTGATTGCCAATGAACACAGGCGCCGTTGAGGAGGAACACGTATCCACTTGTGGATTTTCGATTGTCGACGTCCGCAGCAAAGTCGGAATCGGTGTAACCATATAGCTCGGTATCTCTTCCGCCGTAGACTAGGCCTATGTCACTTGTGTATTTGATGTACCGTAGAGCATGCTTGGCAGCTTCCATGTGTTTTGCCGTTGGCTTCGCATTGAACTTGGATAGACGTGATAGGGTGAAAGCAAGGTCCGGACGAGTCGCCGTCATAAGGTACATCAGACCTCCCACTATCGCTTGGTACTGCTTTCTGTCGTCGTAGTCGAGAATCTTGTCATTGTCTCGAGCTTCATGTAGATCGTTCTTGATGGAGAGGGGTGTCGTGATCCCGTGGCTGCTTGACATGTTGAAACGCTCCAATAGCTTGTCAATATGACGCTTTTGATGAATGCGAATTCGATGTGAATCTCGTTCGATCTGCATGCCCAGAAAGAGGGACACTTTCCCAAGGTCTTTCATGTGATACAGTTTCATGAGATCCTGTTTGATCTGCGAGACAGGACCTTGTGGACCAGCAAGAAGGATGTCATCAACGTAAAGAAGTAAAATGCACTGGACGAGTGTTGAGACATAAATGTTGGGATCCTCGGTTGACCGACGGAATCCAAGAGTCATTAGCTTCTTGTGCATATCAGAGTACCATTCATAAGGGGATTGTTTCAAACCGTAGAGCGTCCGATTCAGACGCAGAACTTTTCCAGCTTCAAGTTCCATGCCTTCTGGTGGCTCCATATAGATTTCTTCTGACAAATGAGGGTTGAGAAAAGCAGTGACCACGTCTAACTGCTCTACCTCCCACTGAAACCAGGCAGCGAGGGCTAACAGGAGCCTCATGGACGTTAACCTTGCAACAGGTGCGTACGTCTCTTGATAATGTACTCCATATTCTTGCTCATAGCCTTTTGCAACCAGGCGAGCTTTAAAATGCATGTCCCCTTGCGCATTGTACTTTGTCTTGAACACCCATTTGCAGCCAATCGCAGTCTTATCCAAGGGCAAGGGGATAATTTCATATGTCTGATTCTTTTGGTGCGCGGAAAACTCATCGCGTATGGCACGAGACCAATTGACGGGATCCACCTGCATTGCAGTGTGATAATCCAGTGAATCGCCTGCCACGTCCACTCGGAGCCTGCCAGCTGGCTTCTTCACTGCGCTCGGCTCTGCGCCGCCCTTAGATAGATCCTCCCTACTCCGTTGAGCGGTAAGAGCAGTTGCGCGTGGAGGTATGATGGGGTCACATAAATGATAGTCTTGTGGTGGCTCAATCCCACAGATCTTGAAATTTAACAGTTCCGGTTCTTGCTTGATAACCTCAAGATGGAGGTCTCGGAAACTGGATTGTACAATATTGGCCATAGCATGTGGGCCTTCAACTTGCCAGGATGGATGGCATTGCAGGTTTTGGGATTCAATGGGGATTCCTGGAAACTGTTCTTCATCAAATATCACTTGACCAGTATTGAATGTTCGCTTTGCTTCAATGTCATATACCTTCCAGACCTTTGTTGTGTTATGGATATAGCCCATGAACAGGCATCTTCTTGTGCGTGACTGCCATGTTGAACGCTGTGCGGGTGGGACGAGAACATAGGCTAAACAGCCAAACGGTTTAAGGTGATTATACCTAGGAGTCAAGTTTGGGTAAAGGCCAATCAGCGGTACCTTACCATTAAATGCATGGGAGGGGGATAAATTGCGTATGTACGTGGCAGTCGCCACGGCTTCGCCCCAGAATTCTTCGCGATCTGGCAGGTTCGCTCCTGCAAGCATAGTCCTCGCCATCTCTTTGAGAGTCCGGATTGTTTTTTCGCTCACACCGTTCATATGTGGAGTATTGGGAGGGCTGAATTCATGTTGAATGCCTTCATTGATCATATAATCGTGCCAATACTGGTTGGCAAATTCTCCAGTGCCATTATCGGTGCGAATTCTGCGAACGACCGCGCCGAACTGAGTCTTGATCCATGTGTGGTAGGCACGAAAGGCTTGAATGGTTTCCGTCATGCTTTTACCCTTCAGAAAGTAGGTGTGGGTGTATCGCGTGAAGTCATCCACGAAAACGAGAAAGTATCGATAACCGCCTAGAGAAGTAGGCAGCAAACCGCTGAGGTCGGAGTGAATGAACTCAAATGGTTTTGTAGCTCTCTCTTGAGGGTTTCGGTTAAACACAGCATGCTGTTTTCCAGCCATGCACGAGGCACATCGAGAGAGTTGTTTTGGTAGTTGAATTCGGGTAATCTTTGACACGTCCTTCAAATTGAGATGTCCAAGCCGCTGGTGCCAGATTGTGATCGGATGATAATTGTTGAATTTGGCATTAAATGCGGACGCGGGCAGATTAAGTTGGTAGAGATTCGATCGGATTTGACTTGCAGTAGCGAGCGATCTACCGTCGCGTTGGATCCTGCATTGGCCACCAGCAAATATGACTTCTAGTCCCATATCGTCCAAGGAACGCACGGATATCAGATTTGTGCTAAGGTGAGGCACCCACCAGACTTCCTTCAGATCAATAGAAGCCAAGTTTGTCCGTATGTGAAGAGTGCCGCTTCCGAGTGCTTTTACATGCGATCCATCCCCAATGATGACTTGGCGAGGTTGGTGAAATCTTTTGAAGTGGGTGAGGTTTGATCTTGTATGAGTCATTGTATGGCTTGCTCCAGAATCGAGTATCCATTCGTTTGTGGATGATGCATCATGGCTTGCCATGTGAGCAAACCCGTCTTCCATATAGTTCGCATCGGATCGGGATGGTTGTTGAGTTGGATTTGTAGATGAGGTCGCAGCATCCTCTGCCGTGTAATTTGTGCCGCGAGGTATTCGAGATAGTCGTGCTTGGTTTTGCTTGTCTTCCTCTTCACGACGTTGAAGTTCCCAGCACTTTGACTTAGTGTGACCTCTTCGTCCACAGTGGTAGCAGTATACTGTCGGCCGAGGATTTTCGACTCTATGTTCTCGACGGTATGGTTCAGATGGTCTATATCGACTGCCTCTTCCTCGTCGTAATTGGAATGGTCTTCGGGGTCGGTTTTCAGTGATCAGTGCCATTCCAGATCCATTTGCGGCGCCGACCGGTAGTTGATTTTCAAAGTCGAGTAGTTGCTGTAAAGCAGTCTGGTAGTCGAGGTTGGGGATTCGTTGAATGTGAGAGACTGTGATTTCGAAGCGTTTGGGAAGTGTACTGAGCAATTTGGCGATTCTCTCTAGTTCGGAGAGCTCAGATCCGGTTCCGATCAGGCGTTGATTGTAGGTATCGAGACGAGCGGACCAAGTTTGAATGGTATCGTTTTCTTTGAAGGATTCACTCCCAAGTTGTTGCCGTACAGCCCAGATATTGTAGTTGTTTCGTCCTCCTAGTCGACGTTCCAATTCGAGCCACATGGCTCGCGGGTCTCGACGGACAGCTGCAACGATGCTGTGAAAGTCGCTGTGGATATGATTCCAGATCCATTGTATCGCCTTTTCTCGAGCTTGTCGGTAGTCTTTAGCGTTCTGGCTATAATTTGTGAGTTCGGCTGCTCGTGATGTGGAGGGGACTTCGGGCACAGGCTCGGTGCCTTCGACGATGCCTAGTGCTCCCAGGCCGGTGAGTTGGACTTCGGCGTCCAGTCTCCAAGAATGATAGTTTGTTCGAATGAGCTTTGGATGTCCTGATTCACTATCCATGATGAGCAAATTGAGGGCTCATAACCTGTTGTTGCATGTGTATCTCAGTTGTATTGTTGTGGAGTTCTGTGGGTCACGACCCAATACTATAGATACAGGTCTAACCCTAATGCATGAGTAGTGCGTATCAGGGTGACAGGACAATACCATAAATACAGGTGCTCCAACAATTTTGGTCGGTCGGTCACTTACTATACCTAATTAGGAAGTGTTTTCACCCAACTCTTTGTAGTGACTAGACTTCGGCCAGGCCTATGGACCGGCTCATTGGTGGATTCTGTACCGGCTCAAATTCTGAGCATATCACCTCTGTCTAGTCGTGATGTATGGGCACCTTCATGGGATGATCCCTGTTCATGATTACGTACTCATAGTAGTGGCGTAAGCCTAGTCATATGCTAGGTATTTTCTCAATGTATTCTTTAGAAGCTAGAATTATCCTGTTTCCGTGCTCCCTACCTTGCTTCGCTAAGTCACGCTTCGTCTACAACTGCCGGTCTTACCGGGTTGACGCCAACTGCACGTCCTCTGGTCTTGAGCCGTCTTGGTGATCGAAGCTGTCTACTGTCAAGTCACCCCTTCTACCCCGACAAGAGCGCGAGTCTACATTTAGAATGGAGCCCCTATTGAAAAAGTGGCATTGGATTAGTCTTCTTTCATGAACCCAGCCAATTGGGAAGCTTCCCGCAGTCGACGGCATGTCAGCCTTGAAACCAAGGTTGGCTCATTTACTCTTTATCCCTTGTCAATTAAGCTTGTATATCAAGCTCATGCTGCATCCACGACAGATGACGTCAAAGAGATTTCATTCCAACAATGATCCACACACCATCACTGTGCCTGGTCTCTCGTGTGCTTGGTCTTCATAATTACGAAGGTTCTCTGATGTCATGGCTTTCTGGATGTATCGTTCGATCTTGTCACATCGCTTTATCAAGTCAAACGTATATCATCCCTTGATTCGCGCCAATTTAAATATCGTATTCCTAAAAGACTCAAACGTTGCCCAGTCGATGAGGACATCAAACTTATCTTACAAGAAATCAAGCTCACCAAATTCCGAAACAGCTAATACGCTCATATTCAACCAGCATGTTGAACACAACAACTCAGTCGGGAGACCTTCTGCACACGACCCTGAATAGTGTCCCGTTGATGAAGTCTGCCTGTTTCACGGACCGGGAACATCTGCGAGCATACAATTGAATTGCCAATGTGTGCCAAGGGTCAAGTAAAGGTTCGTATTTTAAAACAAGACAATGTCTGCAGTACCAAGATGATGTTCTTTAGATGAGCCCAATTTAAGTTGAAATCTGCGGGAGCGGTGTGTTCTTTACACTTAACACCCTTGTTGATCGACCTACTAATTATAGATCTCCACGAATACATTGGGGGCCTAGTGTTGATATGTATTACGAGGTCGACATATCCCGTTTCAATGGGTCATAGATTTGGTGGCATCATCGAGGAAGTTGGCGACGGTGTAACCCACCTTTCTCGGGGCCAGCGTGCCGTCGGTGCGCTATAACATCTTCGACGGAACAGTCCTGCCTGTAAGTGAGGTCAGAACCACTGCTGCAAGCATATTGCTTTTAGTGGATTAAGTAGTAAGGCTTACTCAGTCATCTATCGATACAGAAGATAGACCAGTTAATTTGATGGCTTATCCTAGGCTACGACGGGACGGGAGGGCATGTCCAAAAAGATCGTCGCACCATTTAGCCACTTCTACTCTACTCCCAGGACAATATCCCTCGAAGCTGCAGCTCTCATTGAATCACTTGCCGTCGCCTGGCACGCAGTCAGCTTGTCACCGTTCAAATCAGGCGATATTGTTCTGCTCGTCGGAGGAAGGCCTATTGGGCTCAACGTCGTGCAGGTCCTCAAGCTTCAAGGAGCGGAGCACACTATATTATCTGAACTAATGGATAACCGCCAAAGCCTCTGGAGAAAATCTAGCGCAACGTACATTTTAGATCCACGAGAGGACGAGGTCGCGCAAGACGTGCGTGAGATCACGGGTGGTGTTGGTGTAGACATTTTCTCAACGCTGCGGGCGTGGAAAAGGCATTGATCGGAGCTACACTTGCTTGCCCGATGCAAGGTAAATTGTTAACATTGCTGTGTGGTAGAAACCACCTTCCATTCAGTGAATCAGTTAATGTGAAAAGAGCTCCGATACGTAGGAGCGGCGATATATGACGAAATCTCGGTTCTGAACACGATCCGCGCGGTGAATGATGGTAAATATATTCTTTTTGACTTGACTCCCTACCCAATTTGTGCTGTTTGGGTGGTCTAATTTTACTGAACATTGGCTAATATACGAGTAGCCAACCTGATTCGGAAGCTATGATTATCTCGCGCATCGCGCTGGATGAACTTGTGGAGAAGAGATTTAAGACATCAATTGAGCATGAAGATAAGCACTTTTGGACATGCAGGCTTAGATCTCCACATCATAGAATTCTATTGAAGGGAATTTTAGCAACACCCACATTTAACTGAGCAATAATATGATTATCCCTTCAGCGCCAAAATCTTGACTTAATTGAATCCTCCAGTGAAAGTCTCATTCATATTTCAAAATTATTAGTCATATGATATGGTATTCTATATGCATAATGTCGCGCTGATGTAGTGAGCCTATCACGCATCATGCTGTATAGAGAGGTTTTTAGCTGCCTAGAAGGTGACAAAGGATCTGGCCATATATTTTAATTCCTCAATTGAAGAGGCCTTGAAAATGATGAAGTTGAAGATGGTATAGGGCTCGGAAACGATCGACCGAAACCCGCTACCAGTGTGGAGATTTGACGAACTCTCAGACCTCGATACTAAGCCGCGTAGGGAAATCCTGGAATTGGATCACATTTTTCAGAAGATGTAAAGACAGAATAAGCTGTTTCAGCAACAACTGTGGGTATAAGGTATGCGTAGGTTTTGTTAATTAGATCTACGTCTTCGGCCATAGTATTTGTGGCGCATAAATTCATATTTGCCGTTCGAGAGATTGAGATATGTGTATCTGCCAGCTCAGTCTTAGCCCCGTGCAGGGTATCAGCGGCGCGAGCTTGTAGACGATATGTGCATCATAGCTACGTGAATGATTAAGGGCTTTTCGGTGTTATAGGGATAACCTGTTCACTATGACTTTCTTTCGCGCAAATGTTACCTCGTTTGCTCATGAACGGCCTAAAGTCAATGTCTGTTCAAAATAGGTGGGACATGGAGCCATTCCTGCAAATCTTCATATATTTCAATTATGTGAAGACACCAAATCGGATTATTCTAATAAATACTCTGTGATTCATATTTTTGCAGTCTCAAAAGCATTGGGAGACATGAAATTGCTCGATACCTGGTTTTCCAGCGTGGGCATACGGGAATTCTTTCTTTTTGGACCTTGATCTACAGTAGTAGTTTACATGATGATTATCAAAAAAAAGATGTACTTTAAAACTTGTTTCAAAACCTTGATTTCATCTCTAATCATTCTTGAGTAAGAGTTAACCATTAACCACAACTCCTCCGTTTGGATGTAGACATTGACCGGAGATGAAGCTACTGTCTTGGCTTGCAAGGAAAACAAAACAAGTAGCGACCTCACTGGGTTGTCCCGGACGACCCATTGGAGTGCCACTGAATTGCTCTTCTGCGGAGGTAGTCATAGTGGCCGGGATTAAAGGGGTCCAAACTAGATGTCATTAGCATTGACATATTCCTCACGAGGACCACTAAACTCACTTGGCCCAGGGCAAACGCAGTTCACGCGGATGCCATTCTTAACCTGCTGGTTGGATAATGCTCTCGTGAAAGCAACAATCGCCCCTTTGGTTGAAGTATAGTCCAGCAAATCGGGTCGACCAACGTAGGGATTGACGGAAGCACAATTGATTATCGTTGAGCCACTCATCATGTGAGGCAGCGTATACTTCGATAGATAAAATATAGGATGAATGTTTGTGTCGAATGTGCTCGCCCATTGAGACCTATGCAATTAAATTAGCCAAAGCTTCAGCTTTATAGAAGAGCGAAGTGATAATACTCTTCAAGATGCTTGATGTCATCGATCATTGTTTGAGTCCCAGCATTATTGACAAGGATATCAATACTACCCAAGGCCTCGATCGCTGTGTCTACCACTTTCATGCAGTTCTTCTTCTCGCGAAGGTCAACGGCTAAGCAATGACAAGTCTGTCCGATTTCATCAACGCGTCGCTTGGTCTCAAGTGCATCTTTTTCCTCTTCCGGAAGGTACGTGATGAGGCTAGACGCTCCTTCCATGGCAAAAAGAATTGCGACAGCGCGACCAATTCCAGAATCGCCACCAGTGATGATTGCTTTCTTCCCTGAAAGCTTGCCGGCAGCCTTGTAGGTCTGATATCCACCATCTTCAGTTGGTACTTCGCTTGATGTGGGCTTTGGATTCTCCATATCAGCCTGTATGCCAGGCTTTCTGTGATGCTCAACAGGGATTTGGTGGCCTATTACGTTCATGAATATGGAGGACTTTTACATTCAAAGAAGTCCACTTACCCTGCTGGAATTGCGATTGGGGCCCCCGGAATGGCTTTTCAACTTCTTGTTGCATGTTGGTGATGTATCTTGTAGAGAACTAAATTGAATTGGCATAGGAATAATAATCGCTTTGGTGGCTGCTCCTTGCTTTCTATAATAAGCATGTTTTAGACTAGAATGGACACTCTCGTCAGTATGACGTCCGGGAATGCCATAAGATTGGCAAGTTCCTTACACTTTCCCAGCTTCAGTATCTTTGTAAGCGCCGGCTTTATCTTCTTAGAATATGTAACTTAGTCAAATCTGACATAGGGTGGGCCCTTTCAAGCGGTCACCTTTCCGGATTATCTTAATATTCTCAACCAGTTCCAAGTTGGTTGTTAATCGCCCGCTGACCCTGCTAATTTGGGTACAAGCCCTCGACATGCATACTATGATATCGCGAGTCGAAACAGATCTTGCATTGGATTATTAATATATTACGTCAAAGGCTCACTCGGCCTTGTCGGCATAGGGTCACAAAAGCAAAGGCTAAGCAAGACTGTGTTTAAAATAAAGTGGTCAAAAGAACATCGCTCCTTCTGCACATCTTGCTACTTTATGCATGACTGTCTTGACTTTAAGATCGCCATACTGTAATGCCAATGTTTCAAAATTTGATTAGAAGGCGATCCTGAGTTGAGAGGAAAATTGGACGATGCCGACCATTGAAGTCGACAATTCATTTCATCATTTTTGATTAAATGGAAATTCTGTATCCAGGATTTTGCCGGGCTGGCCTCGAAGCTTGTAGAATTGTTTCCACAAATTATCATGCGACAGGTCTTAGAGGCGCCAATTGGCGGAATCATCTATAGGTGGGTCTACTTGTCCATGAACGCTGCCCGCTGTTCGTGGCAGTTGCCAACAAGGCACCATTGGAGTTAAAACTGTTGAATCGTGTCCTGTTTGACGACTGTCAATATGACATATAATTAGAAAATTAAATACCTTCTTACTAGTGAATTGTGCGAAATGGCAGGTCTGGAAAACTTTGGTCACGGTGATGTAATTTGATAACTTAAAAAGTGCGTTCTCTGACCCGTCAATGAAAACATCTCAAGTTTAAGTAAATTCCGTTTGAGTAAATCCCATTCAAAATTCAGACCACATCCAACCTACCAAGACCAAGTTATCAGAGTATCGATAGTCCGCTTGCCGAGACCTGATTATTCAAACGGTAAATGACGCCAGATTTATGTAATAGATCCTGTTACGGACGGAATTTGTTTAAATTCATCCAAACATGTTTTCATGCGATAGCACCGGATTATCTCTAATGATAACAGCACGAAACTGGCCTATATCATCAATTGACAATTCACTTAGCTAAATATGGCCGACGGCGTATTGCAACTTGTTTGCGCATGCAAGGTAAGACACAATGTGAAAGAAAACACCGCCAAGGTTTAACAAATATTCAGCATGACCCGTGGGGTAAAGTAGGGAAAGATTCTCTTGCAGGTAAATTATGGTCCAACATGCCTGATGCAGGAGAGCTAGACGACTCTGAGACCTATTCTGAAGTCAGTACCCTTCCACATTGGCACAAAATGGAGAATAAGCGCTAATATCATAAAGATGTGGATGGGTACTTACCCAAGTGTACCATCGCGAGTTCGTTCTACAGGAGAATCCCTCCTAGAGCATCTCAAAAAGAACCCCGGTCTCGTGGGAGAATCGGTCTGCCGTAGATATGGCTCCGATGTTCCTTTCCTCCCCAAGGTTAGATGTACTGTCCGATCAGAAAACCCGACAATGACTAATCTTGACTAGATTTTGTCCTTTGAAAAAGCACTTCCCCTTCAAATTCATCCAGACAAAAGTTTGGCGGAGCAGTTGCACAAGGAGAACCCTGAAAAATTCGGCGACACTAATCACAAGCCCGAGATCGCGATTGCATTGTCTCGCTTTGAGGCATTTGTCGGGTTCAAACCCCTCGACGAAATTGCTGAGCTGGTGCGACTCAAGCCATTAGAGTCACTTATGCCAAAGCATACTGTGTTCAATGACGAGGTTTTACGACAGCTCTGCACGAATTTGCTCAGCCTATCCCCAGAGTCTGTATCTGACACAGTCACCAAACTCCAAAACACTCCTTTGCCAGAATTTCGCAATGATCACCAAGTCACATCGCTCCTTCGTCGACTTCGCGAGCAGTATCCCGAATCGGACAATGGAATTCTGGTCGCTACACTTTTAATGAACTATATGATCTTGCAGCCCGGGGAGGCAGTATGCGTCCCTGCTGATAGCATTCATGCATACCTATCTGGAGACATCATGGAGTGCATGGCGCGATCCGACAATGTCTTGAACACGGGTTTCTGCCCACGCCCTGACCGTGATGATGTCGAGCTTTTTGCGCAAGCTCTTACATTTAAGCCACACAGCCCGGAAGAATCCATACTTCCAAAGAAAACAAGTCAGGTAGGCTTGAAAGGACGGACCACTGCATATTCGCCTCCAATCAGCGAATTCGATGTTCTAGGCGTCACCCTGCGTCCTAAGGAAGTTGAAGCTCACCGGGTGATCCAGAGCCCTAGTATTTTGGTCGTAACTCAAGGTTCGGGGAGGATGGATGTGAGCGATGGATCATTCCACGAAATAAAGGAAGGGAGCGTTTACTTCGCTGCAGTAGATGCAGAGTTGAAGTTTTCGACTGACGTGGGTTTGACATTGTATCGAGCACACGCCACCTTTTAGTGGTTTTATATTCTGTTTGGGCAGAAAGAGAATTCTTTCGCATGATCAATCGATGATCATGGGTCGATCAATGTTGCAAGACACGCCTTTACTTATGTAACTGGAAATGAAAGAGCAGACCCCCTTCAGGATAGAATTGACTACTAGCATGGTGGATTGCGCTTCTCACTCTGACTACGTAGGTTGTGCGAGTTAATCTCGTACTCCGGCTGTCGGTGCTATGAGAGGCTGAACTATGGTAACGTTTGCTCGCCATATGTCGGCTTTTCTATGCAGATACTTGCCTGTACCATCGCGAGGTCGAAAGTATAAATGGACGTGACAGAAGAACTCAATCATTCGAGTACCCTGGGATTATATTTAAATTGGAGTTCAGTAGTATTCTTTATGGCGGGGAAGCTCGGGTGGGGGTTAGTTCGGGAGAGGGTCAGGGTCTGGACCCTGACCCTGTGCTAGAGGAAGAGATATACCATAGTCAGCCACGATCGGGCTAGCTGCCTATGCGGATGGAATGGGTACCGAAAGACAACCATGGGTTCGGGTCAAAGCTTCTTGGTTTCGGAATGTGGGGGATATATTGTCCTCGTATAATAGCAAGTCATATCTCATGATCAACGGTTACCATGGTACTGGACAAAAAGAACTTAGCGGGAACTCCGAGCTGATGAAGTATTATTTTAGGGAATGAGTCACGTCTATCATCTAGGCGGCAATATTATATGCTCTGGATTGACGAGAAATGATTTATTGCCTCTTGAAGCTGTCGAAGTGTCCTCTAATATCTCTTCCTCTAGCACAGGGTCAGGGTCTGGACCCTGACCCTCTCCCGAACTAACCCCCACCCGAGCTTTCCCGCCATAAAGAATACTACTGAACTCCAATTTATATATAATCCTGCCTCATTTTTACCTAACCTAGAGGTTTATTATAGCTTGATTTTAGGGTATCGATTCTAGCAGCTTTGAAATATGAACACTTCGACTTCGGGATATCCATGAACCTGCGGGGTTTCCAAATAAGAGGTATGCGCAGGGCCCAAATTACTCCAATGCAGCCAGAAAGAAAAAGAGAAAGCCAATGTAAGATATGATCTTCGAACTCGGGATTTCCGCAAGAGTATCCCTACATATGGACTTTCGCGAGAAGTACATGTCATATCGAACTACCTAAAAACCCGGCTACTAACCCTTTACGACTCTGCCTTGAAAGTCTGTTGACCAGAACCTCTCTGTATATTGTTTTAATAAGTACTCCCCAGTGATCCCACTGTCCACAGAAATTTCAGCACATGCAGCCCCCGAAAGTCTATGTGTGGCGCGAGGTTATATTCTGCGTATAGGAAGGCTATAGCGATGATAGGCAGAATAAATGTTCCAAATCCCTGCGAGGTATGACGTTCTAGATTTTATTTCGTTTGAAAGATGCGTATTATATTATACACGTGAAGTCATTTAGATTGTGGCTGGGAACCGGGAGTTGATCGAACTGGTCGTGCCCGTCTCCGGAATTCCCTGATTCATCCGGGATAGATTCTCGGTACTTACAAGGATTGTACTGCACCTGTGACTGGACTGAAGAAACGGTGGCGAGGCCCAGGAAGAGTTACGGGTGAGGGTGGTAAATGAGGGGGAACATGCCGAGTGTACCCCGCGTATTCTCAAACTTAGACTTTTTGGGGTTCCGATGTACATAGTACATATCATGGATATAGAAAGGGCCTTGGATCCACATGTCTTCTGCAGGAACGCAGATCTTTGCCTTTTTCATTTTGGACCCTTAACGATATGGCTTCCGTTCGATCTTCTACCTTTCACGAGGAAGTCCACATTGGCCTCAAAACAATCCTAGTTGTCACGGTACAGATTCCATACCTCGTCTTGAAATATGAACTTCCAAATTGAATTCTAATCAATTTTCAGTCAATCAATTTTATCTATCTCGCCCAACTTATGGGTATCGTTGGCGCTGGCTTTCTAGCTCAGCCGATTACAACGCTATTTGGTGAAAGCAGTCTGAGCGTCTGGCCTAGCTCAATTCTTACTATATTCACTGCTGTTCTGACTCTGCCAGTAAGTCAGGCCGCTGACTATTGGGGGCGAAAATGGTTTCTTGTTGTCCTGATGCTCTGTGGATTCGCTGGCTGCCTTGTTATCGGACGGGCAACGTCGATGGGCATGGTGATTGGCGGGTTCTGCCTCTTGGGTATGTCATTTGGCAGTCAATCTCTACTCTTCGCCGTTGTCTCGGAGGTATTACCACGAAAGCATCGGCCAACTGCACAGGCTACAGTGAATTTGACCGCGGGACTGGGAGCCGTGGCTGGCCTGTTAATGGGTGGCGCACTGCTCCGCTACAACAACCTTGAGAATTACAGAGTTTACTGGTATGTTGTCGCCGGAATTTTCATGGTGTCTTTGGTACTCTGCCTCTGCTTTTACAACCCTCCTCCTCGAGAGGCTCAAATAGCATTGAGCACTGGTGAGAAACTTCGGCGACTCGACTGGATTGGTATTGGCACGTTTGCGCCTGGACTGACCCTACTCTGTGTTGGTCTCGCTTGGTCACAAAACCCATATACATGGTCTGATGCTCACATTCTTGCACCCTTCATCGTTGGGATATTGCTCCTTGTTGCCTTTATCCTCTATGAATGGCGCTGGAAGAGCGACGGCATGCTCCATCACGGCCTCTTTAAAAGACGGAACTTCCCAATTTCTCTCGCCATTGCATTTGCAGAGGGTCTTTCTTTCTTTACCTGCAACAATTACTACCCGTTTGAGACCGGCCTACTCACTGGGGGCTCACTATGGACCGTGGCCCTCCATTTCACAATCTTGTTCTTTGCGTCCGTCGCCTTTGCTCCACTGGCGGGACTATGGTCGTCAACCAGAAAAGTCGTTCGATACCCTCTTTTCGTCGGCGTCTCATCTCTAGTTGTCTTCAACATTCTTATGGCAACGATTGCCCCTAATACCACCCTCACAGTCCTTTGGGGATACCCCGTATTTGCCGGTCTCGGACTTGGAATGATCTTACCCATTGTCATGGTGGCCGCTCAACTGGATACACCACCTGAGTTAATCTCCATCACATCCGGTCTGATGACTTCTATCAGATCATTCGGGGCCGCTATTGGACTTGCAATCAACAATGCAATCATTCATAACTCCCTTTCAAAGCATCTGGCCCCGAAGATTGCGGAAGCCGTACTACCTTTGGGATTCCCACAAGCTGAGCTATCTGCCCTCATTGGTGCCCTTGCATCAGGAAGTTCCAGTGCTGTGGAATCTATTCCAGGTGTCACACCAGCTATAGCTATGGCGGCAGCCACGGCATTGAAAGACGCATACAGCATTGCGTTTCGCAATGCCTGGATCACAGCTGCGTGTTTTGTTTTTGTGGCAGCTATCGGTACGTAATAGTCACTCAAAATAACCTCAAAAGTCATTCCTATCAGTTAGCTAACTTGAGCCACTTTCGCAGCTACCTTGTTCCTGATCAATCCATCAAAGGATTTCAATGCCCATATCGATGCTCCTGCCGAAGAGACAGCACTTCAAACTCGAGCTGAGATTGAAGCAGAGCTGGATCATGACAAGGAGGCTTCGCAACACGCACACCACGAGACGGTTGACCAGTGAATTCTTGAATAAATAACCTAAGCTTGGCATGATAAAGAGATCATAGAATGGTCTCTAGTTTGAACCATCATATCGCTGGCATATATTGAAAGATACCAGTATACTAGTGAATGACTTGCGTAAGAATGAGTTTTGATAGTATTCTTCCTGCAGGGTGGTTTCGTACCTCCCAAAGCAGTCGACTTTCTTCATGTTTGGTCAATTGCGTTACTTTGATTTATTTAAATTATTCGCACCTGTATATCTTCAAAGATTCTTATATGTAGACTAAATTTACATCGCATCCATTCAGAAGGTTATCTGGATAGCTCTAGTTAGATGTGGACCTCTCATTCTTGGTCTACCATATTGTATACAACATCTAGAACGAATATTTTAGTCAACTACTATAAGTGATAATGGATTTTGATGATCATAGAGGTCAAGATTTATTTCTCATTATTATTCTTAGCTAATAACAGGCATTAGAGACTTAAGAACCATTTCCCCCACCGCACTATAGTTTTCTTCTTTGCTTCCAACCACGCAAATCACGTCCTTTTATCCTACACGCGATCATAGATCTTTAGGACAAGGAAAATGCTTCTGGGTAGGAGCTGGTCCAAAAAAAACTTTGTCATGGAACTTCATTCGGTGTAACAGTAAGACGCATCCCCACCCAAAAAATATTCATCCCTAGGAAAGCCCGGAGTTTGGGACAACGGCATTGATGTCAGGGAAACCCGCCTGAATGGGCAACGGACAATGCTTTTCGATGGGTGCAGGACCGAATACAACAGTGTCTTCAGTAAAACTGAGCCGGACGTATTGAGTTCCACTCAACGCCCATATCTGACCTATGTGGTCAGGAACTGGCAGAATTGCATCGACCTTGGTAAAACCGACTTTGGATAGGGCTCTCCAGGGGGTTGCGAATGGCTTCGGCCCCCAGAATATCTTGTCTATGATAGTACTCGGACTGACTTTGGAGCAAGTGATACGATATCTTTCAATGCTCATGGGCAAAATTTCCTATCTGCCGCAGCCCAGGCTGGAAATTGTGAGGGCCTCAGCTTGCTCATTGAGACAGGTGCTTTTGATCTATAGTCTCGAGATATTCAGTCAGGACAATGTTATCATATGCTGCCCAGGAATCTTGTCCTGTTGTGGTGACAATATTACTTGATACCGGGCGGGTTTATTCTTCCTTTAATGACCAAGGCCGCAATCAATTTCACTGTGCTATCATAAAAGATCTACTAGATATTGTAGTGGGGAGACCTGGTCCCTACTACGGATTACCATACCCTCACAGGTCACATTCCGTCCCGTAAGGAAAACGTCATATTAATACGAGTTTAGCACTACTTACAGAATACACATTCTTACACATCTCTCACTTTTGACCTTTGTCGAGGGATCCACTACTCTCCGAGGGCGACCTTCAGTCGTGGTGAGTTTTGCTGAGTATATCCGATTCGTGCGAAGAGCGTACATCCAACGAGCATTTCCCTCTTCAATTTGTATCCAAAGATGAGAATTTGGATATTGACATGGGTAATTAGTGGGCAGATGATCGCTGGGCCAGTCGTATATTAAGTCGGGTGAGCAAGTGCGAAGATGTTGAAAAAGATGATGATCAATGTTTATACGATTGCAATGGGCCATGAAAATATCATTGATACACAAAGATGACCTGGCAGCTGTATAATCTTTCAAGTATTTATATATCATGGCCACCCAAAACCAACAATAATTCTATTTCAATGGTCAAGAACAATTCAACTGTCGCTATCACATCCCATTCAAGGAACTTGGGGAATTTATGGCACATTTATAGCTTCTTGCCAGCGGCCTGCCGGTGTGGCCGCCTATGGAGCACCTTCGAGGCGTCTGACACGCTGAAAGTCGCCTGTCTGGTACGACAGAGAAGGTGTAATCCTGGCAATCTTCCACTGTCCATCCACCTTGATAAAACCGTGTTCCATCCAACTCCGACCGTCACTTGTCTCGCCGATCTTGTTTGACGAGTCTCGAACACTGTTCTCTCTTCGCCCATGGCTAGCGAGCTGTTGCCATTTGACAATAATTTCGTTCTCCTGTACGCTCTTGAAATAAGGCTGGCCCAAGAGATGCTGTGTGGCGAGAGCTTTGTTTCCGAGATGCTCTTCCGACAACCATTCGCGCGCGAAATCGTCAGCAGCGTACACTTTCTCCCCCAGGAAGGAACAATTATTGTGTAGTCGACGATGACTTCTGGTGCTAGTGTGGCCAAAAGATGGTCATAATCCTGTACCGAAATTATTCACATATCCATTTAGAATATTGATGTCTTCCCTTACCTTCAGGTCATAGCCATCAGCCCAGGCGCGGGCGGTTTGGACGACAGCGATATAGTCCTGGAAGGACAACTTGTCCGGAATGTAAAGCTCGAATTTTCCCATTGTTGCACACAGACTAAGCGCGGGGTATGGACCCGTGGCAACACAGCTTGAATAAGTATATAGCTCTCCCCTCACCGGCAAAATGCGTCCATCCACATCCCGATGTATGGTCGGCTCATCGGGATATCCGATGGCTCCACCCCATGATAAATACAAGACAAACAAATCTACCTACCAGAAGGCACATCGCACCGATACTATCAATCAAAGAAAACCACATCTCAGCTCCATGGATTCCCCATTCACGCTAAGAACGGATTTGTATCCGCCCATCTCTCCCGATAAGCTTACCGGCTCGCTGAAGGGCAAAAACGCCCTCATTACCGGCTCGGGCAGAGGCATCGGTCGAGAAGTCGCGCTCGCACTGGCTGCAGCTGGCGCCAAAATCGCCATCACTGCTCGCACCGCCAGCGAAGTGGAAGCGACCAGGGCGGAGGTCCAGGAGCTCATTTCCGGAGCGGGGAAGGTGATTGGGATTACCGCGGATCTTCTCAAACGCGAGGACCAGGAGCGCCTCGTTCAGGAATTCCACGACCAACTAGGTCCAATTCACCTCCTTATCTTGAATGCGGGGAACAACATCTTCCAGCCCTTTCATCTAACCGAGGCGGATGGCTGGTGGGATGTCATGGAACTGAACGTGCGCGCCCCTGTGGAGCTTACCCGGCTATTCCTACCGGAAATGATGCGACAAAACGAGGGCACTATCATCTATACTTCTTCCCGTGCTGCGAAAGCCGATCTCCCCTGGACTTCGAGCTATAATTGTGCGAAGACGGCTATCACACGGTTCGCAGGAACGCTGCATGCGGAACTTGAGCAGCTCCAACCGAAGGAGCACAACACTGCCAACAAAATAGAGGTCTTTAGCATTCACCCCGGCGAGATTGAGACGCAACTGCACCAGACGGCATTTCCGCAGAAAACACGGAATGAGGCCCCGTACGTGGTGGAGCTACTAGAACGCTTAGGCCGGACTCGGCCGCACTTTGCGCCACAACTGCCGGCTTGGACAACTGTATGGCTATGTGCGGGCAAAGGTGCGGGTCTAAAGGGCCAGTTTATTGATTGTACTAGAGACGTTGAGGAGCAACAGGATGCGTTTGTGGAGAGCAAGAAGTAAATAGATGAGTCAGCTTGCATACAGACAGGAATTAGAGCAATGAACAAAGTGTTGCATAATCCCTCGTGATTATGACTACATACATTAATGACTGTTCTATGAGTGGCCTTTTCATGAAGCTTCCATACCAATAACTGCTTTGAGTACAGCTTTCTGGCCGTCTTTTTCTCGTCATCATTGTCCGGCCGGGCAAATACCTACCAACCCTGGAAGGTGAGTGAACGTCGGAGCGTCACCAGATATGACCGGGGCCCTCCCAACCAATCCACTTAGGTAATCTGCCCACCTCCTGTCTCGCATCCAAGTGGGTAATTCTGACCCCAATGGAAAGGATCATCCGAGCTCTGGACCAACCCCGTCATTCTCGGCTCGGCTTATCCGAAAGCTTGTGTCCGGATTCGCATGACCCCAGCTTTGGAATACGGGGATTTGGAATCCGGGGAACCCTGACCTGTCAAAGAGACCCACTTGTATTTAGATAATAGAGTGCATACCCATGTCCCGTTTATATTGATGAGCTGTGCAGGTCAACTGTGTCTACGTTTTGCTGAAACACCAGACACCTGATACCTGACACGCAGGTGCATTCGCCATGTCCAAACCGGAGACCGGACACGAGGAGGATGTTTCTGTTGTTGAGCCGATTGGTCTTCTACCTGACGATGAGCCCAATACTATTTATCAGGTTAGGTGGCGCACGTTGATGGCTATTTTTGCGCTGTCGTGGTCGAATAATTGTGCTGCTATTTCGAATACGGTATGTATTCTCTGCCACGTTTGAGAGGGTGGATGTCTAGCTAATGATCTCTTCGTGCAGACCAATACCATCATCAGTTTCCAAATTCAGGACTTGGGAGGTGTTTCGCTCGCTTCATGGATTGCGAACGCCAATCTTCTCGTTACCCTAGCTTTTAGCCCGGTTTTTGTGAGTCAATTCGTTTTGTCGAGCCCTAACTTCTGCTCCACAACATTTTGTCAAGTCCCTCCCAGCTGATACCAAACTTCTATCTAGGGATCCCTCAGCGATCGCTTGGGCAAGAAATGGTTTATTGTACTATGCAGCATACTAGGAATGGTCGGCTCGGTCACCTCCGGCTCTGCGCACAAGACTACCGTCATCGTGGTCGGTAATGCATTGACCGGTCTAGGCAATGCAGGCTGTGTAAGTTGATAAAAAGAATATCATATCAGAGTAAACGCAAAGTCTAACAGTATCCTCATAGACCATGGGTGTCCCCGCCGCACAAGAAGTAACGCCCAACAAATTCCGGCCATGGACAATGGGATTCTCGCAGGCAATGGCAAGTTGCATGGTCATCGCAGGAACAATCGGTGCCGGAGCCTTGGTGAAATATCAAACCTGGCGCTGGTCATACTATCTCAACGCTTTCGTCTACGGCACCTCGGCCGTCCTCGTATTTACCTTCTACCACCCGCCCCGACCAGGTCTGCGGCGGCAGCTGGGTCAACGGCGGGAAATTTTCTCGCAGGTGGATTACCTGGGCACCTTTCTCTTTGTCGGGTCCATTGCTTCCATTATCATCGCGTTGACATGGGGTGGCTCGGCGTATGCGTGGTCGTCGGCCCAGGTGATCGCCACACTTGTCGCTGGCTGTGTGGGCCTGGTTTCCTTTGCTGTCTATGAATGGAAATTCACCTCTAGGGGAATCTTCGACCACCGGATGTTTGAAACGAGAAACTTCCCCATTCTGCTGTTTGTCTGCATTGTGGATGGCATGCTGTTGCTCGGTGTTAATGTGCTGTATGCCCAGCAGATCGCGGGCTTATTCACCACTGATGCTTTACACATTGCTGTAGTCCTTACTCCGTATCTGGCTACTTCGGCCTTTGGATGTATCCCGGCTGGATGGGTTATGGCTCGAACAAAATCCTATCGTGTTATGCTCGTGGTTGCTCTGCTATGGTGCAGCCTTTTCACGGGCCTCATGGCATTGGTCAATCCACAGCGTTTGAGTTGGGCGTATGCCTTCTCCGCGCTGTTCGGCATGGGAACTGCCGTAACCACCGTCATTCCAGGTATGTACATCCCCTAATTAAGCTTCTTTCAAAACTAACTATCCTCAGTCGTGGCTATTGGCCTTTCCGTCCCATCTTTCCTGCTCGGGACCGCGGGTACCATCAGTATCGCCTGCCGTGCCCTCGGTGGCATTGTCGGTATCACCATCTTCACCACAGTATATAACAACAAGATCGCTGCATCGACAGCCCAGTATGTCGGCAACATTCTCAATGCCGCCGATAAAGGAAGCTTTACCGGTCAGGTAGTCGCGGCAGTTCTCAGCTCGAATCCAATGGCTCTCGATGACGTGAAAGGTCTTCCTGCATCGCTGATCCCTGCGATCGAGAACGCCCACTTACAGGCCGAGACTTACTCCTGGCGGTTTGTGTGGATCGCCATCTGCGTGGTTGTGGCGGTCAATGCTATCGTGGCTTGTTCGTTGCACTCGGTGGCAACCAAGATGAACAACCATGTGGAGTCTGCGTTGGAGAAATCAGAGATGCGCGACAAGCAGCTGAGGGAGTAAGTAGCTCCAGTATTTTACTACGAACCTTAGAAGGTTTACTGTTCATCATATGAGGATATATCTATATATAGTTGTCCATGGCTACAAAGTTGTTGGTGGGGCGTAGCGTAACGTAAAAACTTATCATACCGTCAAACTTTTCCATCTTTAACCTAACCCTATCCTATAAGAGTGATTGTAGTCTATTAGACTATAAAGGTCTTAGCGTCTCTCTATATAAAGAAAAAGTGGGCTATAGTAGACTATAAATCTTTTTAGCACTAGACTATATTCTGATCATAGGGCGGGTTCGTGTGCGGGTTCTTACGGATTATGGCACAGCCTTACTATATTTACCAGAATCACCTTCCGATATTCTAGGGAACAAACATCTCCTGCCGAAACAGCTCCCCTCGGCTTATTTCGGCTTATGCATTGCATACCTGCAATGCAACATAGAAACAGTACATCAGCCTCACCGCCATTCCCTCTCCATATCTTCACTACATCAGCATTATCGAATTTTTGGTGAAATTGTAACTTAGCTGCAGAAAACTGCAAGGAGGCGATGAATAAACCTAGGTGCCGAGCTTAGGTACCAAGTTTCCAGAATCCTTGATCAATGACACAATGGCCATTATCTAATTATTAGGTAGGGGTTCACTGTACGCACGACAGCTCCGCCGCGTTCCCCATTCTTCCCATCTACATACCAATATCCCAACAGAAGGCGAAGATCTGTAGGCCAGAAATATGGGTTCAGCAGAAACCCCCTATGATCTGGCCAAGTTCCGAATTCTGATGGTTCATGGTGAGGTCAAAATCCATATAAAATTCCGCTAATGTCCATTAACAACGACATCCTTTATTAGGATTCGCTCAAAATGGATCTCAATTCCGCGCAAAAGCAAGTCGCATATCGAACCGCATCACTCAGCTGCTTACTCCCAAGATTCTTTCAGAATTTCCAGGCAGAATTGAGTTCTTATACCCCGACGCGCCTTTGATTCTCGAACACCCAATTGGGCTCGGTTTAAACAGCGTGGACAGAAAGGAAGAGCAGAAAAACGAAAGACAAAATTTTCTACCCCTGGGCTATGAAAAGGAAGGTTTTGATCTTTTTGGCTGGTGGTACGGTCGAGATAACGTAAGTCGGTATAGAGGCATTGAGGCTTCGCTCTCCTATGTGGCCACGTACATCCACGGGAGACCTATTCATGGCATCCTTGGGTTTTCACAAGGGGGCGCCTTAGCAGGAATGATTTCCTCGCTGATCGACTGCAGCGACAACCCAGAAAAGATTGCTGCCATCCGTGCACAAGGTCTTCCTGTTGACGATTTTCTCAAGCTTCCTGCTCAGAAGCCTTTGCGGTGCTGCATCAGCATTGCAGGATACATGGGCACAGTGAGGTACTACGGGAGTCTCTACCAGTGGCCAATACAGACACCTAGTGTTCACGCGCTGGCTAGCATGGACGCCGTCGTTGAGCACTATGGGACCGTGGATTTGGCTGAGTGTTTCTCTTCATACGAGATTGTCCAATATCACGGTTCTCACTTCTGTCCTAGGGATCGTCTCACTGTAGAGGCCCTGGCTCACTTTATGCTGAAAAATTGTTGGGGGAATTCCGCCGCGCCTGTGCTACCTCAATCCATCAAGATGATTGACGATGAAGATTGGAGTGATTTTGGGCGAAAAGAATCCGGGAGGAGTCTTTCTAAACGAAGTGATTCTGTAGGTTCCGATAAGTCTGCAGAAAATTCAACAATCTGGAGACGCCACAGAAAGACTTTCGTTACCCGAGGCCGATGTACACCATCTATGAGCCCTCGCAGACCCATTCCGGCATCTGCCCAGTCCTATCTTCGGCCATGAAACTCGGCAACTTAGTGAGAGGATATCTGAATTTGATGTTAGATCGGTGATTTTTCAGTATTTTTAGTCTACCAGCGATATTGAGAATTACCCATTTCTTATTCTTATTTGTATTTATTCCATTTTTTACCTTACTTTCTTGGAGCCGAACCATGAAGTCCACGTCTGCTATTTTTCGACTGTTTGCCAGTCACATAAAAGTACTGAGTCTTAGGAATTAATTATATGATGATATACTCACAACTATTCAAGTACGATTTTCAGTATCGTACACAATTTTCGCTCAGGTATGTCTTTGTGTAACTCGGGGGCATGTACCTGTTCATAACAGCGCTCGTCCTCATCTGCAGATTGCTTCATCGAGCAGTCAGAGCTTTATCTATGTGTGATGAGGATCGAACATTTCACTATGAGCTACTTTTTACGCGCTCTAAGCCGACACAAGCGTCGACGCGCCGTCTACACCAGGTGCGGTGGTTCTCTTTGCAGCTTTAAGGGATCTCTGGATATTCAGCTCGGTGATGGGTTGCCACGGAAGTTCTATAAGTTCCCAAGCGTATTTTCATAGGGCTTGTCTATCTGCGGGCAAAAAGCGTTTAGAAAAGCCTAGGGTGAAGAATTATATCTTACAATGACAAAAAGGAAGTTGCGATCTTGCAATAAAGTGTGCTTTCTGCTGTTTTTTTTGGTCATACAGCTGGGGCGAATTTTACGAGCATAAGGATGGACGCATCCATCAGATTAATTTTAAAAGCTATAACACAGCGACCTTTACTAATAGTTTCCAAGCTTTGATATACTTAGGTGAAAGGAATCTCTTAGAGAAGCAAGCTTTCAGCTTTAGGGAAAGAGCTCAATGTATTGAAAACTTGATACCCTGGATCCCATCAAATAAATTACAGAGATAGGCCTCTCCTAACTCTACTCCACTAACGTATTTCCCAAGCGGGTGGGCCATCCGCTTGGGAAATACGTTATCTAGTGTGCAAGGAGACCGAGTACCATGAACTATGGATGGAAACCCCCCGTCCATATATTGGGTGGCGGAGGAATGCTACAGTACATGCATTTATGATGAAAATTTAGCTGCGCTTGTGTTACTCTGCATATCGCATAATTGGGAGGGCAGGAAACTCATTTCTGGCCCCATTACCCAAGCCTTAGTATGGAACATCCATTGCGCCTGCTACATTTAGTTGAGTGCCGCCGTAAAGAGCAATTCGGTGGTACAGTGACCCACCAATAGAGTCTCTCGTCAAAACGGGGCTATAATATTACATCTGGTGATATAGTACCATACACAGTGCATTTCCGTGGCCCTCAATCTAGGGCAGCTCGCCTAATGGATGATCTGCGCTGAGGCCTTGGCAGTGAGTCTGAAAATAAGTGTCGGAATGAGGAATTAATGTACTAGCTAGTACTGAACATGTCCAACAGAATCAGATGGTTGATTGAAGGTGTTCTGATCGGGCAAGTGATCTCAAGGGTGTTTAGATTGAACTATGGCGTGTTATGACACCGTACTAGGATGAACATGGGCGAACGATGAATAAGCCGATCCCAAAGGTTCCTAGTGGTATTCCACCAATTCTTCAGTTCGCCAATTTGTTTCTCGACATATATCGGTCAAGCCGATTTTGAGAATGGCCGTACCTTTGGCGCGCCCTGAGGGCAAGATATCAAGAACTGCGACTAGGCCACGGCAGGCTCTGACCAGGCTCCAAGTTCATTTTAGGGAGTGGTACACGACACATGTACATTCTATTTCACTCTATATATATGCATACTTGACAGAGATCGACCTTTTTCCGGTTGAGCGCGCCCTGCTCTGGGTCAATCCCCGGCTATCCCATTGGTTGGTCTGCTTTATTTGTCACTTCACCATTGGTCATGTGAAAAAGTGCATACCCGTCTTCGGTTTAGCCTCGGCTTCTTCAGGACAATTGAGGTCCAACTTCTAAACCCAACCCAACCCAACCCATTGGGTTTTCTTGGGGCCCCAATGGGGCCCCGCTTTCTACCCAAATTTTTGCATAATTTATCCCTGAATTTTCATAACTTTACGCTCTTGTATTCTCTGAATTTACTACTTATAAAGGGTATATTAAAAGTAGACTATAGATATAGATATAAATGGGTTCAATCAATCTATACTCTCAATTTGAATCAAATCAGACTGGTGGAAATGGAGAAAATAATGATAAAACTAAATTTTATGAATCTAGGAAAGTTTCGTTCACAAAAGTGTTAACACCCCCTTGGGACCCGCCCTCCCCACCGCCTACTGTGCCTCTCTAAATCACGTATTGAATCATGTAAAAATATTTGAAATATCTATGAAAGCTCCGAATGTAAGCAATGATTCGATATAGAGGGTTACATAAGTCTTTTTATACACTGGCGAATACTACTTCGCCTGATTTCAAAATGTTTTCTGGCGGGCAGAATATTACATAATCAAATTGTGTGTTAGTTAACTAAGTTAATACTTGACACGTCACTGTATATATTTAAAATAAGCGGTAGCTCTACCATTTTCTGACAACCCTTTATAATTCATTCATTTTTAGAGACCAATAATAATTTAATATGTTATACGGAATATATATTGCTAATAGTATATTAAGAGATGATGACTAGCAAAATAATAAAATTTCATATATCGGGTCCTAAAACAAACTACAAACATGCTGCTGTATTGAGGGACTTGGCATGTTTGTTATGTTTGCGACCTAATCGGGGCCCCAAGGGTTGGGTTGGGTTGGGTCCGGAAAAACTGGGGTCCTGAAGAAGCCTAGTTTAGCCTATTCCCATCTTAGGAGTCCTTCTTTCTTGGTTTGCATCTACGGAGTACATCGCCTGCTGTGCATTTGTTAAGACGTTGATTTCGGTCTGCTGCCAGCTTTATACGCGCGTTGGTTCCTCTTAACATCTACAGTCTCTCACGACATCTAATATATGTCGAGTTTGACCAATCGATGCCTCCCCGTGAACATTCTGCTGCGGATTTGAACTCCCTTCCGTCTACCAAGTGCTGTAGCCGGTGCCATAACATTCGACTATCTTCATCAACGATAGAAATATTGAGCTTAATTTGTCACAGATGCCGTCATCCCCAACCGCTACAGGTTGAGTGCGAGACCCTTGCGCACGACGCTGCCGGCAATACTGACGATTCTTTAGTCTATTGCAGTGGCTGTATGCACCATCATCCATGTTCTATGTTTCTTGCTGCCACTGGTAGGCACTTCAAGACATGCTTTCATTGCCGTGTGCAGTATATATTAGGTCTGCTATTTGAAATGGACTTACCGCCCCAGGTGAGACGACGTGGCGCGCCAGGGATACTAATCCATTGGGATACCTCGGTCTAAGGCCTTATAGACTCGAGTAATCAACCATGCTTTTGTGATTATACCTACGGGTACCGTTAATGCTGCTGAAGATAAGGTAATAACGCAGGAGGCCCAGTCTCGGTGCATTTGCTACAGTGGCATATACCCATTATCAGTCTTGATAGATTAGTCTCACCGCCCCGAGGACTTTCACTAAATATGCTTTATGCAGAACCCAGATCCATCAAATCCCCTCACGGAGCCATGCAGGATGGAATCCTGTTCACGGTATGGTGATCAGCTCTCTCTATCCCGGTTTATCGACCTACTCTAACCAAACTAGCCGTTTGAATTATGCCTATATTACTGACCCGCTATAGTGGCGCTACTACTCCAATGTATAGTTATTGTATCTTGCATTTCACTGTCGATATAAAGCGTCACGGTAAATGAATTTATACATACATACATATATACTTATTATAGGAACCTAAGTCTATGGCTTTCTTTTACAGACCACGCTAGCAAGAGGAGCTTATCTGAACGAATCAGATACATATCATGAGAAGGATGTATGATTCCGCTTCTTTTGAGGCGGAAACATAAAACATACAACAGCAGGGATTCACACGCGGTCACCCACCATGCTACTAACCTACCGGCGTATGGCTCAAGTACGGCTGAGCGGACGGGAAGCCCTACTCTCCACATCCTATGGTCAGGCCCCAACGAGGCTCAAGATTCGTCTAATAAGTGGTAAATTCTAATAGAAGACACATGAATTTACAAAATAGTAGTAGGCTGCACATCGCCCGCAAGAAGTCATCGCAAATAAAATCATCCATCCTATCAGCCGACTGTATCTTTCGGCTTACAAAAGGGTAAGCTGGATGAATTTGCCAAAACAATAGCTCATCACAAAAGTGGCGGCGAAACCAAGATTAAACCTCCAAAACAGCTTTAGTACCATATAGGTAGTGTTTACTCGACAGACTCAGGTAAGGGATTGAGCATGTGCATGAGGAAATGGCAGGAAATGGCATATCGCTTGTTAAAGTACCTAAATAGTCCTTCGCTCTATCTCTCCTTTTAACCGTGTCTTCAATACAGGACGCCTCTTTGCTCAAAATTATGCAAACCAAATCTATGATCCTTGAATTCAACCTCTGAGGTACTGACTAGAGCGCCGTTGAAAATGGTGGTCAAACTAACGGGTTCACCGAACATGTCTTTCTATTCGATCAGCATAAGCTGCATGCTGAACTCCTTGCTCTGGATAGAAGAGTTGGTGCTGGGCACAATGAAACACATAATATGGAAGTGTCGAGATCGCCCTGAGCTCAATTGGTGACAAGATAGAAAGATCTGGACAGGAAATCCGGGGGGTCTGATCGACGCAAAAGGCAAAATAATGGAAAGGGAGGTGCTTGAGTTCCTGTACAATGAGGCCGCGGAAAAAAAGGGTAAGCACTGGTGATGATGATCATTAATGTATTATTTTCTTTAAAGTATCAATGTGATCCTCAGTTCTTGCATATCATCCCTTGCAATATACCTGCTGCCTGTTTTGGCTTAATTAAAGGATTTTCTCTAGGGTAAACAAAAGATATACCTTTACTGCAGAACAGGAAAGCGCCACATCGGCATTAGAATAGGAACATGGCTAATCTCGCTTCAACCTGGAGCTCGTAAGTCCTGATGCCGAGACCATCCATTTGTAACGAACTGCTTAAATAAACAATAAAAGATATTTGGCCTAAGCAGTCGACTACCTTAACTAATTCTGAGTCATTGCTGGATGCGAATAGGAGGACTTAGATACGGATAATCTAGGTGCTTGGATATCGGATTTTATCTCTACATAGCAGAGTTTTCTCTATGTCTCAACTTCCAAAATCTAGTTTCCATCTTTCCATCATAGCTTGATGTAGTGCGCACTACTCGAACTGGATTATAGGTCCCTTGCCACGTATTTGAGATCGCTCCTAGTACAACTTGTCACATGTAATTTATAGATCCTTGAATCTTCTATGCAGTCAATGCTGTAAGGGTTAGTATACTAGTCATTGATCTGTATCTTCAAAGGCGAGGGAAACTGGAAAGACGAGACTGCACACTAACCTATGACCAGTTAATGCATTCAAGGTAAGGATTTGTTCACCGCTAAATCAAGAACGAATGACTTTGGATCTTCCTCTGTTAAAAATTTTGTGGACGAACAAGTGAGAGGTGCACTTGAGTAAGCTTAGTTAATTATATGCAGTTCCCTAGCTGGAATGCGATTTTGAAATATCATAGACGATTGACGTAGATATGAGAAGGATCCCCGCCGAATATCGGAAGTGTTGAATACCCAGAATCATCGCTTGTTTTATATGAGGCGACTTGTCAAATTGGTATGTTAATCATGATTCAGTTTGATTGGAGATTTCTACCTTATACCTCTGGTTTCCATACATGTAGAATGCGAGTTTCCTGAAATTTAATGCTCTGTTGAACATACATAGTGGCTGAAATCCCGCTCACGTGTTAGACCATCATTCCACACTACGTTTTCACGGGTAGTCGCCTCGTCGTTGCGATTACCTCAGTGCTATAGAAAACGTAGAATATCAAGAGGTTCAGGCTTAGTAAGTTCGTTAAGAGTCTTACTAAAATATACAAAATCGGTATAAAGTATAATAATATAGAAGGTAATCTAAGACTTCGTCAGATGTATTGAATTGGATCCCTCATAATTTGTACTAATATACATAGATAGCTAAGTATTATAGAAATATACTCTACTCTTCAAATTCTAGTATACCTACTATAGTATCTATGATTTATATTTGAAGTTTCTATATCTGAGTATTCTAGATAGGAGATAAGATAATATAGCTTACATGTACATACAGGGATAGATATAGTTGAGGTAGCCTGCTTATCGTCATTGAAACGAGGGGTGAGGGTAAATGCAAACATCATCATCATCGACGACTTTAATATGTCACGCTTACCTTTTACAAATTCTGAGTAAAACGTGAAAAAGAGTTATCTTTTGGGGATCTCGATACAGTAAGCTTTCAATTGATACTAGATTCATCTCCATTTAGAAGTTTTAGGGATGTTGTGGTCCCCGGTCACAGTTTACCTGTTGGAATAGAGCAGAACTGGTAACCTGTCAATGACTGGTGCTACTCCACCAGCCACAACGCGACTTAAGATCGGTGAATAGACCTTGTCAATCCAAGGCACTCGACCGTTTCGTGACTTCCTATGGACATATGGTAATATAAGAATTGGCCCACGTACAAAAGGGTTCTGGCAAACTGAATACATGTTGTGGCTGATCTCAATGATCATCTCATGATTTAAGAGTGGTCTTCGCTGTTTGTACCCTCATAATCATAAAATCCGTGGCCGCTCTTTATACCTAGATTTCCGTCTTGAATCATCTTGCGGAGATAGTCTCGCGGTTCACTGGGGACCCCGCTTCGTGCGCTAGCATAGTGGTTCTCGATATCAAGTACGACATCCAGACCAACAAGGTCCATCATCTCACAAGGCCCCTTGGGTGATTTTAACACATTTTTGAAAATGGCATCCACTTCACGAGGCGTACAAACACCCTCAGAGAGTGCTAACAAAGTTTCTCGTTTGATTGCAGCCCAGATTCTTCGCAGGTTGATTGTTAGCGGTAATGTAGTAATTTCAAAGAGCTAGATAGCTTGGACTAGCTGTACCTGTTGTAGATGTAACCAATCGAGGTTTGCTTCACATGGAAAGGAGAGAATCCTTGGACTTTGCATCGATCCAAAACCAACGAGATGAGAAACTCATCGGTCTCGTCATGACCCATAACCTCGATAGCTGTCCGGGTTGAACATGTAAGTTCAATTCAACAAGTTCAATTTACACATACCTGTTATTTGTGGGGGCCAGTCTTATTTTCATTTAGCGAACTCATCATTTAAATAAGGTCAGAGTTCTTTCAACGTACAGCAGTGCGCACTCAAAACTCGATTCTTGTGCTTCAAGTTGAGTCCTACGAGAATCTCACTAATTCCATAGCTGCTGGAATTTGAAGCAATTGTCACCCTCTCTGGAGCAAGTTTATCGATCAGGGTGATGATATATTGCTTAAGCGGCAGTCTCTCGGGCACGCACTGTCTCCATTTAGCGATAGCCATAACGATTTTCGGTCAACGTACTTCAATGACTAGCCACGTATTTTTCAGCGAGGATTCCAATAGGGGAGTTTGAGAGACCGTAATCTCCCCCCAAGATTCTGCAGGGTCATTTGCTTCCTCTCGCAGTATCTGTACGCATTTTAACGCATCTTTGAGTTGCTGCTCTTGCGTATCAATAAGAGAAACAGGCCCTCCTTTCTTTGACCACTGTGCGGTCAAGGGCTCTTTGATCAGTATTTGAAGCTCTCGACATGATAAAAGTGTTGAATTAAATATTACCATATAAGCTAGCCGTCTTCCTTGAGTCCCGGCACCGATAATCACCACAGAGCCCTCGGCTTGATGCCTATCACCATTCTTATTGCATTCAACTTTGCCTTTCATTTTCAGGCTTCCTTGTCCTATTTGTGACAAAAGAGGCTGGAAGTTGCGAATTGCGCTCTCGTTATGATTCCCCAAGAAGGCTCAATGCAGATATTTATAGCGAGAATTCGGGCCGTGTCCTCAGTTCCCACTTAAAGATGACCAATCACCATAAAAAGTATTTATCTCACCGCCGGAGATCATCCTCCCACTCAAGTGATAAGTTGCGCTCGATGAATGGCTCAGGCCTCCGCATACTCTCGATTTTGAAGGCAAATGATCGTCATTGCCTGATTTGGATGGTCTCTTTTTCACTTTGGATCCGAGATGGTGTGTGCGCAAGTCTAAGTTAGGTGAACCAGAATCAGTGACAGGCCTCTTTTACGCGCTTAAATCGGATTTCTGCATTATGAAGTCTAAAGCTACATGAAAGAAAATAAGTTTTGTTGTATGTAGCTTAAGATGAGACGTAGTTATGATACGTAAATCAGTAAAGACGGTAAATATAAAAGATGACATCGAAAGTCTATAGGCACTGGTCTTCGAAGCTTGGTAGACTATGAACAGCTAGTATTTAAATTAGGGGTCGGAAGGATATATTGTGTAGACTTTTATGATAATGGGATTCCTATTCGTATTGTTGAGAATCTCGGAAGCTGATATAAGATGATAGGGATTAGACGGCTTGTATAAGGCTGTCCGCCCGCCAGTTAATATAGAAAATAGGAACATGAAGCAATGATTTAACACTTTATCCCCGCAGCTGCTTACAACGATTTTGATAGCACTATCTTCTACTAATATATCAAGTGATAGCTTCACTTCCCAAGAACCTTACCTATATAAATTCATTATATCTATGTAATCAGGACTAAAGATCTCTAAAGCTGAAAACTAATAGAGCGAACGCAATTGCCTTGATGGAGTATCGAAGACATCACACCGCCACACATACTCATCATATGTAGCACCGCGCCACACCGCTAGAGGTATCTGCAAATGATCTTAAAACATCACACCGCTAGTATATGACCGCAGGATATCACACGAATAAGCCCTACAATTCGTTGACGGGTGTCCGTTTTAATTTTAGCCGCGCCAGCATCGTGGGGCATTCCTTGACATACGTTTAGGGCAACCAATATCGCACTCACAAATAACTGCGATGGCGTCGCTTCCTGTAGGATTTTGCAATCATCTTTTTACATTTTTTGTTTCATCCTCAAGGAAGAGCCGCCATTTCAATCCATGTGGCGAAATGCTAAATAAAACAAGCTCAAAATTGGACGGACATAGAACTCAATCTGCTATCCCTTTTTTGACACTTACGCTTCTTCAAATTCAGAAACTAATATATACGCGTAATGATAGAGCATACTGCTGTCTAAAGACTGGAAAGCGCGTGCGCCAGGCTCTGCTTATTAATTCGGTGGCTTACGCCATAATATTAGGCATAGTTCAGTTCCACTGAGTACTCAATCATAGGCGCCAATCTGGAGAAGGCACCAAGTTATTTGATTCGCTAAGACTTTTATTACCGTTCTAAGCCTGAGCGCAATGTTAAGCATATTACCTCGTCCTCGACAAATCCCGAGAATACAAGGGAACATTAGCTTTGATAATGGAGACACAAATCGAATCAATTTCAAAACAGAGCCCTCAGCTACTCATAAAATCCCTCGATGCCTGGTTGACAGGGTTTGTTTCCCTCATTTTTTTAAAGGGTATAGCTTTAAGCTTAAGCTGCACGGATTGCTAGGCATTGATAACGCGTTTATTCTCACACACCTACATCGAGCTTATTAATTCATAGCCTCTCCGTCTTTTCGAGCTAGGTCAGCATAGAGTCAAGCTAAGCACTCTTTAGTATAGATGAAATCCTCTAATCTATCTGATAACGCATCTTCCGTTAGTCTAGGTAAGTCCGGTAGTCCATCCAGCCCAAAAGTTCTCAGCTCTAAAGAGCGCCGACAATCAGCATTATCGTTACTTCTAGCTTGGAACAAACGGCTTAAACGCATTTTATTATGCTATCCCAATAATTAAAAGAGTCCCAATAATTGGTTTAAGTGAAAGCAGAATCTCAAGGACTTTCTTCGGATATCTTTTAGGAAAAATCACGCGCGTGCTATTGATCATCAAAGTAATCAGAGACTATTTGAAATAGGAAAGGTCGAGGCATGTGTAAGACTCTAGAGACGGTAATTGTCCCTAAAGGGAGTAGAGAAATTTACTTCAAAGCTCCTATTTGACCCTGTATGAATCCCTTCCGAAACAGAGAGAACATCCTTCTTCTTGCATCCGTTAGGTCACGAATATAAAAACTTCGGCGATCATGTATAATTGAAAGCAAATTGGCAATGATAGAGATCATGAGTATAATATTGCCAGATCAGCACCTATATTAGACTATATTAAGAGCAAGGCCATCAGGGAAGGACAAAGAAAGGCACAGCAGGGCGAATAATCGACATATACACTTATAATTTCTGCCTTCATATCTTTCTGCCTTTCTTTGAATCCAAAGTCTGACAACCAAGTTATATTGCTATAAAGGAGAGCTTAGTGGCGAATTTAAATCCATATTGTCCCTGTCTGCGCCCTTCTCCGTCTTCTGTCGAAATCTATACTCTAGGGCGCCAGTTATCGATGGCACCATCAGAGCGAGCACTACCGAAGTAAAGGAACGATATCTCGTATATACTACCTTAATTGATTAATGATGACTCCAGCCACCTGTTTCTATAGATGGAGACAAGACCTGGTTGCCCCGAAGGAGTAATAATACATCTAATCCATTTCCAGATGGTTTATAATATATCTGAAATGGGATGAATCACCACTTAGTGGTGACCAGCAACAAGAAAACGCTGACCAAGGTCTACTCCTAGGAGAATGGGTAAAATGACCAGAACTCTAACTTAGCCGCCCTGTTAACGAAGTGCGATAAGAAGCACTTGAACGCCATCCGTAACTTAGAATTAACGCTCGAGCCATTGGAGTTGTTCCCGCAGTATCTTTACTAAGTTGATTTCCAGATCGACTCATTCTTCTAGTTAATGTATTTATAGTTTGATGTTTCTCTCAAACTAATGACTTAATAAATATCTCTGAGCTATAATAGAAGGGAGCGCCATCCCAATGTTCTTCGCTTTGGTTGCTAAGGAGAAAGAGCCTTTCGAGCTAGAGAAGCTTTAAAACTAAAGAACGATGTAGGCTGGCTTGAATGGGAAAGATAAATGCTTGAAGAAGTGAGCCTGCTTACTCAAAATAAAATGCGGGAGCTTGTTGATCCTCCAAAAGATTGGTAGCTTTGTTGCTGTAATCTTCTGACGTGCTTCAATTTGTTGTATATTCCGGGAAGACTTAGACATTCTGTTTCCGTTGACTGTAAATTGCAGCTCTAAATATCTTCTCTGCAGATAAAATGAGTTATTTTGTTCTCAGCAGAGTCGCACCTTCTCTTCCGAAAGGTCGCTTTTATCATCGTCGGGCAGGAAATCCCTCGAAGTCTTAAGCCGGTTCTGATTGTTGATTGAGCAGTCTGTGCCCTTTCAATGTGCTTTTCAATAAGGCAGCTTCTGCCACAATCAGCCCTGGAGATTATCTTCTTTTGTGGCATATCTGGTGATGTAGTAAACCAGAGATAACGAGTTGAATACTGTTGGTACCACCAGCTAGGTCCCATGTACACAGTTAGGTGAACAGTGTTCATGCTCCTAAAGCAAAGGTTGCTTGATCCATGCATGATAGTTTGTTATTCAGATCAGCTTCAGAATACCCCTGAATCCCATACGCCGGATCCGCAGCTTAGCGCAAAATTACATACACAGAAATGTGATCTATCAGATGCTAATATGTTCTTATATAGGGATATACCGACAGATACTGTGGAAATTTAAGAGATATCATGATTAAAACGGACGCAGCTAGTGATAACTGGGTTCCAGGGCTTACTCTACGCATGATTTCGAACGAGGTGAATCAAGCCAAGCTCGTCCACTCTCGAGGCAGGAACCAGATTACGGGCCATGCCGAAACGACAAGTCTCTTTACCTGAGCCTCGTTATCGAAATTTGAAGCAGGTAGGAAGATGATGTCTGGAATGCATCTACGTTCTGCGCGCCATAGTGTTACTGTCGTCCGACAGGCCTAGAAAGGTACTCGGCGTCAGTTTCTCGTTTCTTGGCGGAAAGTGGCGTCATAGGAACACTTACCTCTGCATTATACAGGACGTCCTTATTGATGCCTTGGAGCCGCCTGAAAAGAGCGAATAATACTAGTAGTGAACTTACTATCTTTAAGAACCCGATTTCGTAAAAAGGTAAAGACGAGGTTACCTCTGATCCTAAGGAGCGCATACATATATAGCATCCTTCGACCATTAGTTTCCACGACTCCATAATAATTCAAAAACTTCCAAAAACTCCGATATAATCGTAGTTAGTGGCTAGGAATCTGCATAGGATCGTTTAGCAGACACGTTGAAAGAAATCAGTAAATAGCTACCGGGTAAAGGTAGCTACGGCGTTACTGATTGCGGAATTTGCGGCACTTGACATTATCTCCTAATATTCAAAGTAGCAAGAGTAACATCAAGAGAGTTTTACAAGTCCGAGGCTTTAATCGTGATCCAAAAGGTAGGCGTTCCATATCAGACAATTAACCCCCGAATCTCAGACCACACCCTCAGCTTCTGGGAGAATAATCCAGTAATATGTATAGTAATTGTTACGATGTGTTGTTAAAGCCGTCGAGTTATAGGTCATCGACTGTCTGACCACCCTTCATTTTTTTGAGAGGCATTTTGCAGCTGGGCGACTATCAAAGAGACGATGTCGTGTGTAGGCTGTGCCGTAACCCGCAGAAACCCGCACCCGAACCCGCCCCATCCTCCCTATGGTTCTGATGGGAAACCCGCGCGGGTTTATGGGTTACCCAATGGGTCGTCAAACAGGACAAACATAGAAATTTATGTATAAAACTGTACATAAAAGTGGTTTATTATATAAAAAATTGGATTTATCCATCTTTTTTAGGTATAGTGTCAAAAATTTATGCAAAAATGGGCTAGCGTGGGTAACCCGCACCCGAACCCACAATCCGCATGGGGCGGGTTGCGGGTTGACTTGACCAACCCATGGGTTTTGCGGGTTCGGGTTGCGGGTTGACTTTACCTACCCATTTGCGGGTTATGGCACAGACTAGTCGTGTGCCGCCAATCTCCAGTATCGCCGTTTTACCAGAAAGGCTTTGTCAAGGGACAACCATCGGAGCTGTAAGATATCGAGTAGTAGGTATATAAAGATTATATGGCGGGCGAGCCTATGAGTGTCATCGAAGACGAAAAATGCTTCATATCGTCCGTTTACCTTCTACGATTATGACTCAAACCCCACTCAGCAAAAGCACTCTAGGGCATTACGATATTGCCTTTGTCTAGGTGGCCACCGATTTGCATTGAGTAACTAGGGTTAGAATAGATATACATTATTAAGATAGTTATTGTTACGTATATATTCAGCCTTTACATTCAACTCTATATCACCACATGGAACCTGATATGAACTTCATTTACCTATCAGCTTTATATAAGACAAACTCTAGTCAGAAGGGATATCCTTCTTAGTCTCTACAATACTCATCGTAGGTCCCATAAATAATTTAACTAAGCGAACCTACCTAGCGTATCCAAGTGTATCCTATATATATCTAGACTCGAGTCTGTATAAGGCCTAACGCTAGCTACTGACGGTACGATTATAGATCGACGACTCAATAATCAAGCATTATAAGGGCTCTAATAAAGCTAGCCTATGACTGTGACCCGTATTGATTCATGACAGGTCAACGCTGCTTTCTGAGAAATTGTGGTATTTCTAGTGGCTATCGGTGATGGGATGCCCTTCGTTCTCGTTGGATACCGCGATAGCTTGGCTCAGCATGGGACTAATATTCGTTTGCTGGAGGCTTTGAATCGGAAGTGGGACCAGAGATTCACAGCCGTCAGGAAGAAGATAGATTTTAAGCAGTGATAATTAACATTTGATTCAATGGGATGGAGCTGGAGGAGATGAAACACGTTTGGAATACCACCATATTGTCAATTAAAGGGTATCAAGCTTTCCTGTATCGGGACTTCAAAGAAGAATGGACGAAGAGCCGGGTTAACATATGCTTTGGAGCAACGAAGAAACAACTATATAGGGAACCAATAATCCTGTCGGTCGTGCATCGAGCTTGGCTTGAGGACGATGAGGCAGTACGGCTTGTTCGTGGCAAGTGCCATATCGATGTTTGTCTTACGATAAGAAAGAGGCATCGGCGATGTTTTCTGACGAATATAGAGGACGAATAAATAAGACTTCAAGTGATAATATCCGGACTAGGATTCAAAATGCAACCTTGGGTAGGGTAACAGGCGGAGGCAACGGACCAGGGTGACTATAAGACGTTGGCTGGCTCATGATAGAACGGTCGCCTTTCTATGTTGAGTTGCCAGCGTAGGATAAAATATTTGAAACTTCCGCAATAATCAAACTTGATTTGCCATCTGATGCTGCGCGCTGCATTCTAGAATGGCCAAGTCAGCTGTGTACAGTGGTGGATGGTTTTGATCACAATGAATAATCAGTAAGAAGCCCATGAGGGACATGGTCACTCACTGTCTTTGCAGCCTGGACTAATTTAAAGACCATCAAAAGCCCTTCGGTTCAGTTCTTATAGATTCAGCAGATGCAAGACTAAACTGAACCATTTTCCACATCAGCATTAATTCTAATGACTGGATAACTTGACTACCTGCCTTCCAGACGCTTCAGTATTAATCATAGACAGACTGGAGATTGCGGAAGAGGTCAATTCAAATGACATGCGCCTAAAGTTTGGGGTCCTTCCGTACTGGAGTAGACTGACAGACGAAGTGAAAATGAATTCGATATTCTTTTTATGGGCCGACGAAGGATTACTTGGGAGTGACCGTCCTGATGGTAAAAGATCGGGTACGCATAGCATTGAAGCAAGCCATTACCCTCAATGATCGACGATCATTTATTGTTGAAAATCGTGAAGGCACCAACACAGCCGACCCTGAGTTGCAGAGAAAGGTTGATATACGCGAGCAATGGAATTTGAAAACTGAAGTGAGGAGGACATAACTACTGCGGAAATAGGACTTTTGTTCAATGTGAAAGAATGATGCCACAAAAAAAGGCAAGTCTACCATGGTGTTGATCACCGAGAGGAAAGTCGCGGCAGCACCACAAGCAGCACAAAATTAATGGCGAACCAGCCAAAAGCTTCAAACTGAGGGGTCGAGACTGGTTCATGTTGCGTTCTTTCTAGAAGTAAAAGAATCCATCGCCCAACGCCTCCTCCACTCTGGTATATTCAGAAAACAAAATGTTTAAGCAGTTAAAAAGGAAAGAAATACAGATCCTGGAGAAGATAAGATATAAGCTCGAGTACGAAATGTTAACGTAGACCAGCTCTGCCAGTGTTGCCCCAGCATTTGTAAATGGCTGATGGCGGCCCATGAGACATGCCTTTACGTCCCAAGCCAGTGATACGCTCTCATACAGCTACAGCAGAACAACAGCATTAATGGAAGTTCAGATACTCTAAAGATAACTGCATGCATCATGCTTGTAAACCTTTTCTTTCGAGCTGAGAGCAGTTCCTGGGATAACTTGAGTCACATCAAGATCAAGCCAGGAAAAATTGAGGATGGTATCTACTATGGACACGAATATGCGTTTCTTTGACTAGTAAAATATCCCGTGAGGCTTTGCAGGGAAGATTTCGATCTCTTGGCATGACGGCGGGTGTTACATACACTGTAAGCCAGGAACTAAACTATGAATCACGGTCGGGTATTCGGCGCACCATATTGCTACTTCTAGTCGCAGGCAAGGTAGGTAAAAAGTAGGAAAGAAGTAAACAACTCAAATGGTTTCCACTAAGCAAGGACAACTCCCTAACGGAATGTTCACTCAACCGCCTCATGCATGCGGACAGTAAGGCGATCGGCAGGCGAGCTGGTCAAACCCCAGCTTTGTCGAATCTGGCGATTCGCGTTCATATCCTGAATCTGATCGAACCGCTGCAAAAGTCGAACAATGACGTACCCGGCTTCTGTGAGTGCGAACTGTTGACCAAGGCAGATACGCGGGCCACCATTGAAGGGAATATATTCCCAACCGGCCTTGCGGTTGGCCCAGCGACCAGGCTTGAACTCGTCGGCATCGGGGCCCCAGAGGTCTTTTCGGCGATGCATGACATGAGTGGTATAGAAGACAGATTGACCCTTGCGAACGTAGACAGGTTCTTCACCCTCGGGACCACCACCGCGAGGGATGGTAATATCGCGGGTAGCATTGCGGCGATTGAATGGGACGACGGGGTAGAGACGGAGGACTTCATTCAAAACATACTGTAGGTACTGACAGCACTTCAGAGCAGCAAATGTAATGGGTTGGGGGTTAGAGTAAGTACCAAATGTGAAGATTACGGTTTCGCGAAGCTTATTGAAAACGGCAGGGTCACGGGCAAGAAGGAGGGTGGTCCAGCTGAGGAGGGATGCAGTAGTATCACGCCCAGCTAGAAGGATGTTCAAGAGTTGTGAGCGCAGTTCGATTGGGTCGTGAGTTACTTCCAAAAGAGCGTCAAGGAACACATAAGGGGAATTTCCTTCTTTGCGATTCTTCTTGCCATTCCTGGCGGCCGTTAGAGCGGTTGCGACGACCTTGTCAACAAAGGCTTGCACTTTTTTGTCTGAAATTTTGCTTTTGGTGGTCTCAGCGAGGAAGGCAAGCCTCTCAAATCGACCACGCTGCGCGCAGATGAATTGCGAATAGTCGAAGTATCCAGCGAAAGAATCTTCAGGTCTATTCAAGCCGTTCAGGCCACCAAGCTGGCTCTCAACACTGTCACCAAAGAGAAAGTCTGTGGCAGAATCAATAGTTAGGCGGAAGAAGATATTCTGAATGTCGGTTGAGGCGGTCCAGCCGTTGGCTCCGACGGGCAGCGCCTTCATCGCCTTCTGTACATGCTCTTCCTCCAAATCTAGACGACTGACTTGCTCCCGGGTGAATTGAGGGCGTAGGAGACTTCTAGACCTGGACCAGTCTTCACCGTCGGCAGTGAACTAAATGCTGTTAGTAGCCACACTAGACGGGGAGAGAAAGGGTCATCAGCTTACAATACCAGTGCCGAGCAAGGGGTGCAAAGCCCTCCGACGAGAATCACCGAGTTCGAAATCCTTGAATTGAGTTGCTAGAATCGCTTGGATATTTTTGGGATCGATGGTGAAAATGCCATCGCGCCCGAGGTTGCGAATCATAAAGGTAGTGACGTAGCGCCTCTCCTGCTTGGCCATAACTTCAAAGCGCTTCTCTGCCAACTCAGGCAAGGTCTCTTCTTTGACTGCTACCAGAGATTGCTTCAGGGTTTCGATTCCAATTGGATCCTTGCAAGGATACCTAGGAAGATTACCACAGCCTAGCTTTTTGGCGTTGCGCGCAACCTGCCATGAGTCGATCACCATGCGGATAATCTGCAGCACGAAGGCCGCAGTTGCGAAACCCACGATGAATATCAAGGCCATGTTGCTGATTTTGGGTTCAGAGACGGAGCTTTTAGCGCTCACGAAAGACAGTTGAATGGATAGACGTAGCACAGAAGATTGAGTGAGGACACTCAAGGAATACAATGAAATTCATCAGGAATCATCAAGAGTCGGAGAAAATGAAATGCTTAGCAGATATCAAGTCGGGCCGACTCGGGCTTCGCTTTCTTTCAGACATTTTATCTCACCGATGAATCAATGTAACGCTGATCAGGATACTCATCAGCGCGATACCCCTTGCTTGTAGATTAATCTGCTCATCAGCATAATATCCCTTGCTTGCAGATTATGTCGTTTACAGGGCCAAGAATTTTTCTGCCAGGCAATTTCCCATCCTGCCCTAAGAAATAACCTTGATTCTACTCAAAGTGAACAACAAGTTTTATACTCCGTGCTAGCAAAGATCTTACACCGGACGTAGCAAAAATCCTCAATTTTTTCACTTTGTGAGCCGCGACCAGCCATGACGGATTTCACATTTCTGAGAATATCTCTTGCTTCACTTGCTACGGTCATCCTGCCCAGGTCTTGGCCATATACATAGGTCTTGTGTCACAGGTTCTTTACGCAATTCGGCTTTTGCCAAAGTCAGTGTCTTTGAGCATCATGGTTGAGAGGTCTCCAACTAAATTTGGAGCTTTTGGTGGGCGTACACCATACTGGCGGTTGTTGACCGATCAAGGGGTTATCACCCAAGAGATTCTTGAACACGACTACGTCGGCACTGGTACCGGCGGAGACCCTTATTCAGTATCATAGATCCCAAATGATCCTCTATACCCCTTTTATTATAGGAGAGATCTTTAGACTAAATAAGATTAATTACATTATTCTTAGGGCCTACTTGTATCTATCTAAGTAGCTACTTTAGGCTTAGCTAAATCATATAGGCTGTCACGGTGTGTCCTGATAGGGTCCGTAGGGACCCGCTAGGACCGATAAGGGAGATCACAGGCACGTGATCTATATTTTGTTTATCTGCACTTCCGATCTGGATCCTGTTGTAGCTCTTCGAGCTACGTCTTATATAATAGCTTACGCTAGACCGTCCGCCGACCTGCTGCCGGATCAATTAGAAACCCTCTGAACCCGACCCGATCCCGCCGGTCTTCTCCTATTATAACCCTGCCAGCCTGTACCCTGACATAGGCTATATAAGTGTTAGGGTTTATGGATAAGATAAAGGGAGAATAGATGGGTTGTAAAATAGCAGTAATCAGATTTTTATCAAAACTGATTCTTGAAGGAATCGTAGGTACTAAGAGAGAGATGGGCTTTATACCCCGCACTCTCTCGGTAAGGTCAGCTGAGGTCACATGAGAGAACTTCCAGATACTCCTTGTTAGTTTCGTGATAATTATCCCCCCTCTAAGGGGCAACTGCCCTAGTTGACCAGACCCTTTAAGTAATTGCTAAATATAGAACCAAAGACAGAACCGAGAGTTGATAGGATAGTGTTTGTAGAAAAGAACACGCATTAGTTTTCATAAAGAAAGCAGGGCGATACGACCATCTGTCGCCTGCAAAACAAAGGGGTTTCGATCACGCAATCTGCGTAAAATTCTTAAATGAGAGATTCTTTGATGTTGAGGTCTCAGCCTTAGTTTAACCTTTGTTAATAGTAGGAGCGGTTTGTCTTTGTTCTACTGGGAATATCCGATAGGATAGAGATAGAAAAGGTAAGGAATTACCCTCGCTCCTCTCCTATTATCTACTATTGTTTCCTAGCAGAATAGTCATCTTCTTTATCTTTAGGACTAATGCCCTTGCTAAGTGATAGGACACCTCGGGCATTACCTACCCGGGCGTTGTATACTGCTTGTATCGGCTGCTTTGGCCGGGCTGGTACTAGACCTCATTAAAAACGTTTTGAGGGCCGGTACCCCCGGCCCTCAGCCCGACCCGCACCAGTTGGAGGGCCGGTACTACCGGCCCTCGGCGGACCCTCAGCCCTCAGAGGGCCGCCCTCGAGCGGCCCTCATCCGCCCGCATTTACATAAAAAAAGTTGACCTTTCCTAATTTAGACGCATAATATTGCTCAGTCATCCTAATAGATTACTGTTTTTTAACACTGTTCTGGTTTCCATCTTTCATTTCTACTTTATTTCCTTATTATTATTGAGAAATTTTAAGAAATCAAGTAGTATTATAGTATATAATGATAGGTAATATAGATATTATTCACTTTTAGCCTACTATTATGAAGATAGGGTTGGTAATTTTGAATGTTGCGAAGTCTACAAGTTGAAGTTGTAGAAATATATATTTGCACTTAGGGTATATAGTGTATCCTCCATAGGAACTTAGTAATACTCTCTTTAAATCTCGAATGCTAGTATTTATGATTAAAAATTGAATCATAAGGTAAAATTACGATAACTACTTGATATATTGCTAGTAATTACTATTAAATTATATATGGTATAATAGTAAAGTGTGAGAAATTATGATTTGGTAGAAGAGTTTGTGGAAGATTTTTGGGGGGGGGCATCACGACTACCCATTTTTTGAGGGCGGATTATTGAACTGAGGGCCGCCCGCATATTTCGAGGGCTTTTCGAGGGCTTTTCGAGGGCGGCCCTCAACTAGCGCTCAAATTCTGACCAATAGGGGAAGGTAGTAGTAGAAAAAGTGGGTCATAGTATGATAGATCATACTATGATTACTATGATCACTATGATTACTTCTCTTAGAATAATCATAACGCGACTAGTCAACTTCGCGTGCTTGAAACTGTGGTTTATGTATGTCTGTCCTTATTGCTGCTAAGTCCTTCTTTTATTCTTCCTCTTAATATTACGCTTATTGATAATATCCAATATGTCTCAGTTCTCAGATATCTACTCTTCATCTATTTACGACGGCGATCCAGTAGCTAACGACCCTTTTCACCCTTTATTAAACGAGCCACTCCCTACCCCTGAGGATACTACGTCAAACTCTGGTTTTCTTACGCCGGTCCTACCACCTCTGATTCCTCCCTCACTCCAGCGTGTTGGTCCTGGTCGTTCAACAGCGTTTGTCCTATTTGACAAGATGTCAAAAGATGACTTTGTGGCATGGTGGCTAGAGACAGACTTTGGAAAGACAAAGAAGATACATTGGGGTAGTAATCGGACAGCTAAATGCTGGGAACACTTTGATGAAGTTGCGGACGTAAGATCTGGGAAACCAGGGGCAAAAAGTCGGAAATGCCATAAAGTCCTAGATCACCCTGGGCATAGTCGATATGGAACAACTGCCCTTAATCGGCATATGGCTGGACCAACTTGCAAAAATTCCACTACCCAAAAGGGTAATATCAAGGGACTTCTAGCTACCGCGGTATGTTATTTTAACTATTCTATGAATAATGTCTGACTTTTACTACCTTATTAGATACAGAATACTCCAACCAAAGCAACTACCTTTACACAAGAAGCATGGGAGCAGAAGCTTTTACAGCTTCTTACCCTCTCCCGTCTCCCCTTCCAGTTTATCGAGCACCCACAATTTCGTGAAATTATTTCATTCGCCCGGCTCGCCCCAATACAGCCACAGATTCCATCTGCAGTCGTGATACGTTCGCGACTACGGCAATCCGTTCAGGAACAACAGAAGTCTATTCTTCAGAAGCTCCCTCCAAACGCAAAGCTTTCGATTGCCCTCGATTGCTGGACCTCTCCATTTCGACAGGCTTTCATGGCTATCACTGGCTATTTTCTTGATCAAGATTGGCAGTACCAAGAAGTCCTTCTTGGCTTTGAACCGCTATCTGGATCCCACACAGGTGTGAATCTAAGTGATATTGTTTTGAAGATCCTTCAGCAGCACAAGATTACAGATCGAGTCCTTACAGTCACTACGGATAATGCATCAAACAATAACACCATGGTCGCAAGTATCCAAGAGTCACTACAGGCGTTAGAGCTAAGCAGTAGCTCGACAATTGTGCGGATTCCTTGCATTGCCCATATTATCCAACTTAGCTTAAACGACCTTTTGGGGAAGATGAAGGCAATACCAAAGAATGATAGCACAGAGATCAATTGGTCGGATGATCGTGTTCGAATCCTTCGTGCAAGGCAGCAGAAGAGAGAAATTGTTGATACGCTTAATAAGGTATGTGGTCTAGAGATGCGTTTTTGTGCACAAAAATTTTGATTCTTTGACTTTTTCTTTGATCTTTACACCCTACTCTCTATGCTCCAAGAGATGGGTTTTTGTGCACAAAAACCCATTCCTCTATCCCCTACCCTCTATCTACCCAATACATTATCAATTCAGACATTATCTAGCAGCCTAAGAATTCAGGAGTTGATACTTTCTACAGAAATCAGCAACACTTTTACACACCCTCTCTATCTATCTAACTAACTTTTCTATCAAAACTTAGGTCCGAAACCTTGCGGTCTATATCAACGCTAGCCCACAACGACGGGAGTCTTTCTACAATCTTCAGACCGAAGAGCCAAGGCTTGTTCCAATCCAGGATGTACGGACTCGCTGGAACTCGACTTTTCTTATGCTTCGACGTGCTAAGCGGCTTCAATCGGTCTTTGATGAGTTCTGCTCTCAATATGACCAGGATCACTTTATGCTAAGTGCAGAAGAGTGGAGACAGATTGACTATCTGCTTTACATTACCCAGCCCTTCTTCAAATTCACCACCCTTCTGTCTAAGACTAAGGACGTGAGTATTCATCTGGTTTTCAGTATCTACAATAAGCTTTTTAATCATCTTGAAAAGGCAAAGAGTGCCTTAAGGAGGAAGAAGGTAGTATGGAAGCAGCTTATGTTTCTCTCCCTAGAGGCAGCAGAGAAGAAGCTTTCACATTACTACAGTATGACTGATGAGATTGATAATGACCTTTACGCCATCGGTACTATCCTCTCACCACAACAGAAGCTCGACTTCTTCAAAGATAAGGATTGGGACGATCCAGATATCGACTACTGCATAAAATACCGCAAAAGCCTTGAAGACTACTTTCAAGCCTATAAACAACACTACTCAGAGACACAATCATCATCCAGAGTCCAACTATCTGCAGATACTGGTATTTTAGAGCTTGAGATGGAGTGTGGGGCAGAAGACTCCTATCCTTCATTTACCGGTGAATATGATGAGATCAAAGAGTATCTGAATAGTGGTAAGTTATACTATCTATGCACTATCTATACTATTTAATTATACTAAGATAGATTATACTATAGGTATTGTGCGTACCCCTGTGTGTACGTTTTGGAGAGACCATCAGCACCAGTTCCCTGCTCTTGCAAATCTTGCACGAGATATCCTTTCAATACCAGCCACAGGTGCAGGCGTTGAGCGGCTTTTTAACTCCGCTCGGGATATCTGTCACTATCGGCGTGGCTCTCTAAAGCCATCAACTATTCAGGATCTCATGATGTTCATGTGCACATCGAGATTTGAGATTGAAGATAGCCATCGAGCCTTGATCAATGAATACCTTTCATCTGAAGAGAGACAGGCTAGCCAGGAGGAGAAGGATATGTCTATCCAGCAGTTCGAGCCTATCAGTGATAATGAGGAAGATGATGATTGTGGTCATGATAGTGATGGTGATAGTGATGCATCTTCGCCAAGAACCCAAGTTCTTAGCCTAGCCCAGCCCCTTGTTGAAGTTGAACAGAGCCAGCGGACTCTAATAGAGGATGAAACTAGTGGTGAGCCTAGCTTACCTAGTACACAGCGTTATTCAGGGAGGGTTCGGCAGCGCTCAACACTTCTTAATGGATATGAAACTGAGGGTTGGAAGCGCCGGAAAACTTCGAACTAGACATATATCTAGTAGCTGCAAATACCATTCATAAATCACTTATCTCACTTATCTCATCTTTTTTATCAATCCATAAGAAAATACTACTACCCTAGTCAAAATCAGTAAGAGTAGTGTAAAGTAAATACCTAAAGATACAGCTGAAAAACTGCATAATTTATGCGAGTATGGGTCTTCAAAAGTATGTGTACTGTTTGTCCTGTTTGTCGGCCCTCGAAAAGCCCGCGGGCGGCCCTCATGAGGGCTAGTAACAGACCAGCCCGACCCGCGGGCAGTGTTGAAATATCCTGGTTGCCGAGATGATAATGAGGCTGGAATCACGTGCATAATTGTATATCTCTCACACTGCTTGTATCTAATGCAAAACAACGAACACAACTCCCCTCAATAACATGAAAAATTGAAGCATCACTCAATAAAAACAACAGGTTATGAGCCCGGCACCGCTTACCTCAAATTGGAGACACTATCTCTGCTCCTAAGTTTTCCCCGTCAAGTGATAGCTTCATCTATTGACCAAACTGGAACTACTCATTTAGGACATCAACAAAGAAGGCATTTTCTCACGACCAGGAGAAAATTGATTGTGCGAAATCATCTCAACATTCGGATCAAAATCGTCACACCGCTACGAATATCCCTCAGGCCAATCATAGTCTATGGTTCTGCTTCACAACAGATAACGGACGTATCACCGCTGCAGACGTGCCACACCGCTACCGACGTATCACATTACCCAGCCAGAAATAACGATGAAGCTTCTGTAGCGTGATTGGATACCATTATTCATCAATACCCTGATGCTCTCGAACAAGGACAATCCGGTTTTTCTTCGGATTTATGGCAAGAAGGCAAGGGTCGTACAAGGGGCATAACTGGTCTGACGAAGAGCTCGATTCGGTGTGCTATCTTCGATGCATCCGTCATTGGCGCTTCACACAAATTCAAAAGGCGAAGTTTCCATCACTTTCCCAACACGCAGTCGGCCGGGCCTATAGGAGACTACCTCCAGAAGAGCGCACACGCCGAGCACTCGCTGCCGTACCTGCCCACACAAGGCCCCGCCATATCACAGAACGCAACGTTTCAAGTCATCACAACTCAGCAAACAACGAGATTAGTGATACACCATTGGGCAATGGTGACAACCAAAATCGCTACAACCTCCGGCCAAACAGACCCTCAACCTTTGCAGAACGAAAGCCACGTTATATGGTGGATCGCGACCGCTTTCCTCATTTCTTTGAGTCCTATCGCGATTCCACCAAGCCGAACCAGCTACCAGACAGCGAATACATTCCGTCACATACACCTACTCCAAGCTCGTCGGAGCACTCTCCTTCTATCATCTCTAGTCTACCTAGCGAGATATCGAGCTTAGAACTGTTCGGCCTCGAGGCACGGTCCCCCGAGCCATCAGATCATACGCTTTCTGTTCTCTCAATTTGCTCAAGTAACTCATCAAGCGCTGAATTCTTCAGCACCGAAGAGCCCTGAACACCATCACGATGGATTCGAACAAGTTTGAACAACTAGGCTTGAGCTCATTCTACCACGCCATACCAACTCTCGATAATGCCAATGACTGGTCGCAGTGGAATCAAAAGGTCAAGGAGTTTCTTCGAATCTCCCCTATCGCCAAAGATGGAACAACACCACCAATGGAAGAGGGTGAGGCGGAGCAGTGGACCCACCGCCAGACATTTTACTCGGCAATGATCGCGGCCAAGTTGACCCACAATGCGGCTCAGCGGATAAACGCCTTCGAAATCACCCGGGTCCAATCACTGATCAAAGCGGTAAAGGAACACTTCAAGCCAGAAGGTTCAGGGACATATGTGAATCTTCAGAGACGGTACATGTCACTCACCCGAGCAAAATTTGGGAGTGCACAAGCCCTCAGAGCTGAGATCAGAAAAATTCATGCCGAGAAGCTTTTACTCGACCCCGCATGTGTCACCTCTGAGATCGAACGAACATTCTTTTTCCTCCATGCATTAGGCCCGGAATATGAGAGCTTTCGCAACCATATCTTCAGACAAATGGACATAGTCAATGACAGAGACGAGGACGGAAATATCACCAAAGCAGCTCCTACATTTGACTACATCGAAAATAAGGCCATTGAGGAGGAGCATAGGAAGGGTCAGCTGGGCAACCAGCCCACCGATACGAATGCGCTTCCTGCCTTCACACTTAGCCAGAAGCCTCGAGACAGGAAAGTCATACCGTCTCCAGATGGGAAAACATGCCGAATCGAGATGAACAATGTTCCTTTCTGTGCCTTCTGCCGGAAACCCTATCATAGAGAGTCACACTGCTTCAAAAAGGATCCTAACCTGAAGGATCAAGAAAAGGAGAGAATGACGCGCAGGCCAAGACCCAAAGAGGCGCACACGGGTGTTCGCAATCTATCAAAGCGACGAGCTAGTACGGATCATGAAGACGACGATTCAGAAGGACCGAGAGACCCCAAAAGGCCGACATTTGTGGCAACAAAAGCCTCAAAACAAGATATCAATGCAGCTTTCAGCACCGAAGTTGAAGGAAATGTTGCCACGTTTGATTTCTTCCCCAGTATGATGGTCACAAAGTCTGTTTCGATCAACGACGCCTGGATTGTCGACAGCGGATGTGCTCAGCACGTTTGTAACAATGCCACGAGATTCGTCAAGATGAACAAATATGATGGTCCACCGTTACGCAGTGTCGATACCTCGACGGCTCCTTCTGGCATATGAATAGCAAATGTCCTATGCAATGTCCGAGGGAGGAAGAAATGGCTCGTCCTAGATGACGTGTTGTTCGTCCCGACCGCACAAGCAAATCTCATATCAGTGTTGCAGCTTCTCAATCGGGGGGCAAAGATTGATTTCTCGAGCAATGGCGCCATCATTCGGAACAAATCAGATGGAAAGAATTTGTTCACTGCGAGCCAATACCATGGAGTCTATGCGCTTGACCTATGGGCAAAACTTGTTTTTCCTGCCTACCATATCAGCCCGCAGTCGGCACTCTGGCACCATAGGCTCGCCCACCTAAGCGGTGCGAACATACGACGATTGAAAAAGCAAGCCCACGGCATTAAAGATGATGCGCCACGCGGACCTTGCAACCCTTGTCTCCAGGGAAGAATGATCGAAGTCCCACATCGCCGTTCAGAAGTGTGCAAAAGAGCCAAATACGCCATGGAGTTCCTGCATATCGATGTTGCAGGACCGTTCGAGGAGGGCCTCGATGGCAGCCGTTATTGGCTGACCATTGTCGATGACTTTACTGCATGGGTTGAAATCGTCCCCATACCACGGCGGCAAGAGTACGTCGTTGAATCCTTACGGTACTTCCTCGACCATAATGAGCGCCCCGAGCGCAAATGCAGGCGAATTCGCCTTGACCGGATTCCGGAGCAAGTGGGAGAAGACATGAAATTCACGCTTTTCTCAAGGGCGATTCAAGCCGAGGTCACGGGTGTCGACCAGCACCAGCAGAATGGGGTAGCAGAAAGAACCCACAAGACAATTTACGATCGAGTTGGACCAACGCTCGCGCATGCAAAGTTGCCGCCAAAATTCTGGCCAGAAATTGCGCGAACGGCGGCATACCTTTCCAATCGATCACCATCATCTAAACGCAATATGACTCCGTACCAAGCCTGGTATGGTGACAAACCTGACCTATCACGGCTGAGAGTTATAGGATCCAAGGGAGAGTATCTGATTCCGCCCAAACAAAGAAAGAAGCTGACGGAGCCAAGAACAAGGCCATGTCTACTATTGGGATACGAAGGCAATACGAACTATCGCGTCCTACTAGAAGACGGCAGAATCATTGGCACACCAAACGCAGAATTTTATGAAGTCCTTGAACCTCCCTCCACGCAGACCATACAAGACGTGGGAGCCAAACAGCAGAGCTTTCCTGTGGCAACGGCTGCTGCCGCAGGGGGGAGTGAGACGGTGGGGCAAATAAATCACCCGTCGGCCAGTATGCGACATGCATCCGTGCCAGCCTCGGGACGTCAAATATCCCTGGCACCACAAGAACAGACACAGCCTGGATCATGGGACGACATAGTGCAAGTGCATCTGCCTCAGTCGAGTAGTAATGATAACTCGCAGCCCGCCGTTGCTGGCCGAGGAGCCATAACCTTTTCGCCTCCACGGAGTGAAGATACCTTTGGTCCTCTATCACCTGCTTCGCAGAATTCCGTCCCTAGGATTGACTCACCCCCGGGTAGCGACCAGCGACAAGGCGATGCACAGCAAGGGCGAATCCCAGATTGGCTAGATAATTCCGAGCTTCAAGAGGGTGGTGCAAAACACATAGTGCAGAAAGACTCACTGGAACGCCACCCTGAACTCAAGCTTCGTGATACACAAAACTCTCCAGACACATCCGGTTATGACCAAGAAGAACTCGCCTTGATGAATATTCCTGACAAAAATGTCATTCCGACCTTTTTGACTGTCGCAGCGGAAGACATAGAACCCTTCGAACCAAAGTCCCTTCGACAGGCTAAGAATGATACACGCTGGCTCGAATGGGAAAAGGGAATGATCGAAGAGATACAATCACTTCAACAAAACAAGACTTGGGAACTGGTAAAACCTCCCAGAGATCGTCGAATCCTGAGCGGAAAGTGGATCTTCAAACTCAAACGAGGATCAAGCGGAGAAATTATTCGCTACAAGTGCAGATGGGTAGTCCGAGGTTTCACCCAGGAAGAAGGTGTCGATTATGATCAGACATTTGCTTCTGTGGTCAAGCCGATGAGCTACAAAGCCCTATTTGCAATTGCCGCAGCTCTGGATCTCGAGATCGAACAAATGGACGTCAAAACAGCGTTCTTATACGGCGAGATCGACCATGAGATCTACGTTGAACAGCCTCATCACGTCACAGACGGTACATCGAGGGTTTGCAAGCTTCGCAAGGCGCTCTACGGCCTGAAGCAAGCACCTCGTATTTGGTATCAGACGCTGACCAATTTCCTTCGGAATCTTGGCTTCGAGCCTATCAACGCCGATCTCAGTATCTTTGTTCGGAGCGGCGTGTACATCGCAGTATACGTCGATGACCTCTTGATCATCGGACCAAGCATTTCAGAGATAAAGAAGATCAAGAGAAGCCTCAGAAACCGTTTTCATATGACAGATCTGGGTCCGTGCAGCTATTACCTCGGCATAACCATCCGGCGAGATCGACAGAACAGAATCCTCCATCTCAGCCAAGAGGCTTACGTGCACAAGGTCCTGCAACAATTCGGAATGTTGGACAGTGCACATGCCAGCACGCCTATAGACACCTCACCCCTACCAGAAAGCGGTCCTGAATATATCTGCCCGTCGAATTTAAAGAAAGAGTACCAACGTGTGATCGGATCATTGATGTATATCATGCTTGGGACCAGAGGCGATATCGCATACGCTGTATCGGCGGCAAGCAGACACTTGGTTAATCCTGGTCCACAACACATGAAGCTCGCCCGCCGAATCCTTCGATATCTCAAAGGCACCAAATCCCTCGGTCTTGCGTACAAAGGTCAACTTCAGATGCTCCGTGGCTTCACGGATGCAGATTGGGCTGGGTGTCACCAGACAAGACGGTCGACGGCAGGATATCTGTTCAACATTGGAAGCGGAGCAATCAGTTGGCAATCAAAGCGCCAGAACATTGTTGCCCTGTCAACCTGCGAGGCCGAATTCATGGGCCAGACGCAAGCAACCAAGGAAGCCATCTGGCTGAGAAGGCTTCTCCACGAGCTGAACATCGGCCAGGGAAAACGTGCAACGATCATTTGTGGCGACAACCAGGGAGCCATCGCGCTGGCTTCGAATCCTCAATATCATTCGCGTACAAAACATATGGAAATCCAGCGAAAGTGGCAAGGAGAGATCCAAGACGCCGGCACAGTGGAACTCAAATATATCCCAACGTCAGAGCAGATAGCAGATGGCTTTACGAAACCTCTTGCGCGAGACAGATTTGAATGGTTTCGGAAAGGCCTCGGCATTGAATAATAGCCCGGTCGGACAAGAGCCATCATATCAGACAAGGAAAAAGAAAACCGAGCATGCAGGTACCCTTTCCTTTCTTTATACCAATGGTTTTGGGAGGTTTTAATGGGACCTGGCAACCATGACAAAAGATCGCTGATATCTTTCTGACGAACGATTTCAGCGAGTGGGAGTGTTGAAATATCCTGGTTGCCGAGATGATAATGAGGCTGGAATCACGTGCATAATTGTATATCTCTCACACTGCTTGTATCTAATGCAAAACAACGAACACAACTCCCCTCAATAACATGAAAAATTGAAGCATCACTCAATAAAAACAACAGGCAGGCTGGACCGGCCCTCCGCCCGCCCGCGGGCGGGTCCGTAGGCCGCCCTCTGAGGGCCGCCCGCGGGCGGGTATGAGGTCTAATAGTTAAGATGAGTGTAGTATCCGAGGGGAATCTTATCGGGGGTCATAACTAGCGTCGAGCATTCATATTAGCAATCGTACTAGGTATTAGGGTACCAAGCCTGAGTTCTGATCTCACATTGACATGATTTCTCCAAGCTCCAACCCTCGTAATATCCAATCGTGCGTGCATCAGAGCTGGTTCCAGAGCAAGAAGGCCGAGTGACAGTAGTATCTCCGCAAAAGTCGGAAGTGGTTCCTAGCGGATGTCAGTCCATCTCTTCCTCTATGACTGGTTGAAGTACAAACCACAGAACCCATAATCACTGCAGCATACCTGCAACGGGCATTTTGTCTCGTTATACATAGAAGACGGCCATCCTCCAGGGTTGCACTCGGCCTTGTAATCGCATGTCGATGTACAGTTCCCTTTACCGCAGAACGTAGGACCCGTTCCACAAATGTAGCTAACAGCCAGGTGAGCATGTCAGCAATTGAAGGCCATTAAGTGCTCGGGTTCAATCCAAGAGGTTTCTTTCTTACTCGTTCCCCTCGATTCCTCCATTGCCACAACACCCGGTAGTGCACAAATCAATGGCGCTGCAAGATAAATCTGAGTCGTCACCAACTACCATCCGAAATGAATAGGTAGACAAAAGCGAGGCATACAATACCCCTCGCCAAATGGTGAAACCCATATTGACCATTCTCAATAAGAGAGATGAAGTTGATACCGATGCTCAACGGGAAGAACAATCAGAAAAATTTGGCATTCAGTACAATTGGCTTTTCTCTCGGAAGGAGTCTACAACATGTTGAATATAGTTGATTCTATTCTTATCGGGCCTTGTCGGCTAGCCAGAACTATTAGCATCCTGCACTACCCCTCCTGTCCGACACAGTCCCACTTCACAATGTTTTCCTGGTGGCTGTATCAATGTGCAGTTTTCAGTAATTTTGTAGTCCTTAATTTCAGAAAAGGCTTTTTAAGATTTGGAAAAACAAGCAGGCTTGGCAGGCTTGGCATGCTTAAACACTTCATTCGATTCAACAGGCTTACGATATTTGGCAAAGCGTGGCTTATCAAGCAAGGGCGAGGTCCGTATCACAAATGTAATACGTATTTTATCTTCGTACAAGTGTTTAATACAACGGTAACGGCGCTTGTACTGACCAGGTAATAGTATTTTTCTCCACATAGCGGGTCTACAGTGGTGTCTCACAAGTATTTGACCTCGGATACTTTGGGTAGTAGGACCCACTTTTAATACTGCCGTGCAGAAACCTCGGAAATTCTGTCAAATTCATTAGCTAGTATGCCAACCTTCGTATTTAATAACATCTACCACCCTATGTGGCATATTATCTGCCAGATGCTTAAATATCTCAATATCTAGGCCTTGCCAAGCCTCTTGAGCGGCATCTACTAATATTTCGAGTGTCTCGTCGTTATTAGGTAGGTGCATAAGCTCAGGGTGTTGCTTCAAAATTGCAGCTTTTAGCAACGCCCAGAGGTTCTCAATTGGGTTTAAATCAGGTGAATAAGGAGGCCACTCCATTATATCATATCCAAGCTCATCTAGCGTATTTCGGACGAGATATGCAGTGTGAACAGGCGCGTTATCTTGTTGAAAAATAGCATCATGATCTAAACTATTCAAAAGTGTTGGAAGAACTCGCCGATAAAGCTCATCGATTGTTCGAGATGAAACACCACCACGACGAGATTCAGGATCTCCGAATAAAGGTATAAGACCAGAGCGTCGAGGAAGACCAGAGAAGGCAGCCCAGAACATCTGTTTAATCTGTTTTCCTCGAGCTGGAATCATTTGAACTTGACGACCTTCTTTTGGATGCTCGCAAAGCTGATTTTTTGGACGAGTAAAGGTCCATTCTTGCCGTTGACCAATACCACGCTCAACAGTACACTCATCTGACCAATAAACTCGAGCCCAATCCTCGGAAGTAAAGTGCTCATATCGTTGAGCCCAGGCAAGACGTTTTGCAGCATGTTGAGGCGTTAAAGTAGGCCGTTGCATCTTCCGCCACTTTCGAAGGCCCATCTCGTGCATAAGACGCCAAATTGAGTTGCGTTTAACCTTATAATCGACCTCTGAAAGAAGGTCTTGGATCAAAACTGACGGGTTTTGTTGGATAGTCTCATAAATATGCTCACGGTCGTTCTCTGTGAGCTTTCTTGGAGCACCTGGACGCGGTAATGACTCCTGCTTTTGACGCTTTGACTCTTGTGTAAGCTTATATTGAATGGTAGAGCGTGGAATATCCGGGAATCGCTTCTTTTTGATAGTTGTTGCACCCCATCCATTAGTGGCATGGAGTTCACATATTTTAGCTCTGGTAAGACAATCAAGCTCTGGACCTCGCTTGCCACGTATGGGAGGCATAATTACTAGGTATTAATTATATTAAAGGTGCTAATATGGGGCAAGACGCCTCAAATCTACGTTATAATACTGTATATGCGAGCGTGGTGGGACGCGGTGAGAAATTATGCATACTAAAATAGCAGGCGGTCTGCGGAGGCGGTCAGACCTCAAAGTACCCGAGGTCAAATACTTGTGAGACACCACTGTAGGTAGACCTCGCCATGACCCGTGGGTGACCCGCAACGGGTGACCCGCGACCCTCCAATTTGCGGGTGACGGGTCCTGACCTTCTACCCGCGGGTCGGTTCTAGTATTATACTCACCCGTAAAGGGTCACCCTCGGGTTACCCGCGGGTGAGCAAATAAGTCAAACAATATCTTATGCACTTTTTTTTGTATGTAATTGTAATTTATGTATATGACTCATCAATTTTATCTATCCTAATTAGGAAATGTTAAGAAAAGTTATGCAGAAACGGGTGGGTGAGGGTGAGTGCGGGTGAGCCATAAGTAACCCTCTGCGGGTAAGGGTCGGGTGAGGGTCATGGCGAGGTCTAACTGTAGGTGACATCGCGAAATGTGCCGACGCTCGCTTGTCAGCTTCGAGATAGTAGGGTGGATCAGAAATGCAAGCGAAATTAGCATTGAATCCTGCCATACAAATGGGAAATGCGAGAGCGGGGCTCCGGCTGCCAGGACAAAAGCAGTCACGGATAAACGGACACAGTCTGAGAGAACAAGGACAATAAGGCGGAAAGAAGTAAATCCCAAGTTTACTTCATTCATCTGTGTTTTTTGTGGGCAATTGGCTGAAAGAGTCTTCTCTCATTCCATTCATGCTCATTTTATCACCTCATTCTGTGCTTTAGACACGATGCCTCAATTCGTGCGCCATGGAACGTGGGGTACCTGGTTTCTGTTTTCCTCCCTCATCGTTTCTGTCTACGGATCAATTCATGGAGCCTATTACGGCCATGGCCACCATAATAAAATAGCGAAAAGAGCGACAGGAATCACTTCGCCAGATGAGCCTACACAGACAGGAACGATCAGCACTTGCAATCTTTGGTACGACATTGTTGATGGAGACACATGTACGTATACAATTTCCCCCGAGTTCAACTAATGCTTCCTGCGTGTTCTGAATCTAGAGCAGTTCAAGAATTATTGAGAGAGTCGTTCCTTTACTGACATATTGCCATCACGTTCAGGCGCCTCTGTTGAGGAGGCCTTCGGTATCACGTCGGAGCAATTTCTTGCCTGGAACCCTGCAGTCTCATCGGATTGCGAGACAAACTTTTGGGTTTCAGATTCCTACTGCATAGGAACTGGCACTGTCATAGCAAGCTCAGCCACATCCACCACATCACCGTCATCATCATCATCTTCTGGGTCGATGACAGCGATAACAACAGGCCCTGATGAGCCAACTCCAACTGGGCAAGCCAGCAATTGTAACGCCTGGTACGATGTAGTATCAGGAGACACATGTTTGTCCTCTTCAATCTGATCAGATGCTGAATATTTCTAACCGAGTTCTTGATACGCAGGTCCCTCTATTGAAACGGCATTTGGTATCACATCTGCTCAGTTTCTAGCATGGAACCCATCTATTTCGTCCGACTGTAGCTCTGGACTTTTATATGGATATTCGTATTGCGTCGGTGTGAATTCCAATATTACGAGTGTCGCCTCCACATCCACTGTGCTGATCAAAACGAGTCAAACTGCGACATATTCAGTCCTTGCAGCAAGCTCGCATGTTGTATCTGCTTGGCCTACTGCCACAGGGTTTCCTCCCAGTCCAACACAGACTGGAATCCTTTCCACGTGTAATATCCCTATTTCTATTACGAATATCTCAAGTCATTCATCTACTTCTAGTTCTGTAGATACTGATAGGCGATTTGGTCTCTTCTAGGTATTCGATACTATCAGGCCCAACAAGGAGACACTTGCCAGATAATCGTGAACCGCTACTCGCATCTTATCAACATGGATGACTTGTAAGTATGCAGTCCGAACCTACTTATCAAATTTGAGCTCACGCATAGACAGTCTGTCCTGGAATCCTGCTGTTGGTGAAAACTGCACTTCAATATACGTGGCTTATTATTACTGCATTGACGGGCCATTGACAATGGACAATTCAACTGCAACAACACAAATCATCCTTGGAGGATGGACTGCCGCTGCTCTTCCGACAATGAACTCAACATTTGCCCCTTTCCCAACTGCCTCTAGGTTGATTTCTTCATGTCAAGGATTTTATGAAGCAAATGAGGTATGAATATGCGAACTCGATTTTGAATCCTCTAATCAGCCCTCCTCTCTCTAAAATTTCTTTATAGTACGACACTTGTGACAACGTAACATCATCTCTCGGCTATCTCGACGTTGCCGAATTTGAAGATTGGAACACAGGGATCAATTGTTCCACATCTCTAACTGACGGTACATACTACTGTGTCGCCAATTTCACAAGTGATCCTCTCCCATCCACAGTGTCTGTTCTGCCCAGTCCTGTACAAACCGGTATAGTCTCTACGTGCGTGGGTTGGTACCTTGCAGATGATGATGACACGTGCGAGGACATATCGGAGATCTTTGGTACATTTGATGAGGACGACTTCATATCCTGGAACCCCGCTGTGGGCTCGGACTGCTCCGGTCTGACTGCAGGTGATTATTATTGTATTGCAGTTCCTGGAACCCCAACCACTGCTACTAGCACGGCTACCGCGGCTACGTACTCGACGAATGGAGTAGGGCCGCAACCTGAGCAAACTGACATTTCTGACGATTGTTCTTCATATTGGCTTGTTGGAGTGTAATTTCCCCCCTACCCTTTGCAGCAATCGTTTTGAAATCTATCATTGGACTCATGCTTACAGCACTATTAGGTATGACACGTGTGCCACTATTGAAGAGGCAAACAGCATTACTGAAGAGCAATTCTTAGATTGGAATCCCGCCCTTGGTTCCGATTGTTCTAACTTGCTAGAAGACTACTATGTCTGTGTTTTGATGCCGAATGCCACTACTACCGGAGGAAATTTGACAGTTTCTGCCGATAACTCAACAACAACTTCTAACACCAGCACTATCACGACAACGGCAACGACTGGCGTCTCTCTTTCAACACCCACACCTTATCAGGTCAGTTTCCATATCACTTTTCCTTGCTCTTTTCTCTGTGAAGCCTCTGCTTATCGTTCACGAACAGTCTGGCATGGTCTCTGGATGCGAACGCTTTTACTTGGTCGAAAGCGGCAATGACTGTTATGATATCGCCCTTGAAGCCAACATCGCCCTCACGGACTTTTATACCTGGAATCCTGCTCTGGGAACCGACTGTTCGGGTCTTGAAGCTGGTGACTATGTCTGCCTTGGAACCTCTGGGCAGCCCACAACCATAACTTCCGGCACTGCAGTTCCAGCTACTCCTAGCCCAACACAGGTAAGCTTCATGATTTTATACTCAATGTCCATGCGCGATTGTTTTTTAATGTTCTCCTTAGACGGGTATGGTAAGTGGGTGTCTTCGATTTTATTATGTAGAATCTGGAGATGGTTGTTATGACATCGCCCTTGATGCGGGAATATCGCTTGAGTGAGTGCAACCACTGAACCCTCTCCCCTTTTTCCACTTTCCTTTTTGTCATCTGCTAATTCAACCTTTCTGTCCATCAGTGATTTCTACAGTTGGAACCCGGCGGTTTCAGACTGTTCTGATCTAGAAGTCGGTTTCTTCGTATCTATCGGGACTTCTGGTCAAGCCACCACTATCACTAGTGGGACACCTGTAGCCGCGTCTGCAACAGCAACGTCAACTTCATCGTGATCTGCTATCTGCACTATGTACCGTACTAGAGTAATAAAAAATTATGCGACTGTTAACAAATGTCACACATTGCTTTGACTTTGCTGGGTTTTTCGGCGTTGTTTTAGCTTCCTCCTCTCCCTGAGCCAGCCAAAAGTCATGGATTTCGGATCCTCAATGCCTATATGCGAGCTGCCGTCCGATAGGTCCGTGGATGCTCCATCGGGGGACGAAAGACAGTAGGCATATTTGATGGTGGTACTCCGGCACTTGTACGCTTTATACCTAACAGCATTGTTTCTCGCCCTTCTTTGTTCTTCTTTCTCTTTCAGCCAAGGCTTCACTCTGTTCCTCAACGCCTGGTAAACCTTGGTGTAGAAATAAACTTCAAAGACTTCCAGGTCATTGTTTCCCTCAACCATAGTCTCTATCCCTTCGAGCCATGCATTCTGCATGTGCTGCCTTCTAGCACCTTCTGTGTCCCCAGCGACGCCAGTCGAGTTCATCGGTGCCAGGTAGGCCGAATCGATATAGATGCGAATATGGGTAAGGCTTTTATACGTCTCTCCTAGGGTTTTCCATAGAGAGTCGTACTTGATTTTATTTTCATGCGATACATGCGGCTGTAGATCGTTCCCCAGTGTCCACCAGAGAGCCACCCTGTGGACATGCTGGAAACCCGAGGGAGAGACTTGATTTGGGAATGTGGTACAGAACTCTCTTTCATGTGAAAAGCGAAACTCGTTATTGTAGAGAATAGAAAGACTCTCTGTGTATCTATTTGGCGTTAGCGAAATCATTTTTCTTGATAGTTGTAGGGCTTGAAGAGACGGTGGGATAACATACGCCCGCCAGCATGTGCGGAGTAGCCCTGTATCGAAGAACAATCCATATTCATTGGTCGCATTCCGCTGCCCTTCTCTCGACCGACCTGCACAGTCGTCCCAGTCCAGTCTTTCACAGTCTGCGAAGCATACAAAGGAATAAAGAAACCATTTCTTTCTTTTTTCGTCTACACAGTCGCGCTCACAGTGTAGTACACAGTTTCCAAAGAGAAGTCGATAGATTTCGATCCGTATCTCAACAGGGAGCCTGAACAATGGACTTTGTATTTGAAAATTGATCGACAATGGTGGTTCCAAGGGCTCTTTGTGATCGGAGCTGGAAGTAAGGCCTTTTGTACAATTTCCATGATTAAAATATTGCCCTTGAATTCGATGTGGACAGACTTACTATGCTTTTGGCACCACTTGACAAACTTGGAAAGAGGCATGTTTGTTGATGAAATGCAGTTGAGATATCATCAGAAAGTTGCGGGGACCTCGTCAACTTAAATAGCCATCGATCATGTTGATCTGGAAATTGGAATATTACCACTAGTATCACTCGTGCAGCTGTTTCAGGTGAAATACCTGTTGTAACATACCGAGACCTGCCCACCAGCTGGACTATTGTGTCGGAAGGTGGTCATTACCGTACGGACTAGCACGCCCGCGGGCGTAGCCAATTCCAAGGTTGAGTACTATTACAGTAAACTCCTGTTTTCGGCACGGCCTCCGTTCAAAATCTCTGAACACGTAATCAGGGTCGAACAGCATGTACCAATGGTATGGGTCACGTCTGTGTACTTGTCTGGTATTCTCTAGTCTCCACCACAGCAATTTAACATGTGGTACGCTGACTAATAAAGTTGATTACATGATCCATTGTTCCGACACCATACATCTCCGACGCCAGTCCTTTCTCATTTTTCATTCTATCACTACGCCTCTACTTGAAAATGGCCAACAACTGGTCAGATGCCACCTGCATCCGCAATAATTTGGCGGCGGAACGCCAAGATACATGGGGCTTCTTCTTTTATCGTACATGCTGCTACGACGATGATGCACAGTGGGAGAGTTTCCTTGAGCGGATGAAAGCATTCGCAGAAAAGGCGTTACTCAATCCTAGGACGGCGAACAAGAATGGCGACGGAGAGATTCTTTTGGGGCAACTTGAATGGAATATTCAATCGGACCCCTCTCTAGATAATTGTTCATATGAGGAAGTCTGGCGGTATGGATCATGATCTCTCCCTTTTTGGTTTCTACCGGAGAGGTTAAGGGAAACAAAGTACTGATTTTCCCCCGTCTCCTTAGCCGCCACCGGGACCTTATGAAATCTCTTTACGGGGAACATTGTCCCGCCTTTGTCCGACAAGGATACCCCGTCATCGTGGACAAAGAGGCCCTGAACTCTGTCCTAGAAGCCACTTCACCAGATGTATGGACGGCTGGTGATAGTCTTAGGACGATGGCCTACGTGAATGTGCTTGATATGCAATGGTTTGAAGTACAGGATGAGCCGGATAATGGAATTGGATCGGAAGTCGGGTGGACGAGGGTTTCGGCTCATAAGCTTTATCCTAGGTTGTATTCGTTACTGGCAAGTGGAATGTGGCCGCAGGTCGTCTATCGTGATCCTCCCACAATTTCTCGTTTAAGCTAAATGTCGCTTCATTCTTAGCAATTCTCTTTTTTTTAAAAAAAAAAAAAAAGTAAGAAGCGCTCATTGAACACTATGTCCTTTTATCTTTCAGTTCCCTTCTGGAATAATGAGCGTCATGGCCGAATTGGATACACTTTCCCTGACTAATGAGGGCTGCAAGCCGGTGCGAAACTTTGGACCCATGTTGATACAGGAGAAGCTTGGTCCGCTTTTTCTATCACTTGTATTGATCAGGGCTGTAAATATCTGTCAATTATGTGATCAAACCGCGACGCAGTACTCGTAGTCTGACCATAGCCCTGAACAGTCACTACCAACAGCCGGGTTCCAGTCTATGAAGTCTGTAGTAGATATGCCATAGGCTGTTGCAATAGCCCAGCACGAGTCACCCGATACTGCAGTGTAGAATTTGGTGCATGAAGCGGTAATGCCAGTCTGCACTGGCCCTGCGACGCAGTACTGCTGTCCAACATCAAGATATTGACAATTGGAACCGATTGATGGATTCCATAACAGAAATTCCGCAAAGGTGATGCTATATTCGACCTCAATGGCAGAACATGAGTCGCCTGAGACGACAGTGTAGTATTCACTGCAAGACACACTGGAGGTGGTCTCCGTGGCTGCCGCAGTAGTTGTGGTAGATGTGGAAGTAGTCTCGACGGCAACACAGATGGCGTAACCAACAGAGAGGGATTGGCAGTCGTCACCGATGGCCGGGTTCCAATCATATAGCTGTGCAAAGGTGACACCGTATGTGCTTTCAATTGCAGCGCAACCGTCGCCGGACTTGACGGTGTATAACTCTTTACAAGAAGATATCATTCCTGTCTGGGTCGGTGCAGCGGTGGAAGTAGTAGTTGGAAAGGCGACGGCGACACAAATAGCGTAACCAACAGAGAGAGATTGGCAGTCGTCACCGATGGCCGGGTTCCACGAATATAACTGAGCGAAAGTAACGCCGTATGTAGATTCAATCGCAGCACAACTGTCACCGGATTTTACAGTGTGCAACCTAGCACAGGACGACGTAATTCCTGTCTGCGTTGGAGCAGCCGATGAAGATGCAGTCGTGGTTGTTGATTGGATCGCAGTAGATGAATCTGCACTGATACACACGTACCGCACTGCGTTGTCGTCAAGGTCGGCATACAAATTGGCTGTGCAGTTTCCAGACAGCCATGAGTTCCAGTCTACAAGCTGAGTCACACTAAGCTGATAGTCGGCTGCTAAGAGATCACAACCATACGCTAATCATACCGCGTTAGTATCTATCGTGATGGAATGTTGCGAATTTAATTTGTGGAGAAGGGCATTTTGCTAACTCATAGGGCGACTCACTATCGGAATCCCATCCAGTTACAAATGTGAAGCATGTGCAGGTTGAGATAGTCTTTGCCACGATATCACTCGCCGCGACTGAGGTACAGTATGAATTGGAGCTAGTAGTCGTAGCTGTGGCTTGAGGACCTCGTTAGATTGAAATCGTTCGAAGGGGCAGCAGTTGACTTGGAAGGGAAGTAGAATCTCACATGATGTGTTAGAACGAACAACGCAGTAGCTGTACCCGGCTTGTAGGCCACATAGCGTCACATTGCTATTCAGGGAAGGGTTCCACGAAACCAAATCTGACGTCGACACGTCATGAGAATTAGCAACAAAAAAACAGCTGTTTACTATCTTTGTGGCATCTGGAATAGTGGAGTTGATGTTCTGGTAATTGAGATACTTTAAACAGCCAGAGACAGTGCCAGAGGCTGTGGGGAGAGGTGTCGCTTTTGAGATTGAATATGTAGACTTTGTGCGGTTGTATTTGGGAAATGTGACATTCCTCTCCAGATAGGGCGCAGTGGGGTAAGTGGAAAGATCAACGAAGCAACTCGACGGAGCGTATGGATCAAGACAGGAGATGTCTGCAGTGCTGCCTACAGTATAGTTGGCATAAAGCGATATATCACCGACTGATTCAACGCAATATGCGCTACCAAGCAGGAGGTTTGTGCAGTTACTGTCAATCTCAGGGTTGAGGAAATAGAAGTCATCGAGGGAAATGCCCATCTGCACAGTAATAGATGCACAAGTCTCGCCACTTCCGACCACATGATATTGGCCACAGTCCTCATTGGTCCCGTTAGCGACATTTGTTGGTACTGCGGCAGCGACTGTGGCAGTGGCTGGACTGGCACTATTGGAGACATCTAACCAACCTCCAATTGGGCTTGGGTTTTGTTACCTTCAAGTTTCAAAGGTAGCGTTGTGGCCCATGTGAAAAGAGCATTTGTGGTCTCATACCTGACACAAATAACAGTTCCGTTTAGATTGTCCATGTTTCCACACAGCAGATTGATGTTTGGATTCCAACTTTGCAGTTGGGTAACAGTAATGTCCTCGGGAACAGTGCGGATGATACCGACACAAGTATCATTGGGTTGAACTGTGTAGATGTCGCAGGCCTGGGGAAGGCAAATTGTCATTCCCTCAGTCAGACCAGAGCAATATATGTCTAGGTTATTGTTATATGCAAGATAGAAAGTTGAAACGTTGTGAGCAACTGCAATTGATCCACAAGTATCGCCGCCCAGCACCGTGTAGGTGTCAGAGCACGTCGCGGTTGCACTTGCAGAGCTTCCAGCCTCAGTAGATGTGGCTGTAGCAGTTACCGTTCCATTTAGAGCGTATGGAGTGGGTGAGGTGAAGGGAAACCCGGTGCTGCCACAACTGGAAGTAGTGGACGCAAATTCACTTGCAAGATCTTCGTCATATCCCAATGGAGAATTGAGTTCTGCCTGCATCGTACCGAGTCTACAGTCTGAGCATGTCTGCTCTGAGGTCTCGGTCATATTGACCCATGATGTCACGAAACTGACAAGGAGTATCTGGAAGTTCTCTCATGTGACCTCAGCTGACCTTGCCGAGAGAGTGCGGGGTATAAAGCCCATCTCTCTCTTAGTACCTACGATTCCTTCAAGAATCAGTTTTGATACAAATCTGATTACTGCTTTTTTACAACCCATCTATTCTCCCTCTATCTTATCCATAAACCCTAACAATTCTGATTCTTCTTTGATATGATAGAGAAGAAAAGATGGTGCGTACTACTCGCAGTAACCCACAACCTTCGGTGGACCCGGTGGAGCTAGCGCCGACCGTGGATCCAACCCCGATCGACTCCACCACGGAACCACCTCGAGACGATGACGATTCGGACCTCGAACCGCTCGCTTCCATAGGCGAATCCCTGAGTGACCCCACAATTAGAGAACTTAGGGAGAAAGAGAAGAACATGCTCATGACCGCCCGTCTCCTTAAGCGAATTGAAGAGCTAGAGAAACAAGTCCAAAAACATACTTCGAAACGCCCCCGAGAAGGAACCGATTCGGACTCGGACCGAAGTGGACACGTCCATAAAAAGGATCTGAAGCTACCGGACTTGAAAAAACCTTTCACTCTTCACTTCAGCCTACAACAGCAGCAGGAATGGTTCAAAAATCACGAACAGATATTCCGTGCTGCCCCACGGCAATTCAAGACCGAAGATGCCCAGATTATCGCTGCTTCTTTCAATATGGACGAAGACTGTCGACAACGGTGGTTTACACACATCGAAGAACTTGATGAGGATGAAGCCCGATACGCTACCCATACGTGGACGTATTTCAAGGAATGGACAGATGAGCTTATTGCCAATATGTCCACTGGCATTATCGATTATCAAGATCGATTCGAAGAAGCAAAGCAGCGCCCAACCCAGACACCTATCGAATTCCACCAGTATCTACTAAGTTTAGAACGCTTCTTCGAGAAGCCTTCCGAGCAGCGTCGTGCTCAGATCTACTACTCAAAGCTTCAACGAAACCTCAAAGATGCAATCATTATTGCCCGGGCAGGCCAGTTGCCTGAAACCCTTAAGGATATGGTTGCAGAAGCGAATCGCCACTGGACCATCATCCAAAACAAGGTGAAACCCCAAGGGCATACACCAAAAGAAAACCCAAAAAGGGCACAGAATAGCAATTCCACCATAAATACGGAAGCACCTACCCCAGTGAAGAGAGGCCGAGGTAACTTCCGAGGAAGACCCCGTCAAGCTCCAAGGGGGATTCCTAGAAGAAACGCTACTGAATCACCTAAGGACTCTACAAACACACACCCCGCTCACTGGATTTGGAAGCTGAATCCCAAGACCCAGCAGAAGGAGTGCATCAACTGTTCGAGTCCTGACCACTATGGCAACAGCCCAGAGTGCAAGAAAAATCCTGCAAACGCTGTAAAAGCGCAATCGGCTAAGGCGGGAAAAGTGTGAGGGTCGAGCAGGATGGCCAGCCGTCTTCGACCCAATCCTTACCCCAACTTGGCACAGCAACTCGATTATTCATCCCGATTCGGCTACGAAACGGCACCGAGACCCATGCGGATCTCGATACTGGAGCCGAAGTCGACCTAGTTAGCTACGAATTTGCAAAAAGTCAGCATCTGCAGCAAGCCAAGACAACAGAACCCTTGATCCGTGCTATCGGGGACGTCCTTGTACCCACATATGGAGTATGGAGGGTTCCCCTCAGTATTAAAGATTCAAGGGGTACTACTAAAACCTTCGAGAGAGTATGTGTCGCTGTCGATAGGGACCCGAGACCTCAAGGAAGCCCTGTTTTATTATCCATGACCACTCTCTGTGACCTGAAGATACACTTATCACCTGCGAATCGTATGTGGTGGTTCGAAACCTCAGTATCGTCCACTATTATCGAAACGCCTTGGAGATTCGCCAAAAAGTGCAGAAATGAAGTATGTGTCTTCGCTGTGGTCAAGTTACCCGAAGAGGTGTATAAACCCGAAAACGAGGACGATTCAGGGGTGGATCCGCAAGGGTTACCACCTGAATTGGAGGAGTTTCGGGACGTTTTCGAGAACGTGAAATCGAAGACGTTACCCCCTTTTAAGAACTCTGACCACTCCATTGAGTTAACACCTGGAGCAACACCTCCTTTTGGACCAATTTACCCACTTTCGCAAACAGAATTGGCGGAATTACGTCGATACCTAGACGAAAATCTCCAAAATGGTCGAATCCGACCCTCAAAGAGCCCCGCTGGCGCTCCAATCCTCTTCGTACCTAAAAAGGACGGAGGATTAAGGTTATGCGTTGATTACCGAGGACTCAATCGAGTTTCGGTTAAAAATCGTTACCCTTTACCCTTGATTTCGGAGATCCTCGACCGATTATCTGGCGCTACTCACTTTTCAAAAGTCGATGTGCAGGATGCGTACTATCGGATCCGAATCAAGGAAGGCGACGAATGGAAGACAGCTTTTCGTACACGGTACGGCCACTTCGAGTATACGGTTATGCCTTTTGGGCTAACTAACGCTCCTGCTACCTTTCAGTCGTATATCCATACTGCTTTGCATGGACTTCTTGATATCATCTGTATCGCCTATTTAGACGATATTCTCATCTTCTCGAAATCGAGAGATGAGCACACGGAGCATATAAAGCAAGTGCTTATACGTCTCCGAGATGCACAATTATACGCAAAAGTGTCAAAATGCACCTTCTACCAATCAGAAGTCGATTTCCTCGGGTTTTTTTTTTTTTTTTTTTTTTTTTGTATTCATTCATGGATCTGTCAGGCTTTTGGCCCGATTTGCCAGTAGGGCACTATAGGATAGCCGGAACAACTATATCACCAAGTGGTAATAACGCTAATCGGATGCAACTGTAGGCTATTTGGTAGGCGGATAGGGTGGGTGGGGGGGGGGGGGGGGAAGGAAGGCAAATAGTGCAAACAGGTCCGCCAAGACCAAAATAGCCAAACAGTGCAAACACCAAAACCTCGGCACGCCCCTTCTCCGCGTACGCTCAACCTCTCTCCTTCACTTGCACCCCTTCAACGCGCCCGTCTTCGCTCGCCAGATCGTGTCTCGCAGTTTAACCTTACCCGTACTCACATACCGCTAACGCTGGTAGAAGCAAAGTGATCAGCTGACCGTGCGCAGGCCTGAGACGTCCCCGCAAGCATCTCCCATGGTGTTCGATCGTGTGTTATCCCTCCGTCTTCGAATAACGCAGTGGCCCCTAGGCGCCCGAAGGGCCTAGGAGATTAGTGGATCGGTGGTTTCTGGAGGCCCGTGGGCACTCCAAGGAATGAGTGGCCGCTACGCGGCTGCTATGGTGTGGTATGTCTCTGGTAGGTGGCGGAATTGGCCGAGAAGGCGTGTGGCTAGTATGAAGGAAGCTGCTTTAGGTGCGCGCTCTGGCTCAGTGAGCCAGGACGTCCATACGCCCGGGGGGCGGTCGATACCAAGGGTATTGGCGCGGAGCGTAGCAAAGCGGGGACAGGTCAGCAGCACGTGCTTCGTGTCCATCTTACCACGCTCGCAGTGGTGGCAGGCCGACGGGTCTAGGTCCGGCACCCCGTTCTCGAGTGCCCGAGCTACCCTTTCGTCCCGCCAGGCGGAGATGGTTGACAGATATGCTGGTAGGGCCAGCTTACCTGCTTGCATCTGGATAAGTGCAGCGCTAGTGGGTCTGCGGAGTGGCTCATGGAGCTGAAATACTGCTTTTGTGGGCTCTGGAAAGAGGTCTCGGACGTATTCACCGTGGGCGGAGGTCGTCCACTCGCGTGTCCACGCCTCTAACGTTTGCTCACGTAAGGTGGCTTTGGCTGCGGTAAGGAGTAGTGGTGTCGTCGTAGGCGTGGCTGTGGATTCGGCTGCTTCTTTGGCCATCTGGTCGACCCGCTCGTTGCCGGCTACCCCGACATGTCCGGGTAGCCAGTTGATGCGGACCTGCCATACAGGCTGTACTCGGTCCAGTAGCTCCGCGATTTCTCGTAGCACGTACTGGCCTGAGCTTCGCCGCGGGCGTGCGAAAGCGAGAATCGCAGCCTGGCTGTCTGTGAAGATCGTAGCAGTAGCGGTGGTATCGGTAGTATCGGTAGTATCTGTTTCTGCGCGGAAGCCCTCGCACGTCTGTCGAAAGCTTATCTCCGTGTCGAATCGACGGAGTGCGAGCTTGATTCCGTGGAGTTCTGCCACGTAGATCGAATCTGTGGGGTGTAGCACCGCCACCTCTCTCCCCACGGAGGTGAGGGCAGCAGCCCCTACGCCTGCTGGGTTATCGAGCTTGCTACCGTCGGTATAAGCTATTGCGGTGTTAGGCCCGTAGGGCCCAGCGGCCCTAAGGATTTCGTTATGCTGCGCGATTGCTGTGTCTTTGCTTGCGGCGATCTGCACTTTTGGCGGCTGCCACCACGGGGCCACTGCGTACGGCTTGATCAGCTCAAGGTCGTGCACGTCGATTCCACGGTCTTGGAGATGCTTCTCAAGGCGCTGCAGCGGGGTAGTCATAGCTTTCTGGATAGGTCCGAGATTGCGGTGGCTGTCTTGGCAGTATAGCCGTAGCGTTGCCCTATCGACTGGCGTACGTCTGCGGAAGATAGTGCGGAGTGGGTGGGTATGAATACGGAGACATGTGAGTTCTGCTAGCCGTTGAGTCGCGATTGGCGCTGGTAGGACATAGAGAAGGATCTGTAGCGCAGCCCGGGACGTCGTACGAAACGCGCCGGCGATACGGTAAAGGGCTTGATACTGCATGGATTCGAGAGCGCGGTTCACCTCATTCTCTGTCGTCTTCGCCTGGTAGGCCCCCTTCGTGTACCACGTAGAACAGCCAAAGCTAATCTGTGGAAACAGCACAGCCGTCCACATGCGACGCAGGTGGAGCGTCGTGACCCCCCAGGTCATGCCAGCAATAGAACGGAGGGCCGCGGTCAGTACTGCAGCTCGTTTGCGGCAGCGGAGTAGGTGGTCACGGGCTGTGAGGTTTTCGTTAAGAATGACCCCGAGATAGCGGAGGGACGCCACCGGCTTGATTTCGACGCCCTGAATCGTGACAGAGCCCGTAAGGGCGGGTGTCTGCTGCGGATGGACGCCGTACGGGGGCAGCGCGCCAGCACCCCTCTTCCAAAAGTGAATAAGACCATATTTTGATGGAGAGAACTTAGATGCGTGCCGTTTCGCCCACGTCTCAGCAACAGCGTGTAGTTCGGAGAGAAATTGACAATTGCGAGTAGGGGAAACGCCCCACACAAGGATGCAGATATCGTCGATATATCCCGTCACTAGCACCCGGCCGGGAGCAGCTGCGTGGATATCGTCGATCAGGTCTGAGTTGTAGAAAAGATACAAAATTGGTGATAGTGGTGAACCTTGTGGGATCCCGGTAGCAACCGGTTCGTTTGCACAGCGTCCTTCTTGCAGTAAGAGGGTCGTGCTTCGATTTGATAAGAAGCTGATCAGCCAGTTTGTGATAATCTCCGGGATGCGTCGCTTCCGTAGACAGTGGATCAGTCGTATATGCGAGACGTTATCAAAGGCCCCGCTACCGTCTAACGTGAGAAGCGAAGCGACCCGCCGGTCCTTTCTCCATGCGTCGTATACTGCTTCGAGCAGCATGTGGATAGCATGGTCACAGGAACGGCCGCCACGCCCTCCGATATGCGTTTCTGGCAGTAGGCCATACTCCTCTGCAAGGTATGATAGGCGTGTAGCGATAATCGATTCGAGTGCCTTTCCGAGGGTTTCTAACAGCGAGATCGGCCGCCATGCGTTCGGATTAGTGTAATCTGGCTTGCCTGGCTTCCGGATCACGACTGTTATACTATCTCTGAACGCCCGTGGGCAGTAGCCTAGGATAATGCAGGCGTTGAAGATGGCCGTGATAAAGGTGGAGAATCCTGGTACGTCCAACCCGTGCTTCCACACAGCATTCGGTATGCTAGAGGGGCCCGGGGCGTTGTACGGGGTTGCCCTGCGGATGGCGTGTTCGACTTCTGCTGGGGAAACGGTAGTTGGCATCGGCACGGCGTCCGGGTACGTATATCCGTCGATATCGGAGAGATCTGCGGTAGGGGCCGGTGGGAAAAGTGCTGTGCGGAAGCACGCTGCTTTCTCGTCCGTTGTGGTAAATTCACGTTCGCCAACGCGGAGTGTGGGGGTATGTGAAGACCGGGGGACCCCCCGCGACCTTGCCCACTTTGCTAACCGCCAAAATCCGTCGATAGACGTAGTGGCTTCCTCCACTCTCTCTCTGTGTGCCTGACGGCCCATCTTCTTGCTTTCTCGGCCGAGCTGATGCCGCAGCTGCCGAAAAGCTTCATGATCCTCTTCGTTATGGCTACTTTGCCATGTGCGGCGTGCCCGACGCACCTGCTGCTTCAGCGGGGCGAGTGCAGGCGTATACGTGGGATATGAGCGTCCGGGGTGGATCTTCCGTACGGGGACAGTATCTTTGGATGCCGCTGATACAGCGTCCATCACCCGTTTCACAGCTTCGTCCACTTTCTCAGCTGTATCGAGCACCCAGCCAGGACCCGATATGCTCCACCCTTGCTTCGTGATATATCTCTCAAGGGCCTTACACCAGGCCTCCCAGTCCGTGGCCCGCCAGTCCTGGCGCTCTCTAACCCCTGCTGGCGAGGTACGGACGTCGAATTCAGTGAGAATCGGCACGTGGTCGGCTCCGTACCACCACTGGCGGCATGGAGTGCAGCGAATCACACGGTCCGCGAGAGACGCCGCGGTCCACGTTAAATCGATCGTGCTACGCACAATATTGCCATAGACAGGCCCTTCGAATGTGACTGTGCCTTTCTCTGTGAGTAGATCTAGGCCAAAATCACCCATTATGCGAATCAGGTCGTCTGCGTCGTCGTCCGGCAGCTGGGCCTGCTGGATCGTCGACCACAGCGGGTGGTGGAGGTTGAAATCACCAACCACGACATGCTGCCCACTGTGGTAGCCGCGTAGGGCTACACAGAGCGCGGCTAGACCTTCTTTCACCTCCTGCGTACGCTCTGGGTCGTTGAACTTCCCCGGAAGATATATATTATGCACATGCAGCTGGCCGGCCCCGGTTTCCACGGTCAGCGTGCTGGCGTCTCTGCTGTGGTGTCTGATCGACCACGATTTCGGGTTGATCCCTTTCGATACGAAGAAGCAGACACGGGGCTGCGTGCGTGCTGCTTCCTCGCGGACGGCTGTGGGTGTAGGCCGGAGAAGTGTATGAAACCGGCCACCAAGTGTCTGCGAATGGACGCCCATCTCGGGTTCCATCCAATTGAATATCTCAGGCTCTTGGATAGCCAGGATATCGCACTTCCGCACCCCTTCCTCACCGAAGAGATGCTTCATGACCGTATCGTTCGATTTACGGCAGTTGGCCTGCAGGATTTTCAGCGTTTGGCTTATCATTGCGCGCTCGCTGCGCCTCGAGTGATAGGGCCAGTTCTCTGCGATTGTGTGGGGGCTTCTTGGCTGAGCTCGTCTGAGGACTCGCTGGCGGTACGCCTGCTGCGTCTACGGGTTTGCGTGCCGATATCTTCCAGATTCTCTGTTGTGACGTCCGGCGTAAGGATCTCCACCATATCCGAGGACGGGGCGTGGAGCCCTTCCCACTGCTTTTGCATGGGCTGCACTAGCCGTGGGGTGCCGTACGTGACCAGCTTCCGGTTAACTGTGGTGGTTTTTGGCCGAATACGGCTTGCGGGGACCAAAGGGGCATCTTCACTCTCTGAGCTCGAGGACGGGGCCCGGCGGCGCTTGCTAGGGCTAGCGGACCGGCCTTGGATCCTAACCTCGAGCTTTCTTGCGGGCTGTAGTACGGGCTCTAGCACCTGTTGTGCGCTATTGACTAGCTCACGGGCCGCTTTGCCGATTTGTGAGCCGGAGTATGCTTCTGCGGGGGTAGGGGCAGCTGGGGATGTTGACGTTGATGGGGTAGGGGCTGTGGCCGTCCGGTGGAGCTGAGGGCCCCGGAGACGGTTGATACGGATCATGTCGAGCTGCTCGGCACGCCGAGGGCACTCTCGTTCGAAGGCAAAGTGGTTAATTTTGACCTTAGCTTCTTCAACTGCGGTTTCGTTGTGCCTGATACACACAGCACACTTGGCAGACGCGCGGTTACGGGCATGTGCACATTCCTTGGAGTCGTGAGATCCAGCACAGTACGCGCAGCGGATCTCCCTTCTGCAATTACGGGCGATATGACCGTACGATTGGCACTGGAAGCACTGCTGCAGCCGGTGGCTGCCGTCGAAGAATTGGCAGTCGTGATCCCGCCCCTGCAGCGCCAGGCCGAGAAGAATTGCTTGATTTGCTGCGTCTGGGTCGTCGAATTCGATCACGAGCTTAGCGGTGGTGGTATCGGAGGTTGTGGCCTGTTTCCGGAGGTCGGCCATCTTACGTGCCGGCATGAGCCAGCCGATGTGCATGATATTAGCGGTCGAAGGGATGCGGCGTACGTTCTGTGAACGCAGGCGTTTCGCAGCATCTGGGGCGGAGGGGTCGAAGCTGATCGGCACGCCGTGCATGACAACGGAGAAGGTTTCTCGCTTAAGGTGCGCTTTCGGTCCAAAGACGGCACACCAGCTGTTATCTTGCGGGCTACAGAGGTCAGTCAACTGGCGGACGTCGCGTACGCTGTCGCAACGGAGAAGCACGTCGCCGCTGGGCAGCACAAAGCCGGTAGACACCTCAACCGGAGCGATCTTGGCTTCGTCACAGACGTCTTTGATCGTCCGATTGGCCCGGTGGACCACTTCTTCCGCATGTCGACGTAGCGGATCGACCAGAGAGCGTTCTGTGCCACGGATGATCAGCTGCAGGTCCTCTCGTAGCACCCGCTGCGGTGCAGGGGCGCTACCGGTGCTGAGGCCATTGGTGGAGAGTGTGCCGTTGGTGTGGGCTCTGTTCAGCCAGCCGGAGACAAGAGAGGATTCGGTATTGCTGCGAAGTGCAGCTCGGTAATCCATTGGCCGGCGGGAGCCAGCAGGGTTCGCAGTAGCAGCGGCGGCAGCTGCGACGGCCTGGGTGTCGATAGACGCCTGCAATTTGTGATACAGGTCGGCCTGCTTGCTGGCATGCTCGTCGAATATCGCGCGCAGGCGCTGCAGCTCCGCCAGCAGCTCGCTGTCCGTCATCCTCTTCGCCAGGGAGATCACGGCGTCAAAGAAGCCGTGCAGCTTGGCTGGCGGTGGGGGGTCACGGTTCTCGTCTGTTGCAGACTTCCATAGCACGGCTGTTTTCTGTATTTTTGCTGCTGTGGCGCGTAGATCGTGGCTGCTGTCGATCGCTGGCGGATCGGGCCAGTCTGCCACGTTTTGAGGTGTCGGCCGGGCGGTCGGCCCCTTTTTTGACTTTTTCGCCATCGCGGGCCGCAAAACCACGCTTTTTCAGCGCGCAGCGGGTAACCGACGATGTACGTAAGTAGAAATTAGGTTCAATCGAACCGTGGAAATGAGACGCTTAATTTGCTGTCCACCAATGGGCGTCCAGGCTGCTGTAGCTGTGGGGCGCGTTTCGCACAAAAGATTGTGTGTCTGGATTTCCTCGGGTTCATTATTGGACAAGGGGGTATATCTATGGATCCTCAGCGGATTTCCGCTATCGAATCGTGGGAGGTCCCTAAGACCTACCATGATATCCAAGTGTTCCTTGGATTTTGCAACTTTTACCGACGCTTTATCAAGAACTACTCTTTGATAGCGCTGCCACTTACTGATCTCCTCAAGGGGAGTAAAAATGGGAAAAAACCTGGATCCGTGCAGCTAAGCGAGCCCGAATTACGTGCGTTTCGTACACTAATCGGATCTTTTAGGGAAGCACCTCTCCTTCGATATTTTGATCCTTCAAGGAGGATTCGATTGGAGACGGATGCCTCGAATCTCGGCATGTCCGGAATTCTTTCCCAGCCAGACGATCATGACGTCTGGCACCCAGTGGCCTTTTGGTCGCGGAAGTTTACCGGAGCGGAGTTGAATTATTCGACTCCGGATCAGGAGCTTTTCGCCATCGTTCAGTCTTTTAAAAGCTGGCGACATTATCTAGAGGGTAGCCAGTATACCATCGAGGTGCTTACAGATCACTACAACCTGCAAACTTTTATGAAGCAACCCAGGTTGAACGGTAGACAGGCGCGATGGTGTATGGTGCTTACCCCCTTTGATATTGAGATTCGACATCGCTCGGGCAAATCCAACCCGGCAGATGGTCTATCTCGGCAGCCGAATTCAGAAAAGCCTGATTCAGTTAGCCTTCTTTCTATGATCCGAAGCAAATTCGCTAAGGTTCAGTTTCTTCAACGGGTCGCTCCCGAAACCCAATCAAGCGTGGACGTAGAGGGCCCGCTTAGCAGGCGAGATGCTGCTGAAACAGTGGATTGGTCTGTTTGGGAATCGTTAAGTTCTGCTTATTCTATTTCCCAAAGCGCATGTGTTTATGCTGCTCAGAACGAAAATGTTCTATCATCAAGTCCAAATTCGGATTTGAAGGCCCTTATTGCGAAGGCCCAGGGTGACGATCCTGAGACCAAGATGCGAAAGGATGCCGTTTTAGGAGAGATTCCTAACCGGATCGGGTGGGAGATTGATGCTGAAGGCCTTTTAAGGTATCGTAAGCGGCTCTTTATCCCTGATGGGGTTGTTCGTCAGAAGGTTCTTGAACTCTATCATGACGACCCCCACTCCGGACACTTCGGTCGAAATCGTACTGAAGAGCTTTTAAAGCGGAAATTCCATTGGTCAAAGATGAATCGAGATGTTATCGATTATGTCTCGTCATGCCCCGTGTGTCAAGGTGTAAAGGCCCTAAGGCATAAGCCTTATGGAGCACTTCAACCCTTACCACAGCCAAAAAGGCCATGGGCTGAGATCTCCATGGATTTCATCACAGGTTTTCCCCCTGTCCTTTACAAAAACGAGCGTGTTGATGCTATTTTAGTCATTGTCGATAGGTTTACGAAATACTGCATTTTCTTACCCGTCACGACTACGATTACCGCCGGAGAACTTGCCGAACTCGTCTACGAACATGTCGATTTGAAGTACGGATCCCCAGAGGGTATTGTCTCCGATCGAGGAAGCCTCTTTACCAGCAAATTTTGGTCGAGATTGTGCTATCATTCCCTCGTTAAGCTTCGGTTATCAACCGCTTATCACCCTCAAACTGATGGTCAAACCGAGCGTATGAATCAAACGCTCGAATACTATCTCCGCTGTTTTGTGGACCACTCGCAGCTTACGTGGCCAAATCTACTTCGAACCGCCCAGTTTGCGTGTAATAATGCCGTTAACGCGACTACCGGAGTATCACCGTTCATGGCGCTTATGGGGTATAGCCCTGAAATGCGTCTTCACCCTGATCTTGACGTCGAAGACAAAGACGCACCCTCAGCTCGAGACCGAATCCAAAAGCTCGCAGACCTCCGTAAATCGACAGAGGAAAGCTGGCGAAAGGCGAACGAATCAATGACGAAACACTATAACCAGAAGCACAAACCTATGGAGTTTAAGGTCGGCGATATGGTCAAATTGGCCGCCAAAAACCTCAAATTGAACCTTCTCTCCAAGAAGCTCAGCCCGAAATTCGTCGGGCCCTTTAAGGTCCTCGCCAAGGTTGGCAAACAGGCATACCGCCTTGGATTACCCGTCAAATACGAACGTTTACATAACGTCTTCCCGGTCACACTACTCGAACCTTGGTATGCCCGAGACGGCACCGAATCACCTTCGTTACCTGATCTACACGATGATGACGAATGGGAAATCGAGGAGCTTCGAGATGAAAAGATCATTGATAACGATATACACTTCCTAGTGAAGTGGAAAGGCTGGCCCTCGGAATACAACCAATGGGTCGCCGAAGACGATATGAACGCAAAACAGCTTATCACCAAATTCAGAAAGTCATCTAAGAAGAAGAAGTAAAACTTCACTTCTTTCTTCACTCACTTCTTCACCTATCCCTTTACTTACTTCTCCACTTATCCTTCACTATCCAACCTCGACTATATATACCGGTCGGGGCGACCGCCAATCGAGGGGGGATGCGTTGGACAACAAAGAAAATCAACAAAAATTTAAAAAAAAAAAAAAAACTGGATTCGAAACACAAAGGACATTCAGGCCGAATCCTAGGGCCTTAGCACAAATCCAAAAGTGCCTAGGCCCTGGGCTTCGAAGAAATAACCAAGACGAAGAAGATTTTGTGATCTTCTTCGAGGAAAGCGAGGTACAGAATCCGTTTCTGCTACATCACCTCGAAACCTAGCCGAATCCCTTCCGAATCAATACTCACAATAATACTCGGAAGCCTTATTACGGATAGTATCAGCGACTGCAGCGGTCATCTCGCCAGTTGCGAGACCCGCATTTGCAACATCCTGGAAGTAACTCCATATAGCAGTATTCCAAACCATATACCCATCCTCGTCAGGTTCAAGACGACAAAGGGTGTTCGGAAAGGTCACAGGACGAGCAATACGATCCTGCTGAACCCGAGCTTTATCACGACTGATCCGCTGATATTCCCACCAGGGTTCGCCTTCCCACTTCTTCGCGGAATCAAGGCCATTTTCCACACAATGGGCAGTAATCGTTTTCCGAAGGGCAGCGAGGAGATTCACCGACGCTTCGTGGGCTTCATCAGAAGATTCGGGTCCCCATGTGATCGCCGCGGGACCAGAGCCAACTACACCAACTGGAGCAGTAAGACCTGTACTCGGTGCTGCGCTGCCAGGGACAGAATTATCGACCCACTCGAGGATCTCAAAGAGAACCCATGATTCGTACAACATGCCGATTGGGACCTAGAAGTGAAGCAACCCCGAATTAGCTCCGAATCAGTACTGAATTGAGGATACTCACCACATGGCAAACCGCGTTCTTACCATTACAACCATCGCAATTCTGTGAAGCAACCGTACCCCAAGTACACTCTATATCCACCCGGGATCCGTCACCTGCGACAAAGGCTGTACCAGCCCGGCCAAAGCAGCCGATACAAGCAGTATACGACGCCCGGGTAGGTGATGCCCGAGGTGTCCTGTCACTTGGCAAGGGCATTAGTCCTGAAGATGAAGAAGATGACGATTCTGCTGGGAACAATGGTGGATAATAGGAGAGGAGCGAGGGTAATTCCTTACCTTTTCTATCTCTGCCCTGTCGGATATTCCCAGTAGAACAAAGACAAACCGCTCCTACTGTCAACAAAGGTTAAACTGAGGCTGAAACCTCAATATCAAAGAATCTCTCATTTGAGAATTTTACGCAGATTGCGTGATCGAAACCCCTTTGTTTTGCAGGCGACAGATGGTCGTATCGCCCTGCTTTCTTTGTGAAAACTGATGCGTGTTCTTTTCTACAAACACTTTCCTGTCAACTCTCGGTTCTGTCTTTGGTTCTGTATTTAGCAATTACTTGAAGGGTCTGGTCAACTGGGGCAGTTGCCCCTTAGAGGGGGGATAATTGTCACGAAACTGACAAGGAGTATCTGGAAGTTCTCTCATGTGACCTCAGCTGACCTTGCCGAGAGAGTGCGGGGTATAAAGCCCATCTCTCTCTTAGTACCTACGATTCCTTCAAGAATCAGTTTTGATACAAATCTGATTACTGCTTTTTTACAACCCATCTATTCTCCCTCTATCTTATCCATAAACCCTAACACATGACTGGATAAGGGTATCACAGAATTCCCCCGTCGAACTGGTATTAAGAACTGTCAGCGTATGCCATGCCTGTCGAGCGAGAACCAATATCTCCGAAAGTGATTCACGTACGGATCTGTTTGACAGGAGATGTTATAAGTGTAGATAAAATGGTCAATCACCCAAGTCGCCGGATAGGCGATTCCACCATCGACAATCACGTCACCATCGGCGGTGCAGGCCTCCTGGATGGTGTCCCGTACAGCTTGCAGTGATTTTTTGCACTCGTCTAGACAGAGAGATGATAGCTCATCTACGCTCAGATAATCGTTGCTTTGACTTGTCAGCGCCACAATTCTGGAAACGAAAATCGAAAGTTGGAGTAAGAACCTAACCCATGGGGGTAATTCCATTCTACTACGATGGAATTAGGGTGGACTTCTTTAGTATGGGGGAAAAAAGTGGGTCGGGGTACGATGGAATATTATTTCAAGATAAGGATGGATTTACATTCTGGACTCGGACGGGGCTCAGATTTTGATATGTTTTTCGCCAGCCTCTAACCCATGGGGGTAATTCCATTCTACTAACCCATGGGGGTAATTCCATTCTACTACGATGGAATTAGGGTGGACTTCTTTAGTATGGGGGAAAAAAAGTGGGTCGGGGTACGATGGAATATTATTTCAAGATAAGGATGGATTTACATTCTGGACTCGGACGGGGCTCAGATTTTGATATGTTTTTCGCCAGCCTCTATTTCATGGTCAAACCGAAATTCAGATCATTCGAAGCAGTGGAAATGGTTAAAACAGGGGTTGGAAATCAGGGAGTTTTTTTGATGGGGTGCCGACCGCGGGTTAGGGCGATACATCACCGTACAAGGATTATATGGGTTAGAAAGCTGAAAATTCAGGGATATGGATTTTGAGAGATGGGGTTTTGTGCACAAAAACCCATTAGAATATTAAGATGCGAAAGAGATTGGTTTTTGTGCACAAAAACCCAACAGAATATAAGATATAAGAGAGTTAGGGTTTTGTGCACAAAAACCCAATAGAGGTGCCGACCGCGGGCTAGGGTGATACATCACCGTACGACCACCGCCACTAGATACCCAATAGGGTATAGGGGATCACATGGGTTAGAAAGCTGAAAATTCAGGGGGTCGATTGATTTGATTCAGCTTTATATTCAGTTCGTTCTTCAAGGCCAATTAACGAATTTTGCCCGTACGGTGTTGAAGTTGCGCATACGGATTTGCATCATCGCCCCAAGTGTGATATTTCCATTTCCAGTATGTCCGAAACCACCCCCCACAGTCCCCAGGCCAGCGAGTTTTTTTTCACCAATTCTGAGTTCAACGTGGTGATTTGCCACCAGTGTGAGCATGCCGTACGACGGGATAATATTACCACCCATTTAACCGGCACCAATCATCGGGTACCCCGTACAACCGCACGGTATATCGAGCAATGTGTCCAGCAGTGGGACCATATTGAGGACCAGCCCGATATCAGCCATTGGCCCACCCAGGTTGATAGCCCGATTCCCGGATTAACCATATTTGAAGATGGTTTATTATGTTCACGTTGTACAGTATATATTTGCCGCGATTTAAAGTCCATGAAAAACCATTGGTCCGAACAGCACCAGTGGTCCCCCAGTAGCCACCGTGGTCGACCGAAACCGTCCGAGATCGCGCAGATCCAGGCCGAGATCCACGCCAATAGCCAGGCCGTGAGATGCCAGCGGATTTTCAAGCGGCAATTAGGGTCGCATTTTATCCAGATCCGCCAGCCCGTTCCACAGCGGGCCGAACCGGTGCCACCCGTGGATGCCATCCACCAGTTGGTCCAGCGCGTCCGAGCATTCCAGGCCCAGCAGGCCCGCAGCCAGCAGACCGTGATCCAGGCCGGGGAGATCGACGAAGCCACGCCGTGGTTAAACCGTACGGGGTGGGTCCGGTATTTACAGGGCATTTCGTCCGCCCCGTTAGTGCAGTCCATGGAGCGGCCGGACGAGGATGCCGAGGGCCCCGAGGGTGCGGCATGGGCCATTTGGCAGGCCATGGAGCGATTGGCCATGGTCAGCCAGCAGATCACCCGGGCGAGTGGGTTTTTGGTGCGGATTGAGGCCGCCCGCACGCAGAAGGCCGATTCCCCGTACGAGCCGTTGTTGGCGTATATGAAAGAAGCGGAGATCAAGGACCATATTGAGCCGTGGCAGCGGATATTGATGTTTTTCACCCGCACCCAGCAGCCGCACGATTGGGAGAGTCCCCCGTACGAGTTCACCCCCGCACAGCAGCGGTCGTGGGAGATCGTATGGCGGCGTGCGCAGGCCGCGGGCCGGTCCAGCCCGGACCCCATGGACCCCGAGCCGTACGAGTTATCGCCGTTGGAGTGCGCGATTATGGATTTTTGCATCAATTTGTTACGCCAGCGGATCCGGCACCACGAGTATGGGTGTGCGTTTATATGCGCATCGGCCGTGTTGGGCCGGAAGTTGTCCGGATGGGATGGGGTGGAGGATTACCCCCCCAAGATATCCAGTTTGATCAAGATCGCCCGTTTTTTGGTATTGCATAAGGCGTTGCGGTTAGACCCCGATTCGTTGGCCATCCGGCGTGGGTTCGCGCAGGGCAGCCAGGAGCCCCATTTCCGTGGTGACGATATCCCCGTCGCGGACGGATATATATTTGACGGGGACGAGGGTTATGCCAGCAGCCCCGTACGAGAGACGCCCACCCCCCGTCCCATGCCCGGATCCCCCACCACGTCCATTTTGGGACCCCCCACCCAGATCCAGGGTCGTCGGGTGATTCGTACGTTTCCCGAGTGGTTACGATTGATGGTGGATGCGTTTATGGTGCGTGGGACCCACGGGCCGGTCCAGTGGTTATTGGATTTACGCACGTACGGAAAGAAGGTGTTTTTCAACACCCCGTCCGAGGGGCATATCGGATGGAAAGGCGAGGATGAGTTGTTGTATAAGCAGTTGCATTTTACCATGGGTGATTTCCGTGGGATGGTCCACGGGTTGGTCGAGAGCATGCGGAACCAGTTTCACCAGCAGTTGATATTCGCCGAGGGTGCACAGATCCCCAGTATTGATTTACAGGATATATACGACGATCCCACGCAGCGGACGGCGGATTGGAGTTTTATCAAGGATTCCCGTACGCAGTGGCCCGTCCACGGGGCCGAGTGGTTGATCCAGCGGGTGGCCCAGGAGCCCACGTTACGGCGGCGATTCAGCGAGCCGGACGGCCAGGGGTTCCGGATGCGTGCAATTGACCGGTATTTTGCCGAGGTGGCCCGGTTCCGCGAGCGGTTAAGCGTGGCGATCCATATCACGGCCGGCCAGCCCAGCCGTACGCCCGAGTTGTTGAGTATCCGGTACCGGAACAGCGAGCGAGAGATCCGCAACGTGTTTATCGAAGATGGGATGGTGGTATTTGTCAGCCGATATCACAAAGGGTTCCATATCACCAACGATACCAAGGTGATTCAGCGGTATTTGCCGCAGGAGGTTGGGGAGTTGGTCGTCCGATATATATGGTTGGTGTTGCCGTTTGTGGAGATATTGCAAGCATATCAGTGGCAGCAGCGAGGCACCCCCACCCCCCGCCGACAAGAGTATTTATGGGGCCCCGACGCCGGCAGCGAGCAGGCGTGGACGGGCGTACGATTCCGGAAGGCGTTGGAATCGGCCACGGCCGCGGGGTTGCACGGGCAGGCGGTCCACGTGTCGGCATACCGCGACATCGCCATCGCGATCAGCCGGCGGTATTTACGGGGCAAGAGCCAGTTTGAGAGTAACGTGCAGGAGGGCACGGGCGAGGCGGCCCCCCCGTACGACCCCGACGATGAGGGTGGGATGGACGAGGAGGAGTTTATGGGGCATATTGCGGATTTGCAAGCCACCCATTCGTCCCACGTGGCCGGGATGATGTACGGTCGTACGATCATGGAGCCCACCAACAGCACCACGCACCGGCGGCAGCGGTTCCGGCAGTCCAGCCAGGATTGGCATCAATATTTAGGGTAGACTTCTGCATGGGCCGGAAAATTATGTCCAAGGCCCAACCCATGCTAAAGCCTAAGTAATATATACATATATTACATATATTACCTAGTTAATACTAATGTTTTTGATAGATTACATTGTAATTACATAGAGATTTAATTTTACCGGCCCATGGGCCAGAAAATTATGTCCAAGGCCCAGCCCATGCAGAAGTCTAATTTAGGGTTTGCATCCGCCGTCCGCGCCGGGGTATGCGGTAAGCGTCCGAATCCGTGGGAGGATGATGCCGAGGAGAGCCGGACGCAGCGGCGGTATCAGTTACAGCAGGCCCATATGTTGCAGTCGTTCCAGCAGATGGTCGGACGGCCCGAGATGGTATTCCGTGGGGTGCAGGAGCCCGCGTTGCGGGCGATCCAGCAGGGGGTCAGCCCGGTCGTGGCGGTGATGCCCACCGGGGGGGCAAGAGCATATTATTCATGTTACCCGCGTGGGTCGGGGGTGGATTGACGGTGGTGGTCGTCCCGTTGATCGCGTTACGCCAGGATATGGTCCAGCGGTGCGAGCAGTTGGGGATATCATGCGTGCCGTACGACCGCCAGCGGCCCCCGGACGAAGCGTCGATCGTGTTGGTCACCCCCGAGAGCACCCGCAGCCAGGGGTTCCGGACGTTTTTGAACCGGCAGCGGATGTTGCAGCGGTTGGAGCGGATCGTGATCGATGAGTGCCACGTCGTGTTGAACAATCAAGATGATTTCCGGCCCCAGTTGCAGATGATGGGGGAGTTGCGGGCCGCCAAGACGCAGATGGTCATGTTGACGGCCACGTTACCCCCGGCGGCCGAGCCCACGTTATTATACCGGATGGGGTGGCCCCGGGAGCAGGTGGCCATATACCGGGCCCGCACGCACCGGCCCAACGTGGCATACCGGGTATGGTGCCCGGAGATGGAGGCGGGGTACGACCACCCATCCCAGTGGATCCAGATGGACGGGGTGATCCAGTTTATCCAGGAGCGGGTCCAGCGGGCCCACCCCGGACGGGTGATCGTATATGGGAGTATCGTGGCGCACGTCCGGATGATGGCGGACCAGTTAGGGTGTGACGCATATTTCAGCCAGCAGCACGATCAAGATGGGGTGTTAGCCCGGTTCCGTACGACGGCGGGGGCGGTGATCGTGGCCACCAACGCGTTAGGCATGGGGATCGACATTCCGGACATCCGCAGCGTGATCCATTTGGGGCAGCCCCGTACGATATTGGATTACGCGCAGGAGAGCGGGCGTGCGGGGCGTGACGGGTTGCCGAGTGAGGCGATCATCATTCAGCCGGAGGGGCAGCGGGTGGGATATCAGCAGCGTCCGGCATGGATGCCCGAGTCCGCGGAGGAGCAGCAGCGGGTACAGCAGTATATGTTGCCGTTGGACGCGGGGGGTGGATGCCGGCGGGTGATATTAGATGAATATTTAGATGGGCATGTCCGGCCGGGGTGTACGGACGACGAATCGGCATGTGATGGGTGTGATCGGGGGTGGTATCCACGTGAGACGGATATCGGTGACGAGATGGAGAGCAGCACGCCGGACGGGCATACCAGGGTACCCAGAGTGCAGACGTCCGGGGAAGAGAGCCCCAGCGAGAGGTCCCGCGAGAGGTCCCGCGAGAGGTCCCGCGAGAGGTCCCGCGAGAGGTCCAGCGAGAGGTCCAGCGAGAGGTCCGGGGAGAGAGCCCCAGCCCAGGGTCCACAGGAGAGAACGCAGGGCAGGGGTCCCGGGGAGAGGGCCCGTCCATCCCCATGGCCGTCCGACATGAGTTCCGGCGGCAGGACATCCAGCGGGCCCAGTTGTCCAGCCAACGACCCGAGGCCAGGCAGGACCAGATCCAGAGAGATATGTATTTCCAGAGTGAGATCGGACGGTGGTTGATGCGGTGTTGGTCGTGTGCGCAGGAGGGGAGGGATGACGGACATGAGTTGTTTCGGTGTCCGTGGGGGTATAATATCGAGGCCAAGGCGTGGTGGAAGCGGATGCGTGCGTTTGATGGGATCCGTTACCAGGATTACAGCGCGCATTTCCGGTGTGGGATGCCGCAGTCGATATGCCCGCAGGGGGATCCCAGCAAAGCGATATCCCGTACGACGGAGGCGCAGCAGAGATGTGAGCAATACCGGCACACATTGTTACCGATGGTGGCGATGATGTTGTTCAGCCAGAAAACGCATGCGGAGATCCGTACGGCGTGGGATCGACGGTTACAGTATGTCGGGGTGGATAGTACGGATGAGGAGCAGTTAAAGCGGTATTTTGGGGGTATGGCAGAAGAGATTGCATGCCAGCAGTCCCGGTTAGTACAGGAGTTCATTTGGTGTCGAAGGATTTATCAGGGGCATGAAGTCGAGTAGATGGCGGAATCGGAATATATTATCATTCACGGGATCGGCGGATTTCCCGTAGGGTCGTTCAGTAGATATATATAATCAAGGTGGGCATTCAAGAGATAGGGTTTTGTGCACAAAAACGCAACAGAAGATAGGCATTGGAGAGATAGGGTTTCGTGCACAAAAAGCCAACAGAATGTAAAGACGTACGAGAGATAGATTTTTGTGCGCAAAAACGCAACAGAATATCAGATATGAGAGAGACAGGTTTTTGTGCACAAAGACGCAATAGAAGATCAGATATGAGAGACAGGTTTTTGTGCACAAAAACGCAACAGAAGATAGGCATTCGAGAGATAGGTTTTTATGCATAAAAACGCAACAGAATATCAGATATGAGAGACAGGTTTTTGTGCACAAAGACGCAATAGAAGATCAGATATGAGAGACAGGTTTTTGTGCACAAAAACGCAACAGAAGATAGGCATTCGAGAGATAGGTTTTTATGCATAAAAACGCAACAGAATATCAGATATTAGAAAGATAGGTTTTTGTGCACAAAGACGTAACAGAATATCAAGATCATCCCATATAGGTATCGAGAGTGTAGGGTGTTTAGGGGTATAGGGCCCAGTAGTATAGAGGGCCCAAGCGTGGTTAGGGTGATAGTGTGTAGCGTAGTAAGGGTAATAGTATAGGGAGTGGTAAGGGTGGTAGCGTACCAGGCATATCGGGTTAGAGAGTATAGGCGTACATATGGCGAGAGCACCGGCGTAGGTACAGGCGTTAGCACAGGCGTGAGTGTAGATAGCGTAGGCGTAGGCGTACGGGGCATAGGTATATAGATAGGCGTGGATGTAGGCGTGGATGTAGGCGTGGATGTAGGCGTGGATGTAGGCGTGGGTGCAGAGGGCGTAGGTACAGAGAGCGTAGGCGTACGGAGTATAGAGCCCGGTAGTATAGAGAGCCCAAGCGTGGTCAGGGTGATAGCGTGGTCAGGGTGATAGCGTACGGGTGGTGAGGGTAATAGTAGTGAGGGTGGCGAGGGCACAGGCGTAGGCATAGGCGTATAGGTACGGAGATCGTATATATATAGATATAGAGAGCGTATGCGTATAGGTAGAGGCCCGTGGTATAGAGAGTATAAAGAGCAGGCGTAGGCGTAGGAGCAGAGGGCGAAGGTATAGGCGTGAGCGTAGGCGTACGGGGCATAGGCATATGTGTAGGCGTGGACGCAGGGGTGAGTGTAGGCGTAGGTGCACCGGGCGTAGGCGTACAGGGTAAAGGGCATAGAGGCGCAGAGCGCAGAGCCCGGGGTGGCGAGTATATAGGGGATCATCGTTATCAGTATGGTCAGGGTAATGGAGAGAGGTCAGGGTTTTGGTAGTAAGAGATATGATTCAAGTAGAGAAAGCGTGATTTCGGCCGGAATAATTAAAGTATCAATACAATATATAGATCAATCGGGTAGAGGATAGAGATATCGGTCGAAGGAATATCGTGAGGATAATTATATATCGAGGTAGAGAGCGTAGAGCCCAGGGTAGCGAGGATAGAAGGGTGCATCACGAACGATCCGGATTTCGAAAGAAAGATATATCATTGATCGAGAGAATGATGTTCGCCCATACATCAGTGATATTGATAATATATATATTCATAAACCAGAGAGATGGTGGAAATGGAGATTTCAGTAGAAATAAATATAGTCGGGAGAATCCGATATCCCAATCGAGGGAGTACAGGTAGATAGAAATCGACAGCGTAGGGGTATAGAGTATATCGATATTCCGAGTATAAGTGTGGTCCGGGTGATAGCGTATCGGGTGGTCAGGGGAAGAGAGAGAGAGGATGCATTCGGCCGGCATCCAGTTAGGATTGCGAATATATAGATCAATCGGGTAGAGGATGGCGATATAGGACCCAAAATATATTATCCGAGGTAGGGTCATATATTCGGGTATCAAGCATCAAGACGGAGAGAGCATAGGCGCATAGGTATTCATAGGGCGAAGGGATCGAGATTCCGAGTGTAGGGAGATGGAGGGTAGGGGTAGGATAGAGCGTAGGGGTAGTAAGGGTGATCGTGGTAAGGGTGATAGTATGGTTGGGGGGATAATAGCGTAAGTGGGTAGGGTGGTCGGGGTAAGGATGATCGTGGTAAGGGTGGTCGTGGTAAGGGTGGTCGTGGTAAGGGTGATCGTGGTAAGGGTGATCGTGGTAAGGGTGATCGTGGTAAGGGTGATACAGTAGGGGTAGTAAGGGTAATCGTGGTAAGGGTAATCGTGGTAAGGGTAATAGCGGTAGGGGTAATAGTACGGTCCGGGTAATAGTATATGGGTAGTAGGGGTAGTAGTATACCAGGCATATCGGTATAGAGAGGATAGGCGTAGGGACAGAGGGCGTAGGTGCAGAGATGGTAGGTATAGAGAGCGTAGGCGTAGGGACAGAGGGCGTAGGTGCAGAGAGTATAGGTATATAGGTGCGGAGGGCATAGGGATGGGTATAGGCGTAGGTATAGAGAAAATAGACATACAGGTCCGGTGGATACCAGCGTAGGGTAGCGAGTATATCCGGGACCCGGGTAATATATATCGTCAGAGTAGAAGAGAGGTCAGGGTTTCGGTAGAAAGAGATATCATTAGTAGAGAGAGAATGATTTTACAGAAATATAAGGAAGATCGGTAATATATCGATTTATATTGAAGAGCGAGAATAGACATCAAGATTTTCGTCGGAATATATAGAGTAGGGAGAATGCAATATTCGGGTCGAGGGAGTATAGGTATACCGATAATAAAAGCGAAGGGGCATCGAGTATATGGATATCAATCATATCAGTATAGTCAGGGTCACAGGGTATATAGTAGTCAGGGTAAGAGCGTATACGGTAGTAAGAGGAAGAGATTAGTCGGAATCGGGTTAGTATACAGAAGATATATATCAATCGGGTAGAGGCATAGATATATGAGTCCCAAACGATATGGAAGGAGTAAGGGTAAGTATATATTAGGGTATAGAGTAACATGGAGAGTATCGGCGTAGGGGTAGGGAGAGGCGTCCGTATCAGGGTATAGGATATAGATATAGACGTAGATATCAAGGTAAGTACCGGTATAGATAGGGTAATGGCGTATAGGGTAAGATAGGAGAGAGAGAGAGAGGGAAGAGAGAGAGGAGAAGAGAGAGAGGAGAAGAGAGAGAGGAGAAGAGAGAGAGGAGAAGAGAGAGAGGAGAAGAGAGAGAGGAGAAGAGAGAGAGGAGAAGAGAGAGAAAAAAAATTAAATAGGAAATTAGAAAATATAGACAATATAGATATGAATCAAAAGGGATTTGATAGAAGTCGCGATTTTGGTAGAAAGATAGATAGTTAGGATATAAATCGGTATAGATTGAGGGTTATTGGTTAGTTTGGCAGATATAAGTAATGTGAAGTATAGAAGTAGCGGCGTATGGGGTTGGATGATAGTAGAGGGGGAGTTCGGACGGGGTTTCCAGGGTTATAGAGATACGATATAGGAAGGTTGAGGTTATATAGGAAGATATCGGGATCGAATAGGATTGAGGAAGGGGCGATATAATAAATATTTCGATAGATGGTATAATAGATAGGTTAAGAGAGGATGAAGATAGAAAAGAGGAGGGTATTGATTAAGAATAATATAAGGTGGTAGAAGATAGACATAGTGGGAAGGATGGGGATATAAGGGAGAAGGAAGGAAAGTATAGTAAGGGTAAGAACGGGGTATATAGTGAGGGTGATAATTGTGTATGTGGTAAGGGTGGTTAGTAAAAGTTGATAGGGTGAGAATTGTGTATGTGGTAAGGGTGGTTAGTAAAAGTGGATAGGGTGAGAGTAGCGTAGGTGGTGAGGGTGAGAATAGGGTAGGTGGTGAGGGTGAGAATAGAGGGTGGTGATAGTGTATGTGGTGAGGGTGATAATGGCGTACGTGGATAGGGTAAGAATAGCGGACGTGGTGAGGGGGAAAATAGGGTGTGTAGTGAGGGTGAGGATAGTAGACGTAGATAGGGGGATCATAGTGTATATGGTACGGGTGATAGGGTGGATAAGGTAAGAATTAGCGTAGGTGGTAAGGGAGAAGGAGCAGAGATATGGATATACGCGCGAGCGAAGCGAGTAGCGTATTTGATGAACGGTTATCGCGGATTAAGGACCCGGGTCAGGGTGGATTTAAGGCACCCGGTTAGGGTGGTTAGGGTGGTTAGGGTGGTTAGG